ATTTGACCGGGGTGGTTAAGAATGATGACTTGAGCGGTGAAGTTAGCACAGCCCATAGGGGGGTCATTCTTAGAGTCACCAGCAACGTTACCACGACGGATGTCCTTGACGGAAACGTTCTTGACGTTGAAACCAACGTTGTCACCAGGGAGACCAGCTTCAAGAGATTCGTGGTGCATTTCGACGGACTTAACCTCAGTGGTGACACCAGAAGGAGCGAAGGTGACAATCATACCGGGCTTGATAGTACCGGTTTCGACACGACCGACGGGGACTGTGCCAATACCACCGATCTTGTAGACATCTTGAAGAGGAAGACGGAGGGGCTTCTCGACGGGACGTGCAGGGGGCTCAATGGCGTCAATGGCTTCCAAAAGAGTCTTACCCTTGACAACACCAGCCTTGGTCTCCTTTTGCCATCCTTGGTACCAGGTCATGTTGGTGGTAGGCTCAATCATGTTATCACCTTGGAAACCAGAGACGGGGACGAAAGGAACGGTCTTGGGGTTGAAACCGACCTTCTTGACGAAGTTGGAAGTCTCCTTGATAATTTCCTCAAAACGAGCTTGAGAGTAGTTAACGGAGTCCATCTTGTTAACGGCAACAATGAGTTGCTTGACACCCAAAGTGTAGGCAAGCAAAGCGTGCTCACGAGTTTGACCGTCCTTGGAGATACCAGCTTCGAATTCACCAGTACCACCACCAATAATAAGAATGGCACAGTCAGCTTGAGAAGTACCAGTAATCATGTTCTTGATGAAGTCACGGTGACCGGGAGCATCAATAACAGTAACGTAGTACTTGGGAGTTTCGAACTTCCAGAGGGCAATGTCGATGGTGATACCACGCTCACGTTCAGCCTTGAGCTTGTCCAAAACCCAGGCGTACTTGAAGGAACCCTTACCCAATTCGGTGGCTTCCTTCTCGAACTTTTCAATGGTACGCTTGTCGATACCACCACACTTGTAAATCAAGTGACCGGTAGTGGTAGACTTACCAGAATCGACGTGACCGATAACGACAATGTTAATGTGTCCCTTTTCCTTGCCCATTTTGTTATTTAATAAAAGTGGTTGGTGGATGGAAGCTTGTATGGTCCCATGTTCTACTTAGTAGGTCGGGTGTGACTGTTTTTTCTTGATGGAAATTTTTGTGACTTGTTTTTGTAACGTTACATTTCGTAATGTTAACTTTCCGCGAATGTTTGAAAATTTGCTAATAAATAATTTGGCCCAGGATAAATAAATCTAGAGTAAACAGATGCATGAATAAACCAAAATGAACCTGTTTATGACTGTGAAAGTAATTGAATTATGAAATTAAATTTTGTAAGAGGGTAAACCACGTTTATGGAAGAGCAATGTTGAGGTGCTGTACAAGATGTTTTTGCAAGCTTTTTGCTCATAGAATGATAACAAATTACCAAAAAAAAAAAAAAAAAAAAAAAAGGTAATGAATCATTGAATGAAATTCTAAGACTAAACTTCTCTCACGAATAAGAAGAAAGAAGTTTTGAGGCAAAAAGTCGTTTACTAAAAGATTGCCCATTAAAAAAAATAAAAGTAAGAATAAAAGAAATCAGCGACCCATAAAATTCAATAATAACCATACAATAAAACAACTACTTAGCTAGTCTTGATATAAAATAGGAGTCCTTCTGTTTTGAGAATAGTGTTTTTATCAAAATTCCTTACATAAAAAGTGCCATAGTCTTACATATTCTAGCTAAACAATGATAAAAAAAGGGTTTTCTATTATGCAGTTCCTTTTATTTAAATCCCAATTTCCTTAAGTATTAGTATTACGCTAGTTGTCTTTCTTAGGTAGAAGGAGTCAATTCTAGCGAGTTGAAATCGCTACCTTTTTTCGTATATCGAACAAATACCTTTATTGGAAATTTCATTGTCTGTGGATGATTATTGAAGACGATTTTCCATAGTTATACTCAGCTTAATTTTTGTTGTTACCACTGGCATCAGCATACGTATTTCAAGTATATAACACTATTACTTCATAAGGAACCCTTTATTCTGTTATTATTCCTATAAGAAAATTTGTAAACAAATCTAGTCTTTCAGCCTTCACAACGAGGATCTGTCTGTTACTTTCTAATACTACAAGTTTTTTTGTTCTTTGACAGGTTCAAGGATGTCAAGTAATATACTAGACGAAATAAAAGCAAGCACAAAGGAGCTAGTAGATAAGTGCGATTGGATATCCATCTCACAATCATCTTTGCCTTCCTTGATTGATGCACTACAGAATACCTTACAGGATCCCCGTCCATCAAAGTTTCCCTTAAATTTCAAAAGTATAGAGGATGAGGTTAACTTTGTTGCTCTCTATGGTCTCGTAAGTTTTGGATCTGGCTTTCGAAACCAGCTTCACGAAGCGTAAGTCTATTCCTTAGGTCAATCCACCAAAAACTATTATATCCTCTAAAGTTCATGTCTATTTCTAACTTTTAATTTTTACAGAATTGGACGTGGTGCCCAGGAAACTTCGCTGTTTTTAATGCTTTCCATATATATCTCTAACGAAACCGGAATACCAGATGCCAATTACTTAACCAATATAAAAGAGCACGATGTTCAGTCTTGGATGAATGTTCCTGCTATTGAAGAAAAACCAGTACAATCACTTCCAGGTGTCTTTGCAGTGTCTTCTAGCCACTTGATGGAATTAGTGAAAAAAATGACATTCGTCTTTAACTCTACCGGTGAAATACTGAAAAAGGAGAATTTCTCTTCTATGGGAGAATTCTGCCTTCGATATGGCAATACAAAGGATCCCTCTATACTTGTCAATGCTCTGGTTAGCACATTTCCAGCATTTCATGATGTCGAACAAGTTTTTGGCGTAGAAGTATATTTACTAAAGAAGGCTCAATTAACCGCCTACCAGCTTTCTCTTTTGTTTCCAGATAGGTTTGGCTCCGGAGGGTTGTGCATTTTCGCTGACAATGTTATACCGACCATTTTATGTCTCTATGGGGTCATAGAAATCTCTAAAGAATTAAGAAAAAAATTAGAGAATAAAGTTCTTCTAGAAAAGGAAGAAATCACGGTTCTTCGAGCGTCTTCTGTCGTTGTCTGCGAGTTAATTTCCGAAGCAACAAAAATTCCATCACCTCAGTTAGACCAAGCTCTCTGGAAGCTAGGCAAATCCACTCCAGAGCTACGAAATTCTCCACGTTTCTTGTACCAAGACACTGTTATGTTTTAAAAGTGAAATGTTCTTTCCTCATTACGATACATTAGTATCAAACCTTCCAAGTTTTAAAGCTTTGTATAAATAGGAATTCATTTCTATAGCCTTTGGTTTTCTTAACAGTCTTTTGTTGATTTTTGTATTTTTCTTTAAGATCAGATAAAAAATCATTCAAGTGGGCTTATTGCAATACGTAGTTCTGCAAATAAGCTTCGGTAAGCAACATTATACGCTATAAATAAATTCAAAGCCACCGGAACTACGTTTGTTTATACCGAATATTACTGTTGTTTTCTTCTGCCCTTAACCAGCATCATTTAAAAGAGAATAATGCTACATCGGCGAGTTCATTTTAAGTCTCAGTCCACTTTGGACTTTGATAGTATTGCTGTTAGTATTTCAGCTAGCACAATGAAAAATGAGCTCGATAAGCTGCTACAGAACTCAAAGGTTACTGATCGACGAATTTTTAACCTTCAGATGGAAAACTTTTTTGCTCTGTATCGCAGATATTTATTACACACAGTAAAAGGATATGAGTGTGATTGGGATTCGATTCGGCCTTTAGGCCCGAAGGATGTCACGGATTACATGGATTTACCTCCTTGTGAGCAAGGATCACAGTACCTTGATCGGATAGCAGTTCTAAAATTGAATGGTGGAATGGGGAATAATATGGGTATCAATAAGCCGAAAGCTTTAATCGAGCTTCATGACAATCAAACGTTTCTTGACTTAAGTATCCAGCAGATTGAGTACCTTAATAAACGATATGATGTAGCGGTTCCTTTTTTGTTAATGAACTCTTGTGTTACGAATGACGAAACATGTAAAGTTCTTCGAAAATATACTGGCTACAATCTTGATATATCTACCTTCGAGCAATCTCGTTTCCCTCGTGTCCTCGTAGACTCTCAGCTTCCTATTCCCAAAACTGCTCCTTCTCCCATTGAGGAATGGTATCCACCGGGGCATGGGGATATTTTTGAAGCACTCGTTCACTCCGGAATCATAGACCGTTTACTTGCCCAAGGAAAAGACTACTTATTCGTGAGCAACATTGACAATTTAGGTGCCTCCGTTGATCCCAAAATTCTTTGTCATGTTATAGAAAACCAAATAGAGTATACGATGGAGGTCACTGATAAAACGAAAGCTGATGTAAAGGTTGGTATCCTCGTTAATCAGGATGGCATTTTACGATTATTAGAACGGAATCAGGTTCCAGAAAAACACCAGGAAGAATTTACCTCAGATCGAATTTTTAAAAATATCAACACGAATAATGTCTGGCTTTATCTGCCAGCTGTCAAACGAGTAGTCGAAAATCGGGAACTGAACTTGGATGTTATGCCCAACATTGAAACTATCAACCACAACGATGAGACAGCTAGGGTTATTGAGTTCACAACTTCTATTGGTTCTGCCATCAGTCAATTCAAAAAAACCGAAGGAATTAAAGTGCCACGTCAAAGATTTATTTCTGTAAAAACATCTGCAGATCTGCTCCTCGTACGTGGTGATTTATATTCCATAGACCATGGATCTTTATTAGTTGAGGATTCAAAGGTTGGATTTCCTCCTCCTGTTGTCAACTTAACCAATGAATTTGTTGACGTAGCACAATTATTTCGTCGGATACCGCACATGCCGAGCATTAAAGACTTAACTTCATTATCGATATCTGGTAATGTTTATTTTGGGAAAAATGTAGTTTTGAAAGGCAATGTTGTTATTGTAGCATCACCAAATGCGACGCTGAATATCCCACCTAACGCTGTTTTAGAAAATTGTGTAGTATCTGGGAACTGTAAAATAATGGACCACTAATGTTCTTTTGCTAATTGCAAAAACTTTGATGTATGGATTTTTATGATTAGATATGGAATACTTTAAATGGCTTATTAATACAATTTCATTATTTCACTATACCGTTCAGTAAGCATTATTTATTAAATTATATGGATTTTAATATCTAGATATCCAGGTAGATCCTGCAAAATATATATAAGTTGCTTTACGTACAACGCTTCCTTACGATTGGCGCGTTTTCACCCAACAAACGAAAGCTTTCTTTTTATGAGTGGAAGACTAAAATACATAGTTCCAGCATAAAGGACTGACTATCCACGTCTTCTCCAATATTGTGCATAAATAGGATACAAGGCAGCTTGTAGCAATCATAAACAGGAATGTGAACAGTTAGTTTAGATCAAATTATAAAAAACAAAAACGACTTGATAAAGGAGGGAGAGAAAAGTATAGCAAGCTTCGCAATATTATCAAAGAAAGAAATGAAATAATTGACATAAGCAAAGACAAAGTAAAATCAGCGGGTTAGTTTTCATGAGCTTTTAGTGAACGCGGCAAAGTCATTTTTACTCAATCATGAAGCCCAATTCAGAATGAACAGAAGAAACAAATTTCAAGCTAATGTGCAAACTTCATAATTATCAATAATTAGTTGGGGACTCACAGAAGAAGGTTATTGTCGTCACTGGAGAGAAGATTGGAAGTAGCCGGAATAGACGATGTAGAGACGGCAGGAGCCATTGAGGATTGTGGTGGATTAGTACCCAGTTTGGAATGGTCATCATGCTTTACTTTGGTTACGGCAGAACTCCAAAGGCTCCCAAAAGCATCTCCACCAGAGCTGCCAGCTTTAGTAACCTTAGCTGTTTGGGTAACTTGATTGGAGGAGGGAAGGTTTTGGGAGGAGAGACCGACGAAAGTGGGAGTACCAACGTTCGAAGAAGCACCGTTTCCAAACGAGGGACCAGCAACAGAAGAAGAAAGAGAAGGAAGGGAATTGAACGAAGCCATATTTCCCATTCCTACAGATGCAGAAGGAACTGAGGGTGCACTCTGAAAATCGTCAAAAGCATCATCGTCATCGTTTCCAGGAACTGTAGCGGCAGTTGGAAGAGCGGAAGACGTTTGAAACTCACCAAATCCATCATCATCATCCTCAACAGCAGCAGTAGTAGAAGAAGTAGGCATGGTAGACGAAGGGGGCACAGTAGCGGCGGGCTCATCGAGTCCAAGAAGATCAGCTACGGCAGACTGTTGCTCTTGCTTAGGTGGGGAAGAGACTGAAGTAGCATTCAGCTCAGCATTCCTCGTAGCACGTGGAGTTGCCCTAGGTGCGAGTGCATGAGGGCCGGCACTATCGTGATTTTCATTATACTCGTCGTATTCGGAATGATCATGTGTATCGCTATACGAAGACGAGTCACGGAAACCACCGCCACTACTAAAGTCTGTGAAGCCACCGCCATCCCCATAGACGCGGTTTCTATAACTTGCGGTACGAGGAGAGCCTCCAAAGCCTGAGAATCTCGGGCGGGATCCAGAAGACACTCTTGCATCACCGTCGCTACCTACACCGAAATATTTACCGCGCGTCTGTCGAGCCTTTCTTCTTTCTTGACGAATGCGATCATTGTCGTTGAGTAATTCTACCAACTCTTTCGCTCTCGTTCTCACGTTTAATCCTTGGTCTCTTTGATAACGGTCAATATAATGAAAGTTGCGCAACATCTTTATTGTTGCCTGATGTGCTCTAGCATCATCAATGACTCTCTCGGAGCCATTCTTTACTAAAAATTCCAGCAGTTGAAGCGCTTTGTATATTTGTCGCCATTCTTCAGCTGTTTTTTCAGTGAATCTGCGGTAAACCATCGGCATAATCTCATTTAACTGAGAATAGTTATGCGTTCCTTGTGCAATTTCCATCATCAGAGACGTACTTGCACCCCAGGGTTCGTTGTTGGTGGCTTCACGCACTTTGGCTTCCGTCGAAGTATAATTCATCACCACATTTTGCGCTTTGCGAACCGCTGCTTTAACGTCATACAGATTAATGTTTTTTATACTTGATTGAAGTCCGTCCATCTGAATGCTCGTTTTCTCCTTCAATGAATTCACAAATTGCCCAGTGAAAGCCTCGTCCAAATTTTCACAACTCTCTATTTCTTTTCTTTTCAATTTCTAGAAGCTTCTTTTGTCGTTTTTGGCTGCAACGACTAAATCTTCCTTTTGAAATCTTTTCCTTGTGAATTGTACTCTGCAAGTGCTTGCGAGTTCAATTCAATGAAACCGTAGTGGTTGCCTGCTGTAAGTTGAATTACGTCGTGTAGTGATGCTCGTTATATAATTAGTAAGCCTTTTCCTTCTACGTTAATAAACAATACTCTAGAGATCTAGCGATATTATGAATAATCGAGTAAAAGAAAAGAATTCCAGTGAATCTTGTAAGTTTTAACACTTTTTTATGAAGAAAACGAATTTGTACTTCTTTCATTTTAGGTTCCCAATGTACTCTTGTGTCTGACAACTGTGTACTGTCATCCTGGATCGTTTCTGGTTAATCTTTTTGGACTAATCTACATTCAAATTTGCTTAGGTGTAGACTTTTGGTGGTAATTTCTTTGGTTCTTTTCGCTGAATAATCAATACATAAAAAATAATTTTCCATACAAGTTAACAATGTTTCGGATGCTGTACCGACAAGTTATACAATATAGACAGCTATTTGTTTGAGTCATGTATGAAGAACATGAAGACCAGTTTTAAATAAAAAAAGCAAAATTGCTTTACAAAAAAATTGATATATGAATTCCAAAAAAGTGAGCTTTAAACCATGAATGATGATGATTTACATTTTCTTTTTTCCAAACTTGTTCGTCAGCAAGCAGTGGGAATCGCATGTAAAAATTTGCATAGTACCTTTGGGCTCCTTGAAAATTAAACAAACTTTTTGTAACAAGGATCCCATTCTTGGTTTCGTATCCATTCGCTCAATGCCTTGTCTTCCGTTGGGAACTCAGTGGTATTCATGTTTTCTTTTCTGGCTTGCTTCATGACAGCTAGAGTAATGTGACGGGAAATTTCACGAGCATTCTTCAGATCAGGCAAAAGAGCCTCTTCCGACTTGAATAAAGTCTTGGGAACAGTGGCTAAGGCGTCAGAAGCTGCTTTCATCATACCATTGGTCAAAAACTTGCAGCCGGAGAGCACACAGCCCACGCCCAATGCTGGATAAAGAAGAGCATTATTACATTGAGAAATAATGTAATCCTTACCATCACGCTTGATAGGAGGCATAGGTGATCCTGTAGCAAGAAGGGCTTTTCCATTTGTCCATTCATTGATTTGATCCGGTCTTGCTTCCATCAACTTCGTGGGATTGGAGATGGGGAAAATAATGGGCTGTTCAACATGTTTTGCCATTTCGCGCATAGCGTTTTCGGTGAACTTACCACTTTGACCAGAACAGCCCAATAAGACGGTAGGTTTGACACGAGAGATAGCAGTTTCCAAATCAACAGAATCTTCCTCCTTAATGTCCCGAAAATCATTGCTTTTCTTTAAGAAAGGTTTTTGGCCTTCTGTAGCAACAGTGGCGTGCTTTTCCAGTAACAAGCCATAGCGATCAACCAAGTAGATATGGTCAATAGCTTCTTGTTTGCTAAGACCATCCCCAACCAAGGCACTAACGATTTGATTGGCAATACCCATACCAGCCGTACCGGCGCCAAAAATCATTATGCGTTGTTCGGTTAAAGGTGATTTTGTAACATGAAGAGCAGCCACGATGGCAGCTAAAGCGACGGCACCAGTTCCCTGGATGTCATCGTTAAAGCAAGCAAATTCTTTGCTGTATTTGTCCAAAATTCGTTTGGCGTTTTTCAAGCCAAAATCTTCAAAATGAATAAAGGCATGGGGAAACACCTCTTTTATGCAGGTTAAGACAGTATCCAAATATTGGTCATATTCTTCACCACGCACACGGTTTCTTTTAAGACCCATGTATTGAGGATTGGAACGATGTTTTTGATTGTCGGTACCGACGTCCAACACAATGGGCAAAAAGCTATTGGGGTCAAGTCCAGCACACAAAGTCATTAAATGGCCCTTGGCAACAGAAATCAAAACACCACCGACACCTTGATCGCCGATACCCAAAATTCCTTCAGAGTCAGTCAGAATGATATATTTGACGGAATCTTTTGTTCCAAATGCGCCAAGCTGATTTTTGATATACTGTGAATCCTTATGATCGATGTCCAAAAAGCATCCTTCCGGGTAACGATATACGTCTGAGAATTGCATAATAGCATCCCCTTCGGTTGGTGTATAGATGATGGGGATCATTTCTACCAAATGCTGGCTAATCAAAGCATAAAACAAAGTCTGATTTCGGATACTTAATTGGGACAAATAAAAGTTTTTTTCCAAAACTCTGTCGCCAAATGACTTGTATTGCTCGTACGCTCTGTTAACCTGTTGCTGCAAGGTTTCCACAACCGGAGGCAAGCGAGATGTAAGCTCATACTTGATACGCTCTTCTTCGGTAAAAGCAGTATCCTTGTTCAAACGAGGATTCGTCAACAATGCTTCACCCTTCAAAGGGCACTTGATTTCGTCCTTCGCCATAGAGTTCATAGTCTGTTTGCTTATTCGTTTGTTTTTATTTTCTTAAAAAAAAAAACAGTAAATAAGAAAAGTAAACAAAAACGTCTATTGTTTGTGGGTTGTTTTGTTTGTTTGTTTTCGGAACAAGACTTTTTTACTTGTTTCTCCAATCAAAATATAGATATTGCTATCTTTCAACCTATACTTATATTATCTTATATCAGTATTATATAGGTATACCCAGAAATAGAATCGAAGTCTACTTGTGTGTGTATGTATATACGTGTACGTGTATGCTTGAAGGTACGTTTGTGCTAGGTTGTGCTATCGCCGCTGTTTGTGTAACCGTAGGTGTAGCTGTGTGTATCAGTAGCCTAGTACAAGGGTCCATGCACTGTTTATATAACACGCGTATGTATGGATTGTTCTTATGTAGAGATAAGAATCGATGTTTCTATAGACCCAGCCAGACCTTTGTGTTTAAGATTTGGATAACGTAGTTCAATATAATCGTCGTTGAAACCATCCAAAGCTTATCGATAATGATGACTTCAATTAACAAGCTGAAACGTATCAAAACTTACAGAAACTGTAGCGCTTCAACCCTCTCACCCACCTTTCTAGTCACCGTCCGTCATACTCTTTCTTCCCTTTGTTCTTCTTCTTCGACTTTGGATTGACTACTGGATCAGATCGGATCATCCAACCAAGAGAAAAAATTTTCTTGTGCGTGTTTTTTCAAACTTGAGGGTAAAATCGTCCAAGGTCAGCCAACCAATCATGAATCCGTTTCTTGTATATTTCCTAATCAACTAGGTTGGTTGGTTCAACGGTTATCATGAAATCTTTTGTTTTTATCAACACACATAAACATATAAACAAACATATAATATTGGAAATGCTAAAATAATGGCTAAATAATAATTTAATGAATGATGGAAACATTCCTTTTTCTTTTTAATCCTTGATTCTACTATTTGTTGATTCACTCGTCATCCTTTTTCCCTTTATCACAACACTTTACATTTCGTTAACAAGAATTATAGCTACTCTATAAAATACTTTATATTAAGCTACCAACTGTGGACTTTTTCGTTAAAGTACTTTTTGAACCCAACACAAGGGCCCGCCTTATAGAGGCTGTTGAAAAAGGGCCACCACCACCCCAGGGAAAGTCAGACAGGCACACATACCATGTCAACACATCCTTTCTCCCTACTAAAGAACAACCAAACAAACAAACAACCATCCTCAACTCAACCGGTCAACTTGGTAAGAATGCAGTAGAAAAAGGATGTTCCCTTTGTTTAAATTTTTTTTGGTTCTTTTTTTTTTTTTTTATACTAACAACGATTTAGGATTTCAAAACTCCAGTTCAAATCCATTGGCAAACACCACAGCAAACAATTGCTGGTCAATCTTTTTGTCAACATCGGCCAACACGGACGATTTGCATCTCTTTTGAGGATTCTTTGTTTCAGTTCACCCAAAAAAAACCTTCTTTGCAAAATCCCAAATTGCGCAAATTGGAATCTTGACTTTCGCTTGATCGCCTTTTTTTTTGTCGTTGTTGTCGTTGTTCTTCCTTCATCAAAGGAAAGGCCCAGTTTGGTTTGGTTTCTTTAGAATAAAAACCAATTTTTGAATTCCATTGATTTCACTTTCAATGGTCATAACCTAAAATATTTCAATTTATTCATTTTTATTCTTCGTTTTGCATTCCTTACTTCTTTTTCCTCTTTTATTATCCTCTTCTCCTTGCTTCCTTTTTTTTTTTGACGTTCGTATCTACTTTTAGATACATTTCTATGTCAACATCAAAATGTCCGACAACTTGGAAGCTTCATCCCACTTGTTTGCTCGCTCTTCCGTTAATGATACTTCTTCGCAATTGTCTCGTTTGGAAGAGGTAGAGCTTCTTGAGGGTGCCCTTCATTCTCCTTATAGAGAAGAGTTTCTAAACGAGGAGGCATTGTATTTGCCTCCAAAGCCTCAGTATGGCAATACCTATTTGGCTGCTGGCCCTTATTACGCCAACAAAATGACCCCTGGATGGCCTCTCAATTATTTCATTGGGGTGGAAAGATCTCGGTTCGAAAAAAGACTTTCCAACTTTTGGCTCCGAAATTTCTTGCTGCAGGTTTTCGCTCCTTGTATTGTCCTTATTTGGTGTGCAATACCTATGCCATTGTACCAGGATAATCAAGGCATTGTTCGTATAAAATTTTGGTTTTTCTTTTTTTTTATTACGGTATCTATAATGCCGTCGGTTTATTGTGGATTACAAAACTTTTTCATATTTATTCTGTCAATTGGTGTTCAAGTAAACTCGGTGGCACGATGAGCTATTTATTGTTTTGGGCTTTTAGTATCCTCATCGGCAGCTTGGCCGTTTATTTTACTGATTGGCGCCAGATTACATTCACTTGGATCACCTTAATGTTCATTTCCATGATCATCCCCATCGGAGTCTCTTTTTCAAAGTTGTGGAAAAAGCATTCACGCCGAACTACTCAATTTTTGTCCCAGTTGTCTTTGCTTGAACCCAGCGTTCGAAGCAACGCTGTCTTGGAAACCATCGGCTGGAGAGATGCCTACGCTCATTATTCTTGGTTTATCATTGTCCTTTGTGTTACCCTCATCGTTTATCTTGCCGGTGAATATCTTACCAATATTTACATGTCTACACTTCCCCACAGCTCCAGTGTCGCTATTGCATATGTGTATTCTTGGATGTGTACGGTTAGTTTGTGCAATCTGATTTCATCTTGGATATTAAACACTAAGACCCACTCTTATGCGTTAGTATCTGTGTTTAAACTTTATTTTGAGCTTACTCTTCAGGTTTACCTGCGTAATCTGTATGCCAGACTCGAATCGCCTCAACAGTTTGTTCTTGTACAAATTGCCTCTTCTCTTACCATGATGACCATCTTCCCTTTAATTTTGATGTCGCGTACAGCATATCACTTTAATAAGTCTCTCACAAAAAGCCTAGATCCCTACGCAGTGTATCGAAAAAACATGGGCAGAAATTTCTATGTGAAGTGCGTTGCTTCCAACCTTAGTATGCTTTCATTCTTAGGCTGGTCTCTTATCCTACATTTTGGACCTAACGCGGCGATTTATCCATATTTTACGTTCACTAAGGAAAGTCCATACAGTTTCAAGCTTACATTCTATGCTTCTTCTGCCGTGTGGGCAAGCGAGCTTATCGCGGCCTATTTTACTCGGCTGATTATGAGTAAATATTATGATTTCGAAGTCTCTTTGGAAGCTATCCGTGATTTTGTTGAATACCCTGACATGATACCAGCTTTCATCGCAGTCGGCATTCATGTTTTGCAAAACGTTTTATTTAGCATTATTCAGTTACGATTTTAAGACCTTTTTAATCTCTCGTTCCTTCTTTGTTCATTTTCTTCGTTTTAGATTGATTGTCGAACCATAGGTATGTATAGTAGCATATGGGTCGTATATCTTATTTCGTTAAACGATTTTCATCTTTATTCCTCTTCTCTCTTTTCCTGTGATATGATCGCTATTCGCAATATCTTGTGTTGTTTACGGTTCTTAATTTTATTTCTTTTGTATCAAACTAATGACTTCAAATGCAAGCATGCACTTACCATACTGTAAAGTCATAAATAGACTCTTACGAGTTTCATATGTATATTTTCCAATGAACAAGAAAACGGAATCTTTAATAATAATTATATTAGTTTTCCATTCGCTCTAATAGCTATAAAACATAATTGGTGAAGTCAAAATCTATATATCCTTTCTTCTAAACGGCTATGAGTGTTATTTACGGAATATATCAATAATTTACATTATCTCCAAAAGTTTTAGTGTATGAAGAAAGCTCTTTATCAAATGACAAGAGTGGCGAAATCATTGCTAACACACTACATGAATATAAAGTTATCAGTTAATTTGTTTTTTTGTTTTCCAACGATCCTGTTTTGGTTTTTGAGGTTTGTTTATTAATCGTTACTTATTGAGTAGCAAAGTAAAGAAACGGTGAATTTATGACCAAATTGTTTGAGCAATTTTACAAAGGATTTATCAAGCTATATTCTCAATTAAATAAATGAGCAAAATAATTAAGGCTCCACCAGCTCTCAAATTGCTTGCTTTCCAAATGCATTAATTGTTTACTTGCTTTACTATGCATTTTCAGCCATTACTTCTCAAACAAAAATGTAATAATATTTGACCTTGTTAAAAGACTTTCTTCGAACAATATACAAAAGATGTGAAAATAACTTACTAAAAGCATGTAAAACCTAAACTCTAAGCGGTAATTAAATAGTGTGTTTGCTGGACTGGGCGACTTGTTAACGAATAACTGAGATTGGTGTTTATGAACACAAGAAAAGTGAAACAAAATTTGTTGTTTGTTTTAAAAGAATATATATTTACGAAGGCATCAGTTGACTTGTTCACGATCTATCGTTTATTTGTGCTATAGTTATTCTGAATCACCCATAAAAATTTCTAGGTTTGTTTACTAACATAACGCAAAAGGAACCCAAATGTTATCTTAGTATAACAATGCACTAACGTCAACGCAGCATTTTGTGGCGCCCTAAAGACTTCACCAGCGGGGGGCGAACCGCAATATTCCAACTTGCCCTTAGCTAAACTCTGCGTTTTCTTTTTATCACGAAAAATAAGAAAATGTCGCAATATTACGAACTCTACAGACGTAGCAGGTAATTTTTTCCTTTTTAATTTCTCTTTTGTTTTGCTAACTTTCATAGCATAGGGTATGGTTTTTCGTTGGACTGCTGCTGGTAATCATAGATCAAACGCTAATTGAAAATATGTTAGAATTTCATTAACAGATGCTTTGGATGATTTGATTTCCCAAGGGAAAATATCCCCACAACTGGCTATGAAAGTCCTCTTCAACGTAAGTTTAATGTGCCTAGACAAGACCCAGTCTTGATTTGACATTGTTAGCTAACAAGGTCATTATTGCAGTTTGATAAAAGCATGACAGAAGCTTTAGCTGAAAAAGTACGGGCTCGTTTGACATTCAAGGGACATCTCGATACATACCGGTTTTGTGACGAAGTTTGGACATTTATAATTAAAAATCCAAATTTCCGTTTCGATAACGAAACTGTGACTAGCAATAAGATTCGGATCGTTGCCTGTGCAACACGTGATTCTGCAGGAAATCGTTAATAAGTTAAGAATATAAAAATGGACAGTTTCACGATTTTACTTTGTCATGAACTGTCTTGCGCTTGTTATGATTTTTCGGTATTGGAAACGAAATTATTGATATTGATAGAATAACGATTTACAAGTTTTTCTTGTCCTTTCGTTCAATCGTGTCTTTCTAGCTGCACTGTTTTGAACCTTTGATGCCTTTTGGATAACTCATTTTGAGATTTTTCTTTTCGTTTTTTTTTCTTTCATGCTTACATGATGACCAATGGCTTGTTATAACCTTAGAATTCCCTTTCTTGACATTGTAATCTTTTAATTTCTACATTTCCTCTGCACTGCCTTACATTATTTTCTTTAATATTTTCGATGCACCTGTGGATATATTGTCGCTGAAGTTCATAATGGTTTATCCTTCCTATTATGTAAGTTAGGGGCACTTAATTTAGATACGATCTTTCTCTTCGCGTAAGTTTTCCTCAGGACTTTTGGTATCTTATCCCGTACTAAGCTTTTCATATGATTTGTATTATAATTGATTGAATATATGAAAATGTTGTTCGAACGTTCAATTGTCCGTGCTTCATTCATTTTTAATGTATATGCTACTTTTTCTTTCCGGTAGTTCATTATTATGCGTTTAGTTCGTTATAATAGTTATTAGAGTATAAGCACATAAGATATTAAAGTGTAAACGAACAGGAACAATAAATAAGAATATCAGCACGCAGGATGAATTAGAGACCTTCATTGAACGTTGTCAAATGACATATTTTTAGTATATCATGAAAAAAGTTGCTCCTCCGACTAAAGCAATTAAGCTTGTACCAATCAACTCGTGCATTGAGGAAGCACCGGATTCAAGTGAAGTGGAACCAGCAGAACTGATACTACTAGAGTTGCTTTGGTGGTTAGTGGAATTGCTTGTATTTCCAAACGGGCTCGAAATGGCGTTAGCACTAGCAATGGGCTTTGAAGACACATAAGCAGCGCTGTTCAAAGAAGATGAAGAACTAAAGTAAGAAGAAGTTGTGGCAGTAAAGTCTGAAGCTTTAGTTTTAGGAGTGCTGTTTTGAGAAGAGAAAGTTGTAGTGCTAGTCTTATAGGAACTACTAGGTGCTGAGCTGGTTGAAGACGATGTGGAGGAGCTGCTGGTTTTGGAGCTAGTTTTAACCTGTTTAATAGAGGATGAACTACTGCTTGAAGCGCTTGGTGGTAAGAGAGTGAATTCCTCCGATTGAGCATAAATTTCTTCAGGAGATTTTGGATTTCCCGCATTGATGCTATAACCTCCACCAGTTGGCCAATTTGTAGTATCAGTTGTATAGCTGCCGTCCGATACAGAAACCGTCGCAAGGAGCTTTGTAAAGGGAGGATACCTAAAATAGTTGCTTAAATAGATTCCAACAACATTCTTGTCTGTATTGACATAATTCCAGGTTATCGTGTGATCCTCACCAGTTTCCCATTTTTCAAATTTCGAAGGACCCGTGATTTGTATAGCCATAGAGTGGGCGATAAAAGCGAATACTGCAAGTTTTGATAGCATCATCTTAAATATTTAAATTGGGACGAACGAGTTTTTGGTAATGTAGAAAATACTTTTGTGATTTCAAGGCAAAGAAAAGAATCAACAATATTATAAAAAAGACTGGTCGCTTGAAGCTAGCGAATAAGAAATGCAAGTAAAAGTTCAACAAATAGATGAATTAAGGAATATAGCGCAAGGCTTTTATAGTAAACTTCTATTATTTCTTTAGTGATACGAATGGGAAAGAAAAAAAAAAGGAAGTAAGACTATATATAAGAAAAAAAAATGTTTATGTTTGTAGATTCACGAACTTTATCAGCCTAATTATAAACAAATATTAGCACCCCGCCCAAGTTATAATATACCCCGCAAAGTTTGCTATCATAAAATGAAATAAAAAAACACAAAACACACCCTTTAATCAATTCCTTTTTTAATCAATGTATTTCTTAATGTATCATTATTTTCAATGCTTTAAAAACATACCCCTCTTTAAATTGCTCGGGCTTTATTTATGCGAAAGCACGCTGTTCGTTTGTGAGAATAGGAGGTAAGTTAAAGTTAATGCTTATTAATGGCTCGCTTTTTTTGAAGCGAAAGAGACGAGGCTTTGAGTTTTAACTTAGGTAACATTATTTATGGGAATGTTTATTATATGCTTTCCGTTTGTTCGCTATCATATGAAAATTATTTTTTATGTTTATTATTATCAACTGTTGCTTATAAGCAGTAATAATTAGCGAATCGTCCAATGACGTTACCTGCATCAGGGCAGAATAAACCGACATTGTGAATTTATAAGCCGATAACAGACGATTGGCTTTTAGCTAGAGATAAAAATAGAGCATTTTTTAACAATAACAGCTCTTTCCAAACAAAACACCTGATAAGAAGATTCTACTGTTTGAGGTAAACAACTGCTTTATCTAAGAACACTTCAATTTGTCAATCAGACGTATAGCTGTAGGATTTCTGAAGTATATATAATGAATAGAGTCTCAATTCAAATCCAATCAAACATAAAAATACCCATACCTTAGTCTATTCTCACTTCTAATGATACCCTTTAGTATTATTTCAGTAACAAATATGACGCTGTAAATTAATAGAAACCATCTGTAGGATAATAGTATAGGTAACGATAGTGAGTGACGCTTTTTGTGGCCTCGGGAAATATTATAGTTAATAATGCCTTAATTTGCCTTTCTTTAGTCGGTTAGTGAAGTTTGCTGCCTAATTTCTTACATTAAGATTATAGTTATAATCGTATGGCGTCAACTCCTTATAACTGAGCATGAGCATACAAGAGAAACGCGTAACTTTTTATTTAAATTTTTTTTTTTTTTTTTTTTTTTTTTTTTTTCCTTCAATTAGAATGCCTTAAAACATCGTATATTAATAAAATAGATATTGATTGAAATGTTCTTCAATTACGTTGCTCGAGCATATAGCAACATGGAACGTGCCCTGACTGCACTACCTATTTCTCCTCTACACCATAGGTTTGTTTAAGACGCGTAAACAAACTTTTATTTCTTGAAAAAGGGACTTTTAGTAATATATAGAGGGATTTTAATTTTTCTTTCTTTAATTTTTATATACAATATTATTTCTTTTGCTTGACTAGAGGTTCAACAGGCTTGACGGTAATTTAAAGAATTTTTTTGGTTCATGATGGAATTTCCTCCAGATCAAGCACTTCTCGAAGAGAAGAATACTCTACTTCAAAGTTGCGGATTAGATGAACAAATGATGTTCTATAAATGGGAGTCCTGGTGTCTCCAGCGGGATAATAAGCCTGTCCTAAACTTAGACAACTTTAAAGCATTTGCCGCAGACATGAGAACTCAAATGGAGCGCCAGGTTAGAGCTACTTTACGAGACAAGCCAGAGAAGAAAACCACAAAAACAAAACTTGGAATGAACTTTGAAAATATGTAAGGCGTTTGGTTACTTTCGATGATATCTAACTTTTTTTAGGCTTGGCTTACCTGCTAAATCCCATGACTCGAAAAATAGCAACTCAAATCATCCCGTGCCTCCCACTTCAGATGCACCAAGTCTCACTGATGAGTCCGGCCGTGTTCTTGAAGCTCTCAACGCACATATACCCTCGGCATCTACTAACGCTAATGGTAAAAAACCAGCATCAACTGAAATAACATCAAGTATTGATCCGAGAGCATACCATTATAGGATCATGTTTCAAAAACTCCAAGATTCGTCTGAAGTTCTTGACGACCGAATCGATCTTTTCAGCGCTATAGTTTGCGATCACTATAAGATTGCTGATGAGGATCTTGCAAATCCAAGTGAACTTACACAGGAAATGGTTACCGTGGTCGGTAGAGTCGTTGTTGATAGCAACACTGTTGGAGGACGCCTTAACACTAATAGCATTTTGATAGAAACTTCAAGAAGACTAGGCGCTGGCGCCAGAGTTTCCCTTAAGTTAGATGAAGTTTCTAGTTACTCCATCTTTCCTGGACAAATACTTGCTCTTAAAGGATCCAATCCTAGTGGTAAAACTTTTGTTGCTAAAGAAGTTTTACCTCTACCTCCTCTTCCATTCTCTGTTTCATCTAAAGAAGAAATTGAGAATTTTAACAACAAAGCAAACAACCAACCCATTTCTATATATGTCGCTTCTGGTCCTTGGTCTCTTCGAGATGATCTTTCGTTTACCCCTTTGAAAGCCTTAGTTTCATATTTGCTAGAAAATCCTATTGATTTGGTTATTTTAACGGGCCCGTTTATAGATATCAACCACCCTATCCTTTCCACCGGAAATATCCCAGACACACAAGTTACTTCTCTTGAAGATTTTTTTAAAGAACGTGTTTCTCCGATCCTCTCTAAAATTTCTTGCAAGTGCATTCTCCTGCCTCACATCAATGATGCCATTTCTAATCACCCTGCTTGGCCTCAAGACACATTCGATCGCCATACACTAGGCCTCCCATCTGTACGTCCAAGTTTGATTCTTTTAGTTAGTATTAACATTATAGAACTTTATATGTTTCCCAAACCCTTGTATCTTTTCAGTGAATGAAGTTGTATTCGGCATATCTACTAACGACATTCTGTTACATACTTCCAAGGAAGAGCTTTTCCGAACACCAACCCATGGGAACCTTTTCTCCCGATTAGTAGCTCATGTAATCCAGCAAAGGCATTTTTACCCCTTATTTCCAGGTGGTTCTTTGGACAGAGGTAATCCTTCGAATATCGATATTTCACATCTTAAACTTGGAGAGCTATTTAAAACCGTTCCTGATGTCCTCATTTTACCTAGCGATATGAGGTATTTTGCAAAGGTAAGCTTGTTCATATAGCTTGTCAATTTTAACGTGTTTATTTTAGACTGTCGAAAACGTTATATCTATTAATCCAGGAAAAGCGACGAAAGGAGTCGGTTTGGGATCATTTGCAAAGCTAACTATTCTTCCTTATCCCCTTGATTCTTCAACTCCTTCTAGTGACCTTCTACACAATGCTCAGTCTCGTACTAAAGTTGAGATACTAAAGTTATAAACCCATTACTTCCGTTGTTCTTCATATCACGATTTGATTTTATAGCTACAGTTTACAATTATAATACATGGATATGCAACTATGATTCATTTAATTCATTAGTTACAATCATCGTTCTTTTAATTTATCTGTAAGTATAATAATTATTAATTATAATATTGTCCCGCGAGAACCTCTTTTATATTATATTTTAGTATTCGCATCATTCCTATCACTTCTTGCAACCTCATCCATAAATTAGTTTCAGGATGCCTGTGATTCCTCCTGAACAATTAGCACCTCTTCAAAGTAACCAAAACAATATAAGAAACTTTACTTTGTTGGCTCATGTGGATCATGGAAAGGTATTGAACGATTTTGCTACATTTTTCTTACATATACTAACCAAGCATCAATTAGACAACGTTAGCTGATAGTCTTTTGGCTACAAACGGAATCATTTCTAGTAAACTAGCAGGAACGGTTCGATATCTCGACTTTCGTGAGGATGAAATTACTAGAGGAATTACGATGAAATCAAGTGCGATTTCATTGTTCTTTAAAATTATTAGTGAACACAGAGAAAGGGCTGTTGAAAAAGATTACTTAATTAATCTTATTGATTCTCCTGGTCACGTGGACTTCAGTTCAGAAGTTTCATCTGCTTCTCGTTTATGCGATGGAGCCTTCATTCTTATTGATGCCGTTGAAGGAGTTTGCAGTCAAACAATCACCGTCCTTCGTCAAGCTTGGGTTGATAGAATTAAAATGATATTGGTCATCAACAAGATGGATAGACTTGTGACCGAACTCAAATTATCACCCATTGAAGCTCATTATCATTTACTTCGCCTTATTGAGCAGGTCAATGCTGTAATAGGTACCTTTTATAGAGGGGAGTTAATGAATTTAGATGAAACGGAGGAAGAAACTAGTGACGAGGGCATTTATTTCTCTCCTGAACAAGGCAATGTTATTTTTGCAAGCGCCTACGATGGTTGGGCTTTCTTTCTAGACCAGTTTTCAGATTTTTATGAGAAAAAGCTCGGATTAAAGTCTAGTGTTCTTACAAAATGCTTATGGGGCGACTATTATTTGGATCCAAAAACTAAGCGTATCCTTCAAGCAAAACATCTTCAAGGTCGACGTTTGAAACCTTTGTTTGTTCAATTTGTTCTTGATAATATTTGGGCTGTGTACAATTCAGCCGTTGTAGACCGTGACTTGGATAAAATTGAAAAAATCGTGAAAACGCTAAACATAAAAGTTCTTCCTCGAGACATGAAATCTAAAGATCCTAGAAATTTGCTGCTAGCAGTTTTTCAACAATGGCTACCTCTGTCAACTGCAATTCTACTAACAGCTATTCGAAAGATTCCTTGTCCTATAGACGCGCAGAAAGATCGCGCATTGAAAGTGTTGAAGACCACTCCACACTTTGAAAATGTTGATCAAAACATAGCGACGGCTATGAGTAACTGTAACGCTAACAAAGAAGAACCAATGCTAGCCTACATAAGTAAAATGGTTGCTTTCTCTGAAAGAGATCTTCCAAACCAGAAACGTCGACAGCTTACTGCCGAGCAAATGCGTGAACTGAGACAGGCTAAATTGGCTGGTTCTCTTGAAGACTCGGTGGGTGTGTTGTCAATTAACGAAAATGAAGAATCAAATGAAGCAGAAGAGAATTCGGAAAATAGATATGTTAACGAGGAAGAAGAAAAAGATGTTTTTGTTGGTTTTGCTCGTATCTACAGTGGAAGTATTTCTGTAGGTCAACAAATTTACGTTTACGGTCCAAAGTACGATCCTGCAAAACCCGATGAGCATATTACCAAAGTCACGATTGAATCCCTATACTTAATGATGGGTCAAGAGCTTTTTGCGCTAGATACCGTCCCAGCTGGTAATGTATTTGCCATTGGCGGTTTGGCTGGAACTGTATTAAGAACTGCCACTCTATGCTCTGTACCGGGAGGACCAAATTTAGTTGGAGTAACTCAGCAAGCGGATCCAATCGTTCGTGTTGCTGTAGAACCAATGCGTCCTTACGAAATGAGTAAATTGGTAGCTGGATTAGAAATGTTAAATCAGGCAGATCCATGTGTTCAGATTGCGGCGGAAGAAAATGGTGAGCATGTAATTATGTGTGCTGGTGAAATTCATTTAGAACGTTGTCTCAAAGACTTGCGTGAAAGATTTGCTAAAATAGAAATTCAATCTTCGCAACCTATTGTTCCTTTCCGTGAGACGACAGTTGCGGATCCTGATATGACTGCTAAGGACAAGGATACACCAATTGGGTTTGTAAGTACGTCCCTCGCGTCTGGCGGAGTAAAGATCGGAATTTCTGTTACGCCATTATCTAGCGATTTAGTGAATTTCTTATTGAATCATGAACACACAATTGAGTTATTTATGCATCACATTACAAAGAAAACTAGAAATGGCGATATTAGTTTTGCTGATCTACAGAAACAGAAAGAAGAAATTCTTAGTTCTGAAGACTTTATAACAAGTATTCATGACTTATTAGCTAAGGATGCATCAGATAAAAGCAACCTTAACGAATACCTTGACTCAATTATGTCTTTTGGTCCAAGACGCGTCGGTCCCAACATCCTAATCGATAAAACTGGCTTAATGAAAAAGGCACGTCATGAAAGTGATGGATCAAGACTTATTGCCTTTGATCTCGCTGAGTATATCATTACTGCTTTTCAAATTTCTACTCAACAAGGACCCTTATGTGCCGAACCGGTGCAAGGCATCTGTGTTTCTGTTGACTCAATTGAAATAGGAGATAACGGAGAAGAGAATGAATCACTCACAGTCAATAATCCGCAGATCCCTGGTCAGGTTATTTCTACTGTACGTGAGGCAGTTAAACAAGGATTCCTTGCCTGGTCACCAAGGTTGTTACTTGCTATGTATTCATGCGATATCCAAGCTACTGCTGAAGTTTTGGGTAGAGTGTATGGTGTAGTTGCCAAGAGACGAGGTCGCATTGTTGACGAGGAAATGAAAGAAGGAACTCCATTTTTTAATGTAAAAGCTGTGATTCCTGTTGTTGAATCGTTTGGTTTCGCAGTCGAAATCTTAAAGCGTACATCTGGTGCAGCATATCCCCAGCTGATTTTCCATGGGTTTGAAATGCTAGACGAGAATCCATTCTGGGTTCCGACTACAGAGGAAGAACTAGAAGACTTAGGTGAACTTGCTGACCGTGAAAATATAGCCAAACGCTATATGTTAGATGTACGAAGAAGGAAAGGTTTACTAGTTGAACAAAAGGTTATTGAAAAGGCTGAAAAACAAAGAACTCTTAAACACTAAAAATAACAGTGATTTTTTTGAAATTACAAGTATGATTTGGAAATTTATATAAGCAGTTACTATTTCGTGATTTTTTGATGTGAACCAAATCAATTTATTTATGTTAAGAAATAAAATATTTTTAATAATATTTGTTGACTTATGCTCAATTGTATTCCAAACAGAAAATACGTTCATGCTTCTAAAACACATGAAGCATATTAAATGGAAGTTCATAACTTAAAAAGCCTCCATAGTATTATAAATTATAAACGTTATTAATTTATCACAAATTTAATTAAAGATGCGTCGCGCTTAATGCCGTAAACAAAAACCACTACTACGCTGTTAGAAATTTGCTTTTACCAGCGGTTTATCAATGAAGCAATGGAAAAGCCAAAATGAAGATATTGAGAAGGAAAAGAACATCTTTGATATACATAATGACGAGGATGAATTGGATTATGAAGCTACATTAAAACGGCGCTTGGCTGGACCTTCAGTTCTAAAGTCTGGTCAAGAGAGTGTGGATCAAGAAAGGATTAATGAGATTATTTATGAGGCATCCAAAGGGAGTAAATATTTTGAGGCAGAACAGAAACGAGATCTTGAACTTCGAATGAGAATTGAGCGTGTACGACAGGAGGTAAAAGAATATTACCGTAAACTTGAACACAATAATGCTTTTCAAAAAGAATGGGCTGAACGGACTGATCAGATTGACACCTATATGCAAGAGCTCCAATCTTGTCGTGACTTAAGTCAAGTTATTGTACATGTGGACTGTGACGCATTTTACGCGTCTGTTGAAGAACTGAGAAATGAAAAACTAAAGAACATCCCAATGGCCGTTGGTAAAGGTGTTTTATGTAAGGCTTATTTTAGGAAAGCGAATTAAAGCAACAAGCTAATTACATAGGTACTGCGAACTACATGGCTAGAAAGTTTGGCGTTCGATCAGCAATGCCAGAGTTTATTGCAAAGAAGCTATGTCCAGAGCTAGTCGTTCTTCCTTTAGACATTCCAGAGTATGCAGTTAAATCAAAGGAAATACAGAATTTACTTCTGGAATATGACCAGAATCTTTGTCCAGCTAGTATTGATGAAGTGTATATGAATTTGACTCCGTATATGAATCGAAATAAACTTAATAAAGATGAGGATACCATGCAGCAAGTCATTATGGAAATAAGAAATAAGGTCCTGAAAATTACTGGTGTCAGCATCAGCTGTGGAATCGCTGCTAATAAGTTATTGGCAAAAATTGCTAGCAACATGAAGAAGCCGAATGATCAATATCTGGTTCCAATTGAAGCAGAAGTGATTGAAAAATTTATGTCAAAATTGCCAACAAGGAGAGTAAGGAAATAAATTAAGACCTTTCTATAACTAATTACTAACCTAACAAGATCAATGGAATAGGCAGAGTATTGGAACAGGAGCTTCTCGGGCTAGATATCGAAACCTGTGGAGACATATTAAATAATAGAACTCTTTTGTCATACATCTTTAGAGAAAAAACCTTTCAGAATTTAATACAATGCAGCTTAGGGATTGGGTCCACTATTGTCCAGGATTTTGGTGACAGCTATAGAAAAAGCATTGGTTGTGAAATAACATTTTCGAACGCTATTGCTTCTGGAGGTCTCCTAGAAAGTAAGCTTCAAGCCCTATGTCAAAGTTTAGCAGAGAGTTTATCAAAACGAGATTTGATTGCGAATTCTATATCAGTAAAAATCAAAACCGATACCTTTCAAGTTCATACTAGACAGAAGAACTTACGAGAATACATATTCAACGATACAGATCTTTTCTGCGAAGCTCTGAGATTATTGAGGATGGAATATCCACTACGAATACGGCTATTGGGTGTTCGAGCTAGTAAGTTAACTAATAAGGCAAGCTACATAGCTTCTCGCATTGTATGTAAAACGTGCTAATCTTATAAAACATTTTCTAACGTTCTAGAAATTTTCGAAACAAAACAGTGTTTCGTGTCCTGTTTGTCGTATAGACTTAAAAGATGACTTGGCTGTTGTGAACCAGCACATTGATCTTTGCCTAAATACGGAAACTGTGAAGAAGGTGATCGACAATGAAAAGAAAGAAATCCCTCTAAAAAGAAAGCGGAACACTATAGATGCCTTTTTTAGACATTAATTTCACATCAAAAGACATCCATATAGAATGGAGTTAATTTACGTTTTGGATACAAAAAGGACAGCAAGTGTACAATGGAATGAAAACAGGTCAAAATTTATTTACGTTCAAAATTAAATAGAATTGCTTATCCATTGGATTTCAAACAGACTGATAACCAGATTCGTAATAAACTCATGAAAAACAAAGAAATCTAAAGGTCATTCTTTTCAAGCATCATTATTACAAGAGCTTTGCGCTGATAACAAAGGCAATGAGTATAAAAACACTGTACCTTATAAATTGGAAAATGGTTAATGATGTCCAGTAAAAGAACAAAAGACCTTCAGCGGTAGCGAGCGAGATAAAGAAAAGAAAGTGGCCTAATGAAGAAGAAGAGACAGAATATACAGATGTCTTACTAGAGAACTGCATCCAAACGCCGATAAGGACAACAAAAACAGCAGCAACAGCGAGCGAGAACAAAAGGCTCAAGAATTTATTAGCGGCTTTTGGTGGAGCAGCAAATGTATGAAGTATGGTAGGTTGGGGAGACGTTACTGCTTCGGTCGATGTTTTAGCATTAAAAGCAGGAAGGGAACCTGAGTCAAAGACGAGAGATCCTAAGGAAATTGAGGAAGGAGATGCATCACCGAAAGAACCGATCATTAAAGTGCTCAGAAGTCCGTCCTCACTTTGGACTATCTCAGAAGGAAGCTCAGACAAAGGCTAAAAGTTTGTTAGAAGATTCATATATTAAGAAACCTGTTTCACATTAATTCAAGCAGATTCGTTCATCGTAAATCTGTGAATGAGGCTTTTTTCTAAATACGTACCAATTTTAAGACTGCATCTCCATTTCCCTTCACTTTCACGGGGTAAACGATCGAAATACTAGGTTTCTTTTTGTCACTGAATACTATATGGGCTTGGTGAGGGACAGCAGCTTCATCATCAATGGCACAGGTGAATTGTACTACCAATGTATCCTCCAGAGAAGAGTCTATCTCAGTAAAAGTGTTTAATTCATCAAATCTAACAAAAAACAAAATTAGAACTCGTGTCTACAAGCAGTTTCTCAATAATTTACCTTTTCTCGGATCCTGTCTTTAAGGATTTGGTAGGGCTGAGAAGCTTGAGAACACCATCCTTAGTATTCCATGAGCTGCAAAAAACACCCATAAAAAGGCATAACAAAGAAACGAATGAAATTGCCCTCATTTTTGTGTATCCTTGGGATTTGTAGTGGGTAAAATGAAACCGAATCCACATACTGCTTCGAGTATAAATAGCGAGTCCTAATGTATCGGTAAAGAGGATATGATACTCCACCATAAAAGAACGAAAATACCTACTTCCTTCCACTGCTAAACTATTCGACACGCGAAAACCCGACTTTTTACCTCAGTTTTGTTGGATTCGTCCCAAGGACCCATTTTTTTGTTTTTTTGTACGTTTCTTGAACTTGTTAGTTTGTTGTCTGTGAATTTGTGGCCTTCTCAATGCAATTGCACTTTGTATTTTCACATTTGCAAAACTCATTCCGTGCTGGAAAGGCAATGACAAGCGTTCCCAATTGCAGAAGCGTTTTAGAATTGAGTGCTGCTTTATATCATCAAGGATTCATTAGCGCCATTCAACGTGGTCATCTTCAGGGACCTGACTTGGTGCCTACACCAACAACACGAGGCAACGTTGCTGAAAGGAGGCTATGGTTGACTTTGAAGTATTTTGAAGGGAAGCCTGTTATGCAATATATTCGAGGAGTATCCAAGCCGAGTCGTAAAGTATACATGACCCCCAACGAACTAATGAACTTTGCAAGAGGAAGAACAGTTAGCTTTGTTCACGGACTAGAGCCTGCCGAGATGGCTATTGTAGAAACAAAAAAAGGAATCATGGGAGTCGAGGACGCTATTCGTGAACAGCTGGGCGGACGAGTATTATGCCGGGTAAAGTAAAATCAATCATGGAATAAAGAAAAAAAGCAACTGTGTTGCCCTTTCTTACTTTCTTTTTTTCCAAGTGGTCTCATATCATGTTTATTTCTTTATGAGTTCTTATGTGAATTCTTCTTTGATATCTCTGATATTATGGAATTGATCCGTTAAACTTTTCTATATATTTTTCTTTGTACACATCCCCTTTTACAATACTCTCGACCAAACATAAGACACTGCTTTGCTTTTATATTATACTTCCTTGTATCTACCTAATTATAATGGAAGAGCAATTTTGCAGTCCACTTCACTACGTTCTTTTTCTCTACATGTCAGGTAACTTGTATAACAGTTAATTTGAATATTATATAAACGTTCGATTAAACAGCCTTCCCCTTCATGGTGCTACAGCAATTCAATAAAACTACTTCAACACTCATTCGGAAGCTCTGCTAATCCACCAAAATGCATTTGCTGCCTTACTTTATATAAACCTTACACATACTATCTTAACTGTTATTGTATATATATATATTATTGTTCCTAACTTACAACAAGTCGCGGTGGTGTAGTTGGGAGCATGACAGACTGAAGATCTGTTGGTCACCGGTTCGATCCCGGTTCGCGACACTTTTTATCTTAGATATCTTTTTCTTGGACTTTATCCCATTTTCGTCGTGTTTCAGAAAATGAACTTAATTGTTTTCATCGCATTTGCTTACTGTAGAACAAGTGTCCATCCCATCGTATACCTGAAGATAGCCTAGTCTAATTTGAGGTTGACATTCGTATTTCACTTAAATTTGAATCAAGCTAAATTTATTATCAATAGTACTTATAATGTAATTTGTTCGCTTTGATCTTCCTGGCCTTTTTATTGTGATACTCAACATCACCGTTTGAGTCACCTTTGAATGGCACGAACCCATCGTACGCAAACTCTGGATACTAATTTATTATTTGCTTTACTTTTTGGAACTTAAACAAAATTTGTAAGCTGTTTTTTCTCTATTTTTTAACAGTTCCTCTACGTGAATTTGCATAGTTTACAGCAAACATGGAAGCCGAATTTCAAAAATTTCAGCGTGTACTTCAGGAGCAACAGGACAAACGAGAAAGGATTATCCGAATTTCTCGGGAGATCACAATCCAAAGTAAACGAATGATTTTTCTGCTTCATCAAGCATCATCGAGTGAGTTTCCCCTATCATTGGATTTTGACAAAGCAAAGCAACATAAACAAAATATTCAAAAACAATTGGAACTGTTAAAGCAAGAACTAGCCGTCCCGGATGCTGAACGATATGCTCCTTCTTGCTCTCCTGGAATTCAAGAGTTTGTCGAAGCTTATGCATTTGAACATTGGCTGCAACATCAGACTCTTATACACCCAAAAGATAGTAAATTCCAGATAGATATTGGACTTCTTGATTATGTCTTAGGAGTTTGCGATATGACTGGTGAGATCATGCGTTTTCTTATAACTCACGGGTCAAAGTTCGCTGTTGAAAATATCCTTTCACATGTTCAGTTTCTTCGTGATTTAAATTTAGAATGCACAAAATTAAACAACTTGAATCGTCGTTCACAAAGTGAACTAAAGCAAAAACTTGGTGTAATGGACAACAGCATTTCAAAAGTTGAAAGCATATGTTACAGCAAAATTCTCAGAATGTCTGACCAAACATCCATGAAGAGGGACGAAGAAATTATAGCTTCTAAACAGAAAAAGCTTCGTATTCATTAGATCCACGATGACTATCATTGCTTTGCATGCTGAGAGTATATTCAATGGATGAGATAAATAAAAAAAAGACTCATATTTTCTTCAAAAACTATGAATCACCTAACTGAAAATCTACAATATTCAAAGAACGAGAATAAATATTAAAACATAAAAGACGGAAAAGAATGTCGGAAGGAGGTTCGAGTGGTTAACTATAAACTTCACTTCCCAAGGGAAAGCCATGGAGACAGGCTTATGTCGCATCGTCCCGATACAATGGTGCCGTCTGGAAAAACAAATAACAGGGGAAGTGTTTCGCAGGTGATAGCTTCCGTAGAAAGCTGGATCAAACTAACCAGAATTGTGACACTCCTAGATAAGCTTTTTTCTGCTTTCTCTATTTTCGTGTAATTCAAGGGCCCTATATTGCCTAGCCATATCTGTATGTCCGGAGAAAACCCTTCTATACTTAACTCTAATGACTGATTGCTTGGCAAATAAATAGGCGGGGCTTCCACGCATGGTAAATCTAAATGTCGAAGAGCAAACTGACTTTGTACTGGTCTTAGAATTGTACAATCACATTGGGAAATTCCAACGATAGTCCAACAAACAGAATCACGGATTTTTAATACTTCATCATTATAAGTCTCTATTGGTTCCCATTCAACTGGTACAACTGCTTCATTAGGTAAGTTCTTACATTGAGCGGAAGTTGCACCCAAAAACCATCGAGGTTGTGTGCGATCAGCCGGCATAAACCCACTTCTGGCGTTTTCATATCCAAGTGCTAAATTTGTTGAAAATGAAGCTGAGCTTTCTAAAACTATGCGGTGCATTTGATTCACGTATCCATCATCTTGAGCAATCCCGTCTTTTTCTACTCGGCGGATAATTAAAGGGTCACTCATAATTTCTGAAAATTCATCTTGTAGTTGGATAACAGAACCATACCTAATTGGAACCGCTTCTACAGAATTATTCAAGATCCCTTCTGTGGTGCTCTCGGGTGATGAAGAAATTAGATGAATACGTAAGGGTGCCCAGCCATCACTCCTTAGGCAAAATTGCCGATTTTCTAATGTTGTATATTTTGTGCGAACCGTTTGCGAATTTATTCGGTTGTAAAGACTTATGACGGACCCGGAACGCAGTGTTATATGACTCACCTTAGATTTTGTGCCTTTTTTGGCCGGCTTTGATACAACGTCAATAGGGGAAGTCACCAAATGCGATACTCTTTGGTCCGTAACTGTCGAAACAAAATCGATGGAAAGCCTTAAGATTTTCGACTTTGCAGCTGCTAGACTAGATACATGCAAAGATCGAAAAACCATACACTGTTGATTATTGTATATTTCACTGATTGCCTGTGAATACTGGCCTTCTTCATTCATAATAGAGATCTCAACTCGAAAGGATAAGCCAAGCAAAGATTGAAATGGACCATCTATCATGAGGACGGGAGGAGGGCAAAGAAATCTCTTTTCAGAACCATACGATTTTTGGATGACGGAGGCATGTCTACATGAGATTTTTATCATTTGGCTTCTTCCATCTTTCATTCCCTTGCTAGCATCATTCAACCAAAGGTCAGCTCCTTGATTTAGGTTGTTTTGGCAGAGCAACTCGATATTTTTGCTAATGAGGTCGTTTATAGAGTTTTCTGAAACATTTTCATCTTCCATATTTTTTCGTTTTCTGCTTTGCTCATTCATCTGAATATGTGAAAGGCTGTTAAAAAAGTGACCCTTTGGGTCATCTTCGAGTTTTGCTTGTACATGACGAGAACCTGTTTCTGTCTTTTCCACATTAGTAAGCGCTGAATTAACAGCGCTAAATAAAGAAAGGACTTGAATTGGCATCGCCTCAGTATTTACGTTTTGGTCATTATTTTGATCCAAATTCAAATCTCCGCGAAGGATTAGTTCATTTTTTAAGTTTTCAACTAATAAAGCAAGTTAGAATCGTTGCTTTTGAATATACAATTGAAACCATAATATCGACTCTGGTCTTTTGATGAATAACCAGTCTATGTGTACATACTTTTTAGATTATCCAATGTGAGAGAGTCATTTTCATTGGATTCAGGTATATTCCAGCTGCCAAAACCTGCCATTATATAGTCTATTTTGGCAGTTTAACCCGAGTCGATTATTCTTTAGTTTAGAACCCTCAATAAAGCATGTGCACTTTCATAAACTTCAATTGTCTATAAATTGTCTATAAATCATTAATATTTCTATCTGAAACGAGAGAATGGTTGCTTTTGCAAAAGCGAACGAAGGTAGTAGTTCGTAGGCAATTTACAAATTACCCAAGTCAACTTTTTCTTTCACCAACTACTCGACAGACAAGAAGCCATTGGAAGCGGCGAGAAAGTTACTTTTTAATACAGTTTTCGTTTAAAAAATAAGGAAAAGATTTGGTTGTACTTTTTTGGTCTTAATTCTCAGTGACTTTTGGATTACGCAGTTTAAGTGATTAGAGGGCCATTGAAATTTGCGGACGATGGATAGTGAAGAAATACTCTCTATACAATATAATCAAGATGTATATAACAAAATAGAAGACATATCTAGACACATTTCTCAAACAATTGAGTTTTGTAAACAAAAAGCTGGCGAACTCAAGTCTCAGGACGATTCTTACACTCATGTTAAGTGTACGTATTTTATTTATTTATAATCATTTCTTTATCTAACTTTTGGATCTAGTTTTTACTTACTTAAATGGATTACTAAAACAACACTCGGATGATCTTATTTCTGCAGTAGAAAAGAAAAAATCATACCTTTTGGTGAGAAATCAGGAAGGACTGCCTATTGTGGACATTCACGAGGAAGTTGATGAAGATGGCAATGTAATAAAATCGAATGTAAAGCCTCAAAGGATTTCTTCCGTTACAGATTATGCTGATGTGATACGAAGTTTGCCAGGATTTCAAAATCCTAAAGAAAAAGCTACAACGCCTTCGAAGCCTTCTGCAACTGAACTACCGGAAACAAGGATTGAGGAATTGCCAGCAGAAGCGGCTGCAGCTACTGGATCGCTGGATTCTGATGAACAAATTACCAAAAAGAACAATACAGAATTCCAAGATAGAGAAAATGCATCCCAATATATACAGCAAACTCAGTCGGATTATGTCAAAGAGAAAGCATCTACCATAGAAAACAAAACCGACCTTACATCGAAAAAGATAGAAGAAAAGGAACCAGAAAAAAAGCTAGATGAAAAGAAAAATAAAAAGTCTGTCTTCAAAAAGGGGTTTCTCTCTAACCCTAAAAACGGATCTCAAAATCGTTCTACAAAGGCTAAACACGAAGAAGAATCCAAAAAGCAAAGTCAAAGAGAAGAAAAGAAGCGTATAGATGTCACCGATAATAACGCTGTAAAGGAAGTGGTTATGGAAAAATCTCCTCAAGAATCGAATAGTCAAAAACAGTTAAAATCAGAGTCACCCATTAAATCCAAACCCCCTAAAAAACTGTCCAAGTTTAAAGAAGCGAAGCTCCAGAGAAGTTCACCAGGAAGATATACACATTCGGAGGTTGCTGAAAACGAATCCACAAGGTCAGAAACAGATGGTACAAATGGTGCTGAGCCTACTAAAAAAGTTGATAGTTTACATGAAGAAGATAAATATAAGGAAGTAGAGGGTGCTTTAAAGCAAGTTCCAACATCTACTGAAGATAGCATTGCCGCGGAACCTAATGACGAAGATCCGGTTTTATTGCCCGTACCAACGGATGCCAATGGAGAAAGTATAATGCATGCCGTTCAATATGACGGATTAAATTCTTTAGACGACATGGAGCAGCTCCTTCAAGATATGGAAGAAGCCGGTGAATTGCAGTCTGACGCAGAGTCAGGTTCAGATGAAGACGAGCATGGTATGAGTTTAAATTTTTCTCGAAATTTAATACCTCCTCCAAATCCAAATTATTTTGGTGAAAATGAATCATTAGCTCCAAAAGTTGCTTCTGGATCAAACGAGCATAAAGAGAATGCTTTATCCACAAAAGAAACGCAACCTTCTGAAAAGCATGTGCATTTTTCTGACACGTTAGAAATTAAACATGTTAGCAGAAATGGAAAAGCACGCATCGAGAATGTACCTACTCCTACAGAGGAATATGACAACATGTTTGAGCCTCATGAATATTGCAGCCGCATATCAGCGTTTCGCAAGGCGCGAAGCAAAATAAAATCTGAACACAAGGATAAAGATTTCGAGTCTCCTATAGAAACACACAAGGGAGACAAAAGACTACTCGATCATGACACTATTGTGGAGCGCTCTTCTGATAATCCACCAACAAAATCCGATCCTGAAGAAAAACTTTCCGATGAGCAAAACGAAGAAAATTTAGTGGAGAAGTACCTGAACGAAGTCCCTACGGTGAAATCTACCGTTGTTGAAAGGCAACCTGCAAGAAGTGTAGAGCAAGCGAAAGAGGATTTTGAGGATCATCAGGATTTCGTAAAGGATAAAAGAGAAATCTCTCAACGATATTACGAACTCCGGCGAAAGCTAGTTAACCCAGAAACTGAAGACACTGAAGAGGAAGGTGTTGTACCGGTGGACGAAAATGGGAACGAGCAACCAAAATTAAGTAAATTTATGGCCGCTCGACTGGGTGGTAAATTATGAGGAAATTAATAATGAAAGCATTTATTACGGACTTTTGGATTATAGATTTAGATTTTGTTAGTTATCTCAATATAATACTCTTGTAACTGATTTTGCGTTACTGTAGAAGGGCTTCCTATTAATAGGTCGGTGCCTGAATATGTTTTTGGAAATGCGATAACCTCTCGTATACCATTGGATTTTACAAGGAGAGCAATAAGTCGATCAAACCCTAGAGCTATTCCGCCATGCGGTGGACATCCACTTCGCAAAACGTCAATTAGATGATTGAATGTGCTCAGTTGGTATTGTTTGAGTTTTAAAACATGTTCTAGGATAAAAGATTGAAGTTCAGGATTGTGTATGCGAATACTTCCGCCTCCCAACTCTACCCCATTTACAACCAAATCATAATGGAGAGCTCGAACATTCAAGGGATTGGAGGAGAGATTATGTAAATCTTTAGGATGAGGAGCAGTGAAGGGATGGTGAGTAGACGCCAGGGACTCCGAGTTTGAGTCGGCAGGCGAGAAAAGAGGAAAGTCAACAATCCATGTAAATTCTAAAGCATCATCATCTAAACGTGGACGCTGACATTGACTTACCAAAAGGTCATGTAAGAGTGGTCTAAGCCTACCCAAAGGGGTCGTACCTGAGGACATGTGAACAGGGCGATTCGCTATGAAAAGTGTCAACTCGGGACACAGACCAAGTTCTTCATTTATTTTTTTTATGTCGAGATGCAGGTGTTTTAGTTGTGGAACCTTTTGAGTCCATTCGGATAATTGAGAATTAGACCGAATTGTCACGAAGGAAACGCCTTGCCCTACTTGTTCGCACAAAGAGCGTGCTTCCGCATTGCTTAGTAACTTTTTTACATTTCTTAAGACCAAGACTTCAGTGCAAGCGTCAGATTTAGGAAGAAAAGACGTCAAATTTTGCAAAGTTAAATCGTATCGTACGTCAGGCTTGTCAGAACCATAAAGTTCTATAGCGTCAGCATAAGACATACGGGGAAAAGGAGACTTTAAGGGATTTTTCCCCAGATCTCTTAGAAGCCGGGAGAATAATCTTTCAATTACGACCATGACCTGTTCTGGAGAATCAACAAAGCTCATTTCCAAATCAATTTGGGTAAACTCTGGCTGCCTATCGAAACGTAAATCTTCATCACGAAAACAACGAGCCAATTGATAATAATTTCCAATTCCGCTAGCCATTAATATTTGTTTGTATTGCTGAGGGCTTTGGGGTAACGCATAGAATTTACCAGGTCCTTGTCGAGAAGGGACTAAAAACTCACGAGCGCCTTCTGGTGTAGATTTGAAAAGCAATGGCGTTTCTACTTCCACAAAGTCATTCATATGAAAGAAATCACGGACAATATGTGCTATATTAGATCTTACCCGGAGATAATGGTTATATTTTGGGTTTCGAAGTTGGATATGACGATGAGTTAGTTGAACAGGTAGACTAGTATTCTCATCATTCGGGACAAAAGGAAGTGAATGAGCCATATTTAGCACTTCCAAGTTCTCGACTTTCAACTCAAACTCATTTCCTGGTCTGCGATCTCGTTCAGGTCGATACTGCAGTTTGCCGGTGATCTTCACAACACTCTCTGGAGAAACGGTTTGGTGAGTAGTTTCATTCAAAGCGGAAGAAACAAATTTCGAGCGATCGACGGAATCCCATAAGCTTTCTGCTAGCTGTTTCTTGGGAACTTGCAAGGGCTCTTGGGAAAATAGCTGAAGGGATTTGCCTTGCACATCACGAAGCTGATTAAACTTGATGGATTTTGAGATATTTCGATTCGTGTTTACAAGCCAACCGGAAATGCTGATCACCTTTCCCACTAACGGTGCTAATACATTTGGGATTTTATGAAACTGCATTCGTAGAAAAAAAGGTATTATTAAAAATAAAAAGACGGTAGGGAATTCTTTCCAAAAAATGAGTTCTAAAAGAAAGCCTTGAAACCTCAATTGAAAATCACGACAAAAGTACACTTTTTTATAAATAGTTTACGATAGCATTCACGACCAAAAGCTTTTTAGGAAGCTTTCAATTTCTTTTTAAAGATTAACAAATCTACTTATTCACGAAAAGCCTATATAGCTAGGCTCATTCCTGTAAAATCAATGAGCTTTGGTTAGTATGGACTTGAAGGATGAATCCAATATTCATAGTGAGGCCTTTATTACATAACATATGTCTTTCAAAAAAACTAAGTATAATGATATTTTGATTGGTTTTTTTCTTATGGAAGACGAGTGATTCTTTTACATTCATGTTTAAATTGATGAATTGTCATTTATGCCGAGATGCTGTTACAAGGATAAATGCACGAACATGATGGTTAATTTTAAGAATAGAGGAAGGAAAATGGTTACGGATTATGAAGCTCTCAAGCTAATAGCTGAAGAAAGCTAAACTAAGAGTTGTTGAACCATAACATAAATTCATATTTTAAAGGCGAACAACGACATGTAGTATGAATAGAATATGTTACGGAAAGAAAGATGATAAATGAAATGTTATATATCCTTAAAATAATGATCACATTTTTTGCGCTTTATGATACACAGTAGTTGATATATCCATAATGCTTATATCTACTTGATATGCTTTATCGCATATTGCATTACTAAGTTTGCATAAAAACATATGCTATACAAATTTAAACAATATCGTTACGTGTTTAGAATATTTAACATAAGCATATTCGTATTTTAGCGCACGTCTGAATCAAGCTAAGCCAATCACAAATAGCATGTAAGGACCAGCTACGTATTGTGGGGAAATTCCCATTTCGAACTTTTGTTTACTTTCCATTGGGTTAATTATCAATGGAGTTTCTATTTTTTTCTTGCCTTATAATATTTTATCTTTTTGATAAAGCTACCATATAATAACGAAAACTAGTTTCATATAAATCAAGCTGCCGTCCGTCGATGCTTTGTCCTAGGCATAGGTAACATTCGATAACGTTTAGGTAGCACTGAAAACAAAGCAACCGACCTTAAAAGAACTGCAAACTTGTTTCCCTCCACCACCAAACCCATCAGTTTTGAAAGGATATTCCTTTTTTTCTTTCTTTTCCGTTGAAAACGTCGAATGCGTTTACGACCTTCAACCGTAACTTAATTTCTTTCGTTTTTTTTGTCCCATTGGTTAGTTTTGAATATTTTCGTATTTTGTCCAGTACAAGAATTTTGCATTTACCACCTTGCTGAAGTGTCCATTGATTTTGATCATTCCAAAGCTGATAGCTTTTTTTTGCATTACTTAGATTTCTTTCGTTTCTGGCTCCTATCGGGACGCTTTGTTGCCATTCTTTAAAGACCACCGAATATTTGCATTATTTTCTAATCATCGCAAAGTAGTGTACTATTATTCTTTATTTTAAAGCATTTAGACATTATTTAAGCTATCTTTTAGGTTTTCCTTGTCGGTTCTTTTTTTCAACCTTTTTTATTTGGTATATTTGCTTCTTTTTGTTATCATGCGCGCCCTGCCATATATCGCTGCTGCCACCGTGATCGTATTTATGATTATCGGAGGTGCTTGGTGGAACACGAGTCTGGATACTCGCCTGCAGTCAAAAGTAGAGAAGATACTCGACAAGCATAGTTCGATTTTTGTGACACCCACTGCCACAGTCACGAACCTTGAGACTGATACGATTCGTACTTCAATCCATACAACCATTAGTCAGACTGCGACTACCACCCAAACAATGACTTCTACTCCTACGACGACTTCTGTTATTCATCGATTGGAACAAACAGATCCTCATCCCGACAACTCTAAAATTGTCATCCTTATGGGTAGCAATTTCCACAAAGAAGATGGCCCTCTTCATCCATATGCTAAATCAATCATAAAAAACCGCCGCGAATATGCCGAGCGTCATGGCTACATTTTTGAATTCTTAGATGCAAGCGATTATGCTTCCAAAGTTGCCGGTCACTTGTTCCCATGGGTTAAGGTTCCCATGCTTAAGGATACTATGGACAAATATCCTAATGCTGAATGGATTTGGTGGTTGGATCATGATGCTCTTATTATGAACAAGGACGCAAACCTCGTTGATTACCTCCTTGACCACAATAAGCTTAATAGTCTTTTAACCCGTGGGGCTGAATATAAGAGTGGTGCTGGAGTAGACTCTGATGGTTTTCGTGCGCCTGAACAACAAGAGGCTGAGGATGTTCACTTCATTATGTCGCAAGACTTTAATGGAATTAACGCAGGAAGCCTTTTCGTCCGTAACAGCGAAATGGGTCGCTGGATCGTTGACATGTGGTTTGAGCCTTTGTACTTGGATCACATTCAAGGGTATGCTGAACAGCAAGCGATATCACATATGATTTATTATCATCCCAGCGTCCATCAACATGTTGGTCTTGTTCCACTCCGCACGATCAATGCGTATGACTTTGCGGATCCCTGGGGTTGGCAAGACGGTGATATTTGCATCCATTTTGCTGGTTGTAACTTTTTCCACAATTGCCCTGAAAAATTTGAGAAATTTGCCAAGATACTTTCCAGTAAGCAAGGTGATGATTGGTTAGATCCTGAAGAAAAGGAGTTCATGAAGCAGAAGATGTCTGCTCATGATTAATCCCCATTAACATTGAGAGTTTGGATTAAATTGGGTTGTGATAATCGTTCATATTTAATCTTGTCTTCTATAATCTACAACCTTCCTATTTAATGCATGTGTCATTCGAAATCCTAAAGTTTTCCTTTGAAATATTGGGTTTCTTTCACTTCGACTTTATTTATATAACCGTCCTTATCCTTAGACCATCTCTTGATTTGAATGCTTCTTGTTCAATACTCTAATAATATGCTATTAGTTTTTAGTAGTGTACAGGCGTCTTCGATATGTACTGACTTCAAGGTGAATTGCAACGAGCGTCTAAGTTGTCTTTCGTTTCTCCAGAATGATTAATTTGAAATACGTCAAGCTTTTTGTAACCACTAAAGCAAAATTGGTTTATAAAGCGATGAGACCGAAATACTTGATCTAATATGACTGAAGAAAGAAAGTTGCAACTGGGAGCGTTCAAGATGCTCGTAAAACTTTAAAACAGTTTGAAAATTAGTATGGATCTCAATGTATGCAATACGATTTGAGAAAAGCCAAATAATTGTATCATGACTTTCAGAAGGAATACTTGAGTTTTCAGCTTATGAACTTAGCATTGTAACTATAGTCAGAAAGTCAATCCTTAAAGTCAAATATTGAATCTATTAGATTCATGTCTTTTAAATTAGGAATTCAATCAAATTCCAAAACGGTAATATACAATACCCCCTCCCAAGTACTACAGAAGGAAATTAACATAATTTACTTGTATTATTATAATCACAAGGGATTTAAGATGAAATTTGGCGTTTTCTACATAGTAACTGCTCAGACTTGTTCCCCAGAGTCTAAGCTCTAATGTTAGAGTGAATAATGCTTATTTTATACAATTCCCTTTATGTTGTCTTTTGAGTCGGGTCTTTATAAATCTCAATTCAGCTACAAAATAGAACAAGATTCAACACTGAAGGTTTACAATATTTCCTTGAATAAAAGATAAATTGATATTCAACATCTTGAATGCATCAATTCAAACAAGAGACGCTTTCTCTTAAGTATTTTGGTTTCTCATTAATTCGTTACGAACTTTTCAATGAACCAACAAGCAACACCACCAAAAAAAAACTTTCTCGCTTATTATATTATTCCCAAGCTTTGAATCTATTAATAAAATCATTTTGATAACTCCTTCTTTTTATTTGTAGCGACATTTTGCCCGACTACTTTGGATGGACTATTAATACTTTGCTACCATCCATACTTCCAGAATTGCAAAATCGGCATCGCAACTTAATTCGAAAAACCTTTCCATTTACTTTTGAACATCTGAAAGCCTTACTAAAACATTTTTGCTCTGTCTGTCTTTTCAAATATCTTCGTCTTCATGGGATCCATACTCTCTTTCAATTGTAAAAGGTATTCGCTCCTAAAGTCACCAAAAATAATCTTTAAAAATACCTATAAAACTTTAGATTCCTGGTCTAATATTCCTGAACACATAAAAGCCAAACAGGGCCGGAAATTGTTTCTGCAGAATGGACATCCTCTATGCAGCCTCCGGGAATTATTACAACGTCAGTTCAGAGATAAATCAATAAATTGCGTTGCAAAAGAGTCACCTGTCGTTTCAACTATCACAAACTTCGACTCCTTGGGAATTCCAAAAACGCATGTTAGTAGGAGTAAATCTGATACCTACTATGTGGACAAAGACACATGCTTGCGCACGCATACATCGGCACATCAATTGGAAGAATTCAAAAATTTGGCGGAAAGTAAGATGTCGAAAAAAGGCTTCCTAATTACCGCAGATGTTTATCGACGAGACGAGGTAGACGCTAGTCACTATCCTATTTTTCACCAAATGGAAGGCGCTTATTTATGGGATAGGAACGATAAAGCAGGCATGTTAAGAGATCTAGAGCAAGTAAAGCTTGATAGCGATTTGCAAAAGCTTGTTATTGACGAAGCAACTTTGAAAGATCATAATGACTTACAAGATATATACTCTTTACAAGAAACCCAGATTGCTTCTATACATTTAAAAAATTCCTTAGTTCTCGCCATTCACAATTTAGTGTTAATGACCCCAGACAATGGACTTGATAAAAGTCAAGTTCGCTACCGCTGGACGTATGATTCCTTCCCTTTCACGCAACCATCTTTTCAGTTAGAAATTTTTTGGAAAGGAGCATGGCTAGAAATCCTGGGTTCCGGTGTTGTTCGTGAAAACATTCTAACCCAAGCCGGAATCCAAAATCATGTTGGCTGGGCTTTTGGTATAGGCTTAGAACGTTTGGCAATGATACTTTACAGTATACCTGACATTCGTTTATTTTGGACAACTGATGACCGATTCCATAAACAATTTACTCCAAACGAAATCACTACCTTCCAGCCTTACAGTAAATATCCTTTATGCTATAAAGATATATCTTTTTGGATTGATGAGTCTTTTGCAGCTAATGACTTTTATGAACTCGTTCGAGACGTCTGCAAGGACTTGGTGGAATCTGTTGACTTGATCGATCAGTACACAACGAAAGCAGGAAGAACAAGTCTCTGCTATAGAATTAATTATAGAAGTATGGAAAAATCCCTTAAAAACGAGGATGTTGACTTACTCCAAGTTAACTTACGAAAAGCACTTGCCTCTTCTCTAAACATCCAACTTCGCTGAAAGCGAGACAAAGAAGATCATCATTACTCATATTAATCTTTGTAATAATATATATTTTATTAATTTTTTTTATACATTAACCCCAAAACCTCTAAAAACGAAAGAATGCGTATGCAGTAACGAGCGATCATTAACACAAAAATAAACCGAAGTTTTTAACAAAAACGAATGTAATCATTATACCAACCACATGGTATTAGAAATGAATAGAAAGTAAAAGTTCGCAATTGGCTATTTTACTGCCAGAGTTCACTACTAGAATTTAAGTAGAGTAGCCAACTGAGGAATAGCACCTTTTCCTATTAGATAATGAACAGAATTAGTTGCTTTTCTAGAAACAGCATACTCCAAAGACTGTGCCAAAAAGCCATCAATGCGAAACTTTGACCAACGCATCTGAGCAAGATTAAACCAGAAGCTGTAGACAGTATCTAGAAGCTCCACAGAGTCCTTTATTATACATTGTTCAAATGCGGGCTGAAAAACTGTTTCAACATCGTTTTCTTCTTTACTCACAACTTCTTGATAAACAAGATGACCGATTTGCATGAGCCGATTCGAATCTTTCATCTTTATACTAATTAGAAACCCATTCGTCAACGTAGAAGTTTTCAAAGAAAATCTTCGGGTTTTTAGATCTTCGATAAACCGCCGAGCATTAGGTTGAAACAAAATACGCCGTGGAATATGTCCTTTATGTCCTGGATGGATTACCTTTCCGTTTATGATCTCTTCTTTTTGACTCTTTTTGACATAGCCAGCTGCTACAAGTTCATCTATTCGGTTCAATACTTGCAATGTAAAATACCGGCGAGGTAGAGAGCGTTGAATTGCAAGGATCACGCTTTTGGGATTCATGCATAGAGTAAAGTCAATGTACAAATATGAAGGTATTTTCTCCTTGATTCCAAGTCGGTTCCACAGAACAGGAGACACAGCAGCTAAACTATCATTTTTGGATAGCAGAAAAATTCTCGACAGCAATTCGTAGGGTAAACGCTCGAGCAACGTCAATTTTCTGTCAGTTTTTCTTCCAACAGTAGTTAGCCCTTGTTTTCGTATTTTCTTTTTGGACTCATCATGTTTATTAATGTGTTTACGCTTTTTCTCAATTGGCGACATTGTGGACGTTCACAGAGGAGTGATCAAAGTAGAAGAATGCATTCAAGTACTAAAAAGAATTATATATACTTGGTTTTATACACTTTAAAAAAGAATAAAATTTGCAAAATCCAATTTCATCCCACTAATTTAAATATATCAGTATGCTACTTTACATCCTTCAAACTGTCTATTATCCTTTATCAATGTCCATTGGAATAACAATAAAACACATTTGAGTTAAATTTAATTATTAATCAATTCAAAGAAAATCATATAAATATCGAACATAAAATGAAAAACAAAAATCTTGTAAAACATACACATGCATAAATAGTAAGAAAGAATAAATGTACATTGTTTGGCGTCTTCCTGACCCATGAACGAAACGAATGAGCAAGATGTTACGTTTTCCCCTTTTCCTTCCTTCCTTAAATAAAATCATTTTCTTCTTCCTCGATACTCGTTGTCGTAGGTTTTGTGTTACGGCTTTTAAATCGAAGCATGCTCAACTTTACCCTTTTAATTTTACTTGTGGTAGAGGAGATAGCAATGGAATTGACAAAGGGTAAGTCTTTGCATTCCGAAGAAAACCGCTGTATGGGAGAAGAGGTATATTGTTTACGAAGGGAACCTGCAGGAACTTTTCTTCGTGGAGAAGAAGAAGGAGATGAGGTTGTAACGTTGTTTCCTTTTTTAATGAGCATTGCTGTCGAGTCCACCTCTTCTGACCGTTCTGTATTTAGCGATAAAGTATTATGAAAGGTGGTTAAAGGATTCAAAGAATTTGCAGAGATAGAATTATTCACCGTTTCAGTTTGTAAAGGAGAAACAAAGTTTCCCGACGCACGAGATAAGGGTGCCGTGAAGGGTTTAGAAGTTGTTTTTTGACTAGTTGGTAATGCTGATGAAACAAAGCCTTTTTGCGAGGTCTCTACCTTTCCCTTGTCTTTTGCATTATGAAACTGTTTCGAGTATTTTCCGTAAACGAAAAGTCCGGTTCGAAGAGAAGGTCCCGAAGGTTTAGTCAAGGCGGAATGTAAATGAGAGACTGGTTTCATCGTGGAAGAGTCAGGCTTTGGTACAGAACAGGGGGAACTAAACTGATTCCTCGTATTAGAATCTGTAACAGCATTCGGGAGGCTTGGCTTTGAAACAAAACTAGGTGGTCGGAAAGTTGCTGGCTTGAATATTTTATTATTTGGCAAAGTAATAGGAGCAGCTGTTTCGGGATTTTTTGAGTTTGTCCTTTCCGTATGTGAGTCTTCTTCGTTATCACTTTCCAAAAACTCTGGTGAGTTAGGTATTTCAGGATCCGTACTTTCAGGTAAATTTGGTTGAGCAGCTAACATCGATGTACTACGCATAGCTCGTTCATAAAGATTTTTGGAAGGATCCGACACCGTAACGTTACTAAAATTGTTTCGCTTTCCGACTGGTTTTCGTAAGCGCGGCATAGGCAACCGAGGTACAGGATTCCTCTTTACCGATGCGGCATGAGTTTCATTTCTATTTATGAAGGAATTTTCCAGAGAAGGAAAGGAAAGAGACTTTTCAAAGGACGGAGATGTATCAGTCTTCCCATCACACGGAGGTAGCGTTGGTCCCGAGGCTGATCCTGAACTGGTCAGCATTGGTTCCGACAAAGATGAAGAAAAAAGAGGATTGGAATTTCCCAACGGGTGGCCAGCATCCATTGGTTCATTAAGAAACGGGGGAGTAGACTCGTAATCTGGGGAAGGAGAAGAAAAAAAATCAGAGTCAATATTATCTTCGTCAAAATTTTCTAAGGGGTCATCTTGAAGAACATTGGAGGGAGACCTTGGTCTTCGAAGAACGGGAATACACGCAATCCTAGTTGGTTTCGAAACTTGATGTTTCAAAGAATCAAGGGGAACCGTAGTAGTTGTCAAATTATTTTTGAATGGCGGTTTGAATGATGTAGAGTTATGAGATGGTTTCGGCAGTGAAGAGTAAGTTTTCTCAGAAGAAATAGGTGCAGAAGTAGAAGACATTGGAGGCACGAAGTTTTTTTTTGCGGCCGTCGACACACCATTTTCCGCACTTTTATTACCATGCAAAAAAGGTTTCGAGGATGAAAATGAACGATGGGGAGAATTATGTTCTTGAAAAGATGGAAATTCTTCTTGAAGCAACGAAGATTGCCCTGCTTCATTCGTGGACTTGACAACGGAAGGCTGTTGGTAAGGAGGATTGAAGGAAGAAGATCGGGAAGGACCATGAAATGGCTTTGTCAAATACAAAGGACGAGCGGAAATATCTTTGTAAGCGGTGGCTGATTTGGATGGAAGCGGAGGAATTTCCTTCGATGTCGTTGCTTGCAAGTCCTCGACATAAATTAGTGTACGATTCAATTCTAGATGAGCATCGATTTGTATTTTTTGGTTGAATATAAAAGACTCGTCTATGACACGGTTTTGAGAATCGTATAAAATCCCATGATTGTTGAATGTATGAAACCGCATAGTTCCATCTTTCCATACTTTGGATTTCTTTACCTTGTCGGATGTCCATAATACTTGGTAATGCAAAACATTTGCAACAGTGGCCATAGAACCATGAATCTTTTTTCTTCGCCCGCCACGTAACAAGAAAATCACTTACTTTTAAATTCGTTCATGAACTCGGAAAAAAGTCTTAGTGACAAGCGCAAAATACCCTTTTTAGAATACTGAGATATAGAAAAAGCTAGTACTTAACAAAAGTAATTATTTAGAGGAATTTCACAGATTTGCTGAACTGGTAGTAGTGAAGACTAAAATGGCTGGTATGTGTCTAAAGCTAAATCTCTTGAAATCCATTATTTAAGAGTTCTATACAAATAATTTTAATGATTTCCTCTATTTACGTTTCAATTTAAATTTCAATACGTGTTTGTTTTCATTTTCGCGATTTTCTCGTTTTGTTTACATGAGGTGTGTAATATTTGATTTGGTTTGTTTCGTCTCATAACAACTTTCATAGTCAAATGCAGATAGAGTATGCTTAGAGCGTGTACGGTCTCATATAGTTAATGAAAAGGCTGCAAAACCAGAAAATGAGACAGTAGCTTTTTCAACCTTCATAGATCACAAAACCTTTGAATACATATTCTTCTTGATTTATGTACTTCTTTTAGATATTTCTACAGAACAATATGCAAACATCAGTGAATGTGTTCGTCTTTTCCTGAGTGTTTTATTTTCCTCTCAAAGCAAAATTTGGGAGCGGTTTTACTTCAAGAATCGTTGTCATTTCGTAAATATGCAATCAATTATAAAGCTATGACAGTCAGTCTCTCCAAGTTTTGCCTCTTCTACTGTTATTTCATTCATACCTCTTACATCCATCATCTACCTCATAACGCCAACTACTGTGACTACGTGAGACGAATCATCGTTGGAAACGGAAATTTTACAACCCAGTTAGTTATAATTTTGGAACGTTTTATATAAACATCTTCTCTTCTTACAAGAAGAAATTTGGTAAACAGTAAAGATGGAGCATTACGTTACCATTGCATCCTGGTATGCAGAAGAGCTTGGAGAAGAAGCATAGGAGCTTCTTTACTCATTTTTTAAAGGATTAGAATTCTCACCATTCATTAGTCAACTGAATCAATGGGCCCTTGATTTTGAAGGGAACCGTGACAGAATCATTGAATCTATCAAACAAGCAAAGGAACAAAAGGCTCGTCTTCGTCTTGGTCCCGAATTGGAAATCACGTATGTCTTATGGGTCAAATGATGACTTGGTATTAAAATGCAACAATGTTCTTGTGAACTAACATGCTGCAGTGGTTATGGCTGTGAAGATCATTTTCTTGAATCCGATACTTATACCCATTCATGGGAAATGCTCTGCTGGATTATAAAACATCCTGATTGTCAAAATATCTTATTAGATATTGGAATGCCTGTCATGCACAAGTCAGTACGCCATAATTGTCGTATCCTAGCTTTGGATGGGAAAATTATATTAATTCGGCCTAAATTATGGCTTTGCGATGACGGAAACTTTCGTGAATCTCGCTGGTTTACTCCATGGTTACGTCCTCGTGTTGTAGAAACATACTATTTACCCACCTTCGTTGGCGATTCACTCAGTCAAACCCAAGTTCCTATCGGTGACGCTATCCTTCAATGTAAAGATACCGTTGTAGGTATTGAGACTTGCGAGGAACTCTTTACTCCCAGTAGTCCTCATGTGGATATGGCTTTGGACGGTGTGGAAATATTTTTGAACGCTTCTGGATCCCATCATGAGCTTCGAAAGCTATCTACACGTTATGGACTTATTCAAAATTCTACACAAAAGTGCGGTGGTATTTATTTGTATAGCAACCAAAGAGGTTGTGATGGTGGTCGTTTATACTACGACGGTTGCGCTATGATCCTTTCAAACGGAGCACTACTAGCTCAAGGTAGTCAGTTTTGTTTGAGAGATGTAGAAGTTATCTCAGCTACTGTTGACGTTGATACGGTTCGTTCAAGCAGATTTCAACCCTCACATGGATTACAAGGTGTTACTCGTCCTTCCTATGAGCGCATCTATCTTGATTTTAGTCTTAGCTCATTCAAACAGAACTTTGATATGCATAACAAGCCTACTGATGGACAACCTATTCGCTTAGTGTCACCCCAGGAAGAGATTGCATATGGCCCAGCATGTTGGCTTTGGGATTATTTGAGAAGATCTCGCTCAGGTGGATTCTTTTTGCCCTTAAGTGGTGGTTTAGATTCAGCTTCTAGTGCTGTGATTGTCCATAGCATGTGCAGAATCGTAACTAGTGCTATCAAAGATAACGGTAAGCTTTGGAATGCATCACAATTGGTTCTAACAATTTTCAGATCAAACAGTTTTAGCCGATGTTCGTCGTATAGTTGGTGATCCTAATTATTCCTCAACTTGCCCCAAGGAGCTTGCTAGTCATATATTTTACACAAGCTTCATGGGTTCTGAAAATTCCTCTAAAGAAACAAGAGGTCGTGCTAAGGAACTTGCTTCTCGTATAGGGTCTTATCATGTGGATATGAGTATTGATACAATGACTCGTGCGATTGTAAGCTTATTCGCCATGGTAACAGGAAAAACTCCTCAATTCCGTTCCCGGGGTGGCTCTCAGGCTGAGAATTTGGCTTTACAAAATATTCAAGCAAGATCAAGGATGCTTTTAGCCTATTTGTTTGCCCAGTTACTACCTTGGGTTCGTGGTTATTCAGGATCTTTGCTTGTGTTAGGTAGTTCTAACGTTGACGAGAGGTATGAAAAATTTTTAATGATAATTTATTTTTACTAACATTTTAGTTTGCGCGGATATATGACCAAGTACGATTGTTCAAGTGCTGATGTCAACCCCATCGGCGGAGTATCAAAAACCGATTTGAAATCATTCTTGGAATATACAAAGGATGCATTCGATATGCCAATCCTCCAAGATTTCTTGGATGCTACTCCAACTGCTGAATTAGAGCCCACTACTGAAAATTATGTTCAAAGTGATGAAGTTGATATGGGAATGACTTACCCAGAACTTAGCATGTTTGGAAGACTCAGAAAGATTGCAAAGTGTGGTCCCTTCAGCATGTTTAACGAATTGATTCATAAATGGGGTGATCACCTTTCTCCCACTGAGGTTTGTAACTTTGTATGTATGTTTTCTTACTAATGGCTTTTTAGATTGCTTCTAAAGTGAAACGCTTCTTTTATTACTATGGAATTAACCGTCATAAAGTGACAACCCTCACGCCTAGCTACCATGCTGAAACTTACGGGGTTGATGATAATCGTTATGATCTAAGACAGTTCTTATATCCTTCTTGGACATGGCAAAACAAAAGGATTGATGAAGTTGCTGCTAAATATGAAGAACATGAGAGAAGGAATAAAGATCAGTAAATGAATCAATCTATGTCGTGATTAAATTTTGACTTTATTATAAATAAATCCATTACCTTTTTTATTTTCTATTAAGAATGTTAATATCTAGCGGCATTTTTGAACTTGCAGCTCAGTAAATCTACATTTTTTGAAGTAGCCTTTTGCACCAGCAACTACTAAGTGTGTTCAGTTGACGAACCTTTCGTTGATGAAAACTTGAAATCTGATATTCCTTTCATGAATTGTTTGATTTCTTTTAAAAATACAAGGTCATGTTTCGTTAATATACCAGATTCCTTGCTATTACAATTGGATGGGCCTATACAAGAGTATGCAGCTTGCTTGCAGATTTCAACGATTGAAAAAGAAAGAAATCCGATAAGTTATTTTTTGGGTATCTCTGGTTTGCCTTCTTCCTTTTCAACACATGACACTATTGAAATTGATCCTATATATGCTCATACTCTAGGATTATCTGAGTCTGAAAGGGTATACACTAAAGATTAAGCATTGATTATCTAACAATAGTAAAGGTTTATTTATACTTGATTAAGGTTGAAAGTATAATTGAAAGACTCGAAATAAGACCCGTTTCTCCTGACGATTGGGAAATCGCAGAACAAAATGCGAATTGGTTAGAAACAAATTTCTTTAATAGCTACCGCATTATAAGTAGAGAAAATTTCCCCATTTTTCTACCTTCAGGGACTGCAATTACATTCCAAATGGTGAATGCTGAACCCAACTTTCATGACTGTGGACGTTTGAATCCCTCATCCGAAGTTCTGGTATCTCCAATACTTAGAGAGAAAGTAAGTGAGAGCAATTCGGGAGTTACTTTACGGTGTGTAATTGAAAACGATCTTTTACCGAGGGATGCTATCATCAATCATCCTGAACTGTGTGTATACATTCCTCAAGTGTTTGGAAGTTTAGTAGATTCTGTCTTTATAGAGCCACTAGAAGCTTCTTTTTCTTCTCCTTTAGTGGTCCGTGCTATCCAACTCCCTTTTCAATGGTTGGGACAATTTTTCGTGTCGGGAAGTTTAGCTTCGTCTTATAGTTTTGTCACCGGCGATTTTTTTAAAATCTGGCCTGCTGATGTTGGGACGATGTCATCAAAATTTATTTTACGCCCATTGAATCAAGAGAGTATGGAGGAATTTGTTACTAATTCAGTTGTTTCGAGGATCAAATTTTCGTATTTAATCAACGGAATGGAACTACAAATTCCTGATTTAAATGCTGTGTACTCGGTGGAAGGCCGCACAGGTTACGTAGAAAATGAGGAAAGTATTACCGTGGACTCCAGTCTTTTGTCCTTTAATGATAAAAAACGAATTGTCCATAATAAAACAAGAATAACACCAAACCCTTTCCAAGGATTGATGGATAGCATTCTAACTTCGGCGAATTTTGGATATAATGTTTTGGTGAATGGTATTAAGGGGTCAGGTAAAACTACTTTACTGAAGTCTTTACTTCAAAGTTGCTGCTTTTCTACGGTGTTTCACACTGAATTTGTTTCTTGTACGGACTTAAACTTGTCTTCGTTTAGCAAGTTTGAAGGGTTTTGGGATCAACTGATACTTAGATCTTTGAAATATAGTCCGACCATCCTGTTTTTGGATGATTTTGATAGTCTTTTGGTTTCCGAAAATGAAAGTGATGAATTGACTTTTGTTTCAGAAAGGCAAGCTCAATACTTAGTTGAAAGGTTATCATATCTAAAGTCTATAGAAAACATTTCAATTGTTGCGACTGTTAAGGATCTTACTAAATATCCTACTGATTTGAAATCACGCTTTTTTTTTCAACAACGTATCTCAATCCCAGCGATGACATATAATGGTCGTGAAGAGATGCTGAACTTCTTTTTCAAAGAACTGAATCAGATTCTTCCAAAGGAGTGTTTGCAAATCTTGTCAAAAAAGACTGATGGTTTTACACTGTTGGATTTGTCGTTAGTAACGAAGCGTGTATATAGTGAATTAACTTTGCTAGATTCACTAGAGAATTTTGGTCGAGTTAATGAATCTATAAATACTATCCTAAAGGGCTATGTCCCTCTAAACTCAAGAAAAACAAAGTTTGTCAAGTACGACATTGATTGGAATAGTATCACGGGAATGCGGGATGCTAAATCGGTCTTGCATGACATTATAGAATCCCCAGTCAAATATCATGCTATCTATAAGCAATGCTCTCTACGGCTTCCTACTGGAGTATTATTGTATGGGTACTCAGGCTGTGGTAAAACACATTTGGCGTCTTCTATTTCAAATGCTTTTCCAGTGCAGTTAATCAGCATCAAAGGACCGGAAATATTGGACAAGTATATTGGAAGTTCCGAACAAGCAATTAGAAATTTGTTTGAAAGGGCGCAATTGGCCAAACCTTGCGTATTGTTTTTTGACGAATTTGATTCAATTGCTCCACGAAGAGGCCAAGATACTACAGGGGTTACGGATCGAGTGGTAAATCAACTTCTTACTCAATTAGATGGTGCTGAACAATATGAGGGTGTTTACGTTGTTGCAGCAACAACTCGGCCTGACATGATCGATCCTGCATTGTTACGTCCGGGCCGGTTGGATAAGTTGGTATTATGCGATCTTCCAAGCAAAAAGGAAAGAAAAGATTTTTTTCTTAAAATCTTGGACAAATATCAGGTTGCTGATAAGTCGGTCGTGGGTGACCTAGTACCCAAAACAGAGGGTTATTCTTATGCAGATCTATCATCTATATTCACGGAGGCTCATCTGATTGCTGTACACCAACATTTAGAAAAAGAAAATTCATTTCCCCGAAATGAGAAATTAAGGTCTTTGACAAATTTGTCAACAGAGGTCACGGCAGACAAGACGACCTTAGCCTCGAGGGACACAGAGCTTACTTACGGCTTAAGGAAGCTCGAGATTAGTAAAGAAAATATTTTAAATGCGTTACGGAAAACCAACTCGAGTGTTTCTGGGGAGGAGTACAGCATGTTGTCATCAATTTACAAACATTACGCACACTCAAGTTTAACAAATCAAAAAGAAGAAATTAAAGGAAAATCTGGATATAAAACACGGCAAGCATAATATCTTAGCTTTCTCACTGATGGATTCTTCTCAAAAAAATGGGCCTCACCCTTCCTTTCGCTGATTCACTTGACATACCTAAGTGCAACGTTTGGTGGAATCGCTTGAATCCATAAAATGAAAGATGATCGAGTATCAGAGAATGCAATTCAAAGGGATGCTCCTCCATTAAAGAAAATAAAAAGTAAGTTTTTTTCCTATGCCTGGGAAATTGTCTAACTGTCTAAATTAGAACAAAATCAGTTTTCATCATTATTGGAAAATATTCCTAACGCTGCAAGATATCGTCGTTCCTTTATGCACAAAGACACGTTACATTCATGTTATTCTACGAAAAGCAACCTCATTTTAACGATTAGTTATGATGGACATGTCAAGTTTTGGCATAAGACAACGGATGGGATAGAATATATTAAAGATTTTCCCACACACAATGGGAAAATCATCTCTACTTATTTAAGTAAGGATGAAAGAATCCTTGCTACTTGTGCTGATGATAATACTGTAAAGGTATTTGACATTGACAGCATTGATATGGTAAACATTATTGATTTAGATTTTGTACCAAATGATTTGGTTGCGTTTAGTACACCGTCTATGAAGGAAGAGATGCTGGCTGTTTCTGACGCCAATACACCGTTAGTGTATTTCTTTGATTTAGAAGGGGACGGTAACGTTCTGTATAGTGTAAAAAAACATTCGTTCCCGGTACATGTATTGGAATACATAAACAGCTTAAACTGTATGTTGTCTGTTGATAAAGGTGGCATGGTGGAATACTGGTGTCCAGAGGAGCCATTCCAAAAACCGAATGGACAGGGAATATTTGAGCTAAAGAGTCAAACGGATTTGTATATTTTTAAGAAAACAAAAAGCATTCCATCATCTATCCAGATCAGTCCTTCGGAAAAGATTTTTTCTTCAATTTCGTATCCGGATTGGAAGGTCCGAGTATTCGATGTAAAGAGCGGGCGAATCTTGCTAGAATTTGATGAGCATCCTTTAAATGCGGCGAAGGAAATGGAGCAGGCGTTAGAAAAGGAAGATGTGAACTCTTTGTATTTTATGAACCAGGTGGAGTTTGGAAGAAGATTGGCTATAGAAAGAGACATAGAGCGATCTGGGTGGATGGCTGATACCATTGCTATATTTGATGAAAGTGAAAATTATATTATTTATGGAAGTATCCTTGGAGTGAAGATTCAGTCGATTTCGGATGGATCGCTGGTACGAGTACTTGGTCGAGACGAAAGCATCCGTTTTGTGAAAGTGTCGCTATATCAGGGTGCGCCCAAGAAAGGAAAAATGGCGTCTTTGGAAATTATGGCCAGCAATAATCCCTTGGTTGAAGAAAGCTTTCGCAAGGATCCAACTTTATTCTGTACTGCATGGAAAAAGCAGCGCTTTTATTTATTTGGATCTGCTGATGAGAATATTACTTTGACTGATCGAGATACACTAAATGAGCATACAGTTGGACTCACGAAGGAATCAAACAAACCTGAAGAAAGGACTGCTTTGTTAGGGAAAGCTGCTGTACTGCACACTACCCAAGGAGACATCAGCATCAAGCTTTTACCTGAAGAAGCACCTAAGGCTGTTCAAAACTTTACCACTCATGCAGTCAATGGATATTATGATAACACAATCTTTCATCGTATTATAAAAAATTTTATGATTCAAGGAGGGGATCCATTGGGTGATGGCACTGGAGGAGAATCTATCTGGGGCAAGGATTTTGAGGACGAGTTTTCCCCAAACTTAAAGCATGATCGTCCTTTTACCGTCTCAATGGCGAATTCAGGGCCCAATACAAATGGCTCTCAATTCTTCATTACGACTGACTTGACTCCCTGGTTGGATGGAAAGCATACGATTTTTGGTCGTGCTTATGCTGGATTAGATGTTGTTCATCGTATTGAGCAAAGTGAAACGGACAAATATGATCGTCCTCTTGAGTCCACAAAAATAATTAACATTTCCATCTTGTATAATTAATATGAATAATCAACTAGAAAATTTGGGGAATATCACGACAAAAGTGTTTTATTTGAGACCAGTTTTGCTGTCCGTATGATTCATTATTCATAAAGTAATATTATTTTTGGATTTTTTAATAATATAAATACACTTTTTCAATATAAGAATTCCACTCCTTTTATGCAAACTTAGGTTGTATAGTGTTTCCGTAAAACCTTAGCTACCGAACAACGCTGTACTTTCAGGGAAGGCAACTCTCTACACTCACCCTTCCATAGAAAAGTTTTAGTTTTATCCATTCTTGAGTCTTATTCTTCTGATGCATAATGCTACATTGTAATATTGTAACATTGTATATAAAGGCTCAGTGCATAACGTTTATTTACATTGTTACCTCCTGTGTTATTTATGTATCGCAAAAATATTGCTATACTAAAGTTGCACGGGATGTTATCCCGTTTTACTATTATGTTGATGAAAGTGGAATACAACTGTTCATTGCCCAAACGTTGGCAGTTTGAGTTGGGCTCAAAAGTACTGAATGCAACTATTTACTTGGTAATATCCTATACCTGGTTGACTAAGTACATCGTCTTCAGTAAAAAAGTCAATTAGTTCGAGCGGTCGAATCTTCCAATCCGAAGATCCTGACTGTAGACTGATGAGTATATGTAGCTTTGCTAATCAAATCAATCAGTAAACCTTGTCAATTGGTAACGCATCGCATACGTGCTTCCGTTTTAATTGTTTGTTTACTTCGTATTATGCGACGACTCCTTGAGCTTATGAATATTAACTAATATTCCATTTTTACAATTTATTGTTATATAATGAATGCTAACGAGGTATCCAATTATGACAATTGTGACAGATACTGACATTTTGACATCACCCTGCTTCCTTTTCGAATTTCAAGCAAATGAATTAACTGAACTGCAATTGGCATACAAAACTTCTACCAACACACTCTTTTTTTATGAACATCTTTTAAGAGGCATTGTTAGTTTTCTGTGCATGCCCTTTTTTTCGTTGTTTTTTATTTTTACAAGTTTACAAAAGTCGTTGATTTTGTTACAATTGTGGTAATTTGTGCATAGCTAATCTTCATTTTCAAAGATTAAATCATGAAGAATAATTACGCTCCTATTACTGAAAAAGATGAAGCACATAATTCTATGATTGACGATGTGTCGAGCAGACGTCTTTTTTGTGAGAACAGCATATCGCCGCAGTTGCCGCCTCCATATTCAAGTAAGTGCTTATTGTAATAGCTGCGATAAAGTTTGTTTACTAAGCTAATGGATGATTGTTGACAAACTAATTCTTCCTGTCTGTCAAATGTAAACAATCAAATGGGCACATATGGATCCCTCTCTGGACCATACATTGATGTCTATTTAAAGAACATTTTCTAATTAATATGTAGATTCGACGAAATCTATTGATTTGGAAATGGCAGAACCTGCAGTTGAAAACCTTTCTCCATCGCATTCACCGTTACCATCATCGATTGAAAAAAAAAACTTTTTATTATCTTTTTTATAGCCATCCATGTTTATATTATTTGTTTATTCTATCAAGGATTAATGAAGAATCGGATAGTTTTCTGGACTGTAATTAATTTTTGGGTTATACTTTTCTTAGGAGTACTATACAGTAAGGATTGATATTGTTTACAAATTGACTGACAAATGTTTTAGCGACATACGAATCTTGGACGGAAGGTGCTTGTGCGACTGCTCATGGAATCAAGATTGGTTCTTGTGCAATGCAAAATTTCTTCAAAAAATGGTTTCAAGCCATGCTTCTGGCCTTTGCCAAAATAGCCATTCTCGATATTTTTATTTTAAGTGCAGCTTTTTCCGTGGTAAAGACGACAGAAATATTTGAGGGTTGTGATCCAAAGTTTTTTTGGATACTCTTCGGCCTACACAACTCGAGTATCTTCTTAATTGAAACAAGTAAGGTGATTACTAAAATACGATTGTACTAACTTTTAGTTTATCCAAATTACTTCAGAATTCTAACGCTTAACGTAATAAAATCACTGATTGGTACGTGAACTATTGATGAATTATGTTTATGAAACCGTTCTTGTTTATTAACTGAGCCAGAACTACACGAAGGAGAGAATTATTGGCGTCCAAGAAGAGAGGCTTATGAAATGAATGAGCAACCCTGATGAAGCTTTACCACTTTCTCTCGTTTATAGATGAATAATTCTAATGTTAATAATTTTTTAGGTTTTGAGACGGTTCTGTGCAGCCGAACCTTTCTCGAAAAGAGACCAAGCATTATAGTAAAAGTTAATATAGGATGCAATCTACATTGCTTTGTTTAACGTTTATGAAATTAGGTGCTGCTAATGAATTCTTGCTTTTACTTTTTTTGGATTATGAAACTCGTACATTGTTGCCTGTCATCAATATTACGTACTGCTTGATGGAAAAGTTATCTTATCTGATCCCGATCACTGCTTTTTTTGACCGTTTCTACTTTATGCTAATTAAAGTGATGAAATAGCAGAATTCCACATGAAGACAAGTACGCAATTAACTAATTCCCCTTTTTTAATAGAAAGATCGGATAGTTCGGTCCCTTGATAATTAGAGTAAGGATTGATCAGACAAGTGAAGTGAGAAACTTTTTCCCCTAAATAAGTCTTCTCTTCAATGGTCTTTCACAAGTACAACACAGTCCATTTAACGTACACAACCCTACAATTGTAATTATTACTTCCACTCAATAAATATTCTTATAAACCGTGAGACTTATTAACGTAAAAATATGCTCTTATGAAAGTGTATGGTAATATTTATTACACCAGCAAGACACCTATCGTGACATGACATATGTATTATGTTTAATTCCACCCTGTGTGGCCATGTAACTACTGGTACGAAGTTGGAGCGACACTTGGATATGAGGTAACACCCTGTTGAAAGCAAAGTTTACTTTACAATGGATATCTAATATTATTTAAAAAGGAATAAATGACTGGATTATAATATAAGCCTCGATTGCTTATCTATTGCGTTGTTTTTAAAGGATCAAAGGGCAGTTCTAACTTCATCAGAACAAATCACAACAAAACTAACACTTTCTCGGATCAACGACATGTCGTAGTTATGGATGTTACGCCTTATAAACTTCCTACAGATTCCGCAGTCCGTCCTGGTTACGGCAAACTAGGCAGGCCAGTAAATCTGAAAGCAAACTTTTACAAGATCACTGTGCTTCCGAGACACACAATTAACCAATATCATGTAAGAAATAGAGTCTAAAACGTTTATGTTGGAAGGAAAGGTTGGTATACATAACAAAAGTGGATGCAATTCTGATCCCGTCAACATTGGCACTAATTGATTTTTTTCTTTTCATCGGTTATGTGAACAGGTGATGCGATTTCTTTCTCTATAGTAGGAAACGAGCTATAGGAATGTACCCACACCTTCCCTCTTTCGGCCTCTGGGAATTTGTGGAATCTTTCCCATGCTTCCTTATCACTTGTTTAGTTCTTCTTTGATGATTCAACCTACTCCTTCCTATATTATTTCTTTTTTTTTTGTTTTTTTAACAAAGTTTAGGTTATCATCGGTGATGGGTCTCGTCTGCCTCGTAAATTAGTAGAAAAGATTTGGAATTCAAAGGAACTAAAGGATAAGCTTGGCTCTTCATGGCGTTCCTGTGTGTATGACGGAAAAAGTTTACTCTGGACGAAGGATAATATCCCTGATTTCTTCATCAAAGTGAACATCGGGAATCTGAAACGTGAACAGTTCACTGAATTTGGCATTCAAAAGACGACAACGATTAACTTGCAGACTCTGACGGAATTTGTCAATAGCAAATATGCTTTGGATCCTCATATACTAAACGGAATTATGTTTCTTGATTTGCTGTTGAAAAAGCAACCCTCAGAGACCTTATACGGATTTATGCGGTCCTTTTTTACTGGTGAGAATACTTTTTTATTAGGAAACGGAGTTGAAGCCTGGAAAGGGTTTTACCAAACCATTCGGCCTACTCAAGGCTGTATGAGTGTCAACGTTGACATATCTTCTAGTGCATTTTGGAGAGATGGTTCTTTTCTTTCCTTGTTATTAGAATACACAAATTCTAAAGATGTTCGAAATTTGACTCGCGTCGATTTCAACACTTTATCACGAAAATTTCGTTTGCTGAAAGTTACCTGTAAGCATCGAAATAATCAGGAAAGGCAATTGTCCAAAAAAGTATATTCTATCCAAGGATTTTCTTCTAAGAGTGCTTCTGCTTCAACTTTTGTCCGTAAAAAGGATGACAAATCAGAAACCATTTCTGTTTACAGGTACTTCCATGAGCATCACAATGTTCGGTTACAATATCCTGACCTGCCTTGTGTTGTCGTGAAGAATGGTGCAATGCTGCCAATCGAATTATGCTATGTAGAAAAAGGTCAACGGTATACTGCCAAATTAAATGCAGACCAAACTGCAAAAATGATACGCTTCGCTGCACAACGTCCACTCGAACGCGTACAGCAGACTGAGGGATTCGTTCGTCAATCGGCATGGGATAAGGATCCTTATTTGGCAGAGTATGGCATGAAAATTGCTTCTTCCATGATGGACGTTTCAGGTCGTATCTTGAACACCCCTTCCATCTGTTATGGGGGTAATTCAATTGAACGACCTACAGGTGGTAGCTGGAATTTACGTGGTAAACGTTTCTTTCAGCCTGCTCGTACACCCGTTAAGTCTTGGGCAGTCATGTGTTTTACCTCGACTCGAAAATTACCTACTGTAGTAATTGAAAATTTTTTAAATACTTATGTGCAAACCTTGACTGGGCTGGGTATTCAGTTCTCTCAAAAGAAGCCACCGATTATGTATGCCGACGTACAGGCAAACATTGAAGACTCCTTGAAAAATAATTATCGAAAGGCTGAGCAAGTCAGCAAGTGCCCTCCTGATTATTTATTTTTTATCGTTGATAAAAACGCTCCGGAACCATATGGGTCTATAACGCGCATCTGTAACACTATGTTGGGTATACCATCTCAGTGCGCTTTGAGTCAGCACATCCAGCAGGCAAAGCCGCAATATTGTGCTAATCTTGGAATGAAAGTTAATGTTAAACTTGGAGGAGTGAACACGATTCTACAGGCAAAATCGAATCCGCTTGGGAATATTCCAACCCTGATCATCGGTGCGGATGTCTATCATCCTGGCGTTGGATCATCAGGAGTATCTATCGCTTCTTTAGTTGGATCTCTAAACCTTGAAGGGAGTAAGTATACAGCAATTTCACGTTCTATTCCTCGACATCAAGAAGTCATTGATGATATGAAAGATGTTGTAGTCCATCTCTTGCAAGGGTTTAAAGCTACGACAGGTAAAATACCGCAACGGATCATTTATTTTCGTGATGGTACCTCCGAGGGCCAGTTTAAGTTTGTTGTTGAGCAAGAGCTTGCTGAACTTAAAGCAGCTTGTCAAAAGCTTTCGCCGAAGTACGATCCAAAGGTTACTGTTTGCACTACTCAAAAGAGACACCATGCTCGATTTTTTATAAAAAATAAGCAGGATGGTGATATAAATGGAAATCCTCTTCCGGGGACAATTATTGAGAAGAATGTTACGCATCCTTTCGAATATGATTTTTATTTAATTTCACATCCAACGCTTCAGGGCGTTTCTGCCCCCGTTCATTACACGGTTCTCCATGACGAAATCAACATGCCACCTGATCAATTCCAAGCGCTGTGTTATAATTTGTGTTATGTGTATGCTAGGTCCACAACTTCTGTGTCCTTGGTTCCTCCGGTGTACTATGCCCATCTGGTAAGTAATTTGGCTAAGTACCAAGATTCGACGTATGATGATACGGCTAGTGTTGTTTCAGAAGAAATTGCTGGTGAAGCTGTAAACCCATTACTTGAGGTTTCTGGCAAGCTGAAAACGAAGATGTGGTTTATGTAATTTCTATATAATTTCTGGTCTCTCACAACTATTATACAATTTATTGAACAACTAGTAAAGAATAGGTGGTATTGGAAACCCTTTGTTTTGACCTAGCATAGTGATCACCAATTTAATACTTATTCAAATCAAAGATGAGCTACCGGTACCTCTCTTGAGCAGAATCTTTATACGGTTGGGTTGATTCAGGTACCTTTACTGAATACTTACATTACAGTTCGAATCTGAATAATCGCAGACATATGATTGATGATCATTTGGCAAAGTATTACAGAATCAAGGGACAGCCAATGTTGAAAAGCAATCGCATACTTGATATTGATTACATTCATAGCACAACATTAATATATATATAAAAAAAAGAAAAAAGAAAGAGGTAAAAAGAAAATGAAAAAGAAAAAAAAATAATGTTGCAATTTTCATCATATTCTCTATTTTTTTAACCAAGAATTTAAAACTTCGAAAATGCTGAGAAATCAGCTTTGAGAATGTTTACTGATTCAGTAACCAAAACTTTTCATTAAGTACGAAGTTAAACTAGGCATTATTAAATTTGACTGATTCAATACCTAAAAGCGAAGTAAATCCGATTTATGAATTTGTAAGATATAAATTTCCCTCGAGTGCAAATTCATATTTCACGAATAAGTATCTAATCAATCAACGTTTTTGAAGCGAGTTTCATTTTTTTTACTTGCACTAAAATTTTTATATAAAAGTTGAAACTTTGACGCGTAAAATTGCATCAGCAGTTTAACAGATATTTTTTATGTTTACAAACCCATTACCGATCACGTCCAATTCGCTTCATGATGGCCGAGTTAACCAAAATACAAAGGCGGCATCCCTCGTCGTACATCATTTCCATTCCATCTTTAGCAGTCATTCCGTGATTCATTCGTCCAACGATATCAGAGATTTCAGCAGAGAAAAGATTGCAACTAGTACGTTAGTAAATGTAAAAAACCGAAATACAGTCGCTTTATTCAAACATACGTTTTAATCCATTTCACACGAACGCCTCCGGCGTATGTAGCATTATCTGCCCAAAAAGGGAGTTCTGCACTGTTCAAATCACTCACGACTTGAGCATAACCAAGAGCATTATTTGTCGGCTTTGCAATAAAAATAAAATAGATACTAGCCTTCTGTTATAATGTTAGTAAAATAAGCAGCGTCAAATAATATATGTCAGTATTACCTTATATGCATCAGATACACGAGAAGCTGCTTCGTGCTTTACAGCCCAAATAGAGGTTTTCTTTGCATGGGCAATCGCTGTTTCGTTGTCACAAAGCATAATAAAATAACGAGAGCCTAAATGGTTAATAAATATGATCGAACCAATCAACTTTTACATACGATGTGAAATTCCACTTTCGTCAAGAATCACACGAGGGTTAATCATAGATATCCGTTCGCCTTTGTCATTTCTATATTCACTTGCTCTCGCAAAATTTAGCGGAGGGGGAGTGGGAGCACGCGGCTTAGGTTTTTCCTTTCTGGGAGGAGGTGCTGAATAAGGCTCAGCGTTCACTGAGTAATGAGGGTGATCCGCATAAGGAACATCTGCAACAGAACGATGGGCATAAGGGTCAATAAGGCTAGGAGAATGAGAAGCACGAACATCACTAGCCATCAAGGGATATCTACTAGTGGTACCACGCAAATCATCAGCACCAAGCTGAGAGGAAGCTTTCGCACCATACGGAGGATAGCCAACAGGATACATGGGAGCTGATAATGGAGGACGATCGCCAGCCATTGCATATGGTGATTTTGAGTAGGGATCATCCTCAGTAAAACGAGGACCATATGGGTCAACGATTCTCCTTGGTGGAGGACTCAATGTTCTTCGCTTTGAAGGAGGTTGCAATTCAAAACGAGCGCGATCATAATACGCGGCAGGTGCATCAGATTGGGCTGGATAGTATTTGGATTGCAGCGTAGCTGACTCGGGAGGATATGGTGGGAAAACAGGAGACTCAGGAGGAACAGCAGAAGGCGGTCCATACATTAACGATTCACGACGAACAGAGCGAAAGTAAGGCCACTCATAAGAATGGCCATAATCAGTACAATGGCGAGTAAAATCATATTTCACTGGCTTCGCTAAGCGTGGATCATCAATCATAATTCTTCTTCCAATGGGGGCCTCACGAGAATCGGGAGCCGGTCTTTTTAAAGGAGAAGTAAAACTATTCGCAGTAGGATTTGAAAGTACATGGACGGGTTCCGCTGGTCTGCTTGACCAGACACTTCTAGAGTCATTAGATTCGTTTGACGGTTGAGAAGCTAAACAAAAATTAGTCCATGTGTTCAAGCAAGCAAAACGCATATTTCAATCACATTGCTTTGACTATTCAACAAGCGGAAGTTCTTCCACTTTATGTAATTAATAACTTACGCCATAAGCTTCGCAAAACCTCCAAGTTTGGGAGTTCAGGTAATTGTTTAGAAGACTGAGAATTAAAGTTTGTGTTTGACATTCTCCAAGAATTCGTACAATGTAATTTTCAAGCTTTCAAATTAAATGGAAGTTTTGATTAATTATTCCAATATCTTCGCAATCTCTTGAATTAGAAAACACAGTTCAAAATTGAATTTCGTCGACGGTTAATCTTGCAAGCGAATACCAAAAATAAAACTGGACACAAGTTTTAAATGATCAAAAAGTACCTCAATTTAGTTTTCCTTTTTATTACAAGAATCCTGTAACTTTTTTTTTTACGCCAAAACCAAATTATGAAACAAAAACGTCTCCAAAAAATAATATATATATAAACAAGAGGAAGCAGCCACTTCTAGCCAAGTTGCCAAATGGAAAATTAAAGTTGAATAGCTGATTAATTGTTTAATTAGTTATTAGTAAGAAAGAAGCACTTGCACTTCCACGACTTTGCTGCGGTAGGAAGAGAGTAGGTTGGAAAGGGGAGAATGGGACATATCAATCAAAAACATGTGTATGCATCTATATCGCTAACGGAGCCAAATATATACATATATCTCTAAAGAAAAAATTATCAGCACATGAGATCTATTTTTTATTGGAGTTTTGTGTAAAATTACTTATAAACCTATATGAAGCCAAATGCTTCGTCTATTAAATGATCAAAATGTTACTCAAAGATGTGTTTACTGTTACTCTTGAGAAGGATTTTCATCTTCAAGGATTACTTGATAGCCAAATAAATGGTAGAATCTACTATTTTCAAACTTGAATGCTCTTTGAAAGACCGGTTACGTTTTCAGTAAAGCAGCGCTTCAGTTTCAGATTTACTATTTGGAAGTCATTCGGCATAAACAAAGTTTGTACATAAATACTATAAACAGGAAAAGCAAAAGCTATTTAAATAGCTTTTTTTTAATTACTTATATTTGACAAATAATACACGTATTGAGAGTTGTAAGATAAACAAAAAGGATTCTCACTTCAAATCGTCATCTGTAGGTAAGTACTGTAGCTTTTCAAATATTTGGTGAGTGAACTCCCATAGCTTATTCACAATGAAAGGGTCATGATTTCGGTAACAGGTTGACCTCTGGGCGACAGCTCGGAAGAATGCTCCATTCAGTCGCTCTTCAGAGATGGTAGGTGACGTGGCGGCGTACAATGTTGTGTAAGCTCCCCAAACGGGATCAAGAAGTAGACGATTTAAAGGAGATTGTATCATTATCTTCCGAATATATTCTTGGGAATATTGCAAGAGATTCGTCTTCACTACACCTGGATGTAAGCTGACGGCGTAGATGCCATATTTCTCGAGACGATGGGCAAGCGCTTGTGCATGGAGGATATTGGCATATTTCGATTGTCCATACCGTGTTTGTTGTCCTCCCAAAACATAAGGAAGGTTAATGTCTGGAAAGTAGATTCCACTGTATGGAGCCGTAAAATAGGACAAACTAGAGACATTGACAATGCGTACATCACCAGGTCTTGAATTCTCTGCGGCACGGCGTAATGCAGGAATAAGGCGGTACGTAAACAAGTAATGGGATAGATAATTTGTCTGAATTTGAGCTTCATAGCCATTCTTTGACAGCTGATATTTGCCAAACATGACACCAGCATTATTGATTAAAAGGTCCAACTTCGTTTCCTTTGCCAGGAATACTTCTGTAGCTTGATAGACACTGTCGAAATCGAGTAGATCCATATGTAAGAACACAACGTTGGCGTTTTTGCATTCTTCGCGTATATTCTTGATCGCTGTAATGTATTTTTCTTCATTGCGACCGGCTAAGTACACCTTCGCACCTTTAATTGCCAATTGCAAAGCAGTGATATATCCTATACCACCAGAAGATCCTGTTACGATCGCTACTTTGCCGTGTAAATCAGGAATGTCTTGAAACGACCAATTCGGGGTATTTACACCGAAAAACTTTGCTGAACGATCAATTAAATTATGAAACATACTTCTTGAGGTCAGTATTGTCAAAAAGGTATATATGAAAGACGACTTTGTAGTTGACGCAGCATATAATAGTGATGTCGTTGAAGGTACTCAAATACATATTAAAGAGGTAATATAATAAAACAAAAGTGTAGACCAGTAGGAAAATGCTGCTTTTTTAATGAGGTTTTGTTTTACACTATGAATCGCCTTCTCAAAATCTGTTATTGACTTTTAAATTCTTACTCGTCATGATGATTCTCATAAATGCACCTACAGAGAGAAGATTTTCCCTTCAAATTGCTTTCAATAGCATACTGAGTTTATATCTCCCTACAAATCGTGTCTGGTAGGAGCTATTTGGTGTTATGCTTGGCTTTACTTTCGTTGTTCTTTCATCTACGAATAGCTTTTTCGTTAGCGATAAAAGCATCTAGAGCAAATCATTTCAAATAGAATTTCTTCTTTCCTTTTATTTTCAGACTTGTAGACAATGTCCTGTTTGTTTACATATAAATTCTGCCTTCCTTGCTGGAGAACAATGTTACCTGCTTTTTTTCAACTTTCAACACAAACTGAGACCTATAGAACCCAACTTGTTTGGTCTGTCCTCGTTGAAACAGAAGATTTCATACATGTCTTTCTTTTTATAACACTCTTTATGACAGGGTTCCTTTTTTTTACTAGCGAATGTTGAGTAAATCGAACAAATGGATATAGACGAGTTTAACGAACGGATACTGAATCAAATTTCAGAAAAGGTATTTTATAAAAGTATATGAAAAGAAGGAAAACAAAGACTAGCTGGATCAAACATAGAACTGGTTGCTTATTTCCTTTGTACGCAAGCAACGTAGCACCAGTTATAAAAGACATAAATAATAATAATAATTTGTTTTTTAAATGCGAATTTACTTTTCTTTTCTGAGAATCTATTTTCTTTCTATATATTCTAACAACATCTAGGCATGGAAAACCAGACTCACAGCATATGAAGAACTATTGGCTGCGTTTACTAGGGCTTCTGATGATAACGATTTATGTTTTCAGCCTTGGATTCAAGATCCTAGTTTATGGAAGCGTGGGCTCTGCGAGAGTAATGTTCCTACTCAAGAATGCGCTGTAAAAGTTCTTTATGCTTTTTTAGATAAATCGCGGAGGAAGGGTGTCTCCAGTTCTAAAAATATTGTTATCCCTTCATTACTTGAAAAATGTCTTCCTTCAGCAAGACCTTCTATTAGAGACCTTACTCATCAGGCACTTCTACTTTTGGCTAGCGCTGGCGCTATAGATACCGTTGTTGATGGCCTTCTGAGTAGTTGTCAAGTGAAACACCCAAAACAAGCCATGGCCTCTATTAAAGAACTATGTCTATTTATTGAGAAATACGGTATACCTACCATTCCTCTTTCTCCTTTATACAAGCTTCTTCCTGGTTTATTCGCTCAATCAGATAAAAATGTGCGTCAAGAAGCTTCCAAGCTTGCCGTTCAGGTTTACCGCTGGGTCGGCGATTCACTTAAAACCAACCTGTTTCCCCAGCTAAAACCAATTCAAATATCTGACCTTGAGTCTCTCTTTCGTTCAGCACCTCCTTTAGTTACGAAAAGCTCGGTATCGGCTATCAATTGTTCACCCGTTTCCCCCGTTGCAAAATCTCCTGTTTCAATTGAAAATCGCTCGCTGGAACAGAAACCATCTTCACGCAATGTTAGCCAAAAACAGACCAACACCTCCGGCAATTCCCGTCCAATGAAATCATCCTTGAGCATTCCTCATCCATCTCAATCTTCTCCTTCTCCTATAAAGTCATCAACTTTTGACGTTCCGATTGACGTTCTTTCTAAATTAACTCCAGAACTCTATAATGCCTTGTCTTCGCCCAAGTGGAAGGACCGCAAAGAAGCTCTTGATAGCATTCACGAAGTATGTAAATACCCCTGCTATGAAGAAGGAGATTACGATGAACTATTCCGTGTAATTGCTAAATCATTGAAAGACGCCAACGTGGTTGTCGTTGGTACCTCTGCGCAGTTGTTGATAGCTGTCTCAAAGGCGCTGAAGAAAAATGAAGTTCCTTATGTACCTATTGTATTTATACCATTATTCGAAAGGTTTAAAGAGAGGAAACCTTCCTTGGTAAATGTTCTTTTTGACGCAGCAAATGCTATGTTTGAAGCTTGTGGTCTAAATGAGCTTGTTGATCAAGCCTTAGAATTTTTAGGACACAAAAACCCTCAAGTTAAGACAGAAACACTGCGTTGGCTAAACCATTGTCTTCAACATACAGAGTCATGCCCTCCGAGGGTTTCTCTGGAAGCATTATGTAATCGTTGTTTAGTTCTAGTTAATGATACGTTTGAACCTGTTCGAACGGCAACAACGGAGGTGTTAGCTACTCTCATGCAAATGTTTGGTCAAACAATCTTATCCAAGTATATTGTCGGACTTGATCCAAAGAGGTTGCAGAAGGTAAATGAGCTTTCAGAAAACATTCAGGTACAAGCACATCCAAATCAACCCCCTAGACCAAAACTTCCCAGAGTAGCTTCTCCTTTGAAGCCATCTCCTGTCAAACCAATTTTATCTCCTAGCTTTACGTCTTCACCTTTGGCTTCTGTACAGACAAGTGTACCTGAAGAACCTCCTTCTCTTAAGTCCTCCCCTGTCAAATCACTATCTTCCAGTCTCCGCTCGCAAGCTATGAATCATAGAATGACCAACTCGGCTTTGAAACCAGCCCCTAAGTCGGCGTCTATTGGTGTTACCAAGCAGACAAACGAAGTTTTGACCCCGACATTGACTAAAAAGGTAGAAACGAACCGCTTGTCCACGAAGACTCACCCAAGTCTACTTATGAAGTCCACATTAAAAGAGCATGTCTCTCCAGCAAGTAAACAAGCCGGTGTAAGTACCTCTAATTTGGTGACCATTACGTTGTCCGAAAAGATTGAGTTGGATCTTTTAAGAGAAGAGAAAGCTATCCGACAAGTACAGCAGACAGAGGATGCTTTGGAAAGAGAACGGTTATTCCGGGAAATTAATGATCTTCAAATTATAAACGCAGAATTACGAGAACAGCTTGATAACTGCCAAGGGATGATCAGTCAGAAAGAGTCGAAACTTTTCTCTTTGCAAGAAGAGGTGAACCGACTAAGTAATCGATTACAGGAGGTCTTGTTGGAGTTAGAGCAGCGACAAGACAATGTGGATGAAAATTCCATGGACATTGATTCCAAGGAAATGGAAAGTACAGTAAAAAAAGAAGACGGGACGGATTCTTCATATACTATGAAAAGTCCAATTAGAAACCCAGAAGAACCTTTAAGAAATATTCGGCGATCAACACTGCTTCCAGCACGACGGTCTCTTGCAGGATCAATGCTACAAAAACCGGCAGCTTTTTCACGCCCATCTTTTTTTTTCCAATAGCAATCAATCAAATGGCTTCTCTTCACATTCCCCCTCGAACAGTTTGTCTCCGTGGTCAGAGGGGACAGATATCTCCACGCATTTGTTGGAACAAATTCAAAGGATGAAGCGAAGCTAAATCAAAAAAATTTTTAAAAAGATTCAAAATGCTGATTTTTGGAACCTTCTTGTTCGATTGTTTGCTGTATATAATACTCTTCATGAAGAATTCAATGCACTGTCCGGAGAAGGACTATGGATATCCCTGCCGAGTTTGCTAACGAACCTGCAGACAAGAAAATGCTGAATGGTAATAGGGTTTTCTTCATGCATGGTTAAATACCAAATTTTCTTTACAGGAGGATTCGCAGGAAAAATGCCATTCCTTTATTGATTCTATGGGGTTTTGTTTACAACTGTAAACGAAGGTAGATGGAAGGGTAGTGCACTATTTACTTTTTTTTAACAAAATGTATTGATATATGGGTTGCATACAGATATAAGAACATGATTAAAGCTTAGATTGGATTTGATTTTTGTTATTTAATCTTTCTTATTGCGGGCAGTAGCGAAAGATATGATTCGTTTCCCTATAAAAACCCCTCCCCCGGGGGGAAATTGCAAAGTCTAGCACTAACGAGCTTCTTTTTAGTCTCCTAATATGGTAGGAGAGTAATTTGGGTTTTAAATGAATATCACCTTAGAACGAACACTTTGTCGAACTATGATATCAACTTTATGGAAAGCGAAGGGGTTCATGCAACACAATAAGTGGCCAAAACAATAAACAATCACCTAAAGGAGCAGTAAAAATCATTTGATTTGAAACATTTCGATGACTGGTTAAAGAGAACAATAGATGCATAAGGAATGGACAAACGAATTTAACCAGTCAAATCAACTATAGTGAGAAATTCGGTTTCACTTTCGCTTATTTTCCAAAATCTTTTAAACTCTTATATTCTTCGATTAAACTTGTTTCTTTAAATCCCCTTACACTACTACCCTGTTAACTACGATCATATTATTCCTTACTACTGTCTTGCTGCATGCATATGGAGAAGATTCTCAGTATTAGCATATCCCTAGTATATAGCTATACTTATAATTATATCTCAGAAATCCAAAATTGTGGGAAAGCAGCTCGGAGTTTATATTTGCTACATACGACATGACGTTATATTGACCTCATGCAAATGATAGAATGGACGAACGAGTTGTAAGTTTGTTGCACTTTAAAGCACCATCGATGATATCATTTTCCCATCAACGAAAATTATATAAACGCACGACCTCTTTATCGTCTCGGACTTTACAACAACATTTGTGAACATCAAAACACTATCTTTTACGGATCGTTTCTAGAAACTTATCAATCATTTGAATTTCCGAATACGTTTACATCGATCTTTTGTTATTGTTGAAACTACAACGTATTGATACCCTTTCTTTTTCTGTATACCAGTTATACCAGCTAATTATTTATCTGATATTTATTTGGGATTGTAAAGATGCACCGTTCTTACTCTTTAAGAAATAGTCGTGCCCCTACGGCTTCCCAGTTGATGAATCCTCCTCCACCTGTCTCTAGTGCCCGTAATAGTCGATCCTTTACTCCATTCAGACATTCCATGCGAATTCACCAAGCTGTTAACTTCTCCCCTGATTTGGCTAAGCGTTTAGCCGTTCTGGTCAAAATGGAGAAGAACGTCATGGCTAGCATGGTCCAAGTCACTCGTGGTCGTCGTGACGCTGCTCGCCAGTTGTCTTACTGGGGTGAAGATTGTGACGATGACATTAGTGATGTTACCGATAAGTTGGGAGTGTTGTTTTATGAAGTTGCCGAGTTGGAAAACTATTTGATTGATCGTCACGACCAATATCGTGTTACCCTAAAGTCCATTCGTAACATCGAGGCCTCTGTCCAACCTTCTCGTGAAAAGAAGCAGAAGCTTTTGGATCACATTTACATGCTTAAGCATAAGGATCCTGAATCACCTAAATTGGTTACAATGGAGCAAGAGCTTGTTCGTGAGGAAGCCGCTTGTTTGGTAGCTGAAGCTCAACTTTCCAACACCACCCGTGAAAAGTTCAAGCAAGCCATGACCTACAATTTGGATGCTCTCCATGAGCATGCCGAAAAGCTTGGCTTGATTACTGCCTATGGACGTCATTTGTTGAACTTGATCGATGACGCTCCCGTTACTCCAGGTGAAGCTCGTCCTGCTTATGATGGCTATGAGACTTCTCGCCAAATTATCATGGATGCTGAGCATGCTCTTAGCACCTGGATCCCGGCTCATCCTTCAGTAAACTTTGCCAAGCCTCAAGAAGAAGATGTTCAGAGTGACGCTCGTTCTTGGAATGACTATGAGGCCCAAGGTGAGCCTGTTCCTGTTCAACAAATGACTCAAATGAATGATTCTCAATCCGATACCAGCGAAATGGCTGAGAATGACCCTAATATGCATCCTCACGTTCGTGAAGAACGCATTGCTCGTATGGATGGTGTTGAAAACAACGCTGTCAATGATACCACAAGCTTACAACCCAAAGAGCAACAACCTGCTGTACAAGTTGCTTAAACAACAAATGGAAGAAAAGTTTCGAACAAAGAAGCCACCATGGTAATTTTTTGAAACACTTACGCGTTGGGTTCATTTGTTGTTTTTTTTTTTTTTTGATTCCAATGTAAACTGCTTAAAATAATTTTTCCGTAATGGCAGGGAAAAGAAATTCCTAATAAGGGATTGCTAATTATTAATCAAGCATACAAACGATACAATTATTTTTACCGATGGAATAATCTAAGAAGTTGGATTGAGCAAAGCAAGTTAATACTTAATGAACTAGTGTGCCTATTATTTTTTTTTAAGAGCGTTTTGTGCGTTTCAAGGAAAGTTAGTCGCTAGATGGAATATTTAGTTAGTTTGCTCAATCCATGAATGTTTTTGACAATGTGGAGTACTAGCTGATTTTGAAAATTTAATTTACCCTTTGAAGTATTTACAATGAGAAGTAGAATGATAGTGGTTTATTTATGTTTTGGGATAAAGATAGTGAAATAGTGCCTGTACCGTCTATTGATGAATAAGTGCGTGATAAGTAGAGAAGAGGTATGTAGGAATTACAAGACTGCGTACATGCACGACTAATACAATTTCTATGGACAAAGTAGAGTGCATAAAAGAGAAAAGTGAGTGATGTGAATGGAAGTGAACTCCGAATTATGGTTGAAGTATGTTCATCCGTAAAGAAATGAATAAAAATGAAAACAGAGTTGAGCAGAGGTACGCAAGAAAATTTTAAAAAGAACAAGTTCATGGTCGTACGAACTTATGGCAAATTAGGAAGAACCTAAGGATCAGGAGATGATTACGGCTAGCAACAAAATTCTTACAAAAAATATTTTTGGATTTTACATATATTTGCTACAACCATTCCTGCGGCATTTGTTGTTTTTTACAGTAACTTTTTACATACACCCTATGTAAACTATGACGGAGAGCTTTTATGAGCGAATGAATACGAGAACTATTAAGAAAATTGTAGGATAACGCTGGCCATTCCAAAAGTGGTTTAGGCTCGAATCAGGCCATGCGTACCATCGCGTTACATATAATAAGGAGCTCGATGATTGTAGACAGTATACGGAAGAACCCTTACGTCGCTGAGAGAAGAAGGTGGAACTTACCTTCAGCCAACATCCTCGAGTCCCTTTCAAAAAACAACGGAAATTGGAAAGGACAAGGGCGGAATAACCCGTAATAATGAAATTAAAGGTCAATATCGGCTCAGACCCTGGGCACACGCAAATTGCTTGGGTGAATCATGAAGGACGACCTACAGAAGTCGATGGGCCGTTTTGGGTTGGTAGAATTCTAGTACGAGTGCGTGACTTTGATGGAATCACACCCGATGGTAGCCCTCCTAAGTCGGATTCTATCTATTTTCGTGGTCGTTCAAGAAAGTTTCAGATCCAAGCTGAAGGTCGTTTCAAGAAAGAATACAACGGCAATCAAGTCATATTTGGCACACAATTTGATCATATGATTTCTACATTTCCGGAAAGTATGTTCAGTAATTGATTTTATATATAATGGTGGCCATTTAGCTTGCTATTGACTTGTGGAATGAGAAGACCAGTAGTCAGTTAGATGGTACACCCATTGTTTTAGCTTTTTTAGATAACGGAACGCTTACTAACCACTTTGGTATAGGCGCTTTCCGTGCCGGCATGCGTATAGCCAAGTACATTGACCCGGCTGTTTATTATGACAAGTTTGCAAAATCACCCTATATTATGTCTCCGTATGTATTAATCTATTAACAGGAAAGTTGGAAGAACAAAAACAAAAAAATTTTAAAGAATAAGGAAGCGTTCTATTGCAAATATGCGTGACCTGTCTTTTCCTCTTTTCCTGTTTCATTTTTTTTTTGAATCACATGGCTGAATTTTGATAACTAACATTTTAGATTCGTTGCATGCGTTAACACGCTATCTGCTTGGCCCGCGCCCAGCCGTTTGGATGACGCGGTCATATCCTTAGTGGAAGCTGACCCTCAGGAATCAGATACAGACTCTTTACCAGATATGAGTGAGTCTCTGGATGATGATCTCCAGCCTAGCATATCTACGCCCAACAAATCTCCGGTCGGTAAATCAAGTTCCACGAGAACCCCTCCTCCCCCCATAAAGATCACCGCTACGCAATCACCCTCTCCTCATACCAACGTTCCTTCTGGGACAGATCACGATAATTTAAGTATAGTATCCTCTGATTCTGGAAATACTACGGCTGACCCTAATAGAAACCGCCATCGCTATTGGAGCTTTGCGGGATTTAACGATAATACCAGGTTTTCACATCTCAATTCGGCTTCTCACACACCGGAAACCAGTACATCACGAAATAAACAGCGAGTTGAAACTGATCCATCTCTGGTGGATTCCATTGGTTCATCACTTATTCGTGTATCTGGTGAAGATGCAGATAACGATGATGATGAACTTATTCTGCATCGGCCGATCACCAATCGCCACAAAGATTTTAGCCGTCATGTCCAGCAGTTGGGTCTGTTGCATAAACCGAGTTTAGATGGGGATGGTTATGTTAATGAGTTCTATGATAACAATTCTTTTGACGACGAAAACGAAGAGGACTTACAGCGCTATTTCACAGCTCTCGAAATGCAGTCCGATAAAAAACACTATAGAAAATCAAAAAACAAGGATCCCTTTCATCGGATTACGCATCCAAATTTACATATCGGAAAGATTTCTACGCCAAAAATTATTAAACGGATGTCTCTCCGTTCGAAAAAAGGACTTAAAAGTCTTAATCCCGAATCTTCTTCCCAAACAGAAGCACAACGTACTTCTACGTCTAGTATGTCTCCCCCGCCTGTTTCTAAAAATGAAAAGAAGATGTCTGCACCTCGTCGTTCATTGGATAAATTAATTCGTATAGGCTCGTTACATCGACATCACCATCATCACCACCACAATCAGGGTCCTGGATCCAAACCGGATCAAGTTGAATCCGACTCTGGCTTTGATTTATATAAGAGTGAAAGCAAGCATCACCCTGAATTATTATTGCAAAGAAATTCTATGTCTACCGATCGCCCTTCTTCTTCCCAGTCTACTTTGACGTCCCCGGATGACTCCCTATCTAACCCCAAAGTAAGTGGTGAGACCGGTTCTTTACCCCCTTTACGCGAGGATACTTCGCCAGGTGAAAGCAACGGTATAACTTCCAATCCGGATCATAAGGAAGAGCCTGATAAGCCCGGGAAAAATATGGGAACCCCATCTCTTGATATTTCATCTCATAACCCGTCAAATGATGATAGTAACAAAAAACCCGGTGAAGTTGACAACCACTTAACAGTACCAACAAAATTGGCAAAGCCCAGTCCTTCTCGAACGCAGTCTAGTCAATCAAAGATCCCAAAACCTTGTGTACACATTCCTTCTGAGTCAAACTCTCTTGATCCTCAGCTTGGTCCTTTTAGATTTGCCAATCCGAAAGTCGATCCAATTGAAGATAATTCTTTCATTTTTGGTGAGCACAAATCTGTTAAAGATAGAAGGAAGTATTTTTCAAGCTCTACGGATACTAGAGCTGATTTCTATTACGATAAGGATGTTGTATATTGCATGAGTTTCTTCTCACCGCATATGGATTTCAACAGATTCAATTTGAATATTGGACCAATTAAGCTAAATGTTTATAGACATCTGAATTCGGATGGCCATCAACCTATTCGATACATGATGCGCGAAACGGAGGACGAACATGCAATTATGTTCGTTGTGGAATTTGATTTGGTTGAGGAAGACGATGAGGCTGTTTTATTGGAACAAGCTAATGAACGTGAACGGAGAAAACATTAGCAAAGATGGTCAAGTATTTAATGGCTAAAACTTATGGATGTTATTTATTATTAATGATTTTTCTTTCTATAACTAATTTATGTGGACAAACGCAGTCATTTCCTTCGTCACAACAATAATAGCCTTTCGTTTTCATATGAATGTCGTCGTTCTCTCTTCCTCTAATAAGCTAGTGTTTTTTTGGACTCATGCATAGTGCGATAAATCAATCAATTAAGGTTTTGCCCATTCTATCTGTCATGGAATATATATTCGACAGTGGTAGGTTCCCTTATATATTTCACCTTACTGAAGCTTTTAAGTTTATATTCTCAGTTTCGTCAGCTTATAATCTATAACAGCTACGTTTTCGGTCAGACGACTGTAATAGCTCGCATTTTCTATTCAGTATACATTCCATAAATTCAATAATTTGGACGCAGACGCGTTTATAATTTTATGTTTTTGCTTCGTACTCAATGTCAAGATCGGTTTATTCCACGTAAGATGAAGCAATTATATATTTGGAACACTGAAAATTTATACTGACTAGAATTGTTAAGTTCCAATCTGACAACTGGCGATTTATATAAAAACTTAATGATTAAGAAAATTTTGTTTCTTTTATTTCCAATATGATCCTAATTTAATTAAATTTTTTACACATCATACAAGCTGAATATCAGGTCATAAAAAATGCCAATTTTTAACTGACTTGAATAGTTAATAAATTGATTCTAAACTTCTAGAACAAAAACAATTAAAACCGTCAGTCTATAAAATAATAATACCGTTATCCCACATTAATTTTGTAAGCCCTAAGCTTAAGATGTTGAGTAGCCCCAGAAAAGCAAAGTATTAAACTAAGTAAATATCCCTTATATTTTCCCTGTTTCACAAAAAATAATTTTAGAAAAGTCAAAAATGAGCATCAAATGTATTAACAAGCATTAGTAAACATTAAGCTTTGATTACCCATTAGTTTGGCTTTTTGGTAGTGACACTTGCATTGGAAGAAGCAGAATCATCAATCTCCTCAGGGGCATCACCATTTACACTGGGTGCTGCTGAGTTTGCAACAGAAGAAGAGGTAGGAGCAATACTCGGGGCTGTTACTAGTGAGAAGCCGTCATTATCAGAGCTATCGAAAGCACTATTATGGGAATATGAGTTGATCGAACTATTTAAACTTCCATTGACAACAGTGGTATGATGTACCATCTCTGGCGAAGCGACAGGCGACCCGATTTCGGTAGGATGATCAACAGCACTGTAGAGTCTCCTGTTATCTGAGTGGACAGCATTGTCCGATGGAACGGCAGCTGAAGATTCATACACACTAGTAGTGTGAGTGTTTAAAACTGGATGGGGATGAAAATCCGTAAGAGGTTGTTCGGCAGGCTCAAGCACTTCAGCCGTCGGCGATTGTTTCGTGGAGGGCATGTTTTCGTTTTGAGGAGCTCTAACAGTTTCAGATAATCCCTCAAAAGAGCTGATCGGAGCATCCACATTTGCTTCAGACCTGGAACTTGGAGTAGGGAAGTGATTGACAGAAGATGTAGGAGGAGCGGGCGTCGCCGATGCACGTTCTGAATTAGACATATCTCTGGTAGTAGTCGGAAAGGCACCACCAGCAACATTTCTTTGTGATTCCAAATCTTTATCACTTGCAATTTGCTGTTGATTTTTTTCCATATACTGATAATGACCATACATGTACATGTGCAAAAACGCAATCCATGGCGTAATAACAAAACCCAAGACACCGCCAAAAACAAGCTTAACCACTTGGGGAGCAGGATAGTTATTATAATAGTAGTCATTGCCAAAGTGGTTTCCTGGAGCACATAGAATACCGATGGAAGCAGGCCAAAGTAAAAACCACAGAGGGATAGACCAGAACAAACCACGTAAGGCGGTAAAAACTAACCATTCCATCCAGCGGAAGACAATAAAATTAAAGTGATAATTTGGTTTTGCTCGTAGGATTTCTCGCATAAAAGTGTTTTTCGGCCACCAACCAAAATAAACAGGCCGTACAAGACCTGAGCGCAAATCAGCCTGCACCAATGCAGATTCAATCCAGTAAGTGACGATGGCTTGGGCAAAGTTGGTGACTGCTAAATCACCGGAAAGTGTGTCAGGAAGACGCCAAAGGCGGACTCTGTCCTCCGTATTTTTATACATACCATAAGCAATAGCGAATTCTAGACCTCCAGATATGATGAAGGAACCAACAGAACAGAGCATAAGATAAAGTATGCGTGGCATATGAATGTTTTTGCGGTTAAAAAAAGTATTCGGATCAGAACTTAGATCCTCGTCATACGCATTTTTTTCCAAAGCGTGCCGTTTTAAATCAAAATCATCAGCGTTTTTTACACTTGATGTTTCTTGATCTTTATTAGAAAAAATCCTCTTCCAAAAGCTAACAAAAGAAGAAGGAGCCATTTAGCAAATAAATCACGATTGGTTTAGATTTAATATCCTGAACACTTTGAAGAAAAATAAAGGGAAGAGTCGATAAATACGAAAATCGTTTTTACAAAAGCAAAGACAATAGACTAGGATTAAGTGAAACAGCTGAAGTCTGCTAAATATCGCAAAGACGTCCTCTGTACAAAATCAATGAGAACCCACTTAAAATAGGTACAAAAAATTAGACCAATAATTAGAAAATAAATTAGGAATATCCAACGAGAGTTTAAAAACAAAAAAAACGATTGTAACTCGTCGTAACGAAGCCTGAATGAATGACAATCAGATGGTAACGAGGGAAATAAAGCGCAGGAAACGCTAAAAAAAAATAATATGGTATAGCAATCAAAAAAAGAGTATAGAAAAAAAAATCACAACGGATGAAGATAAAAAAGGAAAAGCAACACGTATGAAAAAATTAGGGCGGGTTTCGCTTTCGTTTCAGTGATTGAAACTTTGAACGTAAAGAAACCGAAGTGGTTAGAAATAGCTTAAATTGCAGACTTGTTTGAAAGCAGTCTACAATGGGAATAAATGAAAGCTTCCGCAAACAGCTTGTATTCAGTAAACAACCTGTGCTTGATACACAAGTAAAACACAAGAAGGTAAAAGTAGAATAAAACAGCAAAACTATCAGATTTTGCAGCTTTATTTTACGATATAGGTTCCGTTTTCTGAGTAGATCTTACACCCGAAAAAAAAATTCCTTGGGGGAACTGACCTCGCCGAAAGCGATAAGAATAGTCACAAATCCGTAAAACGGTATTTTTAGTCAAAAATCAGGAAAATCAACTATTTCCTGTGAATTTTTTTGTGGATGTATGGAGACGGAAGAAACGTATTTACGATAGGTTTGTATGTTTACCTTCGATGTAAGCAACCGTCCATGACCTATCGGTGAGGTCACTTGCATACTACAACGTATGCTCGTAAGTCCATATATCGTGCTTTACTGTAGTTTTTCTACCTTTATAATGTGTGCATATGGCTATTAAAACTTGTAATTTCTATGAAAGTACACAATGTAGAAACAAAATATCATGAAAACCATCTTTAGATCTTCGACCAATATGAGCCTTCAAAGGTTTTAGGATACAGAAAGTATTTGTAAATAAACAATGTATGTTTACTACTGCAAATATGACATGTTGTTCGCTATGTTATTTTAAAATAATTTCGCTATACAATTGTGTACTGTGTCATAGCTCGTAATGATTATGTGTAATATGATGACTACAAATAAATGTAAGGGGAAAACATCCTTCATTCACGCTCGAATACAGTAAACAACAAGGAAGAATATTTCTCTTTCATGAAGTAGTAGTAGAAAGTAGCACCAAAGAAAGTATTTTTGATGGTTCCAATTCGAATCAGTTGCATATGATTCAAACTACGGTCTAATGCTTGAGAGAAGTTCCGACTATGACTTACAATAGTTACATATTATACGGATACAAAGTATTTTTTTTTCTCTATGCTTTTTCCGAGTCATGCTAATAAAAACATTTCCAAAATTCAATTCATACTATTACATACATTTACATATAAATAAATAGGCAACACAGAAGCTTAATCAAAACTTCATTACGTGAATCTTTATATCTTCAGGAAAACATAAAGGTTCTTTCAGGACCGTTTCAAGTACTTTAAACACCAAGAGATGCTTCATTCACTGCTTATTCTGTTTTCATAGAAGAATCTTCATCGATAAGCTCCCAGTGAGAGCCATCAAGCCTTGGAAAAAATCTACCAACCTTTCGACTGTACAAAGAGTAAAGCGGATACTTCTTGGAAGAGATAGTTTCCGTTAGCCTTGTCGAGCCTTGAAACACGGCGATAAGACCCAAGGGGCCCAGAATTGTCCAGTTAATCCAAGTCTTTGAGGCAATAGCCCCAAACAGATAGAAAACGACCCAAATAATTTGTTCAGCTAAAAAATTAGGGTGTCTCGACCATTTGAAAAGACCACTTGTATTAAACCCTTTTGCGAGTGTCATTAAATCAAAATTCAGGTGTGGGGGAAGCTCCTTATTCTTTCTGTATAGATCTCGTGCTTGGTAGAAATCCCACTGTTGCTGATCAGCAAGGATTTCAACTGCAAACGTAAACATAAACAATTCTAAAGCCATGCAATCTAATAAACCAAAGGGTCGTTCGTTAGCTGCCAGCATTGCAATATATGTAGGGCAAGCAAGCCAATATAGGTGAAGAACCTGAAATATGTGAATGTAAAAGAAATGTACAATAGGATACAGGTAAGAAGGTATATTGTTACGAACCATAAGCCACCGATAGTCTTCTGCTCCTCGTTTGTAACCTCCTTTACGATAGTAATTATATGTTAATCGAATACTCCACAGCAATTGCAAAAACACCATAATCATCAGCCGACGAGAAGCAATGTTAAATAAAATCCCATAAAGCAGAAAATGAACTGAAAATAGAGTCGGTAAAATTGGCCATGCGCGATCCACTTGGGACGTGTTTCCTGTTTGGACAGATACCGCCCACAGGAAAACCCCAACCATCAAAGCAAGGATTAATCCAGTGACAAAGGGATTTGTTTCAACATAAAACTCACGAAATCCCATATTCCCTGACAGAAGCAACTTCACATTGCTCGCTTGCTCCAAAAAGGGAGAAACGGCCATCGTCCAACTGGCGGAATTAGAAGCCGAGTAAATTGTCGGTAAACTAGATATCAATGTCATATCTTCAAATTGGCATAAAGTAAATCCGTTTTCAGACGTTTTGGAAAAGACTCTTCTTTAACTGACTTGCTGCCTCAACGTGACGTTACTGGACACGAGAATAGTGAGACATAATGAGAAAGACATTTCGTATTCACAGATTCAAAAATTATTCTCAAAAGGATGCCTGTTTAATTTGGTTTTCTCTTTGGATATAAACAAGGTTTCTCAATTGATGTTCGTGGATAGAAACTTGCAATTTAATTTGTTTTTACCAGTCGTCAACGAGGATAGCTTCTTGAGATTTACACGACATATACTTCACTCTTTATCGTAAAAGTTCCATCATTTTGTCTGTTGATAACTGAGAACGGTGGAATTCTGCGTGACCTTCATGCTCAACATCCAATATTGCTCTTTCCCTTTGACGATCAACTAGACGTTGCTTTGCTGTCTCCATCTGATTGATTTTATGCAGTAAGTTTTTTTCCTCCTGGTTAAGATCCTCTGTAAATATGATTTGCCAATTTCCATGTTTTATGCACCTGCGCTTCTCCTGAAAGCAGACGCTATCAGAGGTAGAATGTATTTGTTTAACTTCTATAATAGGAACTTCAGGGGATATGGAATGCCATACATCTCTTAAGTCCCTATCATTTAATAAGAGCCGATTGTCAAATCCACAAACGTCCTTTTTTATCCCTTCCCGTTCTTTGAATTCTTGGACGAGAACCCGTGAAGCATCCTTTATAAGCTGAAGGAAGTGCTTCTTTTCTTGAGTAAAATTAAGGTTCTCTTTCAGCAAAATTAGATTACGGTCTAAAACTTCCAAATCTTCTCGTTCAAATGCGTACACGTTCTCTGGGATAATTGTGTCTGGTAAAGAAGGCGCCTGGTTACCAAGATTGCGAAATTCTTGAAAGTTATCGGCAACCATGGTCAATGTCTTTAACGAAGAAAGATCAATTGTAGTGTTCTTAAGCTTAGATCGCATGAATAGGACACCGTGTTCATGACAACAATACTTCGATGAGATTTCAGCGGGCTTTGAGCATTCCCTCAGTCTACACTTTCTTTTCCATGCAGTCAAACCACGTCCACTAGCTGTGCAACTTGGACAAAAGTACTGAGCTGTTAATTCATCAAATGACTCTGGAATGTTGACACATTCTCCATGAAACCAGTCTTCACAACCATCACATCCCAACATCCATCTACCATCATCGGGACCTCTACACAGACAATAAACAGGGCCTTCAAAATCTGCATTTACAGAAGATCCTATTCCTGGTTTTGTTCTTCGAGGTCCTTTACGGGTTACGGTTCCTGTTGGCTTCTTTGGAATTGTCGTACCTAGTCGGTGTAATTCTGTATCAGTTTCTGTACTTGATGATTCAGGAGATTTGGATTCTTCTTGCTTTACTTTTGATGGTTCTGGTATTGAACCATCCTTAATATCATATTTGCCAACTTCCTGAAAATTCTGGTTAGATGCTATTGGTAAAATTGAATCCTCTATTTTAACACGTTCGGATTCATCGACATTCATTGAAGTTTGATTACCATCGCTGGAAAACACCATGCCTTTGAAGTTTTTATCAGCTTTCAGGTGTTTTGTTTCATACCACGTGTTTAAGGCATTCAAACGCTTTCTCCTTATATAGATGTATGAAAAAAAGCATAAAAAACAAAAGGAAACGTATTTCAATCTCTTTAAAATCTAGAAGACAATAAAAAAATATATAACAATCATTGTTCAAAGAGAGGACTTATGAGTTTTAGCAGGATTTGATCGAGTATGATTATTAAGAAATTGAAATTTGAAAACGAAAATCAAATGAATTCATAAACGTGATTATCCTCATTAGACCGTAAAGGTGATTAATGATCAAAAATAAAGGTGAATTTCAACATGAAATAGCCTGTGAAATATAATAAGAGATTGAAAGAATAAATAAATAAATCCATCTTTTGCTTTTCTTAACCTAGTCGACGAAGCCGATCTTTAGTCCTACGCATTTTCTTGCGGTTTTGATCGGTATCATGTGACAAATCGTCCAACATGGCATTCTGCTCAATGAGTTCATTGTTAATAGTCATAGAAAGCTCTTTTTGTCGCTTTATTATCGGTAGTAACGTTTCTGCTTGAGAGTCTTGATTTGTTAAAGCTTGGTTTTGAAGTTGGTAAAGACCAACATTGTCAAGCTTTTTAGTGACTGGCGTCTCTAGAGAGCGGCTTTTTCCTAAAACTCTATTGGAAGAGGGAGTAGAACGAAGAGAAGGCTGCTGATCAGAGGAAGAGGATATTGGATTGAACGGTGAGCTAGGACTGGAGAAAGCAGTGACCTCAGCAGAGGATTTAGGAGAGCTCGTAGGGTGAGTGATACTTTTCATTATTTTTTGATAAGAAAAAAGCTCTGAAGATAGTTGATCTAACATATCACGTCTTCGGAACACCTCGCCAGAACCTAGGGCATTCATTTGCTCTAGCCGATTGAGTGAAGTAGCTAGAAGATCTATAGACCTTTTAGTAGTATACACACTTTTTGTCTGTCCAGAAATAGAACTAGTTTTTCCCGAAAGTAAATCAACTCTCGAAGCATGCAATTCTCGCTTGCATTCATGAAACAATTGAATCCATTCCACAGGACCAAGGCTGCTTTCTTTCGTAATGTCCTTAACATTATCCTCTATGTCCAAAAACTTTTTTACTTGGTCCATTTCTATCCACGGGCTTTTACTCAATTCTTTTACATACTCCTGCAAAGCTACTCGGCGAGATTCACGAAATTTCTCGTTTACCACGGTTGATTGAAACCAAGACTTTGAAGGAAGATTCGGTAACGTGTCTTTACCATCAAAAGGTCTAATCTTTTCATCCAAACTGACAAAATCGCTGAATCGTCGAAAGACAATTCTACGTAAGCTATTGGGAAAGGATACTTCAATGTGATATACGGTCCACCGCGAATTTTCGTCTTGTTTCTACTATATGTTAACTATTTTCTTCTTTTTTCCTTTACCTGTGATGTTTTTGGTATTTTCAATTGAATTGGCGCCATACTGGCAAAAGTATACATTTATTTACGTGTACTTACTCCCTATATGACTGATTTTAACGAAATCAACCGTATCTGGATATTGAGAACAACATTCTACGCTAAATCCCATTGGTAAACAAATAAGTAAATAAAAAGAACTCCTGAAAATAAACTGCAATTCAAATAACAAAGAGTAGTGCAGATGTTATATGGAGTTTGTTTAAGAAAGTACATTCTACTTGCGGACTGGTTGAATTGACTTTTTGTTCATGTTAGAATGCTAAAAGTTTACACCATATATACACCAGAAAGAAAAGAATTGTACTTTGCACTCTTACATGATGTATAAGCATGATGACGATACTTATAACTTATTTTTGGATATTCAGTGAGTTTTGAATGTCGCAGATGGAGGCTTTGGAGCAATGAAGGTTTCCATGTTTATATTTGACTTTCTAGTAATATGATTTGCATTTCTGTTATTTACTTCATTAAAGGTTTCATTATATTGAGTTTGTTTGTTTTTTTCTACACGTTGGACTATGAAGGAGTTATTGAGTTTCTATGAAAAAAAAAAAAAAAAAAAAAAAATTGTTATACAGACCAGCTTGGAACGTACATGCATAATAGCTGCAAACTCGGTATTACAACATTATAAACGAAGGGAAAATCTTGATTATGTTTCGTCAAATCAGGTACCAAACATAAAATGAATTGATATATTTCATTGAGACCTTTCCAAAGATGTGTTGCGGGTTCTTCCTCTGAAAGTTATAGAATGCAATCCGATCGATGATAGTTCAAAAGTTCCGCAAACGTTTCGTAGTAGAAAATCAAGTCATCTCTAAAAAAAGAAATTTAGAAAAAATAGAGGAAATTAAATACTAAAAAGGCTTAAACTAACCTACTTTGAGTTTGAAATAAAAATATATATATAAAATTCACAATGAATATTAATATGGAATCATTAAAGAATAATACACCTGTACACATTTAGAAAAACCAAGAAACATAAATGCTTCAATAACAGCATTTTAAACAATTCATAGACAGCAAACACACCATGAAAAGTTTTCAAATAACCGTAAAAGGGGGGATAAGAATGACTTTGATATGAAACAGAAAATCTTACCAGGGAAGAAAGGTGAAGACAAAAGATAACATCGACTTCTAAATCCCTTGCCGCTCATAGAGAAATAGCCCAGCAGACAAGAATCACAATGACGGCTTGGGTAATATAAGTAAACAATACCTGACACATTGGGATCCAATGGGGACAAAACAAAATGGTAAAGGGGACGGCGCAATTCCAGATGGAAAAGAATACCATTAGCATAAGAGATTGAAGCATGTTTCGCTTCTCAAAGACTAGCTTTTGTAAAACATAGCCAATAGGAACATGTGCAATGTACTGTAAAGGAAGAGGAGGAGCAATTAAGCTAGTAACGACGTCACGAACATTACCAAGGACAATCGAGTTAAGGTACAGCTTTTGGGTAGAATAATTAAACACACTAATCAAGACACTGGCCATAAATGTAAACAAGGTGGTAATGCTGGCACGCGTCATGCGTTCACGAGAGAGTCGAGGATGCAAAGCATTGGTGCCTGCGCGAGCAGCGAGCAAAGACAGGGCATCTATAGCAAAAGACCAAGCGATTTGCCGAAGAGACACGAGATAGTATGTGGACAATAAAATATACAAGGGATACTTTGCAACTAAATACCAGCTGATACCAAGGTTGAAGTAATACGTCAGAAACGACTGAATCGCATGCATCAAAATATTTACATAGCACTAAATTTTCCAACGGTTAGGAAAGATAATATCAACAAGCTGCATCCTCTATGAAACCTACCATCCAATCAGGAATATTTTTGTTTACAACACCGGTCGATGCCAGCAAACGAGGATTTAAGTGCATATTTAACGCTCCATACGTGATTGTATGCACAGAAACATAAGCGATGGCTCGAAGAGTTCGAGAAAGACGCGAATAACTTTTTTCTATCATCTCGATAATATTGGTAGTTTGCAAGTGCATCATGGTGTCTATTGGAAATAGTGAACCTGAACGAACTAAATTTCGATAGCTGTCGCAAGGATTCTTCAAAAAATGTCCTGAAAAAATGAATGGAACTTGCTTAATAAAATAATTGAAAGAAGTAAATTTTATTCAACTTTAAGCCTCAGGAATTGAATTCTTTACAATTGAACCTATCGTATCATTCATCTTTGTCCCTTGTTGATAACATATAGAAGCCTATTCTTCAACAAACAATACGATACAATACATCTTTTAAGTATCCTCATAGATGTAACATATTTATTTATACCCTTGCTATGTTATAAATGGAATATTACAAAATTTACCACCCTACGCGTTTTATTTATTTACCATTTAACGAATTTGGCTAATCTCATAATTTGGTATTAGAATCTCTAGCAAAATTGTTAAAATTATTTTCGTTCGGAACGTTCCTACACGCTATCCCGTAACCTTTACCTTGTTTATTGCTGGGATATACCAACTCTCAATCAACCAATACTCCCCCTCTCCTCGATGGTAAGTTTATAACAAAACAATTCATCTGTTTTCCTGTGTTAACAAATGATTTAAGGCTAGTTCTACGATCTATAATATTTTTTTCAGAAAAAACTCTTCCTTCTACGCTACTATTTTCGTGTCAGCTTTTTTCGCTAAAGTGTATGTGTTCTTGGAAGAAAACGCGGGATTTTTGGTAGAGCTTGTTTACTAACAGTATAGTGGCTTTGATATTTTTACTGACAAGGTTTGGGAGAATGCAAATGCTGGTGTAAGTTGCCTTTTTCATCTTTGTCTCCCTTCAGTCTTCTCTTTTCTAACTTCATTATTATAGATGCAATGGAAGGATGTCAAGCCTCGCTTCTTAAACAACGATGAAGAAGAGGAATAAATACTGTTCGGGGATTTCTTTCTTTTGTGTTTCTGTACAGTCCCTCCCGACTGTCGTAAACAAATTCAATACTTTTTGAAGCTGCTTCAGTGATATAACCCTCATTTCCCTCCTTTATCTTTTTTACTTTCAGAACTTGCAATGCCTTTTAGTTTCAATTCGTTCTCTTTTAACATCTTTCAACGAATAAATTTAATTTCGCCAAGTCATCCTTCTTCATGCGACTGTATCTGTCTTTTGTCTTGAATCAAATTGAAATTTGTAGCTCAAAGTCCATTCTTACTAAATATGTACACTAAAATACATGCAAAAGCTGCTATACTGTCCATATTGAAGGCTTCAGCGATTCGAAAAACTAATGAAAAGAATAAAAGAAGGTTTAATTGCCGACAATCTTAAATAAAATAAAAAAAGTAGTAAGAAAAAAAATATGTATACAAAGACTTCACCTGTGTCTTCCCGTCCTTTATTTTGATTCTATAAATTGATCAAAAGAATGAATAGTAGATGACAAAACATATACTTTAAATACGGTAGATCATATTTTCGGAAAACATGATTTTGTTTTGGGCGTCCATCTCTTTCAAGGCAGAGATTGCCTCTTCTCTTGTAAAGGAAGCGTGATCTTCAACTCCTGAATTTATCGCGCTTAGAACATTCTCCAGAGACGCACATTCTTCCGAAAACACATCTGTCTTGGTCAACTCCGACAAGCGAGACATAAAATTTGTCATCTTTTCCCTCGATAAAGCAACACCCTGAGAAGAGGAAGTATTACTCTCTGAAGCCGCACTTGTATCTGCATTGCCACTACGTGTACTTGCTGCCATTGTCTCTCTAGCAGTTGTCGGAAAGGTCGAATGGCTAGAAGGCCATGATAACTGAGTATTGGATGCATTTCCTATATGTAATTGACTGCCATCACTGGTTGCCGTGGCTGCTATAGATTGATTTGTTGTGGAAGCAGCATCATCAATATCCATTTGGCTTTCTTGACTTTGTTCGTTTTGTACTTGAGAACGCGTCTGTCGGTTTGAACCAGACGCATTCGGTTTGGTAGCTTGGAATGTGGGATCATCGTTCAAGTCATCATCAGCCCCTATTTCCTCTGAGTCCATGTCTTCCTCTTCGGAACTTTCCTCTGCTTCACCTTCTCCTTCTTTGCGTTGCTTTTTACGGCGATTTGATTTTGGCTTAACAACTTCTCTGAACAAAGCATAACGAAGGATCTTTTCAGCAGCCTTGGCATCTCGTACTTCAACTGCATTGCTTAATCGTGCTTTCGCATGCGCAGTACTCAAACGAATCAACGTTTCCAACGTACGAGCCGTAAGAGGACTAGTACGGCGTTGATTACCTTGCAAGTCATCGTTTCGTAGGCCACAATATATATTAGTGATGTACTCTGCAGTAGCTTGGTTAAGCACTGGGTTTATTCGAGATTTGGCGTATTGGATATATTTACGAACAAAATTTATATTTAATAACTCCTTTCGCTTTGTTCGAGCGTTAGCATGTAGCAAACTTGAAAATGTTTCCCAAACCGGTGTTTCCGATTCTTGCTCTCCATTTCCGGCAGAAACCCCTGCAGCATTTGTCGCACCAACATTTAAGACTGAGTTTAATGAGTCTCTAACAGGAGTGCCAGGTTCCAAACCCGGCGGTAAATAGCGATGCATTCTTAAAACATGTTCACTTAAAGCACGGTCCTTCTTGTCATCAATATCATCTGTAACAATAAATAATAAGTCGAAACGAGAAAGCATGGAATCCGGAAGAGCTATATTCTTGGTAGGATCTTTTCGAATATCATATTGGCCATAAATTGGATTCGCTGCTGCCACAACACTGCATCTTGCGTTCAAAGAGGTATGGATACCGGCTTTAGCAATGGTAACTGTCTGTTGCTCCATTACTTCATGAATAGCGACACGATCAATGTCACTCATCTTATCGAATTCATCAATACAAACAACTCCTCGATCAGCTAAAACCATTGCACCGGCTTCTAAACGGCGTTCACCGGTTTCCTTGTCAGAAGTTACAGCAGCTGTAAGACCAACACCTGATGAACCACGTCCGGTGGTTGCGATAGCTAAAGGAGCTGTATTTAATACAAAGCGAAGTAATTGAGATTTGGCCGTTGAGGGATCACCCACCATTAAAATGTTGATATCACCACGAATATGTGTACCATTGGAAAGATTTTTCTCTGTACCACCCAAAAGTAAAAGCAAAATTGCCTGTTTAATGTGCTCAAATCCGTAAATGCTAGGAGCCAAACTGGTGGAAAGAAGCTCAAAAGCATTTTTTTTCCTAGCTAACTTATTGATATTACGAATATCCGCGTCGGTAATTGTCAAAGCCCCTCCACCAACGTTCCCACTACCTGGCTTATTCGTCAGGAGTACAACGTTATTTGCGAGCAAAACGGTACGAAACGTGGCACTTGTACTTCCAGAGTTTTTGGATCCCATAGAACGGTATTGCCCAACAATATGTACTCGATCACCTGGCTTTACTGTATCTACCAAATCATCATCGAGTAAAATATCAATGGATCGAGGTAATTGACCCGGAGGTGCGCGTTCCGGCATTTCTTGAAGGGAAATTGTTTGATGATCTCGAAAAGTGCTATAGCCGAATTCAATAGAAAGAGGATTACCATTTTCATCCTGCGTTGGATAAACAGTAGACTGAAACGAAAGACCACCGTTCATTGTAGAATCAGCATACTGTTTGAAATGATGACGCTTAGTAGCTTCACAGTAATGTATAGACTTAATAACTTTGGGACGAACAAACGAACATCTTGTCACAATTCCTTCGAGAGAAATCATTTTGTTCAAATGCAAAGCCCTTAAAGTACGAGGTGTTACATGTAAATCACCAAAAGAGCCACGAAATCCAATATAAAAGGGTTTATCCTTTAAATCCTTATGGACGATAGGATCGATCAGTGTACTAATCACTCCCTGAAGAGCTTCATTAAAGGGTTCGGCAAATTCCATGGGCTGGTAGAGAATTCCGTCTGCTAACTCCTTATTATAATCGCGAAGTTCATCGATGTTAACAATCAAGCGTCTTTGCCCCATATTAAGCATTCTAAGAATCGCTTCATGATACAATGTTGCATTCGCATCGTCGGAATCGTGCTCAAGATATTCTTGAAAAATCCTTACACGGTCCTTAAAAACCTCATCCGCCAACAATTCCGACATGGTGTGTTCTTAAGCAGCAAACCAGCTAACGTTTAGCGACGCGTCTCTTTAAATTTTTTATCTTCCCTTAAAACTTCAGCCTAAAGAAACCTCTTTAAATCATATACTGGTACAATAGTAATTAGATGATGAGAAAATATTAATTTTTGGGTTTCTTGTTCAAGCAGGTTGTTTACAGTAATTGTTTAGCTTGGAGTGTGCATCTTCTGAATCTTCCCTAAAGTATAGTAACATGTTACCCATAAAACATTTGTATGTATTTATTTACAAACAGAAACAGTAGACTAAATCGAATAGTCAGCTTATTATGATGAATTTACTTTGATAAAATTAATCTTACACTTGAGGCTTTCAAATTTTGTGGGTTTTTGAATCTTCAAAAAACAGATGCAAGAACTTAAGTGCTAATTGTCAACAACGTCCGTCTGAAGTAAACCAAATCTATCTATGTAAATTAAAAGTAAGACTGCAAATTCAGTATATGATTGTAACATGCACATCCCGGGAGATATTAAAGATATTAATCATTTGAGCCTTGTTCGTAATTGTTCTTCGCGTTAATCTAAGATATAGGGAATTATTTTTTCATTCATGACTTTACCAGCTTATGAATATCTGACATAAGATCCCACCCATAAGTTGCGATACCCTCTACAAGCTGCTCATCCGGTATGGTCCCAAAACGACCTCGTATAATTTCACCATCTGACCCATATTTGATTTTGTAACGATGCTTTGTGTCTAATTGAACTTTCACTTCTTTATCATTCGAGGTAATGACTCGTCCTGATTTTTCAGAGATTTCCGGTGTGTATGTATTGGCATTCAAGTCCATGATGGTAAATCGCAGTAGACTGCCAGGAGGAAACTCAACATCTAAATTTGTACTTTTGGATATAGGAACCGCATTGTAGGAATGATCAACTTTGATTGTATCTGAATCGAAAGTAGAAGTTTGTCCCTCACTCGAAACTTTGCTCTCATCCGTTATATACGATCTATCCGCTAAACCCAAATCGCCTGGCATAGACTCTATATCTTGACCATATTTTTTCAGTAATCTGGATTTTTTACGACGGAGATTTCTAGATTTCGTAGCAGAGCTTCCAGAACCAGGAGGCTGAACTGAAGTTGAACTATTCAGGTCTTCATTGTCGAGTTCATGAAAAGAACGATGATTGGAAACGTCATTTTTATCTTCAGCAGACCGAAAATCAGAAGTACTGAATTCAACTGAATCGGTTCCGAGATCACCGAAACGCTTATATACAATATCACTTGCGTGCTCCAAACCAGGTTCAGCTTTATCGTTAGGGGAGGACTTCAGGAAATTTGCAGAGTCAAAAAGTGTCGTCCTTTCACCATCCATTGTGCTCCCAGAACAAAGGGTCTCCTGGTTGGTTGTATGCAAAGCAGAAGAATCACGAAAATAAGACATTTCGTTTGCTGTGTTTAGAGAATGAGAAAATCCAGATGTATTGCTCTTTGTCACGTCGTTTGATTGTCCTATATAGTGATCCAACTTTTCAGAATTGGAAGAGTCACTGTCGCTGGATGAAGAGTCCGAGTTTGAAGTGCTTTCGTCAGAAGAAGAACTGCTCTCTGAGCTTTCCGTCTCTGAAGAAGTGGCAGCTGTAGATACAGAAGTAGCATCAGAAGAAACAGACACAGAAACGGCAGATGAGGATTCCTCGGAAGAAGCATCGGATTCTGAAGATTCGCTCGGAGAAGATTTTTTTGGTGATTCCTTGTTTTTAATGGGTTTGTGTTGATTCTGAAGGGCTAGTGGACGAAGGTTGACTTTTTCTTTCATTGGGTTGAAAGTAATTTCACTTCCTGTAGAATGATTCAACTTGCTTTTCTTTGATGTTGACGTGTCATTCCATGCCGATGGGGCAGCTGCATCACGCTTTTTCGTGGAAAAGTCACTATTATTTGGAGTTGCGTAGGGTAAAGAGGAACTAACTAACATGTTGACTGGTTTCGGAGCTTGAGTGTTTTGAAGGTGAGCTTTACTTCCCCTACCCTGAATGTTGTTGCTCCATTCTTGAAGAGCTGTGTCCAGAGAAGTGGATGAGCTCAACCGTAAAGCCATGACTTCGCAGCCTCGCAGTAACGCTTCCTCCCTAGGAAGGGCACGCAATTCTAATACTTCTGAATCGCTCAAAAATAAATGATATGCCATAGATATCGGTAAAGCAAAGTCATCTTTTACCAGTTGTAAAAAAAGTTCATTTCCTAATGCATATTTGGCTTGATTCCCTGGCCCTACAAGGATAGATCGTCCATCCTTACAATCTCCAAAATTAAATAACAGTATACTATACAACAAATCAGCAATAGAGCTAGTTTTATCAGAAAGATTCAATTCAGCAGTGTGGATCCACTGCTGCATAGGGATCAAAGGCTCACAGCTTCGAATTCTTAGAAGCATCGTCAATTCTTCAAATTCTTGATTTTATGCGTCTCGTACTATACCATAAACGTTATAAAACTCATAAATTATAATCCTATTAGAACGATTTATAAAAACCTAAGCTTTTATTTTTTCCCTGAGTATTTCGCTACTTTTATCATATAGAGGGAGAAAGTATGGTTTGTTTACTGTTGGACTATTTACTTCCAAACATACGTGGATAGCGCATTACGGTTGAATATGGTATCATCTTTATTGAACTCGAAAGTTGTCGGTATTTTGTAAATAGTTGTGAACAGACAGACAACAAACCTGCCTTTTTCTAATTTCAATGTTTGCAAACGCGCGAGCTAAAAGACGTCCCAGAGCTACTTCTCCTACGCCTGCGAGATTAACCAGTTATGCTCCAGCTCGTGTAGAAATCACAGAAGAACAACGACAAGATATCCATGAGGCTTTCAAGTTGTTTGACTCGGACAAAGACAATGCAATTGATTACCATGAATTGCGGGCTGCTATGCGTGCACTAGGATTTAATGCAGAAAAACCAGAGGTACTTAAAATTCTACGTGACTTTGATAAAACTGGGAAGGGATACCTTCAAATGGAAGATTTTGTTCGCGTCAGTAAGTTTCCTCTATAGCATCTTGAAGTATACTATCTCATGAATATTGGCTAATATAATACAGTGACTGAAAAAGTTGTTGAACGGGATCCTTTAGAAGAGATTAAACGTGCTTTTGAGCTGTTTGACGATGATGAAACTGGTAAAATTAGTATACGGAATCTTCGTCGCGTTGCTAAAGAGTTGAATGAAAACATTGATGATCAAGAACTAGAAGCGATGATTGAAGAGTTTGATCTTGATCAAGACGGTGAAATTAATGAACAGGAATTTATAAGTATAATGATGGATGAAGCCTAAAATATACACTAGCAATCGAATTACTGGTTTCATTCCTCTCGGATTCCCTATACAACATGGTCCAAGCGAATATTTTTGTCTTTCTACCTTCTCTCGTTTTCCAACTCTTTGTGCGTGGTATATAATCTTTATTTATATAAAACATTAATAGTAAATGGTTTATTATTTTCTTCCAAGTAGACTTCGAAAGAAACCCTTTGTCTTGCTTTCGGATGGAAGCTCCTCTGTTTCCTCTTTCTGTGGTTTGGCTTTTCCAAATTCTGTTTGCTGACCCAGGTATGTAATAGCTAAATCAAAGAAAAGTGGTTTGGCAGGAATAGGGCGCAATTTCAGCTGAGTCAAATTCAAGGGTTTCTCCGATTCCGTAGTTACATACTGATCCATAGACTCGACTAGCGATAAATCCTTAGGTTTTTGGTTAATCATTTCCAGAGAAGCCAAACTACGCAAAAGCAAAATTCGTTTCTTCAAATCATTAGGCCCTGTTTGTAATTCCATGACAATATCGAAAGCTATTTCCAGAGGATTTTCCTCAAAATTATGAAGGTAATCATTTGCTTGCTCATAATATTGGCCTGCACGAATACACATAGCAAGTCCTTTGGCTTTGTCTTGCGATTGATAGGCATCGGCAATGACTTGGCAGCGCCTTGCTTTAACAATAGCAATTTGAGCTTCCAGCTGTACCATCATGCCATTATCTTTTGCGATACCTGGTAAGCTTTTGGCAGCTTCAATGTTCTATATTATAGTTAGACAGTTTGTAATACATAAAAAAACAGCATACCTTTATAATTGTATCATACAAGCTTTGTTGAGCTCTAAGGTTTGCTAAAGAATTCTTGACGGCTGGCAGTTCCTGAGTATGAATGTCCCGTTGAATTCGGAGCACGATAAGGTTGTAAGCAAGATAACTATAGCAGATTGAGAGTTCTTGATACTCATTGCTTTCGGGAGAAATACTATCTAAAACGCTTTTTGTGGTTTTCTCGGCATTAGCCCAAGCACCAAGCAAGCGATCATCAACTGTAGTAGAAACATCCATACCTGCTTGGACGTCATGGATACCATATAACGCCAACACAATTTCTGGGTGTGTAATCTGGATGGTTTGATCGCGCCAAGTGATTCGAGTGATGGACGAGGTACCAGCTTGATCTTCTGCATTCGATTCTAATACTTGAGGGTTTAGAACTTGAATATGTTGAACAATTAAGTCTTCTTTTGAAACATTTGCAAGCATAAGGATGTCTAATGATTGCGTTTGGTTTTCTAAACCGCTGCGCTGGGCGACATAGCGAATTGTAGAGTCGATTTGTGCTAGTAGCTCATTGAAAACTCCCCGTTGGTGTTCTGATAATGCTTCAAGAGATCGCTGTAATTGTTGGAATGCTAAACGAGAGGAACTGAATGAACGCAAAGAGTCCTCCCATGATCGCTTTTCATATAAAAATGTACCTTCAATGTATTTCATAAACGCAGCAGCCTCTAAAATAAAAATATGATTATTATGATCCTTTGACTCACAAAAAGAAACCAATTCCTTTGAGGTTTGCAGAGCCCGTTTTAAGCGTCGAAGAGCATGTTGACGTTGAGAAGACCGTAAGTATGTATATTGCTGGAATGCGCGATCAGCATCAAACAGTTGGATTTCCGCAAACCTTCCTAAGATTAGCTGCTTCATTCAAACTTATTTCCTTTCTCTAGTTTACGTACCTCTTATCAGCCGACGTCTTTGGCTTTCCACCTTTCTGAGTAATGTTTAAAGCTTTTCTTAAGGAATGAATGCGCTGTGATAAGTACTTCATATACTCATTTCCTTCATAAAAATGATCAGAGCGAGCCTCTAAAAGCAACGGTAACAGATAAAAACCTGCTTTTTCCATGTTTTGAAGAATTTGGCTCTGCACACGCGATTAGTTCAACCTAAGTTCTGCTTCCTGCACACAATACATCACTAAGCTTCGAAAAGTCGTTTAACCACACCGCTGCAATATCTTACCTTAATTATGGTAAGTCTATCTTTTTGTCTTACTGATATTTTGTGGCCTTTGTTGCTATTTTCTATCTTAATTTACGAACTGAAATGCCTACGTTAGTAAACAACCAGCCCGGATTTATGGAATAGTATTCTAGCATTGTTATTAATTTTAAATAATTTAGACAAGTTATTCAGCTAGTATGTGTTTTCTAAGAGGAAGTATGAAGGATTATCAGGAGGAAGGGTAAGCATCTTTCGAGTTGTATTGTTTGGTGCTTGTACATGCATGCCTTCCATTTTGTATAAGTTTTTGCTTCTTGGCTTATTCTTCTAGTTTCAAGGAGACTGTTTATTCTTACTAGTCCTCTACGAATCTTTATAAGACGAAAACATTGTTGGGTAGTAGGTTCTGAAAGCTTCGACTTTATCGCTTTCATGAAAGAAAGCATTTCAGAACATGTTAAGTAACTTGCCCATAATTTTATACTTAATTTAACTAATGTAACAGAAATAAAAAGTTCCAATCTCAGAAGCCCACAAAATATCCAACTATTCAATTTTTTCTATTCATTCGCTATATTGCGTTAGTAAACAAAAAAAAGCACAGGTTCTTTCTATAATCGATATACAAATGCTAGAATACAAATTCCTTAACAATATTGTTGCTTTGGACGACTATAGGCCAAAGAGCCCACAAACGATACTATGTGCATTTTGTTTGTCACTGACCTTGCAAGTCACCACTTCATCAACCAACAAGAAAAGCCAACAAGTCCAGTGTTTTCCAAAACACAGATAAGTGGTTGTTTGAATGGAAGAAGCAATATGGAATGAATGTTGGCAGGAAAAGTAATTTGTTTCCTTTCGAAACTTATACAAAATTGCAACTCCCTCTGTTAGAGCCGACTCTCTTGCATGAACTAGGGATTTTCAATGAAAACGAAAGCATCAAACGAAAGTATTTGGATTTATCAGAGGGCATAGACGAGGTTTCTTTAGCGAAGGACAATACACTGCTGGGAAAAGATGTCTTCTTAGGTGTTTCAAACTCGTCTGGTTTGATCAACTACAAGGCTGAAGGGAAGGATGAACATAGGGATGAAAGTTATTTCTTCGAATCTTCTACAGACAGGAAGCGGATAAAATCACAAAGTCCGGATTTAGAATCTTCGTCCTATGACCAAAGCGCTTTCAGTGATTCGAGCGTTTTAGGTTATTATTCGAATTGGGAAGGTACAAATTTTGTCGCGAAAGAAGCAAAGACACCATTCTTTACAGAATGTCCTCCTTTTATCTATGACGAGTTTTTACATGAAGATGGCTCTCCCGATGTTCCATCTGTTCAACGGATTTCATCTCAACAGGTTTATTTATCATTATGTGCTTTGATTCAAGGATTCGAAACTTCTTTATTCCTTTGGAATGATGAAAATCTAACCTTTCTTGTGCCCAACTGTGTTTCTATGTCAGGAACATCTCAGCTTTCCTTTACGAGTTTCGCTGCAAAGTTTGTTTCTATTGGCAATTTAATACGCAAATCTTTAAAGAAAATTAATACGCCAGTGTCAATTGCTCAATTTTACTTGTTTAATTTCTGTTCCAACGGTATTACTCAGTATCGTAATAAGTTACAAGCTTGGTTATTTGAAAATCACTCACCAATGTGTGGAATTTTATCGCTTATGAGTTTTATCCAAAATTTTCATCCTTTGTTCCATATACTTGAATATGTTTTGCATATTCCGCCTTCTCGACAAGATGCTGTATCGATAATGAATGCTCTTTATGATTATACAAATATGTGCCAGAATACCAAAGATTATCCGGTAGCTTTGCAGTGTCTTGTTTATTGTTCTGACCCCTTTTTTCTAAAATTAAATACGACATTGGACTTTACTGTTTCAAATAAGCACATACAAAACTATATCAAGTCATTTCCAAACTTTTTCCCTTCTGATCTCGCTTTGCTTCTTTCTGAATTTTTAAAGTCTTTCACTATGATTCAAGAATATCCTGCATTCTATGAAGCATTACGGCCAAAGTTAGCTACTCCTTTAAAAGCTGGTTTCTCCTTTGGTGAAAACTTTCTACATCTCCAACCAAAGGCATCACTAAATTTATCAGTAAACGAGTTTTCAACTGAGAAATTATACCTAGGTGAAGAAGATGATTTTGAAGTCATGCTACAAAAGATGAATATGACACCAAATGTCGATGATGAACTTCCTGCATTGCATTTTCGAGAAGGTACAGATAGAACGTTACCATTGAATCTTATAATGCAGTTATGTGTCTATAATCCGATTCAGGACTACATTTTAGTACTTATGCGAACCGTGTATCATTCCTTATTCACGACGTGTTTTGCTGCTCAGGTATTTTCATTACTACAAAACGTATGCTGTTTTCAGAGCTCATCTTTTGTTGACGAATTAATGTCCTATATACGGGACGATTTCCTCAGATTAGATGATTCAAGCTCATTTGAACATGCATTGTTGTCGTTTGCGTCTTCTTCTAACCAGTTTACAATTCACGAAATCGAACGTCTTGGGTTAGATGTATTTGCGAGCTCTCATATTCAAGTCTTTTTACACTACAACAAAGGAGAAACCCGACCTAACACGTTCGGCGCTTTAAGTCTAAATTGCCGGATTTCAGGACCGTTACAAATGTTATTCCCAGAAAAAGTATTGTATCTCTATTCTGAAATATTTTCCAGACTATCCTATTTCTTTGAACAAAAAGCGTCCATCGAATATGAATTTCAACAGAGTCAGCAGCTTTGGGACAAGAAAGCCAGAATTCAAAAATGGTTTTTTTACCAGAATATTAAAAATGTCGCTTATGATCTAGTACATGTTATTATTCCAGAAGCCATGTCTTCCTTTACCAAGTATTTCCTATCCCTTTCCAACTTTTCGTCAGACACACCGATCAGCTATTTTCCTTCTGAGATAAATGAGAAACATACAAAAATCCTGACTAATATAATGAAAGACATAGAAGCCAAGATAGATTCCTTCGACAATGCAAAGGAAACGAGTGTTAAATAAGAATTTTCTAATGCTACACTTAGACAATAGACTTTCGTAGAAATATGATTTGAATAATTATTAAATAAACAATCAGTAACTATAAAAATATTGTAGATGCATAAATTTAAAGGAAATGGAAATAAGTGGCTCCAAGAACTTGAATCACTATTGAGAGATTAATATAAATAAAACAAGTTTTTCTGGAAATTGAGATAATTTGGTTTTTTTTCTGGATATAAAAAAAAAAAAAAACTTATATCACAAAATGAATTAAGTATGCCCAAAAAAGAAAAGAAGAATGACAAAAGAGAAGAACAAAACCTACTAAGAAGAAATGAAACGGCCACTGATCATAATAACGTAAAAAGGCCAACAAACCCAATAAAGATACTGCGGGAAGGTAAAGTATATTTTTGCAGCGATTGGAAAGGTTAAAAAGGCAAGGGTATCGATTACCACAGAATTAGATGAGTTTACCAAACGAAAGCGTCATTGCGGTAACGGTAAATAGCGGTTTTGTTTAGGTTAACAGCAGTGTCGTTACTGAGGTTTGTTTTGGAAAGAGCAGCACGGCTGTCATTGGTATACACACAAATACCTTGGTTCTGGTAGCCAACATTTCGGCAAGTAGCACCGCCAAAAGGAGTGCGTAAAGCAGAATTGCAGTTGACTGGATATTGAGTACCATTGAAGCAAGTATTAACCAAGTAGGGATACTCCTCGTTGCAGTAAGTCTTGTTGCAAGCCCACTCGTCAAGGGAATTGCGAGCAAAGAGAAGAGGTTTTTCAACAACGTTAGAGTAGCTTAAAGAGAGTTTAGGGAAGGCACTCTTCTTGGTGTTTTTGTTGGAGGATGATTCAGTATCGAAATTGGAAGAATTGGTCTTTCCGGAATAATTTGAGGCACCGATTTGGCAGAGACCACGGGTAAGACCGTAGGAAGGTTCTGTGGCAATGCAGGAGGCACCTTGACCAGTAGGGTAACCAAGAACAGTGGGACAATTTAAAAGGACAGTACTATGGTTGGCACAGATAGCAATGACTTGAGGAGATACGCAAAGATTGGATCCAGAAACATGGCAGAATGTTCCTTCAGATATGTTATAGTAAGAAGTACTGGCGATTTTGTTGCTCATGTCATATAACGCAGAGCGTTTTTCGAGACCATCGGGTTTGAAAGCAGCACATGCTTGAAACAAAACAAGGACTAGAAAGACCGCAGAAAGAGGACTAGTGATAGAGAATGATGCCATTGTAGAGGAGAAAAGAAGAGATAATTTTCTGAAATTTGGCAATGATAGGTGAAGGCGGCAAAAACTTTTTTACGTAAAAACGAACAAATGGTTATAACAAGAAAAATGGGTAACAAATAACAACTCAGAAGTCTTTTCTGAACAACAATTACCTTTTAATGGCTTTTAGGAAGATTGTGTATAGTTGGAACGTAGCTGCAAGGTTGCGGAGGCGTGTATATATAATAATAGATAAGTAATTTTGTTTACATCCATCGTAAGAAGGATCTACGTGGCGACCAAGTTTACGAGCCAATCAGGTCCCGTAACGGGCGTTATCGTTAACCTAGCAACTACTCTTACGTCAGTTGTAAATAAATAAACAATAGTCATGCGTGCATGTAAACAAGCCACCCGGTACATGAACCCTGATGAATCAAGCAGCAAAATGTGACAATTTTCATGGTACCATGAAAAATCCATTTCTCTATTTTAATTTCTAGAAAGTTTAAAACTCCCTTACTCGATTCCTAGGCTTGCTGGAATAACATTATTATATCATCACTTGGAGACTTATTAGCATGAACAAATTTGAGAATCTCTTGCTGATTAGACATAGAGTAGTAACCTCACTTTGTTTGATACTGTTTGCAATGACCTTTGACAACAATTGGATCATCCATGGAGATTCGTCTCGATATGGAAACTGAAAATTAAAGTATGAGGCGGGATCGTACATAAATGAAGAGCGATCGAAGTCTATGCAGGGTTTGCGTAATGTGTGGGTGATAGACCCGGTGATGTGTACAGTAGAGTGGAGTAGGATGGAAACGAAGTCGCAAATTGAAATAACAAATGCGCGCTTTTTCTTGCAACTTTCCAGTCTTTAAATACCTCAGTTGAAATCGCCTTTTCAATCGTTGTATTGAAATTTGTAACTTTTCTGTAAGTGATTCTTTCGAACATACATTTGCTGTACAATCGAGTTCCTCATACAGTGCGCTTTTGTTTATTTAGTTATAATTCGTTGAAAAGACACACACACACACACATGTACATACAAAAAAATGGATACTGTAGTTTTCCCTATATGAAAAAAATTATTTGTTTTTATCCATTTAATTATTTATTTGCCATTTTGTAAGTTTTTTGATTTGTATAGCCATAAACAACAATATTTGCGTGGATGGAATCAATTGTGAAATTCCTTCCTTCCTCTTTTTACCTTTGTCATCGATTTTTTTGTAGTCAACTTGAGCATATTATTTTTCTTAAGAAGGTTAATTTTCGTATAGTCATTTTCATCTATGGCTAGTACAATTCTTATATAATTGCGATTCATCCCGTTAGAGTTAGAAAAGCGCTCCATCCTACATAAATATGCGTTCACAGCACAACCCTTTCAAAATCCCCAACATGCAGCTTTTATTGTTCCTAGATCAGAAACTAATGTAGAATCACCTTCCGTAGTATCATGATATTCCCATTTCCATTAAAAATGAACCCTTTGTTTACATCCAGTAGCAGGGTACAATATTTCCTTGTTACTTGGAAGCACCTACATGACGCTGCTCTAGTGAAAGGACACGCACCTTCTGCCAACGCTTCTTTTCTTTAAAGATGTCTGACAGCATCAATTTTCGTGACGCTGGATATAATTTTACTACGATTCTTAAACGGTAAGTTCGTAGCGACAGCGCATCTTTTTCTGGTTGTCATTATCGGCTGTTCTCCGAACCCTTTTGACTAATCATTGCTATATGTAGATTGGAAGCAGCAACCTCTCGTTTAGAGGATCTAGTGGAAAGTGGCCATGAACCTCTTCCAAACTTGCATCGGCCTTCAAGAGATCACAACGCTCAGACTCATAACATTTCGTTTGGCTCCTATGCCTCCCAGAATGGTGGTACCAGTAGCCCTGCCATCGCTGCTGTTAAGGAAAATGCTTCTCCTAGCGTAACACCTCGTCAGGGTGGTAGCAGCTCAAGTACTGATTCTGATTTAAATTCTCCCTCCATCGCTGCATATGATGAGTTTTGTTCCAAACACCTGAATGAGTATATTCAATTAAGCAAGAAGCTCGGTGGACTTGTTGAACAACAAAGTAAGCATGTTGAAAAAGCGTTCAAGCTGTTACGGGGTATCTTGGTAGTGGCCATGAAAGCAAAGAAACCGGACTATGAGTCTCCTGAATTTTTCGAGTTTTTGAAACCTATTCAATCCGAACTCCTTAGTACTACGAATATTCGTGATGAAAACCGCACTGCTCCTGAGTTTAATCAGCTCTCTACCGTTATGAGCGGTATCAGCGTCTTGGGTTGGGTCACCATTGAACCTGCACCTGTTTCTTTCATGTCAGAAATGAAGGATTCCTCCCAATTTTATGCAAACCGCGTTTTAAAGGATTTCAAGGGGAAAGACGAGCTTCAAGTTTCTTGGGTCCGTTCTTACCTTACTTTGTTGGGTGAGCTTATTAATTATGTCAAGTCTTATTACAAAACCGGTTTGGGTTGGTCGAACAAGCCAGATGCTTCTCCTTTGAAGGAGATTATGAAAGCGACTACTAGCAAGCAACAAGATGAATCTCCAAGCAATTCAACTTCCGGAGCAAGTGGCTTGCCTCCTCCTCCCCCCTCCTCCTCCACCATCCAATGAGTTTTGGAAAGACAAGGAAGAGCCAAAGGAAGAAGGAAAGACTGACATGGGTGCCGTCTTTGCTGAAATTAATAAAGGAGAGAACATCACCTCTGGTCTTCGAAAAGTTGATAAGAGTGAAATGACACATAAGAACCCTGACTTACGAAAGACCGGTCCTACTCCTGGTCCTAAGCCCAAGATGCCATCTTCGGATGCCAAGCAAGAAGCAGCTACTCCAGCTAACTCAACAAAAGCACCACGTATTGAGTTGGAGAATACCAAATGGTTCGTCGAAAATCAAGTCAACAACCATAGTATTGTATTGGAAGGCGTTGAATTGAAGCACACTGTTCAAATCCTTGACTGTTCCAACTGCACTTTAATCATCAAGGGAAAGCTCAACGCTGTATCCTTGTCAAACTGCAAGCGTACAAGTGTTGTCGTCGACACTTTGGTTGCCGCGTTTGAAGTTACCAAATGTAGTAACTTCGGCTGTCAAGTCATGGATTACGTTCCTATGATTGTTGTCGATCAGTGTGATGGAGGAGCCGTTTATTTGAGCAAAAATTCTTTAAGTACCGAGATTACTACTAGCAAATCATCCGGTTTGAACGTGAATGTTCCTGTTGACGATGGCGACTATGCCGAACGTGCTATCCCTGAACAAGTTAAGCACAGGATTAACGAAAAGGGAGAGCTTGTTTCCGAAATCGTTCGTCATGAATAAATGTGGGATGCTATGAGAAGACGAAATGAGGATATGGCATGAGGTCGATTGACTAAACCTTTCATCACTTTTTCTTGAGAAGTTACGACATGACTATGAATATTGTTTGGTTTTTCAAAGTCTGCCTCATTAAGGTAGCATCTCAAACTTCCAAGATGATTTCTAACTGGTATTGCTGTCATCGATTTAATGATGTCTTGTATTTTATCTTTTTCGTGTGAACAGAAGAACGTATACAACACCTTTTGAAGGAAAATACATGCCTCTACCTATGCTGATGTTTTACGATGAATAATGTGAATGATGTGAATGATGCTGATATACCTTGAGCTATACGTATTTGATATACCACTTAAGAGGAAGAAATTTGGTTGTTTGTTTCTATTTCTTCGTTTTGATATTTGTTTCTATTAGAATCTGAAAGACATCCATCCATCCGTTCCATCGTTAAGCATATTAGCTTTTGAGAAGCTTTAGATACTGCTTAATCATTCCTCTTTATTATAGAATATTACAATTTTGTTTGTTAATTTTAGATATCTTGATTCTTTACTTAATTCCTAAAACTGTAAATGGTGACTTTTCTCTCAAAATTCGTTCCTTTGAACAAAAAAAGATGGAACCGAAAAGAAAGTAATAATCAAGAAACAGAAGGTCGTCAAAACAAGAGACTTGTCTATCAGGTTCGGCAATAACTACTACAATTTCATTAGGCAAAACAAGAAATTCGTAATTGTATAAAATGAGTATTGGGGAACGAAGCCTTCGGCTATTGAAACAAACTCTTGTTGGTCAGTTTCTTTTGTTCGGGTATTGATCGTATGGGGGAATACGTAAAACGTCAGTCCCTCAGTTCCTGGCGGATGTTTCCGTGAGTATATATACGTGATGGAAGGGAACCATAAACTTCTCCTTTACCAACCCCCCTTCAAAGTAATAAACGCAGGCAGAAAGAAAACTAAAGTTTTCAAATTCATTCAAATTAACTACGAAACACATATTCGAAGTAAGTTGCTATTGAATTGCTGATGAAAAATCATTCACGACGGGCTTTGTTGTAATCTACGCGAACTTGAGGTTGGAAAAGAGCATACTTTAAAAAAAAGAGAGAATTATCTGTGGGAATAAAGCAATTTCATAGCAAGATAAATTGAGAAGATGAATATAGAGTGAGATAATAACAGCACGAGAAATTTCTGAGCAATGGAGTTCAATACGCCATATTATTTCTTCACTATTGGTCCTCACCTCTTTTTTATGCCCATTTGATGTATCTATATTCCATCAAAGGTAGATGTCAGCATGCCTAGTGATATCATTCTATTTAGAAAGTCAAGACAAAGAAGTTTAACTAACACCCAAAATAGAAAAGCTTTACGAGTCCTTGGAAAAATGATGCATAAAACAGTTTTACAAAGATTGGGCATGAAGATCTGTATGCCTCGCACCTTTTCAACTAGCTCCAGATTAAATTACAAGGTAGCTGTTTTGGGTGCTGGCGGAGGTATTGGCCAGCCCTTGTCTATGCTTTTAAAGACAAACACGAAGGTTTCTGAATTAGCTCTTTTTGATATTAAGGGTGGTCCTGGTGTTGCAGCTGATGTAGGCCACATCAATACCTCTTCCAACGTCGTCGGCTATTCTCCCGATGACAAGGGTCTCGAAAAGGCTTTGAAGGGCGCTGATGTGGTTGTCATCCCCGCTGGTGTTCCTCGTAAACCTGGTATGACTCGTGATGATTTGTTCAAGACCAATGCTTCTATCGTTCGGGATTTGGCCTTCGCCTCTGGTGAAGCTGCACCTAATGCCAAGTACCTTGTTGTCACCAATCCCGTCAACTCTACTGTTCCTATCTTTAAGAAGGCCTTGGCTCGTGTGGGTGTTAATCAGCCTAAGCACTTGTTTGGTGTCACTACTTTGGATTCTGTTCGTGCTAGCCGTTTCGCTTCTCAAGCAACAAATGGCCTTGCTGAATTACTCAGTATTCCCGTTGTCGGTGGTCATTCAGGTGCTACTATTGTGCCCCTTTTGTCTCAAGGAAAGGTTAATTTGACCGGTGCTGAACGTGATAACCTCGTCCACCGTATTCAATTTGGTGGTGACGAAGTGGTCAAGGCCAAGGCTGGCGCCGGAAGCGCTACTTTGTCTATGGCTTATTCCGGAGCCCGTATGGCCTCCTCTGTCATCCGTGCTTTGGATGGTGAATCCGGCGTTGAAGAATGTACCTTTGTGGAGTCTCCTTTGTATAAGGATCAAGGTATTGACTACTTCTCTTCTCGCGTTACTTTGGGCAAAGATGGTGTTGAGACTATTCACCCCGTGGGCCCCATTAATGAATATGAGGAAGGTCTTCTCAAGGTCGCTCTTGCTGAATTGAAGAAGAGCATTGAAAAGGGTGAACATTTCGTTGCATAAACTATTTCTGCGAAAATTTCCGATTGCTTTTCCATCATTCTTTTAACCTTCAACGCAATTCGTTTATGATATCTATGCCTAGATTAAATCCCTCTTTTTTCTTTTAATACAACATTTAGTTTTTATTCTATACTTACTGTAAGGGCTTTTCGCTTGCTTGCAATTTCTACTGAACTGTAAAAACGAATTGACATCGAAGTACGTTGTAAATGATGAGAATTTTTGCAATAGAGTAGCAGATTTTTATTTGAAGAAAATTTATGATTTCGTATTTGACAAACAAAACATTTATTTTTTAGAACCATCCTTTTTGCCTTTACTTACTCCTAGGATATACGACGCCTCTAGGGCGAAACTTACGAAATTCTCTTACCAAACCGGTTGGAACACCAAAGTTCTGTAGAAAGTAAAATATACGATATAGAATGCCATTGAAAAGAAAAACAGAATATAAATCAATAGATAAGCTTGATCAGAAATTGGTATTTGCATTTCTTAGTGAAAAAGAGGGATGAACTAACAAAATCTCGCAGATTCAAAAGGCTTCCGCAGCTTTATTACAATACGTGAGACAAAAAGGTTACAATCCTGAGAAAGAAAGGATATATTTGCAAATAAATACATTTCATCCGCCTGAGAACGAATCGTTAAGGAGGCCCGACAAAATGTAAGTAATTTATTTCAAGAGTTGACAGATGGATGACTTTCTTGCCAATTGAAAGTTGAATTTTTCAAGCCGTTTTCTTCGTAGAAATGGCAGTATTGTTTTCCAGTTCCCTAGGTATTGGAAAGTTTCATAAGGATTTGTTTGACTCTTCGGGTATTAGGCCAAAAAGAACTGTATTCACTAACATTATATTAGTTTTCTTCCTAATCGGGTTTTACATGCAGAAGATGCCTGCTTATTTGTGAAAGGCTCTCAGCAACAATTGCAAGACGAGGTACAAAAGCAAGGGTTGGACGAGATCATTACAAAAGTTGTTAGCATTGCAAGGTTAAAATTAAAATATAAAACAGTCAAAGAAAAGTGTCAGTTACGTGATTCTCATAGATTTTTTTTAATGGATAAACGAGCTGCAAAAGACGTGACGGCATTGATGGGTACGGTTCTTGCCCAAAAGAAGATAAAAACATTTCCAATTTCCGTCGATCAAAAGAAAGACACAATTCGCCATCAAGTCGCTCGTTGCTTACATTCTACTTACTTTCAGTTATCCGCCGGTACAAGTCATTCCATTCTATGCGGATTGGCTTCTCAGAGTAGTGAGCAATTGCTTCAAAATATCGAAGCCATACTTCGTGCTCTGCTAGGAAAATACATTCCTAGAGGATGGAATGCGATCGATAATATCGCCATAAAAACAGCCGACAGTGTCTCTCTTCCTATTTGGAAGTCGGAACAAGCGGCTGCTGAGTATAAAAGAAGTGTTGTTCACATCCAAGATAGCCGTCCTCCAACCAAAAAGGAGTTACGAGCAATGCAACGGGGTACTCAAGTTCCTAACAAACCTCTCTAAAGCTGCCTTACTATGCTATCGTTTGGTTCATTGACGTCTAAGGAGTATAATGTCTGTTCATCTCTGTAATTATTGACTGTGTTGAACGACTATATTATATTATATTTTTATTTTATTTTATTTTTGGATAAATAAAAGGTCATTGGTTTGGTACACTACAACAATTTCAAGAGTTTCCATTTTTCAGGCAAGTATATGGTAAGGAGTTCAGTTTTGCATTTTCGCAAGCAGAATTCCCAATCAGTATTCCTTATACATATTCAAAATATAATACCTAATAATATCCTAATCCATTTGATACTAATTTGTTTTGCTCATCCAAGCTGTTTTATTATTTCCTCCTTTATAGTAATATTAAAATAAGGGAGCTTTGATTTCATATATTGTACCTCCCATCTCAAGCAAGCTAGGAATTCTTAAGGAAAGATTCGATTTTCCTAAAAATCGAGACGAAGTCAATCCATTATGAATATCCTGAATCTTTCTCTGTTTTTCTACATTTCGGCTGCAGTCGCTTTCCAGGATACTTTTCCATTATTCGCATTTTCGTCATCTTCGTAAGTCCAAAATGTAGCAATGTCAAGGCTCCCAAGGCTAACTTTTATTTAAAGATCTGTAATTGATGCTAAAGAAGGTCCTGTCTTAACCTCCTATCTCAAATTCAACAATAAGGCAGAACAGCTCCTGTCAAATTGCGATGCTACTACGGTTTTCATTTACCAACCTGGTCTTCAGGCAGAAGACTTTCATTCTTCTGCTTTATCTCATATGAAGCGTATTTCTTTGGACGCTGTCTCTCAATATATCTTACCTTATTCCAAGGAGCGTTTGCAACCTGATCGACTTATTCACGATGCGAAAAGCTCTTGCTCTTCGAAATTAGTAAACATTGACCCTACTCATGAGTCATTTCCCACTTTACAAAGAAACCAAATCAGTGTGGTCTCCATGAAGGATTTGTCTTTAGATGCTAAATCACGCGAACAAGAGTTATTTGAATTGGATCAAGTTATTTACTCGCTTCACTCTACTATATCTGATGATACTGACTTCAACTTTTTCCTCACTTCTTCTCCAAAGCTTGCAAACATGCAGTTGTTGGAAGATGACAAAACTAAACAAAAGGAAGACCAAGAAGAAGGAGAAGAAGGACCTTCGACTATAGACTCAAACTATTTTTTAAGTATGAATCGCCTTCGCCATGCACAACCAATCTCCCTTCCCGTGGAAAGCATGAATGTTCGCGGCAATTCTCTAGTTCGTAACCAACAAGAACAGAATGTAACTAGTACTGAAGGCAGTTTATTTGATCGCTATCAATTTTTTACCCCAGGAATTTTTATGGGATATCTAGCTCTAGCAGTTTTGGTGCCTACTCTGATCATTTCTTGCAAGTTGCTCTCATCCATTCAGATCAGCTACCATGCGTTCAGCAGCCCTCGTAAAAAGAATTTATCTGAAAAGTAATAACTTGTTTTGCTTAATTTTGCAAAGTGCAACGGATACTGTGTTGGTTTATGTAAAGCAACAAAAAGTGCCGCTTAAAAGATAATGTAGAAAGAATGGGTCCTTGGGTCCTAAACTAATTCTTGTGAGATGATTTTTCTGTTAATAGGATAAAGTGGGTTCAAACTGAACAGTCGAGAAATATCATTTGGCAGCTTTGCTTCTATAAAAAGAAAACCCCAATATGAAATCGGGCAAGGAAATGACTGACTGTTTTGTTCCTTCTAATTCTTCGATGAAACAGTATGTTGATTGAATTGTGAATCACTCTGACTATTGTTAATTTAGAAAGACGCGAACCATTACAATTGAAAAGCCCCCTATGCGATTACAATTTGGTTCCTTGATTTTTTCACTAGAGATTATATTTTATGAATAGTTTTTGACAACGTTATTTGAATCAAGTACATGTTGAATGAGTTAGAAAGAGAATCAGATGTTGGTTTTTTACAGCTAATTTGTTTCATATTAATTAAATAAATAATATCAACTTTATAATGCTTCATTTCACCTTTGAAACAATAATTCAAGTATCAGCATCCTGTCACCCCTATTATTGCTAACAGCTGGAATACCCTTCGTTAACCAAATTTGAGCTTGATTGTGTATATTCCTATAACATCCGAATAAATTGTTAATTAATTAATTTAAGAGGTAGAAGAACACGAGAGGATCAATATGGCACCTGATAATATATATCGACCTCATCCTCGATATGCTGAAGGGTTCCCTAATCAAGGAAACTTGAAACGCTCCATTTCGGTGTTATCCTTTACTTCGTTGGACAATATGCGATCAACGTTGTCCGGGTTATTCACTCCTTTGAAGCTAGAAGAAGAAGAAGAAGAGGATGATGATGAAGAACCTTCCATTCATGATTATGAAGACTACGCAAGTAAGCAGAAGGACGACGATCTCAAAAAAGAAAAAGGAAGAAAACGGGTTATCAGAGTACCCAATTTATCCATAAAGTTACTGCTTTTCAAGTTTTTGGCAATCTTCGGGTTAGGAGCAATATTTACTTACATGGCTGAAGGGATTGTACAAGAAGCCAAATTATCACTTTTGACTGTACGATACGGGAACTGGGTGTTTAAACCAAATTGGTCAGTTACTTTTGGACTTGTAGCAATAGGGCTTGCAGTCTCATATCGTTTAATGGATGTACGATATCCATCTGGTTCTTCTGGAACAAAAACATCAAATTCTTCTCAATTTCAAGTTTTTTCAAGATATCTTGCTGCTTTTGCTACTCTACTTCTCACTATGAAGGTAAGTTGAATCCGCGTTTCCGTTCTGAATTCGTGAAGCCTTACAATAAAAAGAATTTTTCCGCTAACAACTTGTTCTTAGAGATTATTGAGCACTCAGAGCACACATTCTTTTGCTGCTTTAATTGCTAGCGCTATTACCATCTGGTATGTGTTTGACCGTTCAAAAAATGGATTTACTGTATCTTGTGTAATGAGTATTGTTGGCAGTATAACGTATTATGTTTTTGTTGATAGTGCTCCCTTCAGGTAAGATAAAATAATGGTTGATTCTGTTTGCTTACGATTTAGTCTGTTCGAAACTAACCCTCCGGAATACCAATTTCGTTACTGGATCCCCATGATTCTTTTCTCTGCCTCAACTATTGTAGGAAACGCTGGTCGTCTTCTCTTTTAAGTTTTTATGATGATTTATAAACCTTGGATTCTTTAATGTATTATTCTTTCTTTTTTATGTTTGTAATTGTTATGGCATTCTAGTATATGATTTATATGGCAAATGCTTAAAACACTATAGGATTTCTCTTTCAGTCTACTTTATTAAATTTTTCATTCTGTCTATGGATACGTTGGTCAAAAGACGATGATTCCACATGCATACTCGGAAAATTGCCTAATTTAACAAACAGAAATGGAAAGTATAACTTTCCCGTGCCTCTTTCGTCCAGTTCATTTTTTTGATTGTCGATTCGACGAATGCTTGAAAATTTTGGTTTATCATTTTGAAGACGTATTATTCATCCTAAAAAGCACGGAAAGGTAAACGAATACTCGTGTATGAATTCTGTTAGTCTGTTTTCTTCTTCTAAAATGTATTCTCGTACAGATTTCATGCTAAACGTTTCATTGTCTGTAGTACTTGAAATGTAAGTGCATTGATTGTATAAATACAACGAGCAAGGTGGTGTATCCAGAAAAGTCTTGATGAATCCCTCTGAAGATGGATTTCATTTATTTATCTATGCGTAATTGCATTAAGGTAAAAACAAACATAGAAACGTATCTATTCCCAAAAGTTGGCGCGTGACATACTCCTTAATTTCTTTTAAAAGATAAAGATAATTATTTATTTTGTAAAAGTGTTACATTCACTCCATTTGAAACTACAATGTTTAAATTCATTTCTTCCTTTGTTTATTATTTAACGTTCTCTCTACGCTTCACTATTGTCTCTTGGATTGGGAAACGCGGTGCACTACTCCACCACGATTTTACCTTTCTCCTATATCTTACAAGGGAAGGCCAGGCAAAAATTTATATGTGATTGTTTCATCCTTTTTAATAAAAAAAATTATTGCTTTGTAAGTTTTGACTTGACAGGTTCAATTTCGGTTGTTTTTTTGACTTTGTTTACGTGTCGCTACGAATCAAACGCTACTCATGAGCATCTTTAATTATTAACACCATTGACTTTAATACCTGAATGTATCCTATCTGAGGTCTGCAAATATATATTACACATGTCTACATTTCGCAAAGTATCTTGCTTTAATCCATCACACTGATATTGACTGGCCTTTTTTAATCATTTGATTTTTCTACATTTCTGATCAAGTGTGTTACGAATTTTGTGTATAATTTAATTTAAACATCATGGACAGTTTTCCTTCAAAACCGCCTTCTCAGAAGCCTAATCCTCCGCTTCAGAGAAATAATTACAAACTAATATACGACCCCGAGCTAGGCTTTAAAGAATCATTAGGAAAAAAACCAGTATACCGGTTCAATGGCGTTGCAAAACCTCCATTGGTAGTTCGAGACCCGAGACACAAAAATCCCCTCTATTCGCGGGGGATACCAAAAAGTGGGCGACCATTTTTAAAATCATTGCAACAAGTCAGATTCGAATATAACGAAGATTCTTTAGGGCCTGAACCCCCTACTCAAATATTCGTCTATAATCTCTCTCCTCTTGTTACAGCAGACCAGCTTCGATATCACTTCAAATCTTTCGGGGACATATCCCAATTGGATTTGCAATTAAATCCGTATACTGGTACTTCATTAGGCTTGTGCCGGATTTCTTTTTCAAAACATGAGTCAGTATCGAAGGCTCATTTGGCTGCTAAGCTTGCTGTCCAGCAAGCTAGTGGTCTCAAACTTTCCGGAAAGCAACTTATGGTCGTTATAGATGATGATGGGTCGAAGTGTGAAGCTGCTCGCGACAAAGCGCTGCAAGTGATTGAAGCCGAATTTGCTGAAGAATTATACAAGCGAGAGCAACAAATGAAAAAAGAAGAAAAAGAAAGAGAAGAAGAAAGAGAGAAAGAAAGGGAAAGAGAAAGAGAAAGAGAAAGAGAAGAGGAAATGAAGGCTATTCATGAAACTTCAAATGTGCCTCCGTGGAGACGATCACAAAAGAACCAAAGTTATAACAAACAGCAGAATGGAAACTTTGATTTTTCAAATAATAACTTAAAGACAAACGATACTTCTGTTCCAAAAGATATCGAAAATCTTATATATATTTTCATCGACGATAGATTTGTTCCTCCCGATCGCGTCTACTATTCCGATATAAAACACCATTTTCGAAAATTTCGGTATGAAGGTATATATATGAATAGAGATGGGTTTTATATTACTTTCAATAGCTACCGCGAAGCTAGCAGTTGTTTTTGGACTCTCGACAAAACTTTCGTTCAAAATTGTCGCATAAAATTGAAACTTCACGATGCTCCTCAATCGAAGAAGACGGATCTGGCGCCTACTAATAAGAAAAAAGAGTTACCGAAAGAGGATGCTTGTACGACGGCGATTTCTGTAATCCTAAAAGACTTGGAAGAAGTATTAGTACGAGACATTAAAAACAAGATTGCAGGACCATGTATTTTTCAGATTTTGGAATCATTTCCAAAACCCGCACCTATAAAAGAAGAAGAAAAAGGACCAAAAATTTCGACTCTTGAGGTTCCTGAATCACTGAAAACGGAAGCAATATCAACGTTGCCCCATTTACCCAGATTTAAAAAGCGAGCAGATGCCCACAAAATAAAACTGCCAACTGAGAGCAAAATTAAATCAAAATTGCAAAGGAGACGAAGGAAAAAGATTGAGGCCAGACCTTTGCATTATCAACTAAATCAACAAACTTACGATTCTTCTGATTCCGAATTTGAGCAAGAAGAGGCACTAGATGAAGAAAAGGTTTTTGACGGTAAATCTGATGGCTTCAAGCCTAGTAAGGTTGAGGAATCAACTCCCTTCCTCTCAGAAACATCTGAGGATGAAGAATATTTGGAAAAATTTCAACGGACGCGCCCCAAGTCTCGTCTTCCTAGACGGAAATCTGACAAGCTTGATATAGACTATACCTCTTCTAGCGAAACTGAATCGGATGAATTTGTTTCCCCTGCTGTTATCTCAAAACCACCTTTTGAAAGATACAAAAAGCATGCTTTAGTGAAGGAACAGCAGGATATTTCCCTGCTAACGACTAAGCATAAGGAGAATGAGTTTAGTGAAGATGGCGGTCTGTTTTATGGTACGCTACCCTATAATTATCCTGAGGATGATGTTTTGGTTGATCTGGACGGAGTTCAATATTTGTTAAAAGACGATCAAGATCTTCAATATTTACGTGAAGCACTCGCTTCAGAGGATGCCAATGACATTGGGGATCCCAATTATTGGGCATTTAGACGAAAAATCTGTAAATTCAGGAATGGCGACGTTTCTGCTGAAGGTTCTCCTGTACTACCAGCTTCTGTTGGTTATGAACGAATCAATTCAACTGGATCTGCAAGAAGTGAGGGCTACTATATTATACCCACTGCTGAAAAATCCCAATACTTACCTCTCCGTAATCGCTCAACAGTGGAAGGTGCCAACCAATCGACAAGTAGAGTTACCTCCAGAATGCATCGTGTTAATAACCGTAGACTTGCAGCCGGGGTTGAAAAATCATTACTTCCAGCTGAAGCTGATTTACTTCGTTTTAACGCATTGAAAGCTCGTAAGAAACAACTCAACTTTGGTCCTAGTCGCATTCATACTCTCGGTCTCTTTGCGATGGAAAATATTGACAAGAATGACATGGTTATTGAATATGTGGGCGAAGTGATTCGCCAGCGTATTGCTGACAATCGTGAAAAGAATTACGTTCGGGAAGGTATTGGTGACAGTTATCTTTTCCGTATTGACGAAGATATTATCGTCGATGCTACTAAAAAGGGAAATATTGCCAGGTTTATTAACCATTCTTGTGCTCCTAATTGTATTGCTCGAATTATTCGTGTAGAAGGAAAGAAAAAAATTGTCATTTATGCTGATAGGGATATCATGCAAGGAGAGGAGTTAACTTATGACTATAAATTCCCTGAGGAGGCTGATAAAATCCCGTGTTTGTGTGGTGCGCCTACCTGTCGTGGTTATTTGAATTAATAGACCAGCTATACTATAGAAGATAATTTGCTTACGTTCTTTTTCTGCTAACGACAACGGAACTTTTGATCGTGCTCCCTCAGAGATCTAATTTTAATTGTTGATAATTTCACTTTAGAAGATAATGGAATTTTTTTGGTTTAAATTTAGCATTTACAATTAGTTTCATATAGCTTTTATATATTTGTGCAACTTTTACTTATCCATTTGGCACAATTTAGAACTACATAAATACAAAAGATAAAATAAAAAATGAAATCACAGTTACACTTTATGTCTCAGGTTTTACATTAGCTAGAATGAAGCACTGTTGTTCAATGTGCCTGTCACCGCCCTTCCACCAGAAAGCTGTAAACATCAAATAATAAATGAAGCGCGCCAGTTTAGGGGGCCATACGCCTGTAAACTTAAATTCATTGAATGATGATGCATTGGAGAAAAAGAAGGCTAAAGAAAAAAGCAGGAAGGAACGTGAATTCAGAAGAAGCTCAGCGCTTCATTCTATTACTCCCAGAAGAGAATCTTTAGGAGGACCAGGCTATGGATCACCCTTTAATAGCTCGTATCAAGTTCCTGTTTTGTCTAACTTTGAAGAATGGATCAAACTAGCTACCGATAATAAGATCAATTCAACAAACACATGGAACTTTGCACTCATCGATTATTTCCATGATATGTCTTTGCTTCGAGATGGAGAAGCTATCAACTTTCAAAAAGCCAGTTGCACTCTAGATGGATGTGTAAAAATTTATACATCTCGAATTGATTCAGTTGCTACAGAAACAGGAAAGCTACTTAGTGGACTCGCCAATGATTCCAAAACCCTTGGTGAAATTGAAGAATCTAGCGAGAACGTAGAAGAGGAAGAAGGAAGGAAGAAACGTGAACGAAAACGCGCGAATCGATCTGTCAATACGCTTGCTAAAGATTTCGAAAGCTTACGGGCAAAACGGTTCGAGTTAGAAGGCTCTTTTGATCCATTATTTAAAAAAATGTGTGCAGATTTTGATGAGGACGGTGCAAAAGGGCTTTTAATGAACCATTTGTCCGTCGATCAACATGGTAAAATAGTTTTTGACTCCAGTGACGCTATTATTAAGGATTTAGAAGGAAATGATGATCCGAAGGAGAATGTTTTGGAAAATAATGCTTCTGAAGATCCAGAAACTGGAAATGAGAATAAGAGTACTTATGCCGATGGTATTTCCTTGGAGGCCCTGGGAAGTATTCAAAAACGTTATTTCATTGATATTGATCAACTTACGATTTGTCCTTCCTTGCAAGGGTTTGAATTTGATAATAAAGGTAACCTGGATGTTTCATTGCTAAAGTCTTTAAGTGATGAGGTGAATATGATTGCGCCGAATTCATTGTTAGAAGAACAAGCAGCTATGAATGGAGATGTGGAAATTGGCTCATTACCGACGGATTCTGAGGAGGATGATAATGATAATGAGCAAGGACACATTGTTCATGCACTTGAAGACATGGCTTACGGTGATGAAAACATAGACTTATCTGCGAAACCATTAGATGAGTTTGAGGAACCAAACAAAAGTATACACGATGATACGGAAGCAGGTGAAACTATCAATTTAGCGAATAATTCAGTTGACAACTTATCATCCATCAATGGAATTTACGAGTATTTTGACAAGTCGATAAAGAAGAACTGGGCCGGTCCCGAGCATTGGCGTATTCAAGCTCTACGGAAAAGGAGTGTTTCTCAGGCCCCTGGAATGGATTCTTCCAATGTTTCTGAGGGCGTTGACAATACTCGGGTATCAAATTCTTTAGAACGTAGACGGCGTCGTGAAGCAGATAACACTATCGACTTTTCGAAGGAGGTTGATCTCGATTCTTTGTTTACTCCTGCTTCCGGTAATTTGAAGCTTCCGAAATCGCATTGGAAAAAACGTAATCGATGCTTACTACCAGATGACTATCAGTATGATTCCAGACGGCTTTTACAGCTCTTTCTTAAACCAAAAGTATCCCTTTTACCGTTTACATCATTTAATGGAGAAACCGGTGTTAAACAGGTGTTTGAAGGACAGGATGAAGCAGATACTGCTCCCATATACCCTACGGGATTTGACGATGACAGCGATGGCGGAGATATGGATGGCCAAGCTTTGCATGAATTTGATGGAGGATCTATGCAAGAATTTCGGGAAAACACAACATCACCTACACCACCCTCCTCTGCTGGGTTTGGAGAAAATTTATTACTGAATGCACGACTTGCCAAACCGGATAGTATTAATTACGCTAAACGAGCCAAAAGAGTAGATGTTAAGGTATTGAAAGAAAACATCTGGAAATGCTTAGACCTTGAAGAAAATAATTCGCGTGAAACGTCGAAATCCAACGTCGAATCTAATCCAGAAGGCGATGATGAGCTGAAAGAAGAAGAAAAAGAAGAACCAGTGCGTACCTTTTCCTCAACTGTTGCTCAACTAGAGAATATGTATGGTCAAAAGGACCTGAAGGATATATCTACAAGCTTTGCATTTATTTGTTTATTGCACCTTGCTAATGAAAATGCTCTTAATCTGACCAGTAACGAAGACTTTTCAGATGTATTCATTCAACATGACCCTAATTTGACTAGCTTGGAAGAAATGGAAAAGAATATGTAACATCGCTCATTTTATGATGGCATTCATGCTGGTCATTAGTGTCACTTTCTTTTTTTTTTACGGAATTTTAGGTTGTATTTAATGAAAGAAGAGGTTTAATGGATTACATCTCCTTATTGTTTTTATCCTTTGTATTTCTTTTGACTTGGGTAATGATTCATCAATGTAAGTAATGTCCTTAAAGTGGAAGGACCCTCATTAGTCCCTTTCTGTCTTCGCGGCGTAATATCATGAAATATTTATATTAATAAAGGAAATCAATTTATGAAATTGCCGTCAACTACGCGATCATGTGAATATATTTCATACGTTCTTCTTGCTAGTAATTGCGGTCCTTCCCGGTACGCTCATTCCTTTCCTTGTGTAATAAGCAGGGGATTCAGAAGCTCTACTAGTTCATGAACCGTTATAGTTCTTGTTAAAGGTGCCTAACAGAAAACATTTCTTTCCCCAATAGCAACTCGAAGCATCATTTTATAACTCTTAAGGCTATATGACCGGACAAGGCTGTTTTCGCTTTGAGGATCATAAGATTCTCATTCCATATATCAAAGCCATATCTCATTCAGCTCAATCTTCACTTTCTTTATTTGTTTACTATTTAGCGCACCCGATGGATAACTTAAAGGATCCATAGTTACTCAGCCTTAGTCGTCCTTAAGCCAACGTTGTTACTTGCCGTATCCCAAGCAGTCTGAATAAACAAGCCCCATTTCTTGTTTGTTTTTAGAACTTACCTCAAACCAAGAACCGACAAGATGTCAAACTATGCCTATACTAAAATTAGCGAAAACGTTCAAGAATTAATGTCTTCTAGGGTAAGATTGAGGAGTGTAGAACAAAACATCACTAACGAAGCAACAGTCGCAGTACCTGAGTGGATTCAAATCTTTAGGCGATTTTTTGGATTTTCGACGCGTTTCAAGACCCGAAAACTTTGGAGAAGCGCAGTCAAGGGTCCGTTTTAATCTTAGACGATTTTCTTCAAATTATTTAGCGATAATTGCTCTTCTCGCTGTTTATTGTCTCCTTTCAAACCCTTGGCTTTCTTTTGTTATTGTAGTGGGCGGTGTAGGAGCGTATGGAATTAGCAAACGCCCAACTAACGAGGTGCAAATTGGATCCAGGGTTTATAGCAAGTCAAGCCTGTACATCACTTTGGCTTGTATTTTATTTCCTTTTGGACTTTTTGCTTCTCCTATTCAAACCATCTTTTGGTTAGTTGGAGCATCTGCTGTATGCGTTCTTGGCCATGGTGCTCTATTGGAACCCCCTGTTGAATCTGCTTTTGAGGCTGTTGAGCAACAAGTATAAAAACCAAGAATGCTTATTTTCTTATCTTTTATTCAAGAAGCTTATTTTTCGTCTTATTAGGTACCTCTTTTGGTCCGCTTTTCTATTACATAGGCTGACTTGCTTTTTGCTCTCCAAATTAACGATTAGCGGTGGTATGCTTGCTTATTACCTTATGACGGGTTTGTCGCTCTCCTGAACATCAATGATTTTTGGGGTTGATAGCTTCATCCAACCTCCCTTTCTTCTTTACAAGCACTAATGCGAGTGAAAGGATTGGTAACAAGCGCTCAATTTATAGGCTATATAGGAATGATTGTGTGAAGTTGATTGCAGTTTCGTCTTATATTTTTCATCTTCTCGTCTATACTTCTTTCTCTCCAACGAGACATGAATTGAGCGTTTCATCTTCCTGTTTTTAGTTTCCTACATTTACTTTGTTGCTCCGATGCGTGTTTGCAGTGTCATGTATATTCGTTTGTAATAGTTAGTTTAGAGTTTTGTCGAGTTTTTATGACTTACTAAACAATAAGAAATCCACAATTTTGTTTATGTAAATTATACATAGGTTAGATTTGATATTACTAGTATTTTTTTATTGTATGTTTACATACATCTCAGCAATTTCAAGGTTATGCATGCTTATTCTATCACTCAGAATCATCTATATCGCTATAAGAGAATTAAACTATCATAAAGCAAGTCGAAACTTCATTGACCTGGCTAATCATATCATAGAACTTTTTTTTAAGTAAAAAAACATTAAAGTTTTTGATAATCAACGGTACCTTCGAGCTTCTTAAGATCAGCGACTTTACGGGCTGCAGACATTAAATCGGATTGTACAATGTAATCACGGTCTTCCTTAATGGCTAAAAATCCGGCTTCAGTCACAACGTTTCGCAAATCAGCACCATTGGTACCATCGGTAAGCTTAACAATAGCTTCGTAGTCAAGTTCACCTCGCTTTGACACGTTTTCAAGATGAATTTTCAAAATTTCCATACGACCAACTTCATTGGGAAGAGGAATTTCAATTTTACGATCAAGACGACCAGGACGCAATAAAGCAGGGTCAAGGGTATCAGGACGGTTGGTAGCCATAATAATTTTAGTTTGTCCTAAGTAATCGAAACCGTCCATTTGATTGAGTAATTCCATCAACGTACGCTGAATCTCACGATCAGCAGAAGTACCTTCTGAAAATCTCCGTCCACCAATAGCATCAATTTCATCCATGAAAATGACACATGGCTCATGCTCTTTAGCATAACCAAACATTTCACGAATAATACGAGCAGATTCACCGATATACTTATCTACAATACCACTGGATACAACCTTCAAGAAGTTAACTCCCAAAGAAGCTGCAACAGCACGAGCTAACAAGGTTTTTCCTGTACCAGGAGGTCCATAAAGCAAAACACCCTTAGGAGGTTTAATACCAACACGTAAAAAGAGTTCAGGGTTCTTTAGGGGAAGCTCAATGACTTCCCTTAACTCACGAATTTGTTCATTTAAACCACCGACGCCTGCAAAAGACACATCGCCAGGATCTTCAACGGACATATTATAAACCAATGGGTCTACTTCCCGAGGAAGGATGCGCATAATCGTTAATGTAGTCATGTCCAAAGAAACACGAACACCCTGAATTAACTTAGATTGGTCAACATTATTCCTACATCCAACAACATAGCGAGGACCAGAACTAAACTGTTAGTAGCTTGTTTCAATTATATGAGCAAAATACTATTATCCAGCTGGACGTTGTTTTATTCTTTTTCTTTTTTTTTTTTTACGAAACCACCTCGTACACGCCATGACCGTCCATGTGGTAACCTACAAATACCCCGAAGAACAGCAACCAGTACGAGCTTTGACCATCATAACATGTGTGTGGATTCTCCAGAACTGAACCTAGAGATCTGCAGATTCACTTACCTAGCCTTTACAATAAAGCGCTCCGGATCAAGTTGTTTTAAGACCTCGCCGATAATTTGGCCTACGGACTGCAAGCTCTTGATATCATCTTCTGTCTTGTCGTATTTCTTCACCAAATCGCGAATTCCAAAACGCAGGTCTTTTAATTTTGCATCAAACTCTCGATGCTGCAGCAATGCTGCCTTATATTTCTCTAAAGCAACTTCTCTTTCCGACATTCGGGTTTGGTAAAGGAATTGTTGGTTTCTTCTTAAGGACTCTTCTGTAGCCTTTCTGCACGCTGCAGTGCGTTGATGAGTTTGTTTATCAACGCTGTAAAGTGTGATAAATCGTATACCGACGTATAACCCAAAAGCTCTATTTTAATAACGACCTTGTAATACTTCGCTAAACCACAAATACTTCCTGTTTGCATAAGAATTGAAAAGAGATGGCAGGAAGGTAGGCCTTCAATTATTGCTAGTTACATAATAATTTGTACAGAAAAGTCATAAATATCCTTACTTATGGTAGAAAAGCTTTCTGTAAGAGAAATGTAAAAACCAGAATTTTCAAAAAAGAAAGCGACTATGGTATTAACTAACTGAAAAAATTAAGGTCCAAACTAAATGGAAGAACAAAAATATCTTAGATCTCTAATAATTAAACAAAAAAAATAGAAAGACATAAAACCTTTAATTATTAAATCAAGTCAATATTGGAGCAGACAAGACTTATATTATAATAGTCAGAATATAATGCACTTGAATCAGAAATCCTGTCTGCAATAGGACAGATAATAAATTGTATGTAAAATAGTGGATAGCAAACATTAAATCAGTCACTAAATAATGCTGTGAAGCGCATTACTGAGTACGTGTGCCAAAAATCCCTCAACTAAGTCGGATTCTTGAAGCAAATCAAACAAAAGTCGCAAGCTGTCCTCCGATGTGAAAGGTCCTAAAAGTGAGGCACTATCAGAATATTCGTTGTTAAGAAACAGCTCTTGAGCTTGCTCTCGTATCTCGTCATCACTCTCTTCACTTACTGCAAATTCCGAATGGCTAAAAAACAAACTGTTCTTCAAAGCTTCCTCCAAATACAGTTCATCATTATCTTTGCTCATGGATGAAGGATTCCAGTCTGCACCCCTCTCATTATCACCCGCACAGTCTTTATTTAAATTCTTCAAATGTTCTTGTACTTTTTCTTTTTCTTCGGGCCAGATACTGAGAATTAACGAGGTAAACAGGTCACCAACCAGTTGCGTATTTGACAGCTTTGCAAACACATGGTCTTTCAGCATCTTCTCCACTAATCCAGAGAAGTCTAAAGGTCCATGCATAAGTAACGATTTTAGTACAGATAAAACTGTCCTTCGAAAAAACCACGTTTTTGGGTTCAAGCATGATATCTCTCCAAAAAGAGCAAAACCACTATTTATGATTTCCTTCAAAGTTTCCTCTTGGATATTAAATGCAGAGTTCTCATCCACATACAGATTGCTCTCAGAAAACATAGAACCATTTTTCTCTTCGTCCTTGTTTTCGAAAGACTGATTATCATCTTCCAAAGATGATACATCATTTGAGGGTAATTTGGATAACTCGGTATCCTCCAACATACTTTTCTCAAATTTGGTTTTCCAAGATACTTCCACATTTGACGAACCTTCTGACTCTTTTGAGTGGGAGGATTTTCCACTCTTATTACTCACAATCTTTGTAACCCCTAAAAGCTTGTGTGAAACAGCAGACAAAGAAGAGTTCTTTTGCTTTTCCATATCATCGACTACATCATCGGATAACGGTTCAAAAGACATGGACTTACAGAAGAACTTTCGGACTGCAACATTATTCGATAACTGAGCATTTTGTACTATTAAATTTAAAAATGCAGATAGTTCCCTTTGTAAATGGCCATATGTCTGAGCTCTCCATTCAGGAATTTTTAGGGGGGTCCCAAGTGCATGCAAATATTCTTTTCTTATATCCTTATATAAGGACTTCAGACTGGTATAAGGACGATAGACAATCCAAGGGGGGATATCTAAATATAAAGGATGCACCGTAATAACAAACTTCAGATTTTTTTTATCCTTTATTGGGGATGAAAGGTCTTTGGGCTCAAGCGAACGATATTGTATATTTATCTCTGCTTCAAAAAGAGCATTATTATATGAAGAAGAGGCTTGGGCACCACCTGTGGGCAAAGTCGCCGATGAGGATGTGTCTTTTAGGGTTTGGTTTAAAAGACATCGATTTATATATGTTTTCTTGTCTAAACATTCGTCCTTCTCTTTTGAAGGAGAAAGGAAAAGAATGATACAACGATTGACAAACCTTGGCTTAGCACAATGCGTTGTAATTTTTTTAAAAACTTGCATAGCAAGAACTTCCCTCAATAAAACATGTAGAGGAAGACAAGCGGCATCTTCTGGTTTGCAAAATTTTGTTACCATCGCAGAAGCTTGCGCGCGTAAGGCCTGTTCGTTCGCAGCCTTATCCAGCATCTTTGCAACAGCCGAATTGGGATAACGGACAGCAAATTCCGTGATGGGCATTTTTTTGCTCAAAAACATATTCAAGTCAGAAAGCAAAAACGTAATCGTATTTAGAACATTTTTTACCATCTCAAAAATAAGGTAGGAAGAGTCTTGGGTACTCAAATAAGAATAGAAATTCCTGAATATATACCCTATCGTACTTTCCACCTCTGTAACAAAGGAATTATCATAACTCACTTGTTTATACCAACCATATATGTAATGATGTGTAAGTTTCGTGATGAGAAGAAGAAGTGGAGCTTCCAATTCTTCTGGGAGAGCGTGTTGAGGGTATCTCTGAGGGACATACTGAGACGGATCCTCTATATTCGGATGTTTAATATTTAGGATAATATTGCCGTTTTTTTGAACCAAACCCTGAAAAGAAACGCCAACAAAAATTCCTATGGCAAAGTAAACAAACCGTCCAAAGAAAACATGAAGAACATAAAACGATATCAAGCACAAACTAAAGATAAAAACATAGCTTGATTTATTTTCTAAGCTTAAAAACGCTTTTCCAGCTTTCGATAAATTCCATTGCATAAACATGTGTAACAGCCAAATAACAAATTCGACTCGATAATTTCAAATCCTATTCCAACGCTTATCTTCCTCTACCAACACAGCGATTGTCAGAAAAGTTATAAAGGTATAAGGGAAACCAGCAAATTTTTTTTGAACGTTATATGAAGCAATTGAGCATAAATATCGGGTATAAGAAAATATAATTAATTGATAAATATTAAACGGTTGATCAGCAATAAAAATACCCCATATACAGCAACTGAATATAAAACATGGTGTTTGCAGAGAACATCCATTGTCTCAGCCTCACAGCAAAGGCTTTAGCTGACATAATAATGCACCTACTCTCCATTTTCCTAACGAGTTTACGGTATTACAACACATGATCTTAATAAACATAAGATTTCTTTAAATGGTAAAACCCAGTGTTTTTTTATAAAGCATAGAATATAGCAAATATATTGAAAGATGAATGCATCATGAAGCTACCGTAAACTTAGACTAATATGATCATTTGTTGAGGTCTTGCCTTAGAATGGTAAATCATCAACTAACACCTAATACCGTCGTTACGTTTCTGATGACTACTATCTTTGTGTAATAACCACATTTCATACCTTCATCTAATATGTAAATACAAACCGCGAATTATTAAAATTTACAATAGCTACTCACATACTCCTCAACCATAGAAAATTAATTACTGCCTTAAAAAACCAAAAGTAGTATTTGTAGGTATAGAACAGAAGCGAAATCAAATAAAGGCATCTACTCCTCGATCTTTTCAGCAGCGGTGTAAGCTTGCTCACGCTTCTCGCCGACAACCTTAGCTCTACGGAGACGGGCAGCCTTGGAACGGGCACGGCGAGCATCTTGTTGCTCTTGGAGTAACTTAGTACGGTTGGCTTCAGCCTTAGCACGTTGGATGTGCTCAATCAAAGCACGCTTGTGCTTGAAGGTGTTACCCTTGGCAGCCAAGTAAAGGCTGTGGTAAAGGTGCTTATCGATCTTGCCAGTTTCACGGTACTTACGGAGAAGGCGGCGCAAGACACGTTGACGGCGCATCCAGACGACAGCAGAGGGCATACGAGCCTCAGCAGTACCCTTACGCTTACCATAACCAGTGTGACGACCAAGACGCTTGGCAGCATGAGTCTTGCGAATACGGAAGCGAGAGTGCATCAAGTTAGGCTTGCGGATGAGCAAACCATCCTTAACCAACTTACGGATATTTTGACGGCTGTTAGCATTGCTAATTTCGCTAAGCTCGTTGGGGTCCATCCAAACTTTACGCTTGCCGCATTCTAAAACGGACGCAGCGAGACGCTTCTGCGTACTGAGGTTTGCCATTGTGTTGGTCGGTTGGAAGTGGAGTAACTCTACAAGAATTCTCATACTCAAACTTGCCTTCATATCAGCAGTCACATTGTAGACCTTTACCCTAACCTGGAAGAACTCGTTTAGGTGACACGCAAATTCAAGTAACAATGTTAAACAAAGCAAGCTGGCTCTTGCTGTGTATGAATGAAGCAAGTCATTTGTCTTGCTTGTGCATAATTCTATCGTATATAAATGAAAAGCAAAAAATAATTTAGGGATATATTGGCTGTTTAAAAAAAAATTGGTGGCAATGGAATTTCAATGAACTATCTGCTTCAAAAACTTTGGACCATAAACAAAAGTTTTGTGAATTACGTAGAAGATGTTATCATATCTAACATTTTGCAATAGAACATATAATAAAGGGAGGGAAAGCATTAAGGAAGAATGGAATGTCTACAGAGTGTAAACGTTATCCAGTTCACCATATTAAGAATACTGAACTTTTTCAAGGTATCATGCGTAATTTTATTTTTTATGAAACACCTTCTCAAACAAAAAAAGATCGAATTATGAAAGATGCAGGCGTGGGTTTTATCGACATCCCAATAAGCAATGACCCTAGTAGTAAAAGGCATGGGAATAATAAATACCAAACGAACGTCGAAATTGTACTTTTTATATATAATCAAAGTATAAAAGACCAAAATGGATTCAAAATGTTTATCCAACAACCAAACCAATTGTAGGTGGGTGAGTATGAAAGGATGGAAGAGTATACACACACAGACAAAAGCGTCATTATAATCCCAAAAAAAGTTCTACAACATAACCAACAACCAAAATCCAAAAAGGAACGAATAGGAATAGAGCATGCAATTCTCTCATCCTAAATGAGCGAGGGAGAGGAGGATGACTGACAAAAAAGCTTTTCGGTAATAAATAAGTAGAGGTACAAAAAAAAGGAAAGTATACGGATAGCCATCGGAACATGAATGATAGAATACGAACTTTTAGTCATCAAAAAAACCTTCTTCATGAAAAGCTTTCCACAATCGACTAGCCTTGTTGACATCCACACGACTAGCACGCTGTGCATCTGTTTTCCGAAAACCCAATCCCTGTTGCTTTCGATAATGCCATTCAGCAAAGATACGTCGTTTATTGTCTAGATAAACCATACAAGGCAAGCGAAGGGTAGATGCCAAATGGACTTCGGCAGGGTGCAAAAGATGGTAATGAGGGTCGTTTGAAAGGTCTAGAGGAGGACCCTTCCATTCAGCACGCAAAGGACGAGGGTGAGACCGTTTATCGAGCACAGACATGTCGGGACAATAATCAGGCAGGGCTTCGAAAGGAATGTTTGCAACGTCCATACCATTGTATTGACCTGCTCCACGTGTTGATTTCCTTCCCCTTGTTTCAACAGGAGAAGCTGAAGATTCCGGGGTTGGCAATTTCGAATTGCGAGTGCCTCCGTTACTTGATGGTGAAGGTTCCCGAGATGCATTCTTAGACGAAGTCTCCGTGTCTATAACAGAAGAGACAATGCGATTACCACGACGCCCAACGAAACCTTGACGACGCGCTTTTGTAATTGGTTTTACGTGTTCTTTGCGAAGCCAAATCCTTTCTTGCTGAAGCCAAAGCTTTGGTTGCGTTTTGTATACCTCATATACAATTCCCTTCATACAAGCGCATGAATTTTGCTTCCTTAACGAAGAAACATCCCGAACTCCCTTTGAATGAAAACTCAATGGTTTCGTCTTAGGAGGTGAAAGAGGAGGTGTTATAAGAATACAATCATTTCCATTTAAATTCGAATTATCCTGTTCTTTTAAGATATGCATTATATACTTTTTTTTGTTTTAGCACTCAATCCAATGGCCCTATACTATACCCTCAATGATGAGGTTTTGGTATCTTGCTAAAGACACCTTTCTGTGGGAAACCCTCTTTTGTAAGCCCTAATATGGTACCCTAAAAGTTCACCACCATTTCAGCTAGTCAATTGCGAGCTTACTGTGCGAAGTTGTTCGCTTGTTTTTATTTTTAAGTGAAACATTTTTATACTATTCATTGCTTGAAAGGTTGGACGATGGTTCCCTAAAATGATGGTCTGTAGAAACACTCACTGTAGCAGGAACCTGTCACTTTCGGTTTTATTTTCTTTTTTATGAAAGAAAAACAAAAAAATTCTACATATATATATTTTTTCCATAAATCCAAAGAAGACCAGAATCTTTTGCCGAAGGGCTTTTTCTATGAAGAGCGCAATTGTTTATGTAAAAAGCTGAATGCTTTCGGTTTAAGAACAACCGCAAAGGAAGACTATATTTTGAAGAGTACACATAGGAAGAAGGTTTTTGAAAGCAAAGACATACTTCCTTATGAGTTTTCTACGAATTGATACTTAACTACTTGTTGGTCAGTAAAAACCATCAAGGCCCCGTAAATTTTTGAGTCAAATCAATTGTTTTGTTCTCCAAAACTCGTCAAAATACACAAATAAGGAAAAAAATTTGATTTTGATCATATGGAATCCTCTTCCAAGTAGCAAACACCAGCAAAGCTAACAAGCACTGTACAATTGAGAATTCAAAAAGCAAACTATCGATCCTCTATTGAATTTTGGACTCTTTTCTTCATATGGACAAAATGTTTGCTGGGATTATTTTCCTACACATCTATTGAAAACCATTGATTCAATTTCAGTATACACATCATTCATAATATTAACTTTAATTACTTTTCTACTTTTTTTTAATTCTCGGACTTCTTTTCTACTTTTTTCCCTTGCATAGATTCATATACTTATTTTTCTCTTTTCGATCCTCCATTTGTTTGTTTACAAATGGACATTGCTACCTCTGTGACCGGTAACGTATTTACCACGTTGCTTTATGCTCCGAGCGTATGGACCAATGAAAAGGCTCGTTATTCTCATTCTTCTCCTTTTTTCCCTTTTTTCTATGGTTCCATTCACTAATTTTTCCTTTTTACTTTACGCTTTTTCTCCGTAATCGCTTTAGCGTACACATTCCAAGACGATATTTAATTTACAGAAATGGAACATCCAACGCAAATGTCTGGAAAAATTTCGCATGTTTTCTTTTTTCTCTTCAGCAAGCATCAAGACAAAGGAAAACCACGAATTTTGGGGTTCTTTTCTGGGGTGAACGGGCTCTTGTTGCATTTTTTTTGGTAGCTTCTTTCATTTGCGGGGTTTTGGTTGTTTTGACAAGAAAACTCTTTTTTCTGTGCCTTTATAACAATTTCTATATGGTAGAAATTTCTTGTATTTGAATTGGAAACGGTTTGCATGTTTCCCTGCCTATTTCTTGTTACATTCGACAAAACTTCCAATTGATTTATCTAATTCCCTCTATTTGTTAGGGTCTACAGCAATAATTGGTTGCTTTTTGCACAACTTCATCTGTATTATTTAAAATCAATTTCATTCTACTTATTACGGATTTTGGATCAGTGTTTTTTAGGCTTTTGTTCATAAGAGTTTGCATCGGTTGTTCTTTTGTTTTATAAAATATTTGGCATTTTTTTTTTGCATCCTTTCTATTTTGTTTAGCTTTATAGTATGTCGTTAGCAATGTTGAATGGTTCAATGAATTTTGCTGTAAAGCATTCGCTTGACGATCTCTTGGGCAACCCTGTTCGCTTTCGAGCTGCTTCTGTCAGTACTGGCTCTACACCTGAAGGACCATATGTTCCTTTGAATGCACCCAAGGACAAAAAGGTGAATGATTTACAAAATTCTAAGGATTCTGAAAAGAGTGCATCGAACAAGGCCACTTCAGTCAGTGTTCCTTCCGCTGATCGTAAAAAACCTTCTGGTACCCGAGGCGAAGGTGCGGATGACTTTGTCGACGAAGATCCATCTTTCATTCCCCCTGCCCGTATTCTATTTCCAGAAGAAAAAATTTCTTTGGATTGGCAATCGGTTCTCCAAAATGCTCCTGGTCTTGTGAACCTTGGCAACACTTGTTTTATGAACTCTGTCTTACAATTAATGACCCATACACCTCCTTTGGTACATTATTTACTTTCTGCCCAACATTCCATGTCCTGCCGGTTAAATGCATGTGTCTTGTGTAAAATGGAGCAGCATGTTGCTCGCGCCTTTCCCAACAAGGGCGCAAAGCGTGCTTCTGCATTTAAGCCATCAGGCATTCAGGGTATGCTAAAAGTGATTGCAAGTCATTTCCGTCCTTACCGCCAAGAAGACGCCCACGAATTTTTGCGCTATTTAGTAGATGCTTGGCAAAAATCTTGCCTACAAAATTTCAAAAATCTCGATCACCCTAGCCGAGAAACTTCCGTGGTCCATCGCATCTTTGGTGGTTACCTTCGCCAGCAAATTCTTTGTTCTGTTTGCAAAAAGCCTTCCAATACTTACCAAGCATTGCTAGATTTGTCTGTGGAAGCAAAAGGTGCTTCGGTGTTGGATTGCTTAAAACACTTTGTCCAAGCTGAAAAATTAATCAAGCAAAATCGCTATCGTTGTAGCCACTGCAAGAAGTTAGTAGACGCAACTAAAACCATGACTGTTTATCGCGCTCCTAACATTCTTACCATTCACTTCAAGCGTTTTACCTTCAACGGATACAATTCTACCAAAATTGGTAAGCACATTTCCTATCCTGAGCGCTTTGATCTTGGTCCCTTCATGTCGGACTCTTCACATCCTTGTCGATATGAGCTGATTGGGGTCCTCGTCCATGCAGGTGGAAGTACTCGAAGTGGTCATTACTACTCTTTCTGCAAGAGTAGTAACGGTATGTGGCTTAAGTTTGATGATGAATTTGTTTCAAACTCTAGCATCGATCGCGTCCTGAATCAGCAAGCCTATATCTTGCAATACAGACGCATTCCTGGATCTTCTTCTTCCAGTAAAAGAAAAGCTAGCGATACGAGTACCACTGCACCGTCCAACGGGCAGAAAAAGAAAAAGAAAAAGAATGTATCTTTTTAAATTAACAACAAAGTCATTTAATTCGATTCCGTTCTTTTTTCATTCGTTAATTAATATTTAATCCCTTTTTTTCTAATATGTATGTCGTTTTGTTTGTCTTCAACATCAATCTCTTTCAATGTATTCTTTCCTTCATATAGCATTTAGCATCATGAGCAAGTCTTTCAGTTTCAATCGTTTAGCATCATGATGTGCGTATAAAAATTTAGGTACTAGTAACCTCGCTTACAATTAATATATTCATTCATCATTTTGTAAGCTTTTGCGTCCAATATTCGGGTTTGCGAACCCATTCCAATGCTCGAATAATCACAAAAAAAAGACTAAGAAAAACAAGAATTACTAATTCTTTTTTTTAACTTCTCTACTGTAAACTCCTGCTCTAATACTATCCATTTTGTCAGTTACTTCGGTGAATACTACGTAGAGCATCTGCGAACCAGCGACATAACCAGTTGCTCAACATCGTTTTTAAAGTTGTTTCAGTACGTGAGGCAAATATATGTTTAGTGATTGTAAGTTAATTTTTAGAAATATAAGACTAATCAACAGATGCTTCGCGTTTTCTTGCACAATCCAGATTTTCTTCAGCCGGTCAACAACATTCCGGTTTTCGATCATCGAATTCACAGCTAGATATAACCAAGCCTTCACTACCAAGGTCAATTGAGAATGAGCAGGATTTTCTAAGGACAAATGAAGCATCTTCTGCTGGAACGAGTGGATTGCATTCTCTCTTGAACTCGGACTCTATAAACTGGCAATTGAGAGAAGAAGAGCAGTCTGATGGCTCTGAGATCCTTTCAAATGATGATTCTAGAGATCAGAGATTCATGCATATGTCGAATGGCATCGAGGAATCATCTATACAACCCGAAAGCGAGTCCAATTTGTCCCCTAGTGGTAACGACGAATTTATGGAATTGCCTAATGAGCGATATCTGGCAACTGAGAGAAAAATACCAAATAAAAAATGGGGCATCTTATTCGGTTGTCTCTGCCTTGTGATGTTCACCTACAGTATACTTACTATATGGCGAACGAATCCTGAGTCTCCTCCGCAGACATCACCATATGCCACTATTCAAAGAGCCTTTCCGTTGTTTCAAAAGGATGCCGTCGTTTGCATGTTTTTGGCTGTCGCATGGCTCTTTTGCCTAGTCGCAATCCCCCAGTTCCTTGTTTTCCTTTTAGCCGCTGCACCTATTTCCATGTTTGCTTTTTCTATTTATTTATTTAACGCTTCGAGAATTCAATTAGAAAACTCCATTCAATCCAGTGTTATGCGAATAGTCGGTTTGATTCTTCTTTTATTCACTATGATTTGTTCTTCCTATATTTGGCGGCATTGGAGCCGATTTGAAACCTCTTTTAATATTGTTAGGCTTGCATGCCGTGTAATTTCTGACATTCCCCAAATAGTTTTAATATTCATAAGTTTCTTAGTTTCCTTTTACATATTGATTTTTATATGGGTCCGTCTGTTTGCTCGGCTGTTCTTGCGTGGTTCTTCATTTGTAGGTTCAGTCTGGGTTTTACCAAAAAGTTCATGGATATTAGCTTCGTTCTATGCTTTCCATTTTCTTTGGCTCTGTGTGTTTCTAAACTCGCTACAATGGTAAGCATAAAAGATTTCAACCAGAAAAAGCTAACATATATATGAAGTTCTATTTTATCGTCAATCGTCTCACAATGGTTTTTTTATCGAAATACAAGAATGACCGCAACCAAAACCAATTTGGTTTCTCATTTTTTCTACGACGTCCTCTTTTATCAATACGGGTTGTGCTCGGTTTCTTCCTTTTTAACCATCTCAACTAAAATCCCTCTTCATATCTTTCCAACATGGATGAGGCATACCTCTCACCTGGTTTATTATATGTTTACTTCCATTTCGGTTTCCTATGTGGCTTCTCCTCTTACGCTTGCTTACGCATCAATATATTCAGTTCCATACATGAATGCCTCGAAAACGCTAAGTCAAATAGAACAATTGAACCGAGTAAATTTACGTCGACGTTGCTATTACATTTCTAAATACACCCTACTTCTTGCTCGTACTATACTCGCCATTGGGGTTGGCATAACAGCGTGGAATTTCTCGGTCCACTCTAATGGAATTTTTTACGGATATTTGGTCGGAATTCTTGGTGGATTCTTGGCGTGGTTAATTATAGGAGTCATTGAAGGAGGTCTGAGTATGCTGTATGTATTATGAATTTCCAATGTTTTGCTTACTGACTATTGATTAGGGTTGATGCTTTGTTAATATGTACTATAATTGATATTTCCAGTTGTCAAGGCGATCCCAATGGTTCTCACTGTTATGAAGCTTGGCAACTTTTCGAATCCAACGGATTTTAATACGACAGCATTTTTATTCTTTTTTTTGAAAATATTTTTACCCAGTTTCATCACGGTGCTTTTACTTATGTTTCATATCGGCAAAGTTTAGTTTCGTTTCTTTTGGTCCGCTGAAGAAATACTTTAATCGCCTATTTTATAGCTTACGTTGGAGAGTATTTCTTTAATTCTTCTTTTGAAGTAATGTATTATTGTAATGATCATCTATATAGTTCATTTTCTATCCATGCCTTTATTTTTCGATGAATTCTGTAAGGTTATAAGCCGTTTAAAGACCGAAAACATTCAGAACCTGCACATCTCTGTAAAATATAATTTGGTAAAACTATTCTAAAGTCATTAATAAGTATCAGCAGACAGTCAAACTACGTTTCAGGAATCATAAAATTTTAGCACCAAATTTTTAAGATGAAACAACGTCCAACAAAGAAATTATGACTTCTGCTCAGCATTCGCAGCTGCACTTTCTTCTTGTTGCAAAAGGGGTTTGATTTCTTGTTGTTCGACGGTTTTGCTTGCAGCAAGAGAATCCAAAAGATCATGTAAAGCAATGACAGCACGAACGATGCTAGAAATATAAATACTCATTAACTGGTCATTGGAGTTGATATTGAAAGCACGCTGGGCTTCTGATTGCAAAACTTGTTCCGAAGATACAGGTCCGGAGAAAACGTTAGGTAAAAGATTAAATACGCTTTGAAGCTCAGCTAAAATTGCGTGGTTGATTGGAAGCTGACCGTTCACAACTTTCCTGAGGTAGTCAGCAATTTCTGTCAAGCGCTGACCAAGACCTTGCAGGGATTGAGCTTGCTGAGTGACACGAGTGGCGAGAGTACCAACAGAGACATCTCTTGTGTCACGTAGTAAATGTTCAACACCAATTTCCTCTGCCTCTTCGGCTTCAATGCTTGAAGGAAGGTGTACAAACGTTCTGCTGGATTTTGAGCCATCCTCCTTGATTTCATCGATAGCAAAATAGGCATTCGTTGGCAATCCAACAGATTTAGGCATGACATCAATAATTACAAGTACAGGATTGGGAATGTACTTTTTGAGTAAATTATTAATCTCCAAGTCAGATGGACGTAATTGAGGACCCGTGTGGTACCAACCGATCAGTTTTTCGCTGGCGTTGATTTTTTTAAACATTTCATTCATCGACTCCATAAAATTGTGATCCAAAAACCATACTGACGAGTTCTTTTCATCTTCTTCGAATGGGATCGCGTAACTATTGGCAACGTTGACAACTGTGCCATTATTTTGTCCTAAAAGAATGCCAACAACTCTGCGTTTCGATCCTTGTGCAGAACGAATGTAAGAATCTACTGCAGAAAGCAAGACCAATGGGTGAACAATCTAATTTCCATGTTACTACAACATCTTCATTTCCTTCTACTTACAACATGCTGAGGAACAACCGTAGTTCCTTCGGAAATCACAGAAGGCGAAGGTGGCATTGTCCTTTACGTTATTATAAATTCGCAGTTTATACTTTTTCAAAGGTGTTGGTAAATGAAGAGTTTTTTTGTAAACTGGTGCTTCTTTACATAAAGAACAGTGCCATTTTACGTATGCGAACGTATCGGTAATTATTACACTGTAGTCTGTAAAACTGGAGTGCAACATAGCGAGTAGGAAATTGATATCTTGAAGGGTATACACAAACGAAAAGTAGTTTCTTTTCCTTACCAAAGCCTTTCCTTAATCATGACGAACATGGCCATTTCTCATCCAAAGTAGCTCAAATTGAAAAAATTATATAGAATTCAGCTATAGATTCTCTTAAATTCGCGATCAATTACGTGGAATTTTGACTGAATGGATGGTTGACGCGTGGACGTGACGAAAAGACTCGATTCGCGCTCATATTCCTTTTTTATTTCATTTTTTTTAAATTATTAGATTTCATTCATTGCTTGAATGCTTATGAATTCTTTCTAAATTGCACGAACACGAAACGCATAATGTTACCTTGATGAATTGCACAAGGTAACAGCAGTAAAGAAATAAATAAAACAAGAAAGACGTGAATGGGTACTGAAAAACAAATTTCAAGGTGGTTTTGAAATATCAAATCTTTTTCTTCTTGTTTTATTTATTATTTTATAATAAAAAGAGGATTTGAATTCATTCTGATTTGAAAGGACGGAAAATAGAAACTTACTGTGCGTGACAAACTTTTCGGTTAAATTTTTGATTTTTGATTTTTTCTATTTTAATACTGTTTTGGCAATAGTGGAGGTGAAATCCGGCTATTTTGATTATCTTTGGTTCAAATCAAAAAAAAAAATTTTCTTAAGCGATCACCGTTATCTCTTTTATTTCCAACGATCTTTTAACATATACATACAGGTATTACTTGAACTTATCTTTTCCCCAAACTGCATCAGCACAATTGCTGCATCTATTAATACATATTTTACTCAAAAATGGCACCCGTTCAAGGAAAAAATACAGAATCTCAAATTGCTCGTGTAGTTGGCTCTGCTTCAGCTGGTATTCTCGAGCTCTCTCTTTTCCATCCCGTGGACACAATCTCTAAGCGTTTGATGTCTAATCATGGACGCATTACTTCTATGAATCAGCTGAATACTGTTCTTTTCAAGGATGCTGCTAATGCCCCTTTGTTGAAGAAGCTTGGATCTCTTTTCCCTGGTTTGGGCTATGCCGCCTGTTACAAAGTCGTCCAACGTATCTACAAGTACAGTGGTCAACCTATTGTAAGTTTTTTTTTTCTCGTCAAATTCGTATAATTTTTGTTTCGCGCTCAGCAATGTTTGCTAACAATTTCTTTGTAGGTTAAAGACTTCTTGGCTACTAACTATGGCAACAAATTTGATCAAACTTTCGGAAAAGGCTCCGGAAAAGCCATCATGCACGCAACCGCTGGTAGTATTGTAGGTATTGGTGAAATTTTCCTCCTTCCTTTGGACGTTTTGAAAATCAAGCGTCAAACCAATCCTGAAGCTTTCAAAGGACGTGGAGTTTTCCGCATTTTAGCTGATGAAAAGTTCGCTTTATACCGTGGATGGGGCTGGACAGCTGCTCGTAACGCTCCTGGTTCTTTCGCTTTATTTGGAGGTAATGCTTTTGCTAAAGAGTATATATTTAAGCTTAAGGACTATTCTCATGCTACTTTCGTTCAAAACTTCTTCACTTCAATTGCTGGTGCTTCTGCCAGTTTGATTGTTTCCGCTCCCTTGGACGTCATCAAGACCCGTATCCAAAACAAGAGCTTCGACAATCCTGCTTCTGGCTTTACAATCTTAAAGAACATGTTGAAGTACGAAGGGCCCACTTCTTTCTTCAAGGGTCTTACTCCCAAACTTTTGACCACTGGCCCTAAATTGGTCTTTTCATTCACCATGGCGCAAACTTTGATTCCTTTCTTTGACAAAGCTTTTAAGTAATCCGAAAAATCTCATCAGCACCAAAAAAAAAATCCTCTTTCTTTATCTTCCCTACCCTTCACTTCCCCTTCAAACTCTCCCCTTTTTGTTTCCTTTGTGACAAATACAATTCTTTTTTTGTCAAAGAATAATCGAGAAATCCATTTTTTTTTCTGAAAAAAAATTCGTTGATAATATTTTTTACTACTCTAATAGATGGAACTTACATTTTTTCTGGCAATCTATAATTTACTTTATTTTGTTTTGCTACTTTGTTTGGGTAGATTTATGTTTGTTTGTTATTGTTTACTCTCGTCATCGCTGGTAAACACTATTTGTTTACTTTTCCCAGCCATTTGCTTTCTGTAAAAAGCACAACATATTTCCTTTCTGTTTCCTTTCCCGATTTAGCATATACCTTGAAATCTTTGTTTCTTTTGTAGATTGATAAAAACCATGCAAACCATTGAACTTGGAATGCCTTCAACTTCTAACGCATCTTCTGTTTCCAGCAGAGTAAATCCATCAAAGGTAACTGCAAACTTTGATGACAGTGCAATTGAAGAACAAGATCCTTACTTTACGGTGACTAGAAAACTTCATGCACTGGCCGATGTTGTTGACGCTCAGCAAAGGGAGATTGAAAACCAAAAGAAGGACATCCATTCGAAGACGAAATGTATTGAAGAACTAAAGCTTCTTTTAGGGAATACGAAAACTCCTACCGAAATAGAACTTGTATTAAACAACTATGCTTCCGTAAGCCCTTCTTTGCCGACGCCATCTGTACCTTCCGCTTCTGTTTCAGATAATGGTCTACAGGCTCCAAAGTTAATGCATCCTAACTCCGTAGGCTCTGGTGGTATGGGTAGTCTCTATTCATTTCCCAACGGGGCTTCGTCGGCTTTGAGTGATGTTTCTGCGTCCCTCAATTTTCCTCGAAAACCTGAATTGCCAAGCAGGAAGTCAACTTCCTCTGCTTCATTTTCACTTCCTGTGAAAGGATTAAGTAATGAGAACTTTTCGTCTGCTTCATCGACATCTGATACCCTTGAGTCATCTAAAGCTATAGACAGGAAAGCTAAATTAACATCTACCCCTTGGGATTTATGTAATAACAATCATTCTGATCTTTCTTTGGCCAATATACAACTAGATGGATCTAAATCAACCATTGCTAACAACTCTTTATCAAACTCATCCAAGCACGGTATGCAAAAGTCTGTATTTTCCGCAGGCACGGATGTATCCGGTGCTGATCAAACTGCGTATATGCGTGATTTATGGCCTAATGAAACAAATGCAAGTATGGCCTCTGCAACCTTAGGATCAAACCTTGTATCTGCCTTAAAAGCTCCTTCATTAAGCTCCTCTAGAAGCTCTTCTTACACCAAAGGGCCATCTAGCTCGATCTGGGACCCATCTAGCAATGTATCTCTGTCAAATTTAACCGATTGTCCAAATCCCCGCGAAAATGCCATCCGTTATAGAAAGCTCTCCGAAAGGAACGCTGTTTACGATTGGAATATAATTGTTAACAAGATTATATTAAGCAATGATCAGCAATCCTCTATTTTTCTTCAACAAAAACTGAAGGTGGCTTCTCCTGAGATTAAGCAATCAATAATAAACTGCATATTAATTCAGGCTTTTCCATTGATGCTGAATCGTTTTGGTAATTTCTTAATCCAGCGTTGCTTCGAACATGGAACTCCTCATCAAATCCGAATTATTGGATCTGCTATTCTGGGGAATATGTACAAATTAGCTACCGATCCTTTTGGATGTCATGTCGTTCAAAAAGCATTTGACAATATTGACGAAGATATTAAATATTCCATGATGGAAGAACTGTTTGTAACCATTGATGAGACGATAATGCATCATTATGCTTGTCATGTTTGGCAAAAGCTCTTTGAAACACGTTGGTTTAATTATCCTGTGAATGTTATGGACCGTGTGAATATAGCTTTGAAAGGAAAATGGCATGAAGTAGCATTAGGAGAAAATGGAAGCTTGGTCGTTCAAAACATGTTTGAAAATTGTGTTGAAAAGGATAAGCACGATTGCGTTGAAGAAGTTATCCTTCATCTGGACTTGATTGTACGGGGACAATGGGGTAATTGGGTAATTCAACACATGGTTGAAAATTCCCAAGGCGATGTTTTACGACGCGTAGTCGCTGCTTTGCTTCTACGAGCTACGGAGTATAGTGTAGATCAATATGCTTCCAAAGTAATGGAAAAGGCAATTAAATTTGGTCCAAGGGATTTTATTTCTCTGTATCTAAAACAAATCACGAATGCTAGAATGGACCGTACAAGGCAACCATTAATTGATATTGCATCAGACCAATATGGCAATTATTTAATCCAACAAATAATTCAGCTTGCTCAGCCCAGTGATCGCTCGACTGTGGTTACCCATATAAAAAAGCATATGGTATCTCTTCGCGGAAGCAAGTACGGTCAAAAGGTTGCCTTTCTAGCTGAGAAGTGGAAAACCCAGAATCCGCAGTTTGTTTCGAACGTTGACTTTGATTGAGCTCCTAATCTCTGAAATATAAATATCGAGATATAATGTTTCTAAATTCTTTTTACATTCTACCATATAAGTCGATTAGATTATGGCTTTTCTATTGTAGTATAAATTTTATCGTTACAGGATTACTATTATAAAGCATAGAAAGAGAAAATAGAACAAACCATACCCGTATTATGCGTAGGCAGGATAAAACAGCAGAGAAAGAAAACGCGCGTGTTCATGAATTCATTATTTAGTTTCCCGAGCATTGGCAGCCAAAACATTCATGTAATTGTTCATGAGCAAAAATATCACAATCAATGCAAAAATGCTGCTTACAGGAAGGACACTCAAATCGCATTGAAGATGCCATTTGTTCCTGATTAGACATTTCTGAAGCTTTAGGAAATGGAACCTGGCAAGCAAAACAATGTGATGAAGTAGGTTTTGCAGACCAAGGTAAGTCTATCCAATTTTTTAGAGGAAATAAATGATGATAGGATCTAGCAAGATGAGTGGATAAAATCAAAACTAATTTACAACTGGGACATTCTATGGGTAATGTGCAAACTTTTGCTTTGCAACGAGGACAATGAAAGCCGCCGCGGGAGGGTAATGAGTGACAGGTACATAAACTTGGGGATTGCTCAACTACCTTTGAAGGAAACCCCATCATTACTAATGAGGAGTCAGCGGTCTTTGAAGAATCCGTTGCAGGGGGGATTGTGCTCTCCAAGAGTAATTCATGAAAATGTTGCTCACTTAAAACAACACCATACGCATTCGTAGAAGCACTATTAGTTCGATCGCAAATTTCACGGCAAATAGCAACCTCAGCAGCAAGACCAACAATCCGAACACGGATTTGATCAGCAACAAGGGCGTCAATTGTTCGAAAAATATCACCAGGATCGGAAGAAAAGATCGAACCAAAAATAATTAACACCTCTCTCGTCCCATGAGAAGCAATGTGAGACAAGGAAGCTCTGGCCATCTCCAAAGCATTTTGAAGGGAAAAGTTTCCATTACAATCGCGAAGTGACTTTATTTTTTGAATGTGAGATTGAGGATTGCCATGCAAATCAGATATACGTTGAGCAATACCGTCTTTCACACCAATTATTGACAGCTGGGAAATAGGATTCTGCTCAAAATACTCCATGACAAACTCAACTGCATATTTAATTTGTAGTTCAAACCGTTTATGATGAAAATCTCTTTCTTCCATTGCGGAGCTTAAGTCTAAAACCAAAACCATGTGACGAATGATTCCCCTTCGTAAAGGTGTTGTGTCACGAAGTAATCTAAACGAGAGGAGGTTAATATGAAATTCCTTTCTCTGAACTTACCGTTTTCTTTTTCCTGCATTAATTAATCCTGCAATGACACCAATTAAACTTCCTTCTGCATCCTCCTGAACAATATCCCATGAGCGCTGATACTCTCCTTCCCAAGTGTATCCTTCATTGTCATCATGTTTGCGACCTTTATTGCTCACCCTTCCATTTTGCTGTTCATCCTCGCTTTCAGACTTGTCAGAATCATAATTCTTTTTCACTTTACTCATCGAGAAAACCCTGATATAAGCATCAACTTTTAGCAAAAAGATCAATAACGTTTCCAAACGAACAAAGATTATGAAATTTAAAGCTCTAGTAATTCAGTTTCTATGAATATTCTAACTTTCTTATTTGAAGTCTATTTCAATCAGGGGAAAAAAAGGACTGGAGCACAGACTCAGTTCCTTTATGTTTCTACAATAAACTTTTTCAAATAATCAATTTTTTTGTTTTCTGGTCCCGCCAGAGGGTTTGAACAAACAGCCTGCATTTTACCTTGCATTTGAGACATAGGACGAAGATCGTTTAACACATCGTACCAATGCACTGTAATCTTACGTAGCGAAACAAATTAGTTCTCCTTATATTAAATGGAGAAGCCCATGGTTGATTCAGTGATTATTCTTAATAAACAAAATTAGTCTGAGGTGATGAAAATTATCAAAGCAATTACTTAACAAAGCCTTCTATTTTACTTCGTTCATAGAGTTCAGTTAGTTTAACAAAAATCCCATTGAATATTATCCCAAAACATATGTAATTTTTTCCCGTATAGATATCCTTCTACACTTTAATCACTGTCTGAATCCAAATTGATGCTTGGCAAAGATTCATTGTCTTCATCAGCAAGGCCATTGTCATTAGAAGCATTATCCTCAGAAGTGATTGTTACTTCTTCATGCTGCTGAGCATCCTGTACTCCGGTACTTTTTTGGTCAACAGTGTTGGAACGATGAGTAGACGGTGAATCATCTTTACTTACAACATCCATCATCTCATCAGAAAGGTCTTGTTTCTGAGTGGAATGCTTCGTCGTGGTTATTATCACAGGTTTTTCTCCAACAGTGTTAGCTTGCGCGTTGACTGATGAATCTACTTCTTTATTATCAGTAATCGCATTTATAGTTTGTTTAGCTTCTGCATTTTGATCAGATGAGACAGTCTCCTCCATGGTTTGATTCGATTCATAGACATTCTGTTTGTTTTCGTTTCCTTTTTGCTCATTATTCTTCAAAACGGCCGACTCAATATCAATTGATTCTTTATAAGTCTCATTAACGGTCCTTTCAGAATTCAGATGTGCCGAGTACCCTTGATAAGAAGACTGCTCTTTGTGCTCTAAAAGATCTTGGGTCCCTAAATCACCTTTTCTGCCTTCATCACTTCCACCAACAATGTTGGAAGCGAAGCTGGTAGAACCCAGTGGCTGTAAACCTGGAGAAGTTCGAGAAATAGCAGATATAGGCTCGAATCGGGACTCAAAAGCGCTTTCTCTTTCATCGTATACTGGAAGCCGTTTCTGAAGAGGTGGAAATCTGGGGTGCAATAACACATCAAAAGTCTTTATGTACTGTCCTGCATGAGAAGAAACAATTGGCGATGCATGCATTAATCCTAAGGGACCTGTAAGAACTTGTAAAGCATGTGGTAAAATTATTGCTTGGCAATCACCAGGTGCTAGAATGGACGCAATTAACAAATCGTGTAAATGAGTAAGGACATCCGGTGTTGCTTCCGTGAGGGCCAACTGGATGACGATACGATCAATTTTAGACCTAAGCATTCTAGGTAGGCTGATGGTATTTTTTAAAACAGAACTCAAAAAGAAAAAGCAATGGCTTAGACATTTATCATTCATAGAAAGACCAGAAGAGACTGACGAGATCAAAGAATCACCTGTTTGGCTGCCCGCTAATGTTTTGCGTTTCTTAGAAGCGCGCATTTGGTCAGCAGTAATCTCAACAGCTTCATTGGAAGCACGATTCTGGGACTCGAAAATCCGTTCTAAGACCAAAGTTACAACATTTTCGTACTTTGGAAGAGGAATATTTGCATGCATCTTCTCCAAAATTCCAGAAAGAAGTTGAAGAGACGTGCAAAAAACGCCATCATGCGTCGCTTCCGAAAGCAGACAATCATTTATAGAATCTAAAATGGGTGATAAGACCAGCATAACTGAGCTAGGGCAAACAGCAAGCAATTTTCGGGTCAACTCATTCGCAAGCGTATGCAAGTGTGGTAAAACCATGAATAACAATGCTTGGACGGAACTTTCAATTGTAGATTTCACTGAGGAAGATAGCTGGACACTGTATATACGTCGAATAAGGTCTAATAAGTGACGAATTGGTATAGAAACCAGCTTTTCCGTTTTCGTAGATAAAAAGGACATGAGTATCAAATGCAAATTTCTACATCTTTGCAAAGCCATCTGATAAGATTCCTCATAATGGCCTTTAATCTTTGGAAAACTTAATTCCTCATCTCTTGCAGCATCCGTATACGTTTGTTCCTCTATAACCAAATGGAAAAGGAAATTCAATGCGACGTGGTACTCCTGTATTGTACTTATACATTCCTTTTTCCAACCGTCCGAAAGATTTCCTTTTCCCAGACATCGGTACAAAGAGGCATACAAAACAGCAGCCTTCTTTTTGAGGGGTGAATCGACGATTTCGTGCTCTTCTAATACTTGAACACAAAGATTCTTTACAGAGGCGTAAAAAGGACGGAATGTAGGGGCGTGATGAAGTAAAATTTGATAGAAACATGCAAAAACAGTTTCCAAGCATTTACCAGATTCGCTTACTCGAAGACAAGCGGTTATAAATGAAGATAGATTAGGAGTTACAAGCTCCCGAGTGATTCCTGGCTTACCCGCCAAAGAAGTGAAGATCCTAGAGACAGTACTGATTGCACTTTCCAAAGTTTTAGGGAGTTCAGGTCGATTTAACAACTGAATCAACAACTTGACCCACGTAGCACCATGTTCAATGAGACAATCCCAACTTTGAGACACCGTGCAATCTATCAAAATAATGGCAGACCAGCGAACTCGAAAGTCTTTGTTATGCAACATACGAGTAAGACTAGTGCACCAATTTTTACGAACCATAAGAGCATTTTCAGTTGAACCAAGCTTTTTAATACATTTTTGCTTCAAAAGGATATCGGCAATGAGGGGTATCTGTAATGGTAAAGTTTTTTCGTTTGGGAAACTGGTTGACAACCAAGATTTTACCAAAGAAAGCGATCCTCCCTCCAAAAGATCCGTCATTGAGTTTTGCATAGAGTCCTGTTAATGATAAGTGTATACACTGCTTTCTCCTCTTTTCTTATGCCCTTTTCAGAGTTCGAAAAGTTAGGAGGTGGTAAGTGTAGAGGTGTACATAAATAAGAGTGAAGCGTTGAATTATGAACGTATAGAAAGAGAGAAAATGTGAGATTACTGATTAAATGGAGGATAATATATGAATGATAGTGTAATTTTTATACAAATACTAACGTGTAAACTAAGGAAAACAGGTTTGTACGCATACTTTCAAATACATTATTATCGAATTAAATCCGAAATTCTTACTCTTTTTTGCTAATACTCTTCTAAAAGCGAAAAGCGATTGAAAAGTTTTAAATGAAGGACTCTAAACAAGAAAAGAGTAGGTATTTTGAGGGTAAATAATACATGAAACACGATGGCAGATGCCAGCATATTTTCTTCTAGATACGAACGATGGTTCTTTTTTTATAGTATGTATAAAGACAGAGGGGGTAATAGTTTGTTCATAACGGGTAAAAGGTGAACATCGACAAGTCCTTTCTCCGTGATCATTTTCCATGATAGGCAAAAAAGGGACTTTCTTATAATACCTGAAAGGTGCATCTATTTTTCTAACTTGCCTTGTATTGTTTTCCAGAAAGCTTCACGTTCAGTCATGAGATCTTGCAACCAACCTTTCACCTGAGAATGCTTAATCAACTGACTTGCCCAAGAAAATTGACTAAGGTCCTTTGTTCCCTGATATTTCTTTTCATACTCAAACATCTGAGCAAGCATTTCAAACTTGTCGATATCCTTAACAAACTTTGCTTCAGAAGTCGAGGCATGCTCATACTCCAAAAATAGTTCTCGAATTTCTTGGGCATTCATCGCCAAGTCCAATGGCAACATTTCCTGGGTAATTTTATTCATGGCTTCCATTTCTAGACGATGCTTCTCTTCCTTAGACACATTTTCATGGGGTGTAATATCACCGACAATAGACTCAGCTAAATCATGGACGATGGCAATCTTAACACAACGATCTTTATTGATTCCTGGATCATTGCAAAGTAGTGTTAGGACGCCCATACGGTACATGTGGTCAGCAATGGATTCAGGAGCCTCAATACCATGGTATAGCCAACCGGTTCTTGGAGTAGTTTTTAATTTAGAAATTGTTTCTAAGAAAGGAACGATTGATTGAGAAACACTCATGTTCATATATTGAGAAATGGGCAACGAAAAAATTTCAAATAAGAATCAAGCAAGTGAATAAGCAGCCAAAAGACTTCGTCTTTAAAGAAAAAAACAAAACCAAAAAACTAATAAGCAAAGGATTAAATGAATTCAAAGCCCCTTTCCGAAAAATTGAAACCCCAACGAGTATATCGTAGAAACGGTGTTGGTTGCTCTTGGCAAAATGATATTTATCAATCTTGTGTTCATGCTGATACATTTTCTGAATGAATGTCAAATCAGTTTTATCAATCTTTTGACTGAAAAAGAAAACTTCAATGAACAACCGTTTAATAGCTAGAGGCCAAATTGTAGTCATTCAGATTTATCGGTTCGTTTATCCATTCAATCAGCCGAGTGAAGGAGTTTAATGCGGAAATAGTCTGGCATTTAATTGACAAAAGGAGTACGAAAATTTAGTAATTCAGCAGCGTATACAGCTCAATTACTATGATGACCTCGAACGGCTTCCTTGAGGCATTCGTCTTGGAAGGAAAGCTCCTCTATAACATTTACACCAGAATTCTTTAACAGATCTACTCCTTCACACTTCACGAAAATATCTGGTTCTCTAGAGCCAAGCACAACTGTTGATACATTTTGACTGATAATTTGATCGGTACAGGATTTTTTCCCTGAAAGACGCTTACTACAGGGTTCCATAGTACTATAAATCACTGTTCCTTTCAAAGAAGATCCGCGAGGTTGTTGCGACAAGTATTTCATGATGGCGCATTCTTCCGCATGGGTATTGCCAGGCAACTCACGTGAATATCCGGTTGAGACTATTTCACCGTGTTGAACAAGGACTGATCCTACGCAAAAAGCCGAATCGGTAGGCTCGCATTTCTTTGCTTCTTCTAAAGCGGCATACATCAAGGCTTTATGATTATAGGGTTTCAACAAGAAAAGAGCCATATTCTCTGGAAATCCCTCCTGTTCGTAGTTAAAAAGAAAAACCTGGTAATAGGGTTGAATTTTTAGTAAAAAATCGGTGAGTGTTTCAGGGTCCCTTAATTCTTGACCTACGAGACAAGTGAGGTCAGGAAAGAAGCGCGCAAATGAGGCCATAGAAGATACAAGGTGAGTATTCAAATTTGGGTTGTATACGCAGTCAAACAAGAGCAAAATGTCTAAAGAGGCATCTTTCCACTCTTTTTCAGAAGGGGGGTTTGTCCAGTCCAGTTCGGATACCTCTACAACATTAGCTCCATTCTGGTCTAGATTTTCTCGAAGCCCTTTTAAGTAATCTTTCTGATCCGTCGCAATATACTTGCCAACCCGTGGACCTAGAAGAGTTCCTGCTATCCCACTTATACCGGATCCAAGCTCTAAGACACAAACGTCCGATGAAAGTGTGTTAGCAAACCAAGGTTGTTTTATCAACCAGGGAACAACGTTTATAGATGTTTTCCAGACTACAGAACCAGTAGAACCAGGGAGTTGGTGCAACGATTGACGGTTTTGTTTAATTTGAAGCTTGTACTCATCAAGTTCTATATTCACTCTGTCCATTTTAGAGTCAAACATTCCTAAATCTGCATCTTTCTTCTTATGGACAGCGAATAAAACTTGCACATCTTCTTCAACTTCTTCAATTGGGGCATACAAGTTTAAAGGAACCTCCATCCTTTCTTTTTGCGGGGATACGAACTTACAGAAGTAGTTAATTTTAATAAAGATTTAGCAAAATAAGATGTTTTTGTTTAACGGAACCGATCTTAGTAGACTTGCAAAATGCGTCTGACTCGTTTCCAAATTCTTAAACGAAATTCTTCCTAAGCTAAAATTATCGAATCACAAAATGATAAAAGAAATAAATGGCGCTTTTAATAATGCTTTGTATGGATTAGAGGGTGGAAGTAGTCGAACTTGTCAAATATGTCTAATACTATATCATCTTGTCTGGTCGAGAACGCACCCACTACACAAACCTCGGGGTCTCTACATAAAATCGGATTTTTCTAAAAAATGAGCCTTTCCAGTAGACTTTCGAGTCTTCAATTGAATGGAAATGATGATTTGAAGCCGGCGTATGGTTCGATGAATGCAAGTCCAATTGAAAAACCAAGTATGGATTTCTATAAATATGATTAGGTAAAATGGGGGGCTAATCATTGTGCAATGTAGATTCTTTTGGAAATTTAGGTCCATCTAGTTCGCAATCGTCCAGTACAATTGCTGACTATGCTGCAAAGGGGTTGCTTTCTTCCTCTACTCACAATGCTAATGATTCCCATACTGTACACCGAAATAATGGTATTGTAGATGTAAACAGTCATAAAAACAAGCTTTTAGGGGTCATTACTGGGAAGTCGGGCCCAAACTCACCTTCTTTTACTGATACCACGGAAGCAAAAGGTGCAAAAATATCCGAGAATCTGGATTCCACCGCTCCCGCAGATGAGTCTGCAAATTCATATTCCCTTGAATCTCTTCTGCCCATTATTCGTATGGAAGATACCGATTTGTGCATGTTACAACTGGGTTGCGATTTATCTGCCTTAGGCTTTGATCTGGCACCTGTAGAGTAAGTCCTTTAGTAATGGTTTTAGCTTTCAAGTGTTCTGACTCTTTTTTCTTTAGAGAGGATCGGTTAATTTCTACTAACATGTCTTCTCCTTGGGCTGAGCTTAACACCAAAAAACCAGTTTCCGAACCTCCATTCAAGCTTCCAGAATGCTACAAAAGCGTTAATCCTCCCCCTCAGCTCTCTAAAATTATTCAATTTGCCGATGAAACTTTGTTTTACATCTTTTACACAAAACCTCAAGACATATTGCAAGAGGCCGCTGCTCAAGAACTGTATGTACAATTGTTACAACCCATTGTCTAACTCTCTAGTACAAATCGCAATTGGCGCTTTCATAAGGAACTTAGGGTTTGGTTAACACCAGTCCCTGGTACGAAACCACTTCAACGTACGCCCCAATTCGAACGTGGTTATTATATGATTTTTGATCCTGTTCATTGGAAGAGAATTAGGAAAGACTTTTTGCTTATGTATGCTGCTCTTGAAGATCGTTCTCAAAATGCTATTCCAACATGAAGAGAAAAGTGTAAGGTTCGTTTGCTTTCGAGCAGCTTCAATGTCTTGTACAAAAGGATTTATTTGGGTTTGGTAATCATTATGATGGATGATTAGTTTTAATATCGCATCCGAAGTATTCATGAATAAAAAATTTTGATGTTTTATACAGAGTATTTAGAATTTAATAGCCTCAACGATACATCAACAATATGATTATGTTATTCTGTATCTTTAATTCTTCTTAGCAGAAACAATGAATCGTTATTTATCTATCTAATTTTTTGTAAAAAAAAATTACCACCATGCACATATTTTATAACCAAAACAAATTCATATAACCTTCATCGACATTAAACATCCACAGAAAAGCCATCACGACTTTCCAGCTATTAACTCAAAGTGTAGATTTTGTGTTTCTGACTGGTTACTTTGAGTCTTTTGAGGGACTGTCGCTACCATCTTCATGGTGCAAACGACGGAACGCCCGTTTTAGGAAGCCTCCTACTGAGCCGTCCGATTTAGAATCACCAGATGAAGTGTCGGAAGATTTATCTTTAGTTGGTGAATCAGAAGATGCAGAGGATTGATCCTCGGTTGAAGAGGGGGGAGTAGTTCTACGTGCTGTAGTATCATTAAGAGAATCAGCTAGCTGTTCCAACAAGCTTCGTTCGTGAGGTGAAAGTGCCTTTGGAACGCTGACCTCAAAATCGACGTAAAAGTTTCCATAACGAGCAGTAGCCGAAACGTTGCGAATACCTTTACCAGTCATGGTAATGCGATCACCGGAAACTGTACCAGGAGGTACACGAAGGTCCACTTCACCAGCCAAAGTAGGAATGCGAATTGTGCCTCCCAAAGCAGCGGTAGTCATGGGGACCTTGGCTGTATATAAGACATTGTTTCCTTGGCGCTTGAAAAATTGATGCTTGCGTACACGAATAGTGGCATAGAGATCTCCAGGACGGGATTTAGCATCTGGGGCAGCCTTGGCGGTAGCAGCATCGTTTCCAGCACCTACAACTCGTAATACAGTACTGTCATCAATGCCAGCAGGAATATCCAATGAAATAGTCTTACGTTCACGGACAGCGCCAGAGCCGCTGCAAGAACGACAAGCAGATGAAGAAGGGATAATGGTACCACTTCCACCACAAACATCACAAGTGGATTGCATGTGCATGGAGGGTGGGATGAAATGAAGACGGTGACCGCTTCCCTTACAGGCAAAGCAGGTACTGCGATGGGCGCCAGTTTGAAGACCGGAACCGTGACAACTAGAACAGGTTGAAGAGACTAAGTAGATGACATCCTTCTTGACACCATTTACAGCTTCCATGAAGTCGATGTTAAGACTTACTTCTGCATCTTCACCAACGTATACCTCAAAAGGGCTGGCACGACGGCCTCGTCTTGCTCCTCCAGTAAAAGACGAAAATAAGTCTTCGAAATTAAAACCAGGGAAGCCAGACCCGAAAGCTGATTCAAACCCATTTTGAAATCCTCCAAAATCATTACCTGTAAATTCGCCATTTTTGAATGCACCAGAGCCATACGTATCAAAAGCCTTTTTCTTTTCTGGATCTTGTAAAAGCTCATAAGCTTGCTTAATATCTACAAACTTTTCCTGGGCGCTTTTATCTGGGTTTGCATCCGGATGATATTTTTTTGCTAACTTGTAGTAGGCAGACTTAATCTCTCGCGGAGAAGCAGTCTTGGGAACGCCTAGTGTCTTGTAAGGATCCGTCATTTCACGAGCGACATTGGAAGCATGAAAGAAACGCTGAAAACGCTGGGGTCTTGGTGCATTCTCATTCTGTAAAAGATGGCTAGCCTTGGAATTGAGAGCATGAGAAACAAAAGCACGTCGAATTGGTTGATAAGAGATATTTTTGCATGCTTTCGATATGCGATGGCAGGAATGTCGGGAAGTAAGAGAATGCAAAGCAGAAAGATTTGACCGTACACTAAAAGGGATCATTCTGAAGAAAGAAAATAACGTTCGCAGTCTTTTTTTAGATCGTGATGCACGAAGTTGTTATTTGATTAAATCTTCGAATCAAGCAATTTGAGACGGACTTTTAAGGGCAAATCGAGATTATAAATTAATACAAAAAGCCGAAAGAATCCAACAATCTGACTTTCTCCTAAAACTCTTGATATAGGTGAATAAAGCCAAGGGGGTATGAGAAATCACCAAATTATCAAAAAAATACTTCAATGACAATTTAAAACTAATATTAGTTCAAACTCTTGACAGGAAAAATTCAAAATACTACTTTTTTGAAGAAGAAGAGAGGATGGTTAAGGAAAACGGATTGTCATGGAAATATGCAGCTAAGAAAGCGGTGTAGAAGCTAACAGAACTTCACCAGAGCCCAACCCCAAGAAGAAGCAAAAAGCCACAAAACGAAAAATAAATATAGTTTATAAGGATAATTAATAATTTCTTCTTACTCTTCTAAAAATTAACATTAGATTTACTGAATTAACGCGTAATTGGACTAGACCGGTTCTTTCAATTGATTGACATTTCAAGCCCAAAATGCAAACTGAGCAACTTGCAGGATGTGCAGTGCTAATAACTGTTGCCGTTTTTACGATTCGATGGATTTTTTCTGCAGACAAATCTTCTCACACAAATGTTCGTAACCTTGGTGCATCAGAATCCGCCCATCCAGTAAACAGTGAACAAGTGAATATGATTAAAACAGTTTTTCCTAATATTGAGTCTGTTGCCATCGCTTACGATTTGCAGAAGACTGGCAGTGCCGATGCTACCATCGAAAATGCGATCTCTTCGCAAAATTTACCTCTACCTCCGCGAGGATCCGCTTTGTACACTCGTTTCCCTCTGTCACCTGGATCAGATTTGAGTACTCATACCTCAGCCGCTGACAGTGCAAATCGTAACCAAGTTGCCCAGACTGAGGAAGGTCGAAATGTTCAAGGGAATGCATCAACATCAGGTGCCTCTAAAAGCCTTATTGATAAGTATGGTCTTTCTTCTCGGCTAAATGACTCAGATATGTCCACTTCGTCTTCGTCATCCAATAATGTAGCTGTTTCTGTTCACCGTCAAAGATTTCCCAATTCAAAGAAAGAAAGGGAAGAGCTTTTCCGTCGGCGCAAAGAAGAAATGATAATAGCTGCTCGTAAACGAATGGAAGAAAAAATGATGGTAGATAATGATTCTTAAATGATTGTTTAAAGAAGAAAACTATTAGTTGTGTTTCATTATTTGAAAACGGCTGATGAACACGGTCATTTCCTTTTCCATCTGATATTGAGGAGCTTCTAAACGTTACCGAAGGGAAGCCTTTCCTCTTTTCCCTTTTTTTTGTTGGCGCATGTCTTCGTTTAATTTTCTTGTATTTAATACTAGCTGACAAAATAAGCATTCTGATCAATTTCAATGATCTTGTTGGAGCGTACGCGGTTTTATGAAAGTTTTCCTCAAAAATATGCACTATAATTTTTATTATTTGCTTAAAGTTATCATGTCTATATATATACTATTTTTTTTTTTTATTGTACGATAATTATTTACTAACGCACGGTTTTACCGCCATACTTCTCACCAGTGGGTTTGGACTAGGAATGACGAAAATGACTAAATTTACTATACAATTCGTTTGTTCTTGAAAAGCTATCTTTACTCAAGATGTCTGAAAAAAGCACAATAGTGGGTTCGGAAAATGATACTCTTGTGGGTAAGTAAGCTGTTCTGGAAATTTTTTTGGAGCGCAATCTGCTGAATTTAAATTATGCTTTGCAGAGAAAGCTTGGTGATTATGATTAAGGCCTTTTTACTGGTTTCATATATTCTTTTGCAACAATATTGTTAAAAGAGAAAGTCTTTGAAGGTTAAATTCCAGCAATCAGACGAACGTGCATTGTTGTATAACATCAAAGGAAACAAACTCAACGATGTCTTTTCATTATGAAAAGTTTATTTTAAACTGTATTGGAACAGAAATAGTTTTCTATAGAAATTGGTATATTAGACCGTCGTTTTCCAATACTTTTCCTATATTTGTGTCCTAGCGTAATATAACAATAGCGGGTTACATATAATAATTCTTACATAACCGTATATACCCCAGGTTTCATGATTTTTTATCGCTTCCAATTCCTATACTCCAAATTTGATGACTGAGAAATAAGTAAATACTTTGTTATTTCGTGATTTTAGATTTCGTTATTTAAGTGAAAATCATTATCTAACTGAGAAGGGTTTGTGGTATTTTGAAATCCGCAAGTTTCGTTGACCTAAAAAGAAAAGCCACCGTTTTAGCATTGTTGACCATTTTTCTTTTTATCTCGATTTGAACGTTAAACGTTCGTTATAGGGTAGCTTGAAAGCTTCTGACTATTTGTGTGCTTTGCTTGAATTGACCGTTATTGTTTGTTTACGTTCAGGGGAAGTTTCGATTAGCTTATCGCTGTATTGGCAAACAATCAGTTTTTTTCTTTTAGATTCAAGTTATAACATAGTCTCTCCTCCTTTGTAGGCTCTAGAAAGAAGATTTTGAGCCTTCTTGGATTTGTAGAAACAAAAATTGGAAATTCATGGGACAAGCAAATTCTCGTCCGCAACTGCCAGAGAATCATGACCATTACTCAACCAGAAATTACAATTTCTTGCATAGATTCAAATCATTTTGGAAACGGTACGTTTCACGAGATGACACCTCTTCGTTAAGCAACCAAACCCGGTCTACTGGGAACCAAGGCTCTCCACAATTACCCAGTCTCCATCGTACTTCAAGTTTATCAATTTTAGAACAAAGATCACTTCATACAGATGGCTCGTCTGTTCCTGACGAGCCTGTCAAATCCTCCTCTCAGCAGATACCGAGAAACAGTATTCCTATAGGGAATTCATCTTTAACTCCGCAAAATACAGAATCAAGTATGGCTGACCTTTTACGCATTATGCCTTCAAGGCCGCCTGACAATTCTATAAACCAGAGGTTGGCTACAGGCAGTGATCCCCAATTACATTGCTCCAGCCCTTCAATAAGAAATGATCATAATCACGTTATAACTTCCCCTTTTCATGAATTCAATGGATCCAATTCATCCATATTTGACACTGCTAATGAAACCGCGAGTGATGAAGCGACTTTCCCTACATCCGATACCTCGATTCCTGTACATGATCATTCACAAGCTTCTGCTCAAAATTTTCTTTCTAACAATAATACACACAATCAACGTTCCACAAGTCGATCGCCACTTATTGATCATTTACGACAATATTTGACACAGGATATCAATCAACACCAACCGCACCGCCATTCCGTTTCCTTTCGTGACGGAGTCTCATCAAATGTTGGTGATCGCTCTCATTCCTCTGTTTCTTCACGTTCCGAACCTGAAATGAATTCCAACGTGAACATGGATAACCGTGCAAATTCGGGTTTGCCTCCTGAAACTGGTTCGGCATTTCAAGGATCCAATAGCGAGAATGCTACCAGTATGCTTAGTAGATTACTGTCGGCAGCCGCCATTGAAACTGCAGCCTCCATTATGAACAACGAAGCTCATGGACCTGATACAAACGCTCATTCTGGTGGGAGACAGTCCACAGTTCGATCTGTCGATGGATCATTTGAACACTTTCTCGATGATCTTCGTAATGGTAATATAACCAATGTCTTGCAAAATTCTACCAATTCTCGGAGAGATGCAGCGACAAACAGGAATCCTGAAGGAGACAATCCAGAGGTGCAGTATTTGAGAATGTTTCGGTTTCCATCTTCTCGTCAGTCAAGCGGTCCGAACAATGACCAAAATGTGCAAGGTAATGAGCAACCCGGACTTTCCCTTGTACCTGTGCTGATTGTTTGTATGCGTAATATCACTGACAGTTCTGAGGATCCTACGCAAAACATGTCTCAAGATAATCAAAGTTATCATGAGGAATTTCGAGATAATATTTCCATTAACGATATTACTGAACGAATGGCCCAATCCACTAACTCTTCTAACGAAGCTATAGCCTCAAGAACGTTACCTGTGGATCGATTCTCGAATATATCCAACACATTCGATCATTATAGCTCAGCGTCAGCGAGAAGTGAGGCTTCTTTACTTGGATCACCTCGCCATTCTAATGTATGGCCTTCTTTTACATCAGCAAGTTCTTCCCTTCCTTCTGAGTTTAGGGGTCACAATGTGCTCAGAAGAGCAAACGAGCGACTCAGTTCAGATTTTGACACAGTACAGACTCGGGACCAATCTGATCATCATCAATCCACTTCAGTAGCGGCTGCGGACGAGACTCCATCATTACATATTCGGCGAAGTCATATTGGTTCTGGTGATGATGCCGAGAATAGTGACATTGATAGGTTAGAGGAAAACCAGGGATGGTTAAGCCATAACAGTGGAGAAGCGTTGGGTTTTGGAAGTGTCGAAACGTCGACGAATCAGCTTTATCAAGATTCCATTTCTTTGGATAATAACCGACATAACACGTCTAGAGGGTTTGGTTCAGCGGATGAAGGAAATAATATGGGTGCAGAACGTGCTGGGGATGAAGAAACGTCCAATGCTAATTCAAACGGCGCCCATGGCGACTGGCTTATTTACGTTTTTGGAGGATTGTTTCCAGAGTACCATCCGATATTAACTACAGTAAGCTTGTTTTCTGACAATCCTACATATGAGGATTTGTTGGCATTGACAAGTTATCTGGGTCCTGCAAAGAAGCCTGTTGCAACCGCGGAGGATTTAAATCGTGCAGGTGGGCTATTTCTGTATCTGGAAAATGACAATATTGTCTCTAATAATACGTGTCTGATTTGCCTGGAACCATTTGAACGGAATGTATTATGCAGACGACTGAAAGGTTGCAAACATTTTTATCATAAAGATTGCATAGACCAGTGGCTTACTACAGGCAACAATTCGTGTCCCTTATGTCGTTCTCGAGGTGTAAAAACCAGCAATGAGGGAGCAAATCAAAATATACCGGACGTTTCTTTTATTTAACTATTGCTTAGAATGTTTAATTTTCATTGATTATCATGTTGATAGTTCTATTACACTTATTATACTTAATGTTTTTTCTTTTTTTTTGTTTTGTTTTTATATTATACTGGCGTTTGTTTCTATTACTCTAAGGGCGCTCGCATTCGTGATAGATTATTCAGGTCATCGATTATAAGCGAATGTTAATGATTTGGCTATCTGAACATAGACATAGTTTTGTTGTAACACACATCTTTTATGTACTGTGTGTCAGTATAAGGTGCTTAAAAGAGCTTAGGAAGCATTTTTCTGGACATAAAGTTGTTAGAAGTGATTGTGCTCATACCATATCCATATGTTTGGTGCTCCCTGACTTTATTCGTAAAAGATGCTTCGATCACTATTTACATTGCTATTTTTTTTTAGCTATAGACCGGCAATTATGAAACTTATACAATTTCTGCAAGTTACTTCTGAGACATGAGATGGTCGACTTTCTGGATATCATGAATTCTATACTCTTTTTTCAATTTTCCTTGTCTTCCATTTGGCTTGTAACACATGTGGGCTTTATCATTCCACTCAAAACATATTGTATATATCTGTACTCATATCCATCGTAATGTCAGTCTGTTGATGTACAGAATTAGAGAACATAAAGGCATTTCGTACCATCCTCTTGTTTACTTTTTTTTTCATAATCTACTTCTTGTTAAATATTTTTAATGCGGATAATCGTTTTCACCTATAGTTACTCCTATGATGCAAGCGGCACAAAAGGTTTGATTTAAATGGTATGGTGTTATAATGTGTGAATTTAGAAATGAATCAACCGGGAAAAAAAAGTAATGCATATATGTTTGGGGCACTGTACCCACTATAATTATAGAAACTCTTGTTCACAGAAACATCAAGATAAAAATAAAGACAAACTGGATGATGTTTTTGATCGAAAAAGTTGATAGATGAATAAAGCTATTACTTATGACGATCATAGGGTACAAACATATGTAGACATTGTAATTTCGATTTCAATCATTAGGCTCTTGTTTTCGAGAACGGTCATTAGCCCTCAAAGTGTCGCCGCTCAGGTGTAAAACGGGAAAATCGTTTTAACGGGGAGTTGCTTTCTCTAGGAACCGACGCGGCAAGAGAATGACGGTTTCCTCTCCGGTATGTGAAAAGAGGACTACCAGGTGTTTTAGGGCTGCGAACAGAGGGTGAGGTTTTGTGTTCCAAAAACGCATCGATTGGTCGTTTTGGAGAATAATACTCGACAGCAGCACTCACTGGACCATAACTAGTGTTTGTAGCAACGTCTCTTTTCACGACGGATAGTCGAGGCTCAACAAACTTTTTGTCATATTCATAGAAAACTTGCTGATGAAGACAATCCCTGTCCTTCATCATATCTTTGAACCTTCTAGCAATGAAAAAAAGTTGAAGAGAAAATATAACGCTTAAAAGAATAATCTTAGGAGATAGAATGTAAATCCATAGAATCAATAGATGGATAGGAGAAAATAGACAGGAAAAGTAAAGAGAGAATACGTTAGGAGACCAAACGACTAATTCAAAACTTCTTTTTTCATTTTCATTTGGTTCTGAATGAGCAGGCCGCAACCCTGGTGTTGTTTGAACATTCTTATCAGATTGAGGGAGTGTTCTATATGTCTTTTTTTGGAAAGAGAAGCAGCTGAATATATTGATGATACTGAAGGCCACAAGACATAATAAAAAGAATGAAAGAAATCCTCTAAACCAAGAACTCGTTGCTTTGGCTGATCTGGTACCTATAAACAGTTGACTACGATTTAATCGCGTCTTGGTGTTTTCCAGGTATGCACAAATAAAAATGAATAGTATATTAGACACCAGACTTAAAGGAATGGACCACCTCTCCGATACCTTATCCCATTCCACACTATCAAAGTCTTCAGAGATGGAAATTAAAAAGTCAATAGGGAAATTCAGGATTCTAGATTTTAGAGACGAGCGACGAATTAACTTTGGCATTTTCTCAGATATTGTGAAAGAAAGACAGTTGAATTTGTCCTCAACTTTCTCTTTCGGTTAACACAAATAAATAAATTTTAAGGAAATATTTGATGGATGATTTTAGGATCGACACAAACTTCTTTTCTAAAACAGTTTACAATCAATAAAAGATGGCCTATTTCCACTTTCACCTTAACAAGCCACAGGATTTAAAGGGTAAGAATAAGAGCTCATTTACTGTTATGTTTCTACTGAATTCCTTCGTTTGCTTCAACTTTGTCAAGTCCAAAAGGTAAATTCATGCAAAGTTGTCTAACTGTAAAACTTGGTGTATTGTGTGTTCCTTACTACAACACAAACACACCAGTACTTCACATGAAGCCTTTTATTTCCTCTTTAGTAGTCTTTAAAAATTAAAAAGAATTGTACCAAATACTGTTTCGGTTAGAAATTGACTATCTCAAGCTTTCTTAGGATATCGCGACTTGCTTGACATTGAATTCTCTCTAAGTGTTTTTTTGTCGAACGCTTTTAGTGATATTTTTTTGGATTCTTTTTAAGTATAGCAAATAAAGTTAACTCTTTATTTATTGCATATAAAAAAAATCGACAGACTGAAACGTCTTTTTGGTTCTGTGCTTTTCACGTTTTTAAGTTGCTTACGATTTTAACGATTTGTCTGTTCCTGTATTTTGCGTTTCATTTATTCTATTTCATGGTTTTTTGGATACAAAACTATCTGTTTTGTTTATGAGGTTACTTGGTATACTGGAAACCAGGGTTAAGATAATCAAATGCGTTTTTAGTGATTATGCAGAACGAAGTCAATTTCGATAGATAAATAAATATAGGTCCATTATGTCCGGTACAAGAAGTACTCGAATTAGGAAAACTTCACTAAAAAGAGAATTGGAGGAATCACAGAATGGCAATAGTCCAAAGGCTCCTAGAAATGAAATTGGATCTCGGCAAACTAGAGCCTCTTCCAGAAGACAGAATCAAGCGCATATGAAGGCTGATCAATCTACCTCTGATGAAGATGAAGAAAAAAAGAAGTTAACAAAACTTGAGGAAGAGGAAGCAAAGGAAAACGAGAATGCTTTTAGTTTCTTATCAACGAATGATTCTTCTTCATCAGGTGAAGAAAGCAATAAAAACTCACCGAAAATTTCAGACCAAGAAGATGAATCGGATGAGGACTCTGATATATGGGAGCAAGTCGATCTCAAGCCGAACCGTGATGAAAAAAAGGATGAAGAGAAGGATGTCCACATTAGTGCTTCAAGTGAAACTCCGTCTATTAAAACGAACAAGAAGAGATCATCTGGAGCAGTTGAAAAGGCGATCCGTTTTTCTATTCATGTCATGCACACATGTTGCTTATTTTACCATGGATGTCGTCGCAACCAGTGGAGTTGCCGACGAGAGCTTTTGGAATGTTTACTTGATAAAATCTCAGAGGAACGTCCTTCAGTAGTAGAAGATTGGATTAAAAGTGAACGAACACATGATGATCTGTTGAGACTAATAAACGGACTGCGGTCTTGGTGGCAGAAGAAGTTTAGCATAACCAAGCATGGGCTAAGAAAGCTGGGTTACCGTGATTTCAAGCACGGGTTTGAACTTGGTTTCGAACCTGAGATTATCGAAAATGAAAAGGTATTTATTGAAAAAATCCTTTCATTCGAAGGAAGCCGAGATTTATCTGCTCAAGGATTTACTGCTTTATGTCGATCCTTGCAGCTTAACGTCCGTTTAATATTTTCCCTTCAGCCTTTAACTTACTCCACGGCTGCTTATGATAACTGGTCTCATCATGTTCTCCCTGATGAGGCTACAAGCTCTATTGATGGAGACCTTCGTTATCCTATATTTTGGACAGAAGTGTATGACAATGATCAAAAGCGTTGGATAAGCGTGGATGCCGTTGTTTTAAACGGAGTGTATACAAATGACATGTCTTGGTTTGAGCCCAAAGGAGCTTACGCTGAGTCTAAGCACCTGCGTATGGGAATTGTAATTGCGTATGAAAATGATTTTTATGCTAAGGATGTGACTTTACGCTATACGGATGTGTCATCTAATCGTTGCAAAAAAATTAGACAATCTTATTCACCGGAGAAAAAGGACGATACATACGTGAGAATTTTTTCTCAGTTTACAAAAAAGAAAAAAAATGAACAAGATTTGATTGAAGATCGTGAACTCGAGCAAAAAGTGCCAGTGCGCGAGCTAAAGAGTATCGCTGATTATAAAAATCATCCGGACTTTATATTGAAGCGGCATCTTAAACGTGAAGAAGCTCTTCTGGATGATGCAAAGCCTGTTGACAGGGTTGTCTTTGGTTCGAAGAAGAATCCTATTCAAGAAGAGGTTTACCGCCGAAAGGATGTTTTGACATGCAAGACACCTGAAAATTTTCATAAGGAAGGCCGTGTAATAAGGCCTGGAGAACAGCCTCGAAAGATGGTAAAAGCAAGAGCAGTAACTATCACAAGAAAGCGAGAGCATGAGTCTAAAGTCATAGAGTCCAAGGAGCCAGTCATGCAAGGATTGTATTCTTCGGATCAGACTGAATTATACATTCCACCTCCAATAAGAGATGGAAAGATTCCGAAGAATGGTTATGGAAACATCGACTGTTTTGTTAAAAGCATGATCCCTCAAGGAGCCGTACATCTCCCGTTCCGCGGAATTGCAAAGATTGCAAAGAAGCTGAATGTTGATTACGCTGAAGCGGTAACTGGTTTTGAGTTCCGAAAGCATCGAGCCATTCCTATTACAACAGGTATTGTTGTTCCAGAGGAATTTGCTCCGCAAGTACTGGACGAATTTCGCGTGTACCAGAGGGAACTGGTGGAAAAGCAGCTTGTGAAAGAACGAAAAACTGCTATTGGATTGTGGAAGCGTATGATCAATGGACTACGCATTCGCAAACGAATTACTGAAGATTATGGCTAGATCCTATAACAAAAATTCCTACGACGTGATATAAGTTACTTAATTCTTGTTCAACTAGTATAATTATTAAAACTATTGAATTGCACTGGATTCCCTTCAACCATGACTAAAATAATTAACCGCTCTCTATGCAAAGTTCACAAGTGGCGTTGAATATAACACTTTTTTACAAAAGTTAAGTGTAAAGGGGAAATGAGTCATTGCTAAATCCGGAATTATTTGAAACTATTTAGTCAATAAAGTCGAATTAGAAATGTAATTACGAGTGTAAATTTTTGTAAGGGTAGGGCAGGTTTGGCTGGGGTCGTCAAGTTTAATATGATACAAGCTGTCGTTTACCAGTTACACTAATTACCAAACACAATAACGTTTAGCAGACAGAGACCTTTTTTCTAATCAATAATCTAGAAATTTACCTTAGTTAAGTCAAGGTTATCGAATGCGCATGCAATTGATCAATAGTCTTTTATGAGGACGAGAGGAAAAACTGAAAGAAATCAGGTAGACGTAATAACGAATAGTATTTTGAACAGCTTCGCATGTCAAATTACTCATAGTACGGAAATCTACTAGCAATAGTATCAAGAATGAGCGATACTGCTGAACTCGCGGGGATTTCCAGAATTGGGAACACGGAGGATCAAGAAGCTATATTATCAGATGAGTCTTCAGCATTTCAGAGCTATGATAGTTCAAAAATCTCATCGGAGTATGAATTAGATGATGTTTTAGACTTGTATAACGATACCACCGACGATGCTGAAGATACAGAGGACACAGGCCCGTATATGCTTTCGCCATCTTCAAGCATTTCCAGCGGGAGTAGCAAGGACTTGAATTCGTTTATATACCCAATTTACCGACGGCAACGTACCTTGGTGGAGGGGAAAGAAGCAGAAAGTGGAGGAGAAAGCGATTTTGACACAATTGTACCGAACAATCATAAAGTTTACTCTACTTGTGCCTACATCAAAGACGATGCTTCTAAACCAACTCTTCCAAAGCATAATCTGCAGGATAATTTGACGCTTTCATGGGAACTTTCGGAGAACAACGACTCACTGGCAAAAAATGAATTTGCAGCTACCAACCATGAAAATGTCTCTTCCAAAGCTTCCACCAAGACTAATTTTACGATTAAATATAATGACGATAAAAAAGATTCTTCCTCCAAGATTTATAGTGACAACCTTCCGTTTAAAATCAACTCTATTAATTGCGATATCAAAAGTGATGACGGACCACTTTCTCAAACATTTCGCTCCTTTAATAAATTTAAACAATGTCATTCAGAATGGGATATGTATGGGTTTAAAAAGGATAGTCAGTTTACGTCTATTGATCAGTATGATACTTGGTTCGAAGGATATAGTCAATATTTGGACCGTCGTGAACAGAAATGGAAACTGTTGCTTTCTGAAAATGGAATTGATTACTCTGCGGGCACTCCTGATATCTTTCCTAGTCGTAGTGCCAAAGTGCAGAGGTTTATACGGAAAGGTATTCCTTATGATCTTCGTGGAAATGCTTGGTTTTATTACAGCGGTGGGTATGAGCTTTGTCAAAGAAATCCCAAACTATATGAAACATTATGGAGATGTTCTTGTATTCGCAAGCCTTCTGATTCTGACTTGATTGAACGTGATTTATACCGAACATTTCCTGATAACATATATTTTCGTGGTAAAACGAATCAGCCTCAAAGATTCACCGGGGTGTCTGAAAAGGATCCTGACGTCGCTATGATTGCTAAACTTCGCCGTGTTCTCATGTCGTTCGCTACCTATCTTCCAGAGAATGGCTATTGCCAAAGCCTTAACTTCCTTGCTGGTTTTTTTCTGTTATTTATGAGTGAAGAGAAGGCATTCTGGATGCTTGTTATTACTTGTCGAAAATATTTGCCGAGAATGCATGATGCCAACCTCGAGGGCGCGAATATTGATCAAAGTGTTTTAATGGCGTCCGTACGGGAAAGTCTCCCAGCTGTTTGGAGCCGTATTAATTTAAACTTCGATGGTATGCCTGTTAATGATATTGTTGCAAAGCTTCCCCCTATCACCCTTGTTACGGCTGCTTGGTTTATGAGTGCTTTTGTAGGCATATTACCGACTGAAACAGCTCTTCGCGTATGGGATTGTTTTTTTTACGAGGGAAGCAAAGTATTATTTATGACCGCTTTATGCATTTTGCGTTTAGGGGAGGACGAAATAAAGTCGAAAAATGAACAAACTGATGTTTTTCAAGTGATTCAAGATCTTCCTAAATCTTTACTGGATGCCAATGCTTTTGTATCGTTACTTTTTCGAAGGAACTTCCGAAGGAGTCCGTCTCAGAAGGACATTGACCGCAGGCGCCAGAAAATTGCAAAGAAGCGCAAGAAAACGGTAACTAAGGTAGAAGGTCAGGAAGCTGAAACGTCAAAACCATCTTTGGCTAGATCATCTTCGCGCTTTAAAGGTTCCCATTTAATTTCTCAATTACAGAATCATCTGAAAAAATCATCGTAATTTGTACTTTATGTTGTGATGGGAATGCTTAATATGTCATTCGTTAAATTCCCTATTTTCGTCCTTTTCTCAATGCTCTCTTTTGTTTTTGGTTTTGCTCTTTAAACTCGTTCTGTTGCTTATTTACAGATTGGCACATTGCATCTATGATATTTAACTTGTATTTATCTATAATGATTCTACGGACTTGCTATATTTTCTATTCATTCGTTTATTACCAGGGAATTCAATCTGGTTGTTTTTATCTTCAAATTCATCATCTTGCAAGTTTAATATATTATTACAAATTACTGAACTAAAGTTTATCGTTCCCTTGACATTAGTTTTGATTTTCACTTTCACCTCAGGACAATTTTATTTTCTATAGTATTAACAGTATATATATATGTATTAGAAAGTAATTAGAAAAATAAAGGAAAAGTAATGCTGTCTTTACGATATAGAGAATGATTAGATGTGGGTAAAAGAATGTGAATAAGGCAAACACTTTTTTAAAGGGAAGAGCTAAAGAAAACACCAAGAAAACAGTACCAGATTCCAATTCAACTTAATAATAAATATAGATTCCCTAAGCCCATAACTTCAGGTACAAAAGTTGAATACTTGCTACCGTAGTATTATTCGGACTCAAATAACAAACGAGCATTAAACAAAGAAAAGTCTGAATAACAACGCAAGCAACACAGACACAATGAAGAATATTAGCTAAAATTAATGAAATTTGGAGAAGCAACGTAAGTGAAACCTCGAAAAGCCGAGGAATGACTACCATCTGGAAGATTGTCAGAAAAAATAGGAGTGACTGAGATAGGCATTTTTGTGAATTCATCAGAAAAATTCTCAGCAGCTGCTGGATCTGTTATGCAAGGAACAATCGGGGGAGGTAACTCACGATTTTCTAATTTCGCCCAGTTGATTTTTCTGTACATTCGATGCTTTTTGATAGCTTCATAGTCAGCAACGGAATTATTAGCACCAAGACGTTGCTTGGGGTTTTTCTTTAAATATTTGTTGATCAAATCACGTGCGTCAGGGGAGACGTAGAAGGGTATATTTGCCTTTGTACGAACTATTTTCTCCATTATTTTTTTATGGTTATTTGCAGTAAAGGGTGGGGAGCCAACAAGCAAGTCATAAATTAAAATACCCATTGACCACCAATCAACACCATAGTCGTAAGGTTGTTCAAGCAAAATTTCAGGAGCACAGTATTCCTCCGTCCCAACAAAAGAATGGCAATTCGCACCTGGTTCTGCAACTTTGGAAAGACCAAAGTCAGTTAACATGACATGGCCTTCCGCATCTAAAAGGCAATTTTCGGGTTTCAGGTCTCGGTATACTATACCAAGCTTATGCAGGTGGATCAGAGCCGAGGTGAGTTCTGCAGTATAATAAGCAACGGCATCCTCAGGCAACATTCTCCGCTCAGCCAAATGAGCAAATAGCTCTCCTCCTGGTGCGTATTGGAGAATCAAGTAGAGACGATCCAAATCTTGGAAGGCATAATACAATCGGCAAATAAATGGATGCCGTACTTCCTCTAAAATTTGGCGTTCATTTTTTGTTTGCTGAAGCCCTTTTGCTCGAAGCCTTATACTGGCTTTCTTCAACTGCTTCTGGGCAAACAAGCGACCCGTTTGTTCTTGCTTCACTAAAAGAACTTTACCGTAGGATCCTCTACCAAGGACAGCGATGGGATGGAAATCATTGGGGTGCATTTTTTGATTCGGCACATAATTGTTGTTACGATCTGAAATAAAATCTCCATCTTCGCCCAATTTATACTCGACTGTACCTTCCTTTTTTTTCACGTCTTTTGCAGAATCTTCCTCGGAAATACTGAGCTTTCTAAAGCTCAATGGGTCGATATGGCCGTCCATCCCTTCAACGACTTCATCGTCGCTCGACAACCCAGAGTGTGCATCCTCGTTCAAGTAGTCTTGCTCGTCGAATAAAAAAACAGGCATTCGGGATAAAAAGGTTCAAAGGCACTGTAAGGGCAAACTCCCTTTCAAATAGTCCTTCTTTGTTTTTTTGTGGGTTTGTTCGAAGCAGTAAATTTTTAGCTGCCAACAGATCTCTAGTTGTTTGTATTCATTGTGATTAACTTTAAGCTTTCGCTAATTTACAAAATAAAGTTATCTTTGTTTTCTTTGATTGAGCTGCTAAGTAACAAAAACAAAAACAACCCATAAGTAACCTCAACACGTACAAATAGAAAAACTTTTTGAGTGTTGTGTTTTACCAGTCTTTTTACATACAGAAAGCAATGGCTTTAACAAAGTGTCAAATCTCGTATCGTATGTACGTGACTTTAGTTAGGGAGCGCGATGTTGATTGCTTCGAATGACTCTTCGTAGAAATCTATGCATCTGAAGAAATTTAAAAATCAAAGCTTTCAACTTGTACGTTTGAGAAACATTTCATTGCCTTCAAAGATATATTGAAGGCGCGCAGCTTTACGCAAAGTGTATTACAAAACTTTCTTGTCACTTCCCTCAGAAAAGTATGGTCAATTCCTGTTATAATTTTGTAGCAAATGGACAATGAAACGTGAAAAACCGAAGCACATATTCAAACTTCAGCATTCACACGATTTCATCTTAAACGGATGTTCCGCGGTAGATGGACGGTCTAACCGAGGGTAAAGACGGCCACAATTCATATACCTTTTTGAATGAACACAGTAGTAGTTACTACCATATTAAGCTTAAAAAGAATCCAATTGAAATAGATTACCGTTTACTAACTTTTTAGTGATATCACTTCTTTTCTTGAAATTCATAGAACCTTGGTACGGTTTTCAAATTGCCGCCAAATTCTCTTGTTCGCGTTTGACGTGTCTATGAAGAGCAAAACGACGGGTTCATAGCATATGAATTCTTTTTTTAATTAAGAAAATGACAGAAAAATATTTTTTTCCAAACGAAAAGGAATATGATGTGAATGACTATGCAAACTTTCATTTTGGGACTGAAAACGACAACCATGCTTCCATGTCTCAGAAAGAAAATCCTCAAAACTTGGTTTCTGATAGAGGCTCAAATATACATCCTTCTTCTGTCGCCTCTACTTCCTTAATTCCCGACGTTCCTTCATTGAGTCCGAACTTTCACAATCTTCAGCAACATGTCTCTACTCCTTATGGTGAAATGGCCATGCCGGTTCCCTCTTCTGCTGGTATGGCTGTAGTAGCCCCAGAAGGACCCGAAAGCAATGTGAATGAAGTCCCTATGACTTTTAATAGAACTATCACTCAGCCGAATACATCTAGGTTACGTGACACGTCTTCTCGTTACCGAGCATCCAATAGTTCTCGAAAATCAATGTACAATGAAGATGAGTTAGATGACGAATCTGACTTGTCGGCTTCGATGATGCAAGATGATTTTCAAGTAGAAGGCATGAAAACCAAGTCCGGTCGTAAGATTCAACGGCCCGTTACGTATAATCCAAGTGCAGCATCTCTAAAAAAAAGGACAAGAAAGGCAGATTTGGTTTCGCTGTGCATAGTCTGCCACAGGGGTCATTCTCCAGCTTCTAACCAGCTGGTTTTCTGTGACGGTTGTAATAGTCCTTATCACCAGCTTTGTCATCAACCTCCTATTGATGATTTGGCAGTTCAGATTGAAGATTCTGAATGGTACTGCATGAACTGCCAGTATAGTCGGGCAAAACAGTTTCCATTGGAAACTGGTGCTACTTCACAAGTATTAGGCTTGGATGCACAGCAATTGCGTGCATACTTTTTGAGCCTACCAGTTCCACATTTAGTAGATCTAATATTGCTTTATGAGAAATCTTTCCCTGATCTACGCATCTATAGTCCTCAAACACGCGAAAACTTGGGTGAAATCCGTCGACAAGTGCTCATCAGTGCCGAACGGAATCAAAGCACTTTACAAGAAAAGAAAAACGCCAAGCAAGATGAAGTAGCTTTGGATCTTCCCCCTCATGTACCATACACTACTGAGTATGTATCCCGTTCCGGCATTCTTTATGATTATCCGACTATTTTACGACTTGCAATACGAAACGTGGATGTTCCTTCAAAGGAAAACATTTTCGCCTGGATGTCTGATCATTTGCCTTTAACAATTTCGTTCCGTGAAAGTGCCTCTGATGCTCTACGATGGATGGTAACCCATGGACAGCTGGTTCGCACAGGATATCTCTATCAAATTACTAGTGTAGATGATTTTTTTTCTTTACGCCCTTCGTTGTTACCCACATTTCAAAAAAGAAGGAAAGTACCAAAAGTTATGCCGATGTCTTATCCAACGGATGAATCCCAAAGCCTTTCTTTCACTGTATTGTAATTTAATGGAATATTAATGTATATTAAACTGTTTTGTCTTTGTTGATTGAGTTCTATTATCAAAATATTATTGTTGATAATTTATCGCCTATGGCACTATATGGCTACCGCGTCCTTACAAAGAAGCCTTAATAAGTTTCGTAAGTTTTAGCTTTCAAATCTTCTTTCAATTGCTTTTTTTCTCACTTGTCCAAATGAATAGTGGGGCATGTTAAAAGGACACACACCGTCGAAAAGGGCTTAAAAGTAAAGTTTATGCTGGGTTGAGTACTAGTTAGATTCCACAGGTTCTCGGTATCGCACCTTCTAAACTATAATCTGACTTGTTCTCATTGTAATTAGTTACAAGTGAGTAAGTATTGGTCCGCACCAAAGTAATATAAGGAAAGAGAAAATCCATTCATCTTTTATTACCAAGTATAAAAAGATTTAAAATACCTACATATTACGAATCGTAAATTTTGGTAGTGTTCATCAACTTCAAACACATGCCTCACTTACCAACTACCAAAATGAGGCCCGCCCTTTCACTCTTAAAGCAAGCCTCTTTCCGTTTTCCAAAGGGATTTAGTCTTCCAATTCCGAAAGAAAAGAAAGTACCTCAGGTTTCTGATACCCATCCATTATGGCAATTCTTTCGAAATAAAAATGCTCTTTCTCCCCCCGATGAAGAGTCTAAATATGGCCGCTCTTGGACGGCTGAAGAGCTTCGATGGAAATCTTTCGACGATCTTCACGGTCTTTGGTATAATTGCCTTCGTGAAAGGAACCTTTTGCTGACACAGGCAACGGAGATGAAACGTCTCTTAATAAATGTCCCCGATTATTCCAAGGATCGTGTGAAGACGGTAAATAAAACAATGGCCACTATTAAATTTGTATTGTGGGAGCGCGAACGTGCTTATCAAGCTGCAAAAGACTTAGAAAAAAAAGAGTCTGAAAAAGCGAAAAATCCCAATCAAGCCGTATAGGTTCAATATTCTTTCATCTCCAACAATCCCTGTATGAGAATCTTTTTTTCTTAATGTTACAAATCCCTTTTTTTTTAAGCAGGTACTTTTTGGATTTGTTTACTTTTTTTTGTTTACATTTCACCATGCGTTTGGTTACCATGACGACCAGCGTTAAAGAGAAGCTGACGACGCGTCAAGCTTCTTTTTAATATTTACATGCTATTTACAAAATTAAAAGACGCGTAATTTTGAATGAAGAGCTGCTAATGCTTCGCTTATGAGTTGTGGGAATCCTTTGTATTTGCAATGGATTCAAGAATGGATGGAAGAGTCTACTCGACGGTATCCAAAGTCTTACCAGACATGGAGAAAGGTAGGATAGAAAAACGCAATTCATTGTCTCGTTTCTTTATGAATAGCTTCTTAGGTCGCTTAATAAATAAAAGCTAGATGTGAACCATAGATCGTTTTATGAATTCCAAACTATGACAATGAAAAGTGGTAAATCCCATATTAACGTTCTTAGGCATTTGATTCCATGAAAAACTGCCCAGTTACTTTGCATCATCCATCACAAGCATCTGCGCTAAAAGGAATTGGGCCTACAATTTGCGCCAAGCTTGAAAAGCGATGGTTAACATACTGTCGAGAAAACAATATACCAATAGCTCCTCCACCTCAGCAAGGAAATGTGAATGATACAGAGAACACAAGTGTCAATCATGCAACATCTTCCTCCAATGCCGTAAAAAAGCCAGCTGCTCGAAAGAAGCGTCCATATGTACCGGGTTATAGGTCAGGCGCATATGCCATATTATGTTCATTATATTCTCTTCCAACTCATGAATTCGCTACGAAGCCTCAAATAATTACTTCTGCGCAGGGTTTTTGCGATTCGTCCTTTGGACCAGGTGCCGATGGGAACCAACGTTATACAGCTTGGAGTGCTATGAAGACACTCATCATGAAAGGACTTGTCTACCAAACTGGCCATCCAGCCAAATATTGTCTTACCGATGATGGCGAAGAAGTATGTGATCGTTTAGCAAGGGTTGATGACGCTTTCCGGAAACAGGGTAGCCCTGTAAGATTGAAAAAAAGCAACTCCACTCCGGCTAGCTTTCCTAGTTCAAGTACGCAGGGGAAAGCTATGCAGAACGAAAACATGTCACAGCAGCGTTTAGGAAAGAACATGACGTTGAATACCATCTCGCATCACACAAGTGTTGTGGAAAAGCAACCGGAACTTGTTTCCTTAAGTGAAGAAGAAATGGAAGAGATGGAAGAGGATGAGAAAACAGATGTGGATGAGCTTCAGGAAGAACCTATTGTTGAGACAAATTCAAGTATTCCAAACATCGATTTGACTGATGGTAGTGCAACGATTTTGGATAAAGACAGAGAGAAGAATGTTGACATCCCTTTGGAAACTATTCCATTCCATCGATGCACTTTGGTTCTATTAATTGATACCCGAGAAATTCGAATCCGTGGTGATCGAAACACCGTTGCTGATAAGTTAAACAACGACTATAACGTTCTGTGCGAAGTACGAGCTTTGGAACTCGGTGATGCGCTATGGATTGCCAGAGATAGAGAGACGAATCAAGAAATTGTTCTCGATTTTGTCGTGGAAAGAAAGCGATATGATGACTTGGTAGCCTCGATTAAAGATGGACGATTTCACGAACAGAAGCGCCGTCTCACGAAAAGTGGAATTAGCACCGTCTTTTATATCTTAGAAGAATCCAACTTTGATGAAAGCTTTTCTGAATCCATTCACACAGTCGTCTCAAACATACAAGTCGATCATTTATTTCACGTTCGTTGTACCAAGTCTTTAGATCATACTACCGCTACTTTAGCGAACATGACAAAACATATCCATAATCTATATGAAGCTCGAAAAACCTTACAATTAATTCCAGATTTATCGGTGGAGGCAAAGACATTTGAATCCATGAGAAAGTATCTAGAGAGACTAGACCCGTCAGTTACCTATCACATTACTTATAATGCTTTCTCTTCTGTCTTGTCAAAGTCTTCTACTCTAACTCTTGGTGACATATTCATTCGAATGCTGATGACAATCCGTGGTGTCAGTGCACAGAAAGCAATCGAGATCCAGAAGCGATTCCCTACATTCATTGATTTATTTGAGGCGTATGAACGTTGTTCTTCAAATCAGGATCGAGAAATGCTTCTCGCAAGATCATTTCAAGGCTTTGGATCACAAGCCATTGGTCCAGCTCTGTCAGCAAAAATAGCCTATGTTTTTCATCCAAATCCTACATAATAGATTGTTGGCATGATCTCCCAAGGCATTTTAATACCTCTTATTCTGAATTATCATGAAACGAAATTGGTTTAGCGAAGTACAGTACGTTATCCTTGTACAAGCGACTAACTAACTGACATTTAAATCTTCCATAGACAGATACCTCGAAAAACCCTTTCTTTGAACATTAACTATCTCATTATTAATATTTATGTCTGTGCGTCGTTCATTTAATTGCGGCAGGCTCGCTAGGCAGCTTGGATTGCTTCGCCCCGGATTCTGTGGAAATACAGTCTCTTTAGCCAGATACAATAGCTCTGACTCAAAAAAAGCAGACGAAAGCTATACACATTTTGGTTTTAAACATGTACCAGAAGACGAGAAAGAATACATGGTTAAAAATGTTTTCTCTTCAGTTGCTAAAAAGTATGATCAAATGAATGATGCAATGTCTTTGGGAATTCACAGACTATGGAAAAACCAATTTGTATCTGCGTTAAATCCAGGGAACAGTACTACTCCTATGAAGATCTTGGATGTAGCTGGCGGTACTGGTGACATAGCATTCCGCTTATTGGATCATGCAACTCAAAGGAACGGTGATTATAGTAGCAAAGTGATTGTCGCGGACATCAACCCTGATATGCTTGCTGTTGGTAAGAGGAGAGCTAAGAAAACGCCTTATCTTGAGTCGGGACGTGTCGATTTCATTGAGCAGAATGCTGAGGTTTTGGACAAAATCCCTGACCATAGCATTGATATATTCACTATTGCTTTTGGAATCCGGAACTGCACGCATATTGACAAGGTATTGGAGCAGGCTTATCGAGTTTTGAAACCTGGTGGTGTTTTTAGTTGTTTAGAGTTTAGCAAAGTTTATCCTCCTTTGCTTGCAGAGGTCTATCGTCAATACAGCTTCAAGTTTCTTCCCTTGCTTGGTACGGTTATAGCTGGTGATAGTGAAAGTTATCAATATTTGGTGGAGAGTATAGAGCGTTTTCCTGATGCTGATACTTTTGCAAGTATGATTGAACGAGCTGGTTTTACTTTAGCTGGTGATCGAGGATATGAATGTCTTACCTTTGGAGTTGCTGCCATCCATACTGGTGTGAAACTTTAAGTAATGTCCACAGAAATTTGAGTTTACGATGCTTGAAGTTTGACTTTTTCTGCCATTCTTTTCTTCATCTTTAGGAAGCGGTCAGTAGTTTATTCTCTTATGTTTGCATTAACCAATTTCCTATTTAACGGTTGTAATTATTTTTACTAATCATACTATTATTTTTGTGAGAAAACAATCAATATTAATTCACTATTATCATTCATTATTGACCATTATTATATGCGTAACCAAAATTTTAAATATCATTCGCATATCGTCACATCTCATTCAAAAGGCATTGTAAACATAATCAACAAGAAAAGAAATTTTAGCATTAAAACATAACTTTAAAGGTCATCATCGATATATCAAAATGACAACGGAAATTTTGCAAGATATATTATCATGGTGAATATTGCATAAACATTAACGATAGTTCTTGAAACATTATGATCAGCCTTTCCTTGTCTTTGGAGAAACGGAGTTTAGTTACATTTTTTTTATCTTCTTCAGGCAAAGGCGTAGGAAGGAAACGATTTCCGACTTTTTTTGTCAATATTCCATTCATATAAGTGAGTTGCAGAAGCAACATATACCGATGAACCATCGTCCGCAAAGCATGAGCCACAGATTCCTTGAGAAACTGAATAAGGACTATCGTCTTCGTTTGGAAGAACTAATTCAACATCTCTATTGGTGCGCAAATCCAACAAATGGGATAATTTTGTGCCTTCAGTATATAACAGTAGGTCCAATGGACCAGCGTTGGGAGGAGTAAAGTGGCAGCTCCGAACGCTTCCATCAGGCTGACTTCGAGATGTAGTTTTAGTTAACATAGGGAATTTCATATATCGAACGTCGAAGACGCTGAGGCTTGAGTCTTGACTAGCACAAGCAAACATCTCATTGTTCTGCGAAATGCTTGTGCAAATAGAAGAGTCCTTTGTATTTGCTTGCGTTGTGTGTCGAAGAATATAATCTCCGGATCGGGTAATTTCGTAAAAAAAGAGGTCTGGTGAATCGCCGACACAAACCATGTATCGGCCATCATTGCTTACAGAAGCATGATTCATATTTACAGGGAGACGAAGATTCCTTGTTAGTATTCCTGAGGCGAGGTCGACGACTTTGACGGAGCGATCATTTGTGGAAATCAATGCCTCAGGTTGATGATCGGAATTTCGTTTATGCACCTCGATACCATTGTTATAGTATGGTCCCAGTTCCAAATGCTTATGTTTTAAAGTGGGAGACCAGTAATCAAACTGGCCGGCCAATCCGCCTGACGCGATATAGCCATACTTTCCAAGCAGACAAACAGGCTGATATGTCAGCATGTGTCCAACTTGAAAAACTTTTTCCGAGTTGGGGTAAATCTTCCAAACGAAGAAATCATTAGTGTAATAAATAGGATTGAATTCTTCCCCAGTATATTGGGTAGAGATTAAGTTTTTTAATTGTGGATGTTCAGAACACACTTTAGCCCGATGCTGCTTCGGGATAGAATCTCGAAGGCATAAGCTAGACTGATTTGAAGAACTGACGACCGTCATAATATGCGAAAAGCAAACTTATGAGTCGATAACTTGTGAAAACAAAAAAAAATAAAATAAAGAAAAGGGAAAATTAGAGAAAGCAGGATAAGATGGATCAATAAATTATTAAATAATAGACAGCGATAGAACTTTCTTTTTTTGCCAAGAAAGTTGAATAAATGACATAAAAGCTCAGAGAATTTGAATAAACAGTGAACAAAAGACGCTACTAGCGAACAATATGCTTCAGAGAATACCAATTACTCAAATAAATTCGAATAACAAGTTGGAATAGTCCAAATATTTAAATATTAAAAATGGAGGATGTCAATGGCTGGCAAAAAGCTTTTCACAAAGAATGCACAGTTTGAATCCAAACAAATAATTGAACCCAAAAGCGAATATGGGAAAAGAGAAAAATCCAATCAGCTAACGTTCTGAATTATCAATGTCAGGGAAATCTTGGAATTGTTTTACAGACTACTTCGTTCACGCTTAAACTGAAATGCCTGTCTGTATGACGAAAACTAGTATGAAATCTGATATTGCAATGAAAGTTGTTATATCACAGAAAATATGACACCGACTGATGAAAATCAAATCCTTCTTCCTGTTCTGATCAAGAACCTGTTAAAGACAAGTTGAAAGATGAGAAATCAAGCATGAAATCCGCAGGTGCAATGGTTGCGTAAACAGATTCGTGAGCGTATCATATTGGGTTTGGTGATGGCTGAAAATATCGAATAAAAGGGCATCCATGGTGTCGTTTAATCAACACTTATAAGAGGAGTGTCCAATGTGCTTTGAATGTGGGGAGGCGCTAAATTGAGCCATTGTAAGCGCAAAATAAGAGGCAATTTCAAGGGGAGAAATGACGGATGTATGACAAGAGAAATAAAAATACAACACAGTTGATTAAGATGAACCAAAGTAAATTTCAGAAAAGAGCATTTGTGAGACTGCAGCAAAATACGGTCCACCTTGATTAAGAAACGTTAAAGGGGTCTTCGTTAGTAAACATTGTCATAGAGCTAAGAACAAACAAGTTTGAAGCATATTGAGCAAAAGAATGAAAAGGATTTCATGAAAATTCTTTTAAAGATTGATAAAGTATCATGGCACTTGCTGAATATATGGTGTCTATGCGTTGAGTTGAGTCGACTTGAGTTGACTTGGCAAGGAGAGTTAGTGGGGAATGAGAAAGCAGGTTTTAAGGGAAACAAAATATCATTTGAACCGAGCATATGTATCGTAGAAATTCTTGTTGTTAGGGTAGGATTCAACAAATTTCGACACATGAGAAATTCATATAAAGGATTGTCGAAAAAACAGAATGCAATGGAAGGATTTACCGTGTGTTGTAGTATAATATACTTTTAAGACATAATTGACTCTTCAATCAATCAATCCTGAAAGAAAGAACGTAACCAGGTTGCTTCTTCTTGCATAACTTCCGGTGTACGGGGATGACGGTCTTCATCCTTGGGAACGCTCTTCTTCATAGATGTAGGAGGACTTTGATCGCCAATGATGGTTTCTTTTCCTGTGGCTTGTAAAGATGCAAGGTTGGCCTCTGCCTTCTCCAAATGTTGATATACCTCGTCATTCTCGTTAAAGTCGAGTTTCTTACGAGGGATGAGGTGCACGTGAAGGTGAGGGACAGTCTGACCAGCGTCTCGTCCGTCCTAGCAATATTAGCGATTAGAACGCTTGTATTTACCTCTGATGAATTACCTGAATACCAATGTTGGAAGCACTTGCTGTGTAAACTTTTTCGAGCACAGTTTCAACCTTAGCGACACTCTCAAAAAGATCACTAATCTATAATAAAGGTTAAAATGACTGCCTTAGCCTTTTGGACTTGCCTCTTCCGAAGAAAGGTCGCGAAGACGAGGTACAACCCTGCGAGGGATTACTAAAACGTGGCCAGGCAAAATGGGTTTTAGATTAACAATCGCAAAAGAATGCTAAATAAGTACAAGTCAGCAAATACCTCTAAACAGATGGAATCGCGTCGTGTTCATTGGTCACCAAAAATCTTTATGAACAACAACGCTGTTTCCTTTCACTTTTGCTCTTATTTACTTACTTTTGCTTGATAAAACACCTGGTTGGTAACGTTAAAAGCAGAAAACATAAAGGGTTTCGACATTTTGAAGTAAATGAAAAGATTTCAGTAGTTGGAAAAGGGGAAAAATACTACAAATTGAAGGTAAAATTAATGGCTCTTCATTTGCTTGTACGCAGCAAACCAACATTCATCTACAAAAAGAGTCGAATTCTACCACTAAACTTACTTGTTTTACAAAGCCTTACAGAGAACTTTATTACGGTTTTTCGTTGTCAAACTTTGAAGGAGAATCTCGTATGCTGTGTTAATATCGATTAATTCATGAAATTAAGTTTTTTAAATAAAAGTAACACAACTTTGCTCATAATATTCTGACTGTCGTTGAAGAACATAAACCAGGATAAACTGTTTTCATAAAAATTAACCATATCAGGAAGGTATTAAAGATTCGTACAAAGCAGCACCATTTAATTTTTCCTATTTGAAAACAAGAATGGACCAGTTGAAGGATCCGGTTTCTTAATACAAGGAGAATTCATTTTTGGATTTTGTGTGTACCATGGAATGTTGAATGAAAGAACTTATTCAGTTCAGAGCAGGTAAGGGCGAACTCGGATTTTTAAAGAAAAAGATAATGGCGAAAGAAAATTTTTGGGTTGTAGCTGGACGATGATTCCCATTTTAATACAAAAGGCGAGTATTAATCTTCCCTGGCAAAGACTCTAACTTAGTATGCAAAGTTTCCAAGGAACTAGGGGAACAATCGCTGATATCGGCAACCAAGTAAGCAATCTCACCACGAGAGTCCGAGAATTGGGCTTTGATGTTGTGATTGACAAGGATTTCATTGACATGTCGAAGGACACCAGGCACATTTCTATGAGCGAACAAGACACGGACGACATTGGTATCAGCTTCGGTAAGACTGCGCAAAGAAACTTCGGGGAAGTTGACAGCACTGACACTGTTACCCTCATTGATGTAGCGAATCAGTGCCTCACTCACCTCAAGACCAATGTTGTATTGAGCCTCTTCAGTGCTACCGCCGATGTGAGGAGTCATGATAATATTTCTGCAAGAGCATAACTCGCTGGTCCAAGCGTTCAAACTGTTGGCGAACTTACCCTTACCATTACCAGCAGGTTCAGAGGGGTAGACGTCAATAGCAGCACCGGCAAGCTTGCCGCTCTTGCTAGCAGCAACCATGGCAGGGATGTCAACAACAGTACCACGAGAAGCGTTAATGAGATAGCTACCGTTCTTCATGGCAGCAAATTCAGCACTAGAAACCATGTTTTTCGTTTCGGGGGAAGCAGGAACGTGAAACGAGACAAAATCTGCGTGATGGAGAAGCTCATGAAGGGAGCTCAATTGCTTGGCAGAACCCAAAGGCATGATAGGGAGAACATCATAGTAAATGACGTGAAGGCCCATGGCTTCGGCAAGAACAGAAAGTTGGGAACCAATGTGACCGTAACCGACAATACCCAAGGTCTTGCCACGGATTTCCCAACAGCCATTAGAAACTTTATTCCATTCACCATTGTGCAATTCCATAGAGCGATCGCCTACTTGACGAGCCAAGCAGATGATTTCGCCAATGACGAGTTCGGCCACCGAACGAGAGTTGGCATAAGGCGAGTTGAAGACGGCGATACCACGCTCGGCAGCATATTCCAAATCCACTTGGTTAGTACCGATACAGAAGCAACCGATGACGATGAGATTATCGGCGGCCTCCAAGACACGTTTAGTCAAGCGGGTCTTGGAACGGATACCGATGGCGTGAACACCCTTGATTTTTTCAACAAGCTCATCTTCGCTAAGGGAAGACTTTAAGAATTCTACTTGATAGCCTCGTTGTTTCAACTTGCCTAAGGCAGATTGGTTGACGTTTTCCAAGAGCAAAATCTTGATGTCCTCTGAAGCAAATGGCTTCAAGGCACGTTTTGCGGGTTGGCTTAAGCTACGAGGAGCTTGGAATTGGCTCGAAAGAAAAGAGGGCTTGTCTGGAGGAGACAAGGAAAGTTGAGTCATGCTTTCATCGACAGTTTGGTGAGATTTCGTTATATCCATAGTGAAGTGATGCAAAATTGGGTATCGTACAGTATGAAAAGGAAAGCAAGAAGTCCGTTGTTAATGATCTCTCAATAACAACAAATTCAGAATTCGTTTCTAAATCACAAATAAAACCTGTATACTTAAACGAATGAACTGGTAATTTACCTACAGTCTTTTCTAACAGGTATAGGTGAAAGTGTTGTTGGTTTTGGTAAGGAAAGATTCACCCTAAGAGAAAAGATCCTTCGCTCAATGTATCGCACGCAACTTTGGAATACCGAGCTCGTCCGTATATAAAGTGAAAAATCCAACGGTTGATAGAAGAGATTAAAAAGGTGATTACGAATTTGATATCAAATCAGATACCGAAGATGTTAACAAGAGTCATTTTGTGAAAATTTTCCCGGTTGCGAAATCGTTCTATGTTGACTTGTGATTTGTAAAACCAAACGTATCAACGAAGGAAATCTATAAGAAAAAAAAAAAAAAAAAAAAAAAGAAAAACGTGAGATTTCTTAAGAGATCCTTCAACGAGATTTCTCAAAAGATGGACATTGTGAATCCCATTGTTGGCTATGGCAAAAACAAGAAAAGTCAAGCACTGTGCATTGCAGCATCCTTGTAAATATAATGCGGCGAGGAGAGAGAGAGAGAGATAGAGAGAAGAGGAAAGTTTTGTTTTGCGACTGTGTGTTTATTTACGACCACAGTACAGAAAAAATAATAGAGAATTCGAAAATTTGTAGGAAATGAACACAGAAATACAGAAAAAGTAAATAAATAAATCGGATGAATTCATTCGCTATGAATGCATTTTTTTGAACCAGCATCGTAGAGAAAGGAAATTGTCACATCATCGCATCACATAGAAATAAATGTTTAAATATCCTCTGTATCCTTGTTTTCTCTTTCTTCTTTCTTCAAATGGACACATTAAATTAATTGAATAGAAGAGTATCGCAGTTCTTTTTTGTTCATTACTTTTATTTTTTTCCTACCCAAACATGTAAACAAACCAAAGAATGACAATTAGGTAATGCTTGTACGATTTGCGTACCGGGTCCTGAACTATTGTAAGCAGAAATTACTGAATAAAAATTAGAAGCCTCCTGTTGTATTCAAAGCAACTCCTCGGTTGAGAATTGTCCTTAACAATGGCACAAAAGTGTTTGTTTGTATTTCTTAATTTGTTGCTCAAGATACATTGAATAAAAGAGTGGTGGACGAAAAGAGATGGATTTCCTCTGTGACTTTCAAAACAATTGTATTAGTAAACTTCTTTTGTTTGAGATTTTGCATTTTGGAGAACGTGTCGGATCCTCTGCATTGAATACCACCTATTCTTCAAAGTTTGATGCTCCAAGTAGATTTGAGAGCTGTATATCGTCTTGTTTCCCTTTTGCGATGGCTTCTAGGTCCACACGTCTTGATAATATACTTCAAAGGGTGTCATAAACAGGTGAATTTTTACTGTTCTTGTATAATAATACGTAGTAAACACTTTAATAAAGAATTCAATTGGTACTTGAGATTATCCCTCAATAAATTGAATGTGTTTCTATCTAAATCTAGTCTTTGTATTTTATTAGAAAAGAGAACCAAAAGCCATTTTATATCAAATACTAAAACAAAAGAAATGCAGTTTTATTTGTTAGTCCGTCAACATTAGACACTATGCCTGAGTGGTTAAAGGGATAGACTAGAAATCTATTGCGGTCTCCGCGCGCAGGTTCAAATCCTGCTGGTGTCGTTTTTTGGAATTATTTTTAGTTCAATACTTGAAATATTACCATTCTAACCAATACCTTTTTATTTTTTATTTATTTTTCTTTCTTTCTTTTATCAACTATTAAACGTATAGAAACGAGATACATTGCTGACGGTTTCAAATCATGAAGAATTCCTCAGTACGCTAAGCTAAGGACGTTCAAGTACATTTTCACTGAATGCCTGTAGAACCACCATATACAAGATTTATCAACTCGTTCATACCTTTATTTACATACAACAAATCAGTAAAAAAAGTCATTGAGTCCCGTTCGTAACTTACTCAAAAAATACTCAGCATATCTTGAGATTACACTTGCAGTACCAGCCAACATTTGGTTTTTTTTGTTAATACATCCAGCGATACAAACAGAATCTTGATTGACAGATGAGTAATATATTTCCCTTAAGCCTAACAAATACGTTCGCCACACTGCAACATTCACAACAAACTGTATCTAATTCAGTAACGTAAATATCATTCAAACATTTATAGCAGCTCCATATAAGAAGATGTTCTTCAACACTGCTTGCAAATGGCTGCTGACTTTGCCCCAGAAAGGCGTTTGCGCTGACCAAAATTTAAATTCTGTTAACATATAATTCTGTAAAATCTTACAGACAAAATATTTAGCTTTCCATAATGTTCACATGGCACATTTATTATAAAACAAAAGATTAGACAAGTTGGATGATTCGCATGCAAAGCTTTTTACTGCTGACGACACTCAGCAGGGTTCTGCTTAGAGTGGGCAGTTCGATCTTCATCCTCGTTCTCGGAACTATCATCATCTGAATCGGAAAAGTTTTCATTGGAAGAAGACTCGGCATCTTCATCGTCATCTTCAACATCAAGGTCACCGAACTCATCATAATCCTCCAAGGCTTCACCTGTAAACCAATCGACCGCTCGAGGAATGAGCTTTTCCTTAAAATCTTCACCAATTTGGTAATCAAGTTCCAAGAGTTCATCCAACTCTGGATTTTCTTCATCATCATCCTCCATCTGAGGAGGGTTAAAGAAGTTAAAGAAACTATCCCGAGGTTCGGAAACTTTGACAGTACGAGTTTGCTTGGTGTTCTTATTACGTTGTTTCTTTACTACAGTTCGGACGGTTAAGTCTGCATTGGGATGCCATTGAATTTCGTCTCCCTTGGCGCTGCCGTACATAAACACATTGGAAGCACCAGTCTCTTCCAAGTAATAATAACTCTTCGTCAATACCTTATTTGTAAAAAACGGATTTTCCTCAAATTCGAACTGTACTTGGAAACCAGGCTTTTCCATGTAAACAAGACGAACATCAATGAGATGTCTTAATGCCTTCTCGTCTTCAGGCGTTATCATCTCAGAGAGAGATAACACATTTTTCATTGCAGTCAACCAAAATTCGGGTATACCCTTCATTCGTTGATCATTTTGACCCTTTTCTTCTAGGACCTTAGAAATGTCTTCACCTTCAGGGACTCCCTTCTTTATTTCTTCCTCGGATGGCTCCTTTTCACCGTGAACAAGCTCACGTCGTCTTTCAAAAAGAGGGCCATATTTTTTAGCAAATGTCTTTTCTAATTCAAACAACTCTCGTTGAAATTGGAGCTCCAACGAGGAGTATTCCTTTTGTAAACCTTTTAAACTTGAAATTCTTTTTTGAACGGGTGTGGGCAATTCAGAGACTCGTTGCGCAGTACGATGGCGTAAAGAATCCAACCTACCGTCAATAGCTCCTAAGTCTTCATCGCCCTCGTCAATAGTTTTAAATTGAGGTTCCTTTACCCCGAATGTAGTATTGTTTGCGCTTGAAGGTGTATTCTGGGGAGTCGGTGCTGCTGACATCTTTCCAGACCGATTTTTTATATCCACTTTTTCCACCATTTTTTAGCTTATTTTATGAGTACAAAAACTACTCACTCTACAGCTTCAACTAGAAGGGCGTTGTTGGCTAATGGAAAGAATCCATGCTGCCTTTCCAGGAACTTAACGCAGCTACGGAGTACTTTGTTATTCTGGCCCATTCCTTAATATATATGAAATTGCAATGATTTATGAATCATTACTTTACTAAAAGATACATTTAAGTTCTATAAGAATTCATCTTTATTTCTTTTTTTTTACTTATTATTAGCTTATTGACATTACTCTTTGAGAGTGTTTCTCTCACCGACATTTAGTTACAAAAGCGTTATTATTTTACATGTATACATTTTTCTATCCTCAATGTATCCTTACATTCCTTGTAATTGTTTTTTTAGAGAAGTTCCAAGTTCCATGTAAAACTCAATTATATATTCTTGCACCTTTATTTATCTGTTCATAATCATCGATATATTAGCTAATTATCTTTGCACACATTGATATGTTTCGTTAGACATTGCTGTGATTTGGTGGTTTCTTCAATGTAACATTTCTTCGATTGACTGCCAAAAACAAAGATTCTGCTTCTCGTGATATACTTTTTGCCAAAGCAGTCTTTACGTGTGATTCATGTAAGCGCTGTGCATTCTTTCTTTGAAGGACACATAAATAATTAGCAACACAACTTAAGTTCCAATCATCGGGAATTGTGCTGATCACAAACGAAAGTGAATAGTATGACGCCCTGCGGTATAACAAATCTTTAACATAGACAATGCATGAAGGTCCGGTGGAAATGCTTTTTTCCAAGAGAGTGTTCCAGCAACTAGAGTATACGCTTTCAATCTGCTGACAGTAAAGCTCAGCACCCTTATAATCATACACGCATTCTATCAAAACAGCCAATGCCTTCTCGTAATCACCCTTTTTATGGAAAAACCTATGCTGCAGTTGTGGAAATAGACCGAGTTCTTTTGAAGAACCTTGTTGTAAAACAACTTCAAACTTTGATATTGCTTCCTGATCCATGTTTTCTATTAAGCTGATAGAATATAAATAATAAAATGAGAGACGACTGTCACAATCATTCATATAACCAAACTGGGTATCCAAATACTGTGCAAAAATGGGCTTTGGTAAACAGGGAAGTTTTCGATAATTTTCAATTAGATCTTCCAAGCGAGCCCGGAATTCTTCATGCTCCACAAAGCCATCTAGCAGTTTATTCACGCAAAGTTCCAATAACAATCCTCGATGTGATATTGTGTTTGACTTGACTAAGTATTCAATTAAAACACTATCATTCGCGGGATCTAAATTATTTAAGACATCATCTCCCGATACAGAACCAGAAAGCGTTTTGTCTAACAAAAGCTTGGTTCCTTCATCAGCGTTTTCAGCACATAGCCAATTAGTATACTTCCAAAAAAGAGAAAGATCGATGTCTTTCATTAAACAATTTCGTAATTTTGTTATTTCATTTCGAGATCGTTTGTCTTGCATTTCCCCTAAAATCAACTTTTTCCACAATTCTAACGTTTCAGAGTCTTTATGCAAATTCATCAGCAATATAACCAGCAAGTAAGTTTCTTGTTCTCCAGAAAGTAAACGTTCAATGTCATCAGGGTTAGCCAAACCAGACTCAATGAGTTCTTCAGCATTTTTAGTTCCTTCTGCGATGTCTTCCATGCTCAAGTATAATTTCAATAATACATGATCCACAACGACAGCGATATCACTTTTCAAAGAAACAAAGTACTCAAATAAATTAACATTTCGCTTATAATTTTTCAAGTACCGCATTAGCATGATGTATGCGTTTTCTTTCGTAATCTCAATCATTTGCTTCTGAGTATACTCATCTGTCTCTCGAAACAAATCATTCAAGGATAGCATAGAAACAATCGCTTCATCTACTGGAGAAAAAGTTACAAGAAACTCTTGTATACCTTGAAAGGTAACGTAGGCGATGCGGTCATCAAATACATCAGGATATAAAGAGATTATTACTCTTGGATCAATTTTTGAAGTTTCGAGTAAAGACAAAGAATTTTCATATTGTCCTTGCTTCCAATATTGCAGAGCTGCCATTTGCTCCAGATATATGTACTGCAATGCGGCCGCGTCATGGTCCACATGATACTTTTCAGGATACTTCAAACGCTTACTTAACCGACGAAGTGGAGATTCAATTTCGCCTGAAGTTATAGTCATTTCCAATCTTTCAAAGAAGGATGATTCAGTACCAAATCCCCATGCATTCTTCGATGCAAATAGAATAATTGGCTTCAATAAACAACACTTCTTGGTAGCTTCAGAAGGAACTTCCTCGGAGAGACTCTCGTATTTATGATTAAGGGAGAATTTTTTCAAAATTTTCTCATCACAAAAGTAAGTATTTGATGCAGGGGAGATAAATGAAAAAATTTGGTTTTCTCCATCAAAAGCAAGATTTTTCACTAAACGTAATGTCTGTATATCAATAATTTGTAACATATTAGGGGCTAGAGCAAAGACATAATGAGAGGTAGCAACGACATCTTTAGGATAGAAAGAAAAAGTGAGTGTACTTTTAGTAACGTTGCCATTCATATCCACGAAAAGTCCGATAGCATCTTTGGGACTTCCTGTGATCAGTAGAAACTCGTTATTTTGACTAACAATCATCGGTTTGTATGAGAGCTCGTGACTTTCAGAATCATTTTTTATTATAGGAAACAAAGGAATGTTTTCACCTGTAAGGATGTCCACAAGCTCAAATGACTGATCCGTCACCAAGCAAACTGTCTTTCCAAGGAGCGTTGCCGTTTGTACATTAGGATACTTCAATTCCTGAACTGGTTAATACCGCAAGAGACAGCAAAAATGAATACATACGTTGCGAAGGAAAAATGTACCATCTAATTGTAATGACACAAGTTGAATATGAGAGCTCGTGACAACAAGATAGGTGGATTTCTCCTCAATGAAATGTCCCTCATGACTAATTTCAACCAGGTGGTCGAGCGAAGAGGACGGGTAAACGAAATCGAGGTTTGTAGCATGATAAAAAACCGCTCGATCATCTAATAATAGTATGTCAATAATCTTGTATACTTCACTGTGAATTCTTACCTTGATGAACAAGGATAGCTTCAAGAAAGGGAACACAAAATATTCTCTTGACCGGTGATTTTGACGGTAAAGCTGCAGACTTCAGAAACTTGCAAGGGTTCTTAATCTATCAGCTCGTGGATTAGCATAAAACCTTCTACAACGTCTACTAAAACTAACCCTCAGTTCAGAATATTCGTAAAAAAAAATTCCTCCTTGCTTCGTACCGAAATAAGCATGACCATCTAAAGAAAGTTAGTCTGAGGAAAATATACATCCCAGAACCATACCATGTAAAGCTATTGTAGATATTTGATCTTTCAATTCACTATCAAGCTCATAACTGCTGAGATATATATCCGACATTAGTCTTTAGCCACATGAATCAAATAAAATAATTATAATCCATAAACTAAAGAAGAATTGCTGTTTTTTTATAGAGAACTGTAAACTTCAACGACGCAGCATATTCCAACAAGTTACATCGACGTTTCAACAAAGCGTACCGAAATGCTGTAGTAAACAAACGCTGTCTTTTGAAGTTTGCTTATGAATTGATGATGAATTTTGAGCTTTGTTCGATGATTTATTCTAATATGAGTGAGCATTCACACGAAATAAAAAGATCAAGTCCAAGTAAGTTTCTGTTCATAATGAATCAACTTGAACTTTGAAGCAAACCATCCGAGAATACCTTCATCATGCACGTTCCGATTCCGTTTCTAAGACTTTTCTGAATGAAAAAATAGATACTTAAAAAAAACACAAAAGACAACGTATGAACCTTCATACATCTTCAAGTTACCAAAGTAACTTCACATTTAGAGAGCTAAAGCATACCTCACTATTTCCAAAATAGGTAGTACGTGGTGTGCAAACAATTACTACTAGTCCATATTTATCTTGAGAATAGTAAAGACGGCCAAAATGGCTGTTGTGTCAGACGTAGTACTTCAAAAATTAATTGATTCCTGGAAAAGCATGTGATATCTAATTCTTTTGTACGAAAGACTAACGACAACACCAGATTCCCGGTTCGAGGAACTACAGAAAGAAACAGATGTAGCAGCCGAAGAAGTGGAAAAGACCCGAAAGGCTTCTTTGGAAGAAAGAAAAGATCTTTCTTTAAAAACTAAAGGTATAAACGAACGTGGCAGTTTCATGGTTTAATTGTATGCTTACACGCATTGCTATTCAACAGAATTCAAAAAACAAACAGATGAAGTGAAATTGGTAGAGATGAAAACCCTTCTGAAACTATATCAAGGAGGAATAGATTCCCTCACAAAGCGTGCAAAGTATGCAGAATCCATTTTTTTCCATCTGTACGAAACCTTAGGAGAGTTTCCAGATCCATATCCTTTATTAGAGCAGGCAGCTGAGATTGATCAAATCAAGCAAGAACTAGAATCCAAGGAGAAAGAAGAAAAGGCTCTCAGAGAAGAATTGAAACAAAAGGAGTCCTTATCAACCGAGGTTCGAAGTTTGCAGCAAGAATTGCAGAAAACAAAGAATTCGGTTGGAGCAGAAATACAGAAAAGGGTATCGAAATCCGTTGAGGAATGTGAAAGAAAGTTCTCAGAAAAAGAAAGGTTGTTTAAGGATTCTGAGCAAGAACATGCTGAGACGATTAACCAACTTAACAAAAAAGTTCGCGAATTACAAGCTACACAAATTGATCATACTCTGCAGTTTGGACAATTAGAAGCCCCAACTGAAGAAGCTATCACCAAAAGCTCGGAATATCAAAGTTTACTAAACGAACTTGATGAAGCAAATAGGACGGTTGGCTCTTTAGTGAGCGAAAATGAAAGGTTGAAACAAAGCTCTGATGAGTCAAAGCTTGAAAACGACAACTCCGACAATAATTTGAAAGAACATCTTGATTTCATGGAATTGAGAAATCGCAGTCTTACTGCTGAGCTAGAGCAACTTCATCAATCCTCCCAAAAAGAGCTAGAAACTTTCCAAAATACCCAGCTAGATCTTGAGAAGCAACTTGAACAGAAACAGAAAACTATTCATAATCAGCTTGAGACCCTGAAAAGCTATTCGGACTACGAAGAAATGAAAAGAGAACTATCCGTATTAAAACAAATTGAATTGAGCGCTGACTCACAGTCGAATGAGTCAACTTCCCTGGAAGCCCAGATCCTGAAACGCGAAAAAAAGCTATCTAATGAGCTTTCGAAGCTTAGAACCCAAGAAGCACACTTACAACAGAAGCTTGTCGATGAAAAAACGCGTAGTCAAAATTTGGTAAAAGACAATCGTGAACAGAAAGAGGCTTTACAGAAACTGGAGCGTGAATTGGCTTCCTTAAGTGCCGAAGGAAGCATGTCCTATGTGAATAATGGTTATCGTGAATCAAGCGGTCGCCTTTCCCCAACTTCTTCCATTATTGGAGGTAGTCCTAGTGTGTTTGGTGGGAGCACCATGTCAAAAGTCACTGGTACAGAAAGTAGTTCTACGATTATGGATATTGTTAAGCAGCAAAGAGATCGGTTTCGACGTGCCAATGTCGACTTAGTAAATCAGGTCAGTTCGAGTAACGAAAAGATTGCTACTTTAGAGAGTAAACTTAGAGAAATGGAGAAAAGCAATGCACTGTTATATGAACAAATGCGCTTCCGTGAACAGTATCAAAACCATTTGCAGCCGAGCCCTTCTCAAATTGAAGCAGCTACTGCATACGAAAATAATATTTCTCCGTTCGCGTCTTTCAGAAAAAAGGAAGCCGAACGAGCTTTTTCAAGAATGGGCTCATTTGAGCGTGTGTTATATGTGCTTTTACGTACAATTTTATTGAATAATGGCACCAGAACTATATTTTTGACCTATTTGATAATTTTGCACCTGTTTATATTGGTCGTTCTTTTCAAATTAGGCGTGTCTGTCAACAGACTATATGCCTTACCAGAACCGACACTAAAACCCGAATGATGATTTCTTAACGTCTTAAATTTACAGCAACTTTTATGGCTTATACTTAATCTGAATTTCCAGTGTACACTAATGAATCATTTGAAAATAGCGCTAAATAAGCCAAGTAAGACTTCATTGAGTCAACTCGTGATGTCCAAACTCGAATCAGTCCTTGTAAATCAAGATCAGACAAATTATACGCATGCCATCAACTACAAATCAGTTACATTACACCTTTACATATACAAACGACTGAAGAATACAAAAAACTCAAAACCATGAAAATAATTTGAACTCTACAGAACTAATGAAACTACAATAACCGAATCCATTCGTTAATCAATAGCTCCGTTCCTTTTACTAAATCTAATTTAGGCAGAGGTGATGGCCTTGCGAGCAGCCAAGTTACGAGCCTTAGCACCTTGTTTCAAAGAAACACGGGCAACCTTTTCGTTAGCCTTAGGAACAGCGTCTTCTTCTTCAGCAACAATAATTTCGATATGGCAAGGATGAGACAAGTAAGCAGTGACACGACCGTAAGCACGGTAGGTACGGCGGTGTTGCTTAGGAGCACCATTGACTTGAATGTGCTTGATGGCCAACTTGTCCATATCCAAACCCTTAGCCTCAGCGTTAGCTTCGGCATTCTTCAAAAGGTCAAGGATAACCTTGACGGACTTAACGGGCCAACGAGCTTGGGTGACACCGAATTCCTTGCCTTGAGCAGTACGACCAACGCCGCCATTGAAGCGACGGAAAGGAACAGCTTGCTTATGTTCAGTGACATTTTCCAAGTAAGCAAAGGCCTTCTTCAAGTTCATGCCATTGATGGTGAAGGCAACTTCACGGGAGTTCTTAAAGTGAGTTCTCAAGTAAGAACCACGAGCCTTGGCGCACTTGGTCTCAGATGCAGGAGCTGCAGAGTAGCGTGCCATTTTTGTTTTTGGATTATTTTTTTAAAACTTGCGTTGAGGAAAGCTTGAAATTCTGACCAGCACCAAATTTTCGACTTGTGACTGTTTTTTCTTTCAGGGTAGTGGTGCAAAATACGGTTTGTTATTATTGCAAATACGTGTTAGCAACACTACTTTAATACATCATAAATTACATGTCCTGTTTTTTATAAATATGCTATGCATAATGAAAAGAGAAGTTTTTGTGAATTTGTTAAACTTGATCGATTCTGAGCTATTGACATTCGTTGAGTTAAAGGGTAGTACTGTATAAAAATGAAGAGTAAACAGAAGAAATGCTTTCATCGTATCTGTTTACAATGAACGCAAAAGCCGGTTGAACTAAAAACTTGAATTTGAATGTAAGTACCTAAAGATGTTCTTTCCTCGAGATCATGCTCATGTAAATTAATTGAAGACGCTTAAATGAATGAAAGATGAAAAGACTTTCTAGTGATATTAGCTGAAACTTTATAATGACAACAACTTTCCTACAGCATCACCTAGTAATTTTTAGGTTGCTTGGAGACATTTTTTGAGTCTCTTTCCCCGATCGGTTCAGTGTACTCAGGTTAAGAGTAGCTTTCTTGAGAGTGAGGGTTCGAGGGAACATTTGTTTCTGCTTTTGGTAAGTGTTGCTTCCTATCACGCCTTTCCTTTTCCATTCTTGGTAATCGTGAAGAAGCGTCCGTGGTGTTCATATGAGTATAAGACATGAACCATATAATGTAGGAAACAAATTGGAACCATGCCGCCAGGTCTAATTTTTTATGGTATTTTAAGGCCATTCACGGCACTAATGCATTAACAAAGTTTATGAAGAAAAGAAAGCAAATATGCAGAAACGTTTAAAATTTATAGCGTACTATTTCTTGGTTGACATCCTCGTATGAATCATGTTCAGGTCGACGATAATCGTACACAACCTGCGGTTGAAACATGTTGAATCCGCTGCTTTAAAATTGGGGATGATTCTTTGATGAGTATTTAATTTGGCAATGTCTACGAAAGAGAAAAGAAGAACTGAAATTTCTATTACTTTGTTTCCATAAGTTCTATTCTCAGTACCTTTTTATTATATATTTCGGTTACTTGGGTTATTTAAAATCTGTTTCAAATGATTCTGGTTATGAAACAGAATTTAGAGAACGTATTGCTTATCATTTACCGGTTGTGGTTGTTTAATATTTTTCTGCTACTTTTGACGCGTCGTTGTTAAGGTTAAAGAGATTCAGTTCCTATGGAAGATTTGTCAAGGAAAGGCGATTAAAAGGTAAAGTAGCTTTACCAACGTCTTAACTATAGTCCCAGTCAAAGAACAGTTTCTTCCAGAGAATCATAAAGATTTTAGAGGATGCACCCTCGGGTGTCCTTGAAAGAATCGACAACATTGCTGTAATGATTGGAATGTCTACAAGAAAACTTACAGAAAATGTGTGAAATATATCTGACAAGCGAGCGACATCCTTGTTGAACACGAATAATCATGTAAATACATAGAGCTTCTTATGCAGCGTAATAAAGCAGAACCATCACTACTACCCTAAAATGATTGATTAGTTTACGGGTATAGCAAAGTTGCAGTAACCAGTATATCTCTAATTAGCTCTAACGAAGAATGTTCCTCTTCAACGAACGCTCTCATGAAAGCTACAGCATCACCATATATGAGTGACTGTACAGCGTCTGTGAACCTGACATGAAATTTCAACCTTGCTAACAATTTGCATTGTCGATAATTTAGCCCGTTAAGCTCATTTTATTGTACTGTATTCTTACGGCGACAAAGTTTATTACATTTCGCATAATTCACATCCTTTTTTCTTTCCTTTTTTTTCCTTTCTACACAATTTAAAATCCAAAAAAAGGTAAAACATAACTTTAGGTATTTGTCTTGTCCGTCATTTTGCTTGCTCTACTCTCAGACACTTTTACACTGTGTTAACTACAGCTAATTCATGTCCTTGACAAAATCGAACAATGGAGACAAACAACTAATTCAAAAAGAAGATAAATACACTTTAGGAGAAATTAAACCCATTGCTATTGAGGAAGATGATTATATTGAAGGCTTAAACTCAATAATTCAAAAAACCTATTATCCAGACCTTTCTCGTTTGAAAGCCCATTCAGAAGGATTTACATATGAATTTGAAGATGATATTATCCAAGAGAAAAACGACGCAGTTCACGAACAGCTGGCATTACTCCCGAAAAATGATCATCTTGTGCAGAAGCTAAAGCGTAGTACTCAGGGAGTAACGCTTGCTGATTATCAGAAGAAGTTCACTTCTGAAGACAATGCCTCCTTTTCTGAACTGTTTCATAATGAAAAGAGTGTCAGGAAAGTCTTACTGCAAAGGCGCTATGGTATGCTACATGATGAAAAAGCTGTCGACGCAGATTCCTCCTCTGCAACAAACATTCAACCAAGCAAGGCAATTGCATGGAAGGAGAGGCCCAATACTATTCATACTTGGAATTTCCAACCGAGAAATTCGTTAATGTTTTATCCTCAAACCTCAGAACCGTCTGCTTTAACCAGAGCAAGAGGTCAGCATCAAAAAATCGATAGCTCATCAACCCGGCTTGATGACGAGTTTATAAAGAAATCGAATCAGCCCAGCCAGGATCCTTTACCGGAACCTGCAATTAACAGGCATGAAGCCTCAATTAACGGATATCCCTTGGTTGGTTCAAATTATGGGGTGACCTCTCGAAAATCATCGACAAATTTCTATATTCCTGAGACGTCTCGAAGAGAAAAACTGCATGATCTCCGTTTACATAGCTTAAAGTCTCAGAATAATTCGCCTTCTACTCCTGGTTACTCCGTTGTCTCTTCTACGGCTGAACAAGCATCGGCAACCTCAGGGAAGCTTCCTTCTAGACTTTCTACTTTGACTCCAGCAGCTAAACGTCTTGTAGCGCAGTCATATTTGACGGCTTCTACTAGGGACTCCCCAATGCGTCGTCGCTTGACGGCTACTTCAGTACCAAAGTTTTCTTGGACACCTACACCTCGTACTAAAAACCCTGCCACTCCTAAACGAGTCTAAAAATAACTTATAATGAGCAAGTTATGAATGAATGAATAAAATCGATAATGCTTACTTTGTGGAATGTAGAAAAAAAGGAACGTATATCGAATGGCATGCAAATCTATAATGTTAATGAAGTGTGAAATGATGTTATTTTAAAAATAATAAAAATTGAATACATAAACAATTATTTTTTAACCAAAACCCTTGTTATTCCTTTTTACAAATATTTAATCTAGATAACACTCACTCTTCTTTTTGAATTTCAATAGAATGGTTTTGTTCTGATTCCCAAAGAGAAGAAAGCGCAAAAAGCCTCATCTCATAAATGACTCCTGGCTTATTGAAAGAATACCATTGATGTAAAAGCGAAGATCGAAGGACCAAAATCATTCCATCATGCAGACGCACAGAATGCTGGATGGCAGGAAGTTTAAGTTCGGCCTCTTGTACATCACCAACAACAATAATTACTGTAAAACCATACTTTATAGCAGGGTCAGAATTAAGAAAAGAGACTTTGTCTTCAGTTTCGATTAGCCGAACAGAAAAATTAGGAAAAGCACCAAATCGAGCCTGCTGAGGAGCCACCTCTAAATTTAATAGAGATTCGTGAAATTTAGGAACATGAGCACTCAGAATTCCACTTGCAAATCGAAACAAAGGGGAGCACTTTTGAAGGAAATCACTATATGCAAGTGAACGAATGCTATCAGCCGTTTTAACCAACGATCCTCCACGCTTGTCGTAACTTGTTCCAAAAATGTAGGAATATTGTTTAGATTCCTGATTCTGAGCTTGAAAAAACTGTTCAATGGTTCCAAACAAATCCTTAGTAAATGATGTACCAGCTGTTTCGCCTAATGCATATAACAACAAATTGCCACGTTTGTCACCAATTTGGTAGCCGAGCTTCTCTTGGTCTTTTGTTTGGCTTGAAAATTCCTTCTTCTGTTCTTCTGAGATTTCTGGATCATTTTTCATTAACTTCGACAGAGATTTCAGGGACACCTTTTCTAGATTGATTCTCTTATTTCTTTGTTCTTCAACAATTTGTTTAGTCTTTTGTAACTTTTGGGCCTTTAGTTTCTCTGCTCGAGCTTCTTTTCTTTTCTTTTTGGGAGGCTCGTTTTCCGCATGTTCGTTGTTAACAGGCTCCTTCTCAATCTTTCTATCCTGTCCGTTTTCTTCAGCCTTGACAACCGTTAAATTTAATGTCCACAAGCATCACTCATACTTTACTTACCATTTTGTGGGGTTTATTGAAATATTGGTATGGGGGACAACAGCTCAAACTGGAAATGTCGAGTTCTCAGCTAAACAAAATTTTCTGGCCTTGTAGTATAAGTAACTACTAACAAGTGAAAGAGCGAACGTTTAAATCTTCAAGCGTGTTTATAAATTTTCTCTCATCTTTCCTTCTGCATATCATTCCTCTCAGATCCTTCACCTTGTCTCGCTAGAAACTCAGAAACGAAAGAAAATGTCTATTTCTATTCTACAAGAACATTTCAAGCATCTATATCAAATTAATAAATTCTTTTTTATGTAAAAAACTTTTTTTGGAAACATCATACTCATTTACTCGATAGTATGATTTTAGAATAATGATATGTAATGGAACCTGAAAAATATACGCTAAATCATTAACGAAGCCAAGTACCATATTCTAAACGTTCGCTAAATGCTTACAGACACAAGGTAAACGTTACGCGACCTCTGCCAATTTGATTGAAACAGTTCTACGTGAATTGTTCGTGTTTTGTTGGATTTGAATATTGGATTTATAATTATTTTATAACAAGGGTATCTAGGATATATTTTTGAACGGTGGTCCCTTCGAATTCTGTTAATATTGAAAGCATAGAAGTTATTATCTTTCATCCTTATTCGTTTTGTTATAAGGCTCATAAAGTCTTGGATATTTCTTATTTTTTGTGCATATTTTACTTGTATATTACTGATGCTTGTGCTAGTTGACAATGAGTGAAAATGAGTCTGGTACAGGGCAAACGCTTCATCAAAAGCGTAGGTTTTCTGAACAAGACGAAGGTTTCTATGAGGTAAATAATGTTTCAAAAAAGCAACTTTTAGAAGAATTGCATAGTAGCAGGCGACGCTATGAAGAAGCATCCAGAAGATTGGATAAACAGAAGACTGTAATTAATGATAGATTACGGCACATCGCTTTTTTCCTCAGTTGGTGGCCGCTGGTAGCTCAGCAATTTTATTGCATCTTCCAGAATCGCGAGCCTGCTGATTTTGGGACCGAACAGTCCATTGCGCTTGTGGAGCAGATTCCTGATTTGGAACACACAAGAAAGTCGTTTCAAAATGAAAGTTCGGGAATTCGTACAATGTTGAACGAATCATTTTCTCCAGAAATAATGAAAGGACTAATGTCAACGTTAGAATCTCAATCCGCCTTCACTTTTCCTTTAAATGACGATTCGCAATTAAGTCAAAGCAAGCAGGCTCTCGATTCCGAAATAGAAAAAGTAACGAACGAGCTTCAGTCCGCAAAAGATCATCTGCATTGTATTTTAAAGCTTCCTGATCGATCTAGTAGTTATACATTACGATGTATCAATGAATCTGTAAGTTTGCATCCCCCTACAAAGACAGAAAGTTCAATAAATAAAAGGGAGCAAGATGCTTCTGTGGGAGAAGCTTTGAAACAGCAGTCTCAATTGCAAGAGCTTTCCAGATTACAAGAAGACCAACAAGCCCTAATGAATCTATACTCTCAACAATTATCCTCTGTCGATTTCAAGTTGACTGAAGCTGAAAATATCGTTATTCAAAGAAAAAATGAGCTTGGGAGCGTTGACTGGGAACATCTTCAGAAAAGCCCTTCCTTATTGAACTTAAAACACGTTTTGTTAATGACGTCTGCTCAATATGGATTCCTCGAACAACTGGTTACTGAATCTTGTGAGGAGAAGGAATTTTTGCTACAACAGAAGAGGAACTTTGACGATTATTCTAGGTCATATTATCAATCTATTTTATCGGATTTTGAAACTCAGATTGTCTCATTACAAAAAGATGAACATAGAATTGCCCAGGCTAAAACAGATCTGTTGAAAGCAAGCGAAAAGAGACAAGCAGGTTTAGATGAAAAGGCGACTACATTAAAAGAAAAGAAAGAGAAACTCAAGGAACTTGATACTGAAGTGGAGGAAACCAAGAATAAAATAGAGTCAATAAATCATTCCGTTGGTCCTAAGTTGCAAGAAGGAATGAAATCTGTACTCTTTCAAAAAGAGTTATCCAAATTTTTGACCCAAGAATTAGCTCATACGGAGCGGGCTTTCCGTTTAGCTAATCAACAAGTATTAAAAAAAAATGATATGCGGATGGAGGAATTAACTAATAAGTACAAACTCGAAAAAGATAAAGCAGAACAGAAGTACTTTGTCACGATGAAAGCTGGAGATAATTTACATGTCGAAGTTAGAGCACTTCGTGAAAAATACAAGAAAGCGGATGAAATTACCTCAAAGATGCTACATGCTCAGCATCTAACTATTTTAGATATCATTAAGTTAGAAGAAAGCATCTCTGTACTATCTGAGGTTCGAAATACATCTTCAAGATATTCCCTCAGTTTTCAAGTTAAACAAGCAAAGCAAAATTTTTCGATAGCTAGTTTGGAGAAAAAAGTGAATACCCTGGATGGGATAATTGGAAAAGCAAAGTCTGAACTATCCGACTTGAATGAACAACTTTCTTTACTATCGTCAAATATTGTTTCCTTGGAAAAACGAAATGAACATCACGAATGGCAAAAACGAAAGTTGAGGGACAATGCAGTATCATCATCTGAAGAGGAATTGAAGATGTACAGAGCTATGTGTAAGTGTTCTGTTTGCAATTTTGAACGCTGGAAAAACTCTGCAATATCTCTTTGTGGGCATGCTTTCTGTTATCAATGCATACAAAAAAGAATAGAAACACGACAAAGACGTTGTCCTATATGTGGTCGAGGATTTGGAGCTTCTGATGTTGTTCCTATGCAATTATAACTTGCTTTCCTTGCTAATGTAATGTAAAATACTAAAATGCGATGGTCGCTAATTTACTGCTTGTGGATAATTAAAATCGGGTTATTTAAGAGGATATTATCTTCATTCTATTTTTCAATTACATCTCTGCACGTAGTTTTGGGATTGTAATAATAATTAATACTGCGTTATGCTAAGCATGCATAATAATCGTAATTCATTAAACATCTTCCGTAGTCTATATGATAAAACCCAATGGCTTATTTTTGGTCAGCGATAACGGCATTCTCCAGTTGAGTCATTATCAAGCCCACTTTTTTAGAATACTGACGCTGAAGGTCTTCTCTTCCACTTTTATTGGCATCCTTCATTAATCGCTGATAATAAATACGAACCATTTGCTTCACATCTTTAATTAATTCACTGGAAGGAGTAGCCATAAAGTGTTCAATAATTTTTTTGGCACCATTTTGATATATTCCGAAAACTTTCGAAGCCTTTGGGAATGAAACATCATGCACGTTTGGCTGCAGAGATTTTAGCACCTGGATTATTGTTGTCATGTTTTTAAGCATCTGTAAACAAGCCCCACGATTCATGGATTCAAGCTTGTAGAATTTCGCATATAGCAGGGAATCCAAAAATCCATCAATACCATGGATTACAAAACTAGATATTTGTTAGCACTTGAGATTATTATCACTTTATTACTTACTTTTGTTCCCATGCAGGTAGACAGTTCTTTAGCTTCAAAACAGTGGACACGATGGTAGCGTTCAAATCCACAATAGAAACATCAGGTCGACCTCTGTATTCAACTACATAATCAGGAAGAGTCACTGTTTCCTGAAAAGCATTCATATATCGTAGCCGTATTTCCATTCTTATAAGAAGTAGAGCATCAAACTTAGTTTGTTGAAGCTTTTCGAATAACTCTCCGTAAACACTGAAAAGTTAGCATGAATTTTGGTTTCGATTTACAAACCTTTTGAGTGAATTGGCTTCTGTACGACCAAAGTCCATTTCATTAAAGGAAATAATGTTTCCATTTAAATTAGCTTGTGATCGTCGTAAAACATTCGAAAAATCATCCTGTTCGAGATAAAACGAGAAACACCTTTGAAGAATCCACTCCATGGAATTGTAGAAATAAGAGAGTAGCTCAGGTAAATCCGAATCTTTACTTAACACAGATACAGGCAATTTCTTGTCTGCGATTAGTTGGCCTTCGTATTGTAATAGTCGTTTATTTTCAGAAATGCATATTTCATCGAGATCGGCTGAATTTCTTTTGGTCTCTTTCATAAGACGAATTAATTGGGGATAAATTAAATCATCATGTAGTACTCGAAAACGAACAGTGTCATCTACATCCTCATTTTCCTCGTCAAACTTTCTATATTCTTTTAATAAAGCTGACCGACATAAATCTGAAAAGGTTAATATCGATTTATCTGTACATTCAAACATACCTGATATATATTCAGCACACCGAAGCTGAAAGCGACTTAATAAACCTTTCAATAAATCATAAAATTCATCCAAATTTAAAGATATAGTTGGAAGATAATCCTGCAAAGCTTGTATATATTCAACAACACTTATATGGCACTGCTGAATTAGCAATCAATGATCATTTAAGTATTCAACGTACTTTAAATATGGGAAACTTCGAATATTCTCGCCAATTCGGATATACTCGAAAAGAATTAGCGTCTCCTAAAATGTTTTCGAGATGGCTAGACATAAAATTGAACAGCTGGGGCACGTAATGTCCTTGTAAAAATTCTTTAAGAAAATTAACAGCAAATTTTCGAGACAGATGAGGGCTACTACAGTTAGTTGCTAGGAATGCTAAAAATTTGAACATACTCCTCAAGGTAAATGATGGCATCTTCTAAAAACCTCACTGTAGAAGAAAGCACAGAAGAAGCATGAAATATCGATGGACCTACCAAAGCAGGGTGACCTGCTAAGCGAGAAATATCTTTTGAACCAGAAAAGAGTTCAATTGTCGAGACAGAAGCATTGGAGCGCTTGGCTAAGAAGCCAGGAGCAATCGAGGTCACCAAATTGCTGACATCTTTATGAAAACTGCTTCCATTTTCAACAGCTACTTCACTTGTAACGTCAAAGAGCTTATCAGTCTGGTTCTGTCCCGGAAGGTTGTAAATGGACAGTTCATTGCTTTGCTCGATACTTCCAATTTTCTCAGTAAATTCATCCTTTGATAAAAGGTAATCACGAAGTAGCAACCTAAGTTCGCCCTCTATGGCTTGCACTAAAGGTTCGTAAGTAAAAGCCTGAAAATCCGCCGCTTCAACTTTAGGGCTTTTTGGTATTGAAGGAGTTTTAGAAGGTGTAATATTAGACTTTAAAGATTTTGAAGCATCTATAGCACTTAGCGTCTCTGGTTTCATCAAGTATTCATAAATTCCACGATGATGCATAACAATGCATCTCAATCTTAAAAATAATTCTTCAAAAAAGTCAGATAAAAGCTTTTGCTCCGTGTAAGATTCGGCATTTAATCCAAGTTCGAATAAAGAATCAGGAAAGTTACCGGCACCTGCGTCTTTGGTATTTAAAGCATATTTTGTCATAAACTCACGAGATACGGTATCCACGGTGGAAAATATTTCAGCTGATGTACGAGATTTCAAAGCAGATATTGCATTTGGTAATTTTCCGAGTAAGTTGAGAGACTCCAAAATAATACGCAGATCTCGAAAGCTATCCTGGCCGAATTTCATTTCGATACATTGTGAAAGCTAAAAATTAGCCTGGTTCATGTAAAAGAAGAAATCTTACCTGTAACGATAAAGATTTTTTTAAATAATTTAGCTGTTCGTATTGCTCACGCACCAGAACGAGTTCCGATTTGGTTAGAAAATTACGTAAAAAAAGAGGGTCAGAAACTAAATGCGGTTAGTCAATGAGCTGTTTCATAAAAATTTAGCATACTTCGTAGGGAACTAGAGCAACAAGCAGACATGATGGGATAGGCTAAAGGTCTCTTCAGAAAAACAATGGAAATAAGGTCATCTGACAAGACATCTTCTAAATGAGATACCAATCCATTTAAACGGCTTTTAAATTGCTCCACAACCAAAATCCCATCGAAAGCAGGGTGCATTAAGCGCTCGCGAACACGGTGAACCAAATCACAGAGATTATAGTAGTCTTTAGCTTGTAACAGCTTTGGCGCCGACTCAAAAACCCTGTTTGCCTCGTTGATCTCTTTGAGGATTTCGATGATTTTTCGATGCTGTGCGCTTCTTGTCATTACTTGCTGTAGATCTTTGCTGTTGGTAACGCCTATGAATTCTCGAGAGTTTTCAAGCGAACCCTTCAAAGTGTTTATGCGGACAAGGCATCTTTGTATTCCATCAATGATTTCTCCATATGCAGACACACTTCGAGCAAAATCATCCTTGTGCTGGTCGGCAATGGCTTGCAAAGAAGAACTCACTTTATCGTATACACGTACAAAAGATTTGTAATCTCTACCAAAAGAGTCTTCATCTAGCAATTCGAGGGCCGTAGATATTGGACGATACTATTACTAAATTAGCTATTGTTTACAGCAACAGTGATACTTACGTCCTCGCGGCACAAATCTTTCCATTCATCCTCGATTTCTTGAACCAAAACTGATACTTGTTAAAGCCCTATTCTTTCAAATAGTTCACGTACATTTTAAATCATGCATTTGCATTCCACGCATTGCACTTTCACTGCGCATTTCGCGCTCTGGTGGTGAATTCGAGTTTTCATGCTTTTCAGGCGATATTAATCTTGAATGGCTACTTGTAGGATGCCCTTTCTTTTTGGAGTTTGAGTAAAATTTGGCATCCATCAAATCCAACACTTTTGTATAAAAACGAGGTTTTATTTACTCTTCCACAGATGGCGTATGTCAATGGATTGCCGAACTGTAACAAGTCTCCTAATCGATTTAGCAAGTTTTAGCATTAATTCAAAAACGAATTTAGCAAAGTACGGTAGTCTACGCAATTTAATCGTTTTTGAAATAATAATTGAAAACAAATACAGAAAGTCTTGCAGGTGTTCAATGTATAGTTACGAGACAATAGTATTATATCAATTTGCTAGCATAACCCGTATACCTTAATTGGGTATGAAGACAGCAAGTTAGTAATAATAATGAATACATGCAAGGCAGAAACGTAGGGTAATAGAATTAGAAACAGAAGGAAGACGGACTATAAAGAAATCAAAGATTTATATCACGGGAAACATCGATCAATATAAATGTCCAAAGTAAAAAAGGTAATAAAAAAGAAAGACGAATCTGAACTAGTTTATCTATGTAAGTTCCTATTTCCAAAAGCATGAAAAATTATTGTAAACCAAAACAACCATGCAGAATGTGCAAATCATCAAACAATATGGAAGGAATCAAAATGTCATAAACTAATTTAAACTCATCTTTACAACGCTTAATTCTGCCTAAAGCAGCTGCTCTGGATTATACACAGTACTTTGATAGAAAGGGGAAAGGGACATAGAATAAACGGTGAATATAAAGATATTATAAGCTTTCGCATTAAAAGTTATTAGAGATGATATTTTAGCTTTAACGAAGAAAATCAACGACATTCTGTTAATGCTTTCTCAAAATCATGCCAATACAAAATTGAGGCCCAAAAAACGTACGAAAATAATTTTTCTAAACTTCTTGCCAGCAGTCTAATCATAATCAAGTAGAAGCATCTCCGCAAGCATCAGCGTCTTCATCAGGAAAGTCAAGCTCTTCACCTAGCTCATCGCAAGCATCGGTGAGATTATCTTCATAACCACGTTCAGCAACGCGCATTCCTTTTGCCTCTCGGTATATTTTAGAAAAATAAAGGCGTAAAGTACGCAAACCCCTAATATATCCTTTGTCATACGAATCGGGGTGTTGAGGAGGACAAGTTGCTTCCGAGAGCATGTTTTTGTCTTCTGCAAAAACGCAATTTGCAAAATCGACAATTCTAATGTCAATCTCTCTTGAGTTTGCTCCTTCGTGATCTAAAGAACTACTTGATCCGTTGTTCGGTGAAGGTTCACCATCATATATAAATAAAAGAGAGCTCGCATACAATCTAGAACCTCTTAACAAACGAACAATCTGTTCCAGATGTCTTAATTTTCGTAAAATAGCAGGGATATGATGTATTAGTAAATGTTCATTATCCTCATCATCCTCCGTCCATCCCAAAAACCGCATTAATGCAAGCTGAAACTCCTCGCCTGCTTTTATATCTCTACCAACATACTTGTCCTCAAACGTGTATGATTGAAACCATGAATGCCACACTTGCATTCCACATATTCTGACACCTAAAACACGAGACGTAGTCATTGCACACTTTTTTGTTTGAGAAGCTTTCTTCTTTTCAGTGGCCATTATACCATATTGCCTAGTTCCCATTTTAACATCCAGAACGCAAGGACGATTCATTCCACTCGTTAAATCTTCAATGACAATATAGCGTTCTATTTGAGTCGCTCTATGCAAGGAGCTGTCTTCTTCCTTGGAATGCTTTGGTACATCTTGTTCTTCATGTGATGCCTTTGGCAATATCGGGAATGAAGTGGTTCTATGCGGTTGGTCATCTGATATGTTATTGTCAACAGCTTCAAGCGGAGGAGGACCTTCATATAAGTCTTCGTTGTCCATGGCGAACATAGGCACTTCTGATGCATTTTTTTGAGCTTGCAATTTCTTGGAATTTTCAATATACGTAGATGATTTCGGCAAACCCGGTTTGCATTCGTAATCGCCCAACATCTCAGATAAACGGGGGAATTCGCTGGATTCTGGCTCCTCCCATACAGCATCAGAAGAGTATCGTCTTTGGTTTCGAGAACCTTTGTTCTGCTTACTTAAAGGATCATAGTCCATTTCTTCATTTTCCTCGTCAACAGCCGTGCACATATCACAAGACTTATCTTCAACACTACACGACAAGCTCTTATTAGGATCAGCCTCAGAATTTCGTCTGGAGCGAGAGTTATGATCAAAATGGTAAATATTAACAGTGTTATCTCTAAAAACAGAGGGTCTGCTCGATCGGTGCGACTTCCTTAACTTGTAGCGAGATCCTAGTGATTGTGATTGACGAGCATGTTTAGGGGCAAAAACTTCTTTTAATACTTGTTCACGTAGCTTTCTATTGATCAATGTAGTACCCCAAGGCGTTTTTCGAGGTTGTGAAGACTCTCCATCATTAGAAGATGGCCGATCATCGATAGAGCTAGATTTGTTGTGATCGCTTTCAGTATCATGTCGAATCTGGCCGGGTAGCATCCATTCAGGAAAAATGTGCCGATTTTGTTCCACACTGACTTCCGGGATATATCCACATGGTTGTCGTTGAGACGATTGTCCATACACGTTTTTTTTGGCAGCTTTAGAGGAAGACTGGGTAACGTCACGATCATTTTCAGTTCCTTCTGCTTCGTCTTTCTTCTGATCTGTTTCGGTATGAGTGACATTCAAAACACCGATGTATTTAGGAATAAATGGTAACAATTCAGGATGGCAGGTCTCAATGGTTTCATAAAAAGTATTTTCGTTGCGAGTCAACGGCTTACAAACAGCTCTTCTAGAAAACCGGAAAAAAGCCGTATGGCCACCAACTTGATGCTTGAAAGGTTCTAACTGGACAGTAATTGGATAATCAACATTCCAATTAAAAAAGGGATTGTCATCCGGAGGAGAAGACGATTTTGAGGAAAATGAAGAACGGGGAGTAGACAAGGGGCTAGTACGAGGGCGAGATAGAGAGCGATCAAATTCAAACGATGCATCAGGTAAGAGAGGTAAATGTTGAGATGACCTAGTAGAAGGGTGGTGAGGAATGTATGTAGCGGTGGTCTTGGAACTTGTGGATCCTTCTTTACGACCTCGAGAAGCTTTTGGAGTTGTCGTTAAAATTCCTTGAGGGTGTGCACTGCCCACATTAGGTTCAAGAAGGGCGGGGGTAGAGTTTGAATGATAATTTTGATGAGAGTATTTCGTGATTTGATCAGGGACTGCAGGGGAATTTCGTCCTAGAGAATCATTCTCAGGAACTGGATGCAAGGTGTTATTGTTGGCATCATTAGGGTTTAAAGTTGAGGACTCAAACACACGCAGTGATTTACTGGCTTTCCTTGCAGGGTGAACGTCTTGGGATGCTTGAGTTTCATTTGCATCCGGTTCCATTGAGGATGGTTCCTCAACATGGATTGAAGGTTCTGTGGCTGAGAAGGGAGATTGACAATGCATATCGGCAAAATTAGTGTCCTGAAGAAGGTCTTGTAAAGAATCATGAAAAGCAGTCTGTTGATTGTTAGGAGTAAGTTGCTGATAGTGATCGGAAGAACGTCGGCTGAGCGGAGCGGTATGCGATTGTCGTTCATTAACTTGCGGATGAGACAAATTTGATACAGGGGCATGATAAATGGGGGCTAAAGGTTGATGTACAGTATTTTCAAATTCAGAATGTGGAAACTGGTCACTTTGTCTTCTACCTGGAGACAGGACCTCTAAAGGACGTGTAGGTTTTTGTAGCGAAAAATCTGAATTTCTTTCACGATTTTTCATTTCTTTCGCAAACGAACCGTTTTCTGGGCATTTTAACTTTTCCAATTTTCTCTCTGGATACTTGGCGTTTCTGCCACTATACGAACTAGGCAGGCAACACTTTGATGTGTTCTGCATAAATTCATAAGTTGAGATTTTTCGCAAAGCAATTTCTGCTATAATATCCCGGCTTGTAACCCCGAATTCGTCAAACTCTTTTGTTTACTTCTTCATACAGAGGCGTTTGGTTGTTGGTAAGTTCTTTGGATCATGCTTCGCTACGTCTGAGTAACATCTTCCTTAAGTGGGGGGTAAAAAAAGCAGCAACGCTTCACATCCGTATTATTGAATTACAATTGCGTTACGTAAACGTTATAAACTTTACCGTACTCTTTGTATTTCGCTAAATTGAGATTCAAGAAAAATGAACTCTGCTAAAAGTTCTAAAGTATATCGTGAACAGTGTATATAAAAACAGTAAGTTTAATTTACAAAGCATTACATAATCGATTGCAAATAAACTTGCAGAAAAATTAAAAAACGACACCAGCAGGATTTGAACCTGCGCGCGGAGACCGCAATAGATTTCTAGTCTATCCCTTTAACCACTCAGGCATAGTGTCGATTGTTGTCAGCAATTAGAGTATTCCATATTAGTAAGTTCAAAAGTTGTATGAGTTTTAATGCATCTATATTCAAAAGAAAAAATTACACTGATCAGGAGTATGTGAAAGCATGGTCATTTACTTGAACATCCTCTTTAACAGTAATGCAAGGTTCAATTGGCAAAACACTTTTTACTGAAATATTATATTACACAAGAGCCCGTAAGTCTCCTATCTATACGAGAGACAACCTAACCAGTTCGAATAGGATGAACTGTTCAATGGATGGAATTCTCCTCGCTTAAGTTCGTTAAGTACTTACAGTAGTCTACCACAATTCGTACAGTTCCATTAAATTCATGTTCATTTGTTTACAACAACATTGTAGGAGGGCGACTTAGCAGGGACAAATATGCAGGCTATGTAAAGGGAATTTTTGTGCGGTCTATCAAGGGATTGTTGTTTTGATAAGAAAAATGCCTGCTACATCGACGAGTAGAAAGTCGGTTGACAAACGCGAGACACACATGTTACAACATGTTACTATAACAAATGAGTACGGGGAGCTGTCCGACCTTGAAGACGTAATGGAACACGGGCCCTTTACACTAACGGGGCTATTGGTAATGAGTAAAAGGGAGCATGGTGGGTCAAACGAGGATAGTACGGTCCTTGGCCATTCCATTAAAATCTCTCCTATATGGACGTTCAGCTTGAGAGATGAGTTCAAAGAGGAAACGACAAAGCTATGGATTATCACGTCAAATCGTCGCTATATTATCTTGTCTTCTTCTGAAGAGTACCAACCATATTATGAACAAATTCTGGAGAAAAATCGATTATTTTTTGTCTTAAAGAATAAATTCAAGCAGGACATGGTACGGGGACACTTGCAAGACTACGATAGCTACATTTCTACTGTGAGCGAAAGGATGAACCTTGCGTCCGAGTATCATGCCATTTTGCTTATTCAAAAACACCTTCGATTTTTGCTGCTACAAATGACCAGTGCGACTTCTCTTCATATATGGGCGGAATCACCTTTTTTACAACGAATTCGTTCTTCATACGAGCATGTAATATTTGAGATCAATGCAAATATTCAAAAAGTCCGTTCCCGGAGGAAAAATACTAAGCGTCCGTCAGCTACAAAAATAGAGAATCAAGATACTTATCAGCTAAAAGACCAAAGGCCATCCCTAGCTTTTCAACCAGTTCAGCCTTTCCGTGTGTCTCCCTTGAAGATACAGCAGCAACATTATTGTCTTACACAAACGTTTCCAATACATATACCCCATAATGATTCCTGGCTTCCAGGTCTTCGGATAGTCGATCCCAATTTCGATGCTATTACACTGTGGAAACGGATACAAGCATCGCAAGAAAACTCAAACTTTCATTCCATTTCTCTGGAGGAAGCATCCCGCGTGGTTGCTGAAGAATCTCAAAGTACATACCTTGAAGCAAAAACCAAAATCACTGGGCATGGAGAAGCATTATTACAGATTATGTATTTTACCCCCTCCTGGCGAGGATCAGCTTTGTTTAATGATTTAAAGCATGCTGTTGGCTATCAGACTACTATATACCAAGCGAGAGTTCAGTTCCGGACCCGTTGCCAACAGCTGCTTCAACGACTTGATTCCCCTTTCGTCAAACCCGAAAAAGAGAATACCGATATTGACCTATTCTCCAGTAAATTGGAGCCTAGCAAAGTGGCTTTACCTTTATATTTTACTCTTCTTAAACAAATAAGTTGTAGTTTGCCAGGTGCTGATTATACTTACGCTCAGTACGTGCATCATCTAAGTACTCAAGCTGCAGTGCAACAAGAAAAAGTTGGAGATTTATTAATTAGTATCCTTCCTGAATTTTTGCAACTTTTTTCTCGAGAAATTGGTTACTGGCCAGTGTTCTCTATCTATAGTTACTTATATGAATGTTTGAAAAAATCATATCCCAAGGTTCGTTCTAATATTCCTAATTTTTGGAATGAAATATGGCTCAACAAAAAAAATACGTTTGCGCATCTAGTTAAGGGCTCCCCAACAACCACTTCAGTCCCTGTTCCTTCTACTTCTATTCCCTTTAATCCTCGAGAGACTACCCCTAAATCAACCAAACTGCGCGTACTTCAGTATTCCGACGTTGAAGCTGAGAAACAAAGGCGATATGTGCTTTATAAAGTGCAAAAAGTTTATCCAGTTCAGTTAGAATCCGATATACAGTCAGGTATTTGGACTTGCCCTGTGAAACATTGTTTGTATTTCTCAATTAACGATAATCCCTTAAAGCCCAACCCTAATATTTATGAACATATTATCGGTCATATGAAATCTACGCCCATGTTAGAAGGTTTACCCGCAAAAAATAGTGCTTTGATTGAAGATATCGAAATGGTAAGTCATGAAATGCTGTGAGCTCAAAAGTACGCAGACGCATGATTTACATATTGTTTATCAATGCAGTGTTACATGACTATAGACAATATTGGTTAGAATGATATTATGAATCTATAATAATCTTAAGGGAAGTCATCTTATGTGAAAAGAAGAGGAATATAGAATATAAAATGAATATTAAATGTATGTCAGATAAGAGACATTATAAATCATGAGCAAAACTAGATCAAGTCATACTAGATGGATGCTTAAAGAATCATAAAAGCATGTAGCAACCTACATGAAATCTCAATGCTGTAGATAATCATACGTATACGTCTAGATGGCGTTACAAATAAATCAAAAAGTAAGTACCAACAAAATAGGTACTGATAGCGGCGTATGGTCACGCGATATCGTCTTCTTTTTTCTTTTTTTTTTCTTTTTTACGGTTGACAAGCATGCTAAAGCGGTACGAGACCACCAAGTCCTATGGCAAGAATTATGCAGAGGGAAAGTCGAAACCATATAATAGTTTTCCTGGGTAATATAAAAAAAGTTGTGCACATAGGACAGAAGAAACTCAATCTAATATATCTTTTTCTTTTCATCAACAGAAAATTTACCAGGACCAGTATTAACGAGATATAACAGGCCACCAATGATAGAAAGCGTCTGGAAGAAGTCATAGCGGTAAAAATCACGATGGGGACTATTTCTAGCAATGGACCAGAAACTATTGATAATAAAGTTGGAGACTGAAAGGATTAAAACCAGTATAGCGGCGAAATACTTAGCTTTGAAGCCGATGACAACCATTGTACAAGCGATTCCGGACAGAAGATGAACAAAGATACGAGTGTATGTGATGCCGCTTCCTTCCTTGGCTAAAAGGCCAATAAACATGAAAATAAGCAAGACACGACCGGCAAGCTGGAAATAAGTACGTTTATTGTGCTCAGAAACGGCGGGTAAGCCAGCAAATCGGTTGAGACGACGATGAATAAAAGTATCGCTAGCCACAAGGCAAAGTCCACCAATGACACTAACGTTTCGGAAGAACATCTCGCCGCTGGTAAGTAGTCCATAGGCAAAAGCTTGTAGAACAGTTACAAACAAAAGAGAACCAATGGCATAGGCTTGGCGCTTTCTAAACACCACCATTGTTGATCCAATGAACATGAGGACCACACATACAAAAAGCAGCAAGGGAGCAGTACCGAATCGAAAGCGACGATAATCCCGCATATAAGAAACCTGTTCAGGCCATTGTGTTACGATTCGGATTGCGTCTTCAAAATACGTAGCAACAATAAGGAACCGACCCAAAATGGGCATATAGGGACCTAAAGGAGACAAAAAAATCTCCGCCTGTTCCACAATCTGAGAAGCACGCTCCGAAAGTGTTCTTTGTCGAAGTCCATAGCTGGAACGTGTTGCATAAGAATCTTGATTGACCGACAGAGGAATTGTCGAATATGGAGCACGTGAGGTCATTTTCTTGTTTTGTATGTCGCCGATGATAAGTAAAATCCTTTTGTGTATCTATCCCTCTAATTTTTTAGTCAAATTCCCTTCTTCAGTGCCCGTTTTGACCTTGATTTTTGTATTATGAATATAGGGAAAGCGTAGGTTACAATAGTCTCCATATCCTTAGCTCGTTATTCCCATCGTCATATAAGGAATTCTTACCCAAATTTTAGCGAAACTCCCTAAACGAATCGGTTTGTAGAAAGGAAGGATTCAAGTCCTGAAGAAAGAAAAAACAATAAAGATAATTCGCTACTTTATAGCCATTTTCAAGGATGAAAATGCGCATCCCTTAATGCAGTTTCGTACCTATTTTAGCCAATAGCTTGAATTCAATGTAAGCGATACCATAGGTAGTAAATGCTTTGATAGAAATAAGAAATAAGAGAAGAAGAATGCAAATTGTTGATTGTATTCTTAACAAACATTAGCCGACCCTGAATTGAACTGGAGTCGTAAAACAAATTTGTTCATATTAATATTTGACCGTTGTATGATATTAAATTAGACTCGTGATATGAATTAATGATATGTTAATAGTTCAAATAGCTGCTAATATAGTCGAAAAGTATTCCTCAAAAACTTCATTTGGAGATAGAACGATGATACTATTGAAAGAATTACCAAAAAGAAAGGGGTGGACTGTGTTCCCATAGTTGAAGACTGTTTTTTTTATTTTCTAATGCTTTGTATCGTAGAATCCTGTTATAAACAGGAAGACCAAAAAAATATCTCCTGAGCCAGATTTGAACTAGCGACCAACCGGTATCCTTTAAATTACAGCCGGGTGTGATAACCAACTACACCATCAGGAGTTATGTTGATTGCATATGTCACCTATTATTATTTATGTTTATTTTAAGGCATTAGAAGTAACACAAAAAATGCATAAACGAAAAGGAAAAGAGAAGAAAACTATGGCTGATAGATCTGACTTCGATTATCCTTTGAATTTTTTTTTCTTTTTTTTATGAACTTGTATCTTTTCCCGCGTTGGTCAAATCTTGATACCTCTGAAAAGAAGAATTGAGGTTGTTTAACTAGAATTGAAAAAAAAAAAAAAACAAAGCCTGGGAAATTTTGAAACGAATTATATATTCCAATTTTTTTTTCTAATTTCTACTTCATAATGAAACGCACTACAACAAAAAACATCCATTCGTACGTTTAGCAATTGTTCTCATATAGGGATCAATTGATGAACAAACAAACAAGATGCGGTAAACAAGTATCATGAGATTTAATCAAATATTTTATTTATCGATTCATTTTTCTAGTTTTCAAGATTGTTTTGTACCTTTTTATTTATTATTATTATTATTATTAAATTTTTCCTTTTTTATAAGAACAGCAAATGGACAGTCGCATACAAATATGCAACTTTGTATATAAAAAAAGTTTGAAGAAATGAGTTAACAACTTTACGCATCACATACTTCTTTCATGATTCCTTTACTCTCCTCAGTAGTATTCTCATCATTATATTGAATTTTTATTTTTTGCTGCACTACAAATTATTATCTTTAAATTATCTAATGCGACTTAGCATAATAAGCAACTCTCGATGGTGTAGTTGGTTATCACACCCGGCTGTAATGTCTAAGATACCGGTTGGTCGCTAGTTCGAATCTGGCTCGAGAGACTTTTTGATATTTTTTTAGTCAAAAGCCAGAGGAAACCTTGCGATAGAGCGGGTATTTTTCAAAAGAGAAAATAGCAACTCAAAATTTACTCATACACAATTCCCGCTGGTTTAATCCTCGGTTGAATCCCCACTTAAAGTAACGACCTTTCCTACTACGATTCACCAAAATCCAGGAATACAAAACTACAAAATAAAGTTCTTTACAATATACAAGTCTACATCCACATTGCACAGTTTTCAACAGAAGTAAATTGTAATGCCTTTTGATTATTACAACACATAACATTTCTTTTAATGAGCCAAACGAGAGCTTTGAATGACACCGGTAAGCTCTTCAATCTTGCCCTTAGCACGCTTGAGGGTACCAAGCTAAAGACGGTTAGTAAGAAGAATAGAGAAAATTTCAAGCAACATACTCTCTTCTTGGCGAGCTTACGAGCACGCTTGTCTTGAGAGTTACGGATCAATTCCATAACACGACGTTCATAGGGAGCGAAACCAGCAACCTCACGGACGACAGAGCGAACAAAAGAAGTACGCTTCGATTGATGTCCTTTACGACGAGAAGGACGCTCAGGCAATTGACGCTTGGTCAAAGCCTTTCCCTTGTTTAATCCAACGACAAGTCCTGGTGCCATTTCGTTTTGGTTGAAGAGCAAAATCTTTGGCGTTCATTTTCCCTACAGTTGTGCGTCCGAAAATGCAGTCACATGTACTCGAACCCTACCCTAAGGCAAAACTGGTTGCAGTTCGGTATTTGCATGAACGAAACCCAAAGCATGTTCAGTAAAAAACACTCAAGTCGGAATTAGGTAGAACAGAAAGAACAGAACCAAGGACATACTGATTTTCTTATTTCTTTTTTTTGTCTTCTTAAAAGGGTAATGGAAATGAGAATCTCTTCTCCTAGTCTACGATCCTTAACTCTCCTTGCTTTATCATGTGTATGTTTACCCAATACAACGTAGCGCGTTCTTGTACCTTGATAAACAATTCATCTAAGAATCAAATAGACTCAGTCAGTGCCAGAGAGACTTGTATACTAAAAAGCGTAATAAAGAAATAACCCAAGTACTTCCTAAAAAAGAACCAGGAGCTACAAAGGCCAGCGACCCAGTAGAATGAATTTTGAAGTAACACATCGTGCAAATGAACCCTGTGATTTACACGCGTTCCAGCATAAACGATTGAGCATTCCGTTGAAAAAAAAAAAGAAGAGGAACAAAAGAAATAAACATGTCGAAATTATCAAATTCTCGTAGTGCGTAGGACATTCGTTATGTGGTTTATCACGTCTGTTAATTCTCTTTGCGTCGCACTATTTTCATGCTATTTACATTCTGAGGTTGCTTGATTCAACTTGACTTTCCCCATGTTTTTGTTGAATTCTTTAAGAGGAATTACTCGCGGCAACCGGTCGAAAAAACATCAGAATAATTCCAATTCGGGAAATTCAACATCGGGGTCACCATTTAAAAAGAGCTCTACGGTTCAATTGTCAAGAACAAATTCTCCTAGCTCGAATCAACCCCCTCTTTACTTGCTGCAACCATTTGTTCGAAATCATCTAGTGAAAGGAAACTTCCTCACAATTGTATCTTTGCCGAAATATGTGGATTTGGATGAATGGCTTGCATTGAATGGTAGGTACTACTTAAAAGACACGTAGATTATTGAATGAGAATGGCATAGAATAATCTAGCTTCTTTGTTGCTTTCAGTGAAGGACTAGGACTTTATGTTAGACCTCTATTATTGAATCCATATTTCGCTGTTTTCGCGATGCCTGCTTTCCTAAATGTTGAGTCACTTCTCCTGCTTTCAATTTTTTTTTCGTGTCTTCTTGTTATGAAATTTAAATACTAACACATTTATCTTAGTTTATGAGCTTTTTACTTATTTGAACCACTTTTATGATGTCTTTACTTCGTTCTGTAGAGTAGACACATGTCCCATTATGCTGGCAGGATCCAAGTATGTGCCTTCTTCATGCAATTTATAATTATTTTTGACACTAACTTTTCCTTGTTTAGTTTTGATTACAAATGGTTAGATAATAACCGTAAGCCTCTCTCTTTACCAGCACCTCAGTATATAGAATATGTTTTGGCCTGGATTGAAAATCGACTGCAAGATCAAAACGTTTTCCCAACAAAAGCAGGCTTACCCTTTCCTACGAATTTTCATGCAATTGTACGATCTATTTATAAACAAATGTTTCGCGTATTTGCTCATATATATTATGCTCATTATGGAGAGATCCTTCATTTATCTTTAGAAGCACATTGGAACTCTTTTTTTGCTCATTTCATTGCATTTGCAAAAGAATTTCATCTTTTAGATCCCCGTGACACGTTCCCTTTAAAAGACCTAATTTCGGTTTTAGAAGAGCAAGGAAATATTTAATACCGTATTATTCCTCTATCATTCCGGTTATTATGATTTTATAGTTTCTTCGTCTTCACTTTTTTTTCCTTTCAATTAAGTTTCCTACGGAAACGATCCGATTTTTGTTTTGCATCATGTTTCACTCCTAATTACCTACTTCATTACCATTAAAAAAAAATGTCTTCCTTATTTGTTTTGATGCCCATTCATGAGCGCCTTTTTTGTTTTCTTTTTTTTTTTTTTGGATGCTCCCTCTTCATCGATTGTTTGTCTTTCCGCAATGCAGTCTTCTTTGTTTTACTAAACCGTCGGTTTAGACAGGTACTTTCTATATCCTTGGCTAAAAATGTGTTGGCCTCAGTGTATTTTGACGCTTATTATCATGATTTCATTGGTTCGCATTTTGAGCTATTTTTGTTTCCAATACCTATGAATTGTTTGGATTTTTCATTGTTATAAACGCTGTTTTTTGCTTTATTTGGTTTACTCTACTAAGACAGTTCAGTAAATCTTTGTTTCTTACAAGTGGTGGGATTCCAAAAGTTATGATCTTTAATTTATAACATGATTTAGAGCAGATTAACTAATCTTCATTTTAAGAATAAAATTCTTGATTTATTGCGGTAAGTATTATCTACTTGAGATCATAAAGGTTGGTAGCAATGGCACATAAACGATAGTATTTCTATAGACAAGTAAAGAACAAACAAATTTAAAAAACATACACCTGATCTTCAATTTTGGAAATTGCACGAGCCTTTTCGTATCCCAATGCAACTGTAGCTTTACGAATAGCATTGACCATGGGTGTAGGTCCGCAAATGAGAACTTTGGAGTCAGGAGAAGGAGCAGGGAAGTGGTGCTTAATTAGCTCTTCGGTAACATAACCAACGGCGCCGGTCCAATTTTCTGGTGGATTATTAAGAACATGGTGTACCGTGAATCTCGGATCCTTTTCAGCTAAGGCTTCAATTTCCTCGCGTAGAATAATATCCTTCTCAGAGACATTTGCATACAAAAGAGTAATTTGAGTAGGATCTTCAGGGTTGGAAAGAACAGCACGGATAATTTGAAGCATAGGAGTTATACCAGTACCCCCAGCAATCATACCAAAGTGACGAGCAAGACCAACCTGATGTTTCCAATTGCCCTTGGGGCCACGGATGCCAATTCTATCACCTATTTTAAGTTCGGAAATCTTCTTACTGACAACGCCATTGGGATATGCCTTGACAAGCAAATCAAAGTAGCCCTTATCAACATCTGAGGACAAAGGTGTATAAGATCGGGAATGTTCTTTTCCATCCACCTCAACAACTACCGTTAAATGTTGTCCAACTGGCAAGCCAAGGACATCGTTAGAGCGAGGAAGTCGGAAGCGATAAATGGCGGTGTTATGGTTTAAGACAGCTTTGTCGCTCAATTCAAAGTATTGAATTTTACTGTTCAAAACTCTTCGAACACGTCCACGCCAAAACTTATGAAACCCTAGGGCCAAGGCAAGTAAGATCGAGTATCCCATCCACTCGCGTTTCACTACAAAAGTTCCGAACACAATTAAAAATGCAGGAATATATACACCATGTAAAGGAGTACTCAATAGTGTTTCCTTCGACATTTTAGCTTTTTCGGATTTAACAACTCTATTTCATGTTAGCTTATGATCTGGTTAAATACTCATATCAGATGTCATTCAATCAGCTAAAAAGCCATTCCATATTAAGAAAATTTCTTCTATTAAGGAATAACTAAAGATTGATGACCGTTCAACCATATCTACATGTTTACTTACCTTATGAACAATTGGTACTGAGTAAGTTCATATTTTTAGGATTGCCTTAAGTAGAAGTGCAGTCTCATGATCCTACTTAAAAAAAAAACACTCACTGCTTGGAAATATTTACTAATTTGCTAACTTTATATACAATATAAATTTCCATTTGTAAATTCATTCTCTTATAACCTGAAATGAAAGCATGCTGTAAAATTCTATATAAACAAAAAACGAAGGAAAGTAGCATAATAAGTATATCCAAATGAAAGGAATATATGCCTTTGAAAGCAAATAGAGTCTCTACTCAAAGTTGTCTGCAATTTTCCTAGGCACCGAAAAGAATCGTTTACCGTAACTAAATAACTTTAAAACACTACTGATGTTGGAAACACGATAGTGAAAGTACTAAAGAAAGCCTTCAGAGCTCCAAAGAACTACCTCAGTAACTCAAGGTGTATAGACAATCGACGTCTACCTTGAAAGAAACATTTTAAAATGCTACAAGTAACAAAAGAACAAGGCTAATAATAAGAAGAATCCAATGCTGCTTTTCAATCGTGAACTTCGTCATAGCAAACGATACTGTCGGCGTGTACAAGCCAGCCATAGGATCCCCAGTAGAAGACCCACCATCGGTGCTATTATAAATATGAATGTTTTTAAGTAACAAAGGCGCCTGTATTGCCTCTAATGCAGATAATTGTTCTCCTAAACCATAAAGCCCTGAAAAAAGTTAATACATAGCGTAAAGGGAAGATTTCACTTACCATCCCATGTATCATTAAACCACCACCACTGAAAGCCACAAGTAACTCCATCATGACCTCCGCAGCAAGCTTTTGCTGCAGCAATGGCTGTCTTGTACAAAAGAGGCTCAATCTTAGGAAGCATATAACTGGCCATTTGCGCAGTGTACACCATAAATCGAGCCAAAAATCCTTTAAAGGATGTTTGGTCATAGTTACAGGAGCCATTAAGCTCACAAACTGGTTCGTATAAAACATCGTTGTGAAAGAAGGAATCAATCGCCTTATTTACAAAACCTTCTGTCCTTGTTCTCCAGATTGACGATCCTGTCTATTCCACGTTAGAAGAAAGAAATAAAAAAAACGTACATGATTATACAGAAACGCTGCACCCGCCATGTACAAGCCGCTGTTGTAGGTCCACTCGGTAGTTTCAATGGAAGAGCAGTTGTCTTTTGTTGATGTCCCGTCAAAAACGGTATAATCCTCGTGAACAAAACCTACTTTGATGCTCCAATTGTACACTTTTTCGGCCCATTGCGTATAAGTGTCGTTTCCAGTGAAGCGCGCCAATCTCGCAGCAAGCTGAAAAAAGGCACCGTTCGTTACGGAATTTTTATAGTCGAAACCAGAATTAAATTCTGTTATTTGCCATCTTATTCCTCCATCACATTTACTACCGTCCCAGCGATTAACCTGTTGGTTAAAAACAGATTGAGCCAGTTCTAGCCATTGAGGCTCATCAGCGTTCGGATTAGAAAAATTAGCTTCTGCAGCTGAAATTGCAGCGAGACCCCAAAAAGCCTGATCGTCGTTACCTTCTGAGGTTGAAAAATTAGAAGGCATATAATCAGAATTTTCACCCACTTGATATAACATGCTCGTCTTTACGAGATCATTATAGGTTGAATTTCCAGTAGATAAATATCTATTTAAAAGACCCTGAATAGTTAGATCGGTTTCGATTTGTAAATTTAATTCCGTACATTCCAAGCAGCACCTGCTTCCCACCAATACGCAGGCGGTAAAAACATTCCAATGGTCCCTCCTTTTTTGTATCCAGCATAATAATTTAGCAACCCATCAGCAACTACACCTGCAGCTTCATCAACGGAAGAGGTATCATTTGGGTCTAACATGAATCCCTTGATACAGAGAAACGAAGGAAAAGAGAGTAAAAAGATTAATAGACTATACATGTTTTTTATCTCAAAAAGATGTTGTAAAGACTCAAACCATGAATCTAACTTTGTCCGATATGATACAAGGATGACTCAACCAGATGTCACATTTGAAGGAACCTTAATTCTGACCATTACTTTCTTGATGTCCTCAATTACAGAAAGAACTATTTGCTGATTAAACCGAAACGATATTCAGCACTTATATACCAAACAAGCATATCCCTACTACACTTGTAGACTCGGACTCGAAGATTCTTTGAGTAAAACTTGTGTAATCGTTACAGATGCTACTCTGTAATGATACAAGAAGCACATTAGCGTGAATAAGTCTTGCTCAATGATATTTCGATGTTGGTGAACATCTATTTTCGAGTCCGCTTAATTCCTCTTTTTGCTTGTTTTGGTGAAAGATCACGGTCCGCCTTCGTTTCTAATGGCAGTTGCTTTATAATATCCCAGATAGATTCAATAGACTCTGAATGTGATTGACATTTCTCAAACAAAGATAGACAGAAGGATTTCAGCTAAAAGGTACATCAAAATTAGTTCAATAAAATAGTGTAACAATCGTACCTTCAATATATCTTCTTTAATCTCTAGGTCTACCTGGTACCGTGTTAAGCCTTCCGGATTCACAGTTTTAGCACCTATTTCATAGCTTTTTTACGATTAACGAATGCATTTTAAGAAGTATACATACGCCGATATTTTATCCATTGTGAGAGTGTACATATCTCTGTCTATGATTAATACTTGATCAAACAGAAAATGGGCCATTATACCTTATATCGTCCAAGTACCTAGGAGTCGAACGAAATATACAACCTATAGCTGTATTGCACTTTGTACACTTAATTCCGGAATATACGCTGAATTAGTGTTAGTAATTGCTAGTAAGCATTTTTGGACCTACCAAAGGCCATCGTCTGAAGTCCTTAAAAGCTCTTCAATATCGAAAGTATTTTCTGCTAAGTCTAAAACTATGTTAAAACCAGTTTTCTCTAAAACCTTACCACTCAATGTAAAGCTATTCATTTCACGATGCGATATCACCCATGCATTGGAATCGCCTACAATTTGAAGACAGTTTTTACATTGAAACACCGTTGGAGGGGATTCAAAATCGTTATCAACACTTTCTACAGCATTTGCTTCCGCTTCTGACATTGTCTATATTGGGCATATATCAAGACAGTTCTTGGTGTTCGTCTTAGTCTACTAAGAGAATGAATACTGACTAAGATAGAAACGAGGTTTAAACGTTTATTATATTTCCTTCATTAAATAATTTTTATTCATAATCCTTTAATTTCTTTCGGAAAAAAGTATACAGTGAACGTCCTGCTTCAGGTCCTATAAGTTCAGACCATTTTCGTTCATCTACTTCGCAAGCGTCCTGTATATTTATCACGTCACTATAAATAACATTTTTGTAATTTTTCATAGATATATAGGGAAGTCCCATTAGTAAGTCAACTGGAGCCTGATTGTAAGTGTTTGTGGAATCTTGACCAGCTTCCAAACCAATGGAAGCTGCAACAGCGGGATCTGGCTCTTTTTCCAAGGATTTTAAATCTTGGAACATCAGAGACGTAGCATAAGCGCTCGATGACCAAAGGATTCTCAGCTTAGGGAACGCAATAGTTAAAAGCACCAACTTAGACTGTACATCTGATTTACCAATCTCAGTAGAAAGATCCGAAAACGGCTATTATATTAGCAAAGTAAAATTTAACTAGATTTAAATTACTTACGGGAGAAGTGAAAGTTTGATTTTGCTCGAATTCGATTAGCAGCACGGGTACCTCATAATGCTCCAGCATAGCTTCGCACTGAGAATAGAGTCTCCCGCTACTTAACGACTGTATTAAGTCACGTATAGACTTCCTTTCAACACAAATATTTGGGGAAAGCACATAATCGCCAACCAGTAGTTGACAGGGAATAACAGAGAAGTTGTTTCCATGCAGTATGGACGGCAAAGAGCTTCGAAATTCTCGAAGATCCACCACTATCTAAACGCGTTAGTATATAAATGAACAGCGCTTTCTTATACCCTTGGTTTTTCATTTGTCACTGAAACATGACCTCCACCAGCAATGCGTGTATTCACATTTCTTAAAAACTTTGTTTCCTGGCCTTCGAATCGTTCATTTTCTCCTGTAAGAACAACAGCCATATTCTTAAAAAAGATTAGCGTAACCATTTAAATTTCTTCAACTTACTGATCGTTCACGAATTAACTTGGAAAAGGAGTCTTTTTCTCTTCTAACGGTATAAAGGTACTTTTGTTCTTCAACGGACCCTCCATAATATATAAAGTATACTCGTGTTGCTCTTTGTGGATAGGTAGCTTTATACACTTCAATACGCCGGATAAAGTCAGGATCGGAATCGAACATGATAATAAATCGTGGGCGCAGACTATTTAAAAGAAGGGTATCCATTTCATAATTGTATGTATAAATATAAATGGAATTAGTGTCACTCAGAACCTCGAAAGATTCATTTTCTTCCTGTGTATAGGTTGACTTCGATATTTGAGAGAGCAAACTATATGTTAATAACGTTAAACGACGAGAGAGATACATACAGTTTTTCCAAGCGTATATCTTTGGAGAAATTATCTTGAGCCAAATTGCTTTCTGTTGTAGACCGAGACGCAGCTATGCCTCCTCCTCTTACTCTTCTCCGTTTAGATGCAGGAGCACCTTTTCTGCTAGTTTCAGGGGTGTTTTGCTTCTCTTTAGAATTTCTTTCAATCTTGCTAATCGAATTACTCATATTTCTATACTGTTCACGCCAGTGGAAGTAGTCCATCAGTCGACTGTTCATCATTTTAAAGGACTCTTTAGTGTCGTAATGTATAGTACTTAAGTAATCTCGTAATTGTAAGCAGGTCCGTTCTTCTGAACACATTATAAGAATTGAGTTCGTGGAAAATTCTAAAAGTTAGCAGTAGGCTTTTCATGAAAAACATACCAGGGTCATTGCTTTCATGGAGTATATTTTCATGGCTAATTTCTTCTAAAACATCGCGCAAAACAGACCACTTCGGTTGTTCCTCTAAGACAGGATAATATTCATCCATGGATCCAGTTGGAGAACGGTAAACACGATCCCTAGCTATTCGAATCATTGTATTTGCGGAATCTAACATGAGCCATGGTGAGGGTTGAGCATTACTGGAAAATCCTCCGGTGCGAACTGAAAGAATGATAGTGTCCAAAATCTTCAGGAAGCTGACGCAGTCGTAAGAAATTAGTGCATTCAAGAGGAACTTTAAGGTGGACAGATCGCCTACTAATTGCTTGCTCTTGGGACTCACGCGGTGCCAAACCGGATCCAGTTGACGACGAATAGTCACATCAAAGCTCCTGTGTAAGGCAGAATCGATGTTCCATTCTTCCATGTCTAGGTAAGCTGAGTTGTATCTGCGAAGTTCTCGAACGGTAGCTTCAATACAAGAAAGTAGACAAGATTGAATTGACTTCTGAGAATCTGTAAAGTCAACATTTAACTCAATAACATCCGCTGGTGTCTTTTCTAAAGATTCAGTTACATCAACATGAAACCGAGGATAAATAAAGACATGGCGAAGAAACATGCATCTCAAAGCATTGCTGAGAGCATTGATTCCCATTAAAAATCGTTCTGGGTCATCGCTAAAGGCCTTAATGAATCCAGTTTTGTTTTTCTCTCTATATAACCGTATAATGAAAGCCTCTGTTCCCGTTGAAACAATTCTGAAAAAGGTCAGTTTAGTGTAACAGAGGAAAAACGAAAATACCTGTCTGCATGCAGTAATACGAGCCCAGTAATGTTTTCTGTGGGAATTATATGAGTCAATAAATCCATTACCAAAATCCTGCTGGTTACAGAAAAAATGCCTCCGTCTTGATATGCTTTTTCTCTATAATACAAGAGTCAGCTTATTAATTGAATTAATCTCACATGAATGATATTTTGCTTACCGTTTGTCTACGGACATAGTTTCTGTGTTTACAATTTGTAGAGTTTTTCCCAATTCCTCTTCCAACTCTCGCTGCATTAGTTCATTATCATTAGAATTGGCTCCGACCAGCAAGACTAACGACCTTGGAACGGCAAAGTAAGCTAGAACATTTGCTGCAATTTGAAGTAAAGAAAGGCCTGGTGCCATAACACAGAGTCCGTCCTCATTGATAACTTCATTAAAAATCTTTTTTTGGTAGGAGAGTGTTAAATGGATAGGTATGTCCATGTTTTTGAATGCGAGACCTTGAAAACACAATCAGTTGCAAGCTTTTAAATACGGATCTTAAGTCCCTTCAAAATTGTGCTTTGAGCAATGTAACTGTTCATGTATTCTTATAGAAGCTGTTTAATTTATAATTTACGAAGGATACTTGTGAAACTTGGGTTTTAAAGAGAAATCTTAAGTTTTTACCGTGTATATGGTAATTAGCCTGAATTGTTCACGTATGATAAAATACTTAAAACCCGGTTGCGGATAAATACTTTTTAATTTCTTTTAATTAAATTAGTAAAAAGGCTAGTTTTGTACATTTAGATGCCACCATAGCCTTCTCATCTATGAGATTCCTGTAGCACCGAACTAACAGAGAACCACTACATATACATGTCAAGAGATACTCGATCAAGGTCGCCGCCAAGACGACCATCTCATAGAGATCGGTACAATTATAGAAGCTCAAAATTTTACGATCGCTATGACGATCGTCGAAGTTCCAATTACGGTCACCAAAGTAGATCGGATTATCATAGATCCCATTCTATACGAAGGAATAATAGAGAGGATAGCTGGAAGCATGATCGGTACAATTACGATGATAAGAATGAAAGAAGAAGCGAGACTACCCTTCCTAGCAGGAGCTCTCATCCTTCACGGTATAATGCTACCTCGACTTTAGAAGATTCCTCTCGCAGGCCAAACTATGTAACTGCTTCTGAAAAAAATTCTGAAGAGAGAAAAGAACAGGAGCGTCTTCCAAGGAGATCTCGGTTTGACCAGCCTGCCAAAACAGAACGCCCACCGCCTCCTCCTTCAGCAGAAACAAATGACTCGTCTGAATTTATACCTACCATTAATAAGCCCCGTGTTTCTGATGAAGACAAAAAACCCGAAGATAAGGTATCAGCTTCTCCGACAAATCCGCCTCTTGATCCCAAAATCCAAACACGATTGGAAAAAGTACGTGCTTGGAAGGAATCAAAAGCTGCACAGTCTGTTAATAAGAAAGACTCAACCGCTGCAATTAAGCCTCCTCATAATCTTTTGCAAACCGACAAAAACGCTATGCCTTCTAAGGGGATCTCGGGGTTTGAACTAGGACGCTTGAACAACAACAATAAAGAGCCCAAAAGAATAAATCGCGTGCATATGGATGATGACGATGCACCCAGACGACTGAATTTGCAAGATTACGAAGACTTATGGGATAAAGAAGACAGGGAAGGCATACAAGCTAGCTCAAACCCAACTGCCATGGACGAAGATGAGGTTGACCCTTTAGATGCTTATATGGAATCGCTTGTTGGCTCTACTGATACAGTTCGACCAGGTTTATTGAACACTGAGGTCATTGACTCTCATGCAAACGAAGATGAACGTACAATTAAATCAGAAACTTTGGAAGAAGAGGAGAACTTGCTCGCTCTTGCCGCTAAGCGATCAAAGAAAAAAGATGTAATAAGTGTAGATCATTCGAAAATGAATTATGAAGATTTTCGAAAAGATTTCTATGTTGAGCCTGAAGAACTCAAACATCTTACTCCTAGAGAAGTCGATGAATTGCGTGCTTCCTTAGAAGGCATCAAAGTTCGTGGTATAGATTGCCCTAAACCTGTCACCAGCTGGAGCCAATGTGGATTATCCGCCCAAACGATGGATGTAATACGAGGCCTTGGTTACGGAAACCCAACATCCATTCAGTCTCAAGCAATTCCGGCTATTTCATCCGGAAGAGATGTTATAGGCGTGGCTAAGACGGGTAGTGGTAAAACAATTGCTTTCCTTCTTCCAATGTTCCGACATATTCGAGATCAGCGGCCGTTGAGGAATGGTGAGGGCCCTATAGGTATTATCATGACCCCGACGCGTGAATTAGCTGTTCAGATTCATAGAGAATGCAAACCTTTTGCAAAAGCTTTGAATTTAAGGGCTGTCTGTGCATATGGAGGTGCGCCTATTAAAGATCAAATTGCAGAGTTAAAGCGTGGAGCAGAGATTGTTGTGTGCACACCTGGTAGGATGATTGATGTTTTAAGTGCCAATCAAGGACGGGTAACTAACTTACATCGCTGTACTTATTTGGTATTGGATGAAGCTGACCGTATGTTTGATTTGGGATTTGAACCACAAGTAATGCGGATAATAAATAACGTTCGCCCTAACCGGCAGACAGTTCTGTTTTCTGCTACATTTCCAAGGGCAATGGAAGCTTTAGCTAGGAAGGTGTTAAAGAAGCCAATAGAAATCACGGTCGGAGGAAGATCCGTCGTAGCCTCTGAGGTTGAACAGATTGTTGAGGTTCGCTCTGAAGAATCAAAGTTTATGCGCCTTTTGGAACTTTTGGGTGAACTATATAATACAAAGGCAGATGTCCGAACTTTAGTGTTTGTCGATAGACAAGAAGCTGCTGATGCTTTGTTCGCTGATTTAATGAAACGTGGGTATACCAGCAATTCAATTCATGGAGGAAAGGAACAAAACGATCGCGATTCTACGATTAGTGATTTTAAGGCAGGTGTTTTTGACGTTTTAATAGCTACCAGCGTAGCTGCCCGTGGTCTAGATGTGAAATCATTACAACTTGTTGTGAACTATGATTGTCCTAATCACATGGAGGATTATGTGCATCGAGTTGGTAGGACGGGTCGTGCTGGTCATACCGGCGTTGCTGTTACATTCATTACTCCAGACCAAGAAAAATATGCTGTTGATATTGCAAAAGCTCTGCAATTAAGTAAACAGCATGTTCCTGATGAGTTGCGAAAACTAGCACAGCAATTCCTTGAAAAAGTCAAAGCTGGTAAAGAAAAGGCTGCTGGTGGTGGTTATGGAGGTAAAGGTCTGTCTCGCTTAGATGAAACAAGAAATGCAGAGCGTAAAATGCAAAGAAAGGCCTACGGCGAAGATGTTGAAGAAGAACAAGTCGAAGAGGAGCACGCTCCTTTGGAGAAACTGCCTGCTGAAAAGTCTACTGGTGATTTTACACTTGATAGAGTTCGAGCAGCAATCGGTGGTATTACTGCTCGAGCATTAAGTGGTCAAAATGGACAAGCAAATAAGTTGACACAACCCATCTCCATCATCAAAAGTGATACGGATGAGTTTAAAGCGAAGATGGAAATTAATGATTATCCTCAGCAAGCAAGATGGGCTGTTACGAACAATGCAAATATTATGCATGTAACAGAATTGACTGGAACGAGTATTACGACGAGGGGTAACTTTTATCTTCCAGGGAAAAATCCAGAAGCCGGCGAGGAGAAATTGTACCTGTGGATCGAAGGGCCATCTGAATTGGTTGTTAGTCAAGCTGTCACTGAGCTCAAACGCTTGCTTTTAGAGGGTGTTGAACATAGCCTCGAAGGGTCCAGCAAGGCTGCTCCTACCGGGCGTTATACAGTTGTTTAATTTACCTTTATTTAATTTTGTATAGTAATAGTCTTGTTTCAGATAAATAAAAAGGGAAGGTTCTTGAGTACAAAGAAATACCGAATCCGATAAAGATGGTTTCATTATATTACTTTTGATAGAATAGAGCAATTGATAACCATCCGATACCTCTTTTGTAGTCACTGTACCAGTTTTTATTGCACAAAACTATATATTAACGATAGAATTACCCTAGTGAAATTTCAGATTTGACAAAACCAAATAAGTTATTAGACATCCGGTGATAGTTCAGAAAAGCTTTCGCATAATATTTTTCTATTTGAGCCAATATTTTTCACCTCTAAAAGGCAACCCAACTCGTCAATTTGGGGTGTTAAATATACCATTGAATCATACCCTACTCCTATGCAATACTGACAACCCAAACTTCTGTATAACATATTCTTTTTCTAATACGTGTCAGATATCTAACGGAATATCTAGGATGACTAACCAAACTGCTCTTGTCAATAAATGAGTCGACTAGCTCAGATCCAGAGAAATCTTGTCTATTCAAGATCTTACCTGGAAACAGCTGTTGTTGCCTACAATTGTTCTAATATAGTAAATTAAAAAAACCAACTCCCCAACCAATTGCATTACTTTTTTTTTTTTTTACTGTATTTCCAGTTTGTTTATATTTACTATATGGGTGTTACCCCAGGTAACGAATAATAATGTAAATATATAATCGTATTCTGAAGGCATACAGGCTGCAAAATAAGATTAGTGTACCTTACCGATCACGATGTACTTTATTTGCGTACTGTACCACTTCGTTATACTACACACATAAACATTCCTACGAGTAAAAGCTTGACGGTTTGACATTTGCCTTTCCAGGGCGAAAATATAAAATTTAGGTAAAAATGGGATTACAAGAAGAAACAATTGATTATTATGAGCTTCTTGGACTATCAGAAGATGCACAAGATGCAGACATTCATCGTGCATGGAGGAAAACATCTCTAAAGTACCATCCAGACAAAAATCCAGATGATCCGCATGCTGCTGACAAGTTTCATTTGCTACAAGTAGCCTATAATGCTTTAACAGATACAACAATGCGTCAGGCATATGATGCTGAGCGATTAGCCAAGCTTGCTCGTCAAAGACGCGAAGAAGCATTTGATCTGAATAGGAAAACCATGGCTGAGAAATTACGGGAGAGAGAAGATGGATTTCATTTTTTTGAAAAACAAAAAGATCAAGAGAACAATCGTTTACGGGAAAAGTTACGTTCTTTACAAGAGCAAAGCGCTAGGTTACGACGAGACCGTGAAGAGAGACTGTTTCAAGACAAGGATTCAAACAAGAGAAAAAGAGAAACAAGCCCGGTAAAAACTCGGTCCATTTCTGACCTTGATCGATCTGTAAAGGTTCGTTGGAAGAAAAAGTATGTCGACCAAGTGGATGAATCCTTCCTACGTTCTTTTTACTCAAAATTTGGACAAATTAACGATGTTATAATTCAAAAAACTGTTAACGATGATAAAAAATATGTTTACGCAATTCTTGTTTTTGATACTCTGGATGCTGCTTACTCTGCTGTAACAGTAGAATCTCCTTCTGTCATTAAGGATACCCAATGGCTAAAACCTTTATCGGAAAGGGCTGAGTTTGAAGAAAAGAAACCTAAAAGTACTATGGATTACGAAGAACTAACGATGTTGCGAATGAAACAGAAACAACGCGAAAGGGAACAAGAAAGAAAAGCCACAATGGCTGAGACTTAAATTTTAAGCAATTACAATATGGCTAAATAGTATAGAATTCTCTTATTGTTGCTAGGTTTTGAGACAGAATTATGGATGTACTTAGATTGCAAGACTAGGATGTGGTACCTTCCACCTCACTGAAGGTAAATCTGATGGAAGTTTCCTGAATTGAGTCAGACTTTTGCCAATGAAGGTTAATGCTCATAATTTATTGTTTAATTCGTCAAAATGGATAGGAAAGGGGACTCTCAATTGCTCTTCAAGGCATATTCATGAGGTGCCATTGATAAAGCCGAGCCTTAAGTTTTATAAACGTAAGAAAGCAAAAGAGAACAAATAAAAATTTTTGCTAACGGTCAAAGAGCTACTTAAACAACCTCAACCAAGTTTAAATGTGGATACCGATGCAAATGTTTCATTTTTACCTGCTGAAGAAGGCCCTGCTTCGTTGCGTACATATTCAATTGGAAACGTTAGCCACGTGTATAACGGCATCCGAGTTCCTCCCAAACCAGAGGAACCATTAAATTGCTGTCAGAGTGGCTGTTCCATTTGCGTCTGGGATGTGTTTGCTGATGACTTGGAGGAATACAACCAAGCTCGGCGGAAGGCGAAACGAAGTTTTTTAGAAAAACATTTGACTCTCCCCAAGGAACTGGAAAGTGTCTCATTAGAGGAAAAAAGCTCGCTACAAGAATTACCTCCTCAGTTACAGGCATTTGTACTTTTAGAAAAACGTCTGCAACAACAGGGCAATAATTAAACGTTTAATTTATGAAAGCTATGGCGGTTATGATAAATAAATCATTTTATGGAAAGAAATTAATCTATCTGTTTTTATAATTGCCGCTTTGCTACTGGCAAATGAAAAGAGAATGCTTTAAACAACTCGAACAATCATTTCTATTCGTACGTAAGCAAACAAGAATTGCGTTTAGTAAATGGTTTGTTCTCTTTATGATTAAAACTTAAATATGAAACAGAAAGGAACTGAAGAAAAGCTCAATACATTCATCAAGGTCTTTCAAGGATCTTCTACTTTCGTACCAGTTGCCGTTAATGAATCTGGGTTGGGATTGGGAATTTGATAACCACCTTTTGCCAGCCATTCATAATACATTTCGTCGTTCACCTGCTTAGACAAGTCTGCTCGAGATATATCGATGCGAAATTGTGGGTTTTTTAAGAGAGTCAACATATGCAAGCAGGTGGGATAAATGATAAACTTTACATAGTCAGGTTCTCTCCAATATTCCAAGTATTCTAAATACTGCAAAAATGTTTCGTCCTCGAAGTATTTATGCTGAGCAAGGAAATTCAAATACCAAGGATTCGACAGCATTTGGACAAATTCCAACTCAATTTCAAACCGACTCTTTTCATCCGGTACTCGAGAAAGAAGCCATTTTGGTTCCATTGAAAATACTGTATCTTAACCTCTGTACTTTTTCTGCTGCAGAAATTCAACTCTCCAGATGGAACAGACCAATATGCCATCTTTGAAGGTGTAGGTATCCTCATAACACTGTGTTAAGTTTTTTTGTGCGGTTAACAGTTATTCGGTATTTGGTAAACAAACAAAAAGGAGTCTACAAAAAGTGTGCATTGAAAAGGTTCTATGGAGGAAAGAGGAAAAAGGAAAAAAACCGAGAAATGGATTACTATTTTCACGCTTCAAATCCATGTGCCTCCTTTCTTTTGTATTAACTGTTCTGAACAAACTTATTGATTGAAAAATATCTCGCGGATACATGCAAGTACTTGTTTCTCTTGTCTTTATTTACTAATGTTTTCATTTCAGTAATCGTAAAGTACTGAATGCCTCGAGTTTTGTGCTATAGAATGTTCCTAACAAAATTTTGTAAACAAAGATAGCTGTTGCAAAACGAGAATGTTTAATTAAAAGATTGTATAAGTATAAAGAATAAATTATGGACATATTTATTTACCTGAAACAGAAAAGGTCGCTGTTGTTACATATGTAGCTGATTTTACTTCCTACTCGGAACTTACCACTGAGCAGAAAACAGAACGATTTGAAAACATATACTTTTTTTTTTCTGCAAACCATACTTCTTTCCTTATAATTATTAACTTAACTATTTTGTTTTCATTGCAGGTTTCTTAATTGAAAGCCAGTTGTTTAGGAGTTTTGTTGAATCCTCAACCAAAACATCGCAATTTTATGCGTGAAGGAATCTGGGTTAATTATAAAATATTTTCGTAATGAAGAATCTGATTTCCATTTGTTCTATTTTGGCTTACTTTGTTCATTACTGCTATGCGGCTACCGGTATGTCTTGCTGATTATGAGTCTCAATTGTCTGTCGATTTTAGGAAAAATTATGGCTTTTCTGAACTGAATACTAATACGATTAGCTACAAGTAAGTCTGAAGCACTTCCTCCTGGAGCGACTGCCACAAAGGTATACACGATCACTAGTGGTACACATGTTGTAGGAACAGAAACAACTATGTATCAGCCTTACAGGACTTATAAGGGGCTACCTACAGACGCCTATTACAATTGCCATCCTCAAAAATATTTTCAAAGTAATATGCCTATTTGCTTTCCTACTCCTGACTCTCGTTGGGTTAAAGGAAAGCCCTATAGGGTGAGTTGGGATCCTTATTATTTTGGGGTGGATGAATTGCGGCTTGTTTTGTCGTATCAGAATCATTCTGGCTTAATTGCTATTGACAAGAAAATAAAAAATAAAGATGGTATGACTGTTGAACATCAATTATTATAACGATCGGCGAATCACTAACACAATTGTTTAGGAGAGATTAGTATAAAAGCAAGCGATAAATGGCTGCATGATGACTTTGTTCAGAACATGACTGTTAACCTTATAACAAACAACGAGGGAAATGCTACATTCGTGTCAGGTCCTAATATCACTCTGGTAAAATCCTTAGACCCTCATGAGCTGTACATGGAAGACCAAGAATTTTATGCACCTAAGCGTAATTTGAAGGCAGCTATAGCTGTTCCTAGTATCTTCTTGGGCATCATACTCATGTTACTTTTGTATCACACATATCGAAGGGATACTTGGAGAATCTTTGTCGCTAAAATGCGTATACGAAGCTCAAACGCTGGTTATGGAATTCGGAGAAGCAAACGACAGCGTATGCGTGGACGACCAACTGTCGGCCTTGCTTCTAGAAGTGAACTTGTATACGACGATTCCGAAGACGAAGAGTATTTTAACCCCCAACTTAAAAAAATGTATTAAATTGGAAAAAAAGTGTGCTTCATCATAAAATCGGATCAATTCGTCTTCATCTTTTCAACATATGACATACGAGGATCATAGCATGCCATGCCATATGTTATTTTCTCGGGTTTCTTTTCTAATTCTGTTGTATACGAATCTTAGTATTGAGTTATATACTCTTTAGACTTTCATTAATTTTTTTTACCAGTGTCTGTCGCAAAAGGAAAGCGTCAGAGGCAAACTCCGCACGGCCGCCGTTGACTTTTCTGAATTGCATTTTTGTATTATTGTCACAAAAAAAAGGAAAAGCATAGAGCAGTAAACCTTCATATAAATGAAAAACACACCTACTCCCAATTCTCAAAAATAACACATAACGGAACAAATTTAACTAACTTTTAATTTCCTGGTGTAAGCAATAAAATTATTATTCAAATATTGAACATCAAAATGAGAAGTCAGGACAAAATATTCCTTCCAAAACTGCTCCATGCCATAACTGAATACTGTTCCTTTTTTTGGCTTTAGCAATACATATCCTAAACATATCCAAAAAAAAGTTGCTAAAGAATTTTGATTTTTTCATGATAGTTTCATTTTTGCTCGTAAACCGTGTTTTGAGGACGACTTGTTAATAACATATTCTTTTTCTACCCAACATTCATACCATTATCAACGACTTAAGAAGAAGAAAACCAACAACCCCTTTATACAAACGGTGAAACAATGTCAAGGTTGGGTTCTGACAAAAGAAAAGGGCTACCAGAAGAAAGTATCCAAACTATCGACTCTCCAATCTATTTGAACCAAATATCGTCTTTACCAAAAGAAGATAATGTACATTGTTTATCCTTAAAGCAATTGATTGGGAGCCCCCAATTGAAGCAGACATGGCAATTCAACTTTTGTGTAGACTTAAATTTCATCCTTGAAAATATCCATCCCAAGGTTTTTCGGACGGTTGATATACGAATCACTCATGGATATGACAGAAAGTCAGATAGCTTGGCGAGACTGACTGCTCAAAAGGAGCATTGTCCTCTTCAAGTCCACTTATACAGCGTGTATGTACCCATGTGGGGAACTCATCATTCCAAAATTATGGTGAATTTTTTTGAGGATGAATCATGTCAAATTGTGATTCATACAGCTAACATGGTTGAGCCCGACTGGATCGGAATGTCCCAGGCTATTTACAAGACACCGCTGTTGTTTCCCAAGTTAGGAGGAATACATCTAGAGCATGGAACTACTAATGGCGAAGAAGGATCATTAAGAAAAAAGGTGAAGCAGGAAGAACAAAAACAAGTAGAAGTTGTGGACGTCGATGCCGAAACCGAAGACGAAAGCCCACTAGAAAGCGAAATGACTCAAGTAGGGCAGCAGTTTCAAAAAGATTTTCTGGATTATCTACGGAATTATAATCATACAAAGGAACTTATTAATAAACTAGAAAAATATGATTTTTCAAATGTCCGCGCTGTTTTTCTCGGGTCTGTACCCGGAAAGTTTATGGGTGACAAGGAATCGCAATGGGGACTTGGAAGACTCAAGCATGTACTTGGAGAGGTTGAAAAAAAGGAAAAAGAAAAAGGTGAAGAATTTTTTGACACGGATGTCTGTGTTTCACAATGCAGCTCCATGGGATCGTTTGGCTCCAAGCAGGAATACTTAGAGGAATTAATGGAAGCTTTTTGCTGCAAGAGGAAACAATGGAAGTTTATTTTTCCAACGGTGAATCAAATTCAACAGTCGATGTTGGGATGGCAGTCTGGATCATCCATTCACTTTAACATATTAGGAAAGACAAGTATGGAGCAAGTCGAGGATCTGCGACAAAAACATAATTTGCACAAGTGGGGATCAATGAAAGCTGGAAGAGAACGAATTGCACCGCACATTAAAACGTACCTTCGTTTAAGTGAATCGGGCGACAGGATTCGATGGGCACTAGTGACAAGTGCCAATCTGAGCAAACCGGCATGGGGGACGATGGAAGGAAAGGGCGTAAAATCCAAGACAGCTCGTGGTCTAAGGATTAAATCCTATGAAGCAGGCGTACTATTATTTCCGCAACTATTCGAGAGTGCCGGGACCATGGATTCGTCTTTTTGCAGTATGGTACCGACTTACAAAACCAATTCACCGACGTCGGTTGGTATTACCCAACGTGAAAGGCATAATGGCTCGAAATCTCAGCTACTAGTTGGATTTCGGATGAGCTGGGACTTTCCACCCAAAGAGTATGTGCCCAAGGACGAAATTTGGTCTCCTGTAGTTCCACGAAAGGAGAAGGATTGGCTAGGATATACATGGCCTCCTAATTGGTAATAAGCAAGTATGCCCTAGAGAAGCTGTTTTAGTGAGGAGAATTTGTTGGCAAACGATGCCAATTGAAGACGAGAGTAATTCATTACTAATGAATACTTTTTCTTTAGTTAAAACAAGCTACCTTATCTGGTCAATTGAAAATTATTACAACTACTTTTTTTATTTTTTTTATTTTTTTTTTTTCGTTAGCTTTGGTTTTGTCATGTCTATCAGCGTTCTTCATAGGAGCTACACCATCCCTATATTCTTGAGCTAATACCTTTCCTATCAGAAGGACGAACCTTTGCTTGCCTCTAGTATACATCTTGCCTTTCTTTGATCATCTCGACTTTTCATTCTTTATCCCTCTAAAAATTCATTTATTTACTTGAAGGTGGAATTCTCATAGTCGAATTTAGACTACTATTAAGCGACTCGGCTCAACAAACTTGAATGCCAAAACAGGTTTACGTAAAAATGACCGCAACATTTAATCAAACCGTACGTAAATATGAAGGAACTTTACTTGACGCAATTTAGTGCAGCATCAATTCGATGATTCCAATTTCATCGATTGCTTAACTTCAGTGTATACGTTGGCTGAGCATACCAAGTAAATAGAATATTAACTAACTGTTATTCATCTATTCACCTGTTACCAAACGCTTAGCACTGCCGTTTACAAGTAACCTTCAGACCCTTTTCGTCTCACTAGATATATGCAAAAGATTTCGAAAAACTAATAAAGCGAAATTTCTGTTTTAATACCTGCTTTTTACTGTTCGTATTGCTTGAGATCAGTTTGTATTATTTCATTGTGAATCTATATTTACTTCTATATCCGAATATTTATTGCCGATTTTTTTGGAAGACTGACAAGTGCATTTGATTCATTGAAGAAGATTTGAGGACATTTATCATGGCCACCCACGAAGAAGAACATGAGCGTATCCCAGCAGGTGATCCCTACTCTTCTCGTCGTCCTATCCCTACTATCCCAAGGTTCTTTCGTGAAAGAAAAGAACGTGCGGACGTACGAGAAAAACAAAAGGCTGAAAAGCATCGAAAGGAATCCACACAAGAAGAACTGTTTGATCCTATCACTCAGCGGAACGTTGAGATCTCTGATATTAAATTTGGTAGCCAAAAAGCTTATGAAAATCCCAGCTACACTGTACCCAACCAAAACATTCAATCTGGGTTATCCGCCAGCCAAGAGCCTTATTTGAGCCCAAATCAGTCTCAATCTACCTACAAACAACACCAAGACGACCTTGCACCACCAGAGGCACATGATGATATTACTCGAGATGTCCCCATTAGCGATGAGAAAACCAATATTCTTTTCTTTCCTACGCCGGCCGTCGATCTTTCGTACGTTTCAAAAGAGATTAAGCAAAAAACAAATCACTACACCCTGTTTTCTTTTCTTTTTACCCTAATTATCACTTGGATTATTTCCCACTCCATTATTCTTTCCACCATCTTTCCCATCACCGCCGCGTCTTGCATTTTTTTATGGATGGAACACGTTCGCACTGTTGCTCAGGCCGCCGAATGGGGCGCTGAACAGAAACGCGGTGAATATGCCCGTCTCAATCTCATACCTGAAAGTGCCGAATGGATGAATGATTTTTTAGGAAAAATCTGGGGTCTCATTAACCCAGAAATTTTCTCCTCCATCATCGACCAAATCGAAGATGTTATGGAAGCTTCCATCCCTTCTTTTATTGAAAACGTCCGAATCGCATCTTTTAGCCAGGGTTCTCATCCAGTCCGTGTTATCTCTATTCGTTCGTTACCCGCCGACGAAACCCAGCACACTTTTAAAGATCATCAACAACCCAAAGATGAACACAAAGATGAACCAGAGCAGAAAGCAAAAAGATATTACAATCTCGAAGTTTGTGTCGCTTACCATGCGATGCCTATCGAAAGTACTTCTACAACAGCTCGTGCTTCCAATCTACATATGCGCATTGTTTTTTATCCTGGTATAAAAGGCACCGTTGGTATCCCTCTCCCCATCTGGGTTGAAATTAAAGGTTTCGTAGCCAGAATTCGTCTTCGTTGTGAGCTCATGCCTGAGATTCCTTTCTTGAAGAATGTTACCTTTTCCCTGATGGGCCTTCCACAAATTCATGTTGCTGCAGTTCCCGTTGCCGAAAACGGTCTTAACGTTCTCGGACTTCCTTTGATTTCCAAATTCGTTAATGACTCCATAGCAGCTGCGGCCAATGAGTATGTCAGTCCAAAGAATATGACCATAGATACGTCAAAAATACTCCTAGGTGACGGCATAAAAAAGGAAACCAGTGCCATTGGGGTCATTCACATTCATATTCAGAAGGCGGAGGGTTTAAGCAAACAGGATGTCAATGGACTTTCCGATGCCTATATCACCATCAGTTATTTTAAGTTTGGCAAACCATTATTTTGTACTCGAGTCGTAAAACAAGATTTGAATCCTGTTTGGAATGAGCATGCTATAATTGCCGTGTTCCCGGAACATATTAAAGCGGGTGAAAAAGTCTCCGTTGAACTTTGGGACAGTGATCGCTTTAGTCCTGATGATGTGGTAGGACGTACCAAAATTGAGTTGCATACTTTGCTGCAGAATCCGGAAAAAACTATTGATCGCTGCGATGAACTTACTGGCATTAGTGAGGAGACGTCTCTTCCTGGACATATATATTATTCAATTGCTTACTTTCCGAAAGCAGATTTTAGAGAAGAGTTGAGAACTGGTGGACATGATGTTTCCATTCCCCGCTTTCTCCGAGAAGATCCTACTTTCCAGAATCCTCAAGGGACTCTGAGTACAAAAGAAGAGGACGCCGTTGTTCACACAGCTCCAGATTCAGAGTACCCAAGCGGCATATTGTCATTCATCATTCATCAGGCGGTTAACCTAGAAATCACTCATCCTAAAGGTACATACGGAAAGGTCAAAGGAGCTTACAACAATACTACACCTCAGCAGGTAGGAGATACGAAGTCAGAAGAAGGTACAGACTTACCTTCTTCATATGTTTGTGTTGATATAAATGATAGTCTGGTTTATAAAACAAGAACAAAGGTTTATTCCTCAAATCCCATCTATAATGCTGGAAGTGAAAAATTTATTAGGGACTGGAGAAGCACGACTATTTCTTTTACTGTTCGAAATTTTCGACTTCGTGAACATGATTCTATTCTGGGTACTGTAAACATGCCAATTGCTAAAACGTTGACGAGCTTTTCCCAACTCACCAAATGGTATCCGATTGAAGGAGGAATTGGATTCGGTAGCATTCGTTTATCCATTTTATTCCGAAGTGTAAAACTTCAAATCCCTCGAAATTTATTGGGATGGGATATTGGTACCCTTGTATTTATTGATAGGCGCTTGATTGCTGAAGGTATCCACAGTGTCTCAAAGGTTAACTTCTCTTATGTAAGAATTCATGTTGGCGTGCTAAAAGGTACCGCAAAATATACCAACTCGGATTCTCCGGAAAAAGTTGCTTGGGATGTTCGTAGCGATAATTTGAGTATGCCTCTCAAAAACCGTTATAGCACGCCGTTAGTTTTTGAATTTCGAAATCATCTTCGCAGGAAAAGCAATGTTTTTGCAATCCTATGGCTTGTGGATCTTGTGGACAACGAAGAAACGACTGTGCGTATTCCCATCTTTTTTAGTGCCAAACCTGCGCACGTCTTGCAGAACATGATTAACATTAACGATCCAGACAAGTATTCAAAGCTCGAAATTATCGGTTATTTGACGACTACTCTGAGCTTTCAACGTGGTTTAGGTGTTGCTCACGAAAGATTAATTAGTAGTGATGATGATAGCGCCACTTTTGAGACGTATATGAGCTTGCGTTCTCAAGGAGCGCGAAAAGGATACGTGAAGGACATGAGTAATCCTTTATATGACAATTTACCTTGTCATGAGGATGAGCATCCTGCATCAAGAGTTAGTACTATGGAAACAGCGGATGAAAATACCGAAAATGAAAGTGAGGAAAACCCAAACCTGTTAGCACCGTCGAACTCAAATCAAGCGAACGGAGTAGAACAGACCGTTACGCTTGAGAACAATGAATTTAATTCGCAAACTACAGATGGCCCTACTCGTGATTTAAACCCTGACGAAAAGATTTTTGAACGAGAATTCATCTCACTTGGTCAAGCAGCAAGCCAAAATAATAATCATACTCAATCTTTAAACCAGTCAAATGTTGCTAGACAAAGCAAGAAAGAAAACAAGAGAGGGTCTCAGGTCATTGATGACCAAGATGCTGAAACATTGAGCAGTGAAATCTCCGGTGATGAGCAAGAACGCAAGTTACTTCATAGGGACGACAATGAGCTGGAACGTCGTATGCATCGCGGAATCTACAACTACAAAGCTGTACGTACGGGCAACTGGGTAAAAGACGGAGCGAAAATGAGATGGAGAAGTCTGAAAAAGCGCTTCAGCTTAAATGGCCGTGAGCCAGATGTGGAAACAGAAATCCCTAAATAAATTCAAAAACAAAACCTACAACATTTCACGGTTTATGAATTCTTCTCATGATGTTATGACTGCAAAATCTAGAAAGCATTTACGATTACAAATGAAATGGACAACTATAAGTTTTTAATCTCATTAATGTAGGTACCTTATTTACTCTTCCTTACTATTTAACCTCTTCAGCAAGTATATTGGGTACACTGTAATTTGACTTACACATTATTTATTTTGTGATATTTCGATGATAGTGTTATTTCAAATATCATATTGAAACATTTCGATGATTTCCCGAACTGATGAAAAAACCAGTCCCAGTAAGTCTTAGGGTAGGGTTTATATGATACAGAACAGACACGAAATTTTTGGGTTGCGAAACACAACCAGAACCAACCACGCCCTCCCAAATCAGTTGCAAGTATGGTCGCGTTCACACCTGAGGAGGTCCGCAATTTGATGGAAAAGCCATCGAACGTCCGTAACATGTCAGTGATTGCTCACGTCGATCACGGCAAGTCTACGTTGACTGATTCTTTGGTTCAAAAAGCCGGTATTATTTCTGCTGCTAAGGCCGGTGATGCTCGTTTCATGGATACCCGTGCTGATGAGCAAGAGCGTGGTGTCACCATCAAGTCAACTGCCATCTCTTTGTTTGCTGAGATGTCTGAAGACAACATGAAGGATGTCAAGGAACCCACTACTCACCCCGACTTTTTAGTTAACTTGATTGACTCTCCTGGTCACGTTGACTTTTCTTCCGAAGTTACTGCTGCTCTTCGTGTCACTGATGGTGCTTTGGTTGTTGTCGACACCATCGAAGGTGTTTGTGTTCAAACTGAAACCGTCCTTCGCCAAGCTTTGGGTGAACGTATCAAGCCTGTTGTCGTTGTTAACAAGGTTGACCGTGCTTTGCTTGAACTTCAAATTTCCAAGGAAGAACTCTACCAAAACTTTGCTCGTGTCGTTGAATCCGTCAACGTCGTTATCTCTACCTATTACGACAAGGTCCTCGGTGACTGCCAAGTTTTCCCTGATCAAGGTACTGTCGCTTTTGGTTCCGGTCTCCACGGTTGGGGCTTCACTATTCGTCAATTTGCCAACCGTTATGCCAAGAAATTCGGTATCGACCGTAACAAGATGATGACTCGTCTTTGGGGTGAAAGCTACTTCAACCCTAAGACCAAGAAGTGGTCCAAGTCTGCTGTTGATGCTGATGGCAACGAAAACCAACGTGCTTTCAACATGTTCATTTTGGACCCTATCTACCGTATCTTCGATGCCGTTATGAACGGCCGCAAGGACGAAGTTTTTGCTCTCTTGACCAAGCTTGAGGTCAACCTCAAGCCCGATGAGAAGGAACTCGACGGCAAGGCTCTTTTGAAGGTTGTCATGCGTAAGTTCTTGCCTGCCGCTGACGCCCTTTTGGAAATGATTGTCCTTCACCTTCCCTCTCCCAAGGCTGCTCAACAATACCGTGCTGAAACCTTGTATGAAGGTCCCATGGATGATGAGTGTGCTGTTGGTATTCGCAACTGCGATCCCAAGGCTCCTCTTATGGTCTACGTTTCTAAGATGGTTCCCACCTCCGAACGTGGTCGTTTCTATGCCTTCGGTCGTGTCTTCTCCGGTACTGTCCGTTCCGGTATGAAGGTCCGTATTCAAGGTCCTAACTACACTCCCGGTAGAAAGGAAGACCTTTTCATCAAGGCCATCCAACGTACCGTTCTTATGATGGGTTCTAAGATTGACCCCATTGAAGACTGCCCTGCTGGTAACGTCATTGGTTTGGTCGGTATTGACCAATTCTTGGTTAAGTCTGGTACTTTGACCACCTCTGAGGTTGCTCACAACATGAAGGTCATGAAGTTCTCTGTCTCTCCCGTCGTCCAAGTCGCCGTCGAAGTCAAGAACGGTAATGACTTGCCTAAGCTTGTTGAAGGTCTTAAGCGTCTTTCCAAGTCTGACCCTTGTGTCATGTGCAAGACCTCCGAATCTGGTGAACACATTGTCGCTGGTGCCGGTGAATTGCACTTGGAAATTTGCTTGAATGACTTGCAAAACGACCATGCTGGTATCCCTCTCAAGATCTCTCCTCCCGTTGTCTCCTATCGTGAGTCTGTTAGCGAACCTTCCAGCATGACTGCCTTGTCCAAGTCTCCTAACAAGCACAACCGTCTTTTTATGACCGCTGAACCTATGAGTGAAGAACTCTCTATGGCCATTGAGACTGGTAAGATTAACCCTCGTGACGATTTCAAGGCTCGTGCTCGTGTCATGGCCGATGAGTACGGTTGGGATGTTACCGATGCCCGTAAGATCTGGTGCTTCGGTCCTGAAACCACTGGTGCTAACCTTGTTGTTGACCAATCCAAGGCTGTTGCTTACTTGAGCGAAATCAAGGACTCTGTTGTTGCTGCCTTCCAATGGGCTACTAAGGAAGGTCCTATCTTTGAAGAGAATTTGCGTTCTTGCCGCTACAACATTCTTGATGTTGTTTTGCATGCTGATGCTATTCACCGTGGTGGTGGTCAAATCATTCCTACTGCTCGTCGTGTTGTCTACGCTTCTACCCTTTTGGCTCAACCTATTATTCAAGAGCCCGTTTTCTTGGTCGAAATCCAAGTTTCTGAAAGCGCTATGGGTGGTATCTACTCTGTTCTTAACAGAAAGCGTGGTCAAGTTTTCGCTGAAGAGCAACGTATTGGTACTCCCTTGTACAACATCAAGGCCTACCTTCCTGTCAACGAGTCCTTCGGTTTCACTGGTCAACTTCGTCAAGCTACTGGTGGTCAAGCTTTCCCTCAATTGGTGTTCGACCACTGGAGTCCTATGAGCGGTGATCCTACTGATCCTACTTCTAAGCCCGGTGCTATTGTTGCTGAAGCTCGTAAGCGTAAGGGTCTTAAGGATAATGTTCCTGATTACACTGAGTACTACGACCGTTTGTAAGAGGTATCCATTGAACAGACTAGGTTTGGGCTTGCGGGGAAAAATCTTATAATTATTTACGAAGATAGAGATTACGAGAAAGTAAGTTTTTCAGCGAAATAATAGTGTCGATATCGGATATTGAAATAATACCGGTGATTGTAAGCAGTAATAATCGACAGTAATAATTTAGTATGAGGATTAAGACATGGGGCTAAGGTTGCTGGTTGTAGCAGTTTGCAGTGAAAAAGCATAGCTACATTTGAGCTTGGAAACGCCAGCCAAAGTTTCAAGGACTCGGGTACTGCGAGCGTCTAGTTTATTGAAATCAGAGCTTTTACACAAAATGGAAAGTATACAGAGCACTACTAATTACACCTTACATAAAAAAATTTATAGACGAATAAAATGCCTCAGAAAGGACTCCCAAATTTTATTTAAATGTTAGAAGGGTAAAGCATGACTCTAAGGGAAGAGCCAAAGGTCTTGGCAGGCAAGTTATGAGAGAAACGAGCACGAACACAGCCAGAGTTACCATGAGCGCGAGCAATAGTACTAAATGTTTGTTAGTTATATGAAGGAAGGATAAGGACTAGAGAAGGAAGACTACTGAATACGGTTCCAGAGCTTTGAAAAAAAAGCCATATGAACTACAGTATCGATGACAGTCGATTACTTACCCCCAGATGACACGAATCTTAGAGCCGCGGATAGGCTTGGCACACTTGTAGACGTAGCAAACACGCTTGCCCAAGTAAAATTGAGCATTTTCCTTAGTGTCACATCCTTCGATCTTGACAATGGAAGTTCCAGGGTGGATGTGATGCTTGGAACGTTGGTGGGAAAGGTGCTTAGCCTTAACGTACAGTCTATGTCCTTGAGCAGGCATTTTGATGGTGATACGTCGGTGCTGAATGAATTTGAGTAGGGACGTTAGTTTCTGTATCGAAACTTTTTATGGCAGTCACAAAAAGGCAAACCCTACCCTATACGAAGGCGTGTGGAACTCCAGGTTAAAAGGAAATAGCGAGGTAAAAGGTAACAGCAATAGGTTGGTTGATGATGGGAAAGGAGATTTGTAGTCTGCGTATGTCTACGAATCCTGTCTTTTTGTGCAGGATGAATCAAGGTTTTGTAATATATAGTTATGTATCCGATGAAAAGTAAAATGCAATCATTGTTTATAATATCCGTACGGATTGTGTCGTTTATTTGAAGAAGAATCGGCTTCCTAATTGCAACGGCTCCGTATAGAATCTGTAAAATAGCGACTTCGGTGGCAGGGCGTTACATTCGTAGAAAGATAATCCCTAAATAAAAAAAAGAAGAATCACTGATTTGCATGGGAAATTATTCTTTTATCTCTTTCGTATTTTAGTGTAATATTTCCTCGGCTAGGAGCAGTGACTTCTAAGAGACAAAAGGCATCATTCTGCCACGAAATAATTATATGGAATATACATATGATCAAGTGGAATATCTTATTAACATGTCTAGTGCGAAGTTGACTTTCGTCTGGACTTTTATTTACTTATTAATTACTAGTAATGTCCTTTGGATAAACTAAACTAAAGGTGTACAAACAAGTTACTTCGTTCAGCCACCAAAATTTTTCTGACTGTAAATAATGCTGGAAGCACTTAGGCTAGAAACAGTCCTCCGCTCCAATCCTCCATATATAACCTTTTCATTGAATTGTAATGGCATGGGTTTTTTACATAGAATATCAGTGTTCTTCTGTTTGCTAATTCTGGTTTGGTTTCTTCAAGTAGTACTGTCATAATAGCTGGTTTGTTGAAATTATACGTATTACAGTAACGGGTAATATGAGGATATTGCTGAATATTAGAATACACTATAAGACTAAAGGATAATATGCAAATTAAACAAATTGGACAGGTTTCTGAGCGGAAGTTCTTTACAAAAAGAAACCGTTCCTTACAGAGAGTTAAATTATGCTAACGTTTTTAGTAAAGATGTATATACTCTTGTGTCTGCAGTCAGAATTTTGAGATTGGAAGATTCGACTGGTGTGGCTAAATAAGATCATCGAAACACTTCCAATTTAGTTAATCAGAGGACATTATTAGCGTCTATATATGTAGTACAACAGAATCCAATTAACGTAATCCTACAAATGTAATTATTACTTCCGCTCGATATTTATTCTCATAACCCGTAAGAATTACTAACTTGACAAGCATCACATATATATTCTATAGAATTATTCATATTAGAATATCGAAGTATTTCTTAATGTTCGGACTTTCCCTCCATGGCTTCGCCAATATGATCTAATATACCAGTGATGTTTATGGCTTTCTATGTAACTTGTACCAACTACAAGGATCGAGTTGAAACCAGGAAATCACGGTTGTACAGTGGTTTTTGAATAATTGACGGAACTTTATAAGAAAGTTCATTTTAATTTATCGTTTCTTAGTGAAGCGTACGTGTAATAGGTTAAACCATTTACCTCGGTGCAATTTATCTGCCCCGTTTTATAGTGTTTACCTTCGTAGAAAGATATCATTCTTTATTTCTATATTTTAATTCTTTTGACTCTATTTCTGCCAGCCTTTTTGTGTGTGTGTGTGTGTGTGCTTTCTTTTTCTTGAAAAGCAGTAAAGATGGAAGGGAACCAACCTTCAGCTGCGGAGCCTGTCATATCCCAATCTACGAAAGTTGTTTCGGAATCTCCTTCCTTGAACCATCAGGATAAAGTGGTTTCTACGGCTAAAGAGACGAGACCAGTTCCGCAAGTTCCTGGTAAAGAGCCGGGAGAGGTAAGTATTGATTTTTAGCGCTGTCGATGATCTTTTTTTGTTGTCGAAACGGCTTTATTTGTCCTCCAAGGGAGTTTGACGAACAAGCTTTTATTCATTATAACGACGTCTGACAGGGATTCTTCCGAATATTGTATTAACAATGGTTATAGGTTACATCAACCGTTAGAGATGCTGCTCCTACCAACTCTAGTCAGTCTTCAAGTCCTAGCTCTCCTTCCAATGTGATGAAGGGAGTACCAGCGGAATCTAGAGCTCCGCAAGCACTCCCACATACAAGTTCATCAGCTACCACTGACCGCAAAGAGCCTGCAGCTCAAAATCCTGTGAGTACTTCTCCAAAGGTTAAGAAGCCGGATGAGCCTACCGGACAATCTGCTCAAATGCCCGCTAGTCACCCTTTAGAGGCTACGAATCCCCAAAAGGAAGAACCGGATGCTCTTATTGGTTGGAGATCTTTGCATAAGACAAGCGTAGAACAAATGCGTACATTTGTTCAGGATGCTTTGTCTGTGTTTGAATGGGATAGCGGTCGTGTAGAGCGCTCCGTTTTGGACATGTATTTACCTGGTAAATTAAATGGTCAATGGTGGCAAAGCTCACTGATTTTGGCTTCTATTTCCGTTCTAAGTTGGTTGGCTTCCAAATTTTTCTTCTGTCGCTGGCAAATTCTTATCATCATCATTTTCCTCAGCACCTTTGTTTATGGCTCTAATGCTATAGCCCTTCGTCGTACGGTTCGTGATGAAGTCATCCGTGAGATGATGAAGAATCCCACTAATGTTGATTACGAAACTATGGATTGGTTTAACGTTATTTTCCAGCGTCTTTGGATGTTAAATGAACCAATGATTTCCCGTATGATAGTGACTAATGTTGAGCAATCCGTCGCTGAATATCTTCCATCCTTCGTCCCAGAAGTTCGCTTTTCTTCTTTCACACTAGGTTCAAAGGCTCCTCGTATTGATGGAATTCGAACCCACCTTGCCACTGAGCCGAATGTGGTTTTAATGGACGTTGATTTTAGCTATACTCCTAACGATACTTTGGATATTTCTGGTGCTTCTTCTTGCCGTGTAAATTCAGCCGTTTCTCTTCGTGTGAAGGTTGGTAAAGGAAAGTTTATGTTTACTCTTCCTGTTTCTACCAAAGATATTTTCGTGTCAGGACAAATTCGTCTTCGCTGCAAGTTGTCTGAGGAGTTCCCATTTATAAAGACGGCTTCGGTCTGTCTTTTAAGCACTCCAAAACTTTCCGCTACTGTTCGTCCATTTGACTTTAGCTTATTCGATGCTGATGTTTTCTACATACCTGGATTTAATCAATTTTTGCATGAGCAAATGACGACGATCTTGTCTCCTCTAGCTATGTGGCCAAATATGCTTGATTTGGACCTTTCTTCTCTTATGGCTGGTATTGCTCCTTTTGCTCCTGCAGGTGTAATAGCTATCAAGGTCTACTCTGCTCGTCGAAACGAATATCTTAAGTCTAAGACTACCAAACCTTCTTCTTATGTTGCAGCTTTAACTAATGGCTATGAACATGGACGTTCTCCTGTTCGGGCTAACACTTACACACCTATATTTGAACATACGATATATGCTGTTGTTTCCTCATTTAATGATCCACTTGAGTTGTCTTTGTTTGATCCTGAAAGTGCTAGTTTACCTTTCGGTACTACTTACATTAATACTCGCTCTCTTGTTGAGAAGGGTTTTATTAGTGATATACAGCCGTTATTGTTTAATGCTGTAAATCAAGGATCTGTTGCTTATGATGCTACCTTTTTCCCTTCTCTTTTCCCAAAAAAGACGTTGGATGGTAATTTAATTGAACCACCTGCTACGCCTAAAGGTATTTTGCAATTGTCACTTGGTTGCATTAACAATATTGTCGAGCTTTCCGGTCTTGAAAAGAAAACACAATTGATATATAGCGTTTCTGTTGATTCTAAAGAAATCGGATCTAAAACGTCGAAATTTGTTGACCGTGCCCCTATCAATTTGTCTGCGACGACTTTTATTCAAAATCGTGAAACTCAAAAAATACAGATCACTGTTTCTAAGAAAATAAAAAAGGAGCCTAACCAGCTTATAGGAAGTATGGTGATTCCGCTTAATAAACTACTTGAGGCTAATCAATCAACTTATCCATTCAAAGAAAAGCCTTCCTCTAGTATGGATATTTCATCTTCTTGGATTCCCGTAAATGTTACGGAAGAAAAGAACGCTGAATCATACCTTAAGGATCTCATTGGTGTTATGCGTATTAGTACCATAAAGGCGAACAACTGCGTCAGTAGCGATTTTGCTTTGAAGAAAAATGATCCCTATGTTAGAGTACTTGTTAACGGTTCAGTTGTTGGAAGAACCGTTCATGCTTTGAATAATACAAACCCTATTTGGAATGAAGTTTTGTACGCACCTGTTTTGGCAGATACCGATGTAATTGAACTTGAAGTTATGGATCATGAGGATTCTGGACACGATAAGTCCTTAGGGTTTGTTGAAATTCCAGTTAAAAGCTTCAAAGACGCTTCCAGAAAGACAGAGAAAACTGCATTGGCTAACCAAATCTTTGGCACTGATGACATTGAGACACTGAAGTTGATTTCCCGTAAGGGAGGCTCAACGCGTATAACTCTGACAGTCAACTGTGATTTCCGTCCTTGTCTAAGGATTGCTTCGGATGATGAACCGACTAGTAAGGGAGAAGGGAACAAGGCTGCTGTCACCGAATCTGTTAATGATAAAGCCGAGACGTCTAGTATAACCTCGTTAATCAGTGTTAGTGAAGCCTGCAAGTATCCCTCTGGTCTTTCTATGATGTCGGTTAGGTCGGCTGAACTTCAAGCAGAGGGCGTTGAATTAAGAATTTTCACTGATAACTGCGCCTTCCCATTCTTGACAACTGGAATAGCCAGGAGCAAAACACCTCGCTGGTCTGCTTTTGGATTATCTATGATTAGAGAGCTTGAATATTCTGAAACAACATTTCAGTTGACTGATGGTTCGTCCAAAGATCCACACATTATTGCTGAACATACCGAGAAAACGTCTAAACTTATTAGCGAATCTTTGGGTCATGTATATGCAGTCGATATTCAAGGGCCGAATGGTAAAATAAACAGAGTTCGTATCTCGATGAATTATCTTCCAGTACCTATGCTATTGAACCCAGTTGAAAGCTTTATCAACACAGGATCATTGCATTTTAACTTGTATAACGGAAAGGATCTTCCCGTAGGTGACATTCGATCCTCGGATCCTTACGTGGTATTGAAGATGAACAATGAGGAAGTTTACAAGAGTAAGGTCATTAAGAAAAATTTGAATCCTGTTTGGGATGAAGAAACCGATGTAATAATTCAAAACCGCTTGTTGGATACGTTTGATTTAATTTGCTATGACTGGGATCTGGGTGAGGCCGCTGATGTTTTAGGCAGTCATCATATAGACCTGAATTCATTGGAGCCGAATGTTCAATCTCAAAGTGAATTAAACCTTGAAGGTAAACGAGGAAAAATTAATGTTGGTTTAAGATTTGAACCTGGTTGGTATCGAAGATCTCCTGAATTGCATGGTTCTCTTCCCGATAATTTCTTTTCCGTTGCTAATAAAGGTGCCAAATTCTTAATAGGAGGTATTGGAGCTGCTGGTGGTTTTGCCATAAATGGTGTTGGTTCTGCTGGTGATCTTGCCTTAAACGGTGTTGGTTCTGCTGGTGGTCTTGCCTTAAACGGTGTTGGTGCTGCTGGTGATTTGGGTGGTAAAGCTGTATCTGGATTTACCGATACAGGAAAGAATTTATTTAAGGGTGTTACTGGAAAAGGCCCTAAATCTGCTCGAAACAATGAGCAAATTGATGCTATGAGCACCCAAACTGCTTCATCCGTTGCGCCAAGATCATCATCAGCTGCTACTATACCTACTACAGCTGGCAAGCAAGAGCTCTCAAAATTCAGACTCTTTGTTACAAATGGTAGTGATTGCCCCCATAAGCTTGTGAAGGTTGTAATCACCGATAAACAAGGTCGTACATTCAAGACAAGGTCACACAAAGGTCCTTCTCCTAAGTGGAATGAACAAATACCGATTGGATGGAATCTTGGTGATGTACTTCATGTTTCTTTAATATCCTCGAACTTAATTGGACACAGTAAATTTGGTGAAGCTACTTTTAGTGAAACTGCTGTAGGTACTTTCAAAGTTCCGTTTGAAGGTTCTACTACTTCTGTGGAGATGAGAGTGGAAGCTGTATGATTTATAATTAACATCTGAATTTTATTAAACAACTTTTTGTAGCATCAACGATTTGCTATGTTATTATTGCTTACACAGCATATTGATTATCTAATTGCTAACATAGAATAAAATGCAACTTCTTAAAGTAGAAAAAAAAAATAACTCTATTTGTAAAATTAAAAATCGTAAAATACCCAGAATAACCAAACTGTAAGACATGAATAAAAAAAATGCAAAGTACAATACATTTAAGCAATAACTTAATTATAAATTTTGAATATAATCTTCCGCCCTCTTCCCTTCTTTAAGAAGCCATTCAATCTGGCGTTCACATTCCTCTTCGAAAGCTTTAGCACATCTAGCATACTGATATTTAATCCAATTCTCTACTGTCATATTTAATTCTTCTTCCGTCAGATCCTCCGATTCACGACGTTTGTTTGCAGGGGTTTCCAAAAGGCTAGAAAAATCAACTGGTTCCCATGGCGGAAGCGAAGGCTTTATAGACGGTGGAGCAGGTTTGGTCCTCATCGGTGTACGAGGAGCCAGAAAAGAAGATTGCGAAAGAGGATCGAACGGGCTTTTTGAAATATCATCAGGGAAGTGCTTTGATGGAGAAGCAGAAAATTCGGGAAGTTCGTCTAAATGGTGATGACCTTTTGGAGTGCTATGCAAAGAATGTTGGACTTCATATATATCTGATTCCCCGGGGGAATTTTGTAATGGAGTCTTAGAATTCCCTAAAGAACCTACTGCTTCCTTCGAACCTACACTCTCGTTTTCTTCCGTTTTGAAAAGATTGTTTGATAGTTCGCTATTTGCATTAGTGGGTTTGTGTTCTTCGCTTCTAACCTCAGAACTCGATCCTTCCAATTCCTTCTCAGAGGGTCCCAAGCTTTTGGAAAAGGCATTTTCTGAATCATGGAATATCTCCTCATTGGTAGGTGAGTTCGTGTTTACGTCCATTCGAGTATCCTTCCTTAGTGTCTGTTCTTCATCTTCTTTTGAACTTGATAAAGTCTCGGTTTGCGTATCCAATAAACCTCTGCTTTCACTCAGTAATGGATCCTCTGATATAGTAGAAGGCCGTTTTAAAGCGGTTCTCTCTATATTTGTCAGATTTCGAAGCGGTTTGGAATCCTGATAGTCTCCTTTGATCTCTGAATGTTTAGTTTCACTTGAACATCGTTGACGCGAATCCTGTTTAGGAGTTGAATTTATCAATGGATCGGAATTCATTGTTTTATTGTTATTGTTTTTCAAAATTTCATCTTTGGTTGGAGTGATCGAAGACGCGGTTAAGGTATCTGATTCAAGTGCAGAATCTCTATCAAAATCTGAAGTTGGAGTATGTACAGCCTCAAGACTAGAGGACGAATTGTCCTTCAAAGACGAAACGGAATGCTTTTCACTTCTATTTTTCGAAATCTCTGGACTTACATCTTTTCCCTCTGTCAATACCTTGTGCTTAGGAGATTGAAGCAATTTGGCTAAAGGTTCATCGTCACTAGTTATAAAGGAAGAGGCGTGTTTATTGATCGAAGGATTTTGAGGAAAATCTTCGAAAATACTTGTTTCCGCAGAAAAGGCTTCTACTTCTGATTCACTAGAGGCTAGCTGGTTTTTCGTATCATTAGCTGTTGTGCTTTCAGTAGACAGCTGTCGTTTTACGGTTGGAAGAGTAAGTTCGGGGACAGTATCCATCTGCTGCTGATGAGAAACATCTTCAATTTCAGATGATTTCCTTTTTTTAGATGTCTGAAAGCTTTCTTCTGGGTATTTGGAATTAACGATCGTTTCAGCGGGAAAAGTGATGTTTGATAAGCTCATAGTAGGGGTATTCGTAGGTTCAGCATAATTGGAATAATTTACAGAGTTTTCTTTGCTATTTGATTCACCGGCATCTTCTTGGATAGGGGGTAGAGCGGTAGCCACAGGAGAATGAATTGAATGGTAACTTTCATCAGTTCTATTAGGTGAAGGAGGAGTTGAAAGGGGTAAAGTAGAGTTAAAGGGAAAATTGGAGCCGTTGGGAAGGATGTGTGATGAATCTTCTTGTTGTTGGTTATGTTTTTTAGGAGTGTTCGTAGAAAATTTGGGAGGGCTTGATCTGAAATCAGGCTGTTCGTCTTCGTCTTCATCAGAGAATATAGGCCTAGCTGGTTTGAACACTGCATCTTTTGACTTTCTCCTCAACTGCTTCCCTCTTCGTCTAGGAGAAGTAACTACAGCAGGCTTTGATGGGGATGAGCCATGATTTTCAGACTGTACGAGAGAAGAGTCGTGATTAGAATTGGAGTATAAAGAAAAGGGATGAGATTGGCTTAGAGAGGAGATTCTCCTTCGGGGAGAAGTTTTTGATTCGTTTGCCATTTTGGAAGGATTTTTTTCTGACGAATTAGAAACAAGCTCAGATACGGAAACATCTTCCAGATCAACATTTGATGAAGAAAACAAGGAAAGCTTGGTTGGAGAGAGCGCCGTCGGGTCTGTCCACGTAAAAAACAAACAATCAGGACGTCGACGTTGATGCTCTTTAAAAGGATCATCATCGGGCTCCCAGTCATGAAGGTCAATATTACAGTACAAGCAATGCGCTGCATCCTTGGAGTCTGTACTAGGAGTAAAAACGAAGCCAGCTGCAGCCATCGTATTCGGCTGGCAATGGAAATCTGAACGATTGATATATGGCCATACTTTATCAACAAACGTCAGTTCTCTACACTTCGTTAAAGAAGGAGCCCTTGGATCCTGATGAGGATTATTTCGAGCCGACAAAACGTAAGCCCATGGGCAACTCGGACTATGTGTTATGTGCTCTTTTAAAGGATCATCATTTTCTTCCCAGTCATAAAAAGACTTTGAACACATGAAGCATGTCACATTGTCGAGCCTTTGTTGGGGCCTTTGAATTGGATTGTAGTAGAATCCAACGGCAGACAGCTAATTATAGCTATGTTAGTATACGAAAGACCATGGATGCTATCATGTGGAAGCATTTTCTCACATACTTTTTCTGGATTCGGCGAACTAAGTGACCATGAGATTTTCTTGAATGTTTCGAGTCTTTTGGAAACATTACACATTTCCTTACGATGCCTACTCCATCTTCGTTTAGATGATGGTTCTACAGGCTTCATCACGGACAAATAATGCAATGAATGAATAAAAACAAATGATCCTTAACCTTTTGTCGATCCTGCTAAAAACAAAACCCAGTAAAACCGTAGAAGCAACGCCTCAATAATTAATTCTAAATTATACAAAGCTTCTCATAAAGCGAAAATTTATCCCAAGAAATTTAGTTCGATCTTGTATTGTTTACGTCCAACTGAGTAAGGAAAGTAATGCAAATACGGTATTGGCTTATGTATCGTTATTGAGACAACACCGATGCTCTTGAATCTGTATTAGTTTTCGACGTTTAGGTACTTCAGGTCGTTATACGTTAATAAACATATGCTTGCTGTAACCGTGCGATCTCATGGTAGAAAATTTGGAATGACAAGGATTCATGTTGCATTTCTATTGAGCTTTACCTTCCTCTTCCGTTGATTACAATTAGTTCTTGTAAAAAGATTTTGCTACACCTTCAAAAATTGGTTGGCAAATTTGCATCTAATTTATAAACAATCATTATCGTCATTCATGGTATTTTACTTTTCTTGAAAGTAATACGAAAATTAAGTATCTTTCGCGCAAAAAGTCAAAAGGAATAAATACCCTTTTGCTTTATCGTCGAAACAGGCAAATTAGGCTGCTAAAAGATGATAGCACGACGATCCATTACTTCAGTTATACAAACAAGAAATAGAATACGCACAAAACAAACATGGAATTAGTAAATGAGGAAAAAGAAAGAAAACAAAACAAACTTAAGAAAAAAAATACACAATTCCTCAACACCGTTCAGAATGCCAAGTCATTACATGGGCATATCTTCGCCTTTATTCTCAAAGTTGAAGTTGCTAGTCGGCAACTCACTAGATCCAAAAGTGAATGTGTCCCCTGCAACATCAGGTTCTAGATCCTCAACAACATCTTCTTCTCCAAAATACCTTTCAATGATGTTATATGCCTTCTGATATATTTCCGCATTTGCAGAATTTTGCAATTCGTAGATAAGGTCCATACCGCCAGCATCCTCAATATAAACAGCGTATAAGTTAATCTTGTCGGGATTCTCGGCTCGATCAAGCTCGCCAACGCGAAGTATGTTTTCAATTCCGTCTAAAGCAACTTGAATAATCTTATTATCCTGACAAGCAAGTAGATTACACAAGGGCTTGATAGCACCTTGAGAAACGATATATCGAATTTGACTTGGTTGATTTATACCACCAGAGGTAGCGTTGGAGACAGCCCAGCAGGCTTCTTTCTGAATCTTGAAATCAGCTGTTGCGAGAAGGTTGATCAAGGGAGGAATAATGTTGGCTTCAATGACATACTGAATTTGTGAGGCATTGCCTGCTGTAATGTTACTTATTGTCCAGCAGGCCTCCTTACGGATACCATCACGAGGATGGCTGAGCAATGACAATAGAGCACTTAGAGCACCACAATTAATGATGACTTGTGTTTGAAGATCATCACCAGTGACGATGTTACCGACAGAGCGAAGAGCGGGAGTCTGGATTTGAGGGTTAGGATGCATTAAAAGCTCAACTAACCTTCTAGGGATTCCTGCATCTATAATTGCTTGAATTTTTTCATTGGGCCCGTCCGATAAATAAGAAATAGCCCAAAGGGCATCTACTATAACATCATCATCAAGTGAATATATTAATTTCGACAAAACTGGGATTACGCAAGAGATTACATTCCAGTCTGGTTGAGGGTTTTTACCACGGCACATATTCGATAAGGTCCAAGTACAGTTGCGAAGCATACTAAGACGCTTACAAGATCCAATGACGGCTAGCAAAGGTTCCAAAACTCCGCACTGAAGGACGTGATCACGGCACATGGGTGAATCACCAGCAATGTTACCAAGAGCCCAAACAGCTTGCTCGCGAACATCCTTTTCAGGAGATGAAAGTAAACTGACAAAAATGGGAACGGCACCAGAATTTACAACGGTATGAGTCTGATCTGAAGACCCGCTTGCAATGTTGGTTAACGCCCAGGAAGCCTCAAACTTGAGTAAATTATTTTCGTGTCCCAAGAATTCTACAAAACGGGGCACAACACCAGTGTTGATGACCTTTTGAATAGGTGGGTCATGCTCTTTCGATAAAGCTTTACGAAACTTGGTAGTAGCCTGGATTTGTATTTCAATATCATCGGTATACAAAGCTCTTACCATGTTAGGCAACTGTAAATCCAACTCGGAGTCATTTTCCTTTTCATTTACTATGGGCGTAACTTCTTCAGTAGGCTCTTCAACTACATCTGCTAAATTACGACGCTTGTTCAGATTCTCTTCGCGCTTTTGTTTACGAATTTCAATTTGCTGCGTTTCACGTCGGCGACGCAACTCATCAGCTTGAAAAGCTCCTTTTCCTTTGTAATTTTGTCTCCTATGTTCAGGAATAAAACGAGAAGGCGTACTCATGTTCAATTCCAGATTTCCCTATATTCTTTCTGGATGGAAGTGGTAAAAGGCTGGGCCAGCTAAAGGTACGAAATGTGAAGCGTTCTTTCGAAAAGGGAAAAATGATAGTCGTAAATAAAATATTTAAGTTTAAATCAGAAAAATGTACAAAAATGCTTTCTATTACTATATTTTCGTGTTTTTAAAATAGTCTGATTTTGTCTGTTTTTGGAAACATGAAAATATAAAATGCAAATATTGATGAATGAGATTTATATTTCTTATTAAAATTATATAGTAAATTAATTCATTTGGGACTCAAACCACTTAAAGGAGAATTCCAAGATTAACATAAGACAAGCTTCTTATAAGACACCTTCAGCAAGGTTGATGTGCTAGCTTCGTGACAAATATAGTGTTTTTTGTAAGAGGAAATGAAATGTATATAGGTTATTGTTGAAGAAATTGAGATATTTATCCATCCCTTTATACTTTATACTTTGTAACTTTAGTCTGCTTTTGAACTAGTAGCACATAGTGTATACAAACAAGAGCTTAGTTGAGGTAAATGTACTATAGTATTAACTATCGATTGAGATTCTATCTTTTCTTGTTTCAACGTTAATCTTTAAAAGTGAGAAATTTAGAATCTGCCATGTCTGACAAAACTGATCTCAAAACTCAAGATTGCAAAAGAAAAAGAATTTCGGCTGTAGCAATTAGTAAGATAATATTAAATCTTGCAACCTCTACTTTTTACCTCTCACACTTTGATATGCGAGAAGGAATCTTTCAACATACATATAAAATAAATAGAAAGAACAAAGGTATTCTTCTGGACAGCCAGATAAATATTTTAGCAATCAAAGCCAACGAAAGTAGTTAACAAGAGAAAGAAAACTGCCATCCTGATATCTAATCTCATTATACACTCATGTTGCGTTATGAGGAATGAAATCGAAAGTGAGTCCTATGTCGACTGTTGCATTCCTTGCTTATTCCTAAATATATGACTCATATTTATTGGGATACTGCTTTTTAAAGCACTAATTTCATGTCGTAATGTGGAATATCGTCCTCAAGATAGCTATCACTTTGAATCATAAATCCAAAAGATTGGTAAAACGCTTTCAAATAAGCTTGGGCCTGAATATTTACGACTTTTGCTTCTGGGTATTTACCTCTACCGGCAGCTAAAGCTTCTTCACAAATCCTGCGTCCATAGCCATATCCCCGCGCGTCAGGTGAAACGACAAGCCGTCCAATTCGAAACCCATTGGGTTCAGATATTACTCTAGCATAAGCAAGAATTTTATCCTCTTCATTTTTAAGCATCAAGTGGTCAGATATCAAGTCCACTTCATCCACATCTTGGTAAGGACAATGTTGTTCCACAACAAACACTGCCGTCCTTAAATAGTATATAGAGAACAACTCTTTAGGAGTTAGTTGATCAAATGGTTTCAGGACCAGCAGCATTGTGTGATAACCCAAAATATGGATTTCCGGCTTCCTTTTTCAATCAATCAGTTTAATACTACTGTCCCCAATTCCTTTTGTATTGCCAAATACGGTGCTTTGTGCTCCAAGGTCATATACTACCTTACGGGATTCTAAGCTTGTTTCTTAATACGAATAGAGCACGCAAAATAGCTGTGTATCGCTACGTTAAAGTTTATAGAAAAGTTTCCTTGTTCATGTGACTGTTTTCTCGAGAGAAACCATTTTGATGAAGGGTCAAGTTCAGGAACTTGATATAAACCAGTTACATACCACAATGTCGGAACACGGAGAACAAGTTGAAGCTGAGCAAGTTGACGTTGTTGAACAAGTTGAAGAACAAACTGCTGCTCCCGAAGTTTCTGTTGAAGATGCTTTGAAGGAAGTTTTGAAGCGTGCCCTTGTTCACGACGGTCTTGCCCGTGGTATCCGTGAGGCCTCTAAGGCTCTTGACCGTCGTCAAGCTCACCTTTGCGTCCTTTGCGAGTCTTGCGACCAAGAGGCTTACGTCAAGCTTGTTGAGGCCCTTTGTGCTGAATCTGAAACTCCTTTGATCAAGGTCGCTGATCCCAAGGTTTTGGGTGAATGGGCTGGTCTCTGTGTCCTTGACCGTGATGGCAATGCCCGTAAGGTCGTCGGCTGCTCTTGTATTGCCGTTACTGTAAGTTTATTGATAGAAGAAGCAGTGCCAAGTGGTGTTGCTCTTTAAACTTGTGTTTTTACGTTTTCTAAAGACTAACGAAATTTAGGACTATGGTGAGGACTCCGCTGCTCTTCAAAAGCTTTTGGGTAGCTTCTCTGCTTAAAAACTGTTTCATAATAAATATGAAAAGGCAATATAGCGCTCGTTCATTCTCTATTATTGTAGATTATCTTTGTTTCGTAAGCACGAATACGGTTATGGATGAAGGCCGCCAGTCATAGGTTCAGAAAACTGATATTTTCTGTTTTGAAATCCAATGAAGCGAACCGAGGTAGTGTGTTCAAGTAGAAGTCGTATGGACTAGCTCAAAAAGAAATGATTTGTCACAGGTAATCCTCTAGAAATGCCATCTCATCCGTATAAATAAGTCTACAATGGTGTAATTGCTGTATGAGTATATATGTCATAAGAATCCGATCTCAAGATTTTTTTTATAATTCATGCATTCAGTGATGTGAATATATGCAATATTGAAGAGGGCTTTGCAACTAATTTCAATGATCCATTGGATATTTTTGGTCAGGTGCACTTGCCCTTTTCATATATTGAGAAATCCCAATGGCCTTTTATATTTAGCATTGACAAGTATCTTTCTTCCCAATAGTTATTTCTGCTTTTCTCTGTAGCTAATAGTCTTAATAATCCTTTAGAAATAATCATTTACGGGTTCATTCCCCATTCATCCTTTCATTTTTTTTTTGGAATTTCTTTGCTGATTGAATTCAGTTCTTAATGGGCGTTCCCCGTTTAGGTCGATTTCTGGAGCCGTTTGGGAAACTTATTCATTATCAAGTCCATCCTCCTGTCTCTCCTGGCAATATAGTTATAGACGGACCTGCATTTGCTTACTGGCTTTGGTTTGCTGTCTCTATTTCACCTTCAAATTATCGCTCGTTTCAAGATGCTATCCTCAGTTTCCACCAATTTCTGTTAAGCTTGGGATTTCTTGATATGTATGTCACCAAATTCTTTGAGTCTTCTCAATTCCTTTTTGATTGTGATCACAAAATTGGTTGCTAACCATAATAGAGAATATGTATTTGATGGTGGACTCCCTTATTCTAAACATCAGACTCGAAAAGCAAGATATCAACAAAATATCTCAGATCCCATGGATGCTTATGTTCACCTTTGTGTTCCGATTGCACATCATGTCCTTAAAGGAATTGCGGGCGCAAACGTTGTCGTTTGTAATCAAGAAGCTGATAAGTATTGTGCAATTCAAGCCAGACAATTAGATGGTATTGTACTCAGCCAGGATTCGGATTTGCTTCTCTATAATCTAGAAGCCCCTCATACTGGTTATGTGCCTTTACATTCAATTTCAATTACTTCTGATGGCTTACATGGGAAGCTGTATAACTTTCAGGAAATAAAAAGGCATTTTTCATTTGATATCCATTTACTAGCGGCTTACCTGGGAGTCGAAGGCCATCCGGAAGACCAAGTCATCGATTACAACAGCAGTTTTCAACAGATTTGTAAAGTACTTGAAGAAAATGTGAAAAGTGGGACTCTGGAAAAGCTCGTTTCAGCACAGGAATTACGCCGTGTTCACAAATTCTATTCATTAGATGATGTTAGTTTATCTTCTTCTCAGTTAAATGATTTTATGTGGGGAAGAGTGCAAGAACTTTTACATTCTACGTTAGAGCCTCCGGAGATGTGGCTTCCTCAGTTGCCTGAATTACCAGCTCGTCCTTGTAGTTGGACTGAGAACGCACCTCTCAGGCTGCAGGCGTATGCAAACTTCTTTTCCAAAGAAAAATCAAAAGCATATGTGCTAGAGTACTTTCGGAATCACGGACAGCTTAGCAAAAAACTCGTATCTATTAATTTTGACTATGCTTCGGTCATAGATACAATGCAGAACAAGTTTGCTAGTTGGCCTCTTCAGCATCGATTTGTCTTGTGGACTCTAAGGTGCCTTAAAAATCTTACAAATGTTACTGCTACCAGCTTTCTATTGATGCACGCTAGTCTCTACCTAAATACACCTTTACGTTTGCAGTTTGTTACACCAACTCAAGAAGGCATCGCACTAGTTTCACGTTATATTGCTACGAGCTACTCATTGTGTATGTTAATATTTAGTGAATTTGATAAAGACCGATCCATCGACCTTCGAAGTCTCTCGTCCTTCAGTCCTCTTTCGAGCACTGTTAACTTTCGTTTATTCCACGAAGCAATGAGCAAACTGAAAACAGGAAAGAGTCCATTAAGTATTGTTTCAGACAAAGCCACTGCTGAACTGACTTACAGATTGTATAAAGACCTTCTCGCAGACTATAAGGATATGGAAATAGTTATCAATATTTGGAACACAGAGATCATTAAAAAGAAACGTAAAAAATAAAATAAATATATTGATTATCACAAACAACACCATTAATCACCTTTCTTTTCTTTAAAAAGACTAGTTATACACGTCAATGCCAAACAAAAACCATTATCTTTTCGAAATTCTGTAAAACTGTATGTTGGTATTAATTCCTTTAAGGATTAGGAGGAGATGTGCCTGGAGGCATGGGCATCCCAGGAGGTGCGCCAAAGGGAATAGACTGGGGCATCCCAGGAGCATTTGCTACTCCTGGTGCACCTGGTAACGGCATGCCTGGAGGAGCCGCATAAGCAGAAAATGCAGAAGGCATACCTTGCGGAGGAGCCATTCCTGGTGGAAGCATAGGAGGCTGTGGGAGATTCATCATAGGAGTAGCCAACATATCCGGTGCTGTACTGGCTGTTGGTAGTCCAGGGGGAGCAGTCGCAGGAACAGGTGCGGGAGGAAGACCAGGAGGCATGCCGGGAATGGGTACACCCGGAAGATTTGAATCGGATACAACTGGTTGGGTATTCTGTTGCCAAGGGGGCAACCCACCAGTTGATGTGGAAGAGGCAGGCTGAGCAGGTACCGCTTGTTGCCAAGGAGCAGGAGCAGGAGTAGAAGCAACGCTCGGGGTAGCTTTCGCCCAAGGAGCAGGACTAGAAGATTCTGATGATGGCCCTGTGTTGGCAGCCCATGGGGGTGGTGCAGCTGAGTTTGTGGTGGAAGTTTCAGTATATTCCAAAGCGTGTTGGCCAGCAGAGGAAGTAATAGAGCCACCACCCAATTCTTGCATGAGGCTTTGATACTCACGGTCAGCCGCGGCATCACCTACGGGAGGCTGGTTCTTTACAGGACAATCCCGTGCAATATGGCCTGCGTTTCCACAGTGTCTGCAAACAATATTTAGGGTATGATTAATTCGTTCGGGACAGTCATAACGACGATGACCAACATTACCACAGTTTTGACAAACCTGATTCTCGTCATCTCGGAGAGTACCATTGAGAGTGGCCAGTTGACGGAGTTGATTTCTCTTTAGATCATTCTGACCTTCAGGAGTGGAAGCAGCAGTTTGAATCACAATATCGATTAGTCGAATGGCAAGACTAATTTTATCTTCTGAATCGGCGCTCACAAGACAATGAAGGTCTTCTTCCATATTGCCGCGTACAGATGGATCGCTTTTACCTTTTCCTTCTTTGACACTTCCTTTACCACGAATTGCAATTTTGGCACCTGATTTCGACTCCATGTCTTTCAATGTATGACCACGAGGACCGATTAAAAGACCAATGAAGTTGATTTCAGGGTAATCTTGCACAGGAACGTAAACCTTTTCTTGTGTTTTTGCTGGGCGGCGATAATCGCTAGGAGCCTTAAAATTGGGAACAGTCTTCATAGCCTTTTCGATAATATGATGACGCTCGTCCTCTAGCTTTTTCTTGTAGCGAATTTCTCTTGTATTCAATCGACGACCATGGTTGTCGTATTGAGGAGGAGGAGAAGGAGATCGTTCTCTATCACGAGGAACAACGTTTCCTGTACGAAGTTTTTGGGTGATTTCTTCAAGTCGTACATTCATAGCAAACATTTCCACTTGTTCATTCGTCATACAAGATTGAATACTTAGTTCTAATTCCATTTGAGAAGGCAACATTTCATCAATAGGAGTCGGTTTGCCCCAATAATGTCTTCTGTAAGAATGGCGTCCACGATCTTCAGGATATCGATTTTCATTTCGACGATAGGAAGATTCTGATTGATCAGCTTGATCAAATCTGCTTGTAGAGCTTACAGAATCAGGCAATGGCGGCAAGGAGTCGGGTCCTTGATCAAACCGCCTCCGACCAAGAGGAACATTGTTAGATCCTGTATATGTTAGCAATGTAAGCTGTTTCATTCTTTTTCTTCTTACCTGTAGACCCCATAGATCTCGCTTTCAGCATTTTGAAGGGGTTCTGTTTTGTGAACACGAGAGTGGTAGAGGAAGAAATTGGGTGTCGGAGGAGGCAACATGAAAGGACACCAACCTTCATACATGGAAGCAACCATTTTCTATTTGGAATGAATTCATTCGTAAAATAGTATCTATATAACTCTATCTCAACTTATATATCATGAATAGTTTGCTTTTGGGCCATGAAACCAAGAAATTTTCATTGTAAGGAGGCCATACAAAAAGATGCCATGACCATCGAGATGGTTATCTTCCATATAAAAGAATCGCTAGAAACAAAAATGACATTAGAAAACAACATCATTAATTCATACGAGAGCCATTTATGATCCTCTTTTAAGATCTTAGAAATGCATATTTGCTTACTACTGAAGCCTTTCGTAGTACTTAATCCTATTTCGTGGGATTTGTTAATAAATATTTACAAGGCAGGCACACATATGGAAAAACAGAATCATCTAAGAAACTCACAAAGATTCGTGCAAACGATCTCAGCCGTAAGATTCATTTCGTTTTTATATGCATACATAGGTTCCAAAGGTCATCATCCTATGGTCGGATCCTTTATGGTACATTACTGCAAAGATGGAAGAGAGCACTGCTCGCTTGTATTCACCGAATTCTTTTCCTAAACAATTCCTTCTTTATCATTTGGTATTTTTTAGTAATAAATGTGGTATAGACAAAAAAAAGGTACTTACAGTAGATCCTCGTTAGCACGATTTTCTTTGGCTGATGCACTAGATCTCTGGAAAAAAGTCTATCTGAAGTGTTAATTAGGATATAGAAAACGAAATCTAAAAAAAATAAATGTTCGAAAAGACCCTTGATCGAAAACATGAACTCTACAGTGTTCTTGTAGCTAGGAACTTGCCAGTCAATTTCGCAAAAGTTTTCCAGCAGCTAGCTGTCTAGTTGGTTCTGAGAAGCCTTATTTCTTCTTCAAAGGGATAATCGTAAAAGTAGCTTCGTTTCTTCTTTCTATAAGATCCAATTCTGTTTATTTACTATTATACCGCACTTTAGCATAATTGAAATAAAAAATCGTTACTAGTAGTATAGGAGCAGAAAAAACAGAATTCCTCGAAACCGAACGATAGAGAGAAGAAAAGAAAAAGAAAAAACTTAAAGAGAATTCAATTTGCCAACTACCATCCTCCCAATTGCATTTCCCCATTGTCGACCCATTCTCTCAACAGGAAGCCTTTTACCTGTTTTGATCAACTGGTGTGAAAAACAATTCTAGCTAAATTTGAAACTTTTTGAACATCCTAGAAAAACGAATAGCTCTTGACGCTCTGTACAATAGACTCCAGGTACTTACGAACATCTGTATATATAGAAACTTGGACATTTGAGAACTGTTTTTGTTTTTTTTTAGACGCTTTTCTGTTTGATTCCCTTTTTGTCAAATCTTAAAAATCACGAAACATGCCCATTTCTAGTCATTCTCACAGTGGACAGTAAGGGCCACCATAATGCGTTGTCAAGGTATTAACGGATCCAGATTTTGTTTACACGCTCAAGGAACCCTAGAACAGGTTATCCAGGAAGCTATACGACAGGGATTCCACACGTTTTCATTCACTGAGCATTGTCCTCGAAAGTATGCTGAGGATTTATATCCAGAAGAAGTGAGTATTCCATTCTTTTAAGCTTCATACCTGAATTCTCTTTTCTTTCCCGCCTCCTTTCTTTCTTCTAGATAAAAAAGAGCCAGAAACGAAACGGATTCATTTGACATATCTCAGAAAAAAGAAACGGAACTAACCAATCGAAATGTAGTCTCATTTAACTCCTCAAGATTTGTTTAACACATTTGATGACTATGTCCGTACTGCTAAAAGCCTACGAGAAAAATACGCAGACAAGATTCAGATTTTAATTGGATCCGAGACAGAATACATTCGTCCAGACTCTATCGATCTTTTACGGGATCTTGTTGTCAAGTATAATCTGGATTATCTAGTAGGCAGCGTGCACCATGTAAATACGATTCCTATTGATTTCTCATCAGAACTTTGGCACAAAGCTCTGGAGCATGTTGATGGCGATTACGAGAAGCTGTTTTTAGACTATTTCAATCATCAGTTTACCCTTTTGACAGCCTTACAGCCCCTAGTCGTCGCTCATTTTGACTTGATTTGCTTGTATGCGAACGAAGAAGCCATGCAAGTATTCATGAGTTCTACCAAGGTTTGGGAAGCCATTGAACGAAACATACAGTATGTAGTTAACTATGGCGGTGTTTTTGAAATCAACACGTCTGCTTTCCGAAAAGGATGGTCAGTCGCTTACCCCAAACCTCAACTGGTTAAAGTAAGTTTTCTATATTTCACTGTGTTAACCTGTTGGCAGTTGATGCAAAAACATAATGGTCGCTTTACCTTGTCTGATGATAGCCATGGTCCTCACCAGGTAGGTTTAAATTATCATCGAGGCAAAGCGTATCTAGAAGATGAAGGCATTCATACGCTTGCGGTTCTTTCACGTAGCTCTGAGGGAATTCGTACTACTTTCCAAATGATCCCTGTTTCCCAAATATGGTCTACCTTTGTAGGGAAGAATGGCGTCGCTCTATAAATAGGTCTTCATTTTTACACGCAAACACTTTCTTTTTACTGTCTCAAAAAAAAACCCAGTTTTTTAGAAGAGAATCCTCTTTCTTTGTCGTTGCAACACATGTTTCACTTCCTACAGATAAGATGGCTTACGCTCTCTACATTCTTCCAACTTGAATTTTTATTTCATTACGCCGAATATTGATTTCAATACACAAATCATCGATAAGAAGCAAAACCAAAGAATCTAATTATATCGACATTACAACAGACTTAAAAGATATCTATTGTAACAAAGGAAAAACAGGCCCAAAACAGGTTGCAAACAGCTATGTTCTTTCTCTAGTTATGGAACTTATATTCTCATATTTGTGAATCCCAAAGACTTGAACAGATCTAGGAAAAGGAAGTCTTTTTTTAGAGGACTGTAAACGTGACCACAAACGAACTTTTATTAGCATATTCACTGCGTCATGGCCCTATGTTCGGAAAGGAAACTACAATACATCATGAACGGCTCGTAACGGATGAAAGGGGAGGACAAGGAATTAAGGAGCTGTTGGAAAGGAAATAAAACAAAACGTGAAAGAGGAACCGAAATATGCAGCAAAATCTCGTTACAAGCTAAATTAGGTTTGCCTATTAAGAGAACAAAAATAAGAATGCCACAAACCACTGAAATCCGCAAGGAACCGGACAAGATTAACAAGAAGGAATAAGAGAGAAACAAAAAATATAACACAGCAAAGCCATACATCCGGACAAAGAACGAGGGTAACAAGAAATCACTAGGTAAAAGAATCAGGCCATTCAATTAATGATCAAGATTAGGGGCAATGCTAGAGTGAAGACCGCTGCGAATAGCATTCATATTAGGACTCATATTTGTACCCATGTTTGTACCCATGTTCGCACCCATATTTGTACCCATATTAGGGGTCATGTTTGGGGTCATATTTGGATTCATATTGACGCTGTGAGGTGGGCCATAAGGGGAGTGAGTTTCCATTTTTGCCAAGATGTCATTGTGATCGAGAAGCTGATGAATACGCTTGTTATCGGTGTACAGTTCTTCAACACGAGCGCTGAGTTGCATGATTTTTTCTTCATTGTCATGGAGATGTTTCGACAAAAAGTTAACCTTAGCCACTAACATGTCAACATTTTGTTGATCGTCAGTGAGTTTTTTAAGGCGTTCGTTGATCTCATCATTACAATCACATTTTCGCTTGCCGACCAAAAACTTTTCACGATACTGTTGTAATTCACTTAATCGGGCCTTCCACTCGTCACACAGTTGGTCAAGTTCATCTTCTTCAGGAGTAGTTTTCATGCCGGGTTGACGATGGGCAAGACGTTGTTCGTAAACACGCATAATTGAGATGATTTGATTACGGCAAGCAGATTCAGTATGGATAGCAAGTCCTTCGTTCTCATAACCGATGCGGGCAATCTTAGCATAGAATTCGCTAGTCTTGCGATCCACCAATTCATGCTTATGTTGAACAACCAAGCGCATCAATTTAATCTTTTCTTCCAAAGACAAATGAGTACGCTGAGCCTTTGCGGGAGAGGAACTAGGAGAGAGAGAAGCATTTTTTCGTTTATAACTCTTCAACTCCATTTTAGGACCTGCTTCCATACCTGCAAATAATGAGGGATCCGTCTTGGGCAACTGGGGTGAAATTTGGTGCTTGGGTAGCAAGCGCCAAACTTCGAGAAATGGGGGAAACCGAAAAAAAAAAGCGGGCGTAGAGACGCGCGCGTAAATGCTATAAATGCGAAAGGGAAAAAGCGACTTGCTGGAAAGATGGACTACGGCTACAAGAAACGGCGAGTCCAACAGGAAAACCAATGGAAAATATTTCCTACCAACAAGAATGATGCTACTGAACCGTAAAGGGAGACAAAGCAAAGGTTCACCTCAAGAACGAAGATTGATGAACTTTTAAGCAATCAATTATATATAAAAGTCCAACAGCTAATCAAACAAGGACTGTTGAACGATTAACCAAAACAAATCAACAAGCACGGTAATGCAATGTAATCCACAGATTCAAGAAGGGAACGTTGTAAGAATACAACGACAAGCAACGAAAGCTTTATATTGAAAAACCAAAGGTTTTATAGCGTTCGCTTCGTAGAGAAAAAAATAGTGAGACGAAGAATCTGAAGAGCGTAAAAATGGAATTTCGAGTACAAGTGAAACCACTAAAAGAAACACTTTTCAGAAAACAAAAAAGATGCTTTATAGCGTAAGCTTAAGAGTCAAAAGCAAACCTAACGAAATAGAAGAAAGATGCTTTAGGAAGAAGAAAAAAGCAAAGCAAATGGAGGGTGATGCGTGGTTGAGGACGAGTTCGTTGGGATACGCAGCACTCTTAATAAGATAGAGTGCCACCAAAATGCAGCCAGGTTCAGTAATGATGACATACGGCGGGGAAAAGAAGTGGTCACAAGGGAATAAACAGTGGCCAATCAGAAAAGGCAAAAAGAAGTGAGAGAATTCTCGAACGTATGATAACGGACTGTTGCGAACGCTAACCAACGAGTGACGTTATATAGAAGGATTGTGATTGGAGAATGTTAGAAAGTGCATTAGGTGGATACGGAAGGACAAAATTTGCATTTAAGGAGACGTAAGAGGAAGGAGATTGAAGGAAACCCTTGATAAGCCTTCATTACACAATCGAACGTTACTCGTTGAGGAAATAGTGGCCAAAATGTAGGGTAGGGGCTAGTTCCCCAACAAAAGAAATTAGCGCAGTTCAGAAAGAGGCGCAAAACAAAAAATTCGACCTGCAACGAGGGTGAGAGAGAGAAATAAATCGCAAATTCTTAAACACGAGTTAAATCTCCTATGGTGTCATGGTAAGGTGGTTTAGCTCTGGAATGAATCATGAAGATGATGTGATATAAATAAACAAATAAACAAACAAATAAAAAGGAATAAGAGTGTAGTTTCGATGTAATACAGTATGATAATCGTTAGCAACCGATATTTACAAAGGCTTTGTTATAAAGAATATAAGAATCGGTAATAAACTCGACTTTAGCACCATGAGAGAAGTGTTTTTATTTACGAATTCTGACTAGCAAGAGACAAAGAACGGAAACAGAAAAATAAATATGTCACTAACTTTTGGTTTTCGTAGGTCATTCCATTAATATGCAGGTATTTTCCTTTTTCACTCATTTTATAGAAGTATCGATATAGTCGATAGAAACGCCCTCCATTTTAGCAACTCAATCTTTTCACGGAGGCACTGGCTTTACAAACTTTTTTATTTATTTTTGTATTTCGTTAAAAAAACGTGTCGTACAGATCTTTGTACATCATGTTAATAGAAAAGCCCAATAGCAATGTATTTAAACGATAGATAAAAAGAAACTACCTTCTAGATTGAATTGAAAGTTACTCGTTCTAATTCACCTTTACATGTTGCATTACATTAACCAAGCAGTTATTTTGCTATTGCTGCTTGTATCCAAAAAAATACCTGAGTAAAAGTAAACAAATACTACCAGAGTAGAGTGAGAGTAAATTCCTTCATTAAATATTCGTAGAGCTTCAACGTTTTTAAATTTGAAAGATTAATGTAGGCATATGTTTTTTTTTTGTTTTTTAATTCCAAACTATCAAATTTTGACTATAGGGTATGTGAAAAGCAGGCTAGCAGAGCTTTAACGTTTGAGAAATTGACTAGAAGTTACCATGTGTTTATATAGTATTAATAAGTAATAATTAATCATCAATTAGTATAGTCTCACTCTATTGAAGTATGCCTACCAGGAAGGACGCATATTTTTTGTTATATTAGAAAAGATTATCGTACTTGGAAATGGGAGGATCCGACTTAATAGAACTGTAATCTAATCAGCGTCCTAGTGAATTTACAAAAAATTTGGGTTGTACAATTGTGGATTTTGTGCAACGCTATTGATGAATTTTTATTTCTATTTATTGTTGAAAAATGATATATCAAATAAGATGATTCATAACGCAAGGTTTTTGGTACCGATTGTTTAAAATCATGGTTTCAACGCATATTAACCAATCTTTATTTAATAGCACAGAAAAGAGATTTTATTTTGACCTTAAGTATTTTGATTTGAATTTATACAAGCAGGATTACTTGGGAATGACAATCTGCCTTCTATGCCTTTTATGTTCTTGCTAACTTGAAAATATGGACGTTGTGTAAGAAGAGTAAGATTCGAAAAATTGTTTATAGGAGTGTCTGCTTTTTCAGGTAAGTACTATATTGAATAAGGAAAACAATGGGATATTCCTTTTCCTTCATCTACGAATCCTTCATTCATTTCAAGTTGTTACCTACAAAGTAACGACCAACAATCAAAAGGTGAAGTATTTCAAAAACATGAGATTGAGAATAGTTTCTTGGCGATATATCGAATTCAAATTGTAATTTTTTGTTTATAGTTGGAATCTTGTAAGTTCATACTGTTCAAGAAGAGAAGAGAGAAATTAAGAACCGGAGTCAAACGAGCAGTCTAGCTAAAAATAACTTCAAAGAAACTACTGGGTGTAATGTAGTTGAAGAATAAGAACAAAACTGCATCTTACATAATGAGATTTTAATGGAATTAGCTTGTCTGTCTTTTGTAAAGACAACCTAACTATTCAGGTAAACCATTGTTCAACGTTATATAACTTTCTTTGCAGTTCATTTATTACTCATCATATAAATTGCCTTTCTAATTCCGGTCAAATTGAAGATTTATGAATAATATAAAAAAAGGCGTTACTCATCTTGTTCTTTTATGAATGAGGACATTCTAATCTCCTCTACGATAACGTCTGAGAGGTACATAACTGTTCTAATATACTTACCAGATACTTTCTATCATCATAAGGGTTCTTTTTTTATCAATTCAATAATGATCAACCTTTTTTTAAGCAGCACTTGTTTGTGAAAAAACGTATATAACTAATATAGTATAAAAAACTGTTTGAAAAAGAGAGCATAACTAGAATGACCGTTTATTAATCTTTTATTTACAGCTATATGAGAATTCATCAAGCTTCCTCTTGTATTTTGAGTTTTCCCTCCTTAGGCAAAATGATCAACACCAAGCTCCAATCTTAACGCTCATAAATGAAGAACCATTTGTGCCACACTGCATAGATTTACGCATTAAAGAACAAGTCCGTTAGGCATGATTAGAAAGATTCGAAATTCGCTGGTCACAAACAAATCCTGGGTCAAGGGTACTAGGACTGAGGGTTGACAAGTTATTTTTGTTTTATAGATTGCTTATGCGGGTCAGTACCTCTTGATTATCTTTTAACCATTCGTAAAAATTCATTGCAATTAACTGAAAATATAGCTGTATAAATAAATCATTATTCATATGGTTAGGAGCCTCTAGTTCCTAGTGAACGAAAGTGCATGCTAATCATAACAAAGACGTAGTCTGACAATAACAAAAAACAAGAACTAAATGAGAGTATTACCGAAAGAGAAAGTGCATACTTAATGTTTAGGGGACAAGAAAGCAATTGGAATTTCAGATCAAGTACTTCTTAAAAACTGCTTCCTTTCAAAGGACTTAGGTTCTATAGTATCTTCGCGTTCAACCGAGTGCTTCCATGGTTCCGCATGCACTTTACCATCACTTACACATTGTGTAACCGGTAAAGTTATTGTCTTTGTGAAAGATTCCAGTATTTCCTGAAGACGAAGGGATTTTTTCTCGGGTGAGGTGAGCGTATTCATGTAGATAGAAGCAAGGTTCAAATTCAGAAGACTAGTGTCTTCAATTTTACATTCAGTGCCTGCAATAAGTTTTCCATTCACCCAAACCTGGGCAACATTGCGATCATCACCATTAAACACCCATTTACTCAAGATGTTTTCCCAAGTATCACGTTCGTAAATATCAACGGGAGTATTTGTTTCAGAGGAAACATCTACGACAAGAGCATCCCAGGCCTTTCCTTCTTCGAAGCTACCGACCTCATGCCCACGGCCCAAGACTTCGGCTCCACCTTGTGTAGCAAGGTACAAAAGTTCGGGAAGCTCCAAAGCAATTCTTGAGTCCCTTAAAACTGAAGCAAGAGAGCGTGATGTTAGAGCTGCTTGACGAATTGCAACAAGCATGTTTGGGGTGTAACCCCCAGAGACATCTGTTCCCAAAGAAACTTTGATCCCGGCATCTAAAAGTTTGCGAATATTTGCCATACCACTGGCCAAAACGGCGTTACTAGTTGGACAATGAGAAATACCGCTTTGTCTTTTATAAATAGTTTCAATCTCTTCGTCTTCTAGGTAGACAGCATGTGCCAACACAGTTTTCGGTGTCAATAAGCTGTGATGATCATAGACGTCGGTATAAGATTTCCGATCAGGGAACAACTCACGAACGAGAGCAATTTCTCCTAAATTTTCAGATATATGAGTTTGGATAGGAAGATCATGATTAGCAGCAAGTTCTCCACAGGCTTTCAGCAAATCTTTGGTACAAGAAGGAGCAAACCTTGGGGTAATGATGGGAGAAACAAACTTTCGATTGGGATCAAGTTGTGACATAAACGAAACAAGTACGTTTGTAGCCTCTACAGAGGACTTACAAGACTTTTCGCAATAATGAGCCGGTGAAAGGGTGTTCATATTGCATTTACCGATATACGCCCGTTGACCAAGACTAAAACAGAGTTCTGCAAGTAAAGCCGAGGCAGGAGTATGAAGAGACGAAAAGTAGCTAGCAAAAGTAGTACCATAAGAAAGTGTGCGGGTGACAACACGGTAATAGATTTCCAAAGCCCTATCCAGATTGCGGAAAGAAGACTCTATTGGAAAAGTATATTTTTCAAGCCATTTCAGCAAGGGCAGATCAATGCCGAAACCAGCATTTGGGTATTGCGGGGCATGGATGTGCGTGTCAATAAATCCTGGAAAGAAAAACTGTAAGGGCTTTAATACGTGAACTTCGGCGTTCTTCAACATGTGATGGGATTTTGCAAAACGAATGGTTTCATCTGTTACGGATTTTGCAAGAAATACAATCGTACCTTGATGCACGCCTACTGTCGCGTCTTCAATCTCCAGTGTGCCTAGTGAAGGGGTATGAATGAGTTTTCCTACAAAGATGATATCAATGACTTGAACCATTTTGTGAGAATTTCGAACCAAAGACAAGCCTCAAAATATAGTTTTTCAAGAGAGGTTTCGATTCAGCTTCAATATATATTGATGTAATTAAAGCGAAGCCGACAACTGTAGACAGCACTAGTTGTAACCTGTAGATCTATTGAAATACAAATTGCAATGCTTTTGGAAATAGTAACAAGAAGTCGAGCTTGTAAAGATCGTCAAAATAGTACCTTTTGTATGTATAATGCCTTGGTACCTTAGAATTTGATGAATTTTCTCACCAAAACAAAAAAGACTAGTGTTAGTAGTTTGTTTGTCGATATTCTTGCAAATTCGATATAAGTAGCTTTTCTAAAGTCTATATATGAATAAAAACACCTAAATCTCGCCTTGCAGCAATCTACACTCACAGACCAGATACGACTATGATAAAACAATCCTATCCTTCGGGTGTGATATAACGAATTTGGATGCCCTTAAAGGTAGTTCAAGGAGATTCCTACGAAGATAATATAACCGGCGGTGGTAGAAAACGAAAATTTAGCTTCAACTTCGATCCGGTGTTTTTTTGAGGTCAGCGAACGTCCTATACGAAAATTATAGGACGACCACCTTTAGGAAATCCTTAAATTTTAGTTCAAAAGCAACCCGAAAAATCGTTATGTACCAAATCTGTATTGACGCCTTTCTTGCTTTATTTTTCACTTCTTTGAATTGTATCTCTCAAGAGAACGCACTTTCTGCATTTAAAGTAACAGTTAAATTTGTCACTTGATTTAGAAAAAAAAAATTTGCGAAGGGAATGAGATGTAGTAGAAATCATTGCTGCTTTCACAGAAATTAAATGTTTTATAGCTCTTTAAATTTTAAATATGAGAAGCCGCGGCTGTTATAGAGTAGGAATGATTGCGATGAGGACCATATGTTCATGTATGCCATAGGTAAAAGAGAAAAAGATAAAAAAGACTAGTTTTCTAATCACTGTTTACTTGGATCTGATCTTTCTGCTTCCTCATCGGTAAACCCCAAATTGCGCATGTCATCTTGTCCGAAAAGACCTGTGTCCATGCGACATTGGAGATACTTTTTGGCAAGGGGTCGACATTCCTGTTGTTGACTACGATTCGTTTTGATGCATTCCAAATACTCTCTCATGACATACGTGCATTCACCTATCGTTAAAAAAGATTAGCTCATTGCCCATAAAATCCTTTCAATGCATACCAAAATGATCCAAAGGAAAACTGCCTCGCTCGGGTGGTTCCTTACTTGCCATAGGAATAGAGCCACCAGCTAAAGTTCATAGTTAGTCAATCATTCTTTCATTAAAAATACCGAAATCCGAGAATGATGAAAGAACCGCAAGCTCATCTCTTTTTCGAAGCCATTGCTGATTAGATGTTCCAGCACAGCATAAGAGAAGGTAAGTTAAGAAAATTACTTATTGAGTATTGTTTCCCATCGTATCGGAAATGGAAAATTTAGCCTTCAATGTTACTAAATCTCATATGATCCAAAAACGATTGAAAACAGTATACAAGATCTTCACAATTCAATCATTTCCAAAAAAAAGTCTAGAATGCCTTCGTGGAATTTGTTCCTCTCATCTTGAACAGCTTCGTCCTTCTCTTTCTTTTTACTTACCTGCTCCGAAAGACATCTTGTAATGAATTCCTTTATTTTTTTAAAGAATAACGTATATAAACCAAAAACAAAGTAGAAGATTTTATAGAAATATGGCTTCTTGGTTATGTACAAGGATTTTTTTCGTAGTTGTGTTCTGTTCTTTAAATTTACGACTCCTCAAATGCCACTATTTCAACTCTGATTTCCTTCTCGATCCATGCATTAAACTCTCATTCAGAAAAGTATCACCAATATGAAATATCTCTTGTTTTGTGACCTTACTTATTCTAATTTTTCTGATTACTTATACAGAATAGTGCAGTTACTTTGTTCTACTGAAATACCAACCGTATTAGCTCGTCTAGACTTCAGGTTTGAATTGCTTTAAATATAAAATTATTCTACAAAAAGAAAGCTTTCGGCTAGATATCCATTTCTAATGTCCAAGTATTATCAGAAACAAAGCATCTTTTCTTTTACCATTACCGCGTTTCAAACTCTAAACTAAAACTACACAGTGCAACCTAGATCCTTAAGAAAAACTGTTCTGATACTACAGGCTTATGCTTTTTGCTCTGCGTTACTAACAGATTTCTCTTGCGAGGATTCAGTAGCAGCTTCAGTGGAAGATTGTGTTTTTTTCAGTCTCAGGCTGCTTGTTTGCAGCATCCTTCTTAGCATTTTTCTTCTTGTCTTTCTTAGCCTTTTTCTCGTCCTTTGGGTCAGGATAAGCCAACTTAATGACTCCTTCCATATCAGGATGAGACTTCAATTCAGCTTGAACAGTGGCAAGTAAAGCATTGATGGATGATTGTAATCCATCTTTCAAATCTTGAGGAGCTAGAGTCTGCTCTACGTAGGCTTTCTCCACTTCCTCATATGTGTTAAAAACAATCTTACCACCATACTTTTCAGGACGGTCAATGACAAATTCCTTTTCACCACGAAACTTCATTGCAGGAAAAGAAACATGCTTCAAAAATGCAAGGCATCCATTGTCTTCAACAACACCAGGCTCACAAAAAGCACTACGAACCTTTTTCTTTACGACATTGGGTTCGTCGAACAAATCAATTTTAGCATTAGCACCTGCGGAAGCAGACATTTTACCGCCTGCTAAGCTGGGTACCATAGGGCTCATGAGATGTGAGCGCTTCTTGTAACCCATCATAGGAAGAAGCTTCTCAGCCAAGATAAAAATTTTACGTTGATCAACACCGCCAAATTGAACGTCAACATTCAAATATTGCTCATCAAGAGCTTGCATACCGGGGTACATCAAGCTAGAAATTAAAGGACTGGCAACCTGTTTGACGACTTCAGCACCAGCTCGCATAGCATCGTGCTCTGTAGTGACTGCACAAGCACGGTAGTTATCCAAAGCATATTCTTCTTTCAATTGATAACTAGATCCAACAATAAAGTGCAACTTCTCAATGGGGACATTCAATGACTTCAAAATTGCCTTTATGACTAGTTCATAATAGCGAACACGATGTTGAACTAGTTCCATTGGTGCTTTCATATTATCTAAGAAAGCATGAACATCAGCCAAAAGCACTTTCACGTGGACACCGGCTTGCAAAAAGTCCGCTAGTTTCATCAAAGGAACAAAGTAACCACAGTGAGGACGACCAGTGGGAGCAGTACCAAAATATAGTTCGAGATCACGTTCCTTTAAAATTTCACGGATAGCATCTCCACCAAGAACCTCATGTAAATTTCGAGTAATCAACTCGTACTTTTCATCAACGGAAAGAGCCATTTTCTGACTGAATCCCCTATTCTACGAAAAAAACACAGACACAGGATGTTGGTTAAGGCCGTCCGATCGCTGCCCTCTTTTTCTCCCCGGTCTTCTTTTACCGTGAGATAGCCAAAGATGGATTCTCAACGGTATCTCGATTAACGAAAGCTAACGAAGTTCATTAAGCATAAATCATATCAAAACAAATTGAAGGACCCAGAAATTAAGGATTTATTAACGAAGAGCCCAAACCTCATGCTCGTTTAATTTTTACGGCAGTGTTTTTAGGCTTAATTTATGTTTACGGGAATGAAACGTTTGGGTAGATGCACAGAGTTACAACGATCTTCAATGCTTTTCACGAAATAATGAAGATCCAAGTGCCTCGTCAAGGATCGCCTTGGGGCGACGCTAATGCAATGTTTGGCGTCCAATTTCATATCCAAAGGACATTGAGCATAACATCCTGGAGAAAGCGTAATTCTTACTGAAAACTCTTTGTTTCCGGAGGGATTGGTACGCTCAAACAGTTCAAAGCAGATTTGTGTAAGATAGTCCAATTCTGGAATCTGGTTTCGGGGCATCTTCATAGGTAACCCAGACTCAAGGATACAATTTAATAATGTATATATATGCGATTCTTTGGTAAAGTACATCCTTGTGGATGCGTGGTCTGAGTCTCTCGCTAATTTGATGTCATCGAGGACTTGTCGTAAAAGGGGTACACTTGTCAGTAATCCAATTTCAAGCTTTTCTTCCTGTTCTATACCATACTCCTGAGGAGAAACGAAGTCAAACAAAACCTTAGCAAGATCATATAATTCATATAGCTTCTCTAAGGGTCTTTCCGTCTTTCTTGCAGATTTTTTCATATTTGAAATCTCATTGTTGTTGGAGTCATTTGAAGAACTAGAAGAATCTCTGGGAATTAAACTAGGATCTTGAGGTAGTCTTAAATATTGATACGGAGTAAATATTCTTTCCAAAAATTGGCGATTGTGTAAGGCGTCATATTTAAGGGTATCATAGAGTTCGGACACCTTAGATGGGTCCGCTTTCTCAGAATCGCAAAATTCATTAAAAAGCTTTTCCCATCGCTCCCTAAACAAGGCAGGGTTTTCACTGCAGCACCAGCGAGACTGTACTTGCTCAACCCCAGGTCCCAATATGATAAAATTCTCACGCAAAATGGCTCGGTGATACTTCATTAACTGAACTACCTGTTGCATAACTTCACAAGGTTTAGGCATGTTTTCTGGCCATGTAAACTCTTTCCTTGCCGTATCACTCACCCTTAATAAAGACTTCAAATGTTTCTTGACCTTATCCATTGTATCTTTAGCAGCATTTGAGTCGTCCAAAAGATCTTTTCTGATTTTAAGCAAGTCATTTGCTATGGTTTCTTGCTCTAAAAAGGCCATTGCAAAAATTTCAGCAGAAGTTGAAACACGTCGTTCGGATGAAGTGAAAATTTCAACATCTTTTAAACATTCACGGTTCATAATATACAAATCTTTACGAAATTGTTCACCAAGATCCTTAGATTGGTATCGTGCAGAATGGGTAAATTCACCACCCCATTTAATGATAAGCTGTAGTTTTGTGAGCTTTCCTTCTGAAGAGTATGCTGGTTTGAGCTGAACTTTTGTGCCAGGTAAATTTTTTTTGGTTTCTAAAGCAAGTCTAAGCTGCTTCAGTTTATTTAAATCTTCACATTTCAGCTCTGATGCTATATTCGTAGCGGCCAGAACGCTATTTAACTGTTCGTGGCGCAATATAACTTCTTCCTTGTGACCTTGAAGCAGCTTAGCAAAAGGCTCAGACGTGAATGAAAATTTAAATTTTTGCTTCGGAGTGCGGTCGGCATGACGAAGTACTACAACCAGACTCTTAAGTCTCCAAGCTTCACTTTCCCTGGGAGGGGGATTAAGTACTTCTTGAACTGAGGGAACACGGTTTCTTCTATGGCGTTCAGCAACATGAAACATCTGTTTTAGAATACGGGCGGCGTTATCATAATAATCATTATTATCTTTTACAAATGACCAGCCATTTACATCAATCACATAGGATTTTCCGGATACTCTTAGCAAGTCGAAACCACAAACTGGCTGTTCGAAAGCAATAGATATCTTTGAAGCCATAACTTTTTCCTCATCGGATAAATTGGTAATGAACCGTATTTCTTTTCCATGGGGATTGCGTCTCACAATGCCATCTACAACGGGTGACTTCCTTGTTTCAGCATGACTATAATGAGAGCCAACAGTGTATATTTTAACATCCTCTGCGTTATCGACATTCATAAATTGTTCATAAATATATGATCCGTCTGTACGAGGGTAGCAAAGTTCAGGATCGTAATCAGAGGACTTGTTTGCAATTTTACGAAATAATTTCCGGCCACCACCACCTGCAGATTTGGGAAAGTAGATATAAATATTATGATCTTCACCATATGTAGGCTTCTCCACAAATGGCTTTCTTAGTATTTGACCGTCCACACAGAGTGTATCGTCATCCAGCATTTCAACCTTTGGTAAGGGTTCCTTTCTCAAATGGAAACCAAACTTTCGTTTCAATTTTTCCGCCAATGGCTTATTCAAATTTGGACCGCCATCTCGATTACAAATCAATCTTCGAGGAGTTGAAACGCTGATTGAGTCTAAAATTTTCAAAACTAGACGCCTATCCCATAGCAATTCTTGAAATACAACATCGTTCACACAAAACGGTTTTCTCAAATCAACGTATCGTTCTGCTTTTTCAAGAGGAAATCCGTTTGAATAGAAACAAATTAAATAGTCACAAGCAGGCCAATTCTCTACTTCTTCGTCCAAAATCATGTTGTCTCCGAAAACAATAGCCTCAAACTCGCCTTCTGCGATAATTCGATTCAAAATATTACGGCATGGCTTCGACCGCGCCTTAGCATCCATAGCACATACACCTACCACATTATGCTTTATAGGAGGCTGAGAAGTTCCTGAAGATACAGGCGATGTTGTTCTGGTGAATGGTTCTGTCTCAGAAGCAGCGTGAGATGCTCCTTTTTGAGACATTCTTTTGGAAAGTTAATAAATTTTTTTTATTACAAAGTAGAAAAGCTTTTAAGTAAACAAGCACCGAGTTTTTGAGTATTCTTAAAGTATTCGTTCTTGTTTTGTACTAGTTGCATGGTTCGGCTAAATCGTTCATGTTACCTTGTGCTATAGACAACTTCATTCGGACGTTATTTTTTCTTTAAAGAATTACATTCTGTAAATAAACATTGGCCTTTCCTTTACTTTTTTTGTATTCCTTAAGAGCCTGAATCTTTTCTTTGACAAAATTTTCCTTTTTCCCCTATGCTTGTACTTGCGAATAACGTTCAATTTTTCTCTTTACAAAGAAGCTTTAAGATAAAAAACATACCGATTGAACGTAGAAAACTAATTTGATGGAAGATTTTCTGTTGATATTGTTGTAAACAAAAGGACCTTTCAACTTTAACGCGTCTTTCGGTATGTCTTGTAAAAGTTATACGATATTACGGCGAATCTCCCAAATATGATTAACGTTCTACTATTTTTCGCGCAAAAGGTAGAAAATGGAGGTTTTCATTCTTTCTGCCTTTGACAAATCCATTGATTTGCACTTGACCGTAAAAGCACCTAATTGACGGCTTTTGGTGCAAAAAAAAAGTTCAAATAAATATAAAATGCCGTTTGCTGAAAAGAAAAGAAGAACTCAAGATGTTAATGTGAAACCGTTGAGAAAATCAAGGATTTTTGCGCGTATGTACTTTTGTGTAGCAAAATGCGAGACTTGTTGCTAACAAATATTCAGCTTTTCGATCCATTGGTTATGTTTCGAACCAAATACCTTTTGATATAGAAGTTCGTGGAACTCACTTTCTTGTGACAACATGTGTTGGAAATTCCTTTCAGACATACGATTGTGAACGACTAAATCTGTTGTTTGTCGGTAAACAACTGGAGCGAGAAATCTCTTGCTTGAAATCGTATAAAGATTTTATGCTAGCAGGATCTGGCTCTAAAATTTTTGCCTACAAGCGAGGTAAGATTGTTTGGGAAATAGAGCTGGAATCGTCTGCTGATGAGATTTTGCATTTGGATGCTTTTGGTGAATGGATTATTGCAATAAGCAGTACTCGCCATGTTCATATTTGGAAGCATGTTTCCAAGTATGAAGTACCAGAATTGCATACGATTTTTCAACCTACTGCCAATGCAGACATAACGGCTTTGATCCACCCTAGCACTTATTTGAACAAAGTTGTTTTGGGTTTCTCTGACGGTTCTTTGCAGTTATGGAATATGAGGACGGCAAAGTGCATTCACAAATTCGATGGGTTGAGAGGCGACGCGATCACCTCTCTTTCTCAAGCTCCTGTACTTGATGTCCTCGCTATTGGTGCTGCAAACGGTCGAATTTTGCTATATAATTTAAGAAAAGCTGTCACTTTAATGGAGTTTCGCCAAAGCGGCCGCGTCCTTTCCTCTTCCTTCCGGACAGATGGTGTACCTATTCTAGCGACATCGAATCATCAAGGAGACATCTCTTTTTATGATTTGTCTAAACGTCGTGTCCAAAATGTTGTTTATGGAGCTCATCATGGCCCCATTCCCAAGCTTCAGTTCTTAAACGGTCAGCCATTATTGGTTACTACCGGCCCTGACAACTCTCTTAAAGAATGGATCTTTGATTCTATGGATGGTGTTCCCAGAGTCTTGCGTTTTCGCAATGGCCATTACGAACCACCTTCTTATATTCAGTTTTATGGTCAAAATGTACATTTTCTGCTTTCTGCTGCCACTGATAATACACTACGTGCTATCAGCCTTTTCCAAGATAACCAAACTGTTGAGCTTTCCCAGGGCTCTGTAACTTCTAAAGCAAAAAAGCTAAACGCCCGTCCAGATGAACTAAAGCTTCCTGAAATAGTATCCATGTCTTCATCTAATACCCGTGAAAAATACTGGGATAACATTCTTACTGCTCATAAAAATGATAATGCTGCTCGCACATGGAGCTGGAAAAACAAGACTTTGGGTCAGCACGTTCTACCGACGACAGATGGTACCCCTGTTCGCGCTGTTTGCGTTAGTTGTTGTGGTAACTTCGGTATGGTCGGTAGCTCCAAGGGCTTAGTTAATGTTTATAACATGCAAAGTGGTATTTTAAGGAAATCCTTTGGTCGTGAACAGCAGAGTACTAAGCCTATTACGTCTATTATGCTTGATAACGTTAATCGAGTCTTAGTTACATCTTCTTTGGATGGTAATTTACGTTTCTGGGATTTCAATAAAGGATCTTTAATTGATACCGTTGACATGGGTAGCTCTATCACGAATGCTATTTACCATCATACATCAGATCTTATAGCTATCATTTGTGATGACTTTGGCGTTCGCATCGTTGATGTTCAAACAAGGAAAATTGTTCGTGAATTATGGGGTCACTCAAATCGATTAACTGACCTTGATTTTTCCAATGATGGACGCTGGTTAGTCACATCATCCTTAGATGGAACCATCCGCACTTGGGATTTACCAACAGGTCATTTGATTGATGCCATTACCACTGGTAGCGTTTGTACTGGTTTGGCCTTTGGACCTACCGGTGATTACTTGGCAACCTCTCACGTTGATCAAATTGGAATCAGCTTATGGACCAATCTTTCAATGTTTAAGCATGTATCTACGAAATCGCTACGATTAGATGATGTAACCGAGGTTTCTCTTCCCTCAATTTCTGGCGAACGGGGCACTTCGGTAGTACAGGCTGCATTGAACGTTGAAGAAGAGGAGGTAGAAGAAGATGATATCTTACACACTACCGCTGATCAACTTGACGGTCAATTGCAAACCCTAAGTAAATTGCCTCGAACACAATGGCAGACTCTTGTAAACATGGAATTGATTAAAGCTCGTAATGCTCCCAAAGAGGCTCCTAAGGCACCCGAAAAGGCACCTTTCTTTTTGCCATCTCTTAAAGAGCAAGCTGAGGGGCTTGTTTCGAAGGCTAATGAAACAAATAATGATGACCAACAAAGACCAAAATTGGCTTCCTCAGTTCAAACTGTTACAACCAGATTTTCTGAACTTTTGCATGGTGGAGATGGTAAGTTTATTAAAAACTGTGTGTGAACGTTTGATAAGATTTACTAATAAATTTGTAGGCGATGCGTTTTTTGAATATTTGAAGACTCTGCCACCAGCTAAGACTGACTTAGAAATTCGTTCTCTTGAAGCGTACCCACCATACGAAGAATTCATTTTATTTATCAAAAGTATGACATCCCGGTTAGCGAGCCGTCGGGACTTTGAGCTGGTACAGGCTTATATGGCAGTTTTCATCAAAGCCCATGAAGATGTTTTGTTGTCTTCAGATTCTCCAGAAGAAAAGGAAAATGTCCTGAACGCATTGAAAGCTTGGGATGATGTGCAGAAAGAAGAAAACAGGCGTCTGCTGGACTTGGTACATTATTGCTCTGGTGTTTTGAGTTTCATGCGAACTTAAAATGTTTTTGCGTTGATACAAGGGGAAAAAACGGGTTAAAAAAAGTGTAGTGTGTATGCACTAATTGTTTTATAAACTTATAATTTTTGGGTCAAATAGAATGCAGGTTTATTAGTTATTATCGACATGAGGTTTCTTGAAAAACTTTAATTGCTAATTTGGCAGATATTTGTAAAATTAATAAACTTTAAATAAAACAGAAGTATGCTAGAAAAAGACACAGCATGTATACAAAATAAATCGAAACAGCTCACAGCAGATATATATAAATGAAAACTAGGATAAAATAGTCTCATTTGTTTACAATAGCAACAGCAGCTCCCGTGGCCTAATGGCTAGGGCATTTGACTTCTAATCAAGGGACTGCGGGTTCGAGTCCCGCCGGGAGCTTTTTTATGAACATTCATTCTCTCTCAGAGGGTGTGAAATAATGTAATTAATTTTTTACACTTAATTGAAAACAGTTTTATTATAATAGTTGAGGCTTCCTTAAATGATCACTAAGTTCTATTCTTCCTCGCTTATTAGTGTAAACAATGAAAGCGACATTTTTCACGAAATAGTGAATTCACCAAAACAAATGAAAGTCTATACATTCCCTAATTCTCGTAAATTGTTGCAACTAAACTGTTGTAAAACTGACAATACTGTACAATATTTAAAATTTTTTATTAAAAAACAACATGGGTAATCCCCAAAAAAAGACATCGAACTTCCCACCATGCAGAGAAGATTGAGCCAACGCAATGATCGATGCAAAATCATTGATCCAGAAAAGGTGAAAGCAAACCATGAAGACACAATAAAGTATCGCTTAAGCAACATCTAAGGAATGCAAAGTTGTAGACATTATTATTGTTTCATAGAGCTGTAATCCCTAAGGATATTAAGGTGAGTATTTGTAATTTTTCCACGTCTAGTTTTTGGTTTCTTCTGTTTCTGGGCAGTAGGCGCAGTCGGTCTCTTGATGGTTGAAGGATCTACGCTTGTCGGCTTCAAGCCATATTTCCCAAGTTCGGACGCCAAATCCAAGGTAGGAGGAATGGGAATTTCATGCCAGACAGTTTGGAATTCTTTGTCGATAAAGCAATTACAGCTTTTGTCATTTCTCCAAACCATCCTAGGAATTCCGTCCTTTCGTGTTCTTAATAGCAAAACCTCCCCTAGTTTTTCAAGCTCTTCTAGTTCAGCTACTACATTCGGCCATCCGTCTCTAAGCTCTTTAATACTCATTCCTGTATGTGTCTTCTGGGAATCTAAGTAAGCCAAGAGACCAGCGGCAGAGCGAATGTTATGTAAAGGTTTAAATGCGAAGGTTTCTGTTCGTTCATCATAATAAATACGGTCATTTTTCTTCAAGAGTTTTAATAGCATAGGCGTCAGCGGCGTCGAGAGGTACGAAGCAATCTCTTCTGCGGTTTTAGGTTCATTTCTCTCTTTCAAATACTCGACGGCATAATGAAGCTGAGATAAATAATGGGTTCCGACCCCAGAATCTGCTGGTTGAGAGTACACTGAATGACCTAGTTAGTAAGAAGGACCCAAATAAAATGCGTATGTTCGTCTTCAGACTTTACATACCCAAATTCGCCTTAGAGCGACGTTTCTTCAACGTCAATCCAGGGCTTGAAACTGCCGAAGCAGGATCATTTGGAGTATTTGAGCGGACACTGGCTGTCGGTGATGCTGATGTATGGACTTGTGGTTTTGCATAGACAGGTTGATTGGCGACTTTTTTCTTAAAAGAAGATAATTGTTCACTTAAAGAACTCATAACAGCCTAGTAAGAAACAGAAAGGTATATTGATCAAAACTTCTCGAATCCACCAATTTTGTCAATATCACGACCAAAAGAATAGTCTACTAAGAATCCTCTTCTCAGCTATTATTTCAAAGGAAATGTTCCTCAAACCTGATAAAACTAATTTTTAGTCCCAAGATTTGGTGTGAATCCAGGGATATGGCTAATGGCAAGTTTCATTTACCATTCCACCATTAAAATGCAAAATGCTTCGTTTACCTTTTATAAGGCGCTTAAAATGGTACGCATGCTTAAGGAAACTTACTCTAATGTTTTAGGAACGAATATGTCTCCCTCTTTTTAGGAATTCTATTCGTTACGTTTGAGAAATTACTCTCGGGTGTTGTGTTTGCAATTCACATTATACTTAGGCCCATATGGACAAATTATATAAAAAGAATGACAAAAAGATATCCAGAAAAGCATCAAAGTCCCTTCGTCGAACGAGCTCGGGCTATTCACGATGCCGACGATATTCGTCAGATGTGCAACATCTCTGGATACAATGTTGAGGAACACCTTGTAAGGACTCAGGATGATTACATTCTTTGTATTCATAGAATTTCAAAGGATAAACCAGGAAAAATTGGCATGCCAATTCCTAAAAAGTTACCTGTTGTATACTGTCATCATGGACTATTAATGAATTCTGAGGTGTGGGTTTGTAACATTGATCAGAGGAATTGCTTAGTATATCAACTTGTTGACCAAGGATATGATGTTTGGGTAAGTATTTTTCTTTCGCATCTGGCAGTTGGGCTTGATAAGTTCAAATCATCTTTTCTAGCATCGACATCACTCTAACAATATTTCTGTAGCTTGGAAACAACAGAGGAAATAAGTACAGTCGCCAACATCTTCGGTTCGATTCTACAGACGTGGACTTTTGGAACTTTAGCATTGATGATTTCGCTCATTACGATATTCCCGATACTATTGATTATATATTGAAAACTTCTGAACAAAAACAACTAACATATATTGGATTTTCTCAAGGAACTGCACAAGCATTTGCCGCACTTAGTGTTCAGCCTCTTCTAAATGAAAAAGTAAATTCTTTTATAGCATTGGCCCCAGCCATGAGTCCGAAAGGGTTGCACAATCGGATTGTAGATGCCTTCGTAAAGGCACGTCCCTCTATTTTATTTTTCCTCTTTGGTCGAAAGTCGATACTGCCGTCTGCTGGCTTTTGGCAAAGTATATTACGTGAGTGAGAAAAATTGCAATTTTAAGAGAAAAACTTAGTTCTAACCTTTCATTCAGCGAATGTGCTTTTTAATCGTATCTTGTCTTTCTGTCTTGCACAATTGTTTAACTGGAGCTGTGAATCCATGTCCCCGTTGCAACGACATGCATCATTTGCGCATTTGTATTCGTATACAAGCGTAAAATGTCTTGTTCATTGGTTCCAAATTATGCGCAGTGCAGAATTTCGAATGTACGACAATGATCAAATTGTCCATGATTACTTTTCCAAACATTATAGAGCTGCACGATTTCCGACCAAGAATATCCGTACTCCAATTCTGTTGTTTTGGGGCGATTCGGATTCTTTGGTAGATATTCAACCCATGTTGAATTCTCTACCTCCTATGGCTGAGCAAATTAGGGTAAGTTTACTTTCTTTCTATACTGCTGACATTCTCAATAGATTCCTGGATATGAGCATTTGGACATGATATGGGCAGATACGACTCATAAATATGTGATTCCTTCAGTTCTGGAGCGTCTTAGTATCATCTACGCTGGAACACAGTCTAAAGAAAATGCTGATGAAAAGGCTGTTAATCTTCATAAACCAAGAAAACAAAAAGCACACGAAGAAGACCTAGATTTTCAAGAAGAGGAAGCTGAAGAAGAAAGAAAGGTGGAAAGGCTCTCAATACGTAATAAGAAAAGCAAAAGAAAATGGGGATCGAATTTGGATGACGAGGATACGAAGAAACTTTATCAATCTAACGTGAATTCCAATATATGAAAGATGTATCAGAAATATAGTTACCCTGTGTTATTGCTCGTCCACCTATATCTAATGTTCTTGCTGGTTTATTTGTATATAATATTTTAATGCTAATGAATAAATACATGTCTTTATTTCGATCATGACAATGTTTCTTCACTTTATATAAATGTGAGTTTTCCATATAAACAATCCATACCACTTCCTAGATGGAACGCAGAATCCTTGAAACGTCCTTTGGGTTTCATAATCAAGACATTGATATAATTAGCGCTAAATACTCCAACGCTTCTCTCGTACCAAATGTGTATTGCGTCTCATACTTACATGTTTATCATTTGTATAATGTCCATAGTTGAAATTCATGAAAACAAATGCGCATAATTAAAGAAGGCAAAGGTTCAGTCGGCAGAAAATAACACCAAACTTGTATTCCTAAATTAAAAAATTAAATTTTTTAAACATTCTTTTCTTTCCTCATTCAAAGAGCAAGCAGCAAAAATAGACAAAGGATTTGAATTATTATTTATTTGTTTATTTTTACTTCTTTCTTCGTTTATTCCCACTTTATTAATTCACTAAGATCAACCGAAATGTTCATAATAAGCGTCTTTGTTTACATTGATTTGCTAACGAAAATTTTCTTTAGCGGTCACAATTTAGCTTTGAACGTGGGTTTCTCTAACACTCGTTGAACAAACCCTACCCTCAGTAGAAAAAACAGTCACTTGTTTTTTTCTATATAAGGGAAGATGAAACTCTCTAATTCACCATCATCAGTAGGATTTAACTTACTTTGTTATATAAGTAAAGTAAATTCAAACCTGAAGTCAAGTATGATGGTTGGAGTCTTAGGACGAAGAAAATGCATCCGTTCCGTCTTCAGTGATGAATTGAGTAGCCATCCCGGTCGTTGATTGTTTCCCATCCTTCAAGGGTGGGGTGGTTTCTCGTACATTTTTGTTTTAATTTCGTTTGTTATTAGTCGTTGAATGTTTGTTATTTAGAAGAAATAAGAGTGAAGATTGTGAATGAAAGTTGTATTGTATGTAGACTATTGTATTGGAACGGAAGTTGATCTGGGAAACGAAGTTTAACTTTTAATGATTTGTTGGTGTATGGAGATATGTGTTGTATTATGCTTGGCAAAGAAATTTAGTTCTTTCTGGGTGGTGAGATTATGAGGGCTTTGTTTGTCGATTGTGTAGTGATTTGAGTGCACAAGCTTGATCAAGCGTCGTGAAAGCACCATTAATCGTGTTTGTATTGAGACATTTCAATTTACCAAAAACCATGTCCCAAGAAGAATCTGTTGCAACAGACATGCAGGTAGGCGATGAGCAACAGCAAGTTGAAAAAGAAGTTGAGTTAGAAAAAGTAATTCAGGAAGGTATGCTTCACTTACATTAGCAATTTCCTTTGGTATTTGTTTGCATTTTATGATAAAGCAACGTTAGCTAATGCCTCCTTTTCACCATAGAATATAAACTTTGGAAACAAAACGTACCCTTTCTCTACGATTTAGTTATTACTCATGCCCTGGAGTGGCCCTCTTTGACGGTTCAGTGGTTACCAGATAAACAGACGTATGTAGAAAACCCATCTTAATGGTGTAAGCAAGTTGCTTTTTGTATGGGCATGGAACGTGTAGGTTGGGTTGGTGTTTAACTCTAATCCAACACGTTGGCTTCCCTCCATTTTTTTCTTATGCTTGAGACCACTTCGCTCATCTTTTCCGTATTTTTGGCTTGTACATTGTCGACCTGTTTCCATCTTTATTAAGCAAGCATCTTATTAACCATGTGACTATAGGGTATCAGGCAAAGATTATTCTGTTCAACGGCTTCTCCTAGGAACCCATACTTCAGGCCATGATCAAAATTATCTGCAAGTGGCTTCTGTCCAATTGCCCAATTTTGACGAGGATACTATCGACATTACGCCAGCTAATGTTCGTAGAGCCCAACGTGAAGGCTCTTACAACATCGAAATTACTCAAAAGATTTGTCACGATGGCGAAGTGAATCGGGCTCGCTATATGCCTCAAAATCCTGACATTGTTGCTACTATGGGCGTTGCTGGAAATTCTTATATTTTTAACTTGAATGATCACGGCGCTTTACCAACTAACAATTCTTTACCACAAGCTATCCTTCACGGTCATACTTCCGAAGGATATGGTCTTTGCTGGAACCCTAACCAAACTGGCCGTCTAGCAACTGCCGCTGAAGATCAGTTCATTTGTTTATGGGACATCAACACATCCTCCTTTTCAGCTACCCAGTCAGTGGATTTATCTCCTACCGCAAAATTTCATCGACATTCTGATATTGTTAATGATGTCCAATATCATCCTCAACATGAAGCCCTTTTAGTTTCAGTGTCCGATGACTGTACTTTACAGATACATGATACTAGGTTAAACCCTAACGATCGCGCTCCTAAGGTTATTCACGCTCACTCAAAAGCCATTAATGCTGTAGCTATTAACCCTTTTAATGACTACTTGTTAGCTACTGCAAGTGCAGATAAAACAGTTGCTCTTTGGGACCTTCGAAATCCTCATCAGCGCCTTCATACTTTAGAAGGACATGAGGACGATGTCTATGGCCTAGAGTGGTCTCCTCATGACGAACCTATTTTGGCTTCTAGTTCTACCGATCGCCGTGTTTGCATATGGGATCTTGCCAAAATTGGAGAAGAACAGTCTGCAGAGGATGCTGAGGACGGTGTCCCTGAGTTGTTATTTATGCACGGCGGGCATACAAACAGAATTTCAGAATTTAGCTGGTGTCCAAGTGAGCGCTGGGTCCTTGCTAGTTTAGCTGACGATAACATCCTTCAGGTATGGAGTCCTTCCAGAGTTCTTTGGGGTCGTGACGATGTACAAATATCATCTCGAGATTTAGAGTAATACAAAAAAAGAAAACATGACTTATTATAAAAAGTTGTATACATTTTAGTTTCACCATCTTTTCAAAATAGCCTACGAACTAACCAATACATGATTCCTCCTTTATTGACTATTTATACCGCTCAGTAGTACTTTTTTAGAACTTATTAAAAGAGTGTTAACTATCATCACTAACAAAACGTGTAAGAAATAGAATCCAAAAAATAAACAACCAAAAATATAAAACTTTAAAGGAATTAACGATGTTTCTTATACCAGTTCGTTTTGCAGATTTGTATAAAGACGTTTGTAAAGTTTTTTCGAGGATTTCCTTTTGTTTTGCAACCGTTGATAAACCCTTGAAATAGTATTAGTCAAACCAGCAAAAACATATTGCTGTCCACTAGCAGCACAAACATAATAAATTATGGCAGACAGTATTATAAGATTCTGAAAGCTGTTTGACGTAGGCGTAAGTTGAAACATTCTCATAAAATAATTGTTTTGATCCTGTAGCTTGATAAGAGAAACTGTAATTCCCAACAAGGCGAAAATTGTTACAGTAAAAGACACATTTCTCCACATTCTCTGTCTATAGGGAGGCCCAACAGTCAATACAAGCCCTATCAATATATACTGGAAGCAGGAAAATAAAAACAAGCTTGTTACATCGCTGTTGGCAATGCTTGATTTTTCGGATCCAGCTGCAGGGGGGGATATGTACCAAGGCTGCTGGCGGACGAGTCTAAGAATCATATACTGAAATGCGCAGATGAAGAAGATCTGTCCAATTAAAGGTGATAGAATCCGTTTTGAAACCAAATTTGCTGTAGGACGTTTCCGAGCTAGCCTGTGATAAGGCTTGGATCGTCCCATAAATACGGCAATCGGTAAAATAATTGCCAGGTCAATAAATAAGAATTGAAAGTCGCCTAAATTAGAATTTGTTGTATACAACATACTGACGGTAACAAATTGGATAGCAGAATATAAAGCCATGTATTGAAAACAACCAAAACTTGTTACCAATGCTGCACGACCGTCTTTAATGACATCTAGTACGCAAGAAATCTCAAACCACCGACTGGTGAAAGGAGCAGCCACGGAGGCTTCAGCTTCAGACAGCGAAATGCCAACGTCAGCAGCTTTTAATGCACCGCAGTCATTTGCTCCATCACCACAAAAACCAACGCAGTAATCTAGCTTTTGGAAGCATGAGACCAACTCGTTCTTTTCGGAAGGAGACATTCTTGCGAAAATTTGTGATTTTAGCAATATGACATAAAAATGCTCAGCGGGAGCATAATCAACTAACCACCGGAAGACATCACCTGTTATAGCCATGTGGTAATTTTTTAATCGTTTGAACTCAGTTGATAATAATTCACGATTTGCGGAATTCACCACAGGATGAAGGGTTAGAGGATCCAAGTAAACTTCGTTATCTTCAATTGACTGCCATATAAGTTTTCGAGATGCTATATCCCCAATGGACTCTTCTTCCTCAAACCGTGGTACAAAGACCAGACCATCTTCTGGAAGCATACCGCACCGTTTACCCACACATATAGAGGTCAATACGTTGTCACCTGTACACATCACAGTCCGAATGTTTGCATCTTCTAATTCTCTAATAACTGGAACAGTAGTAGACTTTAATTTGTTTTCAAAAACAATAAACCCACAAAAGTCTAAATCAGATTCAACTTGTGTCCGTTTCATCCTTTGTGCTTTCGCCCATGTACAGTTCTCCAAATGTTTGGATGCACAAGCAATAACTCGAAAACCATTATGGGTATAGTAATCTAATACCTCTTCGTAATTTTCAGGAAACGACTCAGGCTTGCAGATCGAAGACATAACTTCAGGTGCACCTTTTACATAAATATCCATTTTCTTACATTGCCCATGTTTCACTATTACAGCCATGCGGCGAAGTTGAGATACAAACTCGAAAGTTCGGATTATGCCAAGTTCCAAATCGCTTTCGGAATAATTGATTGATGGATCGTTCCATGGAGGTGATACAGTAGGTGGTATTAATTGCTGGGTTCGCATGTAAGCGGCATCCTCAGATTGCTCAGAAGAAGTCATCTTGTTCGTAAAATTCTCTTCCGAATATGTCCAATCCGTAAACTCAAACATTTTCAAATCTAACGGATCTCCTAGCAGTTCACCGTCCACGCGACGAAGCATATGACAAGTAGCCATTGTAAACAGTAAATTAGAAGGGCTATCATCAGAAAGCAAGTCTTTTGAACATAATTTACTAGGATTAGTTCGTAGATCACTTAATTTTGAATCTTCAATAACAGAAACACCCATAATATCAAGTCCATCTTCCGTAAGTGTTCCAGTTTTATCAAAACTTATGAGATCAAGCTTTCCACTTACATTCACACGTTGAGGACTGATGCAAAAAATCCCTTGCCTTCTTAATCTTGAAATTGCAAAAGTAGTACCGATTGTAAGAGTTGCCGGTAAAGCAGGAGGAACGACAATTGTGATTAAGTCTAAAGCACGAATGATGATAGTTTTAACAGGTACACCTATAGTCAATAAATTAATAGAACTAAAAACAAACCCGACAAGAGCGATAATAAACATAGCGGTGATAAATCGGAAAGAATCACGATAAAAGCTAAAGTTTGTCGGCTTTGGAAAAATCATGGATCGAACTAAGGCGCCTTTGGTGGTATTGAAACCAGTGCGAACGACCATGGCGAGAGAAGCACCTTCTTCTTTCTCATTAACAAAGGGCTTACGCACTTGAATAATTTTTGTTCCTCCGAAAAGGAAATGTTTAGAGAGAGAAGGAGGTATAATTCTAGAAAATGCAAAAAGATCTTTCATTCCTTGATCTGTAGCTGGAATCTTCGAAACGGGAATGGATTCACCAGTTAACATACTTTCATTTACAATGCAGTCACCTGAAAGCAAAAGAGCATCGGCTGGGAAAACCGTTAGTTCTGGATCCGAGATTTCAAAAACATCACCAATTACTAAGTCAGTAGATGGAATGCTAGCCCAAAAGCCATCACGATAAACACGAACGGGACAGGTAAATCGGGACATTTGACGCATACGTTTCAAAGTCGTTTGAGTTTCAATTAAGCTTCCAATGATAGATACCACAGAAATAGTGAAAATGCAAATAGCATAGTAATAATAAGCATCTAAAGACCAAAGGATAATTGAGAAAACTTGAAAAATATAAAAAGGATGCAAAACTTCATCCAACAAAAGCTGAATAACACCTTTGAATTCCAAATCAATCAAATTTTCGCCGAAAATTTTTAGACGATCATTGATAGCATCACGTTCCAAGCCTTCTTTGGCAACGTTGGTATCACGAATCCAGCGCGGATCCTTCCAATCTTGTTGAATAAGAAACCGTTCCAAGATGGGATGGAAAATTAACTTCATGTAGCGATAGTTTACATAGCGAAAGTTTTCAACGAAAGGATCATTATCAGTGTCTTCAGGTGTAGCCACACGAACAGAGGCACCGAAAATAGATGAAAGAGAATTCTCATAAGGTTGAACCTGAATGTCATACCTCGAGATCTCACCCCATTGAGTTTCAATAGTTAACCATTCCGCAGTAGCGAGCGGTTCACGTTTACCAATGAATCGAATGTAATATCTAGGGAGCCATCTCATTATAAGATAAACAAGACCAAAAGTAAGGATACATAACATGTTGTATATTCTAGCATGGAGTTTGTTAGTCTTGTATCCAGCAATTCCAACCTCGAGATCTTCTTCTACCAAATACATAATTTGGCAGCATCCATCATCACTTAAGCCAGCAGCTTCTCCGGGAGATTCACGTCGCAAAATAGGGTGAAAGTTAAGTTCCTCTAGCATCATCTCTGTAATTTCTTCTTCATCACTGTAAACTGCAGAACCATTTTCACGGAAAAAATTTGGGTAGTCTACGCTGCTAGCTGCGGCGATAGAGTCCGTGTCATTATATCGACTCAAGTTGTACTCAGATTGCAAATAGTCCATGCTGAATTGACTAATACTAGCATCAGAAGAACCTCGTTGAGTTTTGTGATGGAAACTAGAAATACTAGATGGAACGCTTGTTCCTAAGCCAGGACCATCAAAAATACTGTCATGACTCATTAAAGAACTCGCCAAATAAGTATTTAGTGATTTCTTTGAACCCAGCGAGGTCACTGAGTTCTTTCCCCGAATTGATCTAGGAGAAGTCATTTTTATTTTCCGTTACGATCTCTCTGAACCCCCTATTACAATCAATTCTTTCGATCTTTAGAGATTCGTAGGATGCTGAATGTGAGGAATATTGAACCAGTTTACATTGAGAAACATCGTTAGCAAAAAAATACAATTGTAATATACGCGATTGCATAATGTATATGATTATAAAGAAACTTTATTAAGAAAGGAAACCATAGAATAATTAAGATTTATAAGTACTTCTCGCTTTTTCGTTTTTGAGACTTTATAAATGAATAAAACGCCTTTAAATGTTATTTGAATGTAACAGCTTATCGATTTGAAATATTCGCATTATATAATTAAAACCATTAGTCAAATGTTACTTCGAGATCTCAAAGAAGACATGTTCCCCAATAGTCACTTATATCGTTTCCATTTGGTATCTTAAAAAGGTACATAATTCTTTAACAATAAGGTTTCTTAAAGTTTCGGCTGTAAATAAAACATCCTACAGGATTCATTTCAATGGCATTTTTGTCTGTTGTATAATTTTTTCAAGTAATGTATAAAATGAAGCAACATAATATGGCAATTATATTATTGTTGGGAATAAGGAAGGCAACATATCCTTGACAGTATTATATTTGGCCATTTGAAACAAGAATGCGTCGACTAATTTGAGAGAGAATATTTATGACTAGGAAATGCTATACTAGCAGGTAGGATAAAAACTTTTTATTCCAATACCGAAACCATTGAGTTCTCTTCAACGTAAAAAAGTGCAATAAAAGCATTCATAAACAAACGACATTTCAAGAAAAGCATGAATATAAGAATCCATTTCTTAACTAATGCAGCTATATAAGTAGAAGAGCATATAAAAACATTTCCATTTTTTGGCACGTAATGAAGCTTTCCTAAACAGCTATAAACATTGGTAACGGAGAAAAATTCCTATATATTTGTTTTTACTCCAAGTCAATAGCATTTCTTCCTCCTGAAGGATTGGTAAACAGGGAACTCATGAGATTAGCCAAGATATTGGGTTGTGTATTGACAGGACGAATGCCAAAATAAACATCTTCAAGTTTTGCAAGAGCCTAACGAGTTGTTAGAGATTTTTTGAGACTTAAGTTTCTAAAAAAGGACATACCGACTCCCATTCTGGCTTCTTTGGGTATTTTTGCGAAAGCGAAAGATAAGTTTCCTTATCCTTTCGATAAGCAGCAAGAACGAGTAAGTGTAAGTAGTTGAGAAAAGGATAAGAATTGAAAGTTGGAACCCGAATTCCGTCAATGGAGAAAGTCTCTTCTGGTGAATGTCCGGAGCGTTCAAACAACTGTACAAACTTGGTTAAAGATTGAAGGGCATCAGCTGGACTTCCGACTAAAAGATAATTGAGAACGGCACGTCCAATAAACAAGGCAGGATCTTCATCTTTTGAAGCTTGGGCCCAATTATACAGCATTTCAGCATAAAGAGCAGGACATTTTTCATTTCCTAATACAAGGTGTCGTTCTGCGGCAACTGGATCTCCCCCTATCTCCATGTCAGTATTGAAACCATTAAGAGAAATAAAGAAAAATAAAACTCACATTTCATAAACATAATACCAACTGATGCATGAACATCACGATCCCCCTGAGGTCCTGTAGAGTTTGTCCACCTGAATTCTTGTTAGCTACCGATATATCGTTTGAGCTTTCTTGAACTTAGGAAAATTCAAGGGCCCTTCTACCGTTACTGTCAACATACTCAAGAAGCTTCTTCACGTATTGCTTTTTACTTCCCTCCTCGGCTGGAAAGCATCCAAGAAGAGCTAACGCTTTTGCTAGTGAACTTGGTTAGATCCTATTTTCGTAGAGTAATTCTGCAGAAATTCAAACCTTTGTTATCCATCGACACAGAGCTCGACGCCTTTATAAAAACATCCACCAAATAAATTGATAAATCTCCAGCGCTTCCAGTTTGTTCGAGTTCGAAAAGAGTCTTTGCGCCGGAGTATAGTAAAGCAATTGAGTCATCATACTTCTTAGCCATAACTTGTCTGATCATCGGTTATTTACAGCCTTAAAGAAACAACGAACCTATTAACTAAAGTACGAATCATCTGATGACCTTCATAAGGGTCTTCTCGTAATCTATATCGCGTTAACTTTCATGTTCCTGGTTTTATAATGAAAATATAAACCTTGCTTCTGCTCTTTTTATTTTTGCTTCCATGACGCTCATATTTAATTAAATAAGAAAAATATCCTAGGTAACTAGCACAGCGACAAATTTCCTGAGAATTCGTTTGTTGTAGAAGGTCTATCCTCAACGACTTCCATATTATTTGAAGTCATTTCGGCATAAATCGCAGGAATTCTGAAAGCCTTAATTATATATAATACCAATGTATTAGAAATGGACTTTGACTGTTTGGAATTTGTTAATAAGGTATTTAAATCCAGTGTTGTTTTTGCTAATATATGTAGATTGCTACTATTGAATCGAATGGAGATACTTTAGACCATTTACCTCGTCTTATAACGTTAGCTTGTCAGAAAAATCAAGAGCAGCAAGTGTACCAAAGACTCAATGAACTAGCCAACAAGAATGCAATTCGCGTTGAACAGCTATGCGCCGAAAATAATCAAGTATATCAATCGTTTTTCAAGTACTTTTCTAACAATATTAATAGGACTTTAGTAAATCTGTTCATCAACTTTCCGTCGTGAGAAATGAGCTTCATAGTCTGCGTTCTCATATTGCAGACTTGAATACTGATATTCAAGCGAGCGGTAAGGATTTGAAAATCATGGTAAGTAAAGAAATTGAATTAGAAAACAAGTATTATGGTCAATTCACTGAGTGCAGTACTTACTAATCTACATCAGAAACAACAACTGAATTCATTGAGGGACTCTGAACGGAAGCTATATTTATATCAAGACTTGACTCAGAGCTGTCTTCAGATATTTTACAAGCTGAAGGATGCTCAAGAACTTTTATCAAAAAAGCAATACTTACCATCTTTGAGGATATACTCTGAAGTTCAAAAGATTAACTTAAAACGGATTGAAGGACTTACGTTACACTCCACCGTTCAGCAAATGATCTCTCGAATGCAAAATTCTGTATGCAGTTCGGCACTAGAGGACCTTCATGAATGGTTGTTTGCTTTAAGGAAAAAGCTACCACTTGTAGGGGAAATTTGCTTTAAAGAAATCGACGAAGCTCGAAGAAGATGGGCAAAGAATTACCGAGAGGACTTGACCAACCTTACTACGAAAACACCTTTTTCCTTGGATTTAGCAATTATGGAATATGTAGATTGTAAGTACCATTTGCCTAAGCTCTTGTCTAACATAATTAGTTGATCCTCTTAACAATGATTTGGTTCAGGTTGACTTTATTCCTTTGTATGTTTGTGTACAGGTTCACTCGTATTTGGGAATCTTAAGTTCCTTTCAGGCGTCATTTGAGAAGGACCGCAAACGACAGCAAGAATTTTTAGCTCCAAAAAGTCTAGAGTCCATCGATTTGGACGTTATTAGTGAATGGTTGAAATCAGTTGCTGGATACATGATTGTCGAATATTATATCCTGCAAGAGATTCCCAATTTCCGATCTTACGAAGAAGTCCAAAATATATGGGCCATTATTTGTGATAAATTGGTCGAAAGTATCTTACGAGTGGCATTTTCAGAGCAAAGTACAACGGCGATTATAAAGATGAAAAATAATATTGTTTTACTAATGCACACAATGGAACGTTTTGGTTTCCCAACGCATAGGTTACATAGTCTTTCTGTGGAGTTGATAGACGCTTTTGGAGGAGCACTGATATTAAAGCACTCCGTGTCTTTCGAAGAAGCCTTTGACACAGATTTATACGCTCCAATGGTGATCAATAACGAAAAGGAGTATGATGAATTGATAGCTCCTTACTGGACTTTACCACCGGCCCCTTTTCCTCGAATGGTGGAATTTTCTAAAATGTGCTCTTTGTGTTGTATTACACTTTCAAAATTCGCTCGGCACTTTTTTATGTTCTCTAATGACTCTATCACGTTGGCGTTGGACGTTCAGGAAAAGATCCCAAGGGTAAGAAGAATGCCAAGATTAAGTGCTAACAATAACAAACAAGTTTTATAGAAGATTTATTTTGCACAGCTTGCTTGATAGACTCAAACATCTTTATCCAAAACTAAATTTGTCACAGATGGCTCAGTTAGTAAAAAATTTTTATGCTTTTGAGGAGCCCTTGTTACAAATGGAGAAGACGTTGGTGATAAGCAAATCTACTTCTCATGCTGGAAATGAAATTACTAATGTGAATATCAAATCTTCCGAACTATTGGAAGGTTTAGCAAATGCACGCAAGTCTGCCTTACATGAAATTTTTGTTAAAATTAACCACAAAATTGATGATTTCATTGGTTTGGCTGAATACGATTGGTATGTTGATATCCTTGAACATTTTTATGAAATTCTAATAAGTTCATTAGGTCGACTACAGTGCCTCGCACTGCTCCAAGCGGATTTTTGCAAGAGATGGTTCCGTACCTACAAACCATTTACCTCGATTCCCTAGCAGGTCTTCCTAACCATGACAAGTCTTATGTGTACCTGGAAACTCTAGACCATTTATGCACTGCCATGATTGACTTACTTTCAAATCCTGCTATTCGGAAAATATCTACTGCAGCAGCGGAGGGATTTAAAGTCGATGTTGAATATTTGGAAAGCTTTGCTTCCCAGGTACCGGACCAGAGCATTGTGAACGCAGATAGCTTTATAGAGCTAAGACAATGTGCCAATTTACTGTTAGGAGATAACATAGAAGATTATTTGGACACCGACAAATTCACTCGTGACTTTAATCGTTTGCATCCATCGACTTCCGTGAAGCTATTAGAGAGGTATTTGAATTTTTGTTGTGAGAGAAATACTAATTAACCAATTTTTAGGCTCATTAGCAGTTATTCTGCCAACCCGTTAAGTAATGATCGACCGAAGCGTAGAGCTATAGAAAACCTACTTGCTGTATTTCGACGAAAAACAAATTGAATGCAGGGAAAGGGATTTTCGAGTTTTATTCGTTTCATGAATGGATACGATTTACGTCTAAGATTATTCCTAGGATATTTATGAGCTTATGATACCATAAAAAATACAATGAATTTACTTGCACAGTTTTCTCGAACAAGTTGTAATAGAATTTCATTGAAGTCTTATTTGAAAGATGAAAAAGAAGAAAAAAAAAAGGTAATTTTCAATGAATAGATTTTTATTTATTACTGAACACAAAGTACTTTGTAAGACTCTAGTCGCATACCTGTCAAATTATATATATTAGTTTTCTAACTTCAGGGTCTCCGACCATCCACTACATTCATAGTAGAGTTTCGGTTTATATAAACGAGAATGTCTTTAGGAACTTTATACTCTTTTAAGGACAATACTAGAACTGTTTGTTTGCTTGAACTAGCTAGACGTTTGAATTTACAAGTTGACCTTGTTGAAACTTATCCTCACAAGTTCCCTGCCGAGTTGGCTGCCAAATTCCCTCTTCAAAAGGTAAGAAATGACGAGGAATAAAAAATAAAATAAAAGATGAAAAACTTGTGATTGGTAATTTTATATGAACAACAAATTCTTATAATCAGTGCTCCATTTTCCTTTCTCCTTTCTCCTTGAAAAGTTTACTTTAGCGCTTTATTTGACATTACTGTATCTTAAGTGTGTGCTTTTTTCACTGATCTACGTGGAAAAATGGATGCATTGAGAATGTTCTTGTCGTGTGTTATAATATTGCAGGAAAAGCTTACTCAATCGACCTCCCCTACATATTTTTGTTTTGAGATATGCTAACAATCGCAGCTCCCTGTATTCATTGGTTCCAATGGGCTCGAATTGAGCGAACTCGTAGCCATTCTTAAGTACTTCTATGAAGTGGGCAAGCAGAATGATACCGAGCTACTTGGTGCAATCAATGCAAAGGAAGAAGCCGAAATTTGGCAATGGATTGGATATGTGAATTCTGATATCGTAACTCCTTCTGTCATTCGTCCCTGGTTGGGCATGTGCCGAGGTGCGACTCCTTACGAAGAAAAGCCCTTCAAGGAGTCTAGCGGAAAGGCTTTGGGTGTTTTGAAGAAATTTAATGATATGTTAATTGACCGCACCTTTTTGGTTGGTAACCGCTTCACAATTGCCGACTTAGTTGTTGGCAGTATGTTACGCCTTTTCTATCGCTTCATCGTTGACCCTGAGCAACGTTCTAAGCTCCCTCATTTGACCAGATATTATGTTACCATGTTCCATCAAGGTAACTTATCTGAAATTATTCCCTTGGAATTGATTCCTTCTGTAGTTATTGCAAAGAACTAGGCACTATTTTTTACAAAAGCAGTGAATTTAACTGCGTATATTGAATATTGAATATAAATATAAAATTAAATTGATTTTGTTAATAACTATGAAATTTGTCAGTAAAAAGGACGCGTATCATTTGTTTTTAGTCTAAGAGACTTGTGAGATCGTGAATCGTAGGGAATGTATTTTGGGGAAACAAAACACAGGCATGTTCATTTTAGTAACCATCACCGTCCTTAAACTCAATCTTTTTAGAAAACGCATCTCCTATTTCTTTTGCTAAGATATCAAGCATGGTACCTTCATCCCTTGTGGACTTCCAAGTTTTTACGTTTGAGGCCCATTCAAAGTGTTTAGGACCACTAGACACGTTAGCAAAAGAAAATTGGCAACCATAAACATCTTGATTGAAGACTAGAGCTCATCTGGTCTTTCGAAAGAATTACTAAAAAGACTCTGTTGGACTTGTAGTTGAAATAAAACAACCAAGACATATACTAACTCTGCAGAAACCTTCAAAGCCCCTCCAAACCTTTTTTGTTTCATCTCTTTGATACCCATTTGTTGGCTATTCAAAATGTAGTTTGACTTACCTAACTGGGGATGAGAGCCAGACCTGATGTGCTGGTGGTTGTTTATTAATAACATAAGTACCATGATCTCCAAGATTCAAAGTTATTACGCCGCTCTATGCGGCTTCAGTTAGTATTATGCTTCCTTTCCAAAAAAACAACACGGACTTACCGAATATTCAATGTCATAATCTGTTCTTCCAGATTGTTCTAGTAGATCTTCAAAGGTATTGTTTAAAACTTCGAGCGTATCGTCAGCACGTCGGTGGTATTCCAAGTCAGACAAAGGTCCATTTTGATTTACAGTTGACAAGAACCTTAGACGAAAGTTCCAGCCAGCAAGTGAGCGACGAAGAGGTCGCAAAGAATTTAAAGAAGCTTTTCCAAACAAATTTCCTCGTAAAGATTGCATAGAAACAAAAAAGTCGAGTAAAAAAGAAATCACAGAATATCTGACCTAAAAAGTGATATTACAAAAGATAGCTCTGGGTAATTCAATTTTTTAAAAAAACAAGAAAGAAAATTGTAATAGGAGTCGCGGTATTTGGGAATTGAAACAATTGGTAAAACTATACGCTTATGTAGCTGAGTTTAGTACTCAGTCTCTTATAAAAAAAGCGTGATTACTTCAAAGAATGAGCAACCCTTTAGTAGAAAGGTTTGAATGAAATTGTTACAAATGAAGAATTGGATAAATTGAGATAGAAAAAAAGAGTTTTATTTGCAGCTGTTCTGTAATTCAAACCAAGAAAAATGAGCGCTACTTCTATTCCAAGATAAATAAAGAAAGAGAACAAAAGTTCAGATTATTAAATTGCTTTCTCTTTTTCTGTACGTGTTCGAAATAATGCTTTGATGTATTGAGCTATGCATCCAGTCTATAGAGTTTTAGCCAAGAAATCTATATAAAAAAAAAAAAAACAAATATCAATATCAATATCTTATTTGATGCAACTTGGACCAACCGATCAAAACTTCGAATCAGGTATATACCAAGGGGTTTGAAAGCATTAAAACCATGAATTTGGAGGGGGGAATAATATGAATAAAAGATGAACGATCAGAAAAATAGCTGACTCACAATTTTTCAGCTCGGAGTCTCTGAGTTTGTCTGCCTGGGTTTTGGCTTTCTATAATACCAATTAAGCAGCCGATAGGGAACAACTCTAGGCTTTATTTCTCCCTTCATCATATTGTACCTTAATAATAAGTATTCTTTAAACATGGCTCTTTGATTGAAAACCGGATATATTTTATATCGAATTGTCCATTTATCGTCTTTACGGAGCTTTTGAATGAAAAACCTCCTCTTTCCATTGACATAATTGGTAACTCGAACTTGGAAAGCGTAAAAACGATTATAATTATTTACAGGCTCAGATAAATTCACTTCTTCAAGATTGGCAGGATTGAATTTATGATTCTCATTGTCGGGAACTGCTTCTACAAAGACTTGCAAAGCTGGATTCTTTGTATTTTCTTGCGTAGAGAACATTAGTCGTATAGACTGCTTGGGAAATTTAGAAGAGGCATATTGTAGTATAGATTCAAGGAGCTGAATACTAAGCTTAAATTCGGCGTCACCTATATTTCTTCCCCAATGGATTGCTTTGTCCATCTTTTTCAGACTAACAAATTGAAATCCAAAAATTTGACACGTGTTATGATACGCGACAAAGACGCCTTCCATGCGACCTAATCGAGCCTGTAAACTGTATTTCAAAAAAGCAGACCGAATCATATCATAATATTCTCGTTCATAAGATACAAAATTTCCGTAATATTTGTCAAGAGTATAAGAATCATAGACCTCAGGTTGAGTTTGATTAAGACGTACTCCAAGTACAGCTCTTGTTTTCAGGTCAAAGACCCCAGAATTTGGCAAAGCCTTGTCAAAGCAATCTAACTGAGATCGAATAAGGAGGCTCCGACATTTGCTATATTGAAATACATCTATTTGAGGTTTTGGTTTCTCTGGTAAATTTTCATTTTTCAGATAACGACCATAATCTTCTTTTTCTAGAGTGAAAAAAGCCTCTAAAGACTTCCCTATACTCATAAGAATTGTATTCTCGTTTGTTTTTGATGATAAGCTGTGATCTCTGTCGATACAATACAAGCCATTTTGGTAGGATAAATGAACGGAGCTAGGTGAGCGACATAAACGAGTGTAATGCTGTTCGTTTTTTGCTACACGAAACTTTTTTGATAAGCCTAAAAAGCTCGGTGGTTTCCACTTGCTAAGGAAAAAATGAATTTGTGAGAGTAAACCTGTCAAAGAACTCGTTGATCCAGCGAACTTTGAATTAGTCTCATGGCCAGCTTTCTTCAATGCTGTATCTTTAGAGGGGGGATAAAACTTGCTTAAGAGGCCGTAGTTAAAGTCGTCAACTGGTGTCACCTTCGATAAATACTCGTCCCAGTTAAATTCTTGAGTAGTAGGGTCCCTCAAAAATTTAAACCGATTGTTATTCAAAACTGTATTCAATTGATGCTGTAATTGATTTACTTCTTCCTGCTTGACGTTGTTTACTTCTACATATGTTAGCAAATCATCAAATTGAATCTAATAATCTTACTTGGAAAAATCTCGGCGCGAGAATCAATTACGCCGGATTTGAAGCTTTTTGAATAAACATTTCTTTTTAGTATGTATGAACCTGAAACCTTTGCGCTCCACAATGATAATAGCCGCAAGTTTGTTTGCTCAATTAACAGCAACATTCCATCAGTTTCGTTTTTTTTGATACCTGATTTCCTTTTTCATAAAAAGAAAAATTAAGTTTTTTTTGCTTCAAGGACTCTTACTTTGCGTCCATACCCTTTTATTCAACAATGGTCTATTGCTTGGTATATGTTAAAATGTAGGCTATATGGCAAAAGTGCAGGTAAATGTGAGTCGAGTCTTAAATATCATTAAAACGTTCAGAGTTATAAAAAATAAATAAGTTTATAAATAAAAAAATAAATGAATATTAATCATTGACTTTCCAAATCATTGCTGACTTTTACTTCCTTCCATAGTCGTAGAAGCCATTGATAATTCACAATTTCAGGATTGATTTGATGACTAAAGGTTAGAATAGTTTGATAGATTGAATTGCAATACCACATACAATTCACATGCTCGTCGTAAGTATGCGACGCGATCCTGATCGCTGCTAAACATAATTATATGAGTTAGTTGTTTGGAGAAAAAAGTATTTTGCACAGAAGCGCCGTTCCACGTCAGAATAGTTTCCGCCAGTCGATACTGTGATCTTTTAAGACTGCTGTCTTTTGAAATTTCAAACCCACTGTCGTCTAAGTAAGCAGAAATATGAGACAGAGGGAATGCTCCAGGAAACGATGTCTCCCTTGCTAAAAGGTGCTTCGAACTAAATAGATTTTTTCTAGTATTCTCTGGGATATAAATATTTAAATCTAATCGTCCCAGTTTAGTCAGTAATTCAGAAAGACTAGAATTGGTTAAGCTTCCTAAATCTTTCTCCCAAGAATACTTTTTCTCTTTTTGAAATAGCAGGCTTCTATGTTAGATTCAGTCATTGGGTTTCTTTCTACGTACTATGGTCGTTCAGCAACCTTCTTTCCTTTAATTATGCTGTCCATAATCCATTCAGGCCGAAATATGGAGCACATTCCTTTTTTCTCTTCCACAAGTACTCTTGTTGATTCTAGCGCATGTGAATAACTAAAACGTGACGAATCACTTACTCTTATCCGCTACTAATACCATTTTCCCTTCCGGAACGGAAGTAACTGCTTGATGGATTGTGCCACCATTGGAAGCAATTATGCTTTCCAATTCCTGCTTTGATTTCTCAAGCTTTGACGGAGGAAGGACGACTGCTTGTTAATGAACGAGCAGTATACAAACAACTTACCAAAATGTAGCCCCTGAAATATGCTAGACAATGGAGTGGACTGCTTTAGCGGACTATTAATTTGATGTAGAAACTTTTTTTCCGGCTGTCTTTTCCGACTGACTTTTCTTTTTTTTTCAACATGACTAAAGCAGTTAGTTATTCATATCACAAAACGCTGGTAATTTTCATACTAGACATCTTTTTCTTGATTTTCAGCGTAACTTTTCAGTTCAAAAAACTCATTTATAGACAGAGCATCTTTCCAGCTTCGATCCAACCGAATTTTCTCCAGTCGGGGAAATCGCAACGTATACGTAGTCTTAAATCGATCTTAATAAAATTAGAAGTAAGAATTTAGAAGCAAGTAGATTATAACTTACTAGAAACGACAACTTCGGCAGCTTTAATTTGAAGTACAAGTGAATCTCTAGGATGAATCCAAACATCGGGTTTCTCAAACTCTTGTCTGCTACCAGCTAATTCAAAATACTCTAATGCTTCTGAAGACCATAGCTGCCATTTTCCTTCAGTCTCCTTTCTAATATAATTTAGTTAGAATTTGAAAAAGTATTTGAGATCCTTACCGGATAATATCACGATCGAAGTAAGTAAACCCACCTCCAACGCGAACGAATGATTGAAACCTTGGTTATTAGAAGTTAGTCCTTAAAAAAAGCTTACCTTTGATATGGCTCTTCTCCTGGAGCATGATCAACTCGAAGACCACACAAAAAAGAGGAAGCCTGTTTGGATTGCTTACCACGTCCAAAATAACCACCTGATATTAATTAATAAATTTTTTTGTGCCTTGATATTACCTAGAATAAGACAATCCAGATCCTATTATCTCCTTCGTTAATTATATACTTCGGAAAAGAGTAAACTCACCTCTCCAAATCCTTCCAAATAGTATGGTTTTACTTTGATCCAATCATCCATTCGTTCTCCCAGTCGATAAGTTCCAGAAGGTTTCTATAATGTAAATATATTCTGCAAACCAAAAGATCTTACCTTTATTACCAGACCCTCTGATCCCTCTTGAATTGTTTGTCGTAGTTCTCGATCTATATCACTAACAGTTTGTCCAGTTTTATGAGAAAGTATACACATTCTTCGAGATTCACGAACGATCACTTTCTTCAGAATCTTATGTCTTGCTTCAAGGGAGTGTCTGATTAACGACTTTCCATTCAGGTATAGTATATCAAACACGATGTCTATAATAAGAACTTAAGTTAGCTATACTATTTCAAAGCTTCCAGTTTTCCTTACAATAAGGGTAATATGTAGGATGAGTTGATGAAGAATCAAATGTGCTCCTTAAGCTACCATAAGGAATGATAGTTTCTAATATTGGATCCCAGGTAACCATCTCGCCATCCAAAACAACTTGCGAGACCCGATCATCAAAAGCTCCAATGATATATTGAGTAAGCTTTGAGTTTTCATCATGGTATGAGGAGCCATAGACATCCGTATATGTCCTTGCATTTCGACTGTAGAATTGAAACTTTCCCATGCTCATATGTAGCTGTATGCGCTCCCCATCCATCTTTTCTTCAATCCAAAAATGTTCACTGTGCATGGCCTCTAGCACAAAATCAAGGGTCGATTTCTTAAAATTGGCCAATTGTGGCTGAAAACAGCTAAAAACCTCAACATCGGTATCCAATTCACTAAGACTTCTACTAGGATCATACAGCTCCCAAGCAATACGCTTTAGAGAACTGCAGAGACGATACAATCGAGCTGCATCTGGGTGAAAAACGCTTAATATAAACTTTTCCGAGGTTCCGTATTTTCTGACTAAAAAAAAAAAAAANAAAAAAAACCATTAGCAACCAGGTTTACAAAGAATTACATACCCTTAAGAAGTATAACAATTAACCATCGCATTTCAAGCGGGCTTAAGGAATTATAGAATTTTTCTAGAACAGATCCCCTTTCTTCTCTTAAATTTTGTTAAACACTATCTTATGCAACGGTCGTACTCTGAAGTAGCTTCTGCTAAGTGGTCTAATAAATTATTGATATCGCCAATAGTGAAGGAGCTGGGAAAGGTCCGATAAGCCCGTCTCTCTAAAACATCTAGTTAAGTAGTTAATGTAGAGGTTCCTATAAAAATTGAGCAAACCTTGAAGCATCGCAGTAAAATTCCCAACGTGTCGGGAATCAGAACTTCGCCAGTTTCTAAGTGCTTTGGCATCTTCGGAGTTTGCGCTCAAATGCATAGCCTGTTAAGTAATTCATTAGAGTACATATTATGGAATCCCTTACGAACCCTTATGAAAAGTTTTCCCAAACCAAACTCTTTGAATCCAAATGAACCTCTTTCTCTGTCCAACTGCAGACATGTTAGATGCATATTCTTTGAAGTTTTAGAACTTGTCAGCTTGTAGAAAAGACAGCTGATGTGCACGTACATCAGGCAGCACTAAAAAAATATTAGTTGACAACCAACTTTTTCAGTCTTACTTAAGCGTAGTAAAGGATATAGATCTTGTCCTACTTGTTGTCTCCATTTGGTGAAATAACTAGAAATGATTTTTCGTTTTTGTTCGTAAGGGTCGATTCCTGAGCCTTTTGACTTTCTAGTTTTTCCTATCTTTTGCAAAGGCTCTAACAAATTTACTACGAAGTCATAAAACCTCAATGGCTCAGAATGATTGCTAGGTTTAACTAGCCCTGTAGCTGATTCAAACGACTCCATACTCTTCTGACATAAATACTTGCGAATGTAAAAATATAATATTCATAGAAGCAGAAAGCATTCAAAATGGATTTATTTACTCGCAGATGTCCAATAAATATTGGCTACCTTGATATGAGATGTAGCAGGGTTGGCGGTTCCATATTTCAAATCCTTACTTGGCGACACTCTTTTCCTGTGAAAGTGAAACCAGTTTTTTCACTTAACTATTTTAAAATGAGCGTACTGGAAAATCCTGAAAAACGAAAAGTTGAGGAGCCTATTGCAAATGCTCCAAAAAAAACGAAACAGCAATGTTTAGATAAATTCTTCACTGCGAAACCTAAAATACAACCGAAAGCTCCTGTTTCTAACGCCAATATCATTTCTGATGGAAATAAAATAAAATTTGATAAAAAGAAATGGGCTGAAGAACTGACAGACGACCAGAGGAAGCTGCTACAGTATGTAAATACTACATTATCAGTAATGAAAGGCGATGACAAGCAAGTATAATGATGCTAACTTCTCATTTTTATAGACTAGAAATTGATACCATGGAAGATTCTTGGTTTGAAGCTCTAAAGGATGAATTTTTACAGCCATACTTTTTAAACCTGAAGCAGTTTCTTCAAAGTGAATGGCAGGGAGAGAGGATTTTCCCCCCTAAAGAAGATATATATTCTTGGTCGCATCATACTCCTCTGTCCAAAGTTCGCGTCATTATATTGGGACAAGATCCCTATCATAATGTTGGGCAAGCTCATGGACTTTGCTTTTCCGTCCGACCAGGGATTCCCTGTCCACCTAGTTTAATGAACATATATAAAGCTATAAAAGTTGACTACGAAGATTTCGTCATACCGAAATCGGGGTATGTATATCTCGTTTTAGTTTCAGCTGGTTTTTTGTTTACTGAAGCAATGTTATTAACTAATTGACATTAGATATTTAATACCATGGGCTGATCAGGGAGTTTTAATGCTAAATGCTAGCTTGACTGTTCGTGCTCATCAAGCTGCATCCCATTCAGGTAAGGGATGGGAGCGATTTACATCTGCGGCTCTTCAAATTGCATTAAATAAGCACAAACGTGGAATTGTAGTGCTTGCTTGGGGAACGCCTGCTAATAAACGTCTTCAAGGGCTTCCTTTACAGTCGCATTGTGTACTGAAGAGTGTTCATCCGAGCCCTTTGTCCGCTCATCGCGGGTTTTTTGAATGTCATCATTTTAAGAAAACAAATGAGTGGTTAGCTGAACGTTATGGAGCTGAAAATTCTATTAACTGGCATGCTGTTTCTCTTCCTACGCCTTCAAAATCTGCAAGTATGAACAAGCCTTTAGGTAACACGGTTGAAGGTTCTTCACTCATGGCAGAAAAAATAAAGCAGGAGGAACAAAAGGCATGAAAAATTCGAGCATGGATTTCTGTTATTATATATTACTAAACGTAGATTTCGTTCATTTTGATTCATTATCTTTATCTTTTCCAAGTGTTTCACTCTTTTATTTCGATTTGAAGAATATCTATGGTTTTGATTTTTGATATCCCTTATTGGTATGGCGCTTCATAGGAATAAGAAAAAAATTTTCGATTTTCCATTGAAGTTCGAATAGCGGATTGAATATTTTTTAGCTTTTGCATGCGTCTTTCTTGCATCTTCTCATGATAGTCCAGTTCACGCCTTAATACTTCAGTTTCTTGTCTTGCTTTGGCGACCATTTCATTTGCTTCAGTAAACAAGGAAACTGAAAGCTCTTCCATTTCTTTTTGGCTTTTATCCAACTGACTTTCAAGCTCCTCTCGCCTTTGAACTTCATGGGATAATTGTTCCTTCATCTGACTCAGTGCCATGGAATTTGCTTTATTTGTCGGATTTTTTTGTTTTTCTGGTATCAGTTTTTCGTTAACATTCTCTTTATTAGACATTGAGGTAAACAGCCTTGTTATTTCTGTCTCGTTAGTCCATCTGTCATTTTATGCTTTCTTCGCAGTCTTTCATTCTTTTTTTTCTAACTTACGAGATCCACTCATCATAATTTGCTATTTGGTTCATTACAAATAACTTATGTTGCTTTCATCTCAGCAATATTGTTGTTTGGTTTGATTGTAAACATAAACAACGAACCCTTGTTAGTACACATACTACCACATTTCTCTCTTTTCAATATGCTTCCATTCATTGGAATATATAAAGATCATTTATAGTTAAGAAAAAGAAAAAGAAAAAAGAAGAATTATTAATTGAATACCAACCTAGCCAATTTCCGGCCTGTTAGTAAACAATTTAAGTAAAATTATAAACATTTTGATAAAACCTTTCTGAGAATCATTGCTTCTGTTTAATAATCTCCCTTTTTCCATTTTCAGCTATTTACACTAAATAATTGCGTTTAATCTTGGAGAACAATCTAATAATTAGTACATTCTTCTTATTCATAAATCCCAACTTATTTACTACCTAACGAAAGAAAGAATTCAAAAAGCCATTTGAACCTTCAGATTGCATTCAATACAATGCATTTTCGTTTCATACCTGTCTCTACTTCTTATTTACTACTGTAGAGAAACGTTTTCGTTATGGTTATTTAACGCGGGTCAACATTACTCCGTCTTGATGCCCGACCCTTCCTGAATATTTTTCGCCTTGTAGCTACAAGAGACTAAAAAATTACCAACAACCTTTTTGTTGAGTTCTTTGTTCCAGTCGAATTTATTTGCTAATATCTCCTCAAATTTATAAGAGATAATGGCTGGAAATAAGAGAAGGAGGGAGACCGTTTCGAATGGCACCGATAAGCCAAAGAACGATAACTCTTCTCAACAAAATGGAACTACATCGTCTCTTTCTGCTATGGAATCCTCTGGAGATTTCCCTCGTGGAGGAGGCTCCACGTTGACACCTCTTGAATATAAAGAGGCTGTAACAGAAGCCAAACGAGAGGCCCTTATGGGTACTGATGGAGCTGAAGTTACCAAGACTTCAACCAAACCAACCAAAAAGAAAAAGAAGGTGGCTGCTAAGGCCACTCCTTCTAACGAAGAAGACTTGTCTTCAGTGCCTGTCGAAAGCTTGAAGTATAAAAACATTGTACCAGGAACATTGCTTTTGGGACAGATCTCTCAAATTAATACCTTAGATATAGCTGTATCCTTACCTAATAACCTTACCGGATATGTACCTATTACCAACATCTCTGATAAGCTTTCTCACCGTCTTGAAAATTTGGATGATGCTGCAGCTGGTACCGAGAACGAAGTCGTTGATCAGATCGACGAATTTAATAACTTTCCCGATTTAATTGATCTTTATCATGTTGGACAATGGGTTCGTGCATGCGTAACGAAAGTTGGTATGGAAGAGTCAAAAAACAATAAAAAGCATATTGAGTTGAGTATGCGCCCTCAAGATGCAAATGGTTCCACAGAAGATGCTAACAACTTTACGCGTGGGTCCGTGATTCAAGCTGCAGTTAGCAGCGTGGAAGACCACGGTATTGTTTTCGATGTGGGACTGAAGAACTTTACCGGCTTTTTGTCAAAAAATAAGGTAGGAGAATTTACGTTTGCAGAAGGTCAAAGCTTGATTTGCACCGTTCTATCAAAAGATCAACGTATTTTTCACCTATCCCTTTCCACGCCAGCTTCGGCTCCTCTAGATGTTTTGCCTTCTGTTCAAGCTATTCTTCCCGGTAACTATATTAATGTGCTAATTACTGATCTCAAAGATAATGGTGTCGTCGGAAAGTATATGGGTGTCGTTGATGTAACCAGTGACTTGTACCATTGTTCTGCTAATCAGACAAAAGATTTGGAAAAACAATTCAAACTTGCCAAATCTTCGCCGGCTCGCGTACTTTTCGTCATCCCTGGTGATCCTCCAAAGATTGCAATTTCTTTCTTACCTCATGTTCTGAACTTTAATTTTGATTCAGCAAAACCCCAAAAGCTTGACCAGCTTGATGTTGGATTTATCATTGACAGTGCTAAAGTAACATACGTTAGTCCTTCTCTTGGCGTTTTTTGTGATGTAGGCGTTCCTGGTATCTACGGTTTTACCCATATCTCTCGTTTGTCGGATAAAAAGGTAGCAAACGTTAACTCAAATAATGGTCCGTATAAGCTTAATAGTGTACACCGTGCCCGTGTAATTGGCTATAGCTACGTTGACAACTTGTTCATCTTGTCCTTCCAGAATTCCGTTTTAGAACAACCCTTTTTACGTATTGAAGATATACAAGTTGGTCAACATGTGGAGGGTACTGTGTCAAAGCTAATTCCACAAGGTATCGTCGTCTCCGTTGCAGATGGAATCAATGCATTGGTGCCATCATCTCATATGTCAGACATTGCTTTGCAGTTTCCCGAGCGACGTTTTAAGGTTGGAGCTACTGTCAAGGGTCGCGTGTTGACGACGAATGTTCTGAGAAGAAGAGTTATCGTCACATTAAAGAAGTCCCTTTTAAACAGTGAATTGCCTCCAATTTGCACTTATGAAGAAGCAACACCAGGTACTCGTGCTATAGGTGTTCTTGCCCGTGTCTTAGAAGATGGTGCGGTTGTAGAGTTTTACAACAGCGTTCGAGGTTTCTTGCCTGTGTCTGAGATGAGTGAAGCTTATATACGGGATGCGAGGGAACATTTTAAGATTGGTCAAACTGTTTCTGTTACTATTCTTAGCTGTGAACCATCTGAACGTAAAATGAGAGTCAGCTGTCGTGAGCAAAATTGGGACGAAAAAAGACTTGAACAATTTAATAATATTCCTTTGGGCTCTGTTGTTTCCGGTTCGGTTTTACAGAAAACTGAAAATTCTGTTATTGTCGATTTGGGTAACAAAGTCTCAGGCGTCATCGCTTTAGGTCATTTGTCAGATGGCGATCTTACCAAGTGTACTAAGGTTTTGAATAAACTTCGTGTTTCTACTAAACTAACAGATGTGTTGGTTCTTCGAAAGGGCCAAGACAAAAAAAATATAAGCCTGTCATTAAAGAGGAGTCTTATAGAAGCTGCTAAGGAAGAACGCTTCCCCAAGGCTATAGAGGAAATAAAAGAGGGTATCAAATATGCTGGTTTCGTCCGCAATACAACCGATTTCGGTGTTTTCGTCGAGTTTTGTGATGGCTTAGTAGCGTTGGTACCCAAAGCTTATTTGTCAGAAGACTATGTACCTGTACCAGGAGCATTATTTAAATCTCTGCAGTCTGTTGAATGTGTTTGTCTCTCTGTGAATCTTCAGCAGAAGAAAATTTTCATGTCTTTCAAGCCTTTATCTTCTAATAAACAAAGGGTAACTGAAGTTTTGGATAGCAAATATGACATTGAAAAACCTGTAGATGAGTCTATTAAGAAGACTTATAATTATACGACCGGAAAGATCACATGGGGTATTATAACTTCAGTCAAAGCTTCTCAGCTTAACGTTGAATTGGCCGCTAATTTACAAGGTCGTGTTGAAGTTTCTGAGGTATTTGACCGACTTGAGGATATTGAGAATCTCAATAAGCCTCTTAAAAACTTCAAGAAAGGTGATAAAATCCGTGTCCGTGTTTTAGGTATCCACGATTCAAAACATCATAAGTTTTTACCTATCTCACATCGTGTTGCTCCCAAACAATTTTTGGAGTTGAGTATGCGTCCTTCTGTCATGAGTATGGAGCCCTTCAAATTAGAAACTCCCTCGTTCAAGAAAGGAGATTCTGTTGTTGCTTATGTTAACAATACGTCTCAGGAGTGTGTGTGGGTTTCTATTACGACGACAATTAACGGAAGGATCATGGCTATGGACTTGGATAATGATGCGGAAGTTATCAATGCTATACCTAAATACTTTTTTGGGGGTAAAGCTTTGAAGTGTACAGTAATTGATACCTCAAAAATTCTCAGTCTTTCCCTCATAAAACCTGTTGACGGTTATGAATCCGTCAATGTAGGGGATAAATTCGTGGGAAGAGTGACAAATGTAAATGACAGCGGAGCGATTGTTCACCTTCCTGGTCATTTATCTGGAAGAGTTTCTCGTTTAGACATGTCAGATGATTACGATATTGCTCCGAGTGAAAAATTTGTTCGTAATAAATACATTTCGGTATATGTTTTGGACGTTGATGTTCCAAATAAGAAAATTGCCCTTTCCGCTCGTGAATCTAGAGTAAAGCCACAAACAGCTGAGGTAAAAGATCGAGAAGTGGAATCCATTGAAGATCTGAAGCCTGGTGATATCTGTCGTGGATTTGTTTCCAACGTTGCAGATCAAGGTCTTTTCGTTTCATTAAGTCGCAATTTGGTTGCCAGAGTAAAGATTGCAGAACTCTTTGATACTTTCATTAAAGAATGGAAGACACAATTCCAAGTTAACAAGCTCGTGAGAGGAAAAATACTCAGTGTTGATTACGATACCAAGCGTATCGAAATGACACTTAAACCCAGCAAAATAGATGAATCTTCTTCGATTACGACTGCGTTTTCTGATATACAGGTTGGAAGTAACGTTGATGGTACTGTTGCTAAAGTTGAAGATTATGGTGTTCTTATTCAAATCGATAGCACTGATGGCATTTTAGGTTTGTGTCATAAATCTGAAATCGCAGACGCTGTTGTCAATGATATAAGCAGATTATACAGCGTAGGTGATAAAGTTCGCGCCCACGTTTTGGATGTTAATCCTGAGAAACGACGTATCTCGTTAGGTTTAAAATCGTCATACTTTGATGCAGATTCAGATGTTGAATTATCAGATGAAATCGAAATGCAGTCCGCCGATGAAAGCTCTGAAGACGAAATGGAAGAAGATCAGCAGTCCGAGGCAGAATCCGACAAAAGTTCATCGTCTGAAGATGAAAATGATAATGACGAAACTGCTGCATTGAACGTTAATGGTTTTGATTGGGACGATAACTCTACCGTCTTCGATAAACCTGCCCATGAAATATCTGAAAGCGAAAGTGAAGATGATGAAACTCCTAAACGTAAGAAGTCAAAATCTGACCATTTCAATGATGAGGAGCGCAACTTAGATGAAGCTCCACGCTTACCCGTGGACTTTGAGCGTCAATTGCTATCATCACCCAACTCATCCTTTTTATGGATCAGTTATATGGCTTACCAATTGAACCTTAATGAGATTGAGAAAGCTCGTGAGATTGGCCAACGGGCTTTGACAACAATTAATTACAGGGAAGAAGAGGAAAAGTTGAACGTTTGGATGGCATTGCTTAATTTGGAAATTGCCTACGGAACGACAGATTCTCTTCAAAAGACTTTCAAGGATGCTTGCGCACACTGTGAACCTCTGGTTATATATGAAAAGTTGTGTGGTGTCTTGATCAAGAGTAACAAGATGGATCTGGCTAATGAATATATGGAAGGTATGCTGAAGAACTTTAAGCAAGTCCCAGGCGTTTGGATTCAGTATGCTTCTTTCCTTTTGACAAACGGTAACGAAGATAAGGCAAGAGGCTTGCTGCAGCGTAGCTTGCAGAGCTTACCTAAATCTGAACATGTTAAAATAATTGAGAAGTTTGCTATCCTTGAATTTAAACAAGGTGACCCTGAACGTGGTCGCACCGTGTTTGAAGGATTGTTGAGCAATTATCCGAAACGTCTCGATTTATGGAATGTCTTAATTGATATGGAAATCAAGCAAGGCGATACTGCTATCGTTCGTCGTCTCTTTGAGCGTGTGTTAGCATCCAAGCTTTCTACAAAGAAAGCTAAGTTTATTTTTAAGAAATGGTTGACTTATGAAAAGGAAATTGGCGACAACAAGGGTGTTGAAGCAGTTAAGCAAAAGGCATTGGAATATGTGTCTGGAAATCGGGAGGATTAATCTCTCAATCCAAATATATATTCTTTTGGGATATCAACGTTAGCATGATGATTGCGCCTATCTTTGACAGTTTCAAAAGAAATTAATATGTATCAGGACAGTGATACAGTCAATGGCTTTTTATATGGTTTGGTTTTTTGGATTTAATTTCCTCTAAAATGGATGATAAGATTGGGAAGACTTATGGTTAGAAGTTATATCTTATAGTATTTCATTGAAAAAAAGGTTATTTATCGGATTTAATAAAAGTGTTTTGAATAAAAAGTTATAGTAGTTGCACAGTAAAAAGTGAATATGAAGGGGGAAATTTGGAAGTTTGCTACAAATGTACTGTTCTATTGATAGCTAAACGCAGACGGATACTTATAGAAACATTTGATTTTGAATCAAGTGAAATTGATTGCATGTAAGAAAATTATACTAGAAAGTGAAACACCAACCCCACATGCCTTTTTTTAGTAGAGTCTGAAAGGCTTACCCATGGTAGACTTGACGACCAAGGAGCCAATGTTTTGCCAGCCCTTCTTAAGCAAAGAGACCAAGAAGTTGACGGCAAGCATGATGTTGGATATCAATTGGTCTTGAGACATCTCAACGTGACCAACGGCAACACCAAGGCAAAGGACCTTCTTTAATTGGAACTTGATGGTAGACTTAACTTCAACAATCTTACCGTAAAGATCATCGTTGTGAGAGACAGGGGTGGGGAACTTACCAGCCTTAGAAAGACCGGGACCTAACAAACGAGGAATTTGCTTGATAAGGACTTCAGAAGCAACGAAGGCATCGTACTTCTTAGCCAACTTCTTAACAAGCTTCTTGTTTTTGTTAAGCTTCTTCAAATCGTCGACCGACATAGCATCAACACCGCCATGCTTAGCACGGTCCAAATCGTGGGCATCACCAAGAATGCAGAGAGCCATGTTAGGGCGAGGGACATTGGGCAACTTGATGGTACCAGAGAAACGCTTATCACGTTGAGGGTCGTAGTTCTTCAAACCGATTTGAAGCTCGACGGTCTCAGTGAAATGGCGTCTCTTTTCCTGAGATCCCTTTAGGATTTGCTCGACATTAGAGCGAACCGTGGCAACGCTGACCTTTGACATGGTTCAATGCTGGTGTAGTGCGGGTACGTGAATAAACGAATTGAAATTTCACCGTTTCTTTGTGATTCCAAAAAACAGTCACATGTTTAGTGGTACCACCAGTAGGTTAGGGTGAATGGGAAAAGAGAAGCAACGTATGAAATGCAAAACCATTTTACTGTGCTATGCATACTTGCGGTATATAAGAATAAAGACGTTGAACGATGCACGGCAACCAAGGGAAAGAAAATGGTAGCAGAAGCAGATGAAATGAGAAAAGGAAGTAAAAGTAATATTTAATAATATTGTAAGGAATAGTTATCAATTGGGGAGTCTCGAAATCGAAATGAACGAGAAGGTCCGCAGCGAACAGACGATGTTAAGTTTTCCATGAAAAGTAACTATAGCAATTTGGAGACGGTCAGTAGCTTAGCAAGAATAAGATCGCATAGAAAGATGATAGGGGCCTGTAAAGATGAGTTCCACTGACGATATACATCCTTAGGATTGGTGTTGATATTTGTTATCTACAATGAAGAAGTTAACAGAAATACTAGCCAAGGCGGCAACTAAGGCGTACCATTAGGAGGAAAAGTAGAGTAAGCAGGAGGATGGGTAGCGGAGTTAGGGCCGAAGTTTTGATGAGATGTGGGTGAAGGAGGAGGAATGGAGGCGTATTGACCGCGTTCAGTGTCATAAACAGGATAGGAGGGATACTTCAAGACAATGTAGATAGCGTGGATTATGCCGGGTAATCCTAAGGCACAAAGACAAATGTTAATGAGAAAACTAGAAAGCGTTGTTAGTACAGTACGGCAATATGAACACAGGGAATGGCATAACAGACAACTGCCAAAGATGGGATAAATCCAAGACATGAAGGACATACTCTGCACTACAAAATCCCCTACGAATACCGACGACAATAAAGGGAACAAAAATAGAAAGAACAATTAACAAAAAACTAGTCAAGGTGTGAGGCGACATGATGGATCCTTATAAGAGTGATATAAAACAATCTTAAGGAATACAGGGAACGATTATTTTAGTCTTTTCCAGAATAAAATTGCAATTGGATCAAACAAGCGTTCTCTTAGGGAATGGGGTTAGGAAAGTGAGACTTCTCAGAAGGACAGGCTTAAGTGACACTGAGAAAGGCATGACGATCGGGTAACAGTAAACAATGAGCAATTAGTACAAGAGGGTCATGGAAATCTTTCCTGGATCTAGCTATTACTAAAGAAGAAGTCTTTTTGTATTCGTTTACGTTGGGGTGCTTAAGGTCCAAGTTGTCGACCCCAGCTACCGTTGTTCACACTGTGGCTATTCGACTATAAAAGGTAATTGAAATGGCCTTTAATGGTTCAGACAAATCAGCTCCAAGTCAATATTTCTTTATTTAGAACACTAATAATGTTAATCATGAAACAGTGATTGTGAAGCCACGCCGAGAAGGACATCCTAATTAGCAAACCAAAAAGCAACGAACCGGACCTTGTTTTCTTTTTGGGAACCAGAGTGAAAACAATATAGCTGTAAGCTCATGATCCGTAAGAAAGAGACAAAAATGATTTATTCAATCACTATTCTATACGAGTTACAGGGGTTTGAACAACCACAGTTATCGACAATGGAACATCAAAATTTCGGTGGATCTCCAATACAGATAACATACATTTTAAACCGCTTTAGTATTTATGTTTATTGAATTCAGCGTCAAATTCCATCATACAAACAAGCTGGTCTGTTTACGTTTTTATTCACCCCGCTAAACAATTCCCCTGAATCGGAAATTATCTATTGAAACGAGGTCGCCTAAATAAGGATATGACATCATTAATATTCTTAAGTAAAGTTAAATTTACCACACCTTTGCCACTTAGCTAAAACCAGTTAGTTTAGAGAAAAGAGGTATAGTAGACTTTGGAAGGCAGTAACACGCGTTTCAAATCCATAAATTCTTTTGTTTATTTGTTAGAGACTTATACTTCTTTCGTTTTGTATATTCTCTGATACTGGAATTTGGGACGTAAGTTAATTGTTCGGGTCTTTACCACTTTTATGGTTTTTTTTTTAGAGAATCTATATCCATACTTTTAGCATATATAGAGCAGGATCCTTTTTTCCCTTTTGCGTTAGGTTGTTGCGTTCCACTTCACTCCTTTTTCGAACACTATAAAATCTCCTTAAATAAAGTAAGGGTGGAATCATTATCTTTGTTTCATTGTTTCTTCATCCAACTGCTTTCCGTCTGCTTTGTGCTTGGTTTTAAAACTTTTGTTTTCTTCCTGTTGTTTTAGGTGGTTTTCCTTTGGTTTTAATTTCCTTTAATATATTGTGTCTCTAATAGACTCTCATATCTTGATATCCCTTCTCTTATAGACGTTACTCAGCTTTCTGGTTTAATTTTTCTTTACTTTTACTTTTTTTTCGTGAAGTATAACCAATTAACCTTATTTATACGAAAACTCCCTTTATTCTTGGTTGTTTATTCTTCCTGCAATTCGTTCCCTTGGTTTACTATAGAAAATGAGTACTCCTTCGAATAATCAAGGGGCTGCGAAAAATGGTCATGAGCCGCATCACTCTGATGAACTCTCACTTCCTGAATATACCAATCAGGATCCCAATCCCCAATATTTGCCGGAGCAGCAAACTATTGAAGAAGACGTTCCTCCTACTCAGCATGAGCTAGAAAGTGAGCTCGAGAGACTGCACCCCGATGAAAGTCCAAGCTCGACTCCTGCTCGCAATAGTCGCCCCGCATCTACAGCGTATTCGACCGCTTCTACGGCCTCTCACATGAGTATTGAAGACGAAAATCAAATTTTGAACGCAGAGATGTCTGTTCGCTCTCAATCTCTTCGTCGTCGTAGCACAGGTAGAAGCATTCGTAGTTCTACCCGTCGTTCTAAAAGAAGTGTTAGTCGAAAATCAAGTAAATCGAAGAAGTCAACTGACAATGAACAGGAAAAGTCTCCTGTTGACGACGAACATCGTCAGTTGGATAACTTTGGTCTTGTCGAGTTCAGCACAGAGGCTCCCATTAGTGCTCCTGAACATCCTATTACTATTTTCGGCCGGATGTTCAAGGTTGTTCAAAACCAAAGCTTCTTTATTCGTTCCATGATTTATATACTTCCTATCGGAGTCTTATTGCTGATTCCCATCTTTGTTGGTCGGTTCTATCACCATGATACAGGCGAAGAGTACGGCAATCAGACTCGTTGGCTTCATATTGGTGGTGTTCAGCTGATGTGGATGGGCATTTGGTGGGAAATCATATGGCTTACTTTGTGGGCAGGTCGCTTTGCTGCAAAGTTACTTCCTTTCATTTTTGCATTTTTCGTGTCTTTTGTTAGTAACAACGTTACCAAGTGGAAATGTATGGCAGTAGCTTTGGAGTTTCCTTTGACGCTGTTCCTTTGGATGATGGCTTGTTATGTAAGTTTTCTCCCAATCATGACTCGACACCATGTCGGAGACGGCGGTGTGTTGGATGCGCAAAAGACATCTAAAGGAAAGCGAACTCAGTTAGATTGGGAAAAGAGTGCGAATAATGTACTTATTTCTCTTTTTATTTGCTCCATTATGAATCTGATAGAAAAGGTCTTGATGCAACTGATTGCAATGTCTTTACACAGACGTCAGTACGAATCTAGAATTCTGTTTAACAAATTCGCTATAAATGAGTTGGCTCGGCTTTATGAATATGCTAGAACTCGGTCCTTTGATTTCAATGATGCCATTCATCGTGCTAAGAAGACTGGTGTCTTCAACTTTGCAGAAAAGGATCGCGGTGGGAAGACGGTGAATACTGCCGCTCGAGTTGCACAAAATGCTTTGAATCAGACAACCTATAGGGCAATGGGTGCTTTCAATTTTGCTCACGATATGATAAATAAGGTTGCTGGTGAAATTGCTAATCGTGAAATTCAAGGTTCTACTTCACCCAGAAATGTTGTTCAGCATTTGCTGAGAACCACTCGGGGTTGCCAATCGCTAGCTCGTTGTTTGTTCCAAGCTCTGGTGAAAACTGGAAACGTTGATATTGTATTTGATGATTTCGTTCCCGTTTATACAAATGAAATCGGTGAAGTAGAAGAAGAAAAATTAAATGCATGTTACAACATCTTTGATCGTGATTTGAATGGTGACATTACCTGCGAGGAGATTGAACTAGCAATTGTGGAGATTGGAAAAGAACGTAAGATCATTTCAGCTTCTCTTCGTGATCTAAATGTATCCATTGGCAAATTGGACGCAATTTGTATGTTCTTTGTGGCTTTGATTACTTTGTTTATTTTCCTATACTTGATTGCTCGCAACTTTAGCGGTGTCTTGACTTCTGCTGGTACCTGGTTATTGGGTCTTTCTTGGCTTTTTTCCAGTTCTGCGGTTGAATTGCTTAATTCTATTATTTTTGTTTTCGTTAAGCATCCTTACGATGTCGGTGACCGCATCAGTGTCTTGATTAATGGTGTGGTTACGCCTGCTATAGTGAAGGAGGTCGCCATTATGTCTTCAGAATTTCGTTTGCTAACAGGTGAAATCATTCAAGCACCAAACAACTTATTAAACACTTTATGGATCACGAACATGCGCCGTAGTGATGGAATTTCCGATCCAATTACTGTCAGTTTGAAATTCGGTACTACTTTGCAACAGATTGAGGCGCTTCGTGTCAAATTAATTGACTTCTTGAAAGAGGAAAAGCGAGACTATAAGCCGGATTTGCTTACTGAGGTAACTGATTTCCCCAATTTATATTCTATGTCATTGCTTGTTGTTTTCTTCCACAAATATAACTTTCAAGATGAAATTCTGAGAATGAGACGCCGTAACATGTTCATGTGTGCTTTGATGACTTACCTTCAAGAGTTGGATATTGTGTCTCCTATTAACAACTCTCCTGGTAAGACAAAGGAATCACCTATGTTCATCAACGTTGGTGGTGGTAACGTTGGCGGTAGTACCAACCCATTCGGATCGAATCCATTCGATAAAAAGTTTGACAAAAGGCCAAGTGATGGCCCACAAGGGATTTTGAGAAATCCCTCAATAGGCCAACCTTTTCAAGAAGGATCATGGAGCTCCACTAACGTAGCTGATGTGGAAAGACAACCAAGTAAGAAGCGCGTTGATTTCTCATTAGGAACTGGTCACATAGTGAGTGCTATGGATGAGGTTGCTGATATTGGAAGGACAGATAATAATCGTGAACGTCTACCCGATGTTGTCATTGAAAGTGCCGGTACTGAAGCTATGCGCCGTGAAGCTGAATTACGTAGGGAACAAGAAGATGAAGAGGAAGAAGAGGAAGAGGAAGAGAATGATGAATCTGAAAAATCTTCCCGTAGATCTGGTCGCTTGAGTCTATCGTCTCATGGAAACCGAAACTCTGGCCAGGCTAGTGCACATACTTCACCTGCTCTACGCAACATTGCTGTTGATGATATGAGGACTTCTCTGATAGATCGAAGCACGACTAGATCCGCTCATATTTAAAGATTGTATGTTGATCTGTCTGACTGAGCCTTTTTATTATTATTTTTTTCTAATTTGCTTGTTGAGAAATTTGAGCTTTTATTTATTTTATTTCTAATATTTAGGTATACATTTTTTATGAATTTCGTATTTACTTCTAATCATATTTAACGGAAGAATGTTTTATAATAAAATTGAAAGCCATTCTACTATTCTGTAAATGAATTTCGTTGGCTCTTAACCAGAAGTGAACGTGAACGTTGGAATGTCTGCTGAAATTGAAAACATAACGAAACTAAGTTATTGTAGAAATGAATCGGTAGTCCAAATTGATGGTTGTTAATTTGCAATTAAGAATATAAAAGATGGATTTGGATTGTGTATAAAGATGATAGCCTTGTATGATGAGCTTAAAGTATTATGAATGAGTACATGTCACTCTTCCGTATTTCATAATGAACCATTCCGGTTTTGCTTTTAATGAAAGTAGCTGTACAATTGAATATGCAAAGAGTTATAATCGACATACACCAACAACTTGTTCGTCCCAAAATTACTGATAACTGACGTTATCATACAACATACTCTTTATTGTTGTATTGAATGTGTAGATTAGATAGTGTTAGGACTTACTTAGTCAGCGGACATGCGATTTATCATGGTGGAAAAGAAGGCAACTCACTATAAAATGCGTCTCGTTTCCACAAACTAATACAGTACGATTGAAATTTCATAAAGTAGAGCAGCCGTAAATAAATTGCAAAAAGGTAACAATGGGTGAAAAAATGAAGTTATACGGGTTTGAAGTTTCTGGACATGTTCATAGAGTCCGACTTTTGCTCTCGTTTTTGAAGATTCCATTTGAATGGATCATTACACAATATGCAGACATGAATTCAGAGGAAATAAAGCAACTAAATCCATGGAAACAGGTTCCTATTCTCAAGGATGGAGATATCGTTATCTCGGATAGCAATGCCATTATGGTGTATCTAGTCAAAAAGTATGGAAACGAAGACTTTTGGTTGCTTAAAGATCCATTGGCATCTTCTTGGGTCCAAAGATGGTTTTCCTATTCTGCAGGAGAGCTACGTTATGGACCATCGACTGCTCGAAGGATTCAGCTTTATAAAACGAACGAAGATTCCGAGGCTCCTAAACAGATTGCAGCCAAATTATTTAAATTTATGAATGATTATTTAGAAGGAAAGGAATACTTAGTTAATGATCACATTACGCTTGCAGACTTGGCCATGTATTCCTACACATCGCACGCTCCAGAAGGCCACATTTCGTTGCAGCCATATCCCAATATTGTGTCCTGGTTGAAACGCATTGAGAGTCTCCCTGAGTATGTTCCTCTCAAATGGTCCTACCCATCTATGAAAGACTATTAATTACGATGACTACGTTATTGCCATGAATGAAAAAGTACAGATATGTTCGTTAATTATGGGAACGAAAAGCTTCCATATCATAGGGAGTTACGTATATCAAAGGTTATTACACACGTTTTCCATCAAAAGATTATTTAGCAAGAGCATTATATCGTAAATCAATTATCCAAATCTCAATCAACTTTATGCCTTTATAATCAATGTCGAATTTCAGCGAGACACACAACCGGCCCAGCCCATAGTCCAATGAGATTTGCTCAGCGTGCAGGGGTCTCGTTTATTGATAGATTACTATTGTTGTTCGTGTAAGAAGTTTCTTCTTTCTCCTTTGGAGACTCTGCCTCGGTAATGACATTCAACTTTACTGCTTCTTGGTTGTCGGTCTGGAAAGAACGTAGATATGTCTTTGAGAACCTGTGAATACCGACCAAATCAATCATCCAAGAAAATATAGTGCCAAATACTGGAAATTCTAAAAAGTCTAAGACACTGTAGAAGACAGCTTCTCCAATTGGTAAAGGGTAGCCAATGCCTTCACAGAAACCCCAGCTGACAAAATACAAAGCCCAAATAACAAAAAAGTAAATGATGGAGCATAAAAATCCAACCTTTGCTTTGCGTTTTAGAGGTTGAATATCATGTTTATAGGTCAAATAAGTATGCAACATGGCACAGGCATAACCTACCAACGAAAAAGCGTAGAATCCCCATCGGTGAATAGAGACAGTCATAGCTGCAGCTAACAAGCATGCAAAGCATAGCCAAATGTGAAACACAGTTACAACAGTTCGCATAAACGAAACGCCAGCCAAGTAAAAGATGCTAGAAATCACCAAAGGGAAATTAATCATCCACTGTATGTATCGGACAAAGTACACTACTCGAACTCCACGAAACCAAGTTGAAGTAGTTAAATTGACCAACGTGTAACCCAGTTCACCAGCCATGCTAAAATAAACGATCGCAGAAACCATGCATGTTATAGAGTAGACGTAGTAAAAGAATCTTTTTGGCGGACTGGAAAAGATGGATATGATAGGATAGACGATAGCACAAAACAAGAATATGGAAAAGGCAGCCCAGTAATAGTCTGTTGCGGATTGGATCAAGGTTAGATCAAAATACTTTTTGCTCCACACATCCGAAGGTATTTTTCCAACATTGCTATTCATTTTTCTTCGTGCACTTCCGTTGCCTAGCTTGAAAATTCCAAACCTCAATTATTGAGCACCGAAAACAGTTCAAAAACAATATGTTAAATTAATACAGAACAAAAGATACGTATACACCGAAAAAATAAAGTATGCTGTTAAAAAGAAAGATTCATGATGGAGTAAACATGCATCTCCTTATAATATAAACAAACAAACAATATTGACGCAAACAGTTTTTAATCGGTATTCGTCAGCAAACTCTAAAAGAGAACCTGTATTTGTACATGAATTGAACAAGCTTCCATCTGCGGTACCTAGTAAACATGAATGTTTAAAAGACTTTTTGCTGAAGCACACATAAACGTTCAAATTTTGAGTTAGGCCTTCAGATAAGAAAATATCTGTAATAGCTGTTAACCATCCAATGACGGAACTCGAGAATTGTGCATACGATTATAGCTTTAAGAACTATATCATTAAAGAAAGATCGCTAATACAATTAGGACATTAGCAAAATACAAAGATTAAAAGAAAGTGAAATAACGTAGATTGTTCAGCAAGTCATACTTTAAGATATGCTGTAACATCAAAAAGATCCAACGAACATATATTAAGATATTTACATATTTATCTGAAAGGCATTCAAGTTGATGAATAGAATCGAATCATGAAGGTACTTTCATAAGGATCCTAAGTAAACATGAGGGGTATCTATGCCTTTATTAAATAAAGGGCAATGTGGTAAAGTGACTAGCTGATAATGAAGTGAAATCAGATAACCAATCCAACAAAAGTTGAAAACATAAACCAATAAATAATTAATTTTTAGCAGGTGTGCTGAAACGTTCAGCACGTTTCTTGGCTTTTTCGGCTTCAACAGGATCTTCCAAAATCGAGCCTTTGCGTTTTTGTCCGGCCTGCTGATTTTGGTGCTGCTGGCGAAACTTTTGCTTTCCCCGCTTATCTAAACGTCCTTTATGAGAACGATCCTGTTCCTCATTCTTTTGTTCAGCGAGAGGAGCGGTTTGTACACCAAACCGATTAGCTCGAGCAGCTTTTTTTATTTTATCATCATCAATTGGTAAACCAAAACGTTTAGCGCGTTCTACGAGCTTAGCTTGCTCAGCTAATAATATTTCCGAATCTTGTGAATCTTGTGAATCTTTCGTTGTTGATTCCTCAGTGGTATTTTCTGGCTTTTCACTCGGTTCAGAAGTTGCTGGTTCTACCTTTTGTTGTTCCTCATTCGATTCCACCTTCGCAGGCTCTCCTTCGGTCTTGGGAGCCTCCTCTGATGGCTTGGAAGACTCTTCTACGGCAGCGTCATTGTCCATATCTCCCCAGTCAATGTCATCTTCGGGAGGAGCTAAATCACCTAAATCTGTGGCAGCGTTTTTGTTAGAACCTTCATTTGTGGCTTCAAATTTTCCCTCTTCCGAGCTAGTCAATCTAGCAACCAACTCATTCTTGTTTCCATTAGTGGAAAGGCCTTTCTCGGATAACTTTTCGCGTAAATCAGCTACCTTTAAGTTTTTGAGGTCAGACATATTTCTATGTTCGTGTTTATCGACGATTTTTTGTTTATTTACAAATAGCGTCGAAGTTGTAGGTGGAACGTAGATGAGCCTGGAATGTGGTCAGCGTTTGGATATAGCGAGAGTTTACGAAGCTCCTTAAATATATAAGTGTGTATATCAGAGCATACTAAAGTGGCATTAAATAAACATAATCACTAATAAAAAATAAAATCAGTCAGTGTAGGAGGAAAGTTGATCTCACCGTGACATACACATGGACAACGAAGGTTAAGCTTACACACAAAAAAAATTGTTTACGATCTTTAATTTAATGCCTTGTAAAACGTCTCATTGTAGATGAAACCATATACACTATCAACATTTGGAGTATGATCCACGCATAGTCACTTGTTTATTACTCAAATACCATCTACCTATCTCATCTGTGCTATGCGATAATCTTTATTAAACCATTGTGTGTTGCAACCAAAACAAGGCATCCAATTCAAGGAAAAAACTCCTACTTTTTATAAATACCCTGGTTCTATTAAAAACAAAAACCATATCTTTTTAGTCCCTAACAAAGAACATTTTTTACTCTTGAGGGATCTCAATGTCACCACTGTCGATCTCCTTTTGAACATCGTGAGGGTTCTTACCTTCAACGGTGCAACCAACGGAGAAAGCAGTACCAAGGATCTCCTTAACAGTACCAGAAAGGTCCTTAGCGAGGGACTTGAAGCGCATGGTACGAGCGACTTCAATGATCTCGTCAATAGAAACGTTACCAGAGTGGACAACACCCTTGTCCTTCTTTCTGTCACGAGCAGGTTCCTTCAAAGCCTTGATAACCAAAGCAGAAGCGGAAGGAACGACGGAGACGGCGGCTTGACGGTTTTGGATGGTCAATTTGACGGTAACACGAAGACCCTTCCAGTCCTTAGTAGCCTTGGCGATATCTTCACCAACCTTCTTAGGAGACAAACCCAAGGGACCAATCTTAGGAGCAAGAGTAGAACCACCGGCAACTTCACCACCGACGGCTCTCATGATAACGGTCTTCACTTCATTGGGGTCGAACTAAGCAACATGTTAAAAACTTGATTCTACTATTGCAAATTTCATAACAATTCGTGATAAAAACTTACTTTAGGAGGCATCTTGCTCTTAGTTAAGGAGTATGGTAGAGGTGTGAATTTCGTGTTCGTGTTATGTGACTGTTAGTATCCCTCGTGACTATTCTCTGGCGTGTTACCTGGTCGATACTAATCCAAGTAACAGTTTATTTAAAGTAAACAAACAAGAGGAAAAGCATGAAATGAAAATAAAATGAAAAATTGTAATAAACTGAGATAAAATAAAGGGAGTAAGTGATTTTTTTGAACAATTTACAAGACTATTTAATTTGTAAAAAAAGGGAACTGGATTAAGAATTGATATCTGTGTAGATGGTAGAATCCTTCAGTTATATTAATTCCTTGTCGATTTTTAGTCTACATCTATTTTATCAAGCAATTGTAGTTTGCATGATATATCATTCATGTACTTTTGTTGCTTTCTTAACAGCTTTAAAACTATATGAACGTACGACCTGATTATTCATACCTTATTTCCTAAGAACTTCTATTGTTAGTAAATGCTTTTGTACCCAAACAAGTTCTCAAGATTATCAAAATTGATGGAATTTGATTAATCATATATGTAATTTTTGTTTGTGAGCCTAATAAATGAAACCAATATAATTATATGTAATCCTGAAAGTTGAAGGAAATGTCCATAAAACAGCGTACTTTTACAATTTATCAGTTATATGTGAAACTGGTAGCATACTATGATATGTCTTTCTATTGTAATATCTAAATGACTGAGTCAATTCTTCTAACAGTCCTTTTAATAGATTAACTCAACCTGCTTCAGAAATATAAAATTTGACGGGCTATAAGTTGTAAACATCAGACAGGCGAATTTGAATTCGATAAGCTTTGAAGACCTAGCTATCGAGTTTCAAATAGCCTTTGTGTCATAACGGTTAGTGAATCATCCATGTAGATATATAACTGCATGCGATGGACAAGGATAGATCAGTGAATTTCACCCATTCTTTGCTTACCAGTTCCCACTATGAATATTGAAGATTATAATATCCTTTCGAATTACAAGAGGGATTATGACCAATTTATCAGGCCAAATGAGAATTTACGGAATGCAGTTGATGCTCAGATAGATACACCAGCCGTTACTTGGGCTATTATTAGTATGGTGATTGACATGTTAGGTGACCAGGCAAACTGTTGGAATTATCAAATTCAAGGGGAAAACAACCATGTTAGCGTTTGGCCTACTGAAGCAAGCATTAACAAAGGTATCATATCCGAATTGGAGGATGCTGCTAAACGTAATCTTGGAATACATGGGTACTCTATATTAGAGCTATATAATATAGAAAATGGCCCTGATGAAGAAACAAGTCAAAACGGGCGGCCCCTTACCGCTATTTCTGATGATGTTTCTCTAATCTGCAACTGCTGGCTGGATTATACCACAAAGTTGGGGTTAATAAGAAGTGGAAACTTTATCAAGAATGAAGCATATAAAGACAGTGCCCGTGACTTAGAATTGTGGCGTTTCGGTAATGATTTTGACAGAACTCAATTGAAAGATGGAGAGATGTTAATCCACATGCTAAAAATGTAAGTGATCACTAGTCATCTTCATCGCTCAATATAGCATCTCAATCTTTTCACAGCGTCCATTTATTGCGGGAGGTGTCATATCCAGGATCCTGTTTTTATAATTTTCGCTATAATCACGGTAATAACTATAAAGAATTACTATCTATTCTATATGTAAAAACAAGGCGGAATCAGCGATTACTCAACTCAAATAGAAACTTATGAGACAAAGAAATAACTATGACAAAGAATAGATCAAGTTTACTACATTGAAATAAATATATGTAGCATTAGTCTAGTCGAAATCTTGAGATTGAAAGAGTCAATTGGCTGGCTGAATAAGATTGTTTTTCCATTTATCGATTTGTTTTACCAAATTCTTAGACGGATTTAGTATCCTTTCAGGTAATATCACATCGTTCATTTCAATGTACAATCCTACAAGTGTGTTGTAATTACCACATCGTGTGAGGTTTCTGTCGTGACAAAAAATTAGTGCCAATAAAGATACAGTAACTTAACATAACTTTCTATACTCTATTTAGCACAACCTAAAGCTAAAATCTTTGGTTCATATCCATGGACGATGATTAAGATAGCCATTTTCTAATACGAGCTCTAGTTGCTCTAACCAAAATGCAGTAATATTAAGAGATATCAATTTTGATTTTCATGCAATTGATTTCCAAACCTTTTTTATGAGAAATGATTCTTCAGTCTTGGACAGGTAAGATACATTCTAGTCAATTCTGCAACGTCTTTTCATGCATGACCAAGATAAAAAACGTAACCAAGAAAAAAGTTACTCAGATAATCTTTTATTTCCTTATTCTACAAATCCTATTTCCAGACCGTAAAGACATCATATAGGATCATTGATATATTAGTTCCTAAAAGCTTTAACAATTATAGACCCCTTATTCACAAAGTAAAAATTCAAACCCAGTACTAGTATACAACCAAAGGAAATACTTTTTTTATAATTACCACAAAGTCAAATTGCCATTTCCCTAAATACGTATAAAAAAAAAAATCCTCACGTTGTTGTAGACATCTTTATAAAGGATCAACTCCTGTATAGTTTCTTAGTTATTTTTCGATTTTTTAAAGCCACTCATGACAGATTTCGGTTCTTTGCCGGATAAGGGATGGTTGCGAGCACGCTTTTCAGCTGGTTTTAAGATCTAAACGTGTTTAGTCAGCATAGTTCCTTAATAAACTTTCATCATGTAATACCTGAAAACTGCAAAGTAAATCTTCATTGACACTCATCATAGCGCCAACGTTGTCGAACTCTCCACAATAGTTGGGAGCGCTGAAAATTGTCACAAGTAACCGTTTAGCAAAAAATTCATAACCATCTTCAACTACTTGATGCGCTCTACAAATTAGGTCCATGTCGTGTTTTTGTAAAAACCGATTTACGACATCAGCACCAAATGTATATGAAACTCCTCTGTCATTATCTCCCCAACCTGTGACATCTTTTTCAGGATCCGACCATAATAGATCGCACAATAAGCCTGTATCGGGAATATCGGTAGGACGAATAATTCGTTGAATTTGCTCCATAGCATTTAAATCTGGGGAAAGGCCACCATGCATACAAAAGATTTTTTCATCAACAATTGCAGCAACGGGCATGCAGTTGAAGCAATCGGTAAAAATTTTCCATATTTTAATGTTGTAGCGACGCTTGCATTCGTCATAGAAGCCATAAATCCGATTGATACTAGCACATTCATGGTTGCCACGGAGAAGGAAGAAGTTTTCGGGATACTTAATCTTGAAAGCAAATAAAAGGCAAATAACTTCGAGACTTTGCTTTCCTCGATCAACGTAGTCACCTAAGAACAAATAATTTGTATCGGGAGGAAATCCACCGTACTCAAATAGTCGGAGCAAGTCTGAATATTGACCATGGATATCACCACAAACCTATAAAAATTGTTAGAAAGCTTAGTCCATCTTTCTTTCATCCCTAGAGGCTCTCAGATAAGAATGAATGGGCCATGAGTAAGGATTGAGGGTTATCATGCATAGAGACCAAGATAAGTTTGACCAAATTTCAAGTCGGCGACCAAGGTCAAATCAAATCGTAATTTCCTTCAACATTACGATATCGAATGTGAACAACACACAGCAGTTCTTTAGTATTATCTTTAATAAGAAACCCATTCCATTCTTAAAAAATGGCTATCGAATAACAGTCCAAACCCACCCGAAGAGAGTCCAAGGAAAAAAGATGTATCGAATATTATACCTTTAAAGGAGCCTCCAATTCCAACAGCATTGGCTGATTAAGAAATAAAGAGCGGGAAGTCGTACATAAATAACGAATTTCTGCTTCCGTCAATTGAGTTTGGCGGCCTGGTTTCACATGCTGGACTTAGTTTTTTTTTTCGTTAGACAACAAACCATCGAGATTGTAAAAGTCCGTAGCTACATACCTTTTATAAGCTTTTCTATAATAGTATCAATATCATAATCCATATTTTGTTCTAAATTCAACCGCAATTCCCCAAGAATAAAAAATCCACCCAAATGCGGTGTTTGGCTTGTGTTGAGTATATCCCAATATTAAAGAAGCCAAGAAGTCATAGGTCGAATTTTCCCTCTTTTCTCTTTTAAGCGTTAAATTCCATTGAAGGAAAAAGAATCTTTCAGTCGTCTTAATTCCCCGAAAAGGTGCGATTTCATTTTTTTTACAGATTCACGTTGAACTACTCGAAAAATCAATTTTCTTCATCGGCAGACAACCTAAAGAAATGCGAAGTAGCTTTGTTTAGTTTTATGGGTTTAGGATTTGAAATTGTACGTTTAGAAACTCAGAGAATAACTTTTCTGAATTTCCAAAAGCATATATACGTGATCAGGAATATAGAAGTAAATTTCTAATAATTTTAATTTAAGACTCGGAATATTCTTACGTTTGCATCAGATGATAGAAACAATGGATTAAAATACAGACACCCTTTCGTTTTCCTCTTTCCAACTATGCTTGTTACACCGTATGCTTACTAAGCATTTGCACACGAAAATAAGTCTTTTCAAATGAAAAAGATGAACTCTCTAACCATAATTGATTTTTTTTGAAGATGGGTGGAACTCGTCAAGATTAATTGATTCTGATATGCAAAGGTTATCCCAATCTTATATTTGATATTTTAAGCAAGAACTATTGAAAATGATCTTTTGTTTCAGTTCTAGGTAAATTCTTTCGGTACTAAGCTTTCTACAGCTGTCGTTTTCGTGCCCTTTTACCCAACCCGTACGTACCATGCACATCTGATCGAAAGGAAGCTTTGCTTACAAGCAAGGGAATTTTTGTTAACGAATAAGAAACCTAAATATCCCAATTTCTATACTCTTTAATTCGCAGGACTAAAACTCAATTCTTCTTTCACCACTCGTCAGCAAGAAAGAACTTATTTCCTACATTTACAACTCCATTGAGACCGGTTTGGGAATTTTAGTAGCTTGGTACCTTCATTTAGATTGTGAAAGCAAACAAATCGATAAACATGCTTCATACGAAACCTGCTTCCAAAGCCGTGTACATATGGTATATCCTTGATGTGACTAGTCTATCTATGGTAAATGTAGCTTGTTTGCAACTCATACAAATGCTACTAGCATCTCATTATCATGTGCCTATGGAAGAGGTTCGAGAAAAGCTCGTAGTAGTGACCACCTTTGCCAGCATCCTTCAATATATGGCAGCTACTCTCGTTGTCCCCATTTATTCGCTTGTTATTAAGCGATTTTCGCCATGGGTTATCATTTTCTTTACTTGGCTTGGAGAACAGTATATGCTTGTTTTGTCAATTCTTGCTTTTTTGTACCCCGCAAATGCTTCTCAAATCGTCCATTTCATCGTTTACTCAATTTCCTTACTACAGGGATTATCAGGAGCTGGTCCTTCCATTCATGCCGGTTGGAAAGCTATAGCCCATGCCTCGTATATCGATGAACCATTTGTCCTTTTTATTACTTCTATTCCGATATTTTCTTTTTTTTTAGGTCCTTTTTTCGCAAGTTATTTGCTCTTTCACATATCTCTCTTTCAGCTATACCTAGTGGCCTGGCTGTTGCATTTTGTCAGCGGGGTTGCCTTTTCATTGATTTTCTATCATTCTCCTACTTATTCTGCTTCCTCTTTAGAAACTCAACCTCTCTTTGCTTCTTTTGAGGTTGCCGAAGAAGTAAACTGTCCCGGGTCATTTCCCTCCGAAGACCAAGTTCACAGGCAACACCTCAGTCTTCACCTAATTTCCAGTTTATACAAAAAGTATATTAAGAATATTAATGATGTACTATTTAACTCCTACTTTTTCCAATTGACCCCTACCTGTCGCTGGTTGTTAATGTCCTTCGTTTTTTACATGCCTTCTTCGGTTTTTTTCAACTACTACGTTCAATATTTGCTTAACGTTACCAAATTTCCCTTGGAAAAAGTCACATTTATTAGTTCATTGCAAACATTTGGCTCTTTGGTGACTTGCTCTATCTTGACATATTTGTCTGCTTTTGATCATTTGACAATCCAAACATTTCACTATATCTTAATTGGAGGCACACTTACCCTCTCAATACTAACTATGGCATATTACACGGCTTTAAATTCTTTTATTCCTTTCCTAGCATTCTTCCATGGAATGTCTCGTTCCATGGAGCCAATTTTTCATTCCCTGCTGACCATTCACGCTCCTTTGAGTTCTTTACAGGCTTATTGGAGAATATCTGCCATCTTTGAAGCTTTTGCTACTTGTTTCTCCTACATATGTTTAGCTTACTTTTATCTACAAGGCACAGAAAGGAGACATTTACTGTTTTTCCTCGGTCCTGCTCTTCTCACTCTTCTTTCTTGTTTTAGTTCTCTTTTATTTCATAGATATTCATCTTAATCATGCACTCTGAGCAGATGAACTGCTGAAGAGTAAGACTTTCTCAGGTTGATGATATTTGTATTTATTTATTTTACTAGTTGTTTGAGGACACTATGAAGGATTCTAGATACGCAATATTTATTATTGTTTACTAAATATTCTCTATTCTTTTAGAAAGAAAAAAAGATATTTGCTTGTAGAAAGAGTCGTGAAACTAACGTTTTAGCAGTCAGCAAGACGGTCATTTTCAGTCAGTCAATTTTCTTTTCCTTCTTTCGGTATTTCATACATGTTCTCCAATGATATTTTATTCTAGTAACAATATTCAAAACAAGCTACTCGATCCTTTTTTGTTTAGTGTGTGATTTTGCCGTGTTACCATCAAAAACCTTCCCACTATTTGATTATTAAATCCAACACAATCGAATAATTTAATTTATTAAATATTGATACTAAGTATTCTTCATTGATTATTCAATACCGTCTTTACCCAACACTGGAAATTGTTATCCATAGCCTAAACACTTACCCACTGCCCACCTCCAAAACGGTTGTGGTTCTTAAAAACAATGAATTTTGAGGAAATTGAAGAACGAGATGGTTCGTATTATTAAAGAAACACTTTAAATGATTATTAACATGCTTCCTTAGGGATCCGTTTTACCTGGAACGCCTTTCCATCCACTAGAATAGAAAGCTCTAGGACAATCGTTCCAATTTCTGCTCTCTACAAGCCTTTGAACCCTAGACCTGATCTACCTCCGGTCCTTTATGAACCCGTTACTTGTAAAGCTCCATGCAAAGCAATTTTGAATCCTTTTTGGTAAGAGTGCTCATATATGGCTCAAAAGAATTAGAAACAGCAGGCTAACAAAATCATAGCCACCTTGACACTCGTGCTAAGTTTTGGATATGTAAGTTCCTAATTATATCAATATGGTTGTCAAGGCGACTCCATAAACAGAAAACGCCAAGAGAAAGAAGAGAGATCTAACTAGTATTTTAGGTCCGTTTTGCTTGCAAAGAAACATGCTACCTCCGCAATACAAGGACGTATCAAGCACCAGTCTTCCTCTGGAGTTACTCCCTGAATTCTCTACGATTGAGTATACTCTACCCAGACCCCCGCAACTTCCTCCCGTATTCCTTTTTGTTGTGGATTTATGTCAGGATCAGGAAAATTTGCAATCTTTAAAGGATTCACTCATCATTAGTTTGAGCCTGCTTCCTCCTGAGTGTTTGGTTGGCTTGATTACGTTTGGTACTATGGTTGATGTTTATGAGCTCGGATACACTGAATGTTCCAAATCCTATGTATTCCGTGGCTCAAAGGACTATAGTTCCAAGCAGGTTCAAGAAATGTTGGGATTGCCTGTCAGTTCTGCTGCTGCTGCTGCACCTATTGCTTTACAACAAGCTCGTGCTGTTTCTGGAGGTATGACTGCTTCTCGCTTTCTCTTACCAATTCAGCAATGTGAATTTCAGTTGACCAGCATCCTGGAACAGCTTCAACCTGATTCGTGGCCTGTTGCTAATGATAAGCGCCCTCAGCGCTGCACCGGAACTGCTTTAAACATCGCTGTTAGCATGATGGAAAGTAGCTGTAATAACAGTGGTGGTCGTATTATGGTTTTTGCCGGTGGTCCCAGTACGGTTGGACCTGGCATGGTCGTTTCCACTGAACTCCGTGAACCTATCCGTTCTCACCATGATGTTGAACGTGATCAAGCTAAGCATATGAAGAAGGCTTTACGTTTTTATGAAAACCTTAGTAAGCGAGTCAGTGCTAGTGGTCATGCCGTCGATATTTTAGCTGGTTGCTTGGACCAAATTGGTATGATGGAGATGAGAAGCTTGTCGGCTAGTACCGGAGGTTATTTGGTTCTTTCTGATTCCTTTACAACATCCATCTTTAAACAAAGTTTCCAACGTATCTTTTCCCGTGATGCGTTTGGACACTTAGCATTAGGTTTTAATGCCAGCATGGAGGTTGTCACAAGCAAGGAATTAAAGATATCCGGCTTAATTGGTAATGCTGTCTCATTGAACAAGAAAGCTCAAAATGTGGGTGATACCGAAATTGGAATTGGTAATACAAATAGTTGGAAGATGTGCGGTCTCTCTCCCAAGTCTACTTATGCTCTTTATTTTGAAGTTGCTACACAAACCGCTGCCGCTCCTCAAAGTAATGATAAAGGCTTAATCCAATTTCTCACCTTATACCAACATTCCTCTAACACTTTCCGCTTGCGTGTTACTACTTCAGCTCGTGCTTTCGCTGATGGTGGAAGCCCTTTAATCATTAATTCCTTTGATCAAGAAACTGCTGCTGTTGCCATGGCACGAATTGCTGCCTTCAAGGCCGAGGTTGATGATGGACCGGATGTTCTTCGCTGGACTGATCGCATGTTAATTAAACTTTGCCAAAAGTTTGCCGAGTACAGAAAAGACGACCCGGCTAGTTTTCGTCTCTCCTCTCAATTTACTCTTTATCCTCAATTTATGTATTATCTTCGACGTAGCCCTTTCCTTCAAATTTTCAACAACTCACCGGATGAAACTGCCTTCTACCGTCATATGCTGAATATTGAAGATGTAAACAATGCTTTGATTATGATCCAACCTACTTTACTTTCGTTTTCTTTTGAGCATCCTGATGGTAAGCCTGTGCTATTAGATGCAGTTTCTATAAAGTCTGATGCAATTCTTTTACTTGATACCTTCTTCCATATTCTTATTTTCCACGGTGATACAATTGCTCAGTGGAGAAATGCCGGTTATCATGAGAAGCCGGAATATGCGAATTTAAAAGAATTACTGCAAGCTCCTAGAGTTGAGGCTGCCGAATTGCTTGTAGACAGGTTCCCAATTCCCAGATTTATTGTTTGTGACCAAGGTGGTAGTCAAGGACGTTTCTTGCTTTCGCGCATTAACCCATCGGAAACCCACAACTCTGCTACTATTTATGGTGCTCCTTCTGCTCATGCTGTTTTAACCGATGATGTATCATTACAAGTATTTATGAGTCATCTTAAAAAGCTTGCTGTTGCTGTTTCTTGAACGTAATGTTATGCTGGTAAATAGCTTTACCTCTAATGATCTCGGCTGTTTATATGCATTTACTTAGGGTTTTTCTATCTAAGTAAACGTTATTAAGATGTTTACTATGATTTTTTTATAGCCTTTTTTTTATGTCTTAGAAAAATCGACTATCTTTTTACCTAATAGTGCGTTCGTTTCAATGGCTTTAGGTAAAACTCAATATTTTAGGAGCTACGATACTTTGCCTGTTCTAATAAAAAGTAGTATTTAAAGGAAAAATTCTTTACTGAATTCATTATATTCGAGTAAGAGATACGAAGAGTAAAAGGACTTTGTTTAGATTGTTTATACTCACTTTCCCTGCTTAACGTTTGTTTTTTTGGCTGGAACTTAAACTGTTTAAATTGCTAATGTAAACAAGCGAAGACATTCTTTGGCAAAAGCCTTCTATCCTTTTATTATCCAACATGACTGTAGTCGAAGAATATTCTGAAATTAAACAATTAAGGAAACCACCCAAAGCGTATACTGGCTTACAGAAACTTAATTACTTACCGGTGCCGAAACCTAAGACATTCCAGATATACAATACGCTTCTAAATTCTATAAGATGTCCATGTGGAGTAAGTACAATACAAGTATGTGTTTACTATAGACTTCATGGGAAACTTGTTCCTGCATTTACTATAGAAATTGATCCTTCATTTCAAACACGCCAAATAGGAGCGTTGGTTAATAATACTATTCAAGATTATTCGAATAACCTACTACCAAAAGAATTGAAAGAGAAGCAGATTGTAGTCTCTCCATTTTATCGAGAAAGCTTTGAACTTCGCCCGAAGGAACAGCGGGTAATCGAAAACCTTGATGGACCTAACTACATTCTTGTTGAAGTCTCAAAGGCTAATGGGGATTGATTCAATGTACTTCTTATCTTGATAAATCGTTAAATTGTCTGTATAAACGTTTGATATAAGCACGAACTAGCTACTTAGTGGAACACACAACTTATAATTTCCTACAGACAATTAAATATTCTTACTCGTAAAAGATAGTCTATTTAATGTCTTACATATCAACCCAAAAAGAGCTCATTTACAAACAATCACTTTCTGTCATTGCTAAATTTAGGATTTGTTAGAGGTGCCTTCTCCTGCTTCACTTTAAACTCGGCCAGCAAGCAAATGTGATCACTAGGGAAGTGTGCATTCGGAAACCCGACTATGCTTGAAAGGTAATTACGATCTACCCCTTTCAACAAACCAGTTGCCTCAAGGTTAGCATTGGTATACCATATGTAATCGATCGTGCCACTGAAACCAGGCGTAAAGTTCGTAAACGGAAGTTCTTGAGTTTCGCTATATACGGATTTCAAATTGAAAGGGTGAGATCTACCGTTGAAAGTATAATCACCATAGTCATTATTCATAAAATCCTCATGATGCGGCTCAACCTTGCCTGATGATAGAAAATCTAGGACGCCACTTCCAGGACTAGAATTAAAATCACCGCAAATTAATACCGGAATCTTTGTATAATCTGAATAAGTTGGTCTTGAGTCTTTTAAATAATCTGGAGGAAGTTTCGAGGGCATCGAACAGAAGCGAGTAGCAACCTGGGCGAGTTCATCCATTAACATGGCTACTTGCATAAGCTTAACGTCTCTGAATTGAGGATCCCAGTGAATATGACAGTTAGCAACGATCAATCGATGTCCAGTTTCCTTAGATTCTAACAGAGTTAAGACGCTAACGTTGTCTTTGGTCATAACGCGATTATACATGTTCGAGGTAAGTTTAATATTTTGTCTTCGAAGCGAAGGCGCTTGATTGAACTCAATAATGGACTTTTCATGCATATAAAACTTTGAGGTTTTAAAGAAGGTAGCACAACCATCAACAACTCGGCGCTCAACCTCGTTCATAGTACGTACACGACTTTTTGGGAAATGAACTCCTTTGTATCCTTTAATACTCATCTCGGGAGCAAAGAAGGTATCAAAGTTTTCAACATCAACTTCTTGAAGACAGATAATATCAGCTTTATAGCCAGCAAGTTCTTGCATAATCAAATCCTTTCGATAAGACCAGGCAAGAGCCCAAGAAGGAGTATATCCATAGAGCGTGGACGTAGCATAACGTTCACAAAGTATATTATAGCTCATGGCCGTAAACTTAAAATTAGTATTTGATCCATTTAATTTTGGAACGCTAGACCCCTCGGCGTCAGAAACAACCATTAAAGACTTTTCATTAGCATCATCATTATCAGAAGTAAGCTTTTCCCATTCACGCTCAGGAGGAGGAGGAACAACAGGACAACCATCACGAAGAGCTGTAATTAAACCAGTCGTTCCTGTTTCCATAAGCTGAGATTTATACACATCTTGTAAAGGATTTCCTTCAACACCTAAGATTTTAAGCTGATACAGTGTACCTAATTCAGGAGGAATAACGGTAATCATGTTATCAAATAATAACACCTCTCGGAGTTCAACGAGTAATCCGAGTTCAGGTGGGATTGCTTTGATGTTGTTTCCAGACGCATCTAAGATTACCAAGTTTCGTAACTTTCCAATTTCAGATGGAAGCCGTGTCAGCTTGTTATGATTAATGTACAGTTCTGTCAAAAAGGAAAACTTGAATAAATCAGTGCTGACGTTGCGCAATCCAATACCACCGAGATCCAAGCAAGTCCAATCTTGTCGCGCTTGGCGATGAGTGGAACCGTTTTTCTCTTCAGTCTTCGTTGTAGTAGTCGTGACCATCATACTCGATGTAGACAGATTGTTTCCAACGTTGTTACTAGTAGTAGTTGATACTGTGGTAGAGTTCATTCTTCCAGACAAGGCATTTGAGGCATTAGCAGCAGCTCCTCCGTAAGCAGCACCATTGTTTCTGGCATTGTAATTCATCGTACCCATGCCACTTGTTCGAGCTAAAGCGGCGGCATTATGAGCACGTTGATGAGGAGAGCTGAAAGCTCTTGACTGAGTTGCGAGTGCTATTTGCTGTTTCCAATGTTCAGAAATTTGTCCATTTTCTAAAGCCGGCGAATTATGTACTGACAAAATGGCTGCATGTTGTTGATCAGGCGTAAGCAGCCCTGGATGCGTCCCTGAATAGATTGTTCCTTGCGTATACCTAGGATTGAACATAGAAGGTATCTCGCAAATTTACTGTGTCGAGATGTTTAATTTTTTACAACATTCACTAATTAGGCAAACGAAGTGAGGTTGTTGGTTGATGGCAAGAGTTTCACCCGGTAGCAAGTCTGATAGCGATAACCAAACCTCACCACCATAAACAAGCATAAAAAGAAGAAAATTTAGAATGAGATCTTTTATCACTATTTTTATATAAAAAATGGTTTGTTTAAGTATTCTACAGATATATATGGACAAGGTGCATCGGTATGAATGGATTTAAGTGAAGGTTTAACCGCTATTCTTATGTTTGAAATAAGCAAACAACAATTGTATACAATAGAAGATTCTTATAATGATAAAGGTAAAATATTTCATATTCATAATACAAAACTTGATGATATTAGTACATACACGAAGAAGTAATTAAAAAAGGTCTGTTACGAAAATCTTCTCTAGCTAACCAATGTGCAACCACCGAACTGACAAACCCATAAGTTGAGGGTTGACGTTGAGAAAAAGAAAAATGTGCGCTGTATTTCTTCTGACAATGGCAAAGAAACTTAATTAACTGACGCTAATCGACATGCACAAATTTCTTCTAGTAAAAGAAACATGGTAGATAGGCGTTTGCTTTGTATTCAAACGGACCATTTGATCAGGACTAAAAATTTTGTTAATTTATTTAAATATGAACAACGCTTACCTTGTTGCCCAAGCGGCAGTCGACTCCAAGGCATCAGACTCGGTGTTGGTATAAGGGGTCACTACACTACCGGCCAGCGAGCTAGATACCGAATCAGAATAATTGGTTTTTAAAACATCCCAGGCTCGCACGGTGTAATCAGCTCCTCCGCTAACAAGTACTGTGGACTCTTGAGAAAAGGAAAGTGAATAAATGCCTCCTTGATGGCCTTTCATTGTCTTTATCCTTCGACCAGATCCAATATCCCAAAGATGTATAAGTCCATCGTAATCTAAGAACCATGTTAGTAAGCGTCTTTCCAACTATTTCTTTTTTCAAAAATAAAATAAATAACATACCAGCACTAGCGACAGTATGACCATCTGGAGCAATGGCTACAGCAGTTACCGGCTTTGTATGGCCATTAAAAATACGAACCGAATGCCCTCTATGAACATCCCATAACCTGCAAGTTTTGTCATTAGAGCCAGTTAAAACATAAGCCGAGTTTGGATGAAAAGTAACGCACTACATCCAATCAGTTAGTATCATTAATCTACAAAGCTGTAACCTACATCAACATCACTTAAGTGTCCAGCAAAAACTCGCAAAGGATAAATATGGTCACAGCTCCACAATAACGCTGTTTGATCATGCGAAGCGGTAGCAAAATAATGTCCAAACGGACCAAATGCTACATCCCATATAGGACCACTATGTCCTTTATAAGCAACCAGTGCAGTTTTCGTGTCCACGGACCAAAGACGAGCACTCCGATCTTCGGAGCAAGACAAAAGATATTTATTGTCCGGAGAGAATTTTGTACCATAAATAGGTCCTGAATGGCTTAAAAGTCGAGTAGAGTCACTCGCTGGCTCATTTGCCGTCCGGGAAGCAGATTTTTTATCAGGCTTGAGTGACCAGAGCCGAATATAACTTTCTTGGAAACCGGAAGCAATCATAGTTGTGTCTGGTGAGAATTCTGCACAATTCATAGCACCATCCGTATCATGGAAGGTGTACATACAAACACTGGGAAGTGATGCTCGGGGTCCCAAATGCAATCTTTTACTCCAATCTTTCACTGCTTCAACTTCGGAAGTTATATCGGCACCTTTATGAGGAGGCAAAGGTATATAGTCACGAGAAGGAGCATCTTCTTGATTAGGAGGATGATTTTTTCGAAACTCACCTAGTAGATTAGATGTACTTTGCTTGGTTTCGGGATCCATATGCATCATATCTTCTTCTTCCAGATCCATTTCCACAATTTTTTCCATTTCCTTATCCATGGGCATATGACTTAAACGGACCGGCTGCAACTGTCCTTCTCCGCGATCCAAAAGTTGACCGGTGATTCCCTCTTGTTCATTGAGGATACCATAACTTGCAGACAAACTAGGCCTTCCCGGGACAATGTGGATGTCGACGTGTCTATTAATTAGTTGGATAATAACCGTGCCTCCGTTAGAGATGTTTTCGAAAAGAAAGTGAAGTAGCAAGTCAAAGGTAATTCGAGAAAAATTCAATTGATATTTGTTTTTTCGGTATTGTTGAGCAACAAGGTCTTCATCTACATGGCTAGGAAGACTCAGTGATTTTAAGCACTTGACATCCCAACTATGCAAATCTTCATGGTCTTTCATAAACATATCATAAAACTGTTTGGCTAATTTTAGTTAGCAACATACGCAAAGACCGAACGATTGAGTTGTATTCTCCCTAAATTTCTTTCAGGCATCTCGATCTCTACACGTAGAAACCTATGTATAAATACGCAGAGAACGAATTGTTCAGCAGTACTTACCTGTATCATAACGATCTAAGGACAATAGATCCAAAAAGGAGTGAACAAAAATTGGAAACAAAATCCTTCTTAGCTCTGATTTATACAATTCCAGTGAACTATCCACCCAATCTCGTAACAGTGTGTACGTATGAGCATACGCGTCTGGAGTCTCCCTTATATTTTTCAGTTTTTCTTCCACAGATATACCAGAATCAGAAGCCTCTAAACGAAGCATGGCTTCCGTTCTGGCATAGCCTTTTTTGGCCAAATAGTCCAGCACAATGCGATTTAGATCCTGTGCTTGAGTTCCATTGCCGGCCGACATTTTTTTTTATAAATCAGCACTCTCAAACTTGACCTTAATTCCAAATTGAAGCGCTTTTCCTTCAAAAAACGCGTAAATTCATATGAAAGTGCTACAATGGCTTCCAGCAAGTAGTTTTTACAGGGACTTTGGGGGCATGGTTTAGCGAAAAGCAACAAAGTGCGGTATCCAAAATCTTTTGTTTACATGATTACATGAATGAAAAACATTTAATTCAAGCGTTTTTGTGTGTAGTTTTGGATATCATTCCCGTTTATGGCTGTTTAAATGTGAATAAAAAAGCAGCCTAAATCTTTAATGAAAGTCGCTTGCTTTTTATGGTGAACGAATCTACGCTTACAGAAATATTAGTCATCATTCATTCATTTGATTTTTTTTGTAGTTTCCTGTCTACTGTATGTGTTTTTCTTATTAAAAGAAACTGTCCAGTTTAATTGTATATATATAGTTTTTTTTAGCATGCCATCCCTCAGATACTGCTATGCCTTTTGTTTACATGCCTCGGAGGACTTCTTCAGTCTATCCTAAACCAGCACTTTCTTTCCTTACATTCTTATTCTCATTTGGTTAATTCAAATCTACAACAAAAATTTTAATGGATTAATTTTTAGTTAATATATAGATTTGGCATGCTGTCTTGCTTTCGTTTACGAAATTACCCAGGAACGTTCTAAGGTCATCAAGATCATTCACACTCGTTGATTCGATCACTGTTTTATGATCGCATTGTTAAAGTCTTTTGACTTCATTCGTATCACTAGCTTTCGTTTATCTAATTCAGGTATTTACAACCTACTTGTCCCTGTCCTTGCAAATGTCCACGAAGGCTTCTAATGCTTCGAAAACCATTTGGACAACGGACAAAATTATAAAATCTCTTACATATCCTGAGCATTGTTCTGTATCACTCGCGGAACGTCTTCGCTCTAACTTAAAAACGAACAATGTAAAACAAACATCTTCTTCTCAGGCGTGGACGTTTGATTTGCTTCTTACCGCTTTAAAATGTGCTCTTGAAAATATATCAAAACGATGGACGGATTTGCCTAGCGAAAACAGATCGCAAGTACGCCAGGCATTTTCTTCTCTTCATCGCTCTGCCTCTATGAGAAGTCAACTGGAAATCAATTTACTTTATGATTGTTGCTGCTATATAATGGATAAGCTGACCTCTTTTTGTGAATCAGATACACAGATTTATAGTTGCGTACGCGCCAGATTAGCTATTATTAATAGACTTTTGGACATGGAAGTTCCTGAACCTGCCATATTTCATCTTGGAAGGGTCCACTATAGCTTGCGTTATTTGTTTCAATTAACTTCAGCTAGTTTAGTGCATACTTCTGCCTATTCCCCTTCAAGCACTTCTATAACGTCAGCCGCAGAACTGCAAAATTGCCTATTGATCCCCCTTCCTTTTCACTCACTCGCCCATGGTGCTTGTTCTCTCATACTTACCTTTCAACTTAATGTTTTAAGATGTCTTAATTTGATTCCAAATTTCTTTCTTTCTCTGCCTATAATTCAAAATTTGTTAAAGGACTCTGGCCCTTATGCTTCGTGCTCTCGGTTATGCTCCTTTAATGAAGAGTTGGCACTATCCAGGATCGAAATTTTGGCAAGATTGCTCGCTAGATTTGCTCTTACTGAGCAGAATGCATTGCATTCCTTATACTTATATGCTGGCTCTCTTCAATCTTGGCTGTTCATAGGGAAGTGTCACCTGTTAAAAAGGTCAGTTGGCTTGCCAGAGCCAATAGAATTACGAATTGTCAATTTGTTTCACAAAATGCTAAACCTTTGTGATCCTTCGACGGTAGATCTTACTGATTTAAAAGAAATATTTGAAAGTGTTTTATATGGTCTTAATTTTTTAAGCATAAGCAACAGAAACTTACTGAATATAAGAATTTCTGACACATATTACAAATTCAATGACGTTGCATCTTGTTTTCTGCGGCTAATGGATGGTGTTGATTCTTCCCTTGGTGACAGAATTGTTAAACTAAAGTACTTACTCCTCATATTTCGCCTTTCTCTGAATAAAGAATGTCCCAAAGTGTCAATTGATGCTTTCTCAGAAATCAACACTTCCATCGAGCTTTTAAGTCCAGAATCTATCTATCCGGATGATGTTATCTATCTGCTTGAAGTATTTGAAAGTATACTCTCAGGTCCTTCACACTTTTCCCTTGATGATGATAAACTAAGAACCTTTTTGCTGATGGCAGCTTTTTCAAAAGCCATTTTACTCGTTAATCAAAGCTCAGTTTCAGATTCTGATGCAATAAGGTTATCAAAGAGGGTGGAACGGTTCCTTTCGCTTTCATTTTATCTGCTACGCTATTTGAAAGAGACTGTAATTCCTTTGGATACCCTTCGATGCTTCGTACAAGTCGCAATTAAATTCCAAGAAAAAGAGTTTTCCCAAAAACTTTCAAATCTTTGTTATAACACTAGTGTAAAATCTGTACATACGGAACTGTCTTTTCAGTATATTGACTTAAGTGTTTCGATCACACTGTGGCACAATCTTTTGGATGATGAAGCTTTCGTCTTAAAAGTTGTGAAATGGCTTCAATTATTGGACGAAAAGTCTATAGAAAATGTTGATTCATTCAAAAAACTTTCAAATATGCTAGAGTTTCATTTTGCTCAACCCTCATTTAAGGTTACTACTTCTCTTAGCAAGGTGTTGAAATGGATTCTTAAAAATTTATGCACATTTGATGAAAGCCATTTGGGAGCTTACATTTCATGCTTCAGCAGTAACATTCTCAAAACCTTAAGCAACGAGATATCCAATTCTAAAGAACATGGTTCGAGTGCAATTTCTATACGGATTCTTGAAGAAATATTGGATCGAGAGACTGATTTATTAGAAAAAGCAAATGTTCTCTGTTTAATATCTTGTACAATGTTCAATAATGTGAATCTTACTTCATATTACTTGGCATCTGTAAAAAACAAGTCCGATAAATTTAAAAGTTACTCTTCAAAAGATCCAAAAATAAATCTTTACAAGATAATTCTCGATTTATGGGATTTTTTACTAAAGTATCAAGCCGACCAGTGTTACAGTGTTTCTTTAAACTCTCTAATTTTACGGCTGTCTAACTTCGTGCTTACTTCTCGGTTACCCGCATCTCCAGGAGGATTAAATGATAGAGACATATATGCTTTTTTAACTGCTTCTTTTTGTATATTACATGTAACTGAAGTCTTAGACGACTACTGTTCTGAGCTCTTATTGTTGGAGACTGTATATGAACTTTTGAAGAACTACTTACTTAATCCTGCTACGAGATTGATTGTTGTAATTGTCACTCTGCTTGCAAACAAATACGCATTTCTGGGATTTTCGGGTAAAGCACATCTTTGCTTTTCTAGGGCTTACAATTATTTTAAAAAATATAATAGTACGGATGAATGTTTTGAAAATTTTTGGAGGGTTTCTTTCGCTAAATATTTAATCATTACTGGCAACACTGAAAAAGGGTAAGTCATAATAGATAGTATTTACGTTCTAACTTAACAGAGTCTCGCAACTCAAGAACTATAATGCTACAAGGAAAAGACTGTTTCTGGGACAACAGAGCTTTATTATATCTGATTATTTAATGATGTATGAAAGGTTCCAATTATCTGAAGCAGTGTATCTATTAGGATACACTCCTCAGGCACTGCACTTAATAACACAGAACCTACGGGTTGTAAAATCGATTTTTTCTACTTCGACGAGAAAAAGTGATCTTAAAGATTACAAAGCAGATTTACCATGGCAATTGGCCCGGATTGCTGTAATGTCTTATGATCTGACTGCTCGAATCTATGAACATATGGGACAGTTGAGGGAAGCTATGTATTTTAACAAGCAAGCATGCTGCCTAGCAAAGAGTATTTTTCCTCCTTTCAGTGCTAGCTGTTCAGAATTATCGTTATGTTCTTTACTCGCTAAAGCAGGGCAAATTTTTGAAAGTGAGGTTATTATTCAGGAAACAGAGGATGTGTTACAAGATTCTACCTTCTATCACAAATTTCTTTGGAATCTGGCGAGTGCCGAGTTATATTACTTAAAACGGGAATATACTGGTTCTGTCAGACATTATTCTCAGTGCCTTGACTTATTAGAAATGTTAAAGCAAGAAGTTTTATCGTTTATTCAATCCTGCAAAAATAGTCGTTCTATTACGAAAGGAATGAAAAGGTTAAGTTTATCTAACCCTGAGAATCCAGCTGCGAAAGAAAAGGCTTTTGACTTGGATTGTTCTGTTTTAAATGATAAAGCTGCTAAAGTACTGCAAAAGATTGCCTTGATAGAAGTAACACGTGGAAATATAAATGAAGCGAAGTCATTGATGAAGACATCATCAGGAAAATTTATTGGAGACTTTTCTAACGTTGTTTCTCTACATATCGCAAAGGCAAGAATAGCTTTAAGCGAGGCAGGTTTAACGTTGCAAAATGATCCAGTTTTGAGTACCCTTCAAGATTCTGTTATATCTTTACCAGGAATAACCCAAAAGGAAACAGCCGATGTTATTACAAAATTATCTTCTGCAGCATCAGAAAATCAGTCGTTAAAAAAACAGAAAGGTCATCTTAATTACTTAAGAGAGAAGTTCAAAACAATCTTGTTGAATATCCGTTTAAACTGTGAGGTTATCTTCTTTAATAGTTTTGAACGAAGTTCAGTCCAGACATGCAGAGTCGTTAACAGTTTGATGACTTTTTCATCAATCATGCAAAGTGCTTTAACAAGGTTAGAGGAGAAGAATACAATTAGTTCTATTGCTGCATCCTTCTTTATGGAAATTCCCCGGGCTTTAGGCTTCCAAAGAAAACTATTAGCTTCAAAATCAAGTTTTCAATTACAGCCTAACGGTGAGAATGAAATTGCTAATATACTTTCCGAAAACAAGTCAAGGACTCCGCATCTTGAGGAATTTAAAGGTTTTATAAACAAGTTACCTTCAACTTGGAACATAATCTCAATTAGTATCAGTGAGTCGAAGGAAGAACTATTTATAACAAAATTTGCACACAAAAGTTCCCCTTTAATCTTTCGATTACCTTTTAAGCGACATAACGCCCGAGACGCAGATGAGGAAATTTTGAGTTTTGAAAAAGCACAGTCAGCATTTGAAAAAATAATAGGAAAAAGTAATGAGACGGCGCAGAACGGGAAAGATTATACAACGAAGCAAGAAAAAGAGTCATGGTGGAAACAAAGAAGAGAACTAGACAATAGTTTAGCCAAGCTCCTGAGATACGTAGAGCTTTCTTGGCTTGGCGGATTTAAAGGTATATTCTCAAATCATATACTAGATGCTAGCCTCTTCTTAAGATTTGTTCATCAATTTTATGACATTATGAGAAAGAATTTGAATTTTACGGGTCTGGAGAATTCCATTGAAATGTCACACGGTATTCTGGAACTTTTCATCACTCTTGGAAAACCTGATAATGAGGATGTTGAAAAACTGCTTGAAGATCTTTTATATTTCGTTCTCGACATCTATCAATTTCATGGAGTACAATTTGCTTACGATGAGGTTGATATAGATCAGATTGCCGTTGAAATAAAGGACGCATTAAGAATGTATCACAATAGTTATAAATTTGGAAATACTACTAGTCATACCGTCCTTTTGCTGGACAGAATGGTTCATAAATTTCCATGGGAATCTTTGCCTTGCTTGCAACAACAGTCAGTATCAAGATTGCCTTCCATTTCTATTTTAAAAAGCTTGCTAAATGAAAATTTTCATCAAGAACCGTTTGTGAAGGTTCATATTAATTCAGGCTCTTATATACTTAACCCCAGCTTAGACCTGAAGCATACACAAGATATGTTTCAAGGTCAGTTATCTACAGCTGGTTGGAAAGGAGTTATCGGGCGAAGTCCCTCTAATGAAGAGTTTAAATCCATGTTAACAGAACATGACTTTTTCCTTTACTTTGGACACGGCGGTGGTGAACAGTATACAACCTCCAGAGATTTGGCGGCACTTGACAAATGTGCAGTAAGTATATTGATGGGTTGTAGCTCAGGAGCATTACATGAGTGTGGTATTTATGAGCCTTGGGGGACGCCTTTGAATTATCTCAGTGCAGGCTGCCCAACTTTGGTAGCTAACCTATGGGATGTAACAGACAAAGACATTGATCGATTTAGTGATGCCATGCTTTCTTACTGGGGCGTGTTTTCTAGTAGAGAAAATACAGAAAGGCTCAATATATGTGAAGCAGTTAGCAAAAGCCGTAAACATTGTCACCTTCAGTTTCTAAACGGCGCTGCCCCTGTCGTGTACGGAATACCAGCGTATGTCACTCTGAATATTAATGATGTGGACGATGTAAGTGAATGAATCTTTGGGATGGGGTTTTTTTTTCTTCTTATTTATTTATACAAATTTAATGTGTTGAAGTTCTAGAAGTCATAATATAAACTAGGGACATTCATACATTAGTACTAAAAAGCAAAGTCAGTTCAGTGTGCGGAATCAACCGTTGTAAACGATTTATGCGGTAGATTTCACATCAGAAGCAGTAGTGGCATTAGGAGCGGACGTAGTAGCTGTAGGAACAGGATTTTCAGCGGTTGCACGTTTATGAATCCAATCACAGACTTGATTTAGATAGTCTGTCCTGTCAGGCTCTTGCTCAAGGTGAACTAAAGAACAATTCGTTAGTTAAGGTTAGAGAAAACTTCGAGAAACTTACGTGCATGCTGGCAATCAGGAAGAGACAGGAAAGTTTTGTCTGTTGTACCAACATGCTCATAAAATTCCTTGGACGCATCATAAAAGTTGATATTATCGTCAGTGCCATGAGCGATTAGAAGAGGCAAATGGAATTGATTAGCTTCATCAAGTGTTTTTTGAGCACTAAATGAAGTGTTAATGTAATGATTCAGCCAAAAGAAAATCATGTCCATACCCATTGATAAGGTCGCGCAACGTTTCTAGAGAGCCGACAGAGGACGTAAGAGGATCCTGGAAAAGTCGGTCCATCATTTCTTTGCTTCTGGTGCCCTTCTTTGTCTCCATAATCTTAGTATTAAACTGAAAATTTGGCATCACTTTGCTAACTGCAGAAAGACTGAACAAAAAGTTAGTATTTTACTCTTCGCAAGAAAACTCCAAACTTAAGCATCATTGCTTACGCTTTATATACGAAATAATTAGGCTTTGTATCAGGATGGCTTTGCAACATAGGGGCTGCAGCAACGACACCCGTCAATTTATTGCGATGAGCTCCTGAAATACCGTATTGAAGTGACAAACCACCGCCCATTGAATGACCCATTAAAAACAAAGGAAGATTCGTGTCGCTTGCACGCTGTACATGGTAGTCTATGTCAGGGAGTTGTTGCTTCCAACCACCGCTACAACCTTGCTGTTTCGGGGACTGTTTGGAATAGCCAAATCCTCTCTGATCAAAAGAGAATACCTCAATATTTCGCTCATTTAGGAATTCAAAAAATTCGGGATAAAGATCTACATGTTCACCAAAACCATGAACGAACAAAAGTCTTGCTACAGCAGCTCCCTTAGTGTTCTTCCAATCCTTTACGTAGAGATCTGCCATAATAAACTACCTAACGACTACTCTTCTTTACTTCAATCTACCGGTGATATTTGGAAAATGGCAAGGAATACGCGTTGAGAAAAGTCATTAATCATAGTGGGTGAGTCTCGTTGGAATATGCTATTTTGGTGTAAACAAACACAGAATACATCAGAGTATAAGGGAGAAGAGAAAAAAAGCAATCTTGATTTTTAATTAGTAAAGAAACTCACCACAGATAGAATTTTCAAGATACCTTTAAGGCTATTTATTCATGTCTTCCGCTATGATATATACATACATCTCCAGAGTGTGACAAATCAACAAGATTCGCTCGCAAACGTAGTTCAATTGAGTTTTGGAAAAGGAATTTAAAAAATAAATTTCTTTCATTTGTGCAATGCTCCCGTGAATAGCTGGATGTCTTACTTGGCAAATATTTGTAAAGCGGCAGATATACTGACATAAAAAAATGGGATTAAGCAACGAGAAATCTCAACATTTCAGCGCATGAGTTGCCAAAAATTTAGAAAGAGCTATACCAGACGACATCGTTAATTACAAGTGTTTAGAGTTCAGACTTGATCCTTCGCTTTCTTTGAAAGCAACAACGACTGATTAGAAATATATAATAGGCTCTGCAAAATATTTCCGTATGCCACTCAAAGAAAAAAACGAGAAACAAAGTGAATAGCTAGCTTCCATTCAATACTTACAGTAGAAAACTGATTACATAGCATATCATAAATTGAATCCCACGTCAAAACTATGCATTATTTGGCTAAATGGAAAAAGCAAAAGAGAAGGTTTCATCCTAGTTTCGTAAATTCCGACGATGTTCCTTGCGATAAATCTATGAAGTATGCTCTCGTTGACGTCGTTTTTTTGAAATTCCATGCTTGTGAGAAAAAGATCCCCTTTCTTTTGGAGAAACCTGTTTTGCTTCACGCCTTTCCTTTTTCTTTCCTGACCTTCTTTTTTCTCGTTTTCCCTCTAAATCACTTTTCCCCGAAAGAAGTGACTCCACAAGCGACATAGGATCATCACGGGCTGATCTCTTTATGGGTGAAGTCTGATTTTCCCTTGTCTCTAAATTTTGTTTCATATACCAAGGAAGAGGTCCTTATGAATTAATTAACAAATATTAAAAGAGAACTCATACCTAGTCCATGCTTTTCTTTCATAATTTCCAGCTCGTGCCCGTGCTTTTTGTAAAGTTCCTGACGATCATGTTCCTAAGTATACACTGTTAGACGATAATACTCCAAGGAAGTAAACAACCAGTCGTAAATAAGTACCCGTTTCTCTTCTTGCTCCCAGAAGTTTGCAAACTTGCCCTTTGGCTGCGGCTCGGAATCCGGCAATTCCGTCAAGCCTCTCAGTCTCCGAAGTTTGTTCTCTGATTCCTAAAAAATTGGATTAGGTATATGTTACAGGATTACAAGCTCTTTACCCTTTTAGCATGTTGTTCCCCAGAGATTCGAGCCAGTTCTTCGTCACGTCGGACGCGCTCTACATTTTTTTCGCTATAAACTGATTACAAGTTAACGCAATTCCTTTTGAAATTGATATTCATGACACCGTACCATTCCAGCTTTTGTGTTTTAGCAAATTCAATGGCATTGTAGTTTTCAAGGTAGTTGCCAAAATAACTTGTATTCCAATTAGAAAAAAAGGTTCCAATAGATCTTTAGTCGATGGAAGTCTGGATAAAATTCAATAAATGTACATAATTCCTGAAACTCGGTTCCTGGAAAGAAGATTTCTCGAAAGAGTAAGGTTTGTAATATACGATCGTGTTAGTCCTTCCTTTCCAATTTCTAAATTAAAGAAGCTTGTATATTTTCAAAATAAGAACTTTCGAATAAAAGAGTATTTCGTCTGTTAGTCGGTTGAGTCTTATAAGTTAGGTAGCTGTGGGAGAGCTCTAGGAAAGGTCAATTGAAATGTACCATATATACTTCTGAAAGACAATCATCATTAGATATGATTTCTTCCTATAAAATCATTTAAATAGCCATACTGGATTCGTTTCCCTAGACGTTTTCGTTTCGTCAGCCCTTTATGAACAAACTTAGTCAAAACATGTCAATGTAAATTTAGTTAAAAATAATAAACAAATTGTGGGAAATTTTTGCCATAGATACTCTTCTTAAAACCATATATCTCTTCGTGGTTGAATTGGATAAACACAAGGATTTTATTCACGAACGCGTCGTAATAAAACCTATTCCTTCCCAAACACCATTATTTTTCCTACACTGCTGCCGCGAAGGGAGTAAGCTGATTTTACGATTTTTTTTGATATTTTCGTACTTTTCTTTTCTTTACTATCGATTTGTTTCTCTCAAAATAGGAGGGACCTTTTCGGTATCTTCAAACACGACTACTGAGTCGTCCTTTTGGGACAACCTTTCATGAGTTCAGAGCAAATAGGTGATTCTCTATATTTGGGGAATGAAACAGCGAATAATTTTGAAGAAAACACTCAAGGAACGACTCGTTCCTCACCTTCTTCTCCTGAACCTCCTAACGTAGTATGTTTTGTTTTCTCTGTTAAAATCAAAATTTCACTTATTAACTAGAAATCATTAGAAAAATACTAAAAGAAGACGTGTCGAACATGAACAGAATTCTTCTTCAAAAAATACAACCCTTCAAAGATCTGCTTCTACAACATTATCTAGAAATGAGACTATAGATTCAATTGGAGAGGATACTTTTCAAGGAAGTAACCAGCCGAATCCCCAGTTTGAAAATCGCGTCGGTGTTATTGAAAGCATCCACCTTGTAAACTTTATGTGCCATGACTCATTGCGTATAAGCTTTGGCTCTAGGATTAATTTTGTTATCGGTCACAATGGAAGTGGAAAGAGTGCCATCCTAACTGGACTTACTGTGTGTCTGGGGGCAAAGGCCTCCAGCACAAATCGTGCTCCGAATATGAAAAGTCTAATCAAGCAAGGCAAAAGCTTTGCAAGGATATCTGTAACTATTAGCAATAGAGGATTTGAATCTTATCAAAGAGATGTTTATGGTGATTCGATTACCATTGAACGCACCATTCGTCGGGAAGGCTCCAGTGAATATAAGCTTCGGGCTCATGATGGAACTGTTATTTCTACAAAGCGGGAAGAGTTAGACAGTATTTGTGATCACATGGGACTTCAAATAGATAATCCTATGAACATATTAACACAAGATACGGCCCGTCAATTTCTGGGAAACTCAAGTCCAAAAGAAAAGTACCAGCTTTTTATGAAAGGGATTCAATTAAAGCAGTTAGAGGATAATTATTCTTTAATTGAACAAAGCTTATATCATACGAAAAATGCTTTGGAAGGAAAAAAATCAGGTCTCCTTCATTTAGCCAAAAAAGAAGAAGGGTGTAAAGCTAAATGGGATCAGTCCCGTGAAACAGAAAATCTTCATAACATTTTGGAAAAAAAGAAAGAGGAGATGGCCTGGGCTTTAGTCGTTGAAGTTGAAAAGGAACTATTAGCTACGGAAATGGAGCTGCAGGCAGCTGAAGCTCGCGTTAATCAATGCAACGAAGAAAGAAATTTGTATATAAAAAAGTTTGGTGAGTTCGATGAAAGAATATCACTTAAAAATCAAGCTATGGAAAGTCTCAAATCCTCTATTACAGAAGCTAAAGCAAGATTTGAAGGCGTAATTAAAACCTTCGAAGCACATCGGTTGGAAATGAGCGATGTAGACTTACAAAAAAGAGATATTCAAAATAGTATTAATGCTGCGAAAAACTGCCTTCAAATTTATAAGGACCAACTCGCTTCTGAACGCGAACGCCAAAACAATAATGATGTCTCCGATCACCAAAAAAGACTTGATGATATTTCTGCTTTACAAAGGCAGATTGCCAACTTGAGTGAACAAGCAGTGGAATTAGAATCCAAAAGAAGCGAGCTTCATACGACTTCCCTTGAAAAAGGAGGTAACCTTTCTTCTCTTCTTGACAAAAAGGACGCTATAGCTAAGCAGTTATCCGATCAAGCCGAAAAGATTCGGATTATGGAGGAAGTTCAGAGAGACAAGCTGACAGCTTTTGGTAAAAACATACCGTATCTGCTACGATTAATCACTCGAGAAACTCGGTTTCAGCATCCTCCAAAGGGACCAATGGGTCGATTTATGACGGTTAAAGAAGAAAAATGGCATCTCACGATTGAAAGGATATTAGGAAACGTAATAAATGGATTTATTGTACGGAGTCATCACGATCAGCTTATACTTAAAGAATTGATGCGTCGTGCCAACTGTAACGCTTCCATTGTCGTAGGTCGTTATGATCCGTTTGATTATTCTTCTGGAGAGCCTATCACACCGTATTCCACTGTTCTTCAAGCAATTCATTTTGAAGACGATGAGGTACTGCATACATTAATTAATCACTTGGGAATCGAGAAAATGCTCTTAATTGAGGACAGGAAAGAAGCCGAAACATACATGAAACGCGGTGTAGTAAATGTGACCCAATGCTATGCATTGGACCCTAGAAGTAAAGGATTTGGATTTCGTATAGTAAGTAACCAACGATCCTCAGGTATATCCAAAGTTACACCGTGGAATCGACCTCCAAGAATCGGTACTTCCAATTCAATGGACGCTAAACGAGAACAAGAACAGCTAGAGGATTTAAAGAAGCTTTATGAAAATGCAAATAATGATCTTCTTGCCGCGAAACAAGAACAAGGAAAGTACAGAAGAGAAGAACAAATTGTTATTGAGAAAGTTGAGGCGATTAAAAGAGAAATTTTGGATAAACGGAGACAGGTTAATTCTTTAGAGTCAGTAGAAACATCGGTGCTGGACACTGAGAAAATTCAAAGTCTTGAAAGAAAGATTTCAGAAACCGAGAAAGAGTTAGAAAGTTATACCGGTCAACTTCAAGATGCTAAAAATGAAGAGCGAAGGATAGTGGAGGAGCAAAACCCCGTTATAGAAGAGATTAATATGTTCAAGGAAAAATTACAAGGTGAAAATCAAAAATTGGCAACTCAGCAAGTCGAAATCAATCAAATCAGAGATGAAAGAACGAGATTGGAAATGGCGCAAGAGGAGTACACGAATAAGTCGGATCATACCTTGAATGAGATGCGAGAAAAAGAGGCTAAACGAATTCGGTGTTCCCAAGTAGTGGCAGAATACAGTGCCAAAGCGGCTACTCGTTGCGAGCGAGTTCCCGTGGAACATACACCACAGGAGTTGGACAATGAAATTGAACGACTGCAACTTCAAATTACCGAATGGCGAAATCGGACTGGCATCTCTGTAGAGCAAGCAGCTGAAGACTATTTAAAGGCGAAAGAAGAACACGATCGATCCAAACTACTGGTATCGAAACTACAACTGCTTTTGGAGACATTGGAAGAAACCTTGAGGAAGCGGAATGAAATGTGGGCTAAATTTAGAAAGCTAATTACACTGCGTACTAAGGAATTATTTGAGCTTTATTTGAGTCAGCGGAATTTTACAGGCAAATTAGTAATTCGACATCAAGATGAATTTTTAGAGCCCAGGGTGTATCCAGCCAACAGGAATCTCTCGATATCGCGCGACCGTCAAACGCTGTCTCAAGTTAGTGTGCAAGGTTTATCAGGTGGTGAAAAATCATTTGCTACAATTTGCATGCTACTATCTATATGGGAAGCTATGAGCTGTCCCCTTCGATGTTTGGATGAGTTTGATGTTTTTATGGACGCTGTCAATCGACTGGTCAGCATCCGAATGATGGTTGACTCAGCGAAAGACTCTTCCGAAAAACAGTTCATATTCATTACTCCACAAGACATGGGCCAAATCGCATTTGACGATGATGTTGTTGTTTTTCGTTTAAGTGATCCTGTTAAATCCTCAAGTGCTTTACCTTCCTCTACAGCTCCTTAATTTATATGTTTTCGATCTACGACTTAACTTTATTTTTCTAATCATTTTCATCTTTTGCTTCTCATACTGAGTTCGTTCACATGATTGATTTTTCTATTTTGCCTAAAAATTTGAATGAAAAGGCACGTTTATGTTACTTAATAGTGTTCCTTGTTACTTTCAAAAGTACCCTAGGTTAGGGTATGTGACTGGTTCTGTCTTATACCAACATAACCGAAAATATGAATTTTACCAAGTCAACTCACCGCAGGACATAAAAATGCCAACTCACGCTTATAAGAATCGTAAGCTTCGTGGTCACGTTTCCGCCGGTCACGGTCGTATCGGCAAGCACAGGAAGCATCCTGGTGGTCGTGGTCTTGCTGGTGGTCAACACCATCTCCGTACTCACTTGGACAAGTACCACCCTGGTTACTTTGGTAAGGTTGGTATGCGCCATTATCACCTCCTTAAGAACCCCTTGTGGCGTCCTACTGTCAACTTGGACCGTCTCTGGACTTTGGTCCCTAACGAGACCCGTGAAAAGTACTTGGGTAAGAACACTGAGGTTGCCCCTGTGATTAATGTCCTCCAATCTGGCTATGCCAAGGTTTTGGGTAAGGGTCGTCTTCCTGAGTCTCCTGTCGTTGTCCAAGCTCGTTATGTTTCTCGCAGAGCTGAGGACAAGATTAAGCAAGCTGGCGGTGTTGTTGAACTTGTTGCCTAAACAAAAAGTAATATATAAAAACACCTGAGTCGCTAATATTTGGTGTGTGTCGCCGATTGTAGAGGTATATATTTGATGCATCTGTAATTGTTTGTAGTGTATTGTAGCTTGAGAGCATATTTTAGTATCGAAATTGAATCAATTCTGGGAACGCTGATGGCAATTTCATTTAAGTAGCTGTTGATTCGGTTATGCTTTTAATGAAGAAGGTGATGCTCTAATCTAGAAAGGAGTTAAATTATGGTAAAATTATCCAAGTGTTTGTAGATCAGGAGTACGAGTTTGTAGACCTGGCAAGAACCATACCCATGAATCGATCGTAAAGGAGGAAAATTACAAACTACAGAATATTTTCTTTATGTACGAGTTTGTATGGGAAGGAAACATTAGTTAAGTTTTCAGCTTTTAGCAGTTGGTTGCGTTTGAAAAGTGTGTGCAAATACTTTCATGTACTTAAGTGAAGAGTGGATTTGATAATGGACTCAAAGCGCCAGCATCTACAGTACTTGTTAAATCTATCAGTCTCTACGTATCCAATTAGTCCGTCTTTGTCAAGCCATTATTTGCGAAAATTATATGAGTTGATCGAAGAATGGGATTTGCCAATGGAACCAAATACGCTGCTTAACGGATGTAAAAAATGCGGAAGTATTTTTATATTTGGAAAAAATGCCTCTGTGCGTACACGTTCGCAACATCGAAAAGAAAGATCAGACCTACCAAAAGGACAAATTGCAAGGATGGAAACAGGCTGGTTCATCACGTGTAATAGTTGTACCAGTACATTTGAGTTTTCTGTTGGTGCCCCAGCAAGGCTTCATAAAAGTAGAGCCGCCTTGCATGCCAGTGAAGCTGCTGATGCTAGAAGGACAGAGGAAGCCAGTACTCAACAGGCAAGTTTCGATAGTGCCAAGACATCGAAAAATATGAAAGGTAGACAACGACAGAAGTTTCGATCTTCAGGATTAAATGGGGTCTTGGCTAAGAAAAAGGAGCGCGAGGCACAAAATAAGTCTTCTTCCTCATTGAGCCTCTCAGACTTCATGTCTACTATTTAACCATTTTATCTTCTCCTGTACCTTTCCCTTAGCTAATCTCCAGTAACGATGTATAATTTGGTTCCTTTTCTGTGTGAAACACCTTTACTCAGATACGTGTGGGAGAATATAACTATAGATGACTTAATATATGTAATCAAATTGTACAATTAAACAATGGTTTTCTTTATATAAAGGACAGAAAATAAACTGATTCAACCCCTAACTTTGGAAGTACCAGTATGTTTGAGTAGTGCAAGTATCAGACTTTTTCAATCGATGCTAGACAAAATTGACCTATGTGAAATTTGGATATTTCTTCAATGTTTCTATCATTACTAAATTTATTTCCGCTTCAACGGAAGCACCCTACCCTTACACATTCACTCATTCACTCGTGCAAGTAACCCAGCACCCATTCCCTACCACGGTCATGAGTGCAAGAATTGGGCCTCAAAGGTCTACAAAGACGGCTGCAAAGCTTAGATTATTACCATCTACAGAGGAATTCGCTGATTTTAGACGGCAAGACACCGGTCGTGAAGTATACTCACAACTTCCTCATATTGAAGGATCCACAGCTAGAAAAGATGCAGAATACCTAGGAAAACGACATCGTGAGCACTTACCTCGTGTTACTGCCTATTGCACGTGTGATACTTTTCGGGTAGATTTGCTCTTTAAGTTTTTCCAATCTCGTCGAAGCAGTCATAGAACAAGGCCTAAACAATTCGACGAATGGTAAGTGAATGATACTAAAACACATTTAATTTCCTTTCTTTAACACCATATTCTGTAGTATTTATAGCCCATACAGCTACGGTAGTGAAGAAACCGTAGATCTGCTTGGAGACGAAATTGAGCCAGATCGAAGATCATCAATTGCTGGATCCAATAGTTCCCATGATACCATTCACAATGACATATTTGAGACAGGGTTAGACAGAAACCAGCCTTTGTTTCGAGAAGTATTTTGCTTTAGCTACGGAGTAGTTGTTTTATGGGGATACACTATTGAAGAAGAACACAGATTTTTGCGAGAACTAGGTCGGTTTGAGATTGAGAAATTAAGTATGTGAATTAACAATTGATCTTTTACCTGTCATTCATTTGGCTTTCATTCAAGCGCGGGGAACGCTCTAGCTAACTTGTTCTAGAAATGGATGATATGGAAGTTGAAGAATTTAATTATTATGTTACGAATCTTTATCAACCGAGAGTAAGCTTTTTGTTTTATTTTTGAGACGATACTAATTTCTCGTGGGATAGATTTTTAATGACTTTATTGCTTTGAGAGATGCCTCTAACTATATGATTCGGTTGTCTATATCTCATGCAATTGCACAATCTGTCAAAATTTCTCTTTTTGAAGAGCTCGTCAACGAAACCATCGATGCTACCAAAGATACACCACAGATGATTGCCGAGTCTGGTAGAATCAAATTAAAACGAGAGGAGATTATGATGGCTGTCGGTCAATTATTTATTCTACGAATTAATATAAATCTACAGGGAAGTGTTTTGGATAGTCCCGAGCTGATGTGGACAGAACCACAGCTTGAGCCCATTTACACAGCAGCAAGATCGTATTTGGAAATCAATCAGCGTGTTGCCTTGCTGAATCAGCGTGTCGAGGTAATCGGTGATCTGCTGTCTATGCTGAAAGAGCAAATCACACATACTCATGATGAATCGTTAGAATGGATAGTTGTGATTCTTATGGCTTTGCTTGTTCTCATTGCCATCTTTAGCATTTTGGTAAGTTCGAGTTTTCTTCTTTCTAACAATATAATTCCTTCCGTTTCTGTGCTAACATTCTATGATCCAGGTTGACTTGAGGTTTTTCAAGTAGTTGGGTACAGGTTGTTTTATCAGTAATTTATTTAATTTCGATTTCGATTTCGATTCAAAAACAAGCTTCTTTAAGAATATTAGCTTTATAAAACCGTCCTCGAAACCTAGGTCATGTACGCGGTAAGGAATCGTAAATCCTTGAAAATTCTTCTTTCATATAAACAAATGGAATCGTAGATATGATCGAAATTGCATGTGCTATGGTTGGAAGAAAAAGCTCTTCGAGACCTGATTAGAAACGCATCATGAAATCATATAAAATTACATAAAAAGAGAGTTTCACGTCCCTCTTCCTTCATCTTGCATTCTCTGTTCTTTTTTGTTCTTGTTCTCATGAATATATTCGTTTGGCATCTGGTTCTTTCTAATCTTGCATAGGAGGTGGATTGGAGTCCTAAGTAGTTAGTTGCTTATTCATGCAGCAACTTTTGTAGCTAATAATCTTACCGAAACTTCCAAAGATGAAGGAACAGCAGCATTGGACATTTCTGGAAATTCGTGATCCCTCTGTTCCTTCTTATATTCTGTATATTCGTTGAATGTATCTTTGAGCATCTGCGTTTCATATCGATATCTCTGGATATCTTTCTCTACGTGGTAAACTCTAATGGCATATTGTACACATTCTTTCTCAACCTCTGCTACTTTCTTCCGGATCCTTGCAGTCTTTTGTTGGTAAACATTTTCTGGTTGTATGTGTTAGATATGCGAAAAAAGCCTCAACTTCTGCTTGTTCACAAACCTGAATTGTCATTCGGATCCTGAAACAAATCAATAGTTAGCTCATAACCAAAAATTCATCATTTTCTCGTACCTGAGAATCCATTTTTGTATACACGCGTCGTTTGTACTAAGAAAGGATTTATCGCCGTAAACGACGCTAAAAGAAATAAAGATACCGCAGTCCGTACTACCATTGTTATTTTCCCCCTTTTTTTTTTTACGACTTCTGTTACTCTGCGTAAAACAGTAAAGAACTTTGACTCTGTAAACAAAAATTCGTTGCAGTTTATTCAAAAAAAATCAACATGAATATTTCGGTCATGGTAATGGAAAGGTATTAAATGTTGATTAAAACTAGGTAGACATATTTACTGATTATAAGACTTAAATGATATTTTGTTCTAGTTGTTCATCAAAGACGAATTCGTCTTTGATGAACGTGGAGGTTTTTTCTTTTTTTTTTGTCTTTCTTTCTTTCTTTCTTTCATGTATGGTTGAGTTACTGGGCTTACTCATATTCAACTAACTGGTATCCATTCTTGAATGTTTGAAAAATATGGTGCGTGCATACATTTTATAAGTTTGGGACACTCAATTCTCGAAAGTTGACAACATATCTGCTTCGTTATTTCACATTGCTGTAACGATTGAAATTCCCTAATCCTCAAATGAACATGTATGTCCATAAAATTTTAGTATACGATTCCAAACAAATACGTTACAGTGGTATATAAACAAAAAAGACATAGTATTAACAGTAATCACAAACACTAATGATATCAAAGACTAAAAGCATTATGTTATACGCTTAACAAATGAGAAGAGACATAATAACTGTAGTGCAACAAAAAAATCAAAAAAATCAAGAACGTTGGAAATGTAAAAGAGATCTTTTCTCTGACATTGAAGAATGTTTTAAAACATCCCATCCCATTTTACCACACCAACAAACTGGAGAGGAATCATCCAAAAATAAAAAAAATTGATAATTCTAATATATAAATAGAACAGGCTCTTCCAGCAAGGAACCTATAAATATTAACTGTCATTTCCCATTATAATAAAAGCGTTCTCATACGACAATGTAATTTGTAATTAGAAAAGCATTAAATAGTCCATTAAGATCTGATCGACCAGAATCATTGATACATTACTATAGGGGTAAGACAAAGAAAGAATAATTCCAAAGGTATAACTTCATAATCGTAATAAAGAAAGTAACTTTAACAAAATCACATTTTATGAATCATGAAGATTCATCCAACATATCCTTCCACAAAGGATGTCTAAACAATTCATGTTTCCAGATAGAAGAAGGGATAATTGACTTCACTTCTAGCAATATATAAAAGTCTTGGAACGCTTGAGTTGTCCTCTCATCTTCAGCCATCTCTTCAAATAAAGCTTGCTTTGAATTCATTGCTTCTAACTCTCGATTACATCGCTTGAAATCTTCCCATACAATTTCCCAACCCTTCACATTTTTAAATGCTTTAAAGCAAATTTCCTCAGAAAGCATGTTGGGAAGAGCCAGTCCAATCCACTTGGCATATTCAACTCCATTTTTCCAGCCATACTTCCAAAGTGCCATGAATACATCCATTAAACCAGAAGCCTGCTTATATTGACTATCATCTTCTGTAAGCCAAAGACAAAGAGTAGCAATAGCGCTAACAACAGTGACGTGAACAGCAAACCTCTCGTGATGCCTCATATTATCCCAAGCATCACGAATAAATTCCATTGTATCTCCAAAAAGCTCTGAAAGAGTGCTTTGAAGTTGAAAAAACTTTGTGGGCTCAATAGTTTGAGAAAGCTTATCACAGTTTTCACAGATATAGTGAATCAAAATTCCAAGTACTTCGTAGCATGAACATACACTATATGAGAGGCTCTCGTGCTTTTGTTTTTCATCAAGAGTAGACACCAAAAGGTCCAAGTTAGCACGGATTTCTGCAGCACAGCGGCCAATCACCAAAAGCAAAGACTCTTTATTGTCTTCCATTACTTCATCGGTACCAACAGCTTTCAAAAGGGAGAAAAGCATAACGCAGGCATTTGCAATAGATTCTTCTGTAATGAATTCTTCCAAAACAACCTTGGTGAATGGTTCAATACAGCTGGAGAGGTCATTTGAATACCACAGATGGACGGGAAAACGTGCGAAAAGATTTCGAAAAAACAGAGAAGTATCAGGAGACTTCCATCCGTTTCTCTTATCGATTCCTTCAAAAATTGGTTTCATATATAGCTGGATCTTCTCTAGTGCATACAAACCATACGACAGAATCTCAAGAGCCTGAGGAAGGGGAAACTCATTGATAATAAAGGATGTGTAATATAAAAGAGACTTCGCTGAACGTGGATTAGACGATAGAGCACATATAATGGGAAGGCAAAGATCGTAATGTCGAATGGCACAGGTCAACAAAGCTGGTATGCGTTTTTTCATTAAAGAGCTACGAAGGATCTTCTCATCACTGCAAAAGGCAAATAGGACAGAAACACCCAAATCTGCATATTCGTAATTTTTCGACCCCAGCAACCGATCAAGGAATTTCATATCCATGTTTTCCCAGAAAGCAAAAAGGAAGTCGGGATTGTCATTTAGCAATCTTGCAAGCATTGTTAACGAAACAAATTTGCTTGTGTCATCTTTGGCATGTAACAGTTCAAAACAATTTTCTAAAAGTCCCGACGCATGATCCTTGCCTTGCTTGTTCATGTGATCTTTTTCTTCTTCCTCCAGTTGATCTTGTAATATATATTCTTTTTCTATACTATTCAGCTCGCGCACCATATCTTCGCTTATTTTTTCTATAGGAAATGAGTCGTCTGAATCTGAAAACATCGATTTAGCGGAATCGCGCGTCTTTCTTTCGTTTTCCTGCATTTTATTCCAGCTTCAAAACAACTCTAACTCATTTAATCGACTCAATCAAGATGTATAGTTTTTCTCGGTCCTCAACGCCTTCTTCAATTGCAGTGTATTATTAACTTTTTCTTGCTACAAAGTGAACCCAACAGAGTCAATCGTTTTCTAAACAGATAAATAAACGAAAATCGATTAATTATTGCTGTTTCAAATTGGTTTTTTCTGGAAATAAGCTATTGGTTAAACGTAGAGTCCATGAAGCCACCTTTTCTGCTCGAACAGGTTCCTACGTGCATTACCCTTCCATCTATGAAAGACATATGTAACACACGAATATGACGTTGGCATAGCAACTGATTTATTTATTTACATTTCTTTAATAGAACGTCTTCAAAATACCAACCACGAAACCATAAAAACGATTCCTTTTTGCCTCCAATATCAAACTTTTTTTTTCTGTAGCATTAAATAAATTATTCTTATCTCTTCATACTCAATATGTCAAATACCGGATTGCCTGAACCTTGGATTTTGAAAATTTCGAGATCAAGAAACCGTCCTTACTTTTTTAACCCACAGACTCATGAGTCTTTATGGGAGGCTCCTGCCTCTACCAATATGGAGGCTCTGCATCAGTATATGATTAATGAATTCTCTGTCCCAAACTCGACAGGTTTGGAAACACCCTCTTCTCCAAAGATCCGTGTTAGTCATTTATTAGTAAAGCACAAGGAAAGTCGTCGACCTAGCTCTTGGAGAGAGGAGCACATTACCCGAACCAAGGAAGAAGCCTGGGACAGAATCCACCATTTCGAGAACTTGCTCAAAGAGGGTGTCGTCAATATTAATGATCTTGCCATGCAAGAATCAGATTGCAGCTCTGCTCGTCGGGGAGGTGATTTGTACGTAGCTCGATGAACGGAAGGTGTTTCCTAGCTTATTCGGCGAATTGGGAATGGACCTCACGTTCAAGAATTATAGATAGAAACAGACACTAACTATATATTTAGGGGATTTTTTGGAAGAAACGAAATGCAAAAGCCATTTGAGGACGCCGCATTCGCCTTACAGCCTGGAGAATTGAGTCATGTTGTCGAAACAAACAGCGGTTATCATCTGATTCAACGTACCGCTTAAGTTTGCGTTACCCTTTCTGTTTATATTGTTCTCTAGTGTACGGAGACATGTGATTTCAAAGGTATATGACTATGGTTTAATGAATAAAGCTTTTTTTTCTCTCAGCCAGCTCTTGAGCTTGAAACTTTTTTAAACAGATAGAACTTGCTTCGTCCTTTTTAAAAAAAGAGGCTATAACAAATGTAAGCTATGAAAGCAATCGTCGCAATGAAACCTAGAATGGCCTTTAACCTTTCGGTAGCTACTCACACTTCAATTAAACAATAATTTTTTTATTTCGTTTCCGACTGATTTGAAACCTCATTCATTTAAACTTTGTATACAGAACTAACAGTTGTTTCCTTCTTGACCTAATTGATCTCTTTCTGACCTTCTCTTGTTTACACCTTTGGGAACCTCACTTATAGAATAAAAAGGTATTTGGAACACCTGTGTTTATTTCAACACCGAAAAAAAATAATATTTAGAATTGGAATGGAATATTTTCCTTGCTCATTCTAATCCGCGTATCTTTTAGCATGAAATGAGTTTAATCGCTTCCCCCATTATGTATCATTCCCCTGTAGGATATGCCTATAAACTTTACCTTGAAGGAAACCTTGCTTCCTCTTTACATGTTTTAGAAAACTATTTACAAGAAGACTTTTCAAAAGAAGGGAATATCAATTCAGCATGCAACTTGTATTTGCGGGTCTCTAGTGAGCTTGGACATTCATGGCAGAAAACACAGCAACGGTTGAAACTTGTTTACGAAGGTGCAGTTCCTAGGTCACTATTAAACGAATTGTACGTTTCCTATCAAAAGGCCTTTTGATTGACCAATTGTTCTAGGGTAATTACCTATTGTTTTAACAAAACGTGGGAGTCGAGTGAACAGGTAGCTGAATTTCTTTCACTGGCCGAGCAATCAAAGTCTGAGCTTTTCTCAGATGATCGAAGATATCCAATAGAGAAGCAGCTTGTGGTATTAGCCTGTGAATGGAAGTTATTTCCTCTTGCTAAATCGCTTCTCACAGTCCCATACCAGAAGAAAGAGCAAGTAAGATCTGTGCTTTATGAGAGAAAGAGAAGTGTTACTAACATTACAGGATCTTTTCAACTACATTTCTGAACAAGAGTTACAACACGAAGTTAACAGAAATCTATTAGCAGAAACACAACCTAACATTGACGCTACTAAAAAGAGTAATTTTCTGATAAAATTCATAAAAAACCTAACAAGGATATACTCACAAATAATGCAAAAAGTTGGTTTCTTCAAGAAAGATTCTACCTGGTTTTCAGGAAACTCAAAATTTGTGTTCGTCGCTTTCACTTTTATTGTACTGCTTTTCAAGCTTAAAGCTATCATTCGAAGAATTCGTCGTTCTCATATTTCTTGGGAAGGATTCCAAAGCTTCCTTGAAAAGTTCGCATTCTTCATCTCGTGATCCTAACTCTTGGGTTTCTTTCAAACCAAGGAGTTTTCTTAACACGGCTGGAATTAATCGTTTAAGAAAACAATATATTGCACCTTACATAATTGTCTTTTATTCTAATTCATTTCTTAAACTTCTACATACCTAGATTTGTTTACGGTTTAGTGCGTTTTCTTACATATCACTAAAGAAGGTACCAAGGCATGCTGAACTGCTTGAAAAACAATAGACAAGAAAACAAGAGTTTTCTGACAGACTTCTATGCTAAGAGATTATGAAGAAGTAGAATGAAAAAACAGCAAAATAAAGTAAAGCTTATTTTGGAGAATCCGTTAAATGTGCCATGGTAAGAAAGAATGTCCTTGGGGTGACGTTGCTAATGCTCTCAAAGGGTAAATATAGATGTCTCAATACAAGAAAAATTAACCCAGGCGTTAATCCAATCTCTGCCTACGGCTAAGGAAGATTACAGAAAACATGGTTTGACGATTGGTTTGAACGAGGTCAATATGCTATTAGAAAGATGCTGTCAAAATCCTGATCAAGATTCATTACCTCGAGTAGTTTTTGTGCTACAAAGCCCTGAATCCATACTTGTTGCACATTACCCACAGTTAATCGCTAATGCAAATTTCTATTCGAAAAACGAAGGGAAATGTTTATTGGTATGCCTGGGTGCTGAAGCACAGGTTGGAATTTCGAAAAAGCTTGGACTTAGCCGTGCTAGTGCCATTGCAATAAGTGTATGTATTCTTCTACTCCATCTATTCCCATATAGAAGCTATACTAACAAAATATAAAGAATGACTCTTTCATACTGTCACAGGTGAATCCTTTATTAAACGGGATATCAGCTCCTTCGGCTAGTTGGCTGGCCCAAGCGTCTAGTTACGAGCCCACCAAGGTTTTACGGGTGACTACAACGCAAGGTACAAAGGATAAAAAAGGATCAAAAGAAGGAAAAAATTGATTGTGCTATCATGACGGTATTCTAGACAGGTTAGCTATGCAGTGAGTGAAAGTAAACAAAACCTAAAACAATTTTTTTTTATGTAGAATCAAAAAATGATTACTGGTAGCTTTCATTTGATGGCGTCTGCATGGCCGAAGTAAATTCATGAAGTAAGCGATCTTGCTTTTGCAACATGAAAAATTTTGTATATCTAGTGGTGTTAATAAGATAAGGTAATAAGATTTTACTTACGCATCTGTAAACACAAAGTTCTCTAGCATTGGTGTTCGAAGATAATGATTCGCAAAGTGAGCCATATTATCCTCAAAAGAAGACCATTCTAAAGGTTCGTAGTCAAATTTTTCGCAGCGATTCTGAAAAGAACGAAAAATGGGCTCTGCTAGAAGGAGAGTCTCAGGGGGGGCTTTGGGAATATGAAGACGAATATGATTTTGGAATGTTGCTGGGATGACATGAGAGGCATTTGAAAACGGATAAGAGCGTACCAAATAAATAAGAACAGAAATCATCTTTCGAATTTGATGTTTCATAAAAGATTGACCGTGAAACGTAAGCTTCAACCATTGACGATTATACTTATCAAAATGGATAGCATCAATACCGACATGAAGCATATAACGCCGTGCACTTGGATCTCCAAACTTTTTTTCTGTAGTATAATTATGGAAAGAATGCGTTCCTTGAAATAAAGAACATGCCTCTTTCAAACATTCCAGTTTCGAGGAAGAAATCCGGAAAGGAGATGATCCAGAGTTTTCTTCAGAGTGAATTTTTTGTATCGTTTCCAAGATGCTTCTGTGTGAAGTATGAGGTAGTTGAAAATGCTTTGTAAACAGGAGTGAATCCAGAGAAGAAGGAGATGGAGTCGCGAGAGCGAAAGCAGGTACCCAATACTCATAAAGACGACTATGACACGCCTTATGAGGAGAAAATGAGTTTAATGTTCTTTCTATTTTCCATACACGGATAGACTCTGGCAGTTGCTCGTTGACAAGCGAGACCCAAGGCTGGAAAGAGCCAGCATGATCCAAAAGCTTTAGGCCCAAAACGTTTACAATTGCATGCACACCCTTGTCTGTTCGTGCGGCGGATCGAACACGGACCTTTCTGGGATTATCTGCATTGAAAGGGGAAATAGCACCAACGTTACAGAACGCACGAAAGATCTCCCCTTGTATTGTTTTCGCTGCATCGTTATATTGAAGTCCCGCATACCCAGTACCCCGATAGCTGACAATACAGTAGACCATTCGCTTCTGTTGTCTGGGTGAACCATCGGACAGAGGCAGTTTCGTCGTTTCTGTCGAAGGATATGCCACAAAATCACTACCTAAAGAAGAAGACCATCGCTTCCATATACCAGCATAACTTCCTTTCACGTTCAAGCTTCTAAGGAAAAAGTACATCCGGTTGATTCAACAGCTGCCAAACAGCCAGATGACTGATTTCAAGAGCAATATCAAACCTTGGCGGCAAACAACGTTTTCTTCTTTCAATATGTTAGTCCAATGTATAAGAGAAGCTACTAGCGTTTCTCTGCAAGTTCGCGGATACAGACGAAGCTTTTACTGAAAGAGAAACCCTTCTAATGAGAAAATAGGAAAATGGAAAAATGATTACGAAATAACGAAATTAAATTGAAAGTACAAAAAAAGAATCAATCAAAAAAAAGAAGGTAAAAAAACTATTATTGCTTGATTGACATGGAAAAGAAAGTGAAGAACGCATGTTCCTATGAAAATTGACGCCTACAACTTAGTCATTCGGCAAATCTTATTTTAAGGATGAGATGAGGGTGTGTTTCTCTTTAATGTTGTAATTAAATGCTATTTGCTAATGGTTATCAGGTCGAGATTCATTTTGCGAGACTTTCATGCTCCTATCCTGCCATCTCTTGAAATTACTTACCAACCACCTCCATCCATCACCAGTGAAAAAGTTAAGACTTTTGCAAAAAAAGGCTTTCAACAGTTGGAAAAATAATTCCAATAGCATTTTTGTGCTTGTAAAGCAATAATATCAAGCAGTGAGGCTTTCTTTTACACTTGCTTACGGTTTCCTAGAATCTTGAAACGGTTCTTCTCGATTCGCGATAGCGTGTTTACGTTCATATCGTAAAGAACGCGTCTTTGGCTTTGAATCTATCAAATTCATTTCCTTTCTAGACCCTCTCATTTTTTTTAGGTTGTCCGTTTTGTTCCTTTCCGGGACTTACCAGCCTCTCTCTCGTTTTTCACTCTTGGAGCACTATTTGATAGTGGACAGTCTTGTGTATTAATCAATCTTTTTTTTTTTACTCTTTTCGCTCCTTGCCAAAGCAACATTTCCTCCTTGCCTTGTTTTTCAAGCTTTTTTCGTTTTGATTTTCCTTCTTTCTTTTTCGATATTTTTATGCTTTTTCGTGTTTTTCTTCTATAGCCCTTTACCTTTTTTTTGCTTTTTTCATTCATTTGCATTTTATTTCCAATAATTCTAAATTTTGTTTGCTTTATCTTACTTCGTTTCTTTTGATTTTATTTTTTTGTTGCTTTTGGATTTTGAATCTTTTGGACTTGTTGATTTCTATAATCAAAGTTGTCTTCTGTCTCTACTTTTTATTGCACAAGTATTCTGTTTGTGTTGAGCTATTTCGATTAAATCGAAGCTTTGATTGAAAAAAAAAACTTTTTCATACTCATTTTTCCCTTCATAAAGTGTCGCTCTTTTGATATTTCGCAACCCTGATTCATACATTTTCTTCCCCTCGAATCATACAATTAGTGTTACTAATTTGAATAGGCATTTTACAAAATCAATTTTCTTTGTAAATTTCGGGCATCTTTGCATTGATAATACTATACTTTATTCCGGTGAATTCTCATTTTCTTACCTACTATCCTTTGACAGAACTTGAGTCATCTTTTGGCATCTCTCATTTTTGGCTTTGTGTTTTATTTAAGTTTCTCCCGTCCCTCTTTTATATTGTGTTGCATCTTACTTTCCAATTTTATCTAATATTTTGTGATTATTGGGTTCGTCAGATTTTGTTTTCAATTTTTGTCTATTCTAAAATTGCTTTGGATACATTTTCCATACCCGCGTTATAAGATTTTCGAAAGGCATTAGCTAATTGTCTATTAACAAAGCGGTTGCTTTCATCAAGATTCGTTGGTTGTTGACAATTCTATTTCTTTGGAACAATTTACTTCCTGCTTTTCAGTTCTCTGCAACTTTCTTTATATTATATTAAGCGAATATTTGACACAACATGTTCGTTGGTTCACCCAGTATTAGCAAGCAACCTCCTTTGCTATCTAAAAAAAGGCTTCCTGAGTCGTTGAACATTATGGACGACACTATTCGTGGTTCTTCTTTGGTTCCTGCTGGGATTCTAAATGGCGAAGACGAGGGTCAAGCGTTGCATATGTCTCCCCAAAATCCAGAACCCCAGTTAGGAAAAGCTGATCCTGATTATTTGCCGTCTTATGCTTCTTTGAATCCATTGGGGGAGAAATCCACCACTCCCACTGGAAGGCTGCTTGGTGGTTTGAACGGGGGTTTGGCGTCTGCACCTCCTAAAATGAGCATTAACTATCCACGATTCTTTGCTATAAAAATTGAAGATCTACCTCGAAATTTAACTCCTCGAGAATTTTCTTGTACTTTCTTGTTTGCTAACAACGTTATATCTATGGAAATTGTCCCTCCTACATCTGATAATGATACTGCTTATGGATTAACTGTGTTTTCTTCCAGAGACGCAGCTCTCGCGGCTCGTGATGTTTTACTTTCGAGTGATCTCTATGGTCTTTGCAATGTGACCGTCATTGATAATTATCGCAATCTCAGCCAAACAAATGTAAGCGACGGGACAGAAGGCTCAGAAAGTAGTGCTCGCTTTTCTAGAAACCATTCTCCTATTCGTCAACTATTTGGTAATCGTGATATTTTACGCCGTCCAAGCAATCATATTTCGAATTCTGCTGTCGGCCATAATGATGTTGCTTACGATCACTCCAAAACTCCTTTGAATGAATCATTTGCAAGCGCTCCTAGTAGCACTTTGCAATCTGATCGGCTATGGTCGTCGTTCCCTGTGTCATATCCATTATCGTTAGCCAATGCTCTTACGAAGGATGATGTCTCTTCTCCCACATGGTCCCCTACCGCCAATAAAAGCTCTATTTTACGACAAGATACCGTCCCTCCCGTTATGAGATTTAACTCACTTTCGATAAACACAAACGTTTCTCGGCCCTGTCTCCCTTCAGATAAGGGAGGTTATGCACATTCACTGAGTGCCCAATCTCCTCATCCCAGAGTTCTTTCAGCCAATGGTGCCTTTGGTGTTAACAGTCCTCCTTTAACACCCTCTAATACCAGAGACTATCCTCTGTCTGCTTCAACTGTTCCACCTTCCACTCCGTTTTCACCTTACGCATCGCATCATGGTATTCATCAAAGAATTCCCGCTACAACGCCTACCAACATTAATCCTGCCGATCAGAACCCTCCTTGTAATACTATTTACGTTGGGAATCTTCCGCCCTCTACATCTGAAGATGAATTAAAAGCACTTTTCTCAACGCAACCTGGCTACAAGCGTCTTTGTTTCCGTACCAAAGGAAATGGTCCAATGTGTTTTGTTGAATTTGAGAATATCCCTTGTGCTATGGAAGCTTTAAAGGCACTTCAAGGTGTTTGTTTAAGCAGTAGCATAAAGGGTGGTATTCGCCTTAGCTTTTCAAAGAATCCGTTGGGTGTACGTTCGTCCAGCTCTTCTCATAACCACGGTAATGTTCGTAACCTTCATTCTGGATCGATGAACAATTATGGTGCTGGATTTTTCCTTAATGATACAGGTCAGCATGACACTCACAATAGCCCCAGTTGGGCCAATAATTTAATGTATGGCAAATAGATTCTCTCAGCATTTCCAGATTCGCACCGTTGCCTATAACTGCCAATTAGAATGCCTTGTACTTCATGTTTCATATGTATCCTTGGTTTTTTTGATATTCTTGCATGTTGATTTTTTGTTATTGGTTCATTAGATTCCTTCTAATTCGTTTTTTTAATTGCCAGAACTATAAAAGCCTTCCTCTATACTAAGACTTAATGAATTTAAATGGCGAAAAATACCGTTGAGAGATTAGGAGAATTTTTCAATATTTGTAGTAATTGGAAGGCTTTGTTTTTGAGGTCTCATAGTGGGTTTTATGTAACCATACACTGCTGCTCTGAAATATTCAAAATTTTGCTATCTTTTTAAGTTTTAGTTGTTTGCTTTTCAATTGTTTAATGAATAAATATGTAGAGTTCCATAATATGTGAAATATAAAAAATATGTGTAGAACTAAATTTAAAGTATTGGTTACGTTTCATAGAACGTTTTGTATGAGGTAAAAAAGAAGAATTTTTTTGCTTTCATATTATAGTACTTAAGACCTATCGCAAACCCAAACCAAAAAGAAGATGTCTAATAATTCGACAAGTTCTTTTATTTTTTCCTTCAGTATCACATCTACTCGACTCGCGCACGTTTTGTACGATCAGAAGTGGTTGCCTTTTCTGTCGACTCATCTGAAGACTCACTGCTATCCGAATCAGACTCACTTTCATTGGATTCTTCAGTAAATTTGGCAGTATCCTTAACAGATGCATTTACCGCAGATTCCATTGCAACCATGCAAGTGATTCTGTTCTCTTCTGGAGCTTGTAATTCCATTACTTTATTAAAATCTTTGTCCCAAATATGTACAGAGCCATCAGAGCTGGCAGAAATGAGATAATCAGATACAGCATAAACAGCTTTTACTCTATTTACAATGTTAGTATTGAGAAAACGATAAGAAGAAAAAATTAAGTGTACCTTTTTTCATGAGCAACAAATTCCTTTACTACATCCCCGGAGCTCACATCAAAAACCTTTATGGAACCGTTGTCGCAACCAACAATTAAATTTGAATGGAATAAACAAAGGCAATTAAGCTGTGTGGTAGATTTATGACTGAAAAAGGAGCTTAGATCCTAAAAGAAAGAAAAAGATTAGTAAAGAATGCAAAATTGCTTTGTTTAAAATGTACATACAAGCTTAAAACCCTCTAAACCACGTCGAGACATGACAACAAAAGAGGAATCATTGAGAAATAGAATCCCTTCAGGGATAAATGACAAAGGCAACACCTTTCCACCTTTACCACGAATAAGATCCCAAAGTCGAAGTTTGCTGTCTCCTCCAACGCTGAAAGCAAGCTTTTCAGAAGGATGAACTGCAATTCCACTAATGCCTTTTTGGGAGGAAGACTTCAAAGTATGAACAAGTAACCAAGAATCTCTAGACCACATAGTGATTTGACCATGATCGTGGCAAGCTAACAAGTGTTTCTTTGTAAAGCACAGGCTACGAGAAATAGCATTTGGCAAATCTGTAGGGATGGCTAAATCAGCAATTTGGATATTGCGACTATGATCGTAAATTCTAGATGTGTTAATGGGGAAATTCTATGAAAGCAAAGCAAAGCAAACTAGACGATCAAATGGCTTACTTGATAGTTTCATCTGAGCTAGTGGAAGCTAATTGGAGTCCATTCGTAGCTAAAGCGGTGAGAGCGCTTTCATGAGCCTCAAACAACCATAAAGGCTTCGATTCTTTCTTCTCTAGGTCAACATCTACACCATACAGGAGGTGAGAATAGGTTCCAATGACGATTCTAAGCATTCTAACGAAAAAGGATTTCAAATCTAGTACACAGTATTTGAACTGAATGAACAGAAAATTTCGTTTACTATTTTCTAAAATTCTTGCAACCGAGCAAAATATGAGGTTTTACTTTTTTATAAGGTGTATGGTGGAAATAAATAGGACCTTTCCTAAGGGGCCTGTAACTAGTTAGCGAAATCGACTTTTCGACAACACTAATACATGTGGTTTATTGTCATTTTCTTCCTCGTAAAGAAAGAAACATCTCGTTTTAAACGCTCAATTTGAACATTAGTACGGTCAGGAAGAAAATGAAAATTTTTCAAGTTGTGATGGAAATTCTGTCAAAGCCTCTACTTCTCTTCTATGAAAAGTCAACGTAATTTGTTTCCATTCATAGAAGATCCTCCTTTTTTTTTTTTCGTAAAGTTTTGGCATTTTTCCTATTAGTTTTCTTACAGTATCTATTTCTTCACTACTATTTACTAGTAAAATGTTTATTAGTGAAGTGTATTGTAATACGTAAACGAAATGTATCTAGTTGAGTAATAAATCAATGGATGGAAGTGTCACTGGAAAGATCCAACAAAGTACTTTTCATTTAATTCTTTTTACATTTCTATTTATTTACTAATAGTTATTAGTATTGTCCTCCGAGTAGACTAGAAAAGATGCACAAACACGTTTACTCGTTCGGCCACTGAAGATTTTACTGGGAACAGTTAGGTTAATATGTAAACGGTTTAAATTGCCAACTGTTTTTATTCATACGAGACGTTGCATTTTTACTTTATCTCATCTCTTTGGTTTGTTCATCTTCGTCGTATAACAATATACTCTGTAGCATTATGAGGGTTGAGTTGTCACGGCAGGACCTTCACGCCGTATATAATTATATAAATCGAGTGGAATAGACAAACTAACTCTAGCTGTATCGTTGTATACGTGAATTGGATTGCTGTTATGCTACGTGTATAGACGCTAGTAATGTACAGGGATCTCTCCAGTGAACTAGATAGAATGCAAGAGAAACGATCTCATTTAGCCAGACCAGTCGAAAGATTTTGAATATAGACTCGTTTTTCTTGTCTGATAATCTTGTGCTTTCCATCCCAATTGTACGTTTCTGTATCACTTTTTTATTGTTTTGCTTACTTGATATAACGCGATGATTCCATTAACGTTCTATTATACTAATCATGTTAACGTGGTATCTGACTTCGACGTTGGTAGAATAGAGGAATAAACAGAAGACTCTCATGGCCTTTTGAAGAATTAAATGTCTTGAGGAATCTTTTTCTGTTTTTGATTTCTTAAAAATCGCTAGTTTTAGAATCTATATTATTCGGGCAAAGTTGTTCTTGTGGAATTAGTGTGATTGCTGTATCATCTTACATAAAGCCTGTGTACGATGCATAGATTCACCACTTGCTGTTGGACTTGAGGACGGTTACGAGGAGAAGAGACTCTTGAAAGTAAAAAAAAAGAAAGAAAAAAAAAAAGTAAAAGTAAATAATTGGAGATCAATTCTCACTTTCTGTGTTTTCTTTTTCTTTTCTTTTTTTTTATCTTCTCTTTTGACTTCTTTTGTCCCTCTATGGTTTCTATTTACTTGTTAAGGGTTTGCTACCGAGTTTTAAAGGCTTTACAATTGAGCTTATAATGTTTAGGCTTATGTTAATGTTTGTGTTGATTTCAAACAGACTTCTGTAAAGCAGATAAAAACCTTCCTTGCGATTCCATAAATTGTGTGTACCAACCACTAGCGATACTCTATTCAAGGAATTCCCTTTTGTCTACGTTTACGTAAGTACTGAAGTTGTCATCTGCACACACCACGCAAATTAAGACGCGAATGGTTTTCGCTATAACACTGCTGTTTAGCTTTTGTAAGATTTTTGTATATTGTATTGAATAAAAGATTCAGTATCACTGTATTCCTTACTCTATTCGGGACGTTTCTTGAGATTCTCTGTTTGTTCCCCTTCACATTCTTTTTCTCTCTCGTTTCATACCCATCACCCCAATTTATTTTCTTTTCATTCTTTGTTTGAAAAATCCTTCTCCTCTGCAGTTTTACGATCGCCATATTCCTTTCTTCATTCCCTTCTTACCTTTTATCTGCTTTCACGACCTCATAAGTCTAGTTTGGTCTTGGTCCGGTCCTTCCACTTCCTTATCGAACTTTCGGTAGCGGAATAACGTATATTTTATACATCACTAAACACTGATAAAGAGTCGTAACAACTTCTTACCAAAACTTTGTTAAACAGAAGAAAGCAATCTTGTGAATTACGTCGTTCGGTTTCTCTCGGGTGCAGCGAAAAAAAAAAAAATCCTTTAGCGAAACCACCTGCAACTAACTAATCTTCTTCTTCCCATTCACGCCTACTGTGTTTTCTTTATTTTTGGGAAATTTTTGACTCTTCCCAGTCTTATATACCTTTTTTTTGGTGGGAAGAACATCACGTTTTAACTTTGTCTTGTATTTTCGTTTTTCTACGTCTCTTGTTTCGTTTTGGTACCTTTTTGTTGGCCCTATTATTCATCTCATTCTCTTACATCTTTCCTTCGTTTTCTTGTTAATCCTTTATTACCAAAGTTTTTACCCACTAACCTACTACCGTCTGTAAAAATCCGTTATCAACTGGACAAAGTTCGTCTTTCTTCGTTTTCACCTTTGTTTAATTTATTGTTCGTTTGATAGAAAAATTTTCGTTCTTTGCTTTTCTTTTCTCTCTGTTTTTCCATCGTTTTTCTCCTTTTTCTTTTTTTGTTTTTTCTTTCTCCCTAGTTCACTTCTGTCATGGGTGAAGATTTTCAAAATGACCTTTCCTACAGGGTAAATCCTTTACTTCAGGATTCGACCAATATACAAACCAGCCCGACTTTAATTTCCAATGCTAGTTCTGCTAATGTAAATTCTCGGTTGGGCCCCGTTCAAACCGCTATCCCTTCTACTGCTTCTTCCATGAATCGCCCAACGTGGCTCCCCTTGCAGCAACATATTCATCATTTACGTCATACAAGCCTTTTACCGGCTGTAGAATCTTCATTTGTTCATGGTCATGGCCACGGTCATCGTCGAAGTGCCAGTGCTGGCATAAATGTGAACACTTCAACGTCCAATTCTCCTTCCTTTTCCCATCCTTCCTCCGCAAATTTTCACCCTCAGGTGACTCCAACTTCCTCTTTTTATCCTTCCAGCGTCTTTTCTACGCCTCCATCTTCTGCTGATTCTTTTACAGCCAGCCCTACGGTGTCCTCCAAGTATAGCTTGGCTTCGTCGAATGTTTCTCCTATATCACCAAATGTTAGTAATAGTCCTCGTCGACATGCTAAAAGTCACAGTGTAGCTACCGTCTCTTCTCCTGCCATGCCTCCCTTGGCTCCTTTATCCGCACATGCTTTGCCTCCTCCTCCCTCCGTAAAATCCTCTCCGCTACCGACTTTGAATTCCGTCCCCCCTTTGTTGCGCCCTCAACCTCGGATTTTGGATGGTCGATGGCGCCCTTCCACATCTCATAATAACAGTCCTACGCACTCAGCCAACCCTTCGTTTTCTGGAAACATTGTTAATCAACCTTCCTCTTCTCTTCGTCCTGACGGAGGTGGTCATCGACATAGACGTTCTACTGGAAGTTTGAGCCTTAATTCCTCAATAGCTTCTACAAATAATTACCCAGCTGGTGGATCTGGCAATACCCGTAGAAATTTATTTTCTCCTTATCTACCTCAATCATCGATCCCATCGTTACTGGCTGAACATCGCTTAGTAACAGGTGTACTTGTTGTTAGCAAGAAAAATAGATCTGATGCTTTTGTCAATGTCAATGGCTTAGATGCCGAAGTTTTCATCTGTGGCTCCAAGGATAGAAATCGTGCTCTTGAAGGTGATGTTGTTGCCGTAGAACTCCTGGACGTTGAAGAAGTGTGGACTGGTAAACTTGAGAAAGAAGAAAATCGTCGTCGTAAGGACCCAATTTCCACCAGAGGTTCTTTTGACAACCTTGCAAATGATTCTCTTTTGTTCGAGGTTCCTCAGCGATCAGCGATAAAGGCTCGTGATGACGAACAAGTAGAAGGCCAAACACTGTTTTTGCTTGACCAAAAGCAGCTAAGTTCTGAAGAAAAGCCAAAGTATGCCGGCCATGTCGTTGCAGTCTTACAGCGGGCTCCTGGTCAGGTTTTTTCTGGATCTTTGGGTATTTTACGACCCAGCAGCGCTGCGAATAAAGAAAGACAAGGAACTACTAATGGAGGACAAGGTCCTACAATGATCTCCGGAGAGAAACCTAAGATTGTCTGGTTCAAGCCTTCGGATAAACGCGTCCCATTAATTGCCATTCCGACTGAACAGGCACCCTCAGACTTTTTAAACAACGACCAAAAGTATTCCCATAGTCTCTTTTTGGCCTCAATTAAACGTTGGCCAGTGACATCTCTACACCCTTTTGGAATGCTCGTAGGTGAGCTTGGTCCTATGAATTATATCGAATCTCAAGTGGCTGCGCTCCTTCATGATACAGGTGCACATACTGAGCCTTGGGAGGGTTCTGCTGCTGCTTCAGCATCCTCTTCTTTAGATGCATTATCAAATGACTTTTTAAATAATGCGAACCGAAGTGATTATCGTTCGGAAGATGTCTTTATGTTCACTGGCCATAAACGCAATAACCAGCCTGATAATTCTGATAACAAATTAGATGATTTTTCAAGTCCCTTTGTTTCTTCTGCTTTTCATATTCGGCCAACTGGCAATGGCTATCATGTCGGCATTCATATTACAGATGTTTCGCGTATTATCGAGCCGGGCTCACCGCTTGACCGTGAATTGCAACGTCGTGGTAATACAGTAAGTTTATGTCAACGAACGGTTTCCTTATTTCCACCGGCCTTGGGAGACGCCCTTGCTTTGAAAGAGGGTAAAGATTGTTACACAATATCATTATTGCTAGACGTGTCTTCTTCTGGAAAGATTAGGGGCACTTGGGTAGGTTGGGCAGTTATCCATCCTCGCAAGGCTTATCCTATTGAGAAGGCGAACGAACTCTTGGAATCTGATCCTCGTTTGAAACTGTTTAGTACCGTTGGCTCTCGTATACGAGTTCATCATCTCGGTACTGATATTCCTTTGAATCGATATTGCAATTTAGTCCGACGATGGGATGAAGAAAACTCCAGTTTTAATCCCAACCAAACGAATCTTTTTGCGTCATCACCGGTGGAAGTTTTACGTGAAACCTATCTTGATACCGCCAACAGAGCTGTAGCCAGCCATTTAAGAAGAGAATTTCGTGATAGTGCATTTTTGAGAGTACAAAAAATGCCAAGCCGTGAAAATTGTCGAATGTTACAGAGTATGGCTGTTCAGATGGGTTGCGTGTTAGATCTTTCAAGTCCAAAATCATTGCTTCGGTCGTTATGCTTGATTGAAGATGAGACTATTCGTAATATTCTTCAACTTTACTATTACAAGATTACTCCTCGGGCAGTGTATGAAATGCCCAAGTACCGCCCCGATATAGCTATGAACATGCTAAACTTGACATTAGATGATGAGACAGACGATCTGACTCATTTTACGGAACCACTTGATAGATATGCCGATTTAGTTGTACATTATCAACTGCAGTTACTTTTGCAAGGAGAAACTGCATCAGAAAAACGCCTACGTGTTTGGTCTCAAGCAGCAAATGACATTAGTCGTCGACTAGTGATAAGTAAATTTGCTCAAGAAACTAGTGTACATATCAAAATATTTAGTGAATGGGTAGAGAAGCATCAACCTTGGCAAGATGGTGTTGTCTGCTTCATTGCTCCTTCATATTTCGATGTATTTTTCCCTGGTTTGGGGATGGAAAAGCGTGTTCATCTTGATCTATTAAATTTAATACACGTTCGTTATGAAGAGGATCAGGGAATATTATCATTGTATGGTGATGATGGAGCGGTGAGAATTGTGAAATTGCTTTCTCCCGTTCGAGTGAAGTTGTTTGCTCAACTTTCTACTCCTCCTTTGATAAATGTCTCCAAAGCGGAATTAGTATGATGTAAAAAGGTATTATTTCTTTTAAGTCTGAAAAGCTACATCACAGTTTTAATTCCGAAGTTTGTTGGTTCTGAATTTTACCATCTAAAGATGCAGATGGGTACTCATTTTGTTTATACACCTATTGACATTAGCCAACACAACTTGCGTGTGTCTAATAAATTATACCGCATTAATTTTTCTTGTATGTTGATTATAATGATAATGAATACTGAAGAACAAAATATATATATACATATACATATATATATCAACTTGGATGAAGAAATCGGTCGCGTTTCATCTTTATCTGTTATCCTGCATTCTTGAATTGTCTGTCATCCTACGTAAAGTGAGCCTTTTCATCAAAAAAATGAGTTTGGGATCATTTGAAAAGAGCAAAAGGGCAGCAATTGTGCTATTAAGAAAAATTTAAGAATATTTATGTTGATTCCAGTTGTATTTATGTGTAAAGCATAAGCTTTTCAAGTAGCAGGAGGAAACTCATATTATATTTATATACACCAGCATGGTATTAAAAACTTGCAGAATTTGGCAACAGAGTGGGTTGCTCATTGAAGTTTGAAGCATAATATATATAAAATAAAAGCTTTTTTTTTTATGAATATGAATAATAATTATAATTCAAACATATACTTACCAGTTCTTTGCCCAAACCAACTAGTTTTAGTAAAATAGTAGGTATGTTACTCGAGGTTACGAAATGAAAATACGCGTAGCGCGTCTCATAAATATTTTTCAACAAACCCACTAACAAATACAACAAAGCCCTTTTTTAGAAACAGTAGATAATGGTTTCTGAGATTTAGATTGACTTTTAAAGCATTAAATTTGATCGTCGACTATTTTTGTGGTTCCTTTATCCAACAACTCACTGTTCAAGTTACCTCGTTTGTCAATTGTATAATATGGAAAGGCCTCTTGGGAAAACCGTGTTGCCATTAAGCAGGGTAAAAAAGATTATAAAAGAGGACGAAGATATTCATTCCTGTTCCAACGCTTCTGCTTTGTTAGTGTCTGTCGCTACTGTATGTACTGTTCAGTGGAAGATGTGATAATGCTGACTGAATTATCTGTAGGAAATGTTTATTGAGAAGCTGGCAGACCAGTCTTTCCAATTGGCGAAATTACAAAAAAGAAAAGGTATTCAATATCGCGACGTTGCCGATGTTGTTCGCAAAGATGATCAGTTTGAGTTTTTGTCAGATTTATTTTCTATTTAACTAGTTGGTGAATTCATGCTATGTTGTGTTTGGAATAAAAGAAGAAAAATAATGTTTCATTGTCGATAACAAGTCTTCATAAAACATGTTTACCCTGAAAAGGAGCTGAAAGATTCAAAGGCACGATGTGTGGGAAAGATAAAACCATGATAATGTTCAATTTTCAATTTGTTTTGTTTAAAATTTTATTAAAATTATAAACTGAACCTTCCATACCAACATTATACTCCTTGTTCTTGATCCCTTACATATGTAATTAAGGAAGGAAGGATACTGATCTTAATGCTTCTCAGACAAAATCTAGCTTGAGAACTGAATAAACATCGGTCGATTCTTGTTTTATTTTCACATAGTGACATGGTATTACCTATTCTTCAAACGAATACTGTTCCCTATTGCAAGTGGTAAACATCCATCCTGGGTTTTTTTATGAAATTTAGACAGAGGTTGTACTGCAAAATATAAAAGTCTTGAACACAGGAGCCTCATGAAGCTTCTTTATCCTTTGTACCCTCGTTGTTTTTATCTCATTATTTTATTTTATTTTTTCAACTATCAAACTCTCAAATGCAACAAAGTTTTCCTACAGCTTTCCTTATTTTTTCAACTCTTTTCTTTATATTTCCCTACAGATACTTTTAACAGTATCTCTTCAACAGTATTCTTAGCGGACTGGCTCTGAAGACCAAAGTGGCTCTTCCTAACTGAGAATCCTGTTTCCCTGACAGGATCGTGTTTTGCAACCACCAGCAAACAAGCTTACTATAGAAAAGAAATTACAAACTTTGATCTGAAAACTATCATCATCTTTAATTTCCTCGGTATATCCTGTTTACAGCGACAAATTACATCATACCTTACTGAGTGACCCAAGTTATAAAATGGACAGGAGCCGAATTCTATACATAGCAAACTTACTAAGCAGTCATTATGTCGGTTTACTCGTTTTCTGAAGGTAGTTCCGTTGCCAAAGCTCTTGGACAATATGTAAAAAATAAGTACGATGCTGCTATGGCAAAGCATGGAAAGTTTACTTTGGCTTTGAGCGGTGGTAGCTTACCCAAAGTCCTTGCTGAAGGATTATCCCAACAGAAAAACAATATTGACTTCTCAAAATGGTAAGTATAAATTAAAATCTCTTTTCCTTCTTCCCTCTTAACCGAACGGAGGAGAATATGGAAAAGAGCAAAGTATTAGAAGTAGAGTGCTATATATCACAGTACGGTGTATCATGGAAAAGCCGCTTTAGATCTTTTCATATAGAAAGATCACATGAAAGCTCAAGCGAATATTTTCATTAATTCGCGTACGATGCTCAAAATTCTGCTAGTTTTGCCTATGGTTTACTAACAAACAAATAGGGAGGTTTTCTTTGCTGATGAGCGTATTGTCCCGTTGGATGATGAAAATTCCAACTATGCTCTTTGCAAACAAGTTTTGTTTGATGCCCTACCTGGATTCGTACCTGAACAGGTTCATACCATCGATACTGAGCTCTTGAAGCAAGAACCCTTGGATGCCCAGGCCTTTGCTGATGAATACGAAAAGCAATTGGTGCATGTCTTTGCTAATGCCTCCACTGTTAAAGTACCCGTATTTGATTTGATGTTGTTAGGTTGTGGCCCCGATGGCCATACTTGCTCTTTATTTCCTGACCATGAACTTTTGGAAGAAGATGTTGCCTGGGTTGCTCCAGTTACTGATTCTCCCAAACCCCCCAAGGAACGTATTACTTTGACTCTTCCCGTCGTCACCCATGCCTTGTCTGTCGCCTTTGTAACCACCGGTTCTAGCAAGCAAGACATTTTACCTTCCGTCATTGAAGATAGTACGTCCAAGTTGCCCTCTGCCTTGATAGCTCGTGCTCATCCTGACCGAGTTAGCTGGTTTTTGGATGACGCAGCTTCGGCTAAACTTGACAAATCCGTTTTACGTGTTTTCCCTTTTCAATAAACGCTTACGGATAATTTGATCAAGATGTAACGGTATTTTCTCCTCAATGGATTTCTTTAGTTGCCTTTGTTATTTTTACGTTTTATTTTTGTTAGAAAACCAAGTTTTTCCATAAATGGGTATAAATATTAAATTTTAACGCTTAAGAATTGAATAAAGGTTTTGGGCTGTTCCTGTTTGAATGGTTTTCCATTCAGTTTTTTTTATTTGTAGGACTTACCAAATCTTTGTTAGAACCGTGTTGTTCCTAGATATTAGAAGTTGTAAAAAACAAACAAATATGCACCATTCTTTGTTGTTTTCTCTCCTTTATATATACTCTATGTAGCATTGTCGCTTATTTACTGTGATTCATCTTATTTTATATGAACCTTGTCTTGCAAACATTCAAAAATGAGATTTCCATGTTCCTTAAAAAAGTGTCCTAAAAAAGGAGCCAAAAATTTCATAGGATGCAATAAGACAAAAATATTTATCACCTGTAGCTTTGTTTAGACTTCGCTGTTTGTTTAGTATATCGTGTTTCCTCTCTTCTTTGTCTTTCACTCTAAGTGCTTTCTTACACCTTGACTAAACCAAAGCAAAAATTTTTGCTATGTCCTCCGCCATGAACTATCAAAGATTAGAAAAGTTAGGTAAGAATGAAAGAAGCTTCCTTTATTTTGATTCAGAAAAAGGCTGACCGGACAGGCGAGGGAACTTATGCGAACGTTTATCGAGCGCAAAACCGCACAACGGGCGAAGTTGTTGCTCTTAAAGTAATCCGAATTGACCCGGAGGAAGGAACCCCTAGCACGGCTATTCGAGAGATTAGTCTTATGAAGGAGCTTCGACACCCAAACATCATGTCGCTGATTGATGTTTTACATACGGACAATAAGCTGATGCTCGTTTTTGAATATATGGAAAAAGACCTGAAAAAGTATATGGATGCATACGGAAACCAAGGAGCTTTAAGTCCTTCCGAGGTGAAGAATTTCACAAGACAATTGCTAAGTGGGATTTCGTTCTGTCATGAAAACCGTGTATTACACCGAGACTTGAAGCCGCAAAACCTTCTCATCAATAATAGAGGTGAGTTGAAACTGGCTGATTTTGGACTCGCGAGATCTATTGGTATTCCTGTAAATACCTTCTCAAATGAAGTCGTTACCCTTTGGTATCGTGCTCCGGATGTCTTGTTGGGTTCAAGGGCTTACAACACTTCCATCGACATTTGGTCCGTTGGATGCATCATGGCTGAAATGGCAACAGGGCGTCCTTTGTTTGCTGGTTCTAATAATGAAGATCAGCTACTTAAAATCTTTCGTCTCCTAGGAACACCTACTGAACAAACATGGCCTGGCATATCTCTTCTTCAAGAATATAAGACTACCTATCCTCTGTATAAAAGCCAAGACTTAAATCATTTAATGCCCCGTTTTGACCCTCTTGGCCTGGATCTACTGCGAAGAATGCTTCGTCTTCAGCCAGAGCTCCGTATTACTGGCCAAGATGCCTTACAGCATGCCTGGTTCTTAACTCCTTAAAAGATGTCTTCCTTCTCATTGGAGAGTGTCCGTTCTTCTTGGTTTTTATTTCCTTTTCATGATTTCCTCAATGGTAGATTTGCGAGGTACAACTTACTCATTCAAGTGTACAATTTGGCTTATCTATCGCGAGCATACGACTTTTTTATTCCATTTTGTGTTTTGTAAATGGATTTTATTTATACATACATACATATATATATATTACGCCAAGGCTTTATTTCATCCGTGTTTTTAATAAGTACATCCATCGTGTGGTCACTTAATGTCTTTCAAAAGAATAGATTACAAGTTTTTCATTTCTGTTTGATATCAACGTTACCAAAAAATTCCACGAAATCTTCAATTACGTTAGAAACATAATGCTTTCGACTCATGGTACTCAAATTACGAGTTGGTTCGTAACCAGACTCATTTTAAGGTCTTTACTATTTACTGTTTGTTGATTTTGGCATCTTTTTCTTTTCCGGAAACTTTATGTGGTAATTTGAGAATAAGAAAGCATGAAACCCATAATTGATGGTGTTTGAGGAAAAACCAGATATTTATGTTATACCTTTAGCTTTTTTGTTAAGGAGGAGAGGTTTATAGTTAATATACATAGCTGGGATTCACTAAATTGATTCTATTCACCCGACGACGAGTAGCTTTTGGCTTGATTGGGATCCCCAGCAGATGCTTTCTTTTCTTCTACTGCAATTTATTATTCTTTTCGTTGTTCCTAAACTTTTGATAATGAATTTTGGATACTAGTTCTTTATTAACAAACATGTACCTATAAATGTATTTCACAGTACGCATTCACATTCATCTTCTACATCTCAGACTGAAAAAAGCCTTAAAACTTTTTATGTTCGTCAAAGACAAAAGATGGTTTCTACTGATCATGAAACCGAAGCTTGTGTTTTTCCTGTTATAACTCCATCTCACTTTCACCCAAAAACTACTCACATTATAGAATTAGCAAAGTAGTAGGCATGTAACTTCTAATAATCTAAACACTTGTTCCTATTCCTGTCACAAAAAGTTCGTATTGTGTAGGTACATTGAATCTCAGCTTTCATAATTGTCTTCTATTAACTCCAACTTGCAGATTTAACTGCTATATCTCGAAAATGGCGGATACTCGCAAATTCAAGGCTACAGATTTATTTAAATTTAATAACATTAATTTAGATCCTCTAACAGAAACTGTATGTGGATAATGGAAGTGAAATTTTCGAAATAATTGCTGACCGTGCCGTAGTTCAATATCTCGTTTTACTTGTCATATTTGAACCGATGGCCAAGTCTATGCGTCGCGCAAGAATCAATTGCCTCAGAAAGTAGCTCTTTAATGGGCTATATTATTGGGAAATCAGAAGGAAAGGGAACAGATTGGCATACCCATGTTACAGCTATCACAGTTGCACCCAGTTCTCGAAGACTAGGTTTGGCAAAGACTATGATGGATTACCTAGAAACTGTTGGAGATTCTGAAAAAGCCTACTTTGTTGACCTGTTCGTTCGAACCAGCAATGCTTTGGCAATCAACTTTTATAAAGGATTGGGTTATTCCGTATATCGTCGGGTAATTGGATATTATAGCAATCCTTATGGAAAAGATGAAGATTCATTTGACATGCGCAAGCCTCTTGCGCGAGATACGAAACGTCAAAGTGTTCGTGAAAATGGAGAGTACTGTAATTGCAGTCCTAACGACGTTGTTTTTTAAATGAAACAGGTATGATGGAAGTATAGCAAAATACCATTGTCCTTTAGAAATTTTGAAACAAATTGAACTTTTCCCTAAGTATTTGATCGTACACATACTTCATCCTTTCGCTCTTTTATGGTTGAACGTTACTTTCATAAATTCACCTAACTAAAATTCCGCTATCCGCTTTCATATCATTGTATATTTTGAACAAAATTAATTTACTTCTAAATTATCTGTTGCTGCTCTTGGTAGACCTTATAAAGCAATCAGAAGTCAGTTAATTGACCTCTTCAGCTTCCTAATGTTGTAACCTTCTAATAACATCAATAAAAAATTTACGTTTCCTTTCTCAAGATATGTCTGAAGCATGGAAACCGACAGACTTTACGATAAAAAAAGCACGTCAAATTCCACTCCTTCTTAATCTAGGTTGGTATAAAATTGACCAGAGATATTATGAAACCATCTGATCAGAGTGTTCCAACCATATTTAAACTTTTTTAAAATTTCATTAAATTAAATCATCCAAAAGCCTTGGTTTTATGTAAGTTAAGGTCGCCCTTTAATTATAAATAAAAGTTTCACTACAAACACTTAAAACTTACGACACCGAAAGATGGAACATTTGCAAGAATGATATTTTGTACCAAAGTGCCTGCTTTACTCTTGAGGGATCTCAATGTCACCACTGTCGATCTCCTTTTGAACATCGTGAGGGTTCTTACCTTCAACGGTGCAACCAACGGAGAAAGCAGTACCAAGGATCTCCTTAACAGTACCAGAAAGGTCCTTAGCGAGGGACTTGAAGCGCATGGTACGAGCGACTTCAATGATCTCGTCAATAGAAACGTTACCAGAGTGGACAACACCCTTGTCCTTCTTTCTGTCACGAGCAGGTTCCTTCAAAGCCTTGATGACCAAAGCAGAAGCGGAAGGAACGACGGAGACGGCGGCTTGACGGTTTTGGATGGTCAACTTGACGGTAACACGAAGACCCTTCCAGTCCTTAGTAGCCTTGGCGATATCTTCACCAACCTTCTTAGGAGACAAACCCAAGGGACCAATCTTAGGAGCAAGAGTAGAACCACCGGCAACTTCACCACCGACGGCTCTCATGATAACGGTCTTCACTTCATTGGGATCGAACTTGGGAGGCATCTTGGGTTGTGGCTATGGGATCAAATTACCCTTGTGTGAACTTTGCCAAAGGTAAAGCGAAACAACAGTCACTAACCCTACCCCAAAATTCAGCACATATAAAGAAATAAAACAATATTAGGCAAACGAGGAAGTTATAATTGAAATAAAGTAAACATTCCTGTCAATTTCCATCATAGTAAATGATGATGAAAAAATAAACTATTGCAAATGATTGTTTCTTTAAATTATCTTGGAATTAATTGAGAGAAATAATGCAATAATAAAACCAAAATAGATATGATTAAAGTATAATACTAAGAACAACCTCAATTGTTTATGATCTCTTAAACCTGGAATATTAGTAGGCTAAATACCGTTTAGTTACTTCAAAGGCCAGATTCAAGTTTCCACTTGATGTATATATAAGTCGAAGGTTGTAAGCAGCTTCATAGGAGAAATCGTAAGTAGAGTTAATTTGCTTTCCCTCTTTCTGCTGTGCTTGAAAGTTGTTTAGGGCTCCCATAGGCGATAACTCTAAAACCTTTTCATAATACTGTACAGCATGGTGTTCCAATCCCAAAAAATGATAAGCTTTTGCTAAGTTATAGAGGGCTTCCTGCTTCTCTCCTACGCCTGCTTTGGATCGTAAGTCATAATAGTGGTACAAAAATGTGAATCCTTGCAGGATTTGGTAGTGTCGATTGTCAGAAAGCCTCTGCATAGCACGATGAATATAAGCCAAGCCAATAGAGAGGTTTGTCATTGGACAATCTGGATTCATCGCATATGCTCGACTATAATAATTGATTGCTGGAATCCAACTCCTACTACGGGCCATGATATGTCCATATAGTAGGAATAAAATAGGGTCGTAGGATGTAGGAACAGTCGCCAATCCGTCTTCATTTTTGGATAAGGTAGCAGCACCAGGAACAGAAGACTTGTTAATTAGTTGATCCATTAGTTTTACCAGACGAAGCAAAAACTTTTGATTAGCGCTGTCCACGAACGTTCGAGAGCAATCATAACCTGAACTCAATATACCTGAAAAAAGTCTGTAAGTGTCTTGACGGAATTGAAAAGTCGTGAAAGTCCATCGGAGAGGACCAAGTGCTGTTTGAGAATCTCCCGCATGAATGGCGCATGCCAGCATGCACCAACGCAAATTCTGGCGTTTTATTGGATCCTGTTCAAACACAGGAGTCGCCATACCTGCTTTTAATACCTCATAAGCTTGTTTCACCGTTCCTAATTTGGCTTCCTGGAGTGCGTAAAGTGCAAAAAGGTGAAACCAAGAGTCGATAGAAACATTACGAAACATCTTTGTATGTAAAACCTTCTCCAAATCGACGTCACCCCATTTTGAATGGGTAATTGAGTCATTAAGCCTATTTATCATGTTCATAAGCTGATCCTTTAGCGAATGAATTCGTACGTGCCTTGTCAACAAGCTAGTTTTCGATCTAGCTTTCCGTTCATTAGGATATAGCGCTTTTGTATTTACAAATTCATCAATCAGCTCGGATGCGATGTTCAGCCAAGAATTAAGCGTCTCCGAATTCGTCGGATCGTTTTGCATATTTTCGAACAATTCACTAAGTTTCCCAAACCTTCTTTGAGTATGTTCTGTTTTCCAAATCTTGTACTGGCGGGCTTCTTCTTTAGACCGGCTAATCTGAGCCCGCTTTTCCCATCCGTCTTGTGGTAATCTCTGATTATTTATTAGTAATCGAGAACCAAGATCACTCTCGCGACCTTCTACCTCCATGTCCCCCTTCTCATTTTCAGACGTCCCTTTCTGAAGTTCTATTATACTAGTAACAATTGCCAACGCTGCATCGCGATTATCCTGTAACTCATTTATCTCGGCTAACTTTACAAGCGCGTTGATATTGTTATTGTCTATAAGTAGAATAGCTTCCATACATTGTTGTGCATGTTCGAATTCTTTCAATTCGAGATAGCAAAGACCCATATCAAACCAAAGGTGGATGTTTTGAGCAGGACCATAGCTGCTTAAAAGTATATGATATTCTAACGCCAAATCGAGGCGTTCAATTTCCATATAGGCCTTTGCAATGTTATTTAATACTCCTGAGATGTACTTAAGAGGAAGGGTTTTAATTATAGAAAAGTGGTGGGCAGCTTCTTCAAGTTCACCAATTTTCATCCTTGCAATTCCCAATTTAGCTCGTAGTAGATAAGGTAAATGATAGGTTTCTTCTGAACTTTCTTGTACGGAAGTAGCATCAACCTTTCTCCGTTTTTCATCTACGTCCCACTCGCGATCATCATCGTAGTCGTCCCAGTATGTTTCTGACTTCCGTCCGCGAAACCAGCGTGCACCTCGATTGATAAGGTGGATAGCACTAGACCACTGATGGTCTAAAAGTAAAAGTTCAGCATAAAGATTCAGAGCGGGTAAATCAAAAACACTCTTGCCAATAGGTGGCACTGGGTACTGGTAATAATGTGTCCAAGCAGTTTCAAAAGCATTAAGAGCTTCACCGGGAGCACGAATTCTAATATAGACCTCAGCCAAATGCTTTAGAAGTGATACGTCAAAAGGAGAAGAAGGAAGCAGTTGTCGAAACCCCTCAGCTGCTTTCTTCAATGATCCATGATCCTTATTTAAAATAGATCGATTAAAAATATACTCGTTTAGTAAATTTTCTTTGTTCGGTTTCGCTAAGATTGCACGAGAATAACAATAGTCTGCTTGATCCCAAAATTCTAGACTTTCATTGAGATGTGCACAAGTAGCCCACATTTCATAATCTTTTGGTTTAAGATGAGCTGCAGCCATCCAAGCAATCAAGCACTTTTCAATATTGACCCTCTCGTTGCCCCTTTGACGATGGCATTCACCCAACATTTTCCAAGCGGCAATCACATTATTATCGATGCGAACAATTTCTTCGGCAATTTTTTGAGCCTCAGCAAAGTTTCCTTCCTGAGCGAATAATCGATTTGCAATACTCAGCAATTGTTGAACTTCAACAGAAGGAACCATGTCTGCACGACTCACACGGCCACGACCCCGTGAGCTCTTTTTGGCGCGTCTAAACCCAACAGCTGCTTTCAAATCTTCCTCCCATTCATTGTCGTCAACCTCAGAGCCTTTTTGTGTAGATGTTTTGTCAAACGTGGATGACGCTTCTTCTTCGCTCTCAGCATATTCTGACTCTTCGTCAGACCACAGACCAGCGGTATTTAGAGCAGCAGTATCCCCTAAAAATGATTCATGATTATAGTTAAACCGTCCAGACTCATCAACGAAGTCATTAATATATCCATTAAAATCATGCACCTCTTCATCCATCGCTTCTACGGTTGAACTGTTCACGCCACCAACCGTAGACTCTAAAAGGGTATTACTTTCATTTTCGTTCATGATTTGCAGAATTATGTATGCTGATACATACTTTTGCAATGTTGGTTGTTGGCAAACCAGAGCAGACACTACATGGTCTTATAGCATATACATTTGATGCCTTATTGAACAAAAAAAGATGATTTTTCATCATTTAAAGAACTTAAAATTAATTCTCTATAGAGAAACGCCAAGACTCTTTTTTTCTTTAGTTCAAACAAACCAGACCGTGCTTGAATCGTTTTCAGATGTAAGTGGTAGAATCATGATTAAATCAAACTTTTCAGCAAATCCAATAAAGAAAACATGCAAAAAACCCATTGATTTTTAGCAATTCTTAACTTCGAAGACACTGTTTATTAGTGTGCGTTAATGATATTCGTATTTTTGATAGCATAGAGTCTTATGGTATGTTAAATAGCTACACCCAAGGAACTTGGTTTCAGAGGTTGCTTTCTGCCTTCATAATTAAAACGACATTTCCATATGTTGAGAGTGTCCCGATTTTGGGGAACTATAACTCCGCTTCGGAGCTATCCAAGGATTTTTCGATATGCCTCTACAGCCCCCAACGGTACAGAATCCTTTGCTGACAATGAGCGGCCAATCGACACGAGTTTATTGTTTCGAGAAAAAACAAAATTTCAGGTATAGATTATCTCTTCATCAACCCTAACGAGTGATGCTCATAATGCGCTTTGTGATTTGATTGACTAACCATTACTTTTTATAGCTAAAAAAGTATAAACCGATTTCCCCTGGTTTGCGACACTTGCAACGTCCCATTACTGAGAATTTATGGAAAAAAGGACCTTATCGTCCATTGACAGTGGCCAAGCGCAAAACAGGAGGTAGAAATAATACCGGTCGAATTACTGTGCGACATATTGGCGGTGGACACAAACAAAGAATCCGACTTGTCGACTTCAAACGGACTTCTCCAGGACCTTGCAAGGTGTTACGGATTGAATATGACCCTGGAAGGAGTGGACATATTGCCTTAATTGAAAGCCTGGACGAAGAAAAGCGGAAAAGTTATATTCTAGCTTGTGATGGCCTTCAAGCTGGTGACACTGTCGAAAGTTTCCGTAATCTCATGGCGTTGGATAAGAATGGAAAGCTTCCTGATTTGAATCCAGTTTTAATTGCTGAATTAGAGGACGGGACGTTTACTGCCCGTAACCTGAAGCCGGGAAACTGTTTCCCCTTGCGTTTGATCCCAGTGGGTACATTAATTCATGCTATTGGTCTTCAACCAGGCCAAAAAGCAAAGCTGTGCAGATCTGCTGGCTCAAGTGCTCGACTCATTGCGTTTGATGACAAAAACTATGCAATCGTGAGATTACAAAGTGGTGAAGAACGGAAGATTTTAGCCTCTTCCTTTGCTACAATTGGAACTGTCAGTAATATATATTGGCAACACCGAAAATTAGGAAAGGCAGGACGTTCTCGCTGGCTTGGCATCCGTCCTACGGTTCGTGGTACAGCCATGAACGCTTGCGATCACCCTCACGGAGGTGGTGGTGGTAAAAGTATTGGTAACAAACCATCACAATCGCCTACGGGTGTTTTAGCTAAAGGAGGCTACAAGACTCGTAAAGGCAAGAATATGAATAAGCTTCTTGTTCGTGGTCGTCCTCGTGGAAAAGATAAGCGCTAGACAATGACATATATACGTCCTTGTATAAATTAAAAACTGCTTGTTTGATTTTTGTATGTCTGACTTTCCTTTTAGGCCGGGTGTTTTACATGATGTTTGAGCTTTGGCAGTTGAAGGATCAGCTTTCATTTTTATTTTGTGATGCATTCTCTCCGAAATTTTTTAATCACTTTTATACTCTTTTTTAATAAATTATATTATATATTCCCTTTGCATTGAAATGAGTAAACCTTGTATCAATCAACCACGCTAGTGAGTAGCAATTCTATATAGACAACAGTGCAAATTGATACCATTAGACCGTAATTTTTGACGCTAAGAATTTGTTTTCTTTTTTGATCTTCTATTTCGTCTATGTTTTCGTCCTGCTGCTGGGCTAGCGGAAATTCGTTCTAAGAGAGACAGCTGAGAAACTTTGGGCCCAATTCGTTTCCTCAAAGGATTCGATGTTTCTTCCATATCTTCTTTTTCGGGCGATTTCCTTATGATTAGTTAGTAACAATATACATATTCAAAAGAGTAGAGAAACAAGGTACGATACCTTTGAGAACTAGAGGATTCGGCCTTCTCGTGAGGGTCCCCATGGAACAGGTAGTAACGGGAATATAGATGAGCACTTTTTACTTTCTTATCCGAGTATCTTGCATAACGGATTTGATGTGAAGAGGAGAGAAAGCTTGGACAAGGCTTCATACGGTATTCAGCATTGTCATCAAAATCAGAAAATGGCTCAGATACGAGTAGGAAAAGAGCTCTTCGAGCGACATCTTCATCTGGATATACCAAGTTACCTGTGAAGGGGAAATTAGTCTCTTCCTGCATAGACAGCGACTTTTAGGTTTTTATTAATTGTTCCTTACATTCGTTGTCATTAATCCATTCAATCACGCATTCATGCTCGGGAGCATAAGTGGAAACAAACTCTTTAATTTGCGCTTCTGACATATTATCCACCCCAGAAACATGGAGTGCTGTTTTTCGCAATGTCAAATCATCCGGTTGCTGAGCTGGATTCTCGTTCAGGCCAACAGGGCTCTCTGTAAGAATCCGTTCGTTCATTACGGACGCATTTTGTTCCTCCATATCCATGAATGAATCGGGAAACGTTTCGCGTTTTGCGAATCGTTTGTTTTTGTAATTTTACGAAACCAGGTCAAATAGTGAAGGATGGTCCGTATTCTTAAATGGGTTTGTTTACAATAAAAGTAGAAAATAGGAAATAAAAAACTGCTATCATAATACAATACACCCTTTGGACTTGAAAAGTACGTTTCTTCGTTTGTTTGTCTCTTTATTTCTGATTTTTCGTTGGAAAGAAAATCAGCCATGTTCAACAGTAGAAGCTGGCTGCCTGGTTCAAGAGCTTGGTTTTCTCTTGTGATACGTTTGTTATGTCAGGTTGGTTGAAGCGTCGATTCGACGGTTCATTGGAAATGAAGTCCCATCCAATTTGAGCAACACTTACATGGGTAGGACCCTTAATTGGTGAGGTTTTTTTGCTCTTTTTCCACAGAACAGTAGTATACAAAAGTGTAAACAAACAATGGGCTAAACCCTTCTATTTTTGTTTACCTTTTAACAAACCCCAACAAAACCCCCTTATTTGTCTTTACGAAAGTTGACAAAGCCAAGCAAGAAAAGCCCATGTAAACATTGCAAGAACAAGTCCATTAAAAACCTCGATTTTTTTACTTTGGTGTTTGTACTGAATTATACGTGAAATACTCTGCTCTATTTGATCCTCTTTCTGTGTAAAATTAACATACGCAGCGAAAGGAGTGAACAAGATTCCAAACCATTGGACGCATTTTATATACTAAACAACACATGAATTTGTAAGGATTCCATTGAAATTGAACAAAATAATAGAAAAAGTCGGCTTTTTTAATTTATTGAGATGGAATCGATTATTGGTAGACATAGTCGAGATGAATCCTTCTCGCGTTCATGCATCGCTACTCCGAATGTCCTCGACGACCAAGAGGAAAATAGTGAACGTCCGTTTTCATATGTACAATCATTGAGAAGAGCGAGGGCTACCGTCTGGAGTGATCAGGGTCGTGCAAAGCCCTTGCAGTCTACTCCTTCCTGGAAAAGTTCCTCTCAGAACAGCAAAAAGGATTCTAGCAAAGGATTGGGAGGCATGCGTTCAAGAGTCTTTTCAAGTCAACATCACGGTGTATATCATACTCGACCGGCTTCGTTGAAATCTCGAACAATGGCCCCTCAACATACCATCCTAACACCTCGACTCTCTGCAACTGAAGGCAAAGACGACGATGAAGACGATGTAGACATTTCCACTTCCAATACAGCCCCTACTTATATGTCTATGATCAATTCCTCTCGTGCTAGCTCCACGCGCAGTGGTACTGCCCCATCTGCACCTTCTATCATGGGCATGTCTATTCATTCTCAAGCTGATACTACTCACTCAGAAGGATACGAATCCAGAAGCGGCTCCCCAACTCACGACATTCAATCCTACCTTGTCAATCACAGTAGTGATTCAGAAGATTCTGACTGGGAAAGTGGTGAAGAAGGCGTAAAGCGTCTAGTTATTACCAATATAGCTAATGATGATGAACTGGATAGTGACTAGTCACATTGAATGAATGTGCTCCATTTTTTATACCCATGCTCTTGATATATATGACCTTGCATCTTGTTTCTTTTGATGTCCCTTATGCTTCTTCGACTTTGCACTTGTGTTCATCTTCGTTTCTTTTTTCATTTTCTATTCTTTTAAGTTATGTTTCGAACGGTTTCATCGTTCCTTTTCTCATGGTTAGGTAGATGACTTTCCGCTTTTTTCTTCTCCCCTATTTATTATTTGAATCTATAGTTGATAATTATTCGGTTTTCATTTGTCATCTTAATTCTTCTACCGTAGGAAAGAAAATACGGACCATTCATTTATTATTCATAATACAGTTTATTATATGTATGTATATATTTACAGAAAAGACACAAAGTTCCAAAATAAAGTAGCGATTATGCCTTCTGAGTCGGATTGTTTTCATCCACTAAAGCTAAAATGAGATCCTTATCTCCTTTTTCCATTATTTTTTCAGTCATTAGATTACCAACAATTTTTTCCAAAAGACCCCGAGCATTAGGGGGGACAGTTTTATCCGTAGAGAGTTGATCATCTCTCAAAAGCAATAATGCATCATACAAAGCATCCATGCAGCGATTTGCTTCATACTTTTCATCTTCGTTGCCTTTTTCATGAGTCTTTCTAACCAAAATTTCATAGACCTTGATATTAGGAACTAAAAGCACCCGAATAGCTTCTTTTCCCATTGTTTTGAGACCTATTATAGCTCCATAGTGAGTTGTATAAGGTTTTGTATTGTCCAAGAAAGCCTTTAACACTGTTCTTGTTACTCTTGGCTTCAATGTGTAGTATACATTGCCGAATCGATTACAAACAATCCCTAAAAGATAGGCTGCTAAATCCCTTAAAGCATAATGATCATGGTTATGTGGATCATTACCAAGGCGTTTGGCAACCAGGCAAGTTAAAATAGAGGGCATTAACTGTTGAACATATGGCTCAACAAACAAATTGGGATTATCAAGGAGAGCCCAGGCCATTTGCATAAGGGTAGTAAGAATAACTAGATTACTTAGGTTATGAGAGATGGAATCAGAAAGAAACATAATAAAATAGGGCAAGAGTTGATGCAAACCGGGATCGTCTCGAAGGCTTGATAACGCGGCATTTCGAAGTTCTGAGTTTGACACATCGAGCAAAGCAGCAGTAATACGCTCAAAATATAATTGAAGCTCTTTCGAAAGCACGTGACGAACTAATGGTTTCACTTCAACATTCTCCATAGATGAAATACCATTTGACGCCTCTTTCGTAGCGGTAGCAGCTCCTGGAGTAATGGAAGCTGGACCCTTAGGAGCCCACTCTCCAGTTGTGTGGTCAGAGGGGGTTGGGTTTTGTGGAATAGCAGGTTGAACACCCTCAATTGCTAACCAATGTGCAGTATAAGAAATATTTCTGGGTACTTTAGGTAGAGGAAAATTAATAATTTTTTCAAAATCAATTTCTTCATCATCGAGATAATAGAGAGAGTTTTGCCCAGCACCTACGGCAGCTTCATGAAATTCAACAGGCCGAGATGTATTGAAGCCGTAAAGTGGCTCAACATTTAAAGTTCTTAAAGCGGATGAAATGTCAGCATTTGAGAGTACCGTTCGTTTCGAATGGACCATAAACTTCATTGCTTCCTGGATTTGACGTTAACATATTGTACTCTGACGAAATAATAAGTGCAATAAAGAGCAAATAATCTTTTATTAAATAAAATAGAAGATAAATTGAAGGATACAACAGCAATGTCTGCAAACAACCTAGACTTTCTTAACATACCTGTATGACTTGGTGGATGCGATATTCAAGATCCATTGCGATTGCAGATGCTGCTTCATCACCTAAATTGCTAATACCAAGCATTTCAGCGACATCTTTTATGGATTCTACGTTCCATACTGTCAAAGACATGTTGGTATATGGAGTCTGTAGAGTTTCATCGTCGCGTTTAGGAATGGAAATAGAGAGCTTGAGTGTGTTGCTTGTTGTATGATTACGCTACGTTGTGGTTCTTTAAAATACACACTTTTGGATTATAAACAAAACATTGAAAGACCAGTTGTAAAACAAAAATAATGAATAAATAAAATAACTTTTCCAATTTTTTGGCAAAACTATTGGAAAACTTTTTTGTAATGAAAAACTAGAAAGTAACGTTTTGAAGCTATAGGTGTAAAATGAAGGAAACCAATGGGATCTTAAATGGAATTCAGTAGGATGCAAATGGGACTCCGTTGAAAAAGTTAGGAGTATAACTGTCTTATTCATCCTCTTCTGGTTACTGTTTATGAAATATAGGAAGAATCTTAACTCTAGAAACAAAGCTTCGTAAAATGATTTGTCAAGATATTAATATAAAAGGAGAAACTTTATGGAATGGTGCTCTTCTTCACCTATATCAGCAGTTAGGATCGGAAGCTTTTTTACCACTGAAAGTCTAAATACCCTAAAATAGAGGAACGTGCACCCTTATGAGTCTACATTCGGAAATGAGAGACGAGAAAAATCAACTGGTCTGACTTGATATGTTTACTTTTCGAAATCCCATTTAGTTCACGAGATCCTTGGACATGACGACTTAATCCAATTGAAGCATAAAACGATATAACTAAAGTTGTTTACTTCGCTCGAAATACAATATTGTACGGTGTAGCATTTCTACCATGACACTTAACTGTCCTAATGATTGTCAATTGTCACTCTACTGGTAACGATAAATAAAAACAAGACATATATATAGAGCATAGAGTGGTATAGAGAAATACTGACAATGTAATATAAAAAATCAAGTAAAGAAAAGAATTTTACACTAATAATAGTCTATAAAAGTTCGTTGCTATGAAACGACTAGGGCTTGAAATGGATTAATGCAGACGAATAACTCCATATTTGGATCACGGTAAGGACTATGAAAGATCAAATGTTGGATTCTTAAAAAAGGTGTACATAAGATGCAATTTTATGTAAATATGTTTGTTCTCTATACCATATCTTATAACTTAGTGAATTTGTTAATTTTCCAATTGCGATTCCAGAAACAACTTGTTAATAGATTCAAGCTCATATATCTATAGTACTATTCCTATACTTCACTCAGAAGAAAAGTCTTTAAGGGAACGTTCTTTTCCTTATGTCGTCTGAAAGATAGCATATGTCTTTCAATAGAACAGAGGAAGCGCATGAAAGTAGCAAAAAAACTCTGCAAGGCAATTCAGTATGGTTTTCATTGAGAGTATCCTTAAAAGTGACGAAATCCATAGAAACATTAATTGAAGCATGTTCTACTGTGAAAGTTTGGATCATGTTCATTGACTCTGGATGGAAAGCCAAACAGATCCCTATAAATAATTACTTTCTAAAGCCTTAATTTACTTCAATTTTAAACGCAAAGACAAGGGCCCTATGATTTGCTCATTCTTTCCTATATTTGAGGAATGAAATGCAGAATGGTGTTATCGCCATTAAAAGAAAGGAAAAAGATTGCAATGGAATGCGTCCTTACCGTATGTACAGTCCTCATTACTAGATTTTTCAGCTTCTGTTTTACCATTATAGCACACACCTTTTATGATAAGATTTTGTAATGATGCTCTCATAAAATGTGATAGCAAGGAAAGGAGCAAATTGCAAAATCTACAGTGAGTTTAAGTTTATTAGAGGATACTCTGAAAGTAGCATGAATACAAAAAATTTGAAATTACTTTTGTTGGTACACGCACAGTAAACAAAGCGAAATTTCGTATTCGGAAGTTTCGTAGATCAAATTTTCTCAACACTATTCCAAGTTGAGCACTATTAAAACTCGTTCAGCTCCGTCTCTTAGAGATTAAAATCTCCTTTTTAAGTAAGTTTATTTTTTGAAAAAAGTAAAAAGTTTGCTCCAGCAGTGACTCGAACACTGGGCCTCTTGCTTACTAGGCAAGCGCTCTACCACTGAGCTACAAGAGCCTGATTAGTTGGACATAATGTAGGTATATAATCACTGGGTAAAGGAAAATATATCGTCGCAACCAAGTTTTGGTTGGAACGGGATGTTAGGTTTCTCTAATTTCTACTTGGTTTGATTGTTTATAAATGCAGGTTTTCACCCTCATTCATAGGGGCGTTGAATTTACCACATTTCGTTATGATCTGTTATCTTTCTTAAAGAGTTCGTACAACCAGATAGTATCGTATACCAAGCAAACAACATCCACCCCAAAACCATCATGCTTGCTGATTCCTTATATGAAGCAGACGATGAATTCAATCCTTTTGCAGATGCTGTTTCCCCCTTAAATCCACAGTCTGCCAATGTACAGACGTCTGCTGAACCCGCACGTGAAATTTCATCAAACGCGCCGGATGCAAATTCAAATATCCGCGAAGTTTCTTCTCCAGGAAAGTCAGTAAATGTGAAATCTCTTCCTTTGGAAACACTCACACTAGATTCAGCTCCGTTAGGGCCATTAGACCATTCCACGCCTTCTACTGTAAATTCAGAAAATAATCCTTCAGGATCGAGTGTTCATGAATCCTTTGCAATTCCTAGTAAACCTTCTCTTTTACCAAAAAACTCTTTTGGTTATAGTGGTGTACATCCTCACGGCTTGCATGTATCTGAAGTCAATCCGTACTCTTCAGAGCCTTCTAGTATTACCCAAGAAGAATTACGACACAAAGAAGCATCCGATGCTTCTCCAAAGACTATGCTTGCTGAGGCTGGTCCGCATCCTTCTGCACCCACCATCGCGCCATCCATGACTCAAAAACACGAAGACAGCCAAGTGGTGGCGGAGCTAGAGGTGCCTTCTGTTCCACCTCTAAATATTCAAGTACATGATCCTCATACAGTTAGTGAGCTTGCTAAGTCTCATACGGTTTACTTAGTCAGCTCGCAACTGGAAAGTGATTCTGTCCAATCCACTGAAGTTACTGTTCAAAGACGGTACAGGGATTTTGACTGTCTCTACCAACTTTTGTCCAACAATTATCCTGGCTGCATAATTCCTCCTCCTCCTGAAAAGCAGGTGGTTGGCCGGTTAGACGACGAAGTAGTTGAGCATCGCCGAGCTGCTTTAGAGGTCATGTTGCGCAAAATTTCCTCTCACCCTCTTTTAAGGAATGATTCATTCTTTGAAAAGTTTTTGCGGGTGGATAATTTCGACACTAAGTTGACAAATTACGTTACTCCTATTGATGCTGCTTCTTCTTCCACTGCTTCTGGCTCGTCTGGCTTACTTGACTCTTTCACGTCTGCTTTTCACACTTCTTCATCATCTAAATACATTGAGCAAGATCCCTTGCTTGCCGAAACAAAATTATCGCTAGATGCTCTTGAAACCCAGCTAAGATCCATGTATCATGCCCTTTTGCTTTGTATAGACCAACGCCTGCAACTTTTATCTTCGATACACGACTTTGGCGAATCTTTAGCAAATTTGTCCTTGGTTGATCTTGATCCTTCTCTTTCCTCCCAACTTGACAATCTATCTCAGATACAAATAGAGCTTCAGTTTTCTCAAGAAAGAAAGGTTGCTCAGGATAATCTAACCCTGGGTGTAACTATCGAAGAATACATCCGTAATATAGAAAGTGCTAAAAATGCTTACTCTACTCGACAAAAATTATGGCAGGTTTGGCAATCTTCTTTGCAGTCACTTTCTCGTCTCGATGCCCAGTTGGATAAATGTCGCAAGCAATCAAAATTTCAGCAAAAGTCTCTTCCTTACCTAGAGAGTCAAGTGGAAAAGTATCGAGTTAAATCTTCTCAGCTAGCGCAGCAGTTTGAGAACTCAACTGCTTTGTTAAAACATGATTTGAAACAATTTTCTAACATAAGGGTCGACGATTTGAAAGCTAGTGTCGAAACTTGGCTGGAATCAGCAATTGAATCGCAAAAAGAGTTGATTGATAGATGGGAATCGTTTCTAGAATAATTTGCTGCATATAGTTTGTATTTCTTTCTTCGGCTTATTTATTTCCTAATGTGATATAAAAGTTATTTTCTCCCCTCTTTTCAACTTACTTTTTGCTACCGATGTTGTTTCCTGCACCTTCATTGATGTCGTCGGACTTTGTTTAATGATTTTGATGCTAATTACATATTTTATGAGACGTTAATGAAAGTATTTTATGTCTTTAAATGCTACGCTTATCAATTCAATTTGTATATCATGCGGTAAACGCTAATAAAATAAAATAATTCTTATATTCTTCAGCACGTCCTAAAAAAGCATATACAACAGATCAATACAATGGTAATACTACCTACTTGACCGAATCCGAGACTAATTCATCCATGTTTTGGCTACGATTTCATTTATCATCCTGTTCCGACTGATGAACAGCAATCTCCTGTGCTTCTGCTAGATAGGGCAATAATCGTCCATAAATATCATAAATTGATTTTTCAGGCATGCTTCTAATTAATTCGATCTTTTTGTTTTCATCCCAGGATTGCTGAACGAATTCATCAAAACTAAGGTTTTGCTGATTCATTGCATAAGCGGCCTTGACGGCTCCCTAAAATATAAGTGTCAGTAACTTTCCAATTGCAAAGGATATTCAAAACATACCCCAATAGCGCAAGCATTGCTTGCTCCTTGCTTGAGTCGATAAACATCACAACCCAAAATTTCACTGATCATTTGCACGATGGCTTCATTTCGACTAGCACCACCTACAACATATACTCTTTGAGGGCGAGATACATCGGTTAGTAAAGGGGTAATTCTATTGCGGATATCTAAAAATTGGCTCTCGACTATAGCACGAGCATCATCATCAGGGCTTGTCCATGATTCTGATGATTCTGTCACTGGTTCCAGTTTATCATTTCGGATGTTGAAGCGCCATGCACCGGGTCCAACAGCGGGGATAATTTCCCGTAAAGGATAGTACAGCCCGATTTTTTGATCTGGAAAAGAACGTGAATCCATTCGTTCTTTAAGGGTGAATTCATTGAACAATTCCCAAGAGCTTTTGTCTTGCACTTGGTATTTTTCATTGATACTATCGCGAACAGTTTCTCTAGCCAAACTGCCGTTCTTATAGCAAAGCATGACCATAAAATGCTAAACACTGGTTAGTAAAATGTAGCCCAATAAGAGTAAAAGTATTTTAGGATCATGTCCAAGACTTAATAAAAGCAAACATACATTTGTGACGATAGGATGACCAAACATATGATATTCAGGAGAACAAACATAGTTGGAGGTAGCCATGAGAGCGGTGGTACTTGTGCCTAGCGACAAAAGAACATCTTTTCCGGGTCGCAACGGCAAGGAAAGTAGGGTGGCAGGATTGTCGCCGGTGATTGGAATGATTTGGCAATGGGATGAAAAGCCGTACTTTTCACTAAAGTAGCTTCCAATACGACCGAGCTGTTTTGCACCGTTCATTTCAACGGATCCCAGCTTGATTGCTAAATCTGAGCCTTGAAAAGGACCAGCAACGTCATCCAAAAGACGAGAGTCAAATTGCTCATTTTGTATATCCCATAAATTCATACCACAAACATCGCTAATTTCCAAAGGAGCTTCGCGTTGCAAAAACACAGACATGAGGAAGCTTGAAGCGAGCCCAATTCGCTCGGTTTTCTCATAGATATCTGGATGTAATCGACGAAACCGCTTGATTTGAGGACCCGTGAATCTAAGATGCGCTTTGGAGCCCGTCAGATCAGCAAGTTTGTCAGGCCCACCTACGACAGCTTCCATTTCTCGACATTCACGAGAAGTAGTAGCATCTTGCCAGTTTGGTGAGCTTGAATAAAGATACTTTTCGAGTTGACTTTTCAATGTAGAGTTTGTTTCCAATGAACCAAGAGCTCGTTCGGCTCCCTCTAACCAAAAAACACCAGCATGCTGTTGACCCGCTCCACAGATTCCCTGAATCTCGCTTACATCCATTATCTTTGCAAGTCTAGCACACAGTAAATCTATGGCATCCAACCACATTGCCACTGGTGCTACCACCTCATGACCATGTTTGTAGACACCCTTTGTAGTGTTATAAGAGGGAAAGTCTTTGTCAAAATCCACAACCACCTCTTGGACGATGTCCAGCTTTTCGTTAATAGTAACGCCTTTTAATTGTTGAGTGGAAAGATCTAATCCTAAAAACATTTTGTAAAACCCTACGTTGTCGTTAGATTCCAGAAAAGGATCTTGGTACAAGAATTCTCTAGGAAAGTCCGCTTAAATATATGAAAAAAATCACCTCTTGTTGTCGTTCTTTTTAACCGTAAAATTCGAGATTCGTACAACTGGTCGTTGTAAGAGCTTACATCAATCGTTTCTGTTGTCACAAATTTTCTATTAAATAATCTTTCATCACATCATAACATAACAGAAACGAGTTGAACAGGTACGCATTTGTCACGTTAATAATACTCACGGGTTATGAGAATAAATATCGAGTAGAAGTAATAATTACAATTGTAGGATTGTATACATTAATTGGACTCTGTTGTACTCGCTAGTAATGTCCAGGATATGATTAACTAAACTAAAAGTAGGTAGACGATCTTATTTAGCCAGATCAGTCGAATCTTCCAATCTGGAGATTCTGACTGTAGATTCATAGTTTGTATACCTTCGCTGAGACTGCTAACGTAATCTATCTCTTTGTATCTCAAAGGTTTCTTTGTTTAGTGGTTTCCCTTTGTGAAATAGGTTTCTTTATTCTTAAATTATTGTTGTTTTGCTTTGTTTTGTTTACCAATTGTAATATCTCAACCTTTATTCTTATGACGTTTGTTAATATTCGAAAATATTTTCTTACGATGGCGTATTGTAATACTTATTATATAAGCAAGACACCTATCGTGACAAACACGTACGAAGTAGTAACTTTTCTTAAAGTGTCATAATTGGGTCCCTCGTTAGCATTCATAATATAACAATCCGTTATAAGAATGGAATAGTAGCTAATATCAGTTAATATTCATAAGCTTAAAGAATTGTGCTTGATAATAAGTAAACAAAAATTTGAAAATGCAAATTTCTCTTTGATTGCAGAAACTCCGATTAAAATTTACAATTCTTGATTATTGCTATTAATTAGAGAAGCCAGTCACTATGGCAAATATACAGAATAATATATATATGTGTGTCGACAGTCGAAATCTTTAGATCGGAAGATTTGACTGATCAGGCTAAATAAGATTGACACTTAGTCGTTTTCATTTAGTTAATCAGATCCCTGGACATATTACTATTACTCTACGTAGTACTAACACGTCCAATTCCAATAAACAATTTTGTAATTGTACTTATTACTTCCACTCGATTTACATTCTCATAACGTGTGAGATTTCTCCCGTGACATAAAGATAAAAAAAGGAATAACAAGAAATAATAAAATATTATAAAACAGAAAAAATAGAAAGAATGGGTTGGCAATTGGAAGGGCCTTAAAATTGACTGCTTATTATCCTATGCAAAGAAGAATCTTACTTTTTATTCCATTTATAGATTCAGTAAATTTATATGTCTATGTATCCTACTTTCGAACTGCATACACATGTGTTTGACTCTGGTAGACTTCTTGTAGATGATGAAATAATCTTATAGACCCTCAAAGCTAGTCAACAAACGAATTGGTAAGAAAAATGTACAGAAATAAGAAACGTAGCCTTCTATTATACGAACACTCTCTCCACTCTTTCCTAAGTAAGAAGGATTTCTATTTTGGTTACTCTTACTGAAACCTCTATCATCAAAAATATTAGCAAAAAATATAATTATAGGGCATAAATTAAAATTATTATAAGGAGCTTGCCCTGCATACTCAAAAATTAAATAAATACCTTAAATACCTATATACACCTAGAGATCTTTCGTTTCTTCTTTTAGGCGCTTCTTGTAATCTTTCTGTAAATCCAGGTACTCTTGATACGCATAACCCGGAAAATGTAGAATAATAATAACACAGCAAAGACATTAAAAAAGACATAACCAATAAATATACCAAAATTACGCCAGCGATGGTCAAACTTCATACTGAATTGCTCCAAAAATTGGTCACCTGTACGGTACCTACAATACTGACAATTGCTCGTATCATTAGGGTTCAATAAATTACCGGCATTAGCACTTTGCATGAAACTGTTCAGGTAGGATTGGCAAGTCTGCCCCGATGGAGGATTCAAAATATTCAGTTCTTGAGGTTTGCATTCCACTGGAACATTGTGCAGCAAATCACTCAATAAACCTTCAATAATGTAGGTAAAGGGTGTCAAAGCGTGCATCCAATGCCAAAATTTCATCAAATTAGAAAGTGGTTGCATGACACCATTAAACGTAATAATAAAAGTGAACGCCAAACTGTTCACGACAGATGCAGTTTGAGCATTCGGACAGGCACTAGCAACAGCTTGACCGAACGTGGAATAGTACATTTGAAATATCATGTACATTAACCAAGCATAACCTGTTCTGTCACTCGGATGTTCCAAATGTTTATAAAACTTTACAGGATAAAACCAACATAAGAAAAAAATCGTACCGAATACAAAATTGAATGGAATTTCAACGAGAATCGCGGAAATAACAAAAGAGATCCAACTGTAAATATTGGATGGTTTTTCTCTCACTTCAAACACATTTCGAAGGTCGATGAATCTTGGTTGTAAGCCATTAATAAGAGGAACTGCAAGCACGGTTGCCATGAAAACTGCAAAAAGCTTGTTTTGCATGTTTTGATAACCCAAACCTTGATTATAGAAAGTGAAACCAATGAACAACCCTGCGAAAATATTCAAGAGCATCTTAGACATTAATAGCGAAGGTTCTCTCCAATAAGAATGAAAGTTCCTAGTCAACACAAATTTAATTTGGAACCATAAAGGCATAGCATATGTATGAGTATCTTCTTTTTTAGCCTCCCTCTTCGAATTCGCTTTAGAACTTTCAATCCTATCCAATTCTTCAGTTGTATGTTTCCTTTCTTCCGAGTTATTCCAAACTTCATGCCAATCACGGTCAGTCTTCGCAGTAGCACCGGCGCCAATCACATCCAGAATGTACTCAGCTGGATTGGCATCCGGAGGGCAAGGAGTGGCTCCATGATTAGCAAAATAATCCAACAAAGTCTTGGAATGATCACCGATATCACCAAAGTACACCGTCTCACCACCTTTCTGAAGAAGCAATAACCTGTCAAATTGATCAAATAACACAGCACTAGGCTGATGAATCGTGCAAAGAATTGCTTGACCAGCATCAGCCAGCTTACGCAGAAACTGCACAACCGACCATGCCGATTGACTATCCAGACCAGACGTGGGTTCATCCAAAAACAAAAGAAGAGCTGGCTTGGCTGCCAACTCAACGCCAATAGTAGCACGCTTACGTTGCTCAACATTCAATCCAGAACCAGGGGACCCGATGATAGCTTCGGCATAACTTTCCATTTCCAATAATTTAAGAACACTCTCAACGTATTCATACTTTTCAGAAAGAGGAACAGAGGCTGGCTGGCGAAGTGCAGCACTGAATTGAAGTGCTTCTCGAACAGTACTTTCAGAAACGTGAACATCTTGTTGCTGGACGTATCCGGTACGACGCTGGAATGTAGAGTCAAGAGGATTACCGTTAACAAGCATATTACCAGTGACAACACCAGTATCAACACGCTGAGCAAGCACGTTCAAAAGGGTAGTCTTACCAGCACCCGACTCACCCATTAAGGCAGTAAGTTTTCCAGGCTTTACAAAACCATTAACTCCGCTCAACAATCGTCGCTTTTCGCCTTTAACAGTAATATCATAACTAAGATTTCTCCAGCTGAAAATGTCACGTCCACTTTCAATACTACCATATTCCTTTTCCACTTCTTCAGGATTTCGAGCTTCTTTAACAACACCACCGCCTTGAGTATCTTGGCCTGTTTCTAAATCCAAAGGTTTTCCGCCTTCTTCAACAGCCTCTTTCACAGTATCAGGTGCATAACCCC